GAGGATCTTGACCCTCAACACCAAGATCTATTAATTCAGTAGTAGAAGCTACAACAATATCCTCCTCCTCCTCCTCCTCCTCCTCCTCCTCCTCCTCATTATCACTAATCGAAACTATCTCAACATCCTGGAGATTCTCATCATTCTGTTCCTTTGACATCTCAATCTCATCCAACGTAAAATACTTCTCAAGCTGCTTCATCTCTGCCTCCTGGAGATCGAATCTTGATGCACACAGGAATAGCATGATTTCTTCAATAGTCTCAGACTTTAAACGGCCGCGTCGGTAATGGCAGACATCACGCGCGGTGTTAAAAAGCCGCTCAACACCAGCACCAGTTGCAGGGATTGAAAGAAAATCTCGAGCAAGCAATGCAGTTGCGGGAAACCGAGACTGGTTCTCACGCCAAAAATGAAGTGGTTCATCTTCGACTGGGTCTAGAAATAAATTAGTATAGAATATTAAAGATAAAGACTCTTTATGAAAGAGTTAAAGAACAAGACTGACCACTATCAAGATACTGAGCAGCCTCATCTCCAACAGGTTTTGCTATAGTCTTGCTCCCACTGAGCATCTTGTTGAGTTTTGATGTAGGTCTTGATGATGCCTGGGGTGTAGGTGAGGCTTGATCTCTGGCAAGACGTTGCTGATATGGAAGCAGTGCTGACTGGAATGATTTGCGATATGCAACACGCCACTGTTGCTCCCAGTCATCAGTTTGAAAGAACTGGAATTTGCTATCTGGTGCAACCATAGTACAAATCGCAAAGATATGTCCTTTCACACCATCTGTTTGCGAATAGTAGCCACCAAGCCTCTGTCGGCCAGCTTCAAGTGATTGGAGCATCTGCTTTTTCCATGGAATCCGCTTCTTCTTTAGCTGACCTATTGACTTCTCAAGATGCTCAAAGAGTGCATTGTAGAGCTTGAAAACCAGATGTGTAGTAACCTCCTTTGTCTTTGACAGCTCAGTAGTGTAGTCAAAGAAAGGCTCTGTAATACAGAGAAGATAATCAATCTGACGCCACTCCTCATTATTAAGCAACATCTCTTTACAATCATACTGCTCACAGAATGATATAAAGTAGCTGCGTAGTCGTTTGGCACGTCGAAGCATCAAAAAGGTTGAGTTCCATCGATTTCGGACATCTTGAATAGGCACTAGCCTAGGTTCTTTAGGCTGAAGCTGGAGAAAGGTCTCTCGCCGTTGAGGACTGGCATGGATGTAAATTGCAAGATAGCGGACCTTGTTCAATGTGCCTGAAATCTCATGTTTCTGTTGTTTTGCATTTGCCTTTGCTGCAGACGATTGCCGATCGGTCCATTTTGTCTCAGCGGCATCATTTTGGGGTACAGCTTTAAGACGATCAAGAAGCTGATTCAGACAGAGCTGGATGACATGGGCAAGACAAGGGATTCGGATAACAGTGGTCTCACTAGAGAGTGCTTGCTGAATTGTATCCACCAAAGTTTTGTTGTTTGTCGCATTGTCTGTTGTAATTCCAAAGACTCGATTTTGGATGTTGTGATGGGTCAAGGTCTCAAGGAGAACTGCGCTTAGATTTGCACCAGTATGTGAGCCATATAATGGCTTAAATCCAAGAAGAACCTCTTGATATACCCAGTTGGCATTAACAAAATAACCAGTGATTGCCATAAAAGCCTGGTTATAGGGAGAAGTCCAACAATCTAGTGCAATCGATATTTTTGACTCAGGAGGAAGGGTTTTGAGAGTAGAGCGTTGTTTATCTTGGATAATATCTCGTAATCGTCGCCGAATCGTTGTTGCAGAAGGTATCATCGGAGGAGAAGGTGCTAAGCGTGCAGATCGGATAAGGGTGTGGAAGGTTGGATGTTCAATAAGATGGAATGGTAGGCGATTTAAGGTGAGAAACTGCAATAGCTGTGTCTCCCATGTAGTTTGTGAGAATGACTGAGTAGCTGTTTGGCCCTAAAATAGTTAATATAAGATAAATAATAGTAAATAGAGAACATACTTCTGATATTAGGAACTGAGAGATATCCTCTTTTCTGTTGGCCTTGACCTTTTGGCAAGCTGCTGTTTTGAGATGCTTTAACAGAGTTGATGTACCATATAGACTTCTGCCATTTGGTAAAATTGATGCAGGATGCTCTAAGATCCGGGCACAGTTTTTACACATAACCTTTGGTGCCCCATCTTTACAAGCGGCAACCTGATCAAAGTGACTCCAGATATCTGAATTGCGATTTGTATCCCATTTGAGATTGCTTTTCTGTCCAAAGTCTGTCTGGAGCCACCAATCAACCCAATCTGTGTGAGTCATGCTGTTGTAAAGTACAAATGCCTTTCTCCGATCGGGGCCAACACGAGTAAATAAGTCAGGGGGAGGAAGATTGCTCGGTCGGAGAAAATCAGGCTCACTACCTTCAATTGGACAAGAACCAAGAATACTGTTTGTCGGCGTAATAAGAGGATTTGAAGGAGTAAAATCAGTTAACTGACCTGTGTCCCCCTCATAAAGAGAGGGCAGAAAGTCAGACTCCTGGCTTTGGCCTTGGGACATATTGACACCAACTGAAAAATAGCTGTAGAGAAAGCGAGACATATTAGGAGAGAACATACCTTTAGCAAAGAGATTGACTGAACAGACAGATTCTTCTAAATCCAGCTGGAAAAGGGGATAAGTAAAAGCAATATAGGGAAATGATATTTTATTGGCTATGGGCACAGATCTGATCCACTGAAACCCATCACCAACCCATCAAGCCCATGTGATATATCGAAAGCCCATCAAAAACCCATCGGAAACCCATAATACCCATCAGAAACCCATTTAATACCCATTCCCAACCCATTTCCCACTTTTTGGGTCGAAAAAGATTTTGACCATGGGCAGTTTTTGGGCGAAAAACCATCCCACCTATAAGATAGACTCTTTGTCTCTAAAAGCTCTCTATTACCTGGGTATCTATAGTAAAAATGAATAAATAAATACTAGTAGACTTTATTCTCTATGAGTATTTATTAGTGCTCTAGATTTTGGTAGTTCTTGAAGTGAAAAGCATTTTTGATCCCTGTTATATTGGAGTATGTATTACCTTCCTAGAGATATATATCTCCATGTTCTTCCAAGGTTAAGCGTCAAAACAGCCAAAACATTACATACTACAAAAATAGAACCACTGCTACCTAAATTTAACAATTTGATCTGAAAAAAATAAATAATTTGATTCAAAGATTCTTCTGCTGATTTTAAAAAATGTATTTTGAGAAGAGACTGTAACTATACAGCCATGAAGTCATGAATATCAAAATTACAATGATCAGTCAGCTGAATTATCCATGCCAAGCCTCAAATTTATGCACAATATGGGTTTTTTGTACCCATATGGGTACCCATGAAAAACCCATGGGTACCCATCGGGATGGGTGCACCATTTTGAAAAAACCCATAACCCATCATGGGTTGGGTATGGGTCCAAAAGTTGGACCCATTTGGACCCATTGCCGAAGTCTACCCTATAGGGTGAATTCTACCCATACTTAAGAACTTCTGACCCCTATACAGTCAGGTAGACTGTACCAGGTCCCTTAGGTTAGGGTTAACTCTTACGACTACTATAGTAGATTATAGTGTCTAAGAAGTAAACTGGGTATAGATCTTATATACACTTAGAACTTCTGAAATTCTAAGGTCAATCGTACGAAGGAAATTACTTACAGTCTACCCTAGAAAAAGTAGTTGCAGTCTACTCTGTAGGGCGAATTCTGCCCATACTTAAGAACTTCTGACCGCCATGCAGTCAGGTAGACTGCACCACCTGAGGTCCCTTGGGTTAGGGACCCTGGTCCTTAAGCGATGCCGCTGTCTTCTTAAAGTCTACTGTGCCTCCAGACTTGGTTATCTTGAAGACCCTGTCCTTCTGATCCAACTCAGTGACTGACTTCTCTTTGAAGCGTATGAGTTCAGTCGCCTTCCACTTCCTCTCGAGGACGCGAGTGAGAAGGGCGGCGGAGACACCGGGAAATATGTCGATGAGTGGTCTAACCTCAGGGGGTGGCTCACGGTTTTCCTCGACATTATCGTCATCTTGTAAGTCCACACGAGGACGTCTGTGGCGGAGGTCGGTCTCTGCTACATCCATTTCAAAACGCCTGGCCCTGTCTCTCTGTATCTGTCCTAGCCAACTAGCACGGTCTGCCGAGCCCATGGTTTCCCAAATGTGGGCTGGAGGCCAAGCGGAGTCAAGTGGAGAAGGCACGACACTACTGGACTGGCTGAAGGTCATGGTGGAGAGCGATATAGTTAAGGCTTATCGGTGCTATTGCCGTAAGGAAAGGACGTGACAAAATCGAGTCTTGACTGCGTGAGAGATGACGAGCTACCACAAGAGGCAAGCAACTGACTCTTGCGAGGCAGTTGTAGGAGCCTCCGTAATGTCGGTGTATATGTCACGTGAGACAGCATGGGCAACCCCAATAAAACTCCTCCCTATATATTTTGGAAATTAACACACCCTGACACAATCCTCTTGGCTGAATGGATTCAGCCAAGACCGACTAATCTCCGCGAGCGACCAAGATGATCATTCATAAATTTTTATCATAAAAATTTAGATGCTAGTATATTCCACTAGATGAGTCCCGAAACTTGAAAAATTAACATAGCGCGAGGATGAATGGTGATTTCGGATACATCTGGATATCCCTTGCGGAGCTCACTCAGGTGTGTGCCAATGTATCTCAGTGACAATTGAAGAGGGTGACTGCCCATAGAAAAATAGGGGTAGTTTTACTACAAACAGAATTGAAATAAGAAGCACAGATTTCTATTTCTATACATTTCATATAATGATAGATCAAAACAGGAAAATCGAAAAGAAAAGATAACAAAACAATAGATAAAAACAAACGCCAAATTGAGATACAGTGTGATCCTTTCTCGATAAGCCCTTGGACTTCGCTAGCCCGCAATCAATTTGCTAAACCAAGCGGAATCATTGATATTCTAAGAATTCACTTCTGGATCAAACCAGACAACTCCGTAACGAAATTGTTCACCAACTTCGCGACCAAATCCTTGTCACCACGCAGAAGTTCCTCATCACCGCTCACGTTAACCTTCAGTTTCCCATCTGGGAAGACCAAGACATTGAAATAGAGCTGTTCATCGTGTATGTGGGATGTATCAAGGCCGTCAACAGTCGATGCGATCGACGATGGTGTAGTATTGGTGAAGTAATCGGTAGCGAGTGGTTCATCGAGTTTATAGCGCTGTAGCGGCTGCGTCTTCTCGGTTCCATTGATATGCCCGTTCCCGTTCTCTTCCGGGTAGATGATATTGATGGTAGAGTTTGACTTGGGTGCCAAAGTATCCAGATTGTCAGCTTGAGCGAATCTTGTAAGCTGGGCTAGATGGCCTTGCACAGCTTCGAAGGACTCTTGTCTGGATGGAGTTCCGATATCCACGGTCAATGGCGTTACGGTCATGGTCGGAATGCTCATGCCAGTAAGGTCGATACTGCTTTCTCCATTCGGAGATTCCAATGAGCGAGAGGAATGGTTGAAACCGAAAGTTGGTTGCGAGCGACCGGTCAGTTGACCGAGCGCACGAGCATAGGCGATGATGATTGCAGCAGAGGTATGAGATTTACTGCTGATTGAGTTTGAAAGAGCATTGGAAATATCCTGTGAAGAGGTATCTGTGGTGATCTTGAAGTGCGGTCTCATGGTGTTTTTGTTGCTGTTCGCACCCAAACCAGAATAGACGATTGTATCTTGTGCCTTGGATAAATACTGCTTCCAGTAGTTTGTTTCAGCTTCCGGCTGTCTGATGCTGATGATTTCTTGGACACTGCGTTGCAAAGGAGGGTATTGCGATGTAGAACCCCCGGCAAACAGGCTAAAAAGATCCTTCAGGATCATTTTCACATTCCATGAATCATAGAGCGCATGATGAACCCGAAGAATGACTGCCTTTCCATCACATGCCTCAAGGAAAGAGAGATGAACCGGAGGCTTCTTGAGGTCCGACGGATTCTTGTTATCCTCACGAACATGCTTTTCAATCAAATCAGCAATCGTGCTTGTGTTGTCCTGGACCACCTTCAAGCTTTGGGCTACCGTGAACTTCTCATCCAGAGTGACCTGCATTAACGGGGAGTCGGAGATGCTAACAAAGGTAGTCCGCAGAACGTCGTGTGCCCGGCAAAGCTCCGACCAACAGTTTGCCGCCTTTTTGATATCAATGGAGTCATCGTATATAAGATATGCTCGAGGAGCTTGAAAGAATCTCTTTCCACATTTCAACCACTGTTGAAGAGTCCATCGTTGTCCTGCAAGAGTGGGCATGATAGATTCGATGTGGTCTTCTCCCACATCAAGTGCTGTAGCCACTAGCTTTCTGCGTTGTAGATCCTGCGGAGAGAAAGATTTGACTTCTTTCTTCACGCCATTCGATTGCACTGATGTTGATTTATTGGCAATGTCCTGAGCACTAGCGCCTCTGATTATCTCAAAAACGCTAGCTTGAATACCGAGCTGCTTTTTCAATGCCCTGGAAAAGCGGATGGCTGAAATTGAATCGAGTCCAACGTTCACCAACTTCGTGTCGAATCTAATCTCCCCCCCTGATGTTATCTCCAACCACTTGCTTCGCAATTCGAATAACAGCATCAGCCTTTGCGGTTGACCCTCGTATGACTGGAACTTGATCTTGGCCATCTAAACCATTCAAGGGTGATTGAAGGACCTTCAGCCACGAACCATCCGTCAAATGCAAATGTGAAGGACCGAGAACCGGGCTTCGCAATTCCTCCGATATAATGTACTGAAGTGCCGCTCCCAAATCCCGAGCCAGATCCTGGGTTTCTTTTTGACTCGTCTTGGATCGCACCTTGCCCTTCAACTTGCCATCTTTTATGCGGAAGCTGACGATGAAAGGGTAGTCATCGTAGGCATGTCGCCTCTCCTCAACAACTGCATTGGCTTGAACTGGAACAATGAGATCCTGCTGAGAATCGGCTTCTTTAGAATCAATGACACCGTCAAATACGAAGAGACTTTGGAAAAGACCAGCAGCCGTTGTGAAATTGTCAGCCTTCGACGATCTCCAAAGCGTTTGTATGGCTCTCAAAGATGCCATCCCATTGGCGCCTCTCGCACTGTCGCTTAGTGTTTGGAGTCGAGACAACGCGTCGGCTATGCTGATTGCACTCAGTTGATGAGAAAGCTCAACACGCATGGGTACCGTGTTGATAGTTGGTCCCATGATGATATCGTCATTGTCGTCACTGCCGGTCGCGACGACTTCTCCAAATACAACATCTGGTTGCTCGTGGAGGGTTTCGCAGAGAACCTTGGCCCAAGCGAGCTGCAGAGCAACCTTGAGGGTGACACTGGCCGTTCTGCATTTGGCCTGTAGATTCGATAGCTCCGACGCGTCAAAATCAATAAAGGAGACAGAGGACGCGTAGGATTCTTCGCTTTGGAACTCGATGGGTTTGTACTTGTAGTCTTCGACCGTCTTCATCCAGAATGAAACCGCATCTTTCTGGGCGATGGCACAAGACCTCGCAAAAGGTCGGTAGGCATAGGTCACACGCTCTTGGTCAGGTCGGTCGTCTTGTTGATTTGTAAGTCGTTGCTCATAGTTCTTGTTGAGAAGTCGCCAAATGGCTTGAATTGAGCTTGCGTCGTAAAGGGAGTGGTGGATCTTGAGCTGAATGATTCCGGATTCCGTGACAGACCAGTTGACGAGATCACTCTGATCTATGGGCGACACAACTCCTACCCACGGCGCTTGGTCATTCTGAGTGAAGATGAAACGAGATCTGAGGGTCTCACAATCCTGAACTGTGTCTTTAACCGCAGCGAAAAAGCGATCAAAAGCTGGGGTCTCCTTTTCTCGAGCGATACGAGAGAGTTGCATCGAATGAGTGAATGTGTAGGCCTGATCCTCAATTGCCATGGATGCACTCAACATTCCTTCTTGGAGGGGTGTAGCGATGTAAAGAAGGTCACCCGCGAGCTGTTGCAGAGTATGCTCATAGGGAGATTGGCTTGACACGGAACTTTGCGTCAAAACTTGTCCATTGGTCCCCTTATTTTTGATGGTATCGCGTTCGCGCTTTGCTTGAGCAACGAGGGTCGCAACGCCTTGCACATTGCGAGCTCTAATGGCAGCATTTGGAACAATTTTGATACCTTCGGAGTTGTTGATGGCTTTGACGAAGGGAAAAATATTGAGTGAGTCGAGACCGAGTTGGTAAAGCGATGTTGTCTCGGGGGCTTTGGCTGTGATCGTGGCGCGGTCCAGTCGTAAGAGCTGGCAAGCAGCAGACTGCACAGAAGTCAAAGCTTCATCAAAGTAATCATCTGTTTCGTGAGGGTTTGGAGGTGGAGGAAGAATATTGGGTGAATTATTGAGAACCTTGCCAATGGCACCATGGTTGATAGCGGCAAACTGCCCGACCATAGCCGAATTGTCAACAGAAGATTCAATAATCCTCTCAAAAAGGATTGCCATGCTACCAAGTTGCGCGTCTGATAAAGCACCAGCCGATGAGAGTGATAAACCGATTTTGCCATCAGCATGGAGATCAACGTCAACAGCCAATGCCAGGTCCGTCTTGGATTTGCCAGGCAGAGGAGTCATTTGGCCTGGTGCAGAGTGAGAATTGACGGAGTCGTGACTCTGGGGAACAACGTTAATAGTGAGGATACTGTCGAAAAGCTTTTCTTCCATGGCGGTCCAACGCTGGATCTTGTCGGCCGTGATGAGCGGCATCTTGTCTTCAGACACTTCCTCGTGGATTTTTTGAATCCGTCCGACCAGATGAGGTAGGGTCTCTGTTGCACTGTCGAGTTGAAGTGGATGGACAACAGTGTTGAGACAAGGCCCGAAGAATGTGTCTATTTCATCAACAATATGGGTCAAAATAGGTCTCAATGACGTGGTGAACCCATAAACGACTGAATTTCCTCTGGTCAAGTGTGCGATGCAAAGCGCAGTAGCAAGCTGGAAAGCAGTGGACATGGATACGGAATTTCCATTCTGCAATTTGGTTCTGAGCTCCGAAGTTGTATAGGCGAGATCACGGGTCAATCGAACCAACGCATCTGGATTGGCTTGCAAGGTGTTTGCACCAACGAGGCAGGACTGAACGTGACGGAATTTGTCTTGCCACGATGCCCTGACTGACTGAGTCTGTTCTTCATCGAGATGGCAGTAATTGGAGAGATCCTTCAGGTCCGAAAGGCTCTGGTTTCCGAAATTGGCAGCCTCATATCGACCCGCGTAGGCCTGCTCTAGCTTGTTCCTGAGTGTTGCAATAGCCGAGCCATCATACAATGCATGATGTACTTTGAGCGAGACAATGAATTGACCGGAGGCTTTCTCTTCAACCCGCAGGCGAATTGGCGGGCGAGAGTCCATCTGAGCAACAAGAGAGGTCGCATCATTCTGCCCGTGAAGTGGCGATGGCGCCGATTTCAAAACAACCTGGAATATTTGACCATCTTGCTCGCGTTGGATGAAACATGTTCGTAATATGGCTTCTGCAGCGATAGTATTTTCGGCAATATCTTCCCACCGTGCGATGTCTGTACCGGGTGCAAGTTCATAGATGAAGTCTGTGACATAGGGAACATCCGCGTCCGATATCTCTTCATTTGAGGCGAGGCAATTCAGGGAAAGAGCGACTAATGAGGACTGGAGGGGTAAACAAGGCAAGACAGCTGAAATGTTTGCTCGGTTTAGTCTGTTTGCACTGAGGCCGATGTCGTCGAGATTCAACTCCTTCACACTCTCACTTCTCCCCCTTGTCTCACTTTCCAACTTTTTGTCAGACGGCACATCAACACGAGTAGTACGAGCCAGTGAACCAACTGTACAGGCAGGAGAAAGTAAGTCTACCAGATTGACATTGGCACAGCCCTTTTTCTTCAGGACTGACATGAGGTGTACTCCAGAAAGACTGTCGACGCCTAGACTATTCATACTCTGGGTCGACGTAGCAGTGAGCTTCTTTCCCATTACTTCCTCGAGCGCCGCGACAACCTCCAACTCCGATGGACTTAATGATGCGATAGGCTCAGTCGTCAGAATAGTTCTGTGTTGAGGGTATTTCTGGGCCCTGGAAGACTCATTTGCCAAGTTGATGAGGGACTTGCTGTCGATTTTTCCAGACGCAGCCAAGTAAGGAATCCTCGACACCCACAGCATTTCGGGGACCATAAAGGCTGGAAGGGCTTCTTGACATGTTTTCTCCACAGCTGTGAGGAGGGTCTGAAGGGTCTGGCTCTGATATGGGATCCATTCGGGCTCGGAATCAAGTTCTGCTTTCAGAAGTGTACTGGGTTTACGTGCCAAAAATCCGATCAACCGTTGATCCACGACTGCGGCGGCAACATCTAAAGGTCCTTGATCCGCAACTGTTTTCTTGACGAAGGAGACAACCTCATCGATCTCGAACCGCTGACCACGAATTTTGGTTTGTTGATCTTTTCTTCCGAGAAACTCGACGGTCCCATCATGCAACATCCTCATGATGTCACCCGTCCTATAAATGCGCCTCTCACCTCCACCCAATAATGAAGTATACAGGAAGGACTTGGCATTTTCCTCTGGTCGATTCATGTAGCCGATGGATACCTGGGGGCCAGCAAGACAAAGCTCACCGGGTTGGCCTCTGCGAGCGATCATTTGCTCGTCCTGTCCGGGAACAAGAAGAATGGCCTCTAGACCACGCAATGGCAATCCGAGGTTGCGTGCATTAGAGTGATCGCCAACTTTGTGGGCAAAGCATCCGACAGTGACCTCAGTCGGCCCATAGAAATTCATGAGTACCGTGTTGTGATTTCCTTCATTCAACTGATCAAAGAGTTCATGAGAGGCTTTCTCGCCGCCGATCGTCAGAACACGCATGGAAGGAATGTCTTCAAGACGCAACCCAAGTTGGACAATAACAGAGGGCACAGATCCCATGTGGGTAATCTTGACCTTGTTGATTACCTGCTGCAGGTTCGCGAAAATATCATTACGGTCCTTGCTAATCGCTGAACAGAAACCAAGGTGCCATGGCGCGAACATTGAAGTGAGATGAGTATCAAATGTTCTGGAAGCGACGTTGAGGTATTTCCCAACGCCTCCAAGGATAGCTGTGTCTGAATTGGCTTCAGTGAGGCGTTGAGTCATAGCGGAGATGAAGTGAAGGAGATTTCTGTTGGAAACTCGTACACCCTTGGGACGGCCCGTCGAGCCAGATGTGTACAGGAGATAACCACCATCACCGCTTTCGCAATCATTACGCAGAGGGTTTTTAGGCCAAGACTCGATCACCTCCAACTCATCATGACCTTCTGGAAGCAACAATGCTGGTGGTCCTTTTTCTGGGCTCAAATTCAAGTCACCAATCAAGCTTTCCGTTGTGAGAACAAGCTTGGCATCTGCGTCTTGAACTAGGAACTGCTTTCTTGTTGCCGGAAGATCGGCATCAATCGGCAAGTATATGTAATTGCACTTGAAGATGGCCAATATGGCAGCTAAAGACTTGAGGTCCCTTCGGAGATACAGCGCGACTACATCATCAGGTCGAAGGTTCGCTTCATGCGTGGTCAACTTCGATGCGATGGCGTTGACGAGTTCCTCCAGCTGGAGATATGTCAGACTCTGGGTATTGATCTGCTCATCGCCGTTGTCATTGTCTTCAAAGAATATTTCCTCGGTTGCAATCCAGGTAGGGTGCTCAGTTGCCCAGCGAGTAACCAGACTGGCTGGGTTCTCAGCGATTTCGGTGCCAACCAGAGTTTCATTCCGTCCGACGCGCGAAAAAAGTTCCACGTTCATATAATTTCTGAGTTGATCAAGGGGAGCTTCAGGGTGCTCCAGCATTGCGCGAGCCTGGTCGATGATTTGGTCGAGCAGAAGCTTGAGCATCGGCTGAGAAATAAAACGAGAATTTCCGCTCAGCTCGATGGTATTGTCAGCCTCAAAGACATTCAAAGCCAAAGGATGCTCGACATTAAGTGACAATGCGTGACCAGTTTCTCGGAACATATTTGCACAAGAATTAATGCCATCGGTTTGATCAGAAGGAGCGGGATGATAAACGAAAAGGGCCGGAAAGGGCGCTTTTGTGTGATCGCTTCCCATATTCACCAGCTTCTTAATATCAACGGGATGCAGGCTATGGGCAGTACGACCCAATGACAAACTATTGCGACTCATTTCAGCCCATAGATGTTTAGCATCCGAGGCATGTGTACGAACAGCGACCGGCAATGTAGCCATGGCAGGGCCCACGACTCGGAGAAGGTCTGGGTGAAGCACTCGTTGTGACACAGTTTGACCTAAGACAACTGCCTTCAGCTCAAGGATGTCTGCCAGAACACAGCCAAATGCAGATTGCAAAAGTTGTGGTAGACCAGGTGAGCCGGTCGAATCAAAGAGGAAGTCTGGAATAGTTGCCTTGGAAGAAACTATTCCTTTCCCTTGTTTGCGTGAGCCCGTAAGATCAGGGAATGGTGCATTCAGAGCCCCTTCAGTTGCTACTAGTCCTTCTATATGGCTGGTCCATTTGGATAAGGCTTCTTCTCGCTGGGTGATAGATGGAAGAAGACCAAGTTCCACACCCCTTGACATTTGCAAAGAAGTGTTGGCGGTGCTGGAAATCACATCTGGGTTGTCATAGAGCTTCGCAACAAGTTCAAGAAGCATACTTGACGATGTCCCATCATGGAGTGAGTGGTGCATACTCAACATCATCTTGTTATTGCCTTCCAAGAACGAGACTGCCCATGGAGGCTGGGATGATTTCGCTGCCAACGGAGCCCAGTCCATCTGTACCTGCTCTGCCAGTGCAGCTAGACTTTCTGCATCCCCGTCATGCAAAGTCACCCAGCGAAGTCGAGGCTCATCGATAACTATCTGGAGCATGGAGGCCGAAATGCCCTTTCCAGATGCCCACTGTCCAATGTTGGCGTTGCTGTTGTCGAGCACAGAAAATTCCGACAGCGGAGAAAAGACTGTACGAAGAATATCAAGCCGAGAGGCAGCCGCTGTCCATGCATTCTTGAGGCGAGAAGCATCAACCTGTCCAAGGTGACCGAGATCAAAGATACGATGCGACCAGTATGCTCCTGGGTCAATCATGGTCTCAACCAGAAGTGATTCCTGGAACGGCGTGGCCGGCAAAATGTATGAAGTGTTTTTCGGTCGTAATTCGCCATGAAGACACTTTGTGAGATTTTCTTTGACGGAAGCGACCCAAGAGACTTCGGCAGCTGGGGAAGTCGTCAATTCGAGGCTCTGCGTTGTTTCCATAGACTTTTGAACAGCATTGACTAATTCGCCAAGAGTTTGACATTGCATCAGGTCGATAACACTGACGTTGCACTGAATTTGACGCCGCAAAGCCCAGGCCAACTTGGTGACTTGCAGTGAGCTGAAGCCTAGGCCAGCTAGACTGTCCTCTGGGCTGAGGTTCTCGATTGGCACTTTGAAACTCTTCGTGATGGTTTTAATCACAGGCAGCTGATGTTCAGACCATTGTGTCTTTGAAGATGGGCCATCTGTAGCTGCAGAATCTCGCTCTGTGAGAGAATCGAGGTCTGAACTGGCATATATGCTTTGCAGTGCTTTTCGATCGACCTTGTTGGACGCTGTTCGTGGCATTGTGGTGTTCAACACGGCAACATGCCCAGGAACCATGTAAGTTGGCAATAAATCCTTGGCTTTCTTGAAGATCATCGAGCGGATCTTGCCCAAGTCGGCGCTGCCTTGCTTCACCGAGACAAATGTGACTACAACCTTGTAGTTGCAATCGCCACCATCACCATCAGGACGAGGAAGGTAAAGAGTCTCAACATGCTCAATGGCTGGCTCGTCCTCCTTCACAGCGGCACAAGCGGCGCTGATTTCGCTCAACTCAATGCGGATTCCCGTGATTTTTACCAAGTCGTCGTTCCGACCGAGGAATTCGAAGCCGTGGTCATTTAGTCGTACCATGTCTCCAGTGAGGTAAATACGCTCGTTGATCCCCGGACCTCCTTGGATGAAAGCTTTGGTGGTCTTGGCTTCGTTTTTGAGATATCCCTTGGCCACTTGAGCACCGCCAAGCGCTAGCTCACCCACGCCATAGCGAGGAACGAGCTCCCATTGTGCCTTGTCCGCTTCATCCGAGTTTGCCACATTGCGAACAGCATATGCGGTACATGGGGTCAACGGGAAACCAACGTTGGCAGCCTTGGCTTGGTCACGACTCTTTCCGAAGAACTGTCTCATGGTAGATACAACAGCATTCTCGGCTGGCCCGTATGTGTTGTATGCTCTCGTTGTGATTCCTGGTGCAGACCAAGCCTCGGCAACATCTTCTGTCAGCTTCTCTCCGATGAAAGTCACAGTCTTCAAGGTTGAACCCCTGAGCTCTTCGACGACGATACTAGCGCCGAAGGATGGAGTAAGATGAGCATGTGTTGGCTGCGACTTTCTCACAAACTCGGTGAAAGTGCCCAGAACCAGCTCTCGCGTGCCGCTTATCACACTTCCAGCCAGTCCCCACGTGAAGAAGAGATCTTGAACGAAGACATCAAAGCTATAAGCTGACAGCTGTAGCGTACGAACCGGAACACCCTCCTCGTGTTCAACTTGAACTTGGAGGTCACGCATAGCGTTTGCGGCAGCGTAATGTTGTATCATGACACCCTTGGGCTCACCAGTCGTTCCCGAGGTCCACAAAAGATACGCAAGATCCAGACCCCCGATTTGTGGTTTCAATTCCTGGATGCTGCGACGTGGCTCGGCTCTTACCGATGTCTTATGATTTGCATAGTTGTCAACGAGGATCACGCGTACGCCCTTGAGACTTTCGTGGGATAGACATGGCTCTACAAGGGAGTAGGAGTCGCTGGTTGTCAGAATGACCTTGCCTTCCGTTCGAGCAATCAAAGATGTAAGTCTCTGAAGAGGCAAGGTTTCATCAATAGGAGACCAAGCAGAGCCGGCTTTAAGGATGGCTAGAATGGAGACATAGAGCTCAACGCTACGCCGCATGCAGATTGGAATGACACCAAGATCTCCTTCCCGAAGGATGTTTGCTAGACCGTTGGCCCTAGCATCAAGCTCGGCGTAGGTTAATTTAGTGGGTGGAGCATCGAGAGAATTGTAGAAGCTTAGTGCCAGGAGATCGGGTGTTTCTGCGGCCTGATTTTCAAACTGAGCATGAAGAACCTCAAAGCGCTGTTTTGATCGACGCTCCTTCTCTGATTGATCCTCTGTTGGCACAGGAATGGTACCTTCAGAAGAAAGAAGAGCCCGAGGGAGGCGAGATGGCAGGGTTTGCACGGAATCATCAGGGTTGGAGCCCAAGAATACCTCGGCCAATGCAGCCAGTTGGTTGAGAATGACTTGCGCTGACATCGGTGACAAAGCATCGTCGCGGTATGTGAGTCTGAGTGACATATTGTCAGCTTGAGATGAACCCACATTCAAACCGGTCGGGAATACTTCGGCAAAGATGTCGAAATCATAGCGGATGGCTGGGGTTTGTATCTCATCCCAGAGTGTCATATGTGCCGGACTATTTGTTTGACCTACGCTCCTATCGGATTGAGAATATGACTGAAGCGCCAAGGCAGTGTTGTAAGGCAAAGTCTCGAAAATCCCAAATGACATGTTTCGGTGACTCTGAGCGAACGTCGAGCTGTTGGCAAGTCCATGAAGCAGCTTCTTGACAGTCTCGTCGCTGGGAAACGCGACTCGACAAGGTACAACCGAGAAAGTTGGCGCATGAGTTGCATCGTGTTGACTGGATATCACGCTTCCAAATACAATATCTCTGGTGTTTGCTTCAGAGAAACTGTGAAGGAGGAGAGACCAACTTGCTTGCAAGACAGACAAGGGGGAAGCACCCAAGGCCCTACTCTTGTCTTCAAATGTCTGCCAGTTCAAATTACCGGCAACTTCAACCACTCCATGGCCATAGTCGACTACAAGACCAGGCAAGGCCGGTTTGGCGTTTTGGCCAGCCAAAGCGTGGAAGCGTTCAGCTTCCCAATCTTGAAGCAAATGCTGCCATTGCTTGTCGGTTTCGGTATTGATATTGGATATCCAGTCCAGTACAGCATCCTCAATGCCGAGTCTTGGAAGAGCGGCAATCCCTGCATATCCAGTTGAGATGTCGTCCAGGAGCACCTGTAATGACGCGCCGTCACAGAAACAATGCGCAACGCTAATTACAAGAGTCTTGAGACTTCCTTCTGAATCCGCCTCCGGTTCGATAATTTGAACATAGTAGAAGGTCTGTCTCTCAAGACTCAGATATTGCTGCGCCAAGTCGAGCCATTCTTGCGAATCATTCGTTATCTTGCCTTGTTGACGGACGACGCGCGGGTTGTTGTGGGTCCACTCGGTCCATGCCTCAGGCTTCAACACGACTTGTGCAAATGGTGATATATCATCATTGCATGAGACCATGGCACATCTGTAAATACCATTTCTATGGAGCACGGTATTAATGGAATTTTCGAGAGCTTCAGTTGAGATTTCCGCTTTCAGTGAGAGCACTGTGTGGCTGATGTAATTGCGGTGATCTTTTGCAAAATTCACGGCGAGCTGATTTTGCGTGCTTGTCATGGGCAGAATCATCTCAATATCGGCTTCATTGACAGATTTGAGCTGTCTGAGTGACTCGTTCATGTTGCGTGATGCAAATTCGGCGAGTTGATTTTTCCACTTTTCTTTGTCCAACGAGTCACTCCCAAATGCAGTCTTGCTTGACGTGGCAGTGAAAAAGACGGACCGAATAGTTGCTGCAGGATCTAGCAGCAAGGAAATTGGAGGTTGCATATTCTTTGAATCTGGCCACTCAGTCCTGATTGCATGTAAGAGTCTCATGGCTCGAAGACTATCGACTCCAGCTTCCCTGAGAAGCGTGTGAGCTGTCAACCAGGATTCAGTGCCAGAAATATCGCCAATGATACCAGCGAGCAGTTCAAGCAGCCTCTTCTCGAGCGCAGCATCTTCGGGGCTTTGCAAGTTGTCGACTTGTGACTGTTCTGTAATTTTTCTTCCATCTTGCTGAAGAACGTTTCGAACATATTCTGAAGCCGCTTTGCGGTCAACCTTGCCCGAGGCCGACCGAGGTAAAGAATCGACTTGGAGAATTCGAAACGGTCTCATATATTCTGGGAGACTCTGGCGCGCTGTATCCATGCATCTTGATTGAACAGTTTCAAAGTCCAGTGTGCTGTTAGGATCAACGGCCAACAAGGTCACGACCCTTTCAGAGCCCGATACCCTATTCCCAGGCTTCCATACGCATGCCAGAACCTGCTGGATCTCTTCATTCTTGCGCTCGAGAATATTTTCAATCTCACTGAGCTCCACTCGTCGTCCGCTCAGTTTGACTTGGTCGTCTGACATTCGACCCAAAAATTCAATGAGAGGCTCGTCTTTCTCATTCCAAACGATCCTGGCACGATCTCCGGTTCTATATGAACGTCCCCACTTTGAGTCATCCATAAAAGATTTGGTTGTTTCTTCGGGTCGATTAAGGTAGCCAGTTTGGCTGACTTGAGGTCCAGTGAGAACTAGCTCACCTACCGCACCCATTGGGACAGGTTCGAGGTTCCGGCTGTTGCTGTCCACAATAAGAGCTCCACAAGTGGCCAGTGGTGTACCGATCACAGTTCCACGCTGGTCTACTGGGACATGTGCCTGAGCGACGGAGTAAATGGTCACTTCGGTTGGACCGTATCCGTTGTAGATCCCATGTGGTATATTTGAAGCATTATTGGAGGAAGAGTTGACAGAAGCAAAATTTTGTACAAGACGAGTGCTTAGAACCTCGCCACCGACCATGATAGCGCGAAGTGAAGACGGTTTAATAAGACTAGCCACACTGGGCGTGACGTTGCTAATTTCGGCCTCTAGTGTAGTGATGACCTTGTCTATGTTGCGCATGGTAAGATTCCTGGGAGCGCAGCAAAGAGTCGAGCCTGTGCTGAGTGTCCAAAAGATCTCAAAAAGTGAAATATCGAATGTTGGAGCTGCACCTTGAAACCATCGGGTTGGCTGACCAGGGTGAGGGGAATCTTGAGATGAGAATCCAAAGTGATTGCTTAGCGAGCTAATCGTGCAGGCTGCTGAGTTGTGGCTCACGGTGACACCCTTCGGCCTGCCAGTTGTACCCGAAGTGTACAGAATGTAGGCCGGGTCAGTCTCATTGACACAATCAATTGACGGAGGATATTGAGGCTGATTATCGTATGCCTCTAGGAGCCTTGCCACACCAATCCTCTCCGTAGCAAGCTCCTCTTTGTCAGACTCGGGTGCTAGGACTGCCACGGGGTTCAAATCATCGAGTAATGCTCTCTTTCTCTCTTCGGGGGCATCGATCGGTATTGGGCAGAAAGCCAAACCGGCCTTCAAAGTAGCAATATAGCTAACATATAGCTCAGGCGATGGACCGATTAAAATTGCCACTGTCTTGACGACTGTGCTTGATTTCAAGCTTGCATGATACAATGCCGCTGCCAATGAAGTAGCCGCGTTTGAGACTTCTTGATAAGTGTATTGCATCCTTTTGCCAGTCTCGAATTCTGCGAGAAAATCAATCGCAATTCTTTGAGGGTAATCCTGAACCCTCTGCTCAAACCAATGATGGAGCATCTTCGGCTTTGTGGCTTCACTTTCATCGATCCACAGTGGAATTGGTCCTTCCTTTGGAGGCCAGTTGAGTACAGAGGGGTGAGTCCATTGAAAAGAATGGCTTTCGTTGTTGCTCGATGTGTGAAGCAGAATGTCTTCTAACATCCGGCCCAATGCATCGATGGCTGACTGTGGAACAAGATCGGATCTTGCAACAAGTCTCACTTCACCCGCTGTTGAATGAAATTGAAGACCCTAACATTACTGTCAGTATGGAAATCAGCTTTGATTTTTTTGGCTTCTCGTACCTTTCCTGCCCCGATTGAAAAGTCGGTAGGTATTTCTCCCTGATCTTTGTTGTGTTTGACGAAAGAATAGCTGACATCCTGTCCATTCTGGGTGGTATGAGCTAGCCAGTAGCCCTCAAGCATAGCATCCTCAATACAAAATGGCTCTCCGATGTTGACAACCGTTATTTGAGAGACAAGTTTGAAGAAGGCGTCGCGTGCCGCGTCATTGTTTGATGGTAAGTCAATCGAGCTTGACCAGCTCGACTGAACAAGAGCAATAGCTTCTCCGTTCTCATTGAGACTATGCAAAGGCCGAAGGTCAGTGGCCGGTGGCCGCTGAGGTGAAATCTCGCCCTGCATGAGAAGAGGTTGTTCGAAGATGTCTTTCTTCGATGGGCTGCACAGTGACGTCTTTAGATACAAGATACAATTAACTTGAGAAACCAATATAAGAGTCCTTGAGACTTACCCAGCAAATTTATGATGTGCTGTTGTACCTTGCAGATACCGATTCGCCCAGTCTGCGGGAATATCGAGCAATGTTGGTTTTTGCTATGCATGCTCTTCTCATGTTTTAGCTACAGCAGCAACAACTTCCCGGAATCGGCGCACCAGACCTGTGGAACGCTCAAGTGCTAAGTGGAGACTTAACTTACAAGTCGCCTCCTGAAAGATTGATTGTATACACTCTTCTTGGGGCCAAGAGTCCGGTGCTAGCCTGCAGACTCCGTAGTCAGACCACAAACCGCGCAAAACGCCCTCAACGCCAAAAAGAAAAAGTGGCTTGACGATATCGGGGTCCGTTTCCCATGGCTTACGATTGGAGTGTTTAATTTCCGTTTTAGTTTTGGAGCGACCACTAAAAGAGCCAGCTAACCAAGCGAGACAACACTGACAAGGGCCAGTGAGACATCTTGGCGCCGAGATGAATTTTTATTGGAGCACGATTGATAAAAAATACACTGCCAATGGCTTGGCGCTAAGCACAACCCCAAAGACCCTGAAAGTGGAGAACTGCAGATCTTATCAGATGCCATCGAAACAAGTCAATACAGTCCCACAGTTACGCCTGTAATATTGCGTATTTCACTAATTCATCAATTGTACAGACTACGAAGTGCGAAGGTACGGAGTAGTGGGATGCAGATTATTTGCTCATTTTGGGTGGTGTGATATATCACTAATTATCAGTCAGCATTGTAGAAAGGCTAAAATCTCCACTTCGCCAAGTGGTATTTGCCTTCAACCGAGGGGATTGGGACTCGGTGAATAGCTCCGTGAAGGGTGCAGAGCTTGCTTGCTTTCGATCATTTCCATTTTGGGGGTTTGGACCCCTGCAGCTCTGTGTGACATTTTTGTCCTATAGGGGATAACGTAGGATTCTATGTTGTCACTGTGAAGGCTGTGAAAAGTTATCTGGGCCGTTCAGAAGATAATCCATTGTTATTTTTTGTTTTGAGGCAACTGGGTTCAATTTTGTATATTCAAGTCTCTCGGAGGTCAATTCAAAGAAAGGGAATTCACAGTGCTACTGCTAAAAGTTTTATAAAAAGTGACCCTCCTGGAAGAATCGGTCCCTCTGCAAGGATATCAACATGGACGTTTTGTGCGGCAGATGGAAGCGCTTCTTCTTCTCGAGCGGAATGAACCGCGATTGAATGTGAATGTTGGCCTGATTATACCGAGGTTCACCAATTATTTGCTTCGTACGCGGGTCTCGTAGAAAGGCAAGATGCTTAATGGAACCATACGCAGCCTGGTAACGCTTCCCCCCACGGAACTTCTCCTCACCGACCAGGAAATGTGTGTTTTGATCGTGCTCACCAACAGTGATGTTGTAGTTGGAACCAATGAAGCAAGAAGCGTTATCTTCCATGGCAAAGCCAATCTCGGTATAACCAGCAAGCTCTCCATCCCATTCGAAGACGCAGGACATTGTATGCGGATCGGCTAGCTGCGACGCCAGGTAGTTGCGGTGATGCTCATCGGGGCCTCGTTCATTCCATCCGGTGTTTACGCGATCCGAGTTCTGCCAATTCGCGTAGGATCGAAAGTGCACGGGGTTATTCGCGTCGATATGGTAGATGCGTAGTTGTTCGCCAAGTTCAACAATATAACGAGAGTATAGAAGGGTTCCAGGGGCGGGCTTTGGGGGCCGCACTGGATGAACAGAGCAAACATTTCCCTGGCGAGTGAAGCCCAATTGACTGGGAAAGGTCCCGTTGGTACCATTGAATCCGGGAAACTCCGAAGTCTCAGGTCGGCTACGGAGCCAACTCTGGGATTCTGGAGCTCCAGCAGCTTGCCAAAATGATTCACGGGGAATCCAAAAGATGGCGTTACCGGGAACCTCTGTTGTAGTCGACTTCTCTGGAGAGAAAGGAGATATCATTCCAAGTCCTGTACATCTGAGATACGACGCGAGTCGCTTGTTGTTCACAACGATGGCCAGCTGGTCCTTCTCCCTCCACTGCGGGTGTAGCCATAGAGCATACACTGAAGTCCAGAGCAAAGTAAGCTCGTTCTGATCCGCTGCTTCGCCAAACGCAATTGACGATGCGTTTGTATTTGCCGTCTCAAACCATAACAAACTGTCATATGCTGCTACGTCCTCATTGACCATGGCGGGTGATACCCTCGCTGTCGTTCCGTCCATCACCCAGCGAGACATGATATTTCCAGCATGGTGAACCTCGTACGCGACGGACGGATTCGTCACAGTCGTTTCGATATTCAATTCAGTCTTACCATCTGGAAGTCTGAAAGCAACTTTCTCCTGCTCCTGTTCTTTTGGTTCCTGCTGCGTAGCAGAAACAGTCTCAACACAAACAGTGCTCATTGTTTCGGAACTTGGAGATTTCGTAGCTTCGTGCTGATGGTAAAATTGAGCGGGACCTCAGCATTATTGTCCTTCCGAATTCGCGTGTGCGAGATTTATGTCGGTAATGTCTTGGAACTTCTTGGAAATCCCCATCAATGGAATCGCGCAACGAGTGCCATGCCATGCAGTGCATTCGATAGCCCCCAGAATGGGTATTGTACACGGCGATCCATAGCGGGTCGGGGCCCAGTAACGCGGCGGGGGGGCTTCCGAAAAATATCTTCTTTCTCCTGTTTTGGAAGATGGGACAAAGTGACTGGAAGTCGTCTTCAGGAAATCCTGTCTCGTGTCGGAGACTTCGCCTCGGTTATGCAGATCTTTCCCCAAGCCACTCCGGGGGAACTTGATCCAGACACGTTTGGGCCCGATCCTTCTAGTGTAACCCTTTTCCGATACGATGGTGTATAAGCTTACAGTAGCCCCTAGTAATTACTAGTCACGTAAAATATGTATTGTATGTAACTGAGTGGGCCATACATACAGACATTCTTGGAGTACTTTCATCGTACGTCTTCTTTTCTCGTCTGCCGAAAATCTCCAAGGGGTTTCCAACATTATCCGTTAGGTCCGGGATCGGCGAGCGAGAGCGACTCTCCGTGCGGGCAAAGATGATTCGTTTGGTCTTCTTCTGTCCCTCGTCGTTTGTGTGTCTATGTGAAGCACATTCAATCTTCTGAGCTTTTGCATCGCCGGTAGGCCAATCGCCAATTGTGAGGGCGCCATGACCGGCGCCAACTGCCAAACATTTCCTCCTCGAAAATGGTACAGAAGAGTTCCATTTGTGTCTCAGAAACCCATAGAGACAAGCCTCAGGAGGCGACACCCGAAATCACCTTCACCTTCTTCGAATGAGGCCGAAAATGGAAAAGCCACCGGCGACCAGGAATACGAAACCGAAACCCCCGAAGCGCGAGCGAACTGGATATCGATTATCACATTCAACTGGCTAGGAACACTCTTGCGAATAGGGTACAGTCGGCCTCTCCAGGCTGACGACCTCTATGACCTTCCATCCAGCAGGCTGGTCGGTCATCATGCCGAGCGACTGGAGCAAAGATGGACCACGAGACACAAGGCAAATGAAGAGCTGCCGGAACGATCAAAGCGAGTTTTCTCCTTGGGGATTTTTGGAAAAGGACGCCAGACCGACACTACCGTTCTCACATTTGCCCTCAATGATATATGTTTTCGGTGGTTCTGGCTTGGAGGCCTGTTCAAGATGTTGGGGGACGTGACGCAGATCGTATCGCCGTTGCTTATTCGATTCCTTATCAACACCTTAAACGACCCATCTGAACAGGCATATCGAACAGGTTTTGGCTATGCGGTCGGGCTGTTTGCTTTGCTGGCGTTTTCCGTCACGGCGAACGTCCACGGGTTCTATCGATCTGCCTCGACCGGAATTCTCCTTCGATCCGCTATGATGCACGCAATCTACCGCAGGGCCACATCTCGACTCACAGAGCGCGCAAAGTTGAAGGGTGATCTCGGGATGGGAAAATTGATGAGTTTGATGAGTGCCGACTTGTCACGCATCGAATTTTGCTGCAACTACTTTCACTCGGCGTGGACCAGCATTCTCCAGATCATCATTTGCCTCGCCCTAACTATCTGGACTTTGGGTTATAGCGCACTCCCTGGCTTCGGTCTGTTGGCGCTTTTGTATCCCGTGCAATCCTACATGATGAAAAATCTCTTACTCTTGCGCCGTAATAGCATGAAATATACCGATGCCCGAGTGAAAGCTGTGGTCGAAGCTGTGTCAACAATCCGCCTGGTCAAAACAAATGCATATGAAAAGAGTTTGCTCTCCAAGATTAGAGAGCTTCGATCTGACGAGGTAGTCTACATCCGAAAGAGAATGTTACTACGAGCCCTCAACATTGCCGTCTCATTCACTGCACCTACTCTCGCCTCTGTGGTCAGCATTCTCTGCTACAGCGCTAGCACAGACAGTGGGATGCAAGCTGGGGTGGTCTTCTCAGGCCTCTCTTTCTTCTTGCTGATGAGGTCTCCAATGGGTGCCTTGCCCATTGCTATTTCTGCAATTGCCGACGCGCAGGCAGCACTAGAACGACTTTCTGCATTCATGGCTATTTCCGAGGAGGCTGTCCCGCTCGATGCTGAATTGCGGGATGAGCTCGCCCGCAAAGGACAACAAATGAGCAGCGACGTTTTAATCAGAGTAGAAGATGCCAGATTCTCCTACCACGACGATGAGCGACTCCTGGCAGATGATACGGAAGAAGACGAGAAGCCCAACCCTACATCCACATCGCAGAGACTTTACATTGACTCGCTTGAGGTCAAAAGTAACCAACTGGTTTGCATCGTTGGTCCAGTTGGATCTGGCAAGTCCTCAGTTTTGGGAGCTTTGCTTGGTGATATGCATCTCGACGAGGCACGCGCATGTTCGCTCAATCTTGAAAGCTCCGTCTCATCCAATTTGGCCTTGGCTCCACAAGAGGCTTGGCTTCTGAGTGAGACTATACAGCAGAACATTGTCTTCGGGCGCACATTCGATGAAAAGTGGTATAATGAGGTTATTCAGAGGTGCTGTCTTGCCCCCGATCTCGAGATGCTCTCTGATGGTGATAAGACTGTGGTCGGTGAGAAGGGTGTTTCTCTCTCTGGAGGCCAGAAGCAACGTATTAGTCTCGCCAGAGCAGTCTATGGACGGAGCCAGCTTCTTTTGTTGGATGATTGCTTCTCAGCACTTGATGCGCATGTCGGTGCGCGTGTTTTTGAGAATGTTGTCGATCGGTCGCGTCGCAACAATGAAGGCGCTATCGTTTTGGTGACCCACTCCATGGCCATTGCTCGCCAAGCAGACCTTATCGTCTACATGGAAAAGGGTCTTATTGTCGAGCAAGGCTCGCTTGAATACCTGGAGAGTAAGCAAGGTGCCTTTTACGATTATCTTCGGTCATCAATGGCAACATCACCCGACTCCGTCTCGTCTGTGGTCACTTTGCAAGTTGATAATTCGGAAGAAGAGGGCGCAGCAGAAATAAATATGCAACAGACTTCCACTGATTCCCAGCCATCCAACGACAATCAAGACAAAGAGAAAGAGACTGGCCAGTCCGAATCCAAGAGCCCTACGACCCAGCAGACAAGAGGCCAAGAAATCATGCAAACCGAAGAGCGACTCATTGGAACTGTTAGCGGGAAGACTTACCTGCACTACATCAAATTTGGCAATGCATGGATCATTGTTCCTCTTTTCTTCTTATCCATCGCGGTGTTTCAAGGATCCAGTGTTGTCTCGCCCCTGTGGCTGAATTGGTGGCAGAAGAATAGACATCCGGAAATATCAGAGAGCGGCTACATGGGTGGCTTCGCTGCCTGGGGTTTGGGTCAATCTATCGGATTGTTCTTCATGAGCACTGTTTTCGCCTTTTTCTGTTTCTGGTGCTCCAATCAATTGCATGCTGCAGCTCTTTCGGGTGTACTATTCGCGCCCGTGGCTTTCTTCGACACAACCCCTCAAGGCCGCATCACACATCGTTTTGGTAAGGATGTTGATGCCGTGGATAATGTGGTCGGAGAGCAACTTCGAGTTTTCATGTCCACTCTGGTTCAAGTGATCGGAACGATCATTGTCGTTAGCATCATTTTGCCTGTTTTCTTGGCTGTTTCAGCTGGCGTCCTGCTCATATATATCTGGACCGGCATATATTATCGCCCAGCTGCGCGTGAATTGCGACGCCTCAATAACCTTCTACGAAGCCGGATCTATGAGCACTTCGGCGAATCACTGTCCGGTTTACCAACACTCAAAGCATTCGGGGTTGTGGACCGGTTCTTGGATGATAATGCCACGAGGATTGATGTTGAAAACAGAGCCGCTTGGCTTGCCGTTGCAGCTGTGCGCTGGCTTAACCTCCGTTTGGATCTCTGTGGCGCAGTGCTCGTTCTCGGCGCTGGTTTGCTAGTTGTCGGCCTTCGTGGCACCATCGATCCCTCGTCAGGGGGTGTTGTTCTCTCCTACATGGTCACGGCCCAAGCTGCCTTTGGAAATATGATCCGCTTCAGCGCTGAGATTGAGAACAACATGAACTCTGTAGAAAGAATGCTTCACTACGCCTATAATCTCCAGCAGGAGCCCGATCATGATGTCAAAGCCGTGGACAAGAGCTTGAGGGACCAGAAATGGCCCAGCAAGGGCCATGTCCAATTCGAGTCTTTGACCCTGAGCCACCGCCCTGGTCTAGATCCGGCTCTCACCGATGTGACACTCGACATTCGCCCAGGAGAGAAAATTGGCATTGTCGGCCGAACTGGCGCCGGAAAGACGACTTGTAAGCACTTGAAGACATCCTGCTGTGCGTGTTGATACTAATGGAAACAGTGATTACTGCCCTTCTTCGACTAATAGAGCCCACAAATGGACGCATTCTCATCGATGGCGTTGATATCCATGGGGTAGGTCTGCATCTATTGCGCTCAAGTTTGTCCGTCATTAGCCAAGATGCTGTCCTCCTGGCTGGAACGATCAGATACAACCTTGATCCATTCCAGCAACACAATGATGAATGGCTGAGACAGTGTCTCCGAATGGTTGGCCTTGCTGGCGTGATGAATGAAAAAGAGATAAATCTTTCCACCACCGAGGAGACTAGCGAATCGAGCAACACCGAGAAGGGCAGTGATGATGTTGGGTCTTTCCTCGATCTCGAGTCAGAAGTCAAAGAGAACGGTGCCAACATTTCTCATGGCCAGCGTTCCTTAATCTCCATCGCTCGTGCTCTGGTCCGGCGGTCAAAAGTTGTGATTCTTGACGAAGCCACGGCATCTATTGACGGCCGTACCGATAAACATCTTCAGAAGATGTTGACCGAAATAATGGGTGACGCGACCGTTCTCACTGTAGCGCATCGACTCAATACCATAGTTGATTCGTGTGATCGAGTTCTGGTTATGGAGAGAGGTCGGGTCGCAGAATTCGACGACATACCCAGCCTGTACGCCAAATCCGACAGCCTGTTCAGGGCTTTGTGCGACGCTGCCCAAGTCAAGGTCGCCGATGCAAACAATTGAGCATTTTGGAGGGAGTGTAGATCCATAATTAGACTTACCGGATATAGATATTGTACTTGATTTCCACATTACAAAAGAATATAATTTATTTGATCTAACTAAAATCTGAAATGAATGTAGGATAACATCTTCAACCTTTCCTCAAAATATCACTTAGACAGAAATACCACTCCGAAGGGTTCAGGAGAGCATTGGAAATTTCCCATAAGACACAGCGTAAATTGCCCATATTCAAAGGCACTGACTGTCTGTACAAGCAATAAGAAAGGCACCTCTAGAAAAAATATTGTTGGGTAATGTCAGATCATTCGGCATCGCCATATTTTACTCCGACTAAACAACCTTTTTTTACATTGGCTCACTGTTTCAGGCCAAGGAAGCCAAGATCCGTCTTCGGATCAGATAGAATTCATCAACAGATCAGAAACTATTTATCATCGGATCAGATAATATCGTCGCCAAGTGGCAATGCAAAGAGACCGGGGCGATGGGCCGAGAACGGGGGACGATCGTCGTCCGAGAAAATGAAATACCAAGCAAAACAGAATAAAAAATTAGCTTTTTCGGAGTACAGTCTCAGTTGGGAATATTTTGTATCCTCCGGGGTCGGCGTCTTCACAATTAAAATTCTGCGTTGATCAAAACTTGCGTTGTAGGGCTGTGCTGGGATATCGCAACCGGAAACTTACCGGAAGAAACCTTACTGAAGTACTTCGTACAGGATGGATGATGCGATTCATAATTTGATACAACCATGTATTGCCAAACATTGGCGCCAAGACGGACCCTGCGTCGAGCTCGTGGGACTCGGTCTTGATGAGATACCGCGGGTAACTCGGCCTCGCCAGCGTTTTCTATTTCCTTATTCAAAATTTTCGACTATTCAAAAGCAGATTTTACATAATTACTATGCAAATGGGAATCATCTGGACGGGGAACGTGACCAGTCGCCTATACATATGTAGTTGGCGACTTGGCGACTCCATACCTAGCTGTCAAATCACTGAGCTCGACAGAAAGGGTCTGGCGAGGAAATGTGTTTTTGGTGGCGAATATTGCGAAATGAAGCGCAAGCCATCTATAGCCTGAGATGTACCCATGTGTAAAATAACTCGGATTTGCCACTTTGGGGCCAAGCGACCAGATTTCCAAACAATCCCGGCTGGTCAAATATTGTATAACTCTTCATAGTGGAGGGCTTTCGCGACTTGCATGTCCAACCCGACAGTTGGGATCTCTTCACTACAAATTGAAAAAATGAAGCGAATCAATATCCCCTATATATTAAGCCATGAAAAGAATTTTTGTATTTGACTCAACACTACTAGTGTTGAGTCACTAATTTTAGTCTGAAAGAGGATATAGAATGTAACGCAGAGCAGGAGAGCTTTCACCTCAAAAAAAAGCAGAAGGGGATTTCAAATCCCTATTTCGGCCGGAAAGATAGGTTTACTTGTATATAAGATTGAAAATAATGAAGTCTCGATTTACTTTTAATTGCATGATTCTAACTAGTAACGTTCATGGTGAGGCGTGTACCCAGGAACCATCAGAATCAGCATTGGCAGACCGATTTGGGAACGCCGATTGAACAATTTCACCTCCCCGAACAGCAAGAACTGACAACAGAGAGTCACTCAACCCATGAGTTTGCTCATTACAGCCCTGAAGCCAGATCCCTGCCTCAGTACTAACCTTTGCCTCGTCCAAAGCAACTCGATAGGAACGGTCGGAAACCCAGCCTGATAGACCCTCGGGTTGCAGATCGCACACTTTTTCTAGTAAAACCTCATGTGAGTCACGTTGATAGCCAGTTGCAACTACTACTGCATCGAAATCAAGTGAATCCTTGTTTTCTTTTTCACTCTGAGACTTCACGTGAATGCGTATCCGACTCGTTTCTTGCTGTCGCTCCATCTGGACAATTTCGGTCTCTGGGAGAATGCGATGTTGCCACTGGGCTTCATCAGGGTTCTCGACACGCTGCAGGTATATGTCATGATATATAGCCTCGATCAACTCCAGCCGAACAACTCCATAGTTTGTGGCTTTTTCGGTGGCGATGTGCTTTTTTCGCTCATCGGAAGTCATGTTATAGAACTTGCTAACACCGCCCGGGTTGAAGATCTCGTTGACACTGAACTCGAGTTAAAAACACAAATAATAAAGAGAAGAAAGTCAGTTGGAGAAAGAAGACGAGAAACATACAATGGAGAGTCATCACTAGGACGTAAGGCAGAGTCGCGGAAGATCAAGGCGGTTTGAGAGTTCGGATAACGCCGATAGAGGTCATGGAAAATCTCAGCAGCACTTTGGCCACCTCCTATGACAGCTATCTTGTATGGTTTCATGGTGTCATTCAACAGGCTTGGCAGATGTGTGCAGTATTTAGAGGAATGCATGATGAGAGGGTCCATTGGGGCGCTAGGTGGCATTTTGGCCTTGCCACCAACAGCAATAACAATTTTACGGGCATTCATAGACGTGATTTCTTTAGTGTCGGTATCGCGAGAGACAACCGTGAAATAATCCACAACGCCATCTGTGTTTCGAGGACCTGGCAGGATCTCTTCAACGTCTTGACCATAATGCGTGACATGTTCAAAGCGGCTAGCGCACCAGCGCATATAGTCTTCAAATTCCACGCGGGCGGGGAGGAAAGTCCCAATGTTGGTAAAATGAATGAGGCGATTTTTATGATTCAGATAGCTGAGAAAAGTGAAGCTGCTTCTAGGATCGCGAAGAGTTGCCAGGTCTTTGATGAATGAGATTTGCATGCGGGATCCAGGTACAAGCATTCCCGAATGCCAGGCAAACTGCTTTTGTTTCTCCACGAAACGCACCTTTGGCGCAAAGTCTGTATGTCCACCATTGATTGCGGGGTCTATAGCATCGTTCAATGCAATGCCAATGGCAAGTGAGGCTGGGCCAAACCCGACACAGACCATATCGTAGATAATATCTGAGCCGTTTGGAAACAGCGTCGACTGGTCTGTCGTTGGCTCGGGACCTGATTCCTCATCGAGAGGCAAATTCTCTGATTCGCGGGATATTTCCCCCATAATGAGTCACAACCCGAGATATTTTGAGGTTATAGATCAGGTATTTTTATTTTGGAAAAGGTTTCCTCAACTTTGGCTTGGATAGTTCACCTATGCTGGGGCAGAAACGACTTATGTAGAAATCAGGAATCGATCCTCACTTCTGTCAATTTCAGTGAAAGCCTCCTCGAACAAACACTGGTACGCAGTATGTAGACAAGTCTGACCATACATCTTGGCCCCGCTGATCTTTCTCTATTCTCTTCATTTTGTCCCCTTTCTTTTGTATTTTTATTATGTTTTACATTCGTCTTCCGGTGTGGTACAGGTTCCCACCCCAAATAGGCGTCGTAACGACCTGGACAACGCTCCGGTGTTTATTGGGTTCCTTGTATGATTCGTTTGGATCTAAAAACGATGTTGATACAACTTTTACATGATGCGGAAGTAAGTTTGGATCGGAATTGAAACAACCTTGAACGACGTACCCGCATAATATGAAATACCGATGAAGCACCTTTCAACCGCAAGCAACATATATCGCGATGGAATTGATAGAAATTTGAGGGACAACCGTTTTCAAAATCATTGTGGGATCCAGTGCGCAATCTCAGCAAAAACAACTGTCCAAGTCCAGAAGCTACTACAGCTGCTTTAACAGTACCTATTGTCCTCTACAGGACATGTGTAATCGATGTGGGTGACTGGCTGAACTAATACAACACAGTGAAATCATTGCGTGTAATATTATTTCCATCTTTGTATGTATTGGCATGGTGGAGCACGTCGAATTACAGGTGGACCCGGGGTTTACGGAAGAACGAGTGGATACAGGGGTCAGCAGTGCGAAAAAAAGGCAAAGGTAGCATAGCCCAACTGAACCAAACAAAAAAAAGTAACGGGTCCGAGAAATCACCAACCGGTCCTCCCTTGTACCCACATAGCTTTTTTATCTGATTTGCTCCAAATCTTATCACAAATGGGGTATGAAGTACGGAATCCGTCCCCCCACTGGCAACATATGGATGCCACTAATACAGCGCGGTCCGGAGGCGAACTAGTTGCCAGGTGGTATCAAGGAGTAATGTAAATAAGAAGTACTTAGATTAATCAGAAACAAGTACGAATGATGGGGCATGGCATAGATGTAAACCACGTACGATTTCCTGCAGCCCAAGGATCAAAAAGGGTTCCTATTTTGGTTTGTGGGAGAGGCTTTATAGTGAAATCAATATGTGATGCAGAAAATTTGACAATCAGACTTTTTTTTCCAGCGGCGAGTCGACCCCTAGAGAGCAGGAGAAGAGAAGGGAATTTCAACCGCGTAAACCCCGTTAGCTTATTAGCAAGACACACTCATAGATGATCAATGAATTCTCCTAAGTGCCTAGGGTCTCGTGCGGAAGTAAATTTTACTTCAACCGAGAATGCCCGGCATCGATGCTTTCGTCTGGAGGGCCGAGAATACTTGGGAGCTACGGAGTATCCTCATCTGGTTTAAATCATCCCATATGAAAGATGGTTTCCAATTCTTCTTGTCTGATCTTACAAGCTATGCCCATTCGCCAACGTGTGTACTAGCTCATACCGTATAAGCACATTCTAACTCCTTCCAGGCAGCGATCGCCTCGGAGACGGCATGGCACGCTTGGCAATGCTTAGCGCCAAGAAAAGCCCTGTGTCCGGACTACAAACCAACAGGGAAGAGAAAAAGAATAGCCGACTTAGGCGTCTAATGGCTAACGCTGGAGATCTGGCAACTAGCATGGCGCCACCGTTGATAGAAATTTCGTTCTCTTTGATTTCGCAGTGCCTGCTTCATTTTCATCCGGCAACTGAAGTGAGAGATAGTTGAGAGCCAAAAAATGTCACCCACGCCCGACGCTCACCGCAAGGGCCTCGAGCCTGACTCGATAACCGTTCAAGAGACTGTGGATCGTCAAACAACTGGAATATCTGGAGATGGCGACAAGTACTCCCACGACGCTCCTAATGGAGTCGATCGCTCTAACTCTGAAATCCATGAAGAAGCCGGTGTGAGCAGGGTCGAAGCCTTCAACAAGGCGATGTACCAGTCAGGCGAAACGGGAAAAATCCTGCTCTGGCTTCTGGGAATCTCTATCTGGTTGACCATGTTTGCGTACGCGCTTGACATGGGTATTACTACCAGCATTTTCGGCACCCTGGCCACTTCGACCTTCGGTCTTCACAGTCAGCTCGGCGCTGTCAACACCGCCAGCCAAATCATTCGCGCCATTAGCAAGCCCTTCATTGGAAAACTTGCAGACATCACCTCGCGACCGACAACCTACGTAACTATCTTGGCGTTCTATGCAGTCGGTTTCGCCGTCGCTGCAAGCGCCAAAAACTTCTCATCCTACACCGTCGGTATCTGCTTCACCGCAGTTGGAAAATCGGGTCTCGATCTCCTGAGCGATATCATTGTGGCCGATCTGACTCCTCTGGAATGGCGAGGTTTCTTCAGTGCATGCCTCTCCCTCCCCTTCGTCGTTACAGTCCCCATCAACGGTTTCATTGTCGAGGGATTCGAGGATAACTGGAGATGGGCGCTGGGAATGTTCGCTATTCTGGTGCCTGCCCTTCTCATCCCCGCTATCATAACGCTCTATGCGATGCAACGACGTGGCGAGAAATCAGGCATGGTCACCTTGGCCCATTCGAAAGATGTTCGCACTGGCGCCGCCACGAATTCGCCCCAGACCTTTGACTTTTGGGCAAAGATGGCCTACCAGGGTTTCATCGAGATTGATATTATTGGCCTCATCATTCTTGGCTTTGGGTTTTCTTTGATTCTATTGCCCTTCACTCTTGCAGAAGGTGCTAAAGGTGGCTGGTCCAATCCTAGAATGATTGCCATGATTACTGTTGGATTCGTCTGTCTCATTATCTTTGTCCTGTTTGAAGTATTTGTCGCACCTCATCCGATCATGACCAAGCGCGTCATAAACAACAGAGCGTTCATCGCGGGTGTCTTCATCCACACCTTCAACCAGATGGCTTCGTCCGTCCGCAACACTTATTTCTCGTCTTATATTTACATCATCAAGGATTGGACTTCCTACGAGTGGACTATCTTCTTGGGTGTTACCACAATGGGTCTATCTTTGGTTGGACCTTTTGTAGGCCTCATCCACCGAGTGTCTCACCGTTACAAGAATGTCATGGTTTTTGGTGCTGCGGCCAAGATTGTTGGCTATGCCATCCTCGTTCAAGGCAATGGAAACATGACTCAGGATACTGCCCGACTGGTTGCTTCCCAGTTGATTTTCTGTCTCTCTTCGCTGAACGTCGTTGGTGCCCGTGTTGGTGTTCAGGCATCTGTCCCTCACGAGGATGTGGCCTCCATAATCTCCATCATCTCTCTGTGGTCCACCCTGGGATCTAGTATCGGTAGCGCCGTCGCGTCGGCTATCTGGACCAACCAGATGCTCAAAGAGATGTTCAAACAGCTCCCCGGCGTTCCCAGTGAAACAATCACTGACATTTACGGGGACATCAAGGCACTGCGGACAGGCTATGATTTCTTAGATCCAATTCGCCAAGGTTCTATTCGTGCTTACTCCATTGTGAACGGAAATATTACCGTTGCTTCAATCTGCCTCGCCGCCATTCCGCTTATTGCGTCCTTCTTCATGCCTGATTACTACCTTGGTAAGCAGCAGAACGCAATCAACAACCGGGGCGTCGACGGTGAGGTCGTCGATATTCCGGATCAGCATTCGGAGAGGAGAGATGCGCAGAATGAATCTGTGCCACTATGGCGCAAGGTTATTTCGTTGTATCGTAAGTAGATGTTAAAAGCTCTTGACACTGGAGTGCCCTGGCGGGTCTCAGAATGAGTTCTTTTGTTATTCATCGTCACTCCGATGATGTGGGGAAAACAAGCTGGGCCATCCTTTAATTAATAAATCTTCACGAGAGGATGACCATCACCTCATCGCGAAGGTGACAGTCAAGTTTTGTATCTAGCCTAAGATAAATCTCACCTAGATGGTGTGTGCCTTCAAAATCTTTCACAATCCTGATACCCGATGAATCGAGTAATTTATTGACAATCTCATCAAAGTAGAAAATCATATAAATTCACCTAGATTTCTAGAAATTGGAGGCTTTCTTTCTTCTAAAACTTTCAGAACTGCATTTTCTGAGCCTGGTTGCTAAGCCCACGCGGAATCCCCCCCATCCGAGAATCATTCACTAAACATTCACCCTGATTGCCCAACCCCGGCTGTGAGCGGTTATATCCGCAATTGGTTCCGGGAGCGCTGGCCACCCTCAAATTGAATAATGAGATTGAAGTACCCTGAAAACTGTGTGACATGCTGAATTCTGGCAATGTGGTTATCTATCCAGTGCAGGCATTCTGCCACAAGAATATTCTTGAAAGAGAATACTATCTCATTGTGCACAGGAAGACTTTTGTTTCGCGTCTTTCAAAGCTGTTTGCTCCATAGTGCCATGGATGGTACTATGGAGCCATATCTAGGTCCTTTGTTCTAGGTCAATTTTCTTTCAAAGAAAATTAGCTATATCATTTTATTTACTCAATATATACAGCGAGGTATTACCTATTATATCATTTTATTTACTAAATATATATAGAGCGAGGACAAAGACGTTAAGTTACCATCTTTGTCCAAATATGTCGGCCCCAAAATATCAGAGACAAAGTGATACTATCACTTTGTCTCTGATAGTATCAAAGCAACTGCATTCAACAATGACATTCGCTCACAATTGTAAGTTCATTTCTTCGAACTACCCGATCAAACTGGAGGTATAAATATTCCTCGAAAACTCGAGTACTAGATGAATCAGGCTCATTAACATCTTTCATTTCACTCCAACAGGTTTATTTCATCAACTTGACAGCTACAAACCGCCGAATCTCTCATACAGTGAATCCATATCTACTAGATACGACACCCTATCACTACGACCAAATTTACTGCACAATGGCACGACGTTTGAGCGACGCCACCTTCCAGAGCGTCTGTAACTTATGCACGGGAGTTGTTGGCCGGGCCCTTGGAATCTCTGGTGAGAATGATGGGAACGAACAGGCCAATCCCAGAGGCTTTAGGGAGGCCGTATATGACGGTTTGTGTGCTACTTGCACTAACGCATGCTCTACTGCATTTTCTAGACTCGCCCAGCATCAGACTTCGAATCAGCCCGAAATCGTGCTTGCCAATATCGACGAGGGAGTCGAAGAGGCACCGGTACCTACCCGGGCTCAAATTCGAGCTCAGCAGATGGACAGAATCCTAGCCCATTTGCACGTTACTTCTCCATCTCCACAGGTTTCCTTCGACGGCGTTGAACAAGAGTCCGATTCAGTTCTGAGTCCGGTCCATCGAGATCTATTCAATTTTCGCTTGGGGGAGATGAGGAGGAGCCTCCTGTCCCAGCTGAGCTAGTAGCAGCAGGGATCACACCCATTCATATATGGCAGCAACTTTTACCATCCCCACCACCAGCAACACAGCAGCGCCCTGAGGATCAAAGGTAGAATAATCCGCATTGGGACCGGACCGAGGAGTATCTTTTTAAATACGGACGCCTGCAAGCACATGGAGAGAGGGTGAGACAGTGGATAGAAAGCCCTGAATCGCCGGGCTGCTACATCAACCCATCCACCTTGAGTATTGAAGATTTTGAGGCAAACAATTGCTATTTGCTAGCACCCAGGCTTCATGCTGTGGACGAAGACTTTGCGGACCAGATATCAGATCTCGGTTTTGAGCTGGGACGGACTCATTGGTCATTCCAAATCCGAGCACCGGACTTTGCTTGGCTGGGAGATACTGGACCGGGTGTCATTATCATGAAATCTGTGGACAGAGCGAGTCAAGATGCTTATCCGATTTCTGAGATAGCCAGGGCCCTTTATATGCGCGACTTCGATATCGACACTCTGCAACATGTTTTCTTTCAGAACGTTCAAAACGTAGAAACAGTGCCCTTTGTCAGGAGGGCGCTGTATACTGAGGAGAACAACCTCTCTTGGCCTAGGAAGGCGCCACAGACTTGGGCATATGGCACGCCAGAGTACGATGGCTTTTTGGGTTCTCGAATTGGGAAAATCGTCGGATACTTGGTCTTGGGTGCGTATCCTCGTGGGACTCGACGTATTATCCAGATCGTTACCTGGGCAGCTGACCCTGAAAACCACAACAGAAGGATTCAGATACGGTTTGATATTGATTTTGTTCCAACGGCATAGATCTCACATTTGATTTTGCTACAAGGAGATTAGTGTTTTGAATTATTGTAAGAGAGCAAAAAAATATTGAAAATCCTAAAAGAAATTGAAGAACGATATACTTACCAAATCTTACTAGTAAATAGAACTCCGGGGTAAATCGAAAAGTAGAAGGTTCATTTGGTGAGTATTGGTTAATTATTTATCCCCTTTGCTTTGGTGCCTGTGTTACGTTCATTCAGTTTGATTTGTGAAAAAGAAAGTGTTGAGGAATGAAGCATCCATTTTGAACTTAGTTATAGTATGTTCAAAGATCCATCAGGGAGGTGAAATATATACGGTGCTAGTATTGACACTCCAGAATACCCTCACGAGATCACAAAACCTTGACATGAGCCTTTTTCGTCAAAGGAACATCAACATGAACCACCAACTTCTTATTCTTCGCGTCATAATCCGCATGGCGAGTCTTTAGCTTGCTATCCACGCCAAGAACTATGATAGTCTCAATGTTGACACCAATATCATACTCAAAAGTTCCAGTCATACTAAGCTTGCCATGGGCATACTTAAAGTCAATCTCAGACACAACGTCCTGCACGACTGACTTGCCGTCGTCGAGATAAAGCGAACCCTCGGCAGTCCCGTCGAGACCGGGCGCAATGACGATGTTGAAGCCCATCTTGCGAAGTGCTGTGGTTGTGTTGGCGCTTTCGATGTGCTGGGAGTAGACGATGCCGCACTTGTAGTGGACTGTGATGTCGGTGTAATTGACTTCGGCGGAGATGTACTCTCCACGTCCGCGGACGGGTTTGCCGGTGCCCTATTCGTAGAAAATATCGTCGGGCAGATAGTAGTTCAGACTTGTGCTGTTCTCTTTAGTGATGGGGCTGATGAGGATACTGTTGCCGTAGAAGAATTGTAGGTCGATGGGGTAGGTGTTTGTGTCGTTAGGGTAGTTGAAGAAGAGAGGGTTGAGAGTAGGAGTACTGGTCTGGTTTTGCTTGTAGATGGCAGTGTAGATATAGTCCACTAGAATAATGTTTTATTCTCTGTGGTGTATACACTGGTTCAACGACTCACGGAGCTGGTATCTGATTGAGATACTCTTGTGAGCGGACTCGGCGACTGTTGGCCAGCGGTAGAATTCTTGTGAGGTCGAGGAGATTTTGGCGTGATTGCGGAAGAATATATAGAAAGAGCTAAGCGATACCTATCTTGAAACCAAATTAGCTAGGTTGATCACGAAATCAAGAAGATGAATACTCACCTGGCATATAGTGTCTCGGTGACATTGCTACTGAAGCCGCAAACATCGGGACCCACGACAGGAACTTGATAGAGCGATGTGAATTGCAGAATCTGAGTAATGGAAAGTCTGTACTATAACCAACCGGAAATGTTGTCTGTAGTGAATCAGAGTTAGTGCTTTTGTTCCAGAAATGAGAGGGGTAATGATATACCTCCAAGCCAGTGCGAGACATCCTTTCCGGAGCCAGCAAAAGTGCTCCGGGTAATCACCAATGCGCGATCATTTGGGTGTCTAGTACGTATGGTATTGTGGGAGTGAGAGGATATTATAGCACTGTAAAGGTTGTGGGTATTATATTGAATATATCTACTACTTTATATGATGTTGGTGTTGGTAGTGCTATCAGTGAGTGTGGGACCTGTACTGTTTTGAATTATAAATAGTGGTCTGATTAGCTTACGATCTGGTAGTCCCTTGTACTTATTAGGTCTATAGCCAGAACTAGTCTTCCCACTGTTTTGGTAGCAGGAGTGTAAGGGAGCTTTGGCGATGCGCTAATTTCCTACGCTGAGATTGTGATAGGATCAGGGCTTAGAGTTGTTACGCTTGATAATAATAGATAAGTGCTTTCCCTCCGACTTGCCGGAAGTGAAGTTGGGTTGAAGGCTATCTGGGAATCCAGGGATGGGAGTATCTAGGCTGTCTTGAACTGGGGGCATGGCTAGAGGATTACTATTAACCTTGGCGAATTTCTCGGGGGTGGTGTTATTACCTAGGTAAGAACGGTTAAAGAAGTTTATGGGCTTGTTTATATTGATCCATAATGTATTAATATCCCGGTTGTTTTTACTGTTGAAGAAGTTGGTGAATTACTTAGTCTAGTATTCTTGGGACTTAGGATAGAACTAATCAGGGAAGTAACTAGGTCTAGTCTATATAACTCCCTGGTATTTAGACCTATTATTCTCCTTTATAAATATACTATATTCGAGGCTGGTTTTGAGTGCTGGGTTAGAGTCCTTGTAAAATATAGTAGGATTGACTATAATAATATAATATTGGTCTCTTATGTGGATAGTGTTGACTAGGTCCTTGTATATGGTTTTGGACATTGAGGCGGTGACAATGATTCTTACGAAAGATATTTCGTAGCCGATCCAAATTTTTGATGTCCAAGCCCCGTGACAAGGGAGGTTCAAATTGGATTTAGGGAATGCTGATTTTGGCTACACTAAGGTATTTGAGTTGTTGTTCTGCTGTGAGTCCTACCTCCTGCTTAGTAAAGACGTTTCGAGTCATGGTGTTAGGATGGAGATAGGGTTCAGAGTTTGCTTGATTTATTGGGCGTAGATGCCTATATAAATATGTCTAGGTTCGTTTGTTGTAGTGGCTCAATGTTGGCACTGCGATTCTTAATAGATTATGTGAATACGTAAATACCTTTCGGTGTTGTTTCTGTGGCTGAGTCAAGTTGATTGGCTATCCTTCCCCATAATCTCTATCTAGCGTGTAGCTGACATCCAGGCCAGTAACAATTGGCTCTGGTATCCTATGGACCAAATTCTAGGCTTTCTTCAATACGTACGCGGTTTCATTGCTGTTAAAGCGCGTCTCAACAAGTTCCAACCCCGCCGCCGCCGCCAGCAGTGGCACTTCGCCATCCTGCCAAACACGTCCACCCACTGAAGCCACGTCCTTCTCGATCACACTTTCAACTCCTTTCTCATCTTTCTTGATCACCTCCACTGGTATATCCCAATAGAGGAGGTTACCCTCCTGTCGGCAATTTTCTTGACCAGGGCGGTACAAAATCCCAGGGAACAATACACTCTTAGTATCCTGGGAGAACGGGTTCTCCGTCATTTGCTCCATCATTTTCGCTGTTTCGGCCTTTCGCGAATCATCATACATATACAATACAGAGATAAGAAGGCGGCCTGTTTCTGGGCGCAAGACGCCAGCTGCCTGGGCTAGAAACTTCTCTGCTTGCCCACTCCCCCCCCTAGTGTAGTGATGCTGCCACCTGAAATTATCATGAGGTCGACGGTAGGCGGGCCTTGAAACTCTTTCATCGCTGAAAGCTCCATTGCAGAGCCCTGGACATATTTGATGCTGTGCGACAAGGATTCTGGCATCTGTTCGATCGCACGCTTGAGCATGTGAGCCGAGTAGTCTAGTCCAATGAACTGTGTGCTGTCTGAGGGTTCACCACATTGCACTAGGTTGTTCGCGAGCTCCCTAAAGACACGGCCGGTGCCGCAGGCGATATCAACAAAAATAAATTCGTCCTCTGGGCCGTTCAAGGGACGTCCGGCTCGCATTTCTTTGTATGCATCCAGATAAGTGTTCGCATCTCCATTTGAGCTGTCGAATGAATCATAAAAGAAGTCGTGTAGCTCTGCCAAATAGGCTGAATGGTACATGATGAGCCTTCTTGAGGAATAGAAAGTGAAAATGCTGATAGTCACTTCGAAGGAGTGGCCTATGTCTGGTTTATATGTATCAATGTTGAGGCCCTAGGCCCTCTCACGAGTAAAGCAGCTTATGCACTGACTTGATAATGACTGGGTCGTGTAATGTTTTGAGGTTATACAACATTCAATGAATGTACGTACCGATTACAGAAGTTTGACGCATCACTACACGGTCTATCTAATGACCACTTGTACTATAGTCTGGACAGCTTACTCCCTCACAGTGTGCATGCATATATGCGTATAATAGCGCAGATATTTTGATGTAACGAGCTTTTGAGGCATGAGGCATCAGAGCTACTTTCAAATGAAAGTGCGGCCCACATACAGTAAGTCACTTCCAACTTGGCCCCTTGTCCGTGCGGGATGATAGGATTGCCATGACGTAAAGACAAGCAATAAGGTATCCCCGGCCAGAATCCACGGAAGACGCGATGAATGCGCAGAGGCGAATAGGGACCAATTACCTAGGTAGGTACATAGTACTATGCACTACCCTGGCAAAAACTCAGATATATATATATATATATATATATATAAAGAAGAGAAGAAAATGAAAAATAGTACGCAAGTGGATATGATGATACCTTTCCAATACACGAAGTCCCAGTGTGTACCATGCAGATCTATGTAATTTAGGAAGTATTTCTGACATGATATAGGCGATAAATTAACTAAAGCGTACTTGAAAAATGTTAGATAGTGGTATGGTAAAATGTATATGCCTTAGATTCATCCGGTAGACCGTCGCACAGGCATGGGCCAGTGCCCCCGTCCAGCTGGGAAAAATTGAATATCATATCCACGGATAAACTTCAGATTTGATATCGTCAAATTCACTATTTTTTTCAATCATGCGGCGCTTATGCAAGGACCCACATATTTTTGGCAGGGAGCAAGGGGCGATCAACCATGCGGATGATAGATCTCATCTCCTTTCATCGTTCCACTGCACACACAACACGTCAGCTGGCACATAACGCAGCCCGTGGTGTAACATGAAGCATGATCCTGCCCTCATCGAGCTCGGAGAGCCATCGGTGTGACCTCTCGTGCCCGGATTTCCCCGAGGAACTAAGCCATCGCTTGTGGCGGGAATTCAGGCTCTTCCCCACACATGACGAGTGGGTTGCATGCTAAAAACGACTGAGTGCTGCTGCACAATACCTAGCTATATATTGACGTCCCCGAGAGCACTGGCCATTCTAACCAGCAATATTTTACACCGTGACTATACAAGGATCACAATGCCTTCAGCCGCTAGGTTTGAAACAGTATCCGCACGGCTTAAGAATCTTTCTGGACTTGAAACCTCAATCCCGCACTTGGCCTGGGCACTCACGCTCTATCTGTTCACCAGCGAAAAAAATGTTCAATTTCAACTATACTCGCAAGACTCTGTTCGAGCACTCGATATCCCAATTGATACCGAGAAGATCGTATCGGAGGCCCTGGTAGAGATTCGAAGCCTCCTTAAAACCGCCTGTGTCAATTGTGACCCGATTGCGAGGTCAAACGACTGGAAGTCCAGGAGTCTTTTAGATATGACGATCACGAGGCCCTCTGACCAGGACGGAACTGGGGCGACAGCCCCAGATTTGGTGTCCCCGATGATATTGAGATGCGACTTAGCAGAGAATTCGACTGAGATTAGCGTCATTGTCGGCACTGATGGACCCCCTTCATGGCAGGCACAGCGAATGATGTACCAATTCAGTCACCTCATGAAACAGCTTCAATATTTCCCAGAGAGGAAGATGGTAGCCTTACTCAGTCTGTGTCCCGAAGATCATTCCTGGATTGATATTCGAAATGGACCAATGCATCCCTTGAGTCGGATCGAGATATGCATTCATGATCTGATCTCATCCCAAATTGCAGCACAGCCTCAGAGTGAAGCAATTTGTGCCTGGGATATCAAAATGACATATAGTGAGCTTGAGGCACAAGCAAGGGCACTCAGCCTTCGTTTGATTCAGGCTGGGGTGGGTCCAGAAGTCGTGGTGGCAGTGCTCTTCGAGAAGTCTGGTTGGACACCAGTCGCAATGCTTGCTATTCTCTATTCTGGGGCTGCGTTTGCCCTTTTGGATGCATCATTCCCTGATGGGCGGCTGAAGACGATGTGCGGTGATATTGGTGCCATGGTCGGGGTTTGCTCTCCTCAATATGCCGATCGCGGTAAATCCATTGGGCTGCAGCAAGTTATCACTCCAAGGATCACTGCTTTGAAAGCCTCAGATACCATCCTGCACCGAACTGTTCGTCCGAGTAACATGGCAATTCTTGCCTTCACATCCGGCTCTACAGGCAAGCCGAAGGCCACTGTGATCGAACATGCTGGGTTTAGCACAAGTTTAATAGCAACTGCAAAGAAAATGAATTATCTTCCCACCTCACGCGTCCTGCAATTTGCATCATATGGGTTTGATCTCAGCCTTTGTGAGACTCTCGGGGTGTTGATCGCGGGCGGGTGTGTTTGTGTACCATCGAATCAAGAACGCCTTCAGGATCTGGCGGGCGCCGCTCGACGTTTAAATGTCAATTCAACCTTCATGACACCTGCGGTCCTACGAACATTCAACCCTGATGATTTTCCAACCATATCAACGGTAGTCTGTGGAGGCGATAAGATTGGCATTGATGACATCCATTCATGGGCCGAGAAAAAGACCTTGACCAATATCTACGGCCCTTCCGAATGTAGTGGCCTTGGCTCATCATTTGCGGAGAGCATTTCCTTCACGCCAGATACGGCGAACATAGGGTACCCAATCGACTGTTGTCGCTTCTGGGTTGTGGATCAGGATGACAACAACCGGCTAGTACCTGTCGGTGCTGTCGGAGAATTGATCATTGAAGGTCCCAACGTCGGACGTGAATACCTCAACAGACCTGAGGAGACATCAAAAGCGTTTTCTCAAAATCCACCTTGGATTCGTCCGTTTCGTACGTCGCCGTGGAGCTTTTATCGCACAGGTGACTTGGTGCAAATGGTATCAGACGGATCATTTCGCATACTGGGACGGAAAGATAACCAAATTAAGATCCATGGGCAACGAATTGAGCTCAAGGAAATTGAACATGTCATTCATGATGTATTGCCAGAGTCTCAGCGCGTGATCGTGGTCGTTGTGAACCGCACATCTCCCGTCCTCGTTGCCTTTCTTTTGGGAATGAATGGGGATTCTCGTGAGGGGAAATCGGCCAATTTGACGTTCCTCAAGCCTTCGAAATCTTTCCAACATGCATGTCGGGTCGCTGTTGCTACTCGTCTTCAGAGGGATTTACCGCAATTCATGATTCCAAAATTGTGGATCCCATTGGACAAGCTGCCACTCACACCGAATGACAAGTTGGATTTTCGTCGACTATCAGCAGAGGTGGCACAATTCTCGTCGGAAGAGGCGTTAGAGTACACTCTCTTATTGGGGAATCGCCGTACCGTAGCTCATAACGAGATGGAAAATCGAATTCAGTGCTTGGTTGCGCTGGCGCTGGGTGTTGAGCAGCAGCAAGTTGCTCTAGATGCGAGCTTCTTTGCCCAGGGAGGTGATTCGCTGGCTGCAATGAGAATATCCGCGTTGGCTCGCAAAGAGAACATCGAGCTAAGCCCACTTGCTCTTCAAGAGGCGGAATCGATAGCCAAGCTGGCTCAAAAGCTTGACAAAGAAAAACAGAAACCTGGTTGCAATGAAAAATTCGCTCCTGAGTTTCTTCAAGATACCGACGGCACTATCCTGAAGACGCTCTCGTGCCAACTTCCGGGAATAGAATCCCCGAATATCCAGCATATTCTTGCCGGCACTGAAACGCAGGAGTATTCTCTTGATATGCCGTGTGAATATTTTCAATTAAATCTTTGCGGATCGCTGGATATCTGTCGATTAAAGTCAGCCATCAAGTCGCTCCACGAGCGACACGAAATCCTCCGGGCTGCTGTGTTCTCTGGCCACACACCGGCCAGAACGTACCAAGTCATCTTACGGGATTTCGAGCCTCAACTTGAGATCCTTGAGAGTACCGAACCAGCAATTCAGGTTGCCGGCCGATGGATTGTCAACGACAGTGAGATGACAAAAGAAAGTCTGCGCGCTTTATGGCCTCCGTTTCGATTCATTCTTGCCTTGAAGGATGATGACGCGCGTGAAATGTCCCTTGTTGTTGCAATTAAGAACCCGTACTATGACGGCGTGTCCAGTATAACCTTGTTTAACGATTTAGCTACCTTCTACGAGCACGGACCAGATTCATTACCGCCGGCCATGACTTATGGCGAATACCAGGCCTTCGCGGCATCTCTCCCAATCAGCGATGCCATCGATTTTTGGCAAGAGACCTTGCGAGGTTCATCGCTTTTTGATGTGGGACGTTGTCGAGTCCCCTCGCGTTGCCCAGAAGTGTCTACCAGTCGTGTCATTCCCTTAGTGCAGCCACCTCTGGGCATTACGCTAGCTACAGTTGTAAAGACTGCCTGGGCGCTGACCCTGGCACACCAAGCTGGTAAGGATGATTGCGTATTTGCGCAATTCGTTACTGGTCGTTCGCACGGTCCGGCTGGTATCCAAGAAGTAGTCGGGCCGTGCGTGAACTTCCTCCCTGTGCGGGTTTCGTTGGCCGGAGAAAAACCAAATCTATCGGCAATGGAGGTGATGGAGGCAGTACAATCGCAACACGTTAAGTCACTGTCCTATGAAACCGTCGATTTCTTTGGGTTGGGAGATCAATGCACAGAATGGGGCTCGGATGCCTTGATGGAGACATTTGTTTTGCATCAGAATATCAAATTTGATAATGAATATCGTCTTGGGGAGGCAGTTGGCAAGCTTGATTTGATTTATCCGGGGGTTGAAACGGATGGGTTTGTTCTCCATTCTGTTCCCCGCGTCGAGGATCATGAATTCCGCCTCTCGGTTCCCGAAGGAGTGCTTGACCTCGCCACAGTCAGCCATCTTGTTACAGAGACGTGTTACTGGGTGCAGACACTCGTAGCCCATTTGAACACGCCTGTCGTCGATTTAAGGACACAGAGAAAGGCTGACCTGGACACGGCAATGAACTGTGAATGATCGTGTCAATTCGTTGACCCTCTGATTTCATCTGTTCCATGGCCGTTGTGGCTGGGAGCTGTGAGGTATTAAGTTGAGACCACCTAAGAGGCATTCCAGCACCACATCAAGTAACGATACCTTCAACTTAGGAAGTCTCAAGCACGGAGCCCGCGCGAAGCAATTTCTCATGTCAACTGGTCTTCACGAGAATCACTTCACATGACCGGTAACGCTCCTAGATAGAGGAAAATCATACAAGTATTATTTCGGTTCATATTCAGGACATAAAATGGTAGAACAAAGACATAGATTGTACACCACTGCTTCTGGAACCTTGTCACGGGATATCGATATAGTGCATGTGGTCATCCCTGGCCTTTACCCACCCGAAGAGGAGCTTCCAAAGTAACACTCAATATATGTATATAACTTAGATCCAACGGTATACACTTCTGGTAAGAGCACCAGAAATAATAGTATTAAGATAAGGTTGTATTAGTTATAATTTATACAGTAATCAGAATTAATATCTAATCAGTAGCTATATAACTAGTGAAAGAATAGCCGCTGAGTCTTGAATATGTATAGATATCAGTTGAATAGCATCGATATATATCATTGTAGGGAGTTATTGCCTACGTATCTATAGCAGGTTGTTTGCGCTGTGCCCTGAACCAAGAGTCTAGTCCTATATTCTGGTGGTCAGTTTACTGTACTTGGTTGCTGTATGCTCAATTGAAAGCATCCGGGATAAACCCGAATCCTTTTTTTTTTTGCGTTAGGGCCTGGGCGGCTCATCTCTTACAGGTTGCTCATACTACCTAAAGAGATCCTATTCAATAAAACTGTTCATCACATTAAACCATAAGTGAGCCACTTAATTGTGGCAAATAAATTATGTGAAGTCACATTATTCCGTGGTAAAGATACAGATTAGCACTGATCCAGTCATGTCAAGGTCCGAAGCCGCGGTATTCTGAAGTGGTGAAATAATTGTACAGTACTCCGTAGATCATCTGCATTGGTACCAATAACTATGCAGTGGTACCAATAACTATGTAGTGGTACCAATAACTATACAGATACCAATAATCATGCGGTGGTACCAATAAGCATGCAGTGAACTAATAATTATGTAGTAGTACTAATAACTATGCAGGTACTAATAACCATGCAGTGGTACCAATAGTTAATCATGCGGTGATACCTCAATATATTTGGGCCCGTCCGCGGGGGCAACGTTGACTAAGAAACCCCGGCCATCTTACCAAGACCTTTCTAAGCAGATCCCCATACGGGCCCTAAGTACGGACAAGTACAGATACACTCAGGTCGGTCCACCACCACTAAAGAAAGGCTTGGCGAGAGAGTCGAATTAGGTCAACCCAATGGCGCCACCGCCCCCCCCCCCCTCACATCAAATCTTAAGAGAATCTTTTCATTTGTTCAATTCTGTCCGAGTGATGAAGGGATACATTATCCATCACTAGCACAGACTTTGGCTCGGGCCATTTGCCACGCTGATGGAGAAGCTGCGCGGTAAAATCCCTAAAGACAAATGCATCAGTTGAAGCCTACAATGCTCCAGACAACATAATGCCCTCTTGTATATACACAGGCCAAATTTAATAGCGCTGGTCACACCTTGGAAAATTTCGATAATCAAACTAGTGACCAGTGTAGTAGCAAAGGGTGACCGATTTGTTCGCTACAAACCTATTCATTTATTATATCCGGGTTTATCGATATATATAAGGTGGTAAGATGAAGTCTCAGATAAAATCATAGTATTCGTCAAGAAGATCAAAGTTGCGTTCCTGGGCTGTGATCCATGCAGCCTATTTTGACCAACTTTGGGTGTAAAGGTGCAACTTACACTAGATAGAAGACCGAATTCATCCCATAGAAAAACCATTATCTTTTCCAGATATATATCAGCCGTTTCAATCAGATGATCACATGAAATCTCGAGTATAACTTGAGTGATACTACGGGGTCGTCCGCCTTCAATTAGAGGTGCTTTAACACTGTCAAACACTTATATTGGAAGAGATTCTTGAAATAGTGTTTTTATTGTAGCCAGCGGCCCGTGTCATCGTAGCTAGACTGCGGCACGGTTTTGGGTTTGGTCTTCAAATGCTAACCAAACCCAAATCGATTTGGTCTGCGGTTTTCATATCTTTACCAAACCCAAATCGATTCGGTTTGCGGTTCTAAGATCTTTACCAAAACCTAACCGCAAATTTTACGGTTAACCAAAACCGCAATGCGGTTACCTTGCGGTTAACCGCACTAGCATAAAAGATGAAGATCTTACCTATCTAAGCCACCCCACCGTTTTTATACACCTGATAACTAAGCACAAATAATGCATTCTTACATATGGTTTCGTTATTACTACTGTAATCATTTATTTTTCTTACTTTCTGTTGGAAATAATTTGAAATAGAGCGGTATTCTAAAAGATAAAATATTAGTCTACAAAGAATTCAAGTTCGAAGTTGGATTTTGGATATTGTTGGCGAGATTTACTGTGTGTTGTGATTAGTTTTTGTAATCGAGTATAGTTATCGCAGAAATATATATTTGACTTAGAGAGATTATGCTGCATCTTTAGGTCAGTAGAACATGAAAAGCCTAACTTGACTAATTTTTAAGTATTCTGAATTTTGATCATATGTTATAAAAGAGCTAGTTTTTTTACCTATCCCTAATAATTTTTAATCTAGTATTACAATATAAAAGTGTTAAAAAAGTGTGTCCTAAAAGTGCAAAGTTGCAGTGATAAATGGTTATCTTACGGTCGTGCTACGGTTACCTTGTGGTTATCCTGTGGTTTTTGCGGTTTTCAGGGGTATTTTGCGGTTATCTTGCGGTTATCTTGCGGTTTTTGCGGTTTTCGGTAATCTTAGTGCGGTTATTGTGAGGGGTCTTTGCGGTTAACCGCAGGATAACCGCATTAGTAGCTCTAATATCCAATTAGAGTATATCTTTGACTCCACTCTATAATTGCTTTTGCAACTCATCAATGTCCTCGGTCGCGTCTGGTGTTTGTGGTCCTCTCGTCGAATCTTGTAAGTTGTTTGTCTCTCATTTACACATATTGGCTCTTAAGACCATAGCCAAAGATGGCCTATACTTCATCAGTCTTCACCGATCAGCATTCTGATACTGACTTTCTCCTACCAGATGACCTACCATCACTCAATACATATTGTCGTACTGCCACCGAGTCAATTACACCATCCATTTGCTCTCAACAACTACAATTACCGCGAGCGCCCTTATTCCTTACACGTACTGGGCCACATCTTCAGCGATTTTGGATCCTTGTAGAAATGGACCCCGCAACAGGCCAAACTCGGAAGGATTTCACTGAGTGGTGGCTTCAAACAGAGTATAGCACAAGAAAAGACATCGAGACCACCATTCATTGGGACCACAAAAAGAGAGCTTCAGTCTGGGATCACTTTGAGCAAGTAGCTCATAAACGGACAGGAGAGCCTAAAGTTATGTGTAAGCGTTGCCTTACTACACTTACTCATCCAAATATTCGGCGTGGAGGAACATCACCAATGAACACACATCTGAAAGGGAATACCTGTCATCCAAAGCATGGGATTGGCAAGTTACTTGCGAAGCAGGTAAGTATATATACTCTCTTTAAGATACTGCTTTTAGCTAATAACTTATAATTTGTAGTCACAAACTTCAAGAGCAACTTTAACTACTTTCTCTGAAGAAACGCTTGCCCAGAAAGTCCTTTCTCTTATCCTCGTCGCACGGCTCCCATTCCGTATCCTTGATCGTCCAGAATTCCAGGAATTAGCTGATCTAATTGCTGTTGCTCCCTCACGGGTCAAACTACCCTCCCGGACGATTAGCCGACAACTACACTCGAATATCCAACAAGGACAACAGAGTATAATAGATATGCTCCCAGAGGATAGTAGACTATCTCTATCACTTGATTGCTGGACATCACCTTTCCAGCAGGGCTTTATGGCTATTACTGGTTATTTTCTGGATAACGATTGGGAGTATCGAGAGGCTCTACTTGGCTTTAAACCCTTACAAGGCTCACATACTGGGAGTAACCTAAGCTCAGTAGTTATTGGTATTCTCGAAAAGTATAAAATTGCCGATCGGGTTCTGTCAGTAACAACTGATAATGCTACCAATAACAATACAATGATGCTCAGTATTCAGGATGAGCTCAAAAGTCAGGGTGTTGGAAGTGACGGGCTTGGTAATGGTATATTTCGTGTTCCATGCCTGGCCCATGTGATCCAACTGAGTCTGAATCAACTTCTCGGAAAAATAAAAGCAATGCCATCCAATAATGAGGCAGAGGATGGATAGTCAGATGACCGTGAGCGCCAGGCGCGTTCTCAGCAATCAAAGAGAGATTATCCAGACATTGAACAAGGTATGTGATGATTCAGCAAAAAGAGAGAGAGAGAGGATAACAGCTAATAATAGTTATCTGTAGATCCGAAATCTTGCTATCTTTATTAATGCAAGTCCTCAGCGCCGAGCTGTATTTCTTGTAATCCAGTCCCAGGAGCCTCAACTGCTTCCTCTTCAAGATGTACGGACTCGATGGAATTCTACATTTCTGATGCTCGGCCGAGCCAAGCGACTACAGAAGAGCTTTCAAGAATACTGTACAGCACACGGCTATCTCCATTTTCAGCTTGACAAAGAAGAATAGCGTCAGATCGACTACTTACTGTGTATCACTGAGCCATTCTTCAAGTTCACAACTGCTCTCTCAAAAACAAAAGACACCACAATCCATCTTATCTTTGGTGTTTACAATAAGCTTTTCAATCACCTGGAGAACTCCGAGAACCAGCTTCGCCGAAAGAGACTCCCATGGAAGAAATCAATGCTGAGGGCATTGCAGGCGGTAAGGGAAAAGCTTTCTGAGTATTATCAAGCAACTGATAAGGAGTTTTATAGGGATCTTTATGGTATTGCTACCATTCTTACCCCATCAAAGAAACTTCGATTCTTTACCTCAAAAGATTGGCAAGGGGATATTGATTTTGGTGCAAGATATCGTGGGCGTCTTGAAAAAGAGTTCTGGCGATACAAACGGCGATTTTCAGATCAGGCTGAAGAATCATCCTCTAATGTCCAGCAGAACTCCAGTGATATTAATGAGATTGAGATGCTGTGTGACTCACAGACTTCATTTTATGCAGCAGAAGTACCAGCAGAGGAGGATGATGATGAACTGGCTCGATATCTTGTAAAAGGTAAGTCTAATTGCCTGTCTGCCTATCTCAGATACTAATTTTATCTAGGCCTTATTTCACAACAGCCCTGTTTATTCTGGAAGGAGCATCAAAAAGAGTTCCCAGTGCTGGCTGCTCTAGCCCGGGATATTCTTTCAATTCCTGCGAGTGGCGCAGGTGTTGAGCGTCTTTTTAACTGTGCTCGAGATATTTGTCACTACAGACGGGGCCGCCTTAACGCTGATACTATCAAGGAGTTGATGCTGCAATTGTGTGCTGTAAAATTCGAGGTTGAACAGAGAGAGATTGACTTTACAAAAGAGCTTGTACTAGCGGGTGAGGCAGCGATGATTGAACAAGACAGAGGATCAATAGCCCCTCTTCCAGCATTGGATCCAATTAGCGATATTGAAGAGAAGGAAGGAGAGAAGGAGGAGGAGGAGGAAGAGGAGGAAGATAGACAGGAGCCATCAGGAGAGACACAAAAACGAGCGCGTTCTGGAAGTACTAGCTCGCAGGAGGATCAAATGGAACACGAAGGCACACAGCGAGCGACGCGGATTCGCAAGAAGCCTAAAATGCCAGAGGGGTTCCAACTGGCGCCTTTGTAGCTTAAATACTGTCAGATTATATTTCTTGATTTGTTCTTCTATCCAGTTTCTTTGTTCTGTAGTCTCTGTATTCCGTATATCCTGGAGATGACTCTTCGCCTGAAAATTAGTCAGAGCTCTCATACATGACTAAAACAACAAAATTACCAAAAAAACTGCATAAAAATCTATCTGCCCAGCAGGTCACGAGGCTTAGCATGTTTGTATTGTTTACAAGACCGCGGTTAACCGCAAAACCGCAGCGGTTTTCATTTGAAGACCAAGACCGAACCGCAAAATTTTGCGGTCTTGGGATGAAGACCAAAACCGAACCGCAAAAATTTGCGGTTTTGATATGAAGACCAAAACCGCTGCGGTTTTGGTTAGGTTTTAGGTTAACCGCGGTCTTTGCGGTTAGTGCCGCAGTCTAATCGTAGCCATAGATAGTTCGCGACTGTAGATCATATCATAGATAAACTTAGGTTTAGATAAAGCTAGGTTTCAAGCCATCTTTGGTTGTCAATTTTCAAGAGTGTCATGACTTCCGTGAGCGGCAGATAGTTCAGCCAGCCTGCGCTGATTATCCATTGTTCTGTTGATCTTTGCTGTAGAAATGTTGCTGGCTTTCCAATGCAGTTCTCACCGCTTTTTTACCCAATAAAAAACAATAAGCGGTCACGGCGGCGCCGGAGATGTGTCATAGAATCAGACACAAACATTATCCTTCGATTATACTACATACAGTATTGTTGGCCGAAGTAAGGAGGTGGTAATTTACCATTTCCGGTCCTATGTTAACTTTATACCGTCATCATCGTACTCCTAAAATAGGTTTGTAGAGTCTCTTGTGATACAAGATGAACCAAAACCCCTAGCTTGGATTTATTCTTCTCCTTTCATTGACACCATGTCGTATGGACCATCTCCAACCACAACCTTTCACTCAAAGACATATCCAACCCTGTCTCCGACTCGACCAGAATTATCAGCAAAAGGTAAAAATGTCATTATTACCGGAGGTGGTACAGGAATAGGCGCCGAAACCGCTCGGTATTATGCTCAAGCAGGAGCATCTCGAATTGCTATCCTAGGTCGCCGAGAACAGCCTCTTCTGGAGACTAAAGAGTTGATCGAGAGGGACCATTCGGGAATTGATATTTTCGCTCTAGTCACCGATATAACGAGTAAAGATCAGGTCAATGCGGCGTTCTCACAGTTTGCCGAAAGCGGCCAAATACATGTGTTGATTAGCGGTGCTGCTGTGACCGGCCCTCAAGGTGCTGTCAAAGATGTAGACAGCGTCAAATTCCTTGAAGCTATTCACCAGAATATCCAAGGCTCCCTTCATGTTGCACAAGCCTTCCTCCAATATTGTTCAAACGATGCAGTAGCTATCGAAATCAATTCTTCTGCCGCATATCTCGATTTTGGGCCAGAGATAGCCTGCTATAGTGTCGCAAAGCTCGCGGTATTTCGACTTTGGGATTCTGTAGCAGCTGCACATCCAGATATTCGAGTCTTTCATGTTCAGCCTGGCGTTATAGATACGCAAATGTCCCAAGAAGCAAGAGGCGATGTCCCTCTGGACTACGAGGATGATGGTAAGTTGACTCCTTGATTCCCGGATAAGAAACGTGAGAGATGACTGATTTTCTCTAAGTTTCTTTACCAGCAAGCTTTAATCTATGGCTTGCAAGCTCCGAAGCATGCTTTCTGAACCGCAAGTTTGTTTGGGCAAACTGGGACGTGAATGAACTGAAAGCTCAATCGAAGGAAATTGGAAACGGTAGCAAGCTCGATATTGGACTGATAGGATAGCCTTTTGAATGAGCATTATTACAGTATGCTTGCAAGGTAGAATGGAATTCAATCAGGCAAGGGAATGCCATGGGGTCTGATTGCTTCACAGCTATTATTTAAGAGGTTTTAAACCGCTCCTAAAGATATCGCTTTGCTACGACACGTGCGTGTCCGCAACAAATCTTGTTTTTGAATTCCACTGTACAGCCAGGCCAGATACTTAAACCTCGTTTGTAGCCTAGAGAGTCTACTTCTCCCTTAACACTAGGTTATCACTCTTACATATAGCTCAGTGTCGAAGCATCCGCCTTTGACAAATCTAATCATTTTAGATATGTTAATCTTCTTATTCTGTACGTTGACAGTTCTATAGACGCAAGAAACGTCTTTGGATAGCTAGAGTACGCTTGATATAGTTTCCAACCCAATTCACGCCAACCGTTTCGGTCTCGGTCGCCGCAAGAACAATATTAGCCATATTGCGTACCATCTTATTCCTAGGGGTTGCACCATGGACGTCTATAGAGAAAATACCTTCCGTAAGTGTATCTTGTTCTACTTGAATCAGTATATGACTATTGGCGAGTGTGATAGCTTTTGAATTATGACCGTTAATACGATCGCATTAGCTTAATTCGGTATGCAATAGACACGCGCGGCAGCCGCAATAAAAGGAACATCTTTCTGTTTTAGGTTCGATTGCTAGTTCAATTCTACCCTCTTGATGGATAAAACTCTGTTATATTTTAGAACGTATTGGTGGCATAGTGCGTAATTCAGAAGAGACGCAAAAATTAAAGAGATGGCGGATGGTTTGTGGACTACGTTACACCGATTATTTAGCCTCGTACAATGAAAAAGCACATTCTGTAACTATCATATGGAACTAGCAATTACATATCAGCTGGTCAACATACGCCAAGGGCCGAGTTTAGTCTCAAAATGGCTTTAAGAGGCGTAATGTAGAGATCAACTTCCGTATAGATGCACTTGCCCATTGGTTATGTCAGGGTTGCCCCAGCCTAGCGCTACATCTTCATGCACGTTCAAAGGACAAGGTACTCAAACACGGATGGTGCAAACACGGATGGTGCAAACACGGATGGTGCAGATAAGACATATGATCAAGATGATGCATGACATTTTACTGTGGTCTAGACTTCCGTGGGCCAATTTTCTAGTGGATACACTCGTCCAGAGTCCCTTACAGCGACGATGCTCTAGCAATCCAGACAATCCACTCTTTTTGAGAAAGAGTGAAGTGCGCGTCCGTGTCTGTGATAGACAAAAATATGCAAGCTAGGCCGACCGTGCATGCTGAACAGTACTACTCCTCGTACATTCGCATATTGGCGTCTCGTCTTAGAACTACAAAAATTCGGCTGTGAAACCAGAAGCCCAAATAATATCGTACCTATTCACCAACGGAGAGGATGACCGGACAAGCAGCAAAATACGTGGGTCGCTTAAAGGACAAAGTCGTCCTCATTGTGGGGGGGGACTTCGGGCATCGGTTACGCCGTTGCAGAGGCGGCATTGGAGCACAACGCCATCGTGATTGTGGCTGGATCCAACTCAGTTAAGCTGGAGAATGCCGTCACCAGACTCAAATCATCATATCCGTCGCAAAGCTCTGGATCGCGACTGAGTGGGATTACTATTGATCTTGCCGACATCGAGAACCTGGAGACGAATGTGCAATCCGTCTTGCAATTTGCGGCCAATGGGGCGAAAATAAACCACGTCGTTATCACGGCCGCAGATATGATGCCACCGCCGCCGTCGCTGGCCGAAATCACTGTTCACAGTCTCGAGCGAACAAGCCGCATTCGTTATACCGCACCTCTAATCTTCGCCAAACATCTGCCTAAGTTCATGGACCAAGTTTCTGAAAATTCCGTTACCCTCACGAGTGGCGCCCACGGTCACAAGCCTGACCCTGGCTGGTCCGCCATGATCGGATACCTTGGAGCGGTGGAAACGATGATGAAGGGGTTGGCCGTCGATCTGAAGCCTCTCCGTGTGAATGTCGTGTCTCCCGGAGCGGTGATTACAGAGGTAGTGCGGGAAATGCTAGACGAGCACTACGATATGGCTATTGAAATGGCGAAAGAAAAGTCTTTAGTAGGCAGTGCCGGGACGCCAGAGAGTGTAGCACAGGCCTATCTGTATCTTATGAAGGACCAGTTTGTCACCGGGACGGTGTTGGAGACCAACGGCGGGCTGCTGTTGGTCTAAGAAGGCAAATGAATAGTGAATCTCACTCATCGCGTACATCAATAATATCGTCTTTGTCTGAAAGGATGTTGAGTTTATCCACTGGTTCTCCAAACATGAATAGAGCGTGGCAGTTGCAAGGCCTAGCTATCCGCTGGGCATACCCGTAATTTTGCCTGAATCGAAGGATAGTGAGTAGTCACACAGCGCTGTAGGTAAAATGCACAGTGTGATCGGCCGCATATCTTCCAATAGTGTGGGTAATACATCTTTTTTTGCATTGCCCCTTGCCTAAGATGACCCTGCAACTTGCAATACGTTGTACAGTCCTTAGCCACATGGAACAGTGACTACGGCAAACTAATGCAGATAATTAATCGTCTTTGGGAAGAGAATGGCGGTCAAGTGGTCATTTTCGTGATGTGATCCTGCTCGCTTTATGGGTGTGATGCATCCCAGGACACGAACAGAAGGTTTGTCATGGTCTTGACCCGTTCTAATACTATATTTTGGGCTAGAAACCGCTTTGAACCCAGGCAAAATCAACTTCGGTACTATATTGATTCTTCTACGTGTCTTGACACGTTCGAATTACCATGACGATTGAAGACACCAAGAGCCATGTGTCCCAAGGCATGCTGGCTAAAGGAGCTTCCACCTCTCCCATCTCCACAACCTTCGACGTACTGAGCCGATACTACCTTTTCACTGATACTCACCAGAGGGTCTGGTGGGAGAAGACCGGCCGGCTGTTCGACAAAGTCCTAGCTTCATCGGGCTATAGCCCTACCCGTCGCTTAGAGGCTCTCACGTTTTACAAACAAGTCCTGATTCCACTTCTGGGCCCCTATCCGCATCAATTCCGCAGCGCAATTACCCGGAGTGGGCTGCCGCTAGAGTTCAGCGTTAACTACCAGCAACGGGGAGACGTCGACCCGGTGGTTCGCATCGGATTCGAACCAGTAGCTCCAGCATCGGGAACAGAACTTGACCCCTACAACCAAATGCCGTGTGTTGATCTTTTGAACCAACTTGAAAAGCTGAATATACCGGGATTCGACCCATCAGTGTTCCGATATTTCCTGGACGCTCATACTGTCAACAACCACGAGAAAGTGCTGCTCAAGGAGAAGAAGATTGAAGGGAGCGACCTAACCTCCCAGGCTGCTTTTGGGTTTGATCTGAAGGAAAAAGCTATCTCAGTCAAGGGCTACACATTCCCCGCTATCAAGTGCGCGCTCAGTGAGAAAGGGTTTGGGGATTTCATTGCCCAATCCATTCAGCCCCTCGTGGCGCAAATGGGCCCCATCCCCTCGTTTGATATGGTGCACTCTTATCTGGAAGAGACGAATGGCTACAGCCAGTTTGCTTTCTGGTCCTTTGACTGTGTTGAACCTGCCCAATCACGCCTCAAGCTCTATAGCTCCCACAATAGCGTCGTCTGGTCTAAGGTAGAGGAGATATGGACCCTTGGTGGACGGGCCAAGTCGCCTGTCGTCCAAGAGGGTCTGAATTACCTCAAGGAGCTGTGGGAACTAACCAAGCTGTCCGAAGGGCATCGTGAATTCAATGGCGGCTTTGACGATGGCAATGATTCCACCGCGTCTCCAATGGTGTGGAATTACGAGATGAAAAAGGGCGAGGCCACCCCACTCACGAAGTTCTACTTCCCAATCCATGGTGAGAGTGATCAAAATGTCATTAGAGGCCTGGCCCAGTTCTTTTGCCGTATCGGGTTGTCTAAGTATGGTGATGACTACGAGGCGACGGTGCAGCACTATTTGTATGACTTTCCTACTTCCCCCAAACATTGATCAGATTGCTAACTGTGACAGCCCCGAAAGAGATCTGAGTAAAACCGCTCGTCTGACATCATGGATTTCGTTTGCGTATACGGAAAATACGGGGGTTTACCTGAGTGTATACTACCATTCTTCCGATGAATATCCATGGTTAAAACTAGAGGAGAACAATTAACACAATCAAGCGGTCTTTTACGCAGCGATTTGGCAGTTCATATCAAACTTATGCTTATCCAGAGCAAAATGAGAAATCCCGATCATCAGTAACTATTCTCTCGTAGACCACTGTGCCCGGTTTACTTGAATTCCTTATTCAAAAAAGAAACATATATAGATTGTTATTATATCTATAGTCACAAAAGTAGGTAAATATCACTCATGGTTTTTACACTCCAACCCGATTAAGGTAGAAAATTTCACAAAATATGGCATGATTTATGTATGAATTGAAAGCCTTGGCCCACCTTTCACCTCACAAGTGTGCTTTAACGCCAGGATGTATATCTTCCTCACGGTAGATGAAAGTAAAAATTTTTTGGAACTTTTCGGCTTGACGTATCGTGAGTAGTTCTTGTGCAAAAGGCACGTGCAAATCTACAATTCAACCGTCATGGTTACAAAAAGTCGGTGAGGTTCGATCAGGGGCCTGAACGACGCATAAGATCTATCTAGGCCTTGTATGTTACACATAGACGCATGAAGAATAGGAAGACGGGCCCGTCTGCAAGGGTGACGCATCTCTGAGTGGGTCGGCCCGATGCGTTGTCTTGCCAAGTATCGAGCAAGACTATCAAAGCGCACGCATTAACTAGTTACTTTCCTGCGTACAATCATCAAGGAAGTAGATTAGTATCTGAAGCTGTATCTTTTCTGCGTCTTTCCTTCCGCATGATGCTAACTCTCATTATGGGTTAGGCCATAATCTTCCATTTCTCTCACCCCATCTCGTGCGGTGTATTTAGTCTTAACACTTTTTTTTGTCGATAATGAAAGATCACAAGATCACTTTACTTTTCACCCCAATCGCTTTTGACACCCTAATCTAATTTCCAAAGGCACCATGACAGTCACAGTCAAGCCTCCCACCTCAGGGGAAATCAAAGTCAATGGCGATTCCGAGAACGCGAGTCCGCCATTCAAGTGCTTCGCCTTTCAGGATCATGCCGAGCATGCCTGGTGGGACAAGACGGCGGCAATACTGTCTAAAGTTCTCCAATCTGCCCAGTACAGTGTTGAAAACCAGTATCTTTATATGATGCTGTACAGGACTGTTCTGATTCCTCGCCTCGGGCCACACCCCCATACTTGGGATTCCTTCATCACGTATTCCGGAATCCCAGTGGAATTCAGCATTAATTTCCAGGAGAATGGTCCTCCCACAGCTCGGATCGGGTGGGAGCCTACTAGCCACAAGTCAGGTTCCTCGGCAGACCCAATCAACCAGGCCACTATCACCGAGGCAATTGCCACCATGTCCGAACTCAATCTCAAGGGATTCAACTCTCAGTACCTCAATCATATGATAGAATCACTCACCGCTACTAGCGAAGAATCCACCGAGGTTGGTCGTGATCACTTATATCTCCTCAGGATGAAGAATCAAGTGTCCTTCGGGCTCGATCTCAAGGACGGAGAGGTCTCTGTCAAATGCTACTTGTATCCAGCCCTGAAGTCGTACCTGACGGGCAAGTCGTTCAGAGCCTTGGTGAATCACGCGGTGGACTCCATCGGTGGGGTCTGCTATCCCGCCTTGGATACAGTCCACGAATATCTAGAGAGTGCAGGATTGTACAACCAGTATTCTTTTATTGGAATTGATTGCACTGCTGTTTCCAAATCTCGCCTTAAAGTGTACAATACAATCCAGGACGTGACATGGTCTAAGCTGCAAGACATATGGACTCTGGGTGGTCGCTTCAAGTCCCATGCCACTATACAGCGCGGGCTTCAGTTCGCCCAAAAGTTCTGGCAGCTGGTTACTTTGGATCAGGTGAGTGATTACGAGTGTCCTTTCGAGTCATACCAAGCTATCCTTACTTACTATCCGGTCTCAGGAGAAAATGGACGTAGGCATCTGGAGTTACGAACTCGCGACTGGATCCAGCAGTTTCCTTAACCCGAAGTACTATTTCATTCTTCATGGTCTCAACGACATTCAAAATGCCCAGGCTATTGTAAAGTTTTACGAATATGTCGGATGGCATGACTTGGCTGCAACATTCATCGACTCGGTCAAAGGATACTTGTTCGTTTGCCCTCCTGATTGCTCCTGGGTGTCGATCCATGCTAACTACTTCATAACGTGATAGTCCCAATTTTGGATCTGGAGAGACGTCGAACTTGATACAATATGTTTCATTAGCATACTCGGAGAAGACAGGCGTATATCTGAGTGTTTATTACCACAGTTCTCTATAGCCAGATAGCTCGTTGTCAGGAAAGAAGATTTACCTCTGATTTGATGATCCTTTTGACTTCCACAGGTTATCTAGTGCGCTAATAATTCTTGGTACTGCTTGTTCATTTCTCTGTTCCACAAGCTTGGTGGTTTGATCGGGCCGTGTATAGAGCTAGGTTCATAGTCAATAATTCCCTTGGTATCATCGACCAAACTGGTCCATGTAGCAAATCAAGTGTTCAATTGAAAATTTGAACACGATATTCCTGAAAGTCAGAGGGAAGATATTTTTCAATCTTGAAGATCTAAATTCTACACTGAGCAGATTGATTGGTAAAACCACTTTTGGAAAGTCTAAGTTGGTAAATTGCAAGCATCGCATAAGATCGCTGAATTGAAGGACAACCTATTACACAGAGACAAGAGAAGCCCACCGCCTTCATACAACAATCCAGTCCAGTTAGTAAGTAGATGCTATCTGCGTTGTCCATGATTTGACATGATCTACAAAGCTATAATACGGCCACAGAGAAGCCCACCCCCGATCAACTCGACACATGCCATCTTCATCCCACCGCTCTGAACCCACCCCAACTCGAGTTAGAAATAGGTCATCAGGGTCCCAAAACCCTTTGAGAGCCACAAGGCGATGGTAATGGGATCCCCAGAACACCTGGGAAGGGTGGTTTTCGTACGGGAACGGTATGCCAAGGTATCCTCCCATCCTCCCCTGTTCAAGGGCCTGAAGCGCCGGCAGCTGCACCATCGCCAGTTCTCGCTGGACATGGTCGTAGGCAATCCAATCAGGAGCTGAGGGCAGGCTGTGGCCCAGGGTTAGGGACATTATAGCATTTTGCCAGGATGGATGGATAGCGCGATCCGCTGTGTCTTTGCGTCGTACGGCGGGCCCACCGACCATTCCCTCCAGACTTACCACATTTCCAGGCTTGTAACTGAGCTGGGCGAGAGTTTGGCTAATCCGCGAAGGCCCCTGAGCCGACGTCATTAGCTCTCGTGAAACTAGTCGTGACGCGGTCATCATCCCCATGCCGGCCTGGTCCAGACCTTTGGGAATCGCAAGATACGCGGACAATCGGTCAAAGGACTCCTCGGACGACTCCACTGATAACCCACGCGCTTCGATACTTTTTCGTAGTTCATGGAGAACATCGGGAACGTCCACTTGTGTTTTGTTAATGAGATAGGACTCAATGGTGAGAAGTGCCGCGTTGCCAGGCATAACCGGGATCGCAAAAGCTTGTACAGCGTCACCGCGATCTACCAGGACAGGGATTGCATGGAATAAATCGGTGACAGCTTCCCAGAAGGCAGCGTTTTGCCCATGGGGACTGATCACATTCAGTTTCGATACGGTGGCGGGAACATCGGGATAGGTACGGAATGTGACGTGGACGATGACCCCAAACGTGCCCCCGCCGCCTCCGCGAACAGCCCAAAAGAGGTCCTGATTCTGGTACTGGTTCGCAGTGACATAGACCCCCCTAGAGTGAAAATTTAGATCAGTCATATACAGGGCCTTCTAAGACCAGCTGGCCGCTTACCTGCGCCGTTACAACCCCAATTTCCAACACATTGTCGACCCCCAGGCCTCGCGACGGGGTCAAAATTCCATAGCCACCACCTTGCATCCAACCACCCGCAATTCCAACTGTACTGCAGCTTCCTCCTACCACGGTATATCCCGCCTCAGCGGCCGCCGAGTAGAGCTCCCCTGTGAGCACCCCCGCCCCTACTGTCACTGCGGGGCCGTCTGAAGGCACTGATTTACCGACTGGAGCCTGAGGAGTGAACGATTCCAGATGATCAATACCCTTAAGACCAGCGGTATGAAGCTGCAGTGAGTTGGGGGCTGATGAACGTCCTGCCAGATCGTGACCGGTGTTGCGAATGGCCAGTCGCAGGCGATGGGAGGCAGCAAATTGGATCACCTGCTGCACCGCCGACACAGACCGGACATGGGCCGAGTAGTGTGCCACGCGACCCTGGTGGCATTGACCGCGTTCCGGTATGTCTTGGGCGTGGCAACTCTGCTTCTGTGGTCGTGATTGTTCCCAGGTGTCTATCTGCAGCACGGCTGCCATAAAGTAAACAATTAGCTTCAGCGAGAGTAACTTTGGAGACTCCTCCAGGGCATGGCCAGTTTACCGGGATTGTTAACGCGCCATGTGGTGTTGCGATAGTTTTGAACGAGCTCATCACAGGAGCTTTTGGAATAATCCTTTTCGTAGCACACAGCTCCAGCTGGGCGTAATTCTACCAGATAGCCATTGATGGTCTCATTGAAGTGACTCCACGCCGCCGGCGAGGGCCAGCAATCATCATTTGGACCACACCGGCATCGGGACTCCTGGTCGTTGGAGAAGTAATGTCCTAAGCCGAGGGCAAGGATCAGAAAAATTCCAGCGAGCCGGAACGCCATCATGAGATGATTCACGGCGAGAGGCTGAAGTTGACCCGCAGTCGGGTCTTGGAAGTCAAGCGGCGTTGGGTGGAAAGTGGAAGTAGAACGGAGGGGAGGGGGAGACCAGAGTTGACGATGAAGAAACAGAAGAAGAACAGGAGTGATAGATAGAGAGAGAGAGAGTTTCTTTAGACTACCATGAATGGCGCACGATAGGAGTGGAATTCGAAAACTACGAAATCTCGAAAAAGCATCACCAGCCTCGCACTCCCAACGATCTCGCCCATGATAGGATTCATGACGATTAGGTGGACCTGCAAGGGGGAAGTACCACCGCATGGCGTGACTGAATGTGCATATGAAGGGGCAATCTGTTCATGCAGCATACTGGTTCCATTCCCCAGTCTGTGATTGCGCCGATAACATGGAGTAGTCCACACTATGGGTCCCTTCTATCAAAAAGCCGAAAAGTTGCTACAAAATTAGCAAAGCCAGGATCATTGATCTATCAGATTTTTGAAGGCCGGAAGTATAGTAAATGTAAATTTGCAAAAAAAAAAAAAAAAAAAAAATAGTTTGTCTTAAAGCAGACTATTACAATGGGACCGGCTACTGCGGATCGGGCCGTACTGTACCAGCGCTTCACAGTATGCAACCCAACTTCTTTCATATGGCCATGTTTTAGTTTCTTTTTTAGATAATTTTGCAAGAGAGTACAGAGGATGTTTCCGTGGCTTTACGCCATGAGCTTGCGTTGGCCAAGCATAGAGTAGTAGTAATTCAGTCTGCCCGGGGGCTGCTAAACTGCTACGTGTGCTGTGGAAAGACGTCTGCAAACCATTCCGCACATGTCATAAGGGATTCTCGGCCTCCAGCCCCTTGTTTAGCCCGCTGGGCCGTTTTCTTCAGTTCAGCTGCAGTCTGAGATTCGGTGATACCAAACCCAAATATTTCACCGGCCCTCATTTGATAAAACTGGAACACATCTTTGGACTCCTTCAACTCGGGCTTGTCAAAGGCTGGGAATGTTGACGGGTCATTATATCCAATAAACCGTGCCGGCTGGTTTCTGACTAGAGATAAAACGTTAACAACCCACCAACGACAGGAATAGGGTACGCGGGTTTGGAATACCTCGGGCAAAGGTGTCCACCACATCCGCAAAGGACTGGATATCACCGACAGCTTGGACGGTGCGCCGGTTCCAACGAAGTGGGTTCAAGAAGATACCATGGACCAAGTCACCGAAATCTTCCTCAATACAGATCCAAGGTACGCTCTCACCACCCCCGATCAGCGGACTCCGTAACGTAAGTTGTCCCTCGGAATCTTTGTTAAACGGGAACCCGCCAAATCCCTGGTAGAAAGATGGCATGAGAAAGTCCTCCATATACCACGAGGACATGATCGGGGTAAAAGTGACGAAAGCTGGATTTTCTCGGCCCCAGGCCTCGCCCCATGCCTTGACTGTCGCGGAAGGGTCAGCATTTCTAAGAAACTAACACTCTTCGTTCATTCATCGGGAGCCCTTGGGGAAGGTGCATACTGTCCAAAATTGGGGTGCGGATTTTGCCATTAGTGAGAGCCTCTGCGGATGGCTGAGAGCTGAACACAACGTGTGGGATAGCAGCGACAGCCGCGCTCCTCAGAATGCGGTTCCCAAGGTCCAGATCATACCGGCCATTTCTCACAGCGTCCTGGTGGTAGTCAGTCGGGGCAGCTCCTACCCGGGTCTAAGAGAAGAAAAGACCATAGGAGTGGAACTAAAGTACCGTGTTTGAATAGGTATTGTTAATAAAGATACCCCAGCTACCAGCGATGGCATTGAGAATGGAGTTTTCGTCAAAGCCATCAGTTTGCACCACGTCTGCACCCAGTGCCCGAAGCTCGCTTGCCTTGCTAGATGACTTATCTCGGGTGAGGCATCGCACATGGAACTCTGAGTTTTTGAGAAGAGAACGGGCAACCGAGCCTCCCTGTTGACCTATGCCATCGTGAGATCATGTCAGGAACAGCCCCAGCAATATTTCACTACGCCCTCGAAGAGCCATCAATATATGGAATATGGCTGGCTCACCGGTAGCTCCAACCACAGAGATAGTCTTGCGCTCTGTAGAAACTGTCATGGTTCTGTGGAGGAAGTGGATGAGAATGGATAATTCGTGTGATGAATGGTTTTTCAGGACCAGGATGTGTTACCAACCGTTGATCAGTCTGACGAACGGAGCCTTGTGAAAGCCTGACCGGTACGTAAGCATACGTACGGAGTACATCGTGTCTTGACCCGATCACCCATTTTCTACTAGTAGGGGGAATACTCCAGTTTTTCTGGGCCTGGAAAAGAATTCTGATAGGAAGCTCTGGAATTACCGCTTAGGTACGGGATGGTCCCGCAAGGGACCTGGAGTTGACATTTTCTCCACACTGTTCATGCAGAGTCCAGTTTCACAGCATGGAGGCACATTTTATCGCCAAAAAACATGCATAATATGACATGTCGAATTTGATCTAATATCTATCGTCGGTGTGAACTAGGATCTGAAGAACAATCGATACGGATCTACTAGCCCGGTATGCGCCTTGTATTTTCAGCCAAGTGACTACCTCGCTATGGGACAGCAAGGACTCTGAACCTACACGTTCACGTACATGCAGTGTATGCAATACTCATCGTTAGCGCCATCAGCAAATGCGATGTACATATTAAATCATTTGGCGGGAAAATCTTTTTAAAAATCACACGGTATAGCTGAAATAGGAGCTACGCAATCCAATCACCACCGTTAAAAGCGATATATTTTACCATAACATGTTAACTTCCACACACTTAGCAAGCTTCTAAGTTTTTGATAAATTATACGTGTTCAATTAGATACCAAGCTATGATAATGCAACAAAATTAGAATCGGCAGTTCTCAGCAGTATTATTATGAAATCAATCGAAAGTTTGCACTGTTATGCAGCAATATAGTACCGAAACTAGAGTATTTGAACTTTTGAAAGATATCGCCTGATCTCCATGTCGTGAAATATACTGAATCTCTCAAAAATTAATAGATGATATGTTTTAAACATCCAGCTATAAGAGAAAGTCCGCGTAGATCACTCCAGCGCTATTGCTCAGATATTGAGATGTATATTATCGCATTTACTGTATATCCGACAGCTCAGTGCTAAATGTATCTCTAGATCAATGTCTCATACAACCGAAAATGAAGTCCCTCAAAGCTAGATGCCTTTGCAATGCTGCTAGCTGGGCTGAGCAGAGTGACCTAGACCAGTTTACAGAATTCAGTAATAAGGATCGTACAAGTGTCGCGCTGATCGGTCGACGTTGAAATAGATTATACAACGACTGAGGGTGAAGGTGTACGCTGCTTGATAGACATGCGTCGTTGCTCTAAAGAAGGGTAGCTACTGTCTTCATCACACTTCCTGATGTCGAATTTCAACAAGAAGTGGGCCAAGATGAGACGCAGCAGATCCGCAGCGAGTTGCTTGCCCGGGCTAGGAAGCGTCAGTAATGCACTAGGCCACGATGGGGACACAGACTGGTAAACTCACCAGGCGTGCTTCCCGTCACCAAACTGGCGTGTTCTAGGGGTCGAGCCAGCTATTTTGTAGTTGCTTGGTTTGTCTGACTGCTTCCCGAGCTTGTGGAATCGGAAGGCATCAAATTCTTCCGGGTTATCGTAGTACCGTTCATCCATATGAAGCTGCGTATTTGGGGCAAAAACTAATGTTCCCTTGGGTAGCTTTAGGCCGTTAGTAAAGGTGAAGTCTTTCTTAATGATACGATGCACTGTGGCTGCGGGAGTTTGTCAGAATTTAACCCATGGAACACAATGAGGCAGATGATTCAGGATTTTCGACAAGGGAACAAGTCGCAGTGAGGCTTACCTGGGCCCACGGGCTGCAGGCGCATGGTTTCTTTAATGAAACTGTCCAGTTTCGTCATGGCTTCGATAGATTCCCTGCAGACCCCTTCATGGTCGCGGATGGCTTGCTCAACTTCGTTGCGAAGATCTTCGATCAACTCGGGCCGTTGAGTGAGCTCGTAGAAGCACTTTGTAAGTACCTGAATTGCTATCAGTATCATTGAACTCAATAAATCCATGGATATAGTGACATATTCATACCGAGCCGGCGGTGTGAACGGCGCCAAAGATGGAGGATACCAGCAACCCAGCCACATCGAATGGGGTGTACTCGCCGGGTGTTTCTCGCTTTGTCCACTCCCACACCCACTGGGCGAGTGTCTGCAAACAATTTCAGCTTCATTATCGCAGGGTAACAAGGGTGATTTTCAATCACGAACCATTTGGTCTTCTTTGGCATCGGCACCGTGCTTCATGTCTTCGACGATGAGACCGCTCAATTCAGCCTGCATGCGAGAGGCGGCAAAATGCGGTCCCAACAAGCTATGCGACGAGTTAGTTGAATCGATGCGACTCAAATAACAGGCGAGACGAGGGTACATACGGTCTCAATATGCGCGGCAGCCACGAGATCTGATTTCCACTCACTGGGACGGCCGAGCCATACCTCATGAACAACGAGATGGCATCGGGGTCACGGCAGAGCGGGTGTCCCACCAACACTCGTCCAATCATGCGCAGCATCAATGCCAGTGCAACCGGAAGGCAGTCGAAATCACACCACACTGAGTCGATGTTAGCTGACCATAACGTATATTCGCGGGCCAGGGACGACATTTACCGCCCGGAGGGATGTTGAGTTCGGCGATCATGCCAAACTCTTGCTCCTTGACGAGCTCCTGAAAGTATGTGGAGTTCTTTCCTGATGTTCGGTTTCTTGACCAAACCACGGCCTTTGAGAGAGCTGACACCGGGACGTGGTTGAGAGAGTCTGCAACACCCGGGCACGTGTACATGGTCTGGAATAGCTGTGGACGTGGTTTGTCAGGATGCCCATCTTGGACCATAATTTCCGGAAACAGGCAGGACTCACATCTTCACTGACGGCGTCCAGGGATGCGTACTCAGGGCCGAGGACCTGATATTCGCGAACCATTTGATCGTTGCATATACAGACCTCCCACCTGTTCCGTGTCCGTATTTGGAACGCATAATCGCCGTGCTTGGATTCATTGTCAGTATTGTCCATTGAAATGGCATATATATCTCGATCAAACAACCGACCTTGCCGTATCCTTCTTGAAGCAATTGGTCACTGTTCGCCGGCCACTTTAGCCCGGACCATCTAGACGCCAGAATTCCCTTAGGGCCAACGGTGGGTAGATCAATCTATTAGACCATCGTTAGTTCATGGTTTTGGTATCGACCGAGCGGCTTCAAATCCATACCCATGAGCGATAGTAGCGAACCCAGCGAACAAACAGCCAGACAGCAAGAAAGCCTCCGAATGCCTTAATCTCTGGGAATCTTCCCAAATGATGATAGAGGATATTTATAAGACCTGTGTTCTCCATACTGAATTCGGCATTCGAAGAAATATCGTTACAATATGCTTCTATGCTTCAAATCAGTGGTGGAACGCTGTGAATTCGTTGATATCTTTATATTATTGCATGTAATTAGTCATTGTTACCTCTATCATTACTCGCTGACCGCTTTTCTGAAAACCCCTTCCTTCGAAAGAGGATTGTTCCAATTCGGTGTCCAAAATGTGGGCCCGATGGAAATCAAGATGAAGTCATGAACCGAAAGGAATGTTACTCAGCATATATGGCTGCTTCTCCTTGCAGGCTGAGCAAGGGTCAGGTGCAGTCGGAATTGCAGGTACACATCGCTTCATCTTTTCGAACATTAATTGTATAGTGTTGTTCAGGTATCTTACCGTTTATGGGACGAAACGAGGCGAGGATCCTTTTCAAGACCTGCAAAACGAAAATAATGACTCACAATTTAACCGGATCAAGATGATGCCAAAATTAGATGAATAACAATGATATGATATACCGGCAAAGCGAATGGTTCTACCTAACACGTCACCTTATTGAATGAGTTGAATTGTAATTTTCAACTCCTACTTTTAGGGCCTAACATTATTTGGCTCTGTTTATATGGTATAAGTACGGGTTTAACACTACTTTAGGAGCCTTAGGTTATTTTGAACAGGTGAGACACTAGTATCGAGTTATATGTTCGTACAAAAAATACGTCGTGTTTTATAATAATATCGTAAATCACATTTGATGTGCATAATTCAGCCGTACAATAAATTATGTAGCTACTATATAGACTCTCTGGCCAGGGTGATTGTGTTACATTGGCGTGCATGATGGTGACGCTAACGTATTATTAGTATTTTTACCGTATTATACAACGAATACCCCACCCTCTATGTTTTAAAGATTTCAACATATCAAGACATCGAATTTAATACAAAACCCAATATATTAATAGCAATATATATAACTAAAGAACTAACAAAAGAAAGCCGTAAACCAAAAAGAATACCCGAAATATAACGATATAAATACAAAATTAATACTTTGTAGGACCACCCTTAGTATCAATAACTACTTACATTCAACGAGACATTAAATCCAGCAAAGCAATTAGATACTCCTCAGGTATAGCATCCCACACACACTCAACCACTACCTACAGCTCATTATACAATATAATAATCTCAGAATAGTTCCCCTAAATCCAATTTCTTATCCAATTCCAGACTCGGATATTTTCAATCGGATTAAGGTCTAACAGATAGAGAGATTACTTAAGCTACAAAATATCTATTTCACAAGAAATCTCAAGAATATTCTTTACCTAATAAGCTAGAATATTATCTTACATTAAAATGTACTCCAAATAAATTTGGGATTCATCCGTAAAACCTTTCCAATGAAGATTATTAAGTATCCAAGAGTTACAAAATATCGAATTATAACTTTCTATGTTGATATAAGAGTATATCTGGTTAGTTAAACTGTAGAAATTTAACTGATAAATTTGATCAAGAACTAAAGATAAATCCTCTTCTGATATGATTTCTTCTAGTTCGGAGTCAGATTCAGACTAAGTTAATTCAGATTGAGTTACTGAGTCTGATTCAGAAGTTTCAGAAATCTCAGAAATTAAAGACGGTAATATAGAAATAGGAGAATTAAGCTCCTATAGAGATGGCTCCCAAAAAGCTTCGAATAATAAAGCCCCTTGAGAGTTTGGAATACTATTTCTGTATTCTACAATTACAATATTTATACAGATTAAGAAACAAAGGTTAATCTGAAGGGGATTCTTCATAATAACCAATAATATCGTGATCTGGGCTGGTCATTGTGATCTTGACTGTATAAAGGCCTTACCAAACGACTATTATGTTCTGAACTAGACAGGCATATTTTTCCTGGCCAGAAAGTGTATAATATAATAAGATACTTGTCTCGATATTGGATCATAGAAAGCGTTGATTGTTAAGATTTGTATTTAATCTCGTATTTGAGGTGCAGTTCTAGCTGGATCACTCGCCTGCCAAATACGGTCTCTTATTCACTCAAAACAGAGCTCATCTACATCCTGATGAATGGCCGAACATACATAAAGAGGGAAATTAAGAGAGAGTTGTTACTTTTGGCTGTTCCTGAAAGCTACTGCTTCCATTGCTTGAAGTCTTAAGCTATGATGCAAACTCACTGAGCTGAGCGCTCCGTAGTGTTCGTCCCAATTGAAACGTCCAAAGCGAGAAAATGTGACAGCCGCTAAAAATTTATTGACCTTAGATGAAGTAAAGCAGTGAGATTTTGATAACTCAATTTCTACATGCCAGCTACCAGACATTGAGACAAGGGTACGGATTGCCGCTTAGGTCTCGGGAGAATCACACATTTTGGGCTTTCAGGACTTGCGCCTTTTTAAACCAGGCCTTAAATGTAACAAGACCTCCCTTCTGGCCCCGAGCCGACATTGCTGATTCTTTCAATGCGACCGCAGTAGACATATCACTTTCGTGTTCTGCAAACCACCGGCCACCACAATGCTTCATGTACCAGAACATTTGGCGAGTTTCGACTCGGCACCTTGTACCATTGAGCTTAATACTGGACCAGGATGGCAATTCCTCGTACTGGGCAGGAATGCCAGTGGCTACAAGTAACAACCTTTAGTCATATGAAAGACCCCACTGCCAGAGGACGGAACTGGAAAAAGAGAGGAGGGGGAGTGGCGTACCTTGTGTATATGAAGATGCTACATCAGACATTGTAATCTGTTGGCTGGTTGCCTGAACCAATACCTGATCGTATTTGGACGGGTTCAAAAGTATACCATGCACAATGTCGCCAAGATCGTCCTCGCAGCTGACCCAGGGCATATCACCTTTCCCTCCGTAGTCCGGGGTGCGGAATTCCACTTCTCCTGTTTCTGGGTTGGGATTCCAAGGAAACCCACCGAAGGCTTCCACGAATGAATCTTCGAGGAAACACTCCATAAAAGAGGCGCATAGAATGGGAGTGAAGCTCGTAAACTTTTTCTTACGCCCATATTGCTCAGCCTGGTATTTGGCTTCAATTGTTAATAAGCAACTGTAACAATGGCGGTGATAGAATTTACCTACTCTCGAACCCTTCGATATGTATTCTGCCTTTCGTAGCGTTCGTGATGGATGGTCCAGAGCTAAAGACAACATGCTGAACGCCTGCTTTCTCCGCAGAATCGATTACCGACACGCCAAGGTCATAGTCACTAGGACCATCCAATGACTTCAAAGCCTGTTCACACACAATTTGAGTAAACCTCCTTGTCACCAAAAATGGGAATTTTGATCAGAACCCTACCTCATCATCAGAATTGGTGTTTATGAATGCCCCCCCAACTACCAGCAAAGGCATTGGTCATTTCACCTGTGTTGAGTCCATCTGCCTGGACTAACTCCGCCCCAAGCGACGCAATAGCTTTCGCTTTGTCGGATCGAGGGTCTCTCGTGACTACACGAACGTGAAAGATCTTATCTTTGTGTGCCAGCAGGGAACGTGCAACACTACTGCCCTGGTTTCCTGTATTGGTCAGCTCGTCACTGGGAGTTTATCTCAAGTATCGAAGGCTTCTTACCAGTCCCTCCGAATACCGTCACAATTTTCTTCGCTTGAATAGTCATTTTTACCAGCTGAGGATACGCTTAGGGGTGATGTTCGATATCGAATTAACTCTGACTTCTACATTTGGGTCCAGGTTGAATGCATCGGCACTTTTATATATAGTATCTTGTGCCGGAGACTGGATAATCTTCTTTACCTACTCACACCACAAACGAGTATGCATACACAGGGATCGAATTGGCTACGTGTTCCAATGTTCTGACTGATTTTGCATGTTATTATGCCATCTGACGCGCAAAACATGCCCCTGCACCATGACTGCATAGCACCACGATTCTTCTGTAAGTACTACTGCAAGCGCTATCTGATAGCTCAATTCTAAATCATACGAGTAAAGGAAGAAAGTTTGAACTGGACTTACGCATGCACACTGCTGTGCAACATGACAGGTTCTCCCTTGCATGCTAGATGCTGCTACCTGCATGAGTCCCATGCCCATTAGGAATTGTGGGGCTGTGTCCCGACTTCCCAATACCGCTCTCACGACCCGGGAATACGACGTCGTCTCATGCATTTAACAAGTTATACCTGAGCTCGATCTGAAGAGGCTCTGGAGCTAGTAAAAGGCAAGTGTCGGTGTAGTAAATATGGGCCAATGGCACTAATTTGTGACAGATCCAGAGGCTAACTCAAGATCTGCAACGGATCAATAGTCATTCTGAATTGATATATCGCTGGGTTTTGGGATTTTATGACGGCTTTTGTCTAAATTGAAAATTATGTAAAGCAAATAAAATAGTGCAAGTATCCGTGAAATTCTAAGGAACATTTAAGATAATCTTTACACGGAAGCCATTCATTCCACTATTTCTGATATATGGTATTTGATCCACGACTGTGTAACTCCAGATAAAGGCTCTGATAAGACAAGCCAACATAGATATTTCCGAGCGAGATATGCTATTGAGGCAATTTCTGCCCCTTTACGGGTTGTTGTAATGAGTGAGCCAAGTACCCATTGGCATTTCTGAGGCAGCATTTGAAACAATATGCTACTTTATGAGGCGAATGGAATTATATGGATGATATGCATTAAGTGGCTTAGCAATAACTGCACCCTATCTTTGATTATTTAGGGGCAGCCCTGGACGTACGTGAACTTCCAAAAAAAAAAAAAGATACATACATACAAATATAGCTTGATATGCTAGGAACGGTGGCAATGTATCAAGTGCGTGAACCAGCGGATATCGATCCTTTTCGGCGACAAAGTTATGGAGTAGATATCCTAGCAACAAATTTCCGTCCTCTATCATTGAATTGTCGACGTCCCTCGTCCAGGCCGTTCCTTGAAGATGGTCCAAAGAGGGCCAAGTCCCATACTGAAACCGTCAGCTCGTTGCTTCCAGTATTCCTGTAGCTGGTTCTTGTTCGATGGCTGTGCTTCAAATTGCCTGAAGATAGAGTATATTGTATACCTGATCTGCATCAGAGCAGCATTCTTGCCAACACAATTATATGGTCCCATCAAAAAAGGAGCAAAAACCTCTGGATGGTGAATCAGGTCGCGACAACTTGACCAACGCTCTGGAATGAACTCATTGGGGAATTTGAAATTCCGCTCATCCCGGAAGACGGCGTAGAATGGGACCTTGATGTGAACATTGCCGGGGATGAACGTGTCTCCTACCTGTATCCCCTCAGGTGGTGTGATTCGGGGAAACCCTGAGGGCCCGGCGTAATGAAGTCGTAGTGATTCATTGATTATACCGTTCAGAAGCGGTAGCTTCGTTAGATCTTGGATTTCTGAGCCATTGTTGCTGTCTTCGGCCTCATCAAACTCGTCCTGCAGTTTCTTTTGATAGTCGGGGTAAGCCATCAGATAATACAAGATCCCAGTCATAGTGATGGCCACCGTGTCGCTGTTAATACCAAATCATTAGATCCCCTCTCATAACAAATCATCGAATCCAGTTGTGAAATTTTACTGTACCTTCCGGCAAAGACCGATAACGAGGCATCAGCGATCAGATTCCGCCTTGCCTCCAATGTTTGAGGTGATTTGGTAGAAAACTCGTTCCAAAGCCAAGCGAAAATGTCTCGCGGGTCATCCTTTCTCTAGATGAGCCGTATGATTAGTTTCGCAACCACCACATTTCAGAAACACTGTGGTAGCTACCTTCAACCTTTTCTCCATTGCTGTCTCAGAGAAATCCAGGAACTGTTGCAGTCCTCTATTGAGAATCGGTATACTCCGGAAAAACATGATGAGCCACGTCGCACGAATCATAATTCCAGTTGACAAGTTCGAGTCGTGTAAATATTGCATCATGTAATGTGGCTTTTCATTGGCAAGGGTGCCAAATGATTCTGCAAACGCAAGTTCACCGATGATCTGCTCATATATCCGTGATTAGCAGCACCTCTCCATCCAGGCGGAGCCTCTTACATCAAACATGAGGCACCCAAACCACAGAGTCATATTCACGGGAGTACCCGAGGCTGCACGATTGCTAACTTTGTCGGCGAGCTGATTCACGCAAGCTCGCAGAGAGGGTTCGTATTCTTTAAGAGCTAAACAGGACCCACATGGTAGAGTTAGAGAATAAAGTGGTAAAAGTGGTCCCAAGTTTGTATCGCGCCACTTACCAGAAGGCCTAAATGCATGATCCCATACACGTCGGCGATGTTGATGTTCTGCTCGATCTCGTGTCCCAAAAACGGACCGATGCGGCTGCAATATATCATACCAAGGACTCTTGATACATGAAGACTTGGACGAGTGGATTGCACTGATAGCATCCGGATGGTTGACCGAAAGTTCAGCAGGACCTGACCAGGGGACTTGCATTAGACCATATTTTCGCCCGCTAAGAGGAGACGATCGGGAAAGACCGTACTACTTACCCACTCGAACGAAATCGCCATACTGTTGGTGATAGTCTGCAACCATCTCAAAAGCGTTGGTGCTCTTGGCAGATCTCCACATAATGTATGCGTTCGACAGGCGTGCTTTAGGAGGGCCTGGAAATCGCCGCAAAGGATGGAATTGCCATCGGTATACCAGAATGCTCATACAGAGACCTGCGGTGACTCTCAACGCGTGCAAGTTTATTGCTGATAAACTGGCCCAAAAAATATCGATTCGAGTATGAGGCATTAGTGCTCCAAGTGCCAAAAGCGGTACCCAAACAGCAATCAGTTTGACAACTGATACCGGCAGGGCGAAGTCCCATTCCCCATGTCGAAGCACAAGAAGATGGAAGAAAATGCCTGCGGTGATATCAAGGAGAGTAGGCGATAATAATACCATTGTGGCCACCATCATTATAATTGAAATACGATCAGTATGAATATTCTCACCAAGGCAGCAGAAGCGCTGCGGTCGTGATATTTGGCTGGAATTGACTATCCAAATGAAGCCTTGGACTGCGACAAAGGCCTTGCACTAAAATGTAGTGAACCATTCAATGATGGGATTGAGTATACTCAGACGTAGATCGGATACGCTGGGTCTGATCTGTTCTCTTTTGGCTACCTAGGACTGCTAGGTACCAATTTTTGCCGATTCCGGCTATCAGCATCCTGGACCCCCACTTTTCTCTGGGTTATATCCAATGAGTAGAACCTCTCGCGGGGCTCGATGGGTGCTCCAAAATTGGTACCTGATGACGTGAAATATACGGTGTGAGGGCTGGTTCGTGAAGGCAAGGGGCACATGCTATTCGATCCACTTCAGCGCACCCGGCACGTACAAGACTGATGCAAGGAGCACCTGCACTGTAAGATCTGCAACTGCAGAGCTGCGATGTCCTTTTGTAAAAAGCAATCATAAACAATGCATGTGGCGTAATATTACAGCCCGGGTATGCAAAAAATTTCCACTGAAGACGCGGACCGTACCGTAGCAGATTGGGTTGCAGGAATGAATCTGCACACCCCTTACAGGTAGAACTCATGAGTGCAAAGGCAGCAAACTAGTACTAGTAACTTGATTTTGTTCCTTCGCCTCTCTAATTCATGCGGAATGCATATGGTCGATGTCCTCAACTCTTGAATAATCGTATGTTAGATATCGGTCCAATTTTCGAATTTTTTCTTGATCACTGTGAAGGTGACTTAAGTGGCTGTGAAACCTATCATGGCTGACGGATCTACTACCATGCCACTACAGGAGGGAACGAAGTGGACATATTTGTTACTTACCCACTGGAACGAGATTCTCTATGCCCTGATCACCGTGTATCTGGCTTCACAATCGTGGAAGGCATTCAGCCGTCTATACCTTCATCCACTCGCTTCCGTGCCAGGCCCGAGACTCGCTTCTATCAGCACCCTTTATGGGTTCTATTACAATTATATTCAAGATGGCACATACAGCAGACGCTTCGCTGAAATGCATAGCAAATATGGTAATATTACTTGACTTCCCTGTCATTGTCCCAGCCTGAGGTCGCAATATAAAACCTGACATGAGATCACAGAATCACCCGTAATTCGCGTGTCTCCCAACCGAGTTCATGTCAATGATGTGAAATTTTATGAGACGTACGAATCATCTATCCATCTATGAGTAGCTGAATACTGACACCCACGCAACAGTGTATTTCGTACAGGAGCCCCTTATTACAAAGAACCCGAGTTCTATAGTTCCTTGGGCGCCGACGGGGCATTGGCCTCTCTTACAGATCCAGCCGAGCACCGAAAGCATCGCTCTTACTTGAGCTCGCTATTCTCCGCTCAAACAACGGTTGCTTTGAAACCTCGACTCCTGGAGACCTTGATCAAAACAGCCGGTTATCTCCAAAAGGCAGCGGTGAAAGGCAAATCAGTCAACATACAAAATATCTACAGCGAGCTCATCGTAAGACACGGGCACCTAGGTTTAATATGAAATATGAGTGATGCTAACTCCGGACTAAAGGGCGATGTAGTCTGTGAGCTCATGTTCGCGGATAGCTACAATTTCATCGAATCCGGCGATGAGGGACACCCTCTGTTGAACGAGGTCGACAATCTGGGGTCTCTTACCTGGCTGAGTATGTCAATCAATTGCTCCTCTCACCCTGCCCATTCGTCTAGTTCATTCCAAGATTACCCAATCTAACTTGAGCAGTGATGGAGTTTCCTGGCATAAAAACAGTCATGAAAGCTCTCCCTTCTTCTATAGGTAATAAGCTAAGCCCGGAAATTGTTAGCTTCAAAAAGGTGAGGCTAATTGCCAAGGTCGGAATTAATCCTCGGAGGGGCAATGCTGATATTGAACTGCGCAGTTCTGTAAGGACCGGCTGGAGGAGGCACAACACAGAAAGCAATCTGGCAATACCCCTTCCAGGAAGTCATATTTCGATCTGTATTTGGAAATTGACAGTCGCAAAGACACCATACAAAACGTGGCGGATGTGTTCGATGGTGCATTCAACTTCATGACTGCAGGAATTCACACCACTGCTTACACTCTATCCTGGGCTACCTTTAACATTCTGAGCTCGCCATCTGTTTTAGTCAAGATCCAATCGGAACTAGATGAAGCCAAGGTGGCGATACGTGATGACTTCGATCCAAAGGCGATTCAAAATCTGCCGTATCTGGTATGAAACTTTCGGAGACTTTGTTCCGCTATATCTGGATAACGTCACTTATGTTATCTGTCTAGGGAGCGGTCATCCGAGAAACAATGAGGATGGCCGACCCGGTGCCTGGCTATCTTCCCCGTGTGGTGCCGAAGGAGGGAGTTCAAGTTGGATCATTCTTTCTACCTGGAGGAGTAAGCCTATAAAAAGTCTACTTTGACAATCGTATCCCTGATCAGTTGGGCTAGGATATTCTCACTAACAAAGGATTATTTAGACCAGCGTTTCCACCAGCCATCCTGTCGTTCATATGGATCCGTCTATCTTTCCTGAGCCACACAAATTCGACCCCGATCGTTGGATACGTGGGGGGGGGAGCAGCTTGAAAGGTACAGTGTCCCTTTTGGAAAGGGTTCGCGTCGTTGTATTGGGATGAGGTATGTTGAACAGCGATCTAATTCAGCAGTACATTGGAGAAGAATAATGCTGATAGTGGTTGGGCATGAAGTGTCGCCTACATGGAGCTGTACGCCGTCCTCGCCTTTATATTCAGTCATTTCGAACTTCAATTGGTGGACAACGACCAGTCCCAAAAAGGGATCCAATGGGCTGACCGTATTGTTGCCCGCGCTAAATCTAGTCTCAAAATAAAGGTGACGAAAGATCGCTGGGAATGAATAGTCCGGCGGACATCCACGCACCGGGGGCAAATTTTGGTTAAATAGTAGTTCACCCTCGAGAGTCATCAGTCTTCGATCTCCAGGAGTGTATCATGCCATCAAAGTGTAAATGTCTGGATGCTGAGGAAGTCAGTCCATTGAAGCTATGCTGTATATCCGGTCTGTATTTAATCGCAGGCTCGTCTGGACGTTTGCCCACAATATTAGCAGTTAGGCTATCTTATTGTTTATTCCCATGGTTCCACTCAGATATCATAATGTGTAAATCGCCTCAAACTATTTCCGATAGTTCCAAGACTCAACTTCATAGTCTTCCGCGTTTATTATGTCCAAGTTCCTCCTGGGACATCCAATAATGCCAGGTACTAAACATCGTGGTGCATTCAACCTTTGCTACATCCTTGCTTCTTGACGATCTGGATTTATCATCACTTTATCGTGGACGAAATACATTAGTGTACAACTTGCAGAATGACGCTAGTGAGATGCTAAGGAATGATATATATGTTCTTAAGAGTAGCGGTGAGGAATTTGGACTAATACGAGTGCCAGCAGATAGATAGATGGCGCAGACACTGCAGCCGAGTGGATTCTGTGATACCTAGACAAGATGGTCGGATTACCAACGAATGCTGATCATAAGCTGAATACTTTAGTCCGATCTGCCCTCTTTTGCATCGACCGGATCTCTCCCAGCAATTCAAGGTTAACTGGCTCTACTGACCGCAAACCAAGGCCAAAGCCCATAATAACCCAGACACACCCACCTCTGCAATTTTTGTCAGTGAAATTAGTGACGTGTGACCTGTTATCATGACTGTCACCCATTCTGGCCCAAATGGCACTGCGCCGCCTAATTCATCCGGTATCAAGGTAATAATCGTGGGGTTGGGTCTTGCCGGATTGACCGCTGCGATTGAATGTTACCGCAAAGGTCACAGTGTTATCGGTTTGGAGAAAACCCCGAAACCAACACATCTGGGTAAGTCAATTTAGCTTCCGAGAAACTGCATGGACAAAGATCTGACAAAAAGCAGGTGATATCTTCAGCATCTCTAGCAACGGGGCCATCGTAATCCAGAAGTGGGACGGCGGATCCGTTTCTACGTACCTCGACTCTGTCCGTTGCGACGTTGATAAAATTACTGTCTGGGATGAAGCAGCCAATGTCAAGCTTCGAAAGGATATGAACGGTTATAGAGAAGGCGAAGGTCTGGTACTGAACCGGTCAACGACAGTTTGCACTCTGTACGAGTACGGAAAAAGTTTGGGCATCGATCTTCGATTCGGAGTATCAGTATCTAGTTACTGGGAAGACGATCACCAGGCGGGCGTCATAGCAGATGGCGAACGGCTCTCGGCAGATTGTGTCATTGCCAGTGATGGCATTCACAGCAAAGCGCGTCCGATTATCACCAGGGACACTAGACCACTCACCAAGAGTGGCGCTGCCACATATCGCGCGGGCTATCCTGCTGAGGTTTTGAACGATCATCCAGATGCGCAGTGGATTCTAGAAGGCACAGAGAAGGCCGATCAGTTGAACCACTTCATTGGTAAGGATATTGCAGTCATCATGGGCACTGGCAGACACGGCAAAGACGTGTATTGGGGCTGTTTGCATCGTGTACGTATTAATTCCTGTACAGCAATCATTCAGGACACTGACTCGGGAATCTTCCTCGTTCTCCGTAGAGCTCTGACGGTGTGTCTAAATCATGGCTCCAGCCATCTGATGTGACGAAGGCGTTGGCCTTGATTGAAAATTGGCCCGCAAGAGACAAAGTCGCGGCAGTGATCAAAAACACACCGAATATGACGTGCTATGATCATCTGGTCATGGCGGTTGATCCTCTATCTGGATGGGTGTCAGAAAAGGGTCGAATGATGGTCATCGGGGACGCCGCACATGCTTTCATTCCCACCTCGGGTCAGGGTGCCAGTCAGAGTATTGAAGACGGTGCGGTGGTCGCCATATGTCTAGAATTAGCCGGCAAGGATCGAATTCCACTCGCTCTTTCGGTGATGGAAAAGCTAAGGTAAGCGGACAATATTACCCCAGTTCTTTTCGTGACGTTCGCGGAAGGCAAAATTCGCTAATGACCCTATAGATACCAACGGATCAGCTTCATCGGGGAGGGAAGTGCGAAAATGTTAGAGTCTCTACATGGGGCAAACTGGGATGCCAAACAGCAGGACAAACTACCTACGCTAATAGCCCGTGCAATGTGGATCTTTGATCACGACTGCCAGACATCCACATACGAAGAGTTTAACAAGGCCGCCGACGCTGTGGCCACGAATAGCACGTATGTGCCGGCCAATATTCCAAGCGATGGCCGATACGGAATCGTGGAGGAGGAAGGCAAGTCCACTGTGAAAGTACCTCCTGTAACCCGCGGCCCTCTACCTGTACAGTAGAAGTCGGCTGGCACTGTTTGAACTGCTGAGAATCAGACATGATAGGAAAAGTGCGTGCTATTTATACCTTTGAATCGGTGTTCAAACTTGCCTGGTTCAAACAAATATCTAGCTCCATCGGGTAATTATCTTCATCTATCAATCAACTTTCTTGAGATTGTGTCGTTTAGTTCTGCTAGTCTCAAATTGGGCCATGAGTTTACATTCTGTCTGATCGTCTCTTTGTACCTCTCACTTTATTTTGGTTTACCGTCTGGCTCAATTTGTGCAGGAATAACTTTCTGTTGGAGATCGGGTGATTACAAACGTCTCCAAGACTCTAGCTAGCTCTCCCCTCCTCCTTCTCCCTTCTTTTTCTCGGGCTCTTCGATATTCAAAACAAAACAGATTGCGTTGCTATTTGCTGCTTATCTTTCCCCCAGATATTGTGCTCTACATTGATCGTTCTTGAGAAAGTGTGATATATAGAAGTCAGCAAACTTCCCAGTTACATCGTAATAAGCTGCAACGTGCGTTACGACATGTTTGCTAATGTGTTTAGGAGAGCAAGAAAGATGATTTAAGCAAATTTATCATTACATGGCTCCATGCGCACGACTAATGAAGGATAAGCCTGGGGTTGGCGTCAAATTTGGGATATCCACCTCATCGACCTCAGCACCATGTGTACCAATAAAAGAAAAATGAGGCCCGACCGATGAATGAAAACCTGACCTATTTTGATAAATCGGCCCGCTCTTTGATACAAACACGGAGGGGCTTTTTAATATACGTGATATTCACAGCTTGTCGTTCCCAGCCCTCGCAGTCAGGCTCTAATGAAAGGTCAAATCTCCACAACACCCTCGCCAGAATGAGAGAGACATTAGAAAGTGCCAATCTGTGGAAAGTTAGCATTGAAATATACTAGCTGGAACGGGTTCAAGGTACTTCTCTCCAAGACATCTATAAGGACCGCAGGCGAATGGTCGAAAGACACTTTTGTTGTCTTGCTCAAAGTCCTTTGATTCAAGCCACCGTGTGGGACAGAACTCATCAGGCCTTGAAAAGTTCATTGCTGAATGATTGGCTACATATTGCGGTATACAAACTGTGGTCTAATGAACAACCGCTTGATTAGCAATATGTCGTGTGAGATGCATCAAGGTGCAATTGGTTTGACTCACCCCTTCAGGTACAAACCTCCCAGCTATTGTTGCGCCCGGTTTGGGTACCACCCGAGTAAAGCCTACGGCAGCTGGGGGATATATACGTAGCGTCTCCATGACACAGGCCAAAAGAAGCCCATTGCTGTCTACGGAGGCCTGGTCTATCTCACTCTCAGACTGAAAGCTTTGACGGAGTTGCAGGGATAGTTTGGTGAGGACTTCAGGGTGCTGAAGCAGGAAATAGGTCGTGCCACTGAGCAAAGTCGCTGTTGTGTCACTTCCGGCTCCTATCAGAGCCACGGCATTCGCACAAATATCAGCCTCACTCATGCAATCTGTAGTTTGAATGACGTGCTCCAGGAAGTCTGACCGTCCGGCCGGTCTCGTCATTCGATCCTTGACCTTTTCAGTCGATATTGCTGTGAGCTTGACGTTCATTTCCAGCAAATATCGCGGTGTCAGATAATTCATGAGTCTCGCCGCCCACGGAAAGTATGCTAGCGCTCTGAAGATGGGGTCGACTTTGTCAAATTCCTTCAAAAACTGGACCCATTCGTGAAAGCTTGACGTCTTAAGGCAATCTAAGCTCTTCCCGAACGCCAAATCACTCTGAATGTCATAGGAGAAGAACTGAAAATTGTCAGTTATTAATACTTGAAAGTAAAGCTTCCCCGTCAATTCAAAAAGCCACTAGACATACTGTGTACCATTTGACGAGATCCAACACACTTCCATCATCCTCAGCGTTTTCAGAAAGTCGTTGTATGAAGAGATCCGCATAGGATAATCGGAGGGATTCCATATCCCGAAGAGACTTGGTTGAGAACCCATGTGCGAGTTTCTTGCGCATCGTACGATGATGATCATGAGTGACAGTCAGTAATGATTGTCCTTGCCCACCGGCATCCTGAAAGAATCGAGGGTCCCTAGTCATCTCCGGCTGAACTTTGCTTTCATATATGTCATTCCATGCTTCTGGGCAGATATACGACAGCTCATCTGGCGCAACACGAACCACATATCCGTATTTTTCATGTAATTTCAGGAGCTCTTCAAGCAATGTACCCCGAATTAGATGAAATGCATACCAGAGCCGAGTGAAGCATGCAACCTTCGGCCCTGGGTAGCTCGCTAGGGGATGAAAATATGTGTTAAGCAACAACCAAACACATGACAACCCTATGGCTGTCTAAGAGGCGTTCTTTTAGTATGCTGAGAATCGTTATAGTGGATCAAGCGTGGGCTTACTGTAAAACCAACTGCGACAGCGGTGGGAAAGGCATCATAACTTCCAACTAGGTCCAAGACACTATTCAGCATTCTTGTGATATGTCGGTACTTGCGCACACTTTTCGTGAGAGAGGGAAGTGGAATAGTGATCAAATATACACAGTATGGTGTAGGACTCCATGTATGTTGGATCTGTCAATTACAGTTGTCGACCTTCTGCCACAAATTAGATCATTTTTAGATTCCTTCTCACCGTCGTTTAGCACCCTTGCGTGATCATCTACGCAGGTACGTCACACAGCGCTACCACTGGGCCCTAAAGAAGCAAGTTCACGGGTGGGTCGAAGTACACAAAATTTTGGCATTCACGCCGATTTATTGCGTACATCAACTATTTTCCTGCGGATGCATATGCACGACGTCTCCCCCTAGCATTGCTTTGAAGCAACTCCCCACACATGTCCCATGATCCATACGGTACACATCAACACTCGTTACACGGTACTTTTGGGGCCAATGAAAACCAAAATTTCATTAACAATTCAGTTTCTATTTACGACGTAAACAATACTTACGTTTCTCTCCGAATAGTGCATATCTACCGTGGTCGAATACACACGGTCAATGAGTGTAGATGTGGATAGGTGGAATTATTACCAATGGTCATTAAAAGCGTATTGTGTAAAATTCATACCAAAATGGAGGTGGGTAGGGAGTATATTTAAGTAGAAATAGGCCCGTAAATCATGGCCTCGGACATCTCACTATGCTTTTGTTTCAGTACGCTTCATTACAATTCAGTACACAGAATATTTCAGGCCCATTTAGTAAAAGACTCTAAGACAACGGCATATATTGATTTATCCTTGTAAGCGAAATACAACGCGGCAAGCACGGCTTGCATAAATCCAATTGGACTCGTTTTATCTATATTACTGACCAGGAATTGTAGTTTAAATGAGGACTCCTTATACCAATCTACTTTCCCAATTCCAAACTTTGTTCTCGCATTAGTTCAATCTTGAACTCATTCTCGGACCCCGGTTGCTGGCCATTCCCATAGCTATGATGCTTCCACACCTGATTGCCTCGATCAATGAGGCTAGGGAGATTATCATGGATCCTAGTAACACTGAGAACAAAGATGTCGCCCAGCTTCGTCAAGCCTGCGTCTCGCTGGCCAAAGACTTGGAGAGCCCCACCGACAGGCTCTTAAAGCAGGCTTTCCAGGTGCGTTCTCTTTCCGTATTGACCACTGGAGTCTAGATGACGAGGTACCTCTCATTTCATTCTAACTTGACTAGATCCAAGACTTGATTATTGCCAGAATGGGCATCCAATTGCGAGTTTTTGACCAACCTCAATCTATCTTTGGGCCTAGCGAGGTCATGGGTTTGAGCGGGTGCGATTATGCGTTAGCCTGTAAGCCTGGGCGACTCTTGCTTTTCCCGAGCGTTGGATGAGAAAAATGACTGAAATGAGATCTAGCACGCACCCTGAGAGCATTGGCTAGCTTGGGCCTTCTCGACGCCACCGAAGAGGGAATGTACAAATTAAACCAATACAGCAAGTCTCTCGCGGACGGTGGGATGGTTCGTGATGGTATTCTATTGACAGTGTGAGTCATGTATATCTTAGTTGGCTTTGGTTTTCTGTGTCACAAAAATCTCACTGTATTTTAGGGATCTGGCACTCAAAATGTCGGCAAATACTATCGCGTTCTTCGAAGACGGCGGGTACAATAACCCAGCAAATTTCAATCGTGGCGTTTTCCAGCACACGTTTGGGACGTCACTGTCCTTTTTCGACTGGCTCCCGTCTCAGCCTCAGCTGCAGGGTGCATTTAACCGTTTCATGGAGGCTACTGCGGGTGAAGGCACTCCCGCGGAGTGGGCTCTGTGGTTTCCAATTGAGCCAAAGTTACAGGAACTCTATGAGAGATCTCAGAAAGACAAAAAGGCTTTGACGTTCGTCGACGTGGGAGGAGGTCATGGCCACGAGGCTAAGGCAGTCATGAGTCGATTTTCTCACCTCCCCTGTCAATTCATTGTCCAAGATGGCCCAAATTATGTGAACAGCCATGACGCTGACTGGGAAGCCGGAGCAAAAAGCCTCATGAAACGCATGGAGTATAGCTTTTTTGATAAGCAGCCGGTCGAAAACGCCCATGTTTACTTTTTGGGCAAGGTACTGCACAATTGGCCTGATGATAAAGCTCTTCAGATCCTGCACAATATCCGTATAGCCATGGGTCCAGATTCTCTTCTACTCATCTACGACTGGGTTCTCTCCGATGACCCTCTCGATCTGTCAACGGAACAGACTCGTGATGACTGGGCTATGATGACTCTCTTTTCCGCCCCAGAGCGATCCAAGTCAGGATGGCAAGCACTGTTGCATTCGGCCAACTTGCAGCTGGTAAAGCTTTGGGAATCACCTGTTAAAAATGGTGGCCGTTGGGCGTCACTGCTTGAAGTTGTGCTCAAAACTTGAAACTTGAATTCTTTCCCAGTCGACAGCCTGCAATGAAAGACATATCCATGATGGGTGCCTCGGGCCGAAGATCGTAGAATTCACGCTTTTACATATGTACTTAGCAAACACATCAAATACGTAGTAGGACTTGAAATGTGTCAATTAAATTGGTTCACACTCTAATAGAGTTCAAAATTTCCTAAAGAACGTTGGTATGCCTCAAAAGCGATTAGACAGCCATATGTTAGGCCCGGTGCTTCCTCGTATTGTGTTAAGAGCTGGCATGTCTACATATAATGACAAGACTTTCCGTTCGGTCCCAACATTCTCTTGAATTACAATACATACAATCATGCTTTGCATGGCTTTAGATAGTAAACTTGGGATAATGGGTTCTATTTGTTGATTCTACTGTATGTGTCTCGTCTATGGAGAATGAGTACGACTAGCAATAATTGCGCGATACATCAACGAATGAGTCAATCACTCAGGAGAATTCTTGCTCAAAATATTCCCGCAGCGTCAAAAGGGTTTCTCGCCCTTTTCCTCCTTTGGCTTTGAAAGCAGCTTTCTTGAGCTGGCTAGAGGTTCGGGTCTCAGTAAGGCCATTACCATAATACTCGCCATCCCGTAACTGCGAGTATCTAAACAAGGCGCTGTGATCCGCATTCTTCAGGTTGTCATATGTTACCCCGAACCTAACCTCAGACAATTCACATGAAGTGTATCGTGCCTTTTTTCCCGTGACTTAATGAGTGTGAGGTGAGCTCATGGTCCCTTAGTCTCGTCTGATTTATGTGACTTACCAAGTGAAAAGATTCGAGTCATCTCTCCAAACGACATTGGGTCGGCCACCGCTTGAACCGGCCTGTGATTCCATCGAATCGGATCGAGAAATATGCCATGAACCATGTCTCCAAAGTCATCAGTTATATTGACCCAGGGCACATCTTCAATTCCACCCCATAAAGGTGCGCGGCATGTCAAGTATCCATCCTTGTCCATGTTGCAAGGGAATCCTCCCAACAGCGTTTGCATAAGGGGGTCTTGCATATTCTCCATGAACCAGCCAGGCATGATGGGAGTAAAACTGTCGAATATCAGATTGCGATAGACCCATTCATAAACTCGGGCTTTGACTGAGAGAAAAGATGAGGGGACGGGGTCAGCAAGGTAGAGGATGAACCAGAGGTCAGGAGAAGTCAGCATTGCTTACCATCCAAGTAATCGAGAGGTACTTTTCTATTTGTGAGCCGCTCAGGATGAGGCTCGGAACTAAAGACAACCTGTTTGATCCCCGCTGCGGCCGCTGCAATGAATATATTCTTCCCCAGACGTTCTGCTTCCTCGATATCGGCACCCTGGGTAGTGGGAGACAAGACGGGGTTAGCGCAATTGCAATTTATCAAGGCCGAGATAATGGGTCACAGTCGAACTTACATAGACACTGTAGTTTACAAAGAGACCCCAGCAACCTGAGAATGCATTCTCCAGCTCTGAGCGTTGTGTGGTGTCAGCCTGGATTACTTGAGCCCCGAGGGACGCGAGAGCCTTTGCTCGGGGCGACGACGCGTTTCTCGTAATACATCGCACTTCGAAGGCCTTGTTATCCAAAAGTGAGTGGGCGACAGAACCTCCCTGGGTACCTATGTAGTGTGAGAATCTGATACGGATGTCAGGAACAGCCGACTCACCAGTCGCACCAATGACCGCGATTGCTCTGGTCTGCTTCATTGTCCTAACTACCCTAACTACTGGAGGAAAAAGAATGAACAAGGTAGCCTCAACAGAAAAACCAAAGAAATATGGGGCTTTTCTCAATCAGTGTAAGTCACGGGTCTTGAGTGCAGTGCCGGTGCTTTTGTAATTCCACAGATGTTAGCAACTGGGATCCAGCTGGGTCGAGGCCAGGATTCCTCCTCCGGAAAGGAAAGCCCTACAGGCTATGACATGTATGTCACAGGTATGAGCAAGCAAAAAAACCAAATCGTTAGATCCAGCTGATGAGGCACATGAAGTAGCGAGCCTCGCAGCCATTCTCTGCAGAGTGCTCAAAAGGTTACACCAAGCTAGCGAAATATGTGATCCACGCCAAAGTATGTCTGCGCTTTGAATCAGTCAGATACCGCATCTTCGGTGGTAATTGTATGTGATCCCGCTACAGGTGATGACAGATGTATTGCATTCATTAGGGCCACCATCAAAGTCTGTGTAACTCAAGACTTTGACGATCCATGGCAACGTGCAGTTGCGGAGACAATATCCGCTAGCGCATCGAGCTCGGATCAAGTATGGTATCCACATGCCTACATGCGTCGTTACACATGCTAGTCGCGGCATCAAAAAGCAAAACGGCGGTCTGTCTCATGGCCATCTTCAGCACGAAATCGAACGCCATGTTCCGTGCCCCCAATCTACGGCGGATACTAGATCCTGATCTGGCGGGAAGTATCCACGCTGGACTTAGTGGCGCAGCTGAAAGGATTTGAAGAAACCCTTGATTACCTCTACTGTCACACCGCACTAAATGCTGGGAATTGGAACTCTTTTTTTTTTCCGCGGTATGGGCCTCTCGTTCAAAAGGGTGATTGCATGTGTTTTGGCTTTTTATAATTCCTGAATACAATGGAAACTATTTTAGCATAGGATTTTAATCATCGCTTTAGGGTTTACTCGTCGTATTTCTTGAAATGTAATTGATAAATGTCTCTGAGAGAACCAGTAGTTGAATGCAATGAATTATAGCTATATATTCCAATCACCGCTCAAATTGGTTCCTATTACTGAAAGATCATGGTAGTGTATATGAATTTCAAGCGTTTCGAATTAAAGTGATATATTTGTTATGTTCAAGCCACCTGGGCATGAATGCATGATATATTGCACAAGACTACATAATATGCCATGCACCAATATCTAGAAATGTATTCGACTCAAAAAACAAGATACGGAGTTATGCATTTTCTCAACACTTGCTAAAGAGGGTAAAGATGACATTGTGGGTATTAATTGGCCCGTAAGCTTTCCTCGGGGAGCCGTTTGTCCCTATCACGACCTAGTCAATTGCATTGTTGATCCCTGGTCAATTGCATTGTTGATGTAGCCCATAGATCAGGTAAGTGATCCGCTGTGTGACCATGCATGATCCAGAGCTACATGATCTACGATTAGATAGAGGGTCGTCCGTACGATTTCCGCATCACTTTTCATCGCATGGTACGACGTCAGCATTGGTCTATCACATGGTACGACGTCAGAATTGGTCTTTTCTTTTCATGCTGATGATTAGCAGAGCATAAATGGCTTCTTTTTTTCAGAGAAAGCGCCACTTGAAATGTTTGTCAGGTACAGCACTGTAAGGGACTGCACTGTAAGGGACTGCACTGCAAGGGACCGCCATCATTTCAATAGTGCAGTATCGTAGCTTATTGCAAAGAGGCTTGGCGAATAGCTACTCTTGATGACAGTTTTAGGGAAGCCAGGTTGAAGCCTAAAGCTGTTCAGTTTTAACAATAGCTTGAATATCAATAAATTCTAACTTTTTACATCTCAACTTCAAGTAACTCTGAATTATCCTTTTTTGACCTTCGCATTTGAGAATGGTTGGGATACAGCAAGATCCCGAGGGTCTCATCGACCCCTCCTCGGGGCCTATCGCGAAGAACCAGGCAGGAACCGGACTGCAAGTCTCGGGAGATTGCTCATTCCCGCAATCAAAGGACTTGACCGGTCAGGGAAGACAGGACTACAGCGATATTCGACACATTCAGTCTGTGCTAGATATCCATGGAGGAGAACACTCGAAACAAACAACTTCGTTTTTGGTTCTGGCATGGGCTATCCTCCTCAAAGAATACAACGTATCTGAATCTTTCCTTCTCTCGGTTCATGGGAACAGAGACTGCGTGCGGCATATCCCATTCAAAGTACGGCCAGCATCTTCAATAGATTCAGCCGTGAAGGAGACGGCAGAATTTCTCAGAGGGTCCAGTCTCCCCGTTGAGTCAGAAGCCCAGACAGAGGATAACGAAGTAGCCTCCCGTGTGACACTGAAAATTATGAACTGCCACGATTTTCCACCGGAGGAACGTGCCGACTTCCTACTCCGTTCGAATGAAGCCCTACAATTGGTATGCTGGCTGCAAACCGATACACCCATAGACGCCCATGTGTACTATGACGCTATGAAATGTATTGATGAACAGGCACGGCGGTTTTTAGATCAATACCAAGGGATTTTAAAACAACTCATGCAGCAAGATGAAACCAAATCCCTCGGAGATATCGATGTGATTAGCGGCCAAGACAAGGCCGTTCTGATAAATTGGAACTCGAATGATATTATGAGATCGCAATGCCTGCTGCATGAGTCCTTCCAAGCAAAAGCTCGTGAAATCCCCACCCAGAATGCGGCTGTCAGCACTGAGGGATGCTTAACATATGCCGAATTGGATGAGCTCTCTTATATTCTCGCTGCGACTCTGGTCGATCGTGGGATCGGCAGGGGAGCAATTGTCCCCATCTTATTTGAAAAGTCTGTCTGGGCTATCGTCGGCATATTGGCCGTCATGAAAGCTGGCGCGGCAAGCACATCGACATGTGTGAGCCATCCAACTTCCTATATTGCCAAAGTGATAGAACAGACCGGTTCCGCGGTGGTGCTGACTTCGGAGAGCGAATACGACCGATTGGCGCAGTTGAAAGATGTTGATGGCCTGATTATTTCAGAGAAAACATTGAAATCATTGCCCCAGCCATCAACGAGCTGGCAGCCCCCGAAAGGCAATGAAGAAGATATTGCCTGCGTTCTGTTCACGTCTGGAAGTACAGGTCAACCCAAGGGAGTTCTTTTAAGCCACCGAGCTATCAGCACGACGATGCACCACCACGGGCATGCCACGGGTATTGATGGTCCACCAAAGACCCTCCAGTTCTCGTCATATTCATTTGATATGGCCATCTATGAGATTTTCCATGCACTGGTGCGAGGAGGGACAGTATATACCCCGTCAGAGGAGGAAAGATTGCATAGCCTCCCGTCTTTCATCTCGAAATACCAACCGACATGGGCGTTTATTACGCCCACAATGCTCAGAAACTTCACTCCCTCCGACCTTCCGACGATGGAAACCATTGTTGTCGGGGGCGAAGCGGTGGGTAATGACCTGGTCCAATCATGGGGTGATAGGTTATACAACGGCTTTGGGCCGGCTGAAGTGAGTATCTGTGTGGCAACTCGAATGAACCCACGATGCTGGGTGGATGGAACAATAGGCCGGCCTGTTGGGTGTATTGGGTGGATTGTGAGCCCCCATAACATGAACATCCTGACCCCAATTGGAGGAATAGGCGAACTTCTCGTGGAAGGACCAATCGTTGCTCACGGATACTTGAACGAGCCAGAGAAAACCGAACAAGTCTTTGTTTCAGCTCCCACCTGGAGGTCTACCTTTGACATTCCACTTCGCGGTGCATTCTTCAGAACCAGCGACCTGGTTCAATACAATCCGGACGGCTCGATGCGATATTTAGGACGAAGGGACAACGTTCGAAAAGTCAATGGTCAACGGATAGATATCGAAAACATTGAATTCACCCTGCGAGAATTGGAGACGAACTTGGATATCTCAGTGGATGTTCTGATGTTGCCGGGCGCCCACCGGCAAGAGAAAGTCGTCGCGTTCTTCGCGGAGAGGACAACTGCCAAAAAACCGAGAGTGAAATTATTGTGCAAAACGGATTCGCATGCAGAGATGAAGCGTTACAGTAGAGAGGATGCGATTCGAGATGAAATGAGGCACCTTCTGCCGCGGTACATGATCCCTGCCATTATGGTTGAGCTCCCACTTTTACCCAAGACAGCTACTGGAAAAGTCAATAAAAAACAGCTCGCCAGTATTCTCACCGGGCTAAACAATTTCGAGTTTACCAAACTCCTTAAGTCCAGGGCGAATGGGAGACCCAAGCGAACTGCGCTGTCCGCAGCCGAGCATCAAGTGGCGTCTCTGGTCCAAGAGACATTGGGACTCGACATGACAGATTTAGATATGGACAGTACCTTTGTGCACCTGGGGGGGAGATTCATTGGCCGCGTTGAGACTGGTTAGTCACGCGCGAAGGGCTGGAAAGTCTCTAAACACCTTGGATCTCATGCAACACGATCTGAAATTATGGGACTTGGCGGGAAGAATTCAAATGCGAGAAACAACAACTTCCCCGGATGAGCCTACTGCGATCCCATATTATTCTATGCTCCCGGAAAATGGAAGTGATCGTATCAAGATTTTGAAAATGGCCCGAGAGCAATGTGGCATTGGGGAGGAGTCCATTCAGGACATCTACCCATGTACACCTATTCAGGAGGGTCTTTTCTCTGCCAACTCCGTTGGCTCCGGGGCTTATGTCGACCAATTCATGCTAACGCTATCTCCCGAGGTCGACCGGCTCCGCTTGGTGAAGGCATGGAACAGCGTGGTTCAATCCAGCGACATACTGCGAACCCGCATCATTCAAACATCCATCGGGAACTACCAGGTCGTCACGGCCTACTCTGAGCTCTTGGTGCAATGCTACGCTTCTCAGGAACACTATTTGGCAAGTGAAGGTTCTATGAAGATGGGTGCCGGAGCTCCTCTATTCCTCGTCGGTTTCATAGACCCGGACACGGAGTCCAGAGCAGAGGAAAAGTACGGTTCCATGCCAAAGGCACGGCTCGTTGTCACTATTCACCATGCAGTATACGACGGTTGGTCGTGGGAAATGATGTTACAAGATGTGGAAGCCGCATACTGTGGTGAATCACTGCCTCTGCGGCCGTTCTCGGGATTCGTTTCCTTCCTTCAAGATCGAGATCTTGCTCGTGAGCAGGATTTCTGGAGCTCCTACTTTCTCGATCTCAACTCGGCTGTCTTTCCTGAGTCCCTCGCGAACAATCAGCCGCCCCAACTCCGCACCAGATTAGCCTACCATCTCTCTCTCCTGCAGAAGTCCCAGTCAGGGAAGGGAGAAAGTGATCCGTCAGTATTTACTAGCCCTCAGGTGACCCCAGCAATCAGAGTCCATTTGGCATGGGCTATCCTTATCTCACTATACACTCAGTGTCCTGATGTGGTTTACGGGACCATCAGCAACGGAAGGCTGTCCTCAATGACGGGAATAGATGGCATTATGGGGCCGACGATGGCCACCATTCCTTTTCGTCAAACGATCGATCCATCTATGCGTGTTGACCAGGCGCTTCAAATGACACATGCAAACATGCAGTCAACCCTTGAATGGCAGCATGCGGGATTGCCCTCCATTTCCCGTACCAGTCATGATGCATCTTCAGCGTGTATGTTCCAAACCCTGGTCGTGATCCAGCCGCCAAAGGCACCACTGGAATCAGCGGTTTTTGAATCTGTCGAAGAGCGACTGGGGGCAGACGGGTTTATTCCGGGGTATTCGGTAATCCTGCTATGTACCCCTGGCATGATGGACCAGAGTTGGGAGTTAGAGCTCCTATGTGACGATGAAATCGTTCCCCGGGCTCAGGGGGAGCGTATTCTTCGTCAGTTCAGCCATATCCTGGCTCAATTGCATGAGGCAACGTCTATTTGCATTGATCAACTGGATCGATTATGCTTAGCTGATCAGGTGCAACTATGCGAGTGGGAACTACCTGGACCCAGCCGCGTTGAGTACACGATTCATGGCCTCGTCAAAATCCAATGCCAGATTCGCCCAAAAGACCAGGGGGGTTTGCGCCTGGGATGGGTCTTTCACGTACGAAGAGTTACAGCAGTTGTCTGAGATAGGTGCGATTGGACTGCGTACCGTGGGCATTGGGGCAGGGGCTATTGTTCCTATTTGTCTGGAGCGCTCCAAGTGGCTGGTCATCGCCATTTTGGCCGTCATAAAAACCGGAGCAGCGTTTGTCCTACTGGATCACAATGCAGCCTACGATCGAAACCAAAGCATATGTAATGCAGTAGCGGCACAGTGGATTGTAACGTCCTCTGCATGTACGAAATACTGCGAGAACTTTGCCCCTCAACTCCTGCTGGTCTCCGATCAGGTGGTGCCAGGGGATGGCATGCAGCCACCGACTGTGGACAATGAAGTAGACTCCTCGCACGATGGCGACCTGCTCTATGTGGTGTTCACCTCCGGTTCGACCGGAAACCCCAAGGGCGTGGAAATTGAACATGGATCTTACTGCTCTGCCCTAGTTGCGCAGCGTGAGAAACTCCATATTGGAGTCGGTAGCCGTGTCTTGCAATTGTCTTCATATGCATTCGACTCCTTTGCGGTCGAGATATTCACGACGCTGTGTAGCGGCGGCTGTGTCTGCATTCCATCTGCCGAAGAGCTGGCTTGGGGAATTGGTCCAACAATTCGGCAATACCAAGCCGAATGGATGTGCCTTACTCCGTCTATGCTTCGGCTCATTGCACCTTCTGACGTTCCCAGCGTGAAGACTATAGTCGCCGTCGGGGAGACGTTACAACCATCCCAGGTCGCAGTATGGGCCACCGCAGTCACGTTATTGTGCGGTTATGGGCCTTCTGAATGTTGCACCGGAGCAACCGTTCACACCATACACGGCAAATCTGTTGACCCTCGCAATATTGGGAGGGGAATGGGATGTTCGATATGGGTGGTGGACCAGCATGACCACAATCGCTTGATGCCCATCGGGGCAATTGGAGAATTAGTCCTCCAGGGACGCATCGTTGGCCGCGGCTATCTGAACGAGCCGGAAAAGTCCAGTTCTGTATTCTTGGATAAAACCGAATGGACCAGCAACATGGGTTCATCTTCTGTGGAGAGGTTGTACAAGACAGGCGACCTGGTGCGGCTTAATCCCGATGGGACCTGTCTCTTCCTCGGCCGGAAAGATCATCAAGTAAAGTTGCGCGGACAACGCCTCAATTTAATGGATGTCGAACACCATTTAACGGAAGCTCTCGGATCCCAGTTCACTACGCTCATGGCGGACATAATCAAACCGAGTGCAGGCGCAAATGATGGAGACGGTCATCCTATGCTCGTGGCAGTGGTTGAAACGTCAAACGAGGAAATGTTCAGCACTTCCAGTTCCACTTCCCAGGTTCATTCTAGAAATGGGTCCTTGTTTGTTCCCCCAAATTCCCGATTCGCGCACACAGTCTCCCAAGCTGAACAGGAGCTCTCGGCCACCGTGCCGGCGGTGATGATTCCCTCTCTGTGGTTCCTCACGCGCCAAATGCCGCTCACGATTTCCGGCAAAGTCGATCGACGTAAGGTTCGAGCCGCGGCTGAATTACTCTCCCCCGAGATGCTCTTGTCTCTCGGATGTACTGGTGCCCAGGCGAGAGATGCCCCGTTGGCAGCTACGGAGACCACAGCGTGGGCGGTGTCTGAAGTGGTGGCTGATGTTCTTCATTCACGGTTGAAAGTGGACAGAAACCGTGTGGTGGGGAAGAATGTTACACTGTCTCGCACTGGCCTGGACTCTATCGATATGATGGCTATCTCCGTGGCGATTTCCAGCCGCTTTGACGTTCAGCTGTCCGTGGCACCACTCTTTCGAGCCGGCTTAACCATTCGCGACGTGGCTCTCATGATCTCGATGCCACCTGCTATGCAAGCCCTGAAGCCCGGTCCGTCAGTGACAATGGACCTTTGGGCAGAGTACCAAATTCTACGAGAGAGAATACGTAGCATTTGTGTACAGTCACGGAAATTGCGGGATTCCAATGGTCTCGTCGTAGGCCCAGATGAGAAAAATGCTCGAACTGGGCACGTTCTGTTAACAGGTGGCACCGGCTTTCTTGGGACGCATATCTTGAAGGCTCTGCTTGAAGATCCTCGGGTACAGTCGGTCACAGCTCTTGTTCGCGCCGAGTCAGACACGGTGGCGATGCGGCGGATAGTTCAAAGCGCTCATGTCGCAGGCTGGTGGAAAGAGTCCTACCGAAATCATATCCGGGCATGGAAGGGATGTCTGTCCAAACCTTGTTTGGGGTTGTCTGAAAGTCGGTGGAAGATACTGTGCGGCCGTGGAAATTTGGAGGGAGGATTCGACAGTGTGATTCACAACGGCGCCTGGGTTCATTGGGGCCAAGATTACCACAAACTTCAGTCAGTCAACACAGAAAGCACGGTTAACCTGTTACGTGCCTTGACACAGCTGGCATATCCTGTGGCATTCACATATGTCTCGGCTCTCCTGCCCAGCTGTCCAGTCGGGGATGACGATCGTAGTCTGGCCAAGGTTTTGTCCACCGCCGATGGATACAGCCAAAGTAAGTTTATGTCCGAACTGGCGATCAAAGAGTTCGATCGAAATTCATCCTGCAATAATCTGCACGTGAACATCATTCGGCCAGGCTGGATAATTGGATCTACGGACATCGGGATGGCGAATGTGGGCGACTATCTTTGGCGTGTGGTGGGCTCCGCTCTGGCTTGTGGTGTGTACAACAATGAAGAGGACCCCAACTCGTGGATCTACATCTCTCCTGTGGACCTCGTTGCGGGCTTGATCATCAGTCAGACTCTTGATGGACCTCGAGCCTCAATAGAGAGTCACACTGATGGTCCTCAATCTCCCCAGATCACGTCCATCATCGATGGCCTTGCCGCAACGGATTTCTGGCGTGCTGTCTCAACAGCATGCAGCCAGATGTTTGGCAGCCATCTCCAACCTTGCCAAGGAAGCAGCTGGTTACACCGGATGAAAGGAAGCATGATGGCAGTTGGGGGGGGAGCATCTGCTTTGGCCGGTGTTTGATCTTCTGGAATCCGACAACGGCCGTCTGGGATCCTCCTGCACCGATCCTATTGAGCTCCCTGCCACTCTGCGAAGTCTCCTCTTCCACTCAGTCGTCCAAAATGTAAAAAACATTTGCTTGGCAGGATCGTTTGATATTGAGAGTGGATTAAGGCTTGCGTCGTCTGACACATTCCGTCGGAAACCTAACTAGAAGCAATATTGAAAGCGTCTCGGCCTCCATGGTTTGGTGTTCCCTGCTACACTAGTAGTAGTAGTTCTGTTTTTCTACCCGTAGTAATACCAGTAGCACCACTGTCAAATACTAGTATACTAAAGAAAGACTCAAAGTGGTGCAATGAAAGGATTTGAGCCACGCTTGATCCAGCTCATACAAGTCTCAACATGACAATTACCATACGTAGTAGAACTAGTACCAATATGACCCCTCCCCATTAAGGCCTTATTCAATCAGAATGACTTGCATTAACTGGCACTATCCTCGCAGCTTGCCATAAATTGTTCCGATCCTTCAATTGAAGCTTCTTCAATCTCTGGAGCCAGTTCAGGTAAAGCCGTGGATGCAAATGAGGCGAACGTGTCAATAAGAGCGGCCATAATCTCACAAGCAATTTCATCTTCCTTACTTTCGTGGAAGGCCATAGTGGTCTTCATAGACTCACGGTCAGGTTCCCCTGGCAGATTTGCTTTATAGGAAAGTTCAAATCCACTGGCCCCATAATGCTGAGCTAGGACATGAGGTTTCACCTCTCCTGTGTAAGCATCGTGGTACTCGTACTCCATAAGATTGGTGTGGTTGATGGCCACATAAGCATAGGCAAAGGCCGTGGTCCACATCCACGCGTCTAGGTTGCCCTCGGTGAAGAAAGAGTCAGTAACACTGATCGTCAAATCACCTTTATCAGGCTGGTGTTCGCTTTCGCTTTCCAGCCAGTATACGCTACTTACTGTCGCAGCTTCGGTCTCTTCTATCTAACTAAAATACTAGTTAACACTAGCTATTATTACTAATATTATAGCTTTAATATTCGCTATAGAGTTATTTCTTTGTTAAGCCACAGAGGCTCTACTCACTTATTCGTCCAACATTATTTTGTATTATCTGACTGTTGCTATTATTTTACTAATACTCTATAGGGAAGAGGAAGCTTTAGATATATAAAGGGCTACAGCTAAATTGATTCAATTAAGCAGTGCCTATATACTGTTTATCTAAAGCTTGGAGAAGTATAAGAAAAAGAGGGTAACCCACAGCGACTAAGTATCCTATGGAACTGATAGATTACATCACACAGGCCAAGCCTAGGCCAAAGATCGGGACCTGGCCCGTTATACTTACCCTCTTTAACACAAGCTCTATAACAATTAGCTTTATTAAATTATTAATAAAAGCTTAAGAAATAATACAAATAGTTATAACTTATAACAGATATAGAGATTTAGAGATGGTAAAGAGATATATAGTAATAGTTACTTTAATATATAAGTTACTAGTAATAATACTGGAATGATAATTTAATATTTACAATTTAGGGAAGCTATACTAAAATATTAATATAATTATACTAAGAAGTCTATAAAAATAACTTACCTATCTTAAAGAAGAAAATAAACAGATATGAAAACTAAGTGGAAGAAGACCCTAAGAGTAAAAGATCAGATAGAGAAATAATGAAGAAGGAAGAATAAAAAAGAAAGGAAGTTGTAAATCTGCTAAATATATACTTGACTATTTTGTAGAAGTTACTACTATAATAAACTACTATAATAATAAATTATATAGCTACCGAAAGAGACTAGTAAAACAAGCAATGAGTAGCGTTCACGACAAAGAACGAACGTCCCTGAGAGTGACACAACAACAACATAATATTGATTGCCTTTTTTATTTGTTCTTCGAAAGATTAGACTGAAAATAACGTGTACGAACCGTGTCTTATTGTCCGAAAGCTTACAGTATGGGATGATTACTTTAAAACACGAGGACGTGGTTTCGCTTAGGTGGGGGAGGATGTGATCCTGGAAGTGCCTTACAGGCCTATTTCGGTCACCGTACTCTAGTGACCTTAGTGTATATAAACCTGTAACCCTCCGATAGTAATATAACATGCCCTTTTCACTCCTAAAATCTCAATACTAGATATTTATCTAAGAAAATAAGTTACTCTAACTTAGTAAAATTATACTATTTTTGTACAAGTTAATATCTATATAAAGTATTAAACTTCTTCAACGGGATCTAATAAAAGGATTTCTATTTTTTTATCATACATATATATACAGTATCCAACAAATTATAGACTTTAATAATCCGCTAGTTTATTCTTTAAGTACAGCCTGACTTAAGTAAGGAAATTAATAAATAAATCAGTAAACATAACACTTTGTACGGTTATTATATTTAACTAGTCGACCATTCCAAGGACATAATTTAAAGTCTTTTTGGTTATTATAACACTTCAAAGTATTATACACAATTTTACAATCCACATTAAAGATAGTGGCAACTTATGTTTATAATTTACCACATTGAAATACGGTAATAATGGCTGCTCGCGTAGATTCAGGTAAATTGGACCCAATTCTTCGATTTCCGCTAATAATATTCCCAAATTCACGGATATTACGCGTGGAATTAGGTATTGTGTTGGTTGAGTAGATAGTTTTGGTGGGGTGATGCGGAAAGTGGGGAAGAACTTTTTTGACACGGAATGTACACCGGTTTAATTATCGAAATTTTGTCATGGTCAGCGCAATCAAATTCGGCCTGCATATACACAAGACGGCATTGTTTTGTCTAGAGCATTCTATGCTTCAACTGACGCATTCGTCTTCAGGGATTTTATCGCGCAGCTTCTCCATCAGTGTGGGAAATGGCCCGAGCCAAAGTCTGTGCTAGTGATGGATAACGTATCCCTTCATCACTCGGACAGAATTGAACAAATGACAAAATTCTCTTAAGATTTGACGTGGGGGTGGGACCGGTGGCGCTATTGAGTTGACCCAATCCGACTCCCTCGCCAAGCCTTTTGTTAGCGGTGGTGGACCCGAGTATACTTAGGGCCCATATGGGGACGCGCTTAGAAAGGTCTTGGTAAGATGGGGTTCCCAGTCAACGTTGCCCCCGGGGACGGGCCCGAATATATTGAGGTAACACTGCATGATTATTGGTACCACTGCCTGATTATTGGTACTACTGCATGATTATTGGTACTACTGCATGATTATTGGTACTACTGCATGATTATTGGTACTAATGCATGATTATCTACTGTACAATTGTTTCACCACTTCAGAATACCGCGGCTTCGGACCTTGACATAACCGGATCAGCACTATTCCGTATCTTTACCACGGGATAATGTTGCTTCACATAATTTATTTGCCACAATTAAGTGGCTCACTCATTCTTTAACGTGATGAAGAAGTTTAGTGAGCAGGATCTCTTTCGGTAGTATGAGCAACCTGTAAGGGGTGAGCCGCCCAGCCCCCAATGCAAAAAAAAAAAAGATATTCGGGTTTGTCCCGGATGCTTTCAATTCCTTTATCAACGAAACTAAGTTCTCTTCAAATGTCTCCGTGTCGAAGCCACAGATTTTCAGTGCACTGGACATCGGTGACGCCCAGGCCAGGCAGCTACAAGTGAAATTGAGCATACAGCAACCAAGTACAGTGAATTGACCACCAGAAGATGGGACTAGGCTCTTGGTTCAGGGCTCGGCGCAAACAGCCTGCAAAAGTATTGACAGACGAGGTCATACCAATTAATGAGTTGCCTGAATACATGGACGCAAATATTGTATTAGCATTCAAATTCGATGATATACTGGAGCCGGACAAGTTGCGCCAATCTCTAGAGCGGTTGATGCAAATTGGAAACTGAAAACATATGGGAGGACGTCTGCGACGAGGGGTTTGCTTCTTTGCTACCATTATACTAGTGCTCTGGCAATAACCCCTCTTATAGTATGACCCTGATGGTCCCAAATTTGAGCTCTATATTCCAGCGCAATATGACGCTTCCCGCCTGGGTTCATCTTCAGATCGTCAGAATATGATAACAGTATTGCGGATCACCCCGTCGCCTCGAACTTGCCTAAAGGAAACGACAAACTCGCCTTTTTGGGCTCGACACGAGTTCTTGAACCTCTAATACGCAGAGCAGTGAACCCTAAAGGAATTGATGATCTAGTCTATTCGGACCTCCCACCGCTGTTCGTTGACCAGATCAACTTCGCTGACGCAACTCTAATGTTTGTGACACTCCCATACTACCTCACGGATGGGATGGGGTTCAGCACTTTCCTTGAGGCATGGATAGCTGTCCTCCATGGCCATGAGGATAAAGTTCCTGAATGTCACAGTTTCGTCGATGATCTACGATCAGCGATGCAGGGCTACAGATACTTCGAATTCATCAAGAAAGAATAGTTCTTTTCCATGAAGGTATAAATCCGGCTTGTCGAGTAGATGGTCACACAGGGCTTCCAGCATGATCGGAGTGATGCTCTGTCGCTGTCCAGGTTTGATAGGAGGGGCTTTGACACTACCGAATAGTCGCAGGTTCGACCGGAATCTGATAATAGCGTGCTTGCTACAGCCTGCAGCTTTCGCTATCTGCGAGGTAGTTAGTTCATTACTGGCAATCATATCATAAAAACACGAGAGTAGACTTGGCTAGGTTGGGAGCCATGTTTGTTGCCACCAGTGGAAGTGCCAACCAAGAAACCCCAGATGAGAATTGAGAAAATGGACGTGGGGCAATCAGGTTGCGGTTTCTTGCCTATGGGCAATAAGCATGTTTCCCGCTAATAGCCACCTGAGATGCGGCACACCGCCTAACAGGTTGACTCACACCCTCAACCCGCGGTCAACGGAGTTTGCTCGTCAACGCACCGCAACATTTTTTTTATCTTTGGTATATATTATGAGGAAAAATCTTTTGTGGCTTGCCCTGGCCCAAAGCAAAACTAATTTTATCAGAATTATAGATATGTTTCGGCAGAGTATATCTTAGTAGAGGTCAAACATCGATGTCGACCACGAGGACTAGAAAAGATATAATATCGTGCGAGGTAATGTTCCGGAATAAGTCCAAAAAAATTAAAGTGGCCCTGATTTCGAGCGGCCCTGTACTTCACGATTTATTTACATAGAATATTATCCACTGGTAAATCCATTGAATCCGTAAATCAATCTGTGTCTTCACGTAACGAGATGCTTGTCATGTTTGGCGTAAAAGCCAAAAACGACGATATTTGATCCCAGGTTCGAGGACTTTGCCACCACTACCAATTTCTCCCTCCATCCTAATGCGGGTACTGGGCCATACACTACCACTCTGTGCTGTTTTAATTTTCCTTACCATCCACCTCCCCATCCAGGTCCCCCACCACCATGCCCTCCTCCAGGTCCCCCACCACCATGCCCTCCTCCAGGTTCCCCACCGCCATGCTCTCCTCCAGGCCCTTCCCATCCAGGCCCTCCCCATCCAGGTCCTCCTTGACCACCCTGACTATTTCCTTGAGTCTCTTCAGTTCGTTGCTCAATCCCTGGACCTGAGGAGATTGATTAGTTATTGATATCCTCGTGTCTTGATACAACATATCACAAACCGGGCTCTGGGCCAGGTGCAGCAGCAGCAAACGTAGTGCCTGCCAGACAGATAAGGGCAATAAGGTAATAGAATTGCATGATTGTTGATTGACTTGTTTGTCAGGCTATTATATTTCTATCAAAAGGGGCTATAAAGGAGACTTACTAGGGTTCTCTCGGAGCCAGTGAAGCGAAGTGATCGCAAATATTGTTGTCTTAAGAAATTGTCGGAAGCATCACGAGCCATTTTATATCTCGAGCTTGATTGTATTTCTTTCTCCTCGAAATAACCAATTTTCAGGGATTCAGATGGTGAATTCAAGCTGTTGTCTGATATCGTCCGAAAATTCCAGGATCAAGACCAATCATGATGCTGCCTTTTCTTCCGGCACTCGAACTCAAATCAAGGATTTCCTTGCTTGGGCCACTTTACCTTTTCGGCTTGCTTGCATAGGTCCCGTAGATAATCCATGTAACTGACCATTATTTTTGCTGCAAAAGAGCTCATTGGTATCAATGGACAACTCATGTCATGCTAAGAGTTTTTGTACGAGTTTTTTAGTGACCTATAAAATGAAGGCCTCTTAGTATTTCTTCTTGGATTCCATAGTCCAATATAATATACAAAAGAGCAAAAGCGAGTGATCCATTTCATGCCTACGGGGCAAACGCTATATATTTGATACCCACTAGCTTGAGGAAATCATTCATTAGTACTACTGGTGGGGTGGGGTTGGGTTTATTATTAGTCTATCTACCCGGTCTGAACAGACCATAGGATCCGACATACACTCCTAGATCTACCCACTAGGCTTAATGGAAGATTGCGAATGGTTAACCCTGGGCAGGTTCTCAAAACTCGCCGGCCTTGGCGCCTTGGCAGACGGAGAGTTTATCTGCTCACCCACTGGGAAATTTTTTCAAGACCTACTAGTGATTATGCTCTTATTTCGCCATGATCGCTTTAAATAAACTGTCATGCTTAGTCAAAGTGACTCATGAGAAAACGACAAATCCATTGTAAGACTAAGACTGGCTGCATGACCCGCCCCCGAATGAGAAAGGAGTGCGATGAGCAACATACCATATGTACGTGAATTGTAAGTCGTAATGATTGGCCTTACTGATATACTCACAATGGTCTTAGCTGACTCCGGTCGCAGGCAGGCGGTCCAGACGTCTGACTACACACGCTAATCATGTAGCGCGTTTTTCGCGTCCACCCCCCAACCTCTGCTTTTCAAACACCTGTTACACCACCGATATGCGTCAAGTCAACACCGAAATAAGTGCTAATCAAAGGCCTGGAGCAGAGGTTTTATTTGACGCCTCGTTTGCTATTATAATTGATGTGAATGTGGTGTATCACCCACTAAAATCGCTTCCGACATAGGCGTTGCGCGGTCTACAATATACAAAACAATTGAACGCTTTCAACAACAACACGATACAAAATCAAGGCCTCGCTCAGGTACCGCTAGGATATATGACCTCTCAACATTAAAATACACCGTTCTCCTCTAGTGGTTGACAGTCGATTCTGAACCAAGCTATACAATAATACTATTTCTCGAGACATTCATGTGAGAAACTCGCGCCATTGAGAGCCACTGGGAGTAAGAGCCACTGGGAGTATTGTTTCTTATGAATTTTTTGTACGAAGCCGGATTGCATACAGCATGACCAGAGATTCCAAACTTGCGTACGCTTCGAATATTTGACGACCAATCACGTTAGGCAATCTAATACCAGTGTTTGTTTTGTTGATCTGAAACATGTTCCAATGCAGACTTCCAGGGGATTGTTGGGGTGGGTGTTTCCAAGGTTTGGGGGTCCATAATGTGGATTTTCGATGCAGACATGAACAATATATGTAATCGAATAACGTAATTTCAAGTCAATGTATCACCTGGCGTGTCGTAAGCTTGGAATTTCCTTAACAATGTTGTTGTACAAAGACCTTTTGAACACCTGATCCCCTCGCCACTACTTAAATACGTCTGTCCAGCCCGACTTTTCCAGTAATGAATCAAACGGATATATTGTGTGGCTTTCTCTTGTACACTTTGCGTTGCAAGCCATACATGCAGACTCGTATGCAAGTCCCAAAATGTTCGCATACTCAGTTTCCGTGTCTTTTTGAAGCTTCATTATTTTCTTGGTAGATGCGTGAATGCTCAATAAGGGCCGTCTAAGTATTTGGTAGCTAATAAATAGAGCTCTACAAGCGTACCGATTATTTTCTATCTAATGAAGTATAGCAAAGGCAGACTGTGGTTAGATAAGAATCACAGATCTGATTGCAAGTTGCTCGAAAACGGACCAGTCATTTCTGGAAAGAAAGCTGCCGACCGCATCCATCTCTCTGGGTGCATCTACCGTGGACGGCATTATATTCGCCGGTAAGAAGTTACAGCTCAGAATATAACTCAAAGATCTATTCCACGATCCTTGTACGCAACAATGCCATCCAAAAAACGTAGAGAGACCGTGTAAAATGTTTCATGACGTCGGATGTCATTTTTATTTGATGCAGAACCATACTACAGCCGTTGTTGCTTGCCTGAATTTGAAGCTTGGATGTCGGAGTGAGTAGATTACTATTTGAGCATTTCTAAAGCTGCCACCTGAGAACTTAAAATGAAATTTCCTTTTTTTCCTTTTTTTTAAAAAAAAGGTAAAAAATTATGCAGGCTCGATACCTATGGCATGTTTGTTATTTAACAGTTATTTCACGTTAAAAGGTTACGTACGAGACATAAAATGGATATTGCGAAACGCTTCAGACTGGGTTTTGCAGATAGGTTCCGCTAGACTGAGAAACCAAGGACTAAATCTATCTCTTATTTCTTGTACAAAGGAAATATCTAACCCAAAGCCTAGCGATAAGAAATCCTTATTTATATATGGGCAGTATTTTACCCCGCGGCCCCCAAAGCCCTCTTCTTTCCTGACCTGAAAACCCAAAGCTTCCTTGTGGAACTTACCGGGCGGTATTTGAAAAGCTGCGCGTGACCACGAATGGAATTCAACCGACGAAAGATGATGGACTGGCCCTGGATCAAAAGTTCCGGTACCACCAGCTATCAGATTTTCACATGATAGAACTCAACCTTTACCGTTTGCTTCTCGAATACTCCCTAAATTACCCTGTATCCTAAGCACTTATGGCTAGCCAGATATCAACTCCATTTTACTAAGGGTATTGAGTAGGAGATGAGACACTTTATCAAGATATCTCTTCCGTTTCACTTACTTCTCGCCACTTATGTAAGAAATAAAAAGGATAATAATTTTGTAAGATATCTAAGCTATGTATCTCACGGTTTCAACCTTACGTAGATAGTTCTCCTTCCACCTGTTCATTATTTGTTTTAAGAGATACTAATTCATTCAAAACTCTCTCTTCTCAATACCATATCTCTTGATCTTTAGCTCAGTCACTTCCTTTGGATTTCTCGTTCCGTCTGATCTGATATATAATTCAAAATTTCCTTTCAATCCTCGGCTAACTTGCTCACCATAGCGAGATCTTTGCATCATTCTTGATACCTATTCTGCCCTCTAGTAATTGCCGTTTACCAGTACAGGATTACATTGTCTAGAAGCTTCATAATCAGCTAATAGTGAGCGAATGTTTAGTCTCCGTTTCTGGAACCTGGAGAAGCGAAGCTGTACTTAGGAACTGACTAGCCATCGTTTAATGCGCGGCGAAGGTGTCTGCGCCGTAGTCTGGAGCCGTGACGGACGCTGGGTCGTCAGTGGTGGTGGAGACGGTGTGGTCAAGGTCTTCTCCCGATGACCGGACGACGAGACGAAAGCCTTTGTATGATTTTTCTTCCTTCTTTCTTATCTTTTTCTTACCCTCTTCTTCTGTCCATTCTGTCACATTCACATCCCTGTCTAAACCCGCGCTTGTGTATTTTCTCAGTCTTCTAGGCGTGATATGATCCCATGAACCGGATGAGCGATTTGCCGGACCAGTTTCTTTCGAGCATTTGCAATGGTGTCCCATCCAGTTGTCTGTCATATGGTATCCTCTTCTACCTACATGTGTACTTTTGATCCTGACGCCGATAATATGCCGTCTTAGCAATGATTCCCTGCTACTTTGTAGCCATCGCGAATGTGTGCTTAGTAAGGACCATAGTGAATGGTCATACTTGTTGATAATAAGAGCGAATTCCCCAAAGACGTTGTACAGCCAAATAATAACAAAGGATGACCAATATCAAATCAAAAATACATCCATTCCAGGCTCCTTCGACAATAATCAACAAACTCGCAAATAAATATTATCCACAACATGCATCTTCTTATATGCTTTGCCTTTGTCACCAATAGCCCGCCGCATATATTCAAGCTGGTTTTCTCCCTTTATCTCTATATAATCGAGTACTCGTGGCCCTCTTGACTTATGTAGTGCCGGAGGAACCGCGACGTCTCCTTCGACCGGAGGAGCTGCTCACAACAGATGATTCATATATAACTCCAGAGCTGGTGTTATTGCCTGTAGCACCAGACAATTGACAAGCACGCCAGAGCCAGATAAGAAGCAGCGTCCCTGAAATCAAACCGAGGACGATACCCGCAATACTACGACTAGAAATGGTAATCGGGCAGCTTTCGCCACTACTCGACTGCCTTGTTACATGGACAGAACCAATAGGAGCCTGCAATGTTTGTCTAACCTGGTCACAATTGGAAAGAACTTTTCAATGAAGACTATAAAAATGCAAAGTTGTTCTTCGATCTATGGCAATTGTAACAAATCCGGCTGGATGTTTCTGCTTCATGGAATCTCCTTTAGTTCTATAACGCCAATTTCGAGTTCCATGTCGATAAACATGCCTCTCTCCTAGCCATTGACGACAACACCACCATTCGGATGAAGACTCTGTCCAGAGATCAGACTGCTATCCTGGCTCGCAAGGAACACGAAACACGTGGCAATTTCACTAGGTTGACCTGGTCGACCCATTGGAGAAGTGAACTGCTCCTGGGCAGACGTATTCATAGTCGCCGGGATCAGAGGAGTCCACACTAATGAATGTCAGAAACACTTAACCTAGTAACTATTGACATCATATTAGTACTTACCAGGTCCAGGACACACGGCATTAACCCGAATGCCATTTTTGATCTGTTGATTCGACAGCCCTCGAGTGAACGAGATGAGCGCACCCTTTGTTGATGTGTAATCCAGAAGGTCCGGTCGACCAATGTAAGCGTTTATAGAGGCGCAATTAATGATAGAGGAACCGTTCTTGAGGTGCGGCAGAGTGTACTTTGAGAGATAAAAAACCGAGTCGATGTTTGTGGCGAATGTTTTTTCCCATTGATCCCTGTGATCTTGTAAGCGCCTGGACTTAAGAAATTCTTTTGATCAGCCTACTCTGTTAGATCTTTAATATCCTCGATCATGTTCTGAGTCCCAGCATTGTTGACGAGAATATCAATCCCTCCCAAGTATTCCAAAGCCTTTTCAACAACTTTCTTACAGTTATTGCTTTCACGCAAATCTAATGCGATTGTATAGCATTTCTGACCATACTCCTCGACGCTTCGTACGGTCTCCTGACCATCTGACTCTTCTTCGGGCAGATATGTGATCAAGCTTGAAGCGCCTTCCATTGCGTAAAGTATTGCAGTCGCGCGGCCGATGCCTGAATCACCACCAGTGATAATTGCCCTTTTTCCATTCAGCTTACCAGCTGCTTTGTACGTCTGGTATCCATTGTCTTCTGTCGGGAGCTGGGTGTTTGTTGGTTTTGGGTCTGCAAGTTCCTGCTGTCGACCAGGCTTTTCAAGGTGTTGGATAGGAACCTTGTGGCCTATAAGGTTTTCAACAATCTGTTTTAACTAAATTTTCTCTCGACATGCACCAGCCGATTCGTAACGCACCTTGCTCAAATTGAGACTGGGGATTTTGCGGGCCGTGTTGAGTTTCCTGCTGCATGGCGAAAATGTCCGGTGAGGTAAAGGAATCATTTTCGAGACTTTTCGCAGTCTATGCATACCCTATATGCAGCTTTCTTGTGTCAGTATGACGTGAAGAATTGCTGAACTAGGGGGGTAAAATATTCTGGATATTTTAATCATGAAACCTGTCATCAGCGCTTTACCCAGCTTTCAAACATGGAATGCCGCGGCAGCGAACCAGCGTATCAGCGACCGTACGAAAAACAGGAATGGACCGCATGAAACTCAAAAGCCGAGTGTAGCAAGATGCGGCTCCCGTATGACGTATAATGAAGTCAATTTTTTGATGGACTTTTAGCTATAATTCTAGCCCTTCCTTCAAATATTATCATGTTCTAACTATTTGGGGGACATTGTAAACCGTTGTTATCGACGCCGCTTTTTCGCGGTCTATTTTTCAATTATGGCAGATGGTGTCATACAACTTCAATGCGAGTGCAAGGTACGACAATTCGAGTTTAAATTATGCATAAAGTATGCTCACTGACATGCTTTAGCATGATGAATGGGGTAAGAAAGGCAATGAATCTCTCGCCGGTCGTTTGTGGTCACAGATGCCCGGCGCAAGCCCGCTAGATGATTCAGAAACTTACTCGGAGGTTGGTGCTTCACGCGAATCATACTCAATAGCTCTTGGGGAAACTTATTCTTCAAATCGATAGATGTGGATGGGTACCTACCCTTCTGTGCCGTCTCGACTTGCTTCAAGCGGCGAGCTGCTTTCCGACCATGTGAAGAGGAACCCCATCCTACTTGGGGAAACATACAGTGAGAAATACGGAAGAGAAGTTCCGTTTTTGCCAAAGGTAAGGGCGTAATTTTTATGATTTTTGATATCATGATGTCGGACTGATCCTAATAAAATCAGATTCTCTCCTTCGCGAAGGCCCTGCCGCTGCAGCTACACCCAGACAAAAAGTTGGCCGAGCAACTCCATGCGCAAGATCCCATCAAGTTTAGGGATACCAACCACAAGCCTGAGATTGCGGTCGCGTTGACAAGATTTGAGCTTTTTGTCGGTTTTAAGCCCGTTGGAGAGCTCGCGGGCATATTAAAGCTTGGTCCTCTCCAGGCAATCTTGCCCCAGCATGACACTGTCAATGAGGCAACTTTGAGAGAGGTCTGTCGAACTCTGCTGCAACTTTCATCGAACACAGTTTCGGATGTTGTCAAAAGTTTGAAATCCACTCCTCAATCAGAGCTCGGAGAAAAGAATCAGTACATACCAAATCTCTTGGAAAGATTAAGCGAACAATATTCGGAATCGGACAATGGACTTCTAGTCGCCTCACTGCTGATGAATTTCATGACACTGGAGCCAGGCCAGGCTGTGTGTGTGCCAGCAGATAGTATTCATGCTTGGTTATCCGGGGATATTCTTGAATGCATGGCTCGATCAGACAATGTCCTGAATACGGGTTTCTGCCCTCGCGCCAGCAGAGACAATATCGAGCTGTTCACATCAGCTCTGACTTTTAAGCCACATGACGAAGCGGCTGCACTGTTACCAGCTCAGCCAAGCTTGATGGGAATCAACGAGAAGACTGTCAAATACACGCCTCCGTTCAGTGAATTCAATGTTCTAGCTACGAACTTGGCTGCAAAGGAGTCGGAGACTCATACCGATTTGCAAGCTCCTAGCATCCTAGTTGTGACTGGGGGTTCAGGAAAAATGAAGGTTCTCGGGGATGGGAAAATTCTGAATTTGGGTGAAGGAAGCGTTTTTTTTTCTGGCCCGGATGCCAAGTTGCAATTTGCGACTGACAATGGTCTTACAATATATCGGGCTTATGCTACACTTTAACGAGAATATCATGTACATTGAAAAAAAAAAAGAAGGAATTAGCAATTGAACTTACGGTACAAGTGCCAGAAGATTGAATTTAAAATGTTGTGTACATCTATCTGCTCTTAGATTTAGATGGAAAAGAAATCTTTAATAACTTGAAAAAGTTGACAATGAACATTGTTACGATTTTGATCCCATGACATACGCAATTTCATTTAGAGTTGTAAAGACAGTAATAGAATTATCCGAAATTTTTAAAGAGATCCAGCCACAAGAACATAGCCGCCATCAACAGGAATGGTTTGTCCGCTCAGGTACTGATTTGTAGTGGCGAAAAGAATGGCACTTGCCATATCTTCATCCTTTCCTGGTCGAGCTGCTGCGGTCTTTTGTTCATATTTATCCTTCGGAATAAAACTCTTTTGTTTCTCGTCGCTGTCAGATGTAGTCATCTCACTCGGGAAAACGCCAGGAGCAATATTGTTGACCCGGATTGGCAATCGTGAGGTCATGACCTCATGGGCTAACATTTTGGTCAAATGAATGGCAGCAGCCTTGGAGGCATTATATGCGAAGTGATGCTGGGAAACCTTGACAATTCCTGAGATGGAGGTTATATTGAGCACGGTACTGGACCATCCATGCTCCTGCTGAGAACCTTTCTCAAGTAGCGGGAGGAATGCGGTTGTCATGAAGAAGAGCTGAGAGACGTTTGTGCGGAAAGTGTCATCCCATGCACCGATATCGCCTGATGGATGCTCAAATAGATTCTGGCGAAACTCTTCAGCATTCTTGGGTTCAGTTTCTTGTGCGCCTGTGGAGATCCCAGCATTATTGATCAGAATGGAGAGAAATTTCTCGCGCGAGCTGATTTCTTTCACAAGCTTGTCAATTGATGCTTTGTCGGTAACGTCGGCGGCGATGGGAATAATTTGACCACTAATATTTTGATTATATAGTCTAGCGACCTTGTCAAGTTTTTCCTGTGTCCGGCCAGTGATATACACTTTTGCACCGTTGACAGAGAGCGCCTGCGTGGCCATGAGACCGATTCCCGAGCCACCACCGGTGATTAAGGCCACTACTTCAATTAGCTCTCATCCTGAAGTCCGAATTTGTTTTACGCTACCTTTGTCCTTAACATTGAAAAGATGTTCCAGCTGGAATCTTTTGTTGTTTTCCTGAGCCTCCATTGCAGCGGATGATTTCCAATTGGTCAAGCAGTAATTTCGTCGGTTGCCAAAAAGGTCGCTATTTCGAATCCAGACACTTGTTGCAGATTTGATGCCTGTATAGAATATTCGACTAGACTTGTGTTTTCAAATAGTTGCGTATTATGGATGGAAATACATAGTATGACATGATTAGTTACTGGTAAATTTATAAAGAGTTGCTATGAAAGACAAACTTGGATTTCAATTATGACGGACACCATTCATAAAACAGGCTTTAATTTCCTGAATATTAAAAATCCGGAATTTTGTATCGACTATCCATGTTCTTAGCAGTCCTGTATCTGTAGCTAGATCAGAATGACGTTACTCGCTTGCTTACCTCATTACTATCTACCCGACCGCCTCGCATGTCCCGTGGTCATAATATTTAGTAGGACGGAGCATTTCAAGTTGAGCCTTGATAGTCAAGTAACAGGATCCTAATTTAGCAAACAGAGAATTGCAGTCTGGTTATATGTTTTTGGCACAATAGCTTTTTGCAATCTATCTACTGCAGCCTTATACGGCCGGAATCTGGAAGGATTTAACAGAGTACACACACACTATAACGCCCGGCGGCTGAACCGAAAAGGCAACTATCACTAATCTAAATTTATATACCTTAGCTAATGCTGTGACTCATTGGAGCCTCTACAAGATTCTTTTCAGCGCGTGTCATCTTAGATGTTAATATCTGTACGAGTTCTTGTAAGTTAGTATTTAGTTAGTAGACTGGCTTGAAGGCGCTTCTCTAAGTGTTCAATATCCTATCCTCGGCAGTTGAAGCGCTTCCACCGTCTTTGGCACAAGGTAGTTGGTAGGGTTGAGATTCGGGTTAGGAGAGGGTACGATTGATCTGTGTTGGTCGACATGACCAAGTGGCGTCCAGTTGGCTCGTAACGATTGCAAACCGTATTAAGGCTCGCACTGCTTCTAGATTCGGCATCCAGTTCTGATCATCCAACAGTGACTTTCCGCCTAGAAAGAAGGATATATTTCCTCCGTAAGTGTAGATACATTGCAGCATTCTTGTCTGGTGTGCGGTCTACTTCTGATATCAAAAGAGAAAGTGTTCTACGGTCTCTCTTACTTGTCCTGTCCACATACATATTGATCTGTCTTAGCGATGTTGATTTGATAAAGATATCTGTCAAGTCCTACTAGACTAGTCCGGAGTTGGGTCCAGTGCCAGTAGTGGCTCCAAGCTAGTCACGAGTACCCATACGCCTTGGTTCTAGAATGCGATATAGATGGACTGGTGCCAGTTATCGTAATTCTAGGAGCCCCTAAGCTTGAAAATGTCAGTAAATTGAGGGACATTTAGGTTAAAATTGTATCGGTCGGGATGTTTCAGAGGAGAACATGGGTGGTGGGTGAAGCCCAGCCATTGCACATCTCTGGAGGCCCCCTTTCGAGAGATAATTGGAAGGTACAGTGTACCTATATCTCCTTGCCAATTCCAAAATGAGGCCCCATCGATCTGAGGTTCTGGACAATCCAGTTCAGTAAAAGAAATGGGGAGAGGAGAAGATACGGAGCACTGTAATTGCAGGCGCATTCTATAAAATCTATCAATAGATTGGCTAGACCATATCACGTGACGAAAATACTACTACATACACTCCCACGTGATCTATACTTAAAACTTTAATTGTTTCTCGTTATTTTCCGGCATGCCCCAGTCACGTGGGGAGGCTACGCCTCTAGCCAAGCCTCGATGTCTGACACGGAGTGAAAGGCAGTTTTCAGCGACCGCACGACACGAGCACATTGTGACTACTGAAGGATTTACAATTCATCTACCATTGCCAATGATCCAATAACATTTTTGTGGCTCAACGGGCCCATGAGGCAGACATGGCCGAGTCCGACAATGGACCAACCGGCCGAAGCATTCCACCAAGCAAGAAAAGGTCATGGTTGCCAACTTCTCTGAGGCGTCCCTACCTTTCTGCTCTGGCTAGCTTCTTTATTTTAATGGCACTTTCCATCGAGGCTCTTCGTCAGTACTCAAATCATCACCATGGGATCATCCATGTCAAGTCATACGAGGACCTCGCCCGGTTTACCTCAGGGGTTTACACATATGTACCCACAGCGTTTGCAATCCTAGCAGTGGCGTTATGGAATGTTTGCGCTTTGGATGTTCTACGACTGGAGCCGTTTTTTCAACTCGCCAGACCTAACGGTGCCCCCGGAGACATTCTCTTCACCAATTACTGCTTCTTTTATGGCATCATGGCACCCATCATGGCGATCCGAAACCGACATTGGATTGTAGCGGCGGTGTCATCGACTTCAATCATTCTACGAATGATGTTGCCCTCCGTATTGTCTGGCCTTGTGAACCTTGATGAGCCAAATATCGTCTTCGCGAGGCATCTCGATACCTGGCCCAGTCTGATAAGCCTAGAGTCACAGAACACTTTACTCGCGAACGTTGCAGCCCATCGCGGGAATCACACCGCACCCCATGTGGATACATTCTTTGCCTATCAAGTACCTGGTTATTCCATGCCGCCCATCTCAATGCCAGCACACTCCAGGCCGGGAACGGGAACTTCAACCTGGAAACTCAACCAAGACATTTACTGGTCTGACATGAGTTGTGTGGAAACCCATTCCAACACAGTCATGCCTGGGAAGATATTTGATTCTACAAATGGCATGCCACTTTTGGAATGGAACATTCCCAACTTGTCGATTCAAAGCTCTTCGGGCACTAAAGTGGTTTCCAATTGTGACATCAAAATATCTCTGAACAGCACCTACCCGCCCGACAGTCGACTGCCTCAGCTTATGTACTGGGAGCCTCTTGGCTTCTATGGAAATTCCAGTGCAACTTTCACCTGGGACGGTGACGGATGTACGCCCCTTTCACTATTTGGGATCTCCATCGACGTAAACCCCAGGTGGAACAATTTATCATCTAAAGCCAGTGTCTTCGGCTGCACAAGCACATATCTACGCTCTAATGCTGATATAACCCTACCAGCAAACACATCCATAGCCACTTTGGCGAATATATCGAGCTCGACAAGATCTCTCACTTCTATGGATCTCGGCCTTGCAGAGTTCCAACGTATGCTTTTCACGAGGCTTCCTCGCGATGGTCGCGGGCGATGGAACCAAAGAGAATCAGAGTTCACTTCCTTGGTCTCCGGCTCCGATAGTTCTTTGGCTGATCCCCAGTCCGATCGTATCAGTCTCGCTGAGTACCAACGGGACATTGGTAAGACTTGGAATCATCATTTTGTTTCCTCAATGAACCGATTCTTCAAGACAACAGCAGATCCAACTCGGATCCCGGCCAACCACAGCACCTTGACCATCATATATAGTGTCACATCTCAGACTGCTACTCTAGCCGAGGTTCTTTTGCTATCGGCAGCCCTGTTGCTCCTGGTGATGTTCTTTCTATACCCTTTACGACCAAACTTTCTTCGTTCAGATCCTGGTCCGATCGCAGCGCAATGTGCCCTTGTGACAGACATGTTCTCCTCGCTAAGCCATATCACGGATTCTGGAATGGATTATTGTCGTGCAACTCCTCGACAACTTCGCCGCTTTTCCCGGTCTCTGTGGTGTAAAATGATTGATGGGCCTGATGGCAAGCACATCGAGATAACCCCACGCCAGGGCCAGGCGCCCAGAGCAGAGAACCGAGCTCCGGGTAGAATGCAACTCAATACGCGACCGCATTTCTTGACGCCTCTTTGGTTTCTGATAGAATGTCTGCTCATGACAGGTGTACTCATTACATTCGGAATATCGTTTCAATTTATTCGTCTGGATAAATTTGATACATCCGACTCTACAGGCACTACGGTACTTTGGCTCTTCTTGGACTATGGCCCGACTGTTGTCGCCTCTATGATCAGCTCTCTCTTTGTCTCCGTCCACCGACACATTGGTAGCATTGAGCCATGGGTGCAGCTCCGCGAGGGAATGGCTACATCCAAAGAGTCCTTGGCGGCTAATTTCGGTTCTCACACTCCTCTGACGATTTGGAGTCAGTTTCGTGACAGAAGACCACCTCTCCTCGTCATTCTTTCTGTGATATGTATCTTTGACTTTGGCCTCACCATCGCCAGCAGTGGAATGTTTGAACCCTCTGTTGATACATGGACGGACCATACTAAAGTTGTCACCGCACAGTATAATACGTCGGTATTTGGCAATCCATATATTCAGACCGAATTCAGTGGAACCAATTTGATTTCCGATGTTCTGCTCATCGGAAAGCCGATGCTTTCTTGGAATACTGCCAACCTGTCGTTCTACCCCCTTGGAGTAAATGATCCCGACGCCCAATACGTGGACCAGGCCATCTATACCGCTCAAACGCGTGGGGTCGGGGTCGAGCTTCAGTGTGGCCAGGCATCTTACATTCATAGCTCGTCCAATTCCTCGTATTGGACCTATAATGCCTCCGTGGACGCAACAGTATCAAGTTGTACAGCAGAGATGCAATCGCCAGGTGCGCTCGATACGTCATCGAGAACATACAACGGATCGCTCTATTTCAGTACCGCCTTGAATTCAAGCCGCGCTTGTCAGATGTCTTTCACTGTTGGCCTTGGAGAATCAAACGATACTCGAATTTCCCGTGGGGGTTTCTCGACAGTCTTCTCCTGTAGCCCTAAAATCATACTTGAAGATTTTCGATTGAATTTCGACATTGACGGGATCGTTTCTTACTACCAGCCTATACATGCTAGCTCGATCACGAGTGGGCAAATGTTCCAAAATGCCTCGGATAGCATATTATCATTCAATAGTGCTTTTATGCGATATGCCCAAGTCGACAACTCCTGGAACGCGCTTGTGACATCCCAAGTCTACAATATTCTCGCTTCTGGCTCCGCTTCTCAAGGCTCTTCATCGCCACATTCCCACACCCATCGGCCTACTCATAAGCACCATCATAAACTTCCCCCGACAACTGAATCTCAAAAGCAAGCCCTCGTCATGCGCACTGTGCAACTTGCATATCAAACAGCTTTCAGTACCTACATAAGCCTCCAGCGGGATCTCTACCTATCTCCTCTTACACTTTCAGGAAACACCAATAGAAGTGTCCCTGCTATCGTTACATCTGCTGTGTGGTACATTGAACCATCCAATGCAACAATTGTTGCAATCATCGTTATCCTTTCCATTGATCTTGCCATCCTCATGAGTGTCTTCTGGCTACGTCATGGGCATTATTCCGGCCCACCATTTCCTCGTTCAATCGGATCTTTGATCCCTTGGGTCCTCCACAGCAGGATGTTGAACGATGTGCGCGAAACCAGCACCTGGAGTGGAGAAAAACGCAATGAACACTTACGAAAACTTGGTCATCGGTACAAATTTGGCAATCTTGGCAACGCCGATGCTCGGCTCGGCCTTGATTACGACGAGAAGCCTGCGATAGAGGAGGAGGGTCATGAATTGGGTATATACGGACCACTACAGCCATCCAGAACCGGAGAGCCTGATATTAATTCGACTGATAGTGGCGGAACTTTGTTGAGCCATTCTGTACATAGTTCAGGCACATAGAATAGATCTTACTTTCGTCAACAGTACATTACACCATATAACTTGAAATAACTTTCAACTACCTTATCTTGACTCTGAAGCGCTATCATATTGCCACCTGGGCATTTTCCTCTTTTAAAATCAGGACAGGGCATATATTAAAATACCTCTACAGGATATGACTGATAGAATTAAGACATCTGAGTTACTCCAGTATATCTGAAAGTATTTGACGATCTTCCAAGGTTCTTATGCACATGCCACCTCAGATTGTCGGCCAGCCCCATTCTATTTCAATGTTCCATGCGGACCCCGAAACCTCGATTAAAGCTCAAATGAAATCAAAAGCAGGACGACAGCGGGGAGTTTGCGTCAAGCCTGTCTAGTTTTCTCGGTCGAAATGCTGATTTGCTTTCAATGGCGCTTGGCAGGGCCAGTGGCCTGAGAGAGAGATGAGGACCAGGCTTCTGCTTGAGCGCTTTGAATGGCTTGGAGGTCCGGAGTCAGCTGTTTGTACAAGCTTGCCTGAGGGGTTCCGGTAGCTTGGAGAAACTTGGAGTAATCCACAAGGTATTTTGACTCGGCTGCTTGTATTGATGGAGGAGATGCATAACTAAGGTAACTTGCTGATGCCGAAGTTGGGGTTGCTGAAAATGTGGAGGCCGAAGTCCAGCTGGTGCCGGAATTTGGCGCTGGCATGGCGAAGGCAGAACCTATAAGGCCCATAGAGATGAGAGTCGGAGCAGTCCAATGCATATTTTTGATCTTGGCAGATTCGCGTAGCTTCGAGAATACTTCACGTTGTTTGTGGCGATTTGATTTGAAGGGATGTGAGTGGGATGATATATGTACTATTGCACGAGGGATGAAGGAACTTGCAGCATCTTTATACTACTAGATCTTGTCGATTTTGGTGGCATAATCAAGGTAGATACTACTACTACTACTATGACATGGCTAGGATTCTGACATGAATACTGTAGCCTGACCGCCGTGACAGAAATAGAAAATGGCTCATCGATATGCGTAGATCACTAGGCTGCCGGGCAGTGCATCGCCCCCGGGCAGACCCCGGGGGTGGGGCGATGGCGAGGCGATGTATTGGAATGGTAAGATCTGTGGAAGAAATCCCGCACCGCCCGGTGTATAACATCATCGGGCGACCCTTAAGTATTAATAATTATGTATGACGTCTCAGTCTTGTGAGCTTAGCGTATACATATGTAGAGCACAGCTCTGTAACATACGGGCGCCTTGGGCCAGATGGCTAGACTGCCGAGTGTACTCGTTGATCTCATTTGTGCATGTTATAAACTTTATGGCCAGCACTGCAAGTCGCAGGACTTAAGGCTCGCCACTCATGACATCGACAATCGATATGCTGGCAATGCCTTGAAATAGAACCAAGTTACAGATTGGAATAATGCGAATTGCTTATTCATAGATGAGACGGCGTGAACTTGCTGGGGTACTCCCAGTTGCATTGCTATACGCACAGGATGCCCGGATTAAACAGCAATTTGGAGCGTGCAGGACGGACGATCATTGATTCGTAGGCCACATCCATCGTATTTGAACAAGTGAACTCTCATATAGTAAACCTCCGCACAGTAACATATCTTCATCGCTTTTCACGCGTTGAGTATGCCTTTAAATCTTGATGTACTCTGGAGAGATATGCAGGAAGTGCGGGTCGTTCGTTGCCTTCGACCGGCTACCCGATCCCTACGCTATTCCGTACTAGTATGCACGTGCGGCCCAGGGTGTGTCCAAGCCGAAGAAATCAAATCGAAATAGTTACGGAAATTGAATAAGAGCGGTACAGTTGAAATAATTCATTAACAGTATAAACATAATGGTATAATGATATCATTGGAAGGACTTATCCAAAGTCCCAACGAACCTCATATTTCAGAGGTAGATGGGTCGGCACTGCCTCACCGCATCTTTCGTTTCACATCTTCTATCCCCTCTATGCACAACCACTTCTCTATTATTAACACAATTAATCGGAGGCGTGCTTGTTGTCCTCACTCTCGCCGCTGCTTCCAATCTCGACTTTCTCAGCATCAGCAGCATGGTTGTCCGAAAAGGTCAAGCCCAGCTCGCGCTGCATTTCAGAGATTTGCTCAATAGAGAGCTTGGGCATCTCCTGGGCAACCTTGAAGGGCCACTTCTTCTCAATATGAGCCTTGGCGAAGATGACATCGACTTCCTCCAAATCACGACCAGCAGTCTCGACGTAGAAGAAGTAGGCGAAAGGAATGCCGATAAAGTTGACCAGAGCAAAGAAAAGGTAGATACCCCAAGGACTCTGGGAGGAGAAGACAGGAGTGAACATGACGACAGCGAAGTTGGTGATCCAGTTGGTACAGGTGGAAGCGGAAGCGGCCATGGTACGAGTGCGGAGAGGGTTGATCTCCGGGGGGTAGATCCAGGGCAGAGGAAGCGTAGTGAAAGCGAAGAAAATAATAAACAAGAAGATACCGACAGCAGCACCCTTAGCACTCTGTGTGGTGTCGTCGATGAGACAAGCCATGGTGATGATGAAAGAGAGACCCTGACCAGCAAAACCAATCAGGAAGAGATTGCGGCGGCCAACTCTCTCAACCATGAAGAAAGAGGGAATGGTGGCAAGTGCATAAACGGTGGCGAAAACACCACCAATAATCAAAGCCATCTTATGCTCCATGTGAAGGTTGTTCTCAAAAAGAAGGGTAGAGTAGTAGATGGCAGCGTTACATCCAGTGAACTGTTGGAAGAATTGTCCGGAGCAACCAATCATCATACGCTGGAACTCCTGAGTCTTGCCAGTGGTGAAAAGAACCTTCCAGCTAGAGGCCTGTTGGGCCTCAGAAGCCTTCATATCAGCCTTCATTAGGTTGAAATCGCGAAGCACATCCTCAGCGTCGGGGGAGCTGTCGTTAAGCTGAGCCATAACCTGGAGAGCCTCTTCATCCTTACCCTGCATGATAAACCAGCGAGGAGACTCAGGCAGCATAAGAGCACCAACGGTAACCATAATGGCAAACAGGATCTGGAATGCAACAGGGAATCGCCATTGGACGGAGGTGTCGACGTAAGACATGCCGAAATCCAGCCAGTAGGCGATAAAGGTACCGACAGCGATGATAGCACCCTCAAAGCAGACAAGGAAACCGCGGTTGTGGGCCTTGGAGCACTCAGATTGCCACACAGGAATAGTGGCGGTGTCCATGCCGTTTCCTAGGCCAGAGATAACACGGCCGATGACGAATTGACCCAAGCCCCAGGACTCGCCAAAGGCAGCAGTGGAGAGAACGGTACCCAAAACCATCAAGAGACCACCGGCGACCAGCAGGGGGGTACGACCAGTACGTTGACCGAAGCAGAGGGTGAAGATGGCGCCGAAGAAACAACCCAACTCATAACAGGCAGTAACAGCACCCTGCAGAACAGAGACATGTTCTGCGCTGTGGCCAGGGATGTTCTTGTCGAGAACGGGGAATTCGTTAATGAAGGAAGAACCTTGCAAAATACCGGACATCAAACCCTGATCGTAACCGAACAGAGAGAAACCGACGACGGAGGTGAAGGTGATAGCATAGTGGAGCTTCTTGCCTCGAAGGCCGGAAGTGGTTGTCCACATCTTGAATGATGTCCTTTCTTCGACAATGACCTCGACCTAACTATATGAGGGAGGGAAAGGAGGGACTGAGACGACGAGAAAACGGCACGGACTCTGGGGGGGGGAGGGCGACGCTTTTGTACCTTTTTTTCAAATGTATGCGACATGCGTCTGCCTCTCATTGCTCTGCGGGCGTCAGGGCCCGGCCCCACGCGTCTCCATCGATTGGGTGCGCCAAGGGGGGGAAAAGTTTGAACATGACGACGGCGGCTTGGGCGCCCCAGGCAAGTCTCGCGACCCGCCGTGGAGACCAAAGGCCTTGTGAGTGGACTAACGACGTAGGGAGGGGCAAGTTTCGCGGGTTGCCGAGAGGGCCAAGCGCCCCGTCTCATGCGACTGGAGGCTTACTTTTTTTCCTTTTTTTCTTTCTTTCTTTTTCTTGGATTTTGATTTTGGCTCACTCCTTTCGTTTGCGGCCGCCACCAAAATGTGGCGGCTGCGGTCCGAACGTGGCGGCCGGGAGCAGACCAAGCATGGAAGGGGAAGGGGTCAAATAAATTCAAAAATGGAAATTCAAATAAAAACATAGTCCATATGGAGTAGTCAGCGTCGAGAATGACGATGTCGGGGCCGAAAATTGACCCGTTGCCAAGGGTAAAGAAGCTCCGCTAAGAAAATGAGAATGCGCTACCCGTTCGCGGTTGTCGTAGGGTTAGGGTCAACTTGTACTCGGTATACTCCGTAGATTCAATCGACTGTGCCTTCATGAATACCCATGCCCGTGAAACGGGTTGGAAAAAGAAAAGTAGTTCAAAGCTCCATTCTTTTCAATTTTCAAACTAACTATACTCATCCAACACAAGGGTCATAGCAATGAACATCACCATCTGTTCTTCCCCTTGCCAGCCCTCGCCTCGTGGGGGTGGATCACTTCCTGGAGCGGGTGGAGGATCACCTTTTCGGCTGCCGGAAAAGGAATCTCGCCCGACCCTCCACGGGGAAAAACGGGGGAGAGACTGGAAGAGACTGGTGGGCCAAGGGGCTAAAAAGTCTTCTTTGAAGCCACTCAGCGTTCGCTCAGGCTCTCCATAGTAAAACCAACCTTGGTGAAGCGAACCGGGGCTGGGCCGAATCATACCGTTGGATATTAATCATGAAACTCGCCTCAGTTGCCTCTTTGTTTTCTACCGTCGTAGTCCCGACCTGCCTGGTTGAACACTGACCCCGAAGCCGACAGTCGGATAGGTTGCACTTCTTGAGGCCGTGGTCCACCACCTCGGGTGACCGAGGGCCAATCGTAGCGGTGATTTAGCGGCAAACTCCCCGCGGGGGAACAAAGGCGGGTTTATCCTCTTAGTCTCTCAGTGGTGGCTCTCCTCTAGCCAAGCCATCATCGGTACCAATGCAGATTCTTTTCAGCCCTCTTCATCCCGCCCTCCAGATAATCTCCGATGTTGGGGATGGTCTCCGGGTATCATAGCCCCCTACGTCACCGATCAAAGGTCCATCTCATCTCTCACTCCGCACGGAGACCGGAATAGGTAAGTCCTGACTCGCCGAGAGAGGGCCAAAGAATCTCTTTGCATACTGTAGAGTGCAATGAGTCGGTTCGAGCTTCAATTTCCTTTCCACTTCTAATTTCAATTTATTCTGCCCCGTGGAACCGAGATCGAGCGCAGCCCTACTTCAATTTGAGATGGAGTGCAGACTCTATCAGGAGTACTCCGTACGGGTTCTCCAGCATGACTCCATCGATGTCTGCCTGGCGCCAAGCGGAAAAATGAAATCCGATCAGGCCAGAAGAAACAAAACAAAATAAGATAAAAAAAAACCAAGAACACCAAGAAAACCAAGCAAACCAAGCAAACCAAGCAAAACCAAGCAACACAAGCTCCAATAGCAAACGTAAGAAAAATCGACCCAAATATTAAACCCAAAACGGACGGGAGAAAACCGAAAGCGGAAGGCAAGAAACGGAACTAGCCCGAAGTGGGGCATGACCCGCCAAAAACGGACGAATTTAAAATGAAATTAAAATGAAAATCCATTTGCGCCACCCGTTATTGACCGCCCGGCAGAATGAGGCGGGACGGCTTGTAGTCACGTGTGGTTTCCCGGGGACGCCACCACCACCGGATAACCAGATAACCTTAAATCAAAAGGTCGATGGCAGATCTAGACAAGCAAGGACCTTGGGGTGATCGAAGCCGGTTGTGTATGTTTCATCAATCACACTATTATACTCCAGGGCTGCTTTGGAGATCACCTTGACCCTGAGCATGAACTGTAAAACCCGGCCGGGCTACCTACTACTAGCCGTGCCTAGAGGCCCAGAAAAGGTGGTGAACTTGAATATATATACCTACCTAGGTAGGTACCTATTACCTATCTAATAGGTAGGTAATATTATTAGTAGTGCCAAGGTTACTCCGAGTCCTATTCAACCCCCAGGGCTTCAATGTTGGAATTTACGACTCGGACTCGGCTTAGCCCCAGGGGGCCAGGGACAAGCAATACCCAAGAGTTCTCCAAGACTCTCCAAGACTTATCAAGCTCCTCCAAGCCTCGGGGGCCGTCTTAGCCACGCCTGCCTACCCCACGGCCAAGACTTTCAAGGCTTCGTATTTCTTATTTGAACTGCATCCTGCATATACAAAGTATAAGTAGTACTATGTACTCCGTAGTTGTCCACTGTTGACCATCCCACACTCGTTGGCATGTGTCGATCGCTGGATCCATCCTACTAACATCTAGCCGCGACGTGCATTGAGCCAATTTTCTGCACTCCGTACTCCGTATGCCTCTAGCCCTTGCTGATCTTTCCTCGATTCATCAATCTCATATTTATTTCTTTTTCTGGGCGACTGGTCTCGCTAATTGATCGGATCGTCAGGGGTATTGATTATAGTGGGAAAACTGGCCTGCTCCACTACCGATGGGCAAAAAGTATATCAGACAGAGGCTGATGGGGCATTCACTGTACAAGGTACGGAGTGTCTAGAGGAACCAAACGTTTCGAGTTGACAGGGTACTTCGTACTCCGTACATACCTAGGTACTTAAGTGGAAGCTCAACCCCTTGTGTACAATCGGATGTGCGGCCTCAGACGAGATCACATAAACACCTCATTAATCAGGAGATTTGTTTTACAGAAGTACGCAGTACCCCGTACAGAATTCATACTTAATACCACTTTCAGGAACTCAATTATTTGTGTGGCTTTGTACCTTGCATGCGCACTAATCAGAATCTTGCGCTTCTTCAGCTGAAAGCCCGTCTTCTTCACTCCCCGACAATACCCGTCCCGCGACCAGTGGAATTTTACAATTTACTGTCATAATCCATCCATGGATGGCTGGAATATTTACGAGGCTTGGCTGTCTCAGGTGATAGCCTTGGAGCGACATGGATTGCCGAGGATGCCTCCCTATCGATACTACTTATTCCTCGCATGTGCCAGCTGAAGTAACTTATTGAATATGGCGTGGCATGTTCTTGCCAAGCCCTGCACTCGCTTTCCGACGAGTCCAAAGGATCAACTATCTCTCTCATTCGTGAGTATCTACTCCGTACGGAGTATTCGATTCGACAACAGAAAGCCACCATGCACGGAAATGGTAAGCCTGTTTTCTCGCCTAACATTCCTTCACAGCAGTCATCATGGCACAGCAGAAGAATGAAGCAAAGGAAGATTCAGGGATTCTGATCAATTCCCCGCCCCCAGCCAACTTGATCAACCCCCGCTCCATTAGCCCCGTCCTTGAACCCCATGATGCCCAGGTGGTGGCCTTAAGGAGTGGACGCGGGCCATGGAGCATCTCGTGGCCTTCTACACATGGGGGTATATCCCCAGCTTTGGTGTTTTCCAAGCCTATTACCAGTCGGCTCTCGGAGTTTCCCCGTCCGCCATCTTCTGGGTAGAGTCCGTGCAAGTGCTTTTTTTTTGATTTTCTTCGTCGGCACATTCTCCGGTGCGCCCTGGGACGCAGACTTTTTTTTTTCGCACAACCTTCTACAGCGGCATGTTCTTGCAGCTGGTCGGGGTGTTTATGACCTCACTCGCCACTGAGTATTGGCAACTACAGTATTTCTCGCTCAAGGCGTGTGCACTGGTCTGGGCAATGGCTTGCAGTTCTGTTCCGTAACGGGACTGGTCGCCACATTTTTCTCCGACCGAAGGGTCTTCGCCTTGGCCTTTGTTCTCGTGGGAAGTGGAACCGGAGGCAATCTCTTCCCCGGCCTAGTTAAAACCCTCATTCCTCGATCGGCTTTACATGGACTGTGCGAATACTGGGGTTCATCATGCTGGGTATGGCACACATAGACCTCATCGGACGCAGTGTTCCCGGCCTCAGTCACGGAGACTCGAATACGCTCATCATCGTGACCAACTGGTCTGGGATTATCAATCGCCTTATTCCCGCTTATCTGGCTGATCAATCATTTGGATTCCTACACACCATCATACCTTTGACTCTTGACGCTAGCCTGATGATGTTTTGCTGGACCGCCGTACACCTGGGCACTCGACGCTCGGGTTGTATGTTTTGGCCGTATTGTACGACATCTTTTCCAATGGGGTGCAAGGCCAGGGGCCCTCGACATTGTCTAGATTAAACCCTGGACTTGAGCAAAACCGGCATTAATATTGGCATGGGCTTGACCATTGTGAGCTTCACTTGTCTCACCGGTCCTCCACTCAGCGGCACTCCTTATTGCCAAGTTCGATGGACATAATCGGTGCGCTGATTTCGGGAGGTCTGACATTCTTGCTTGGCGCTGTAGTTCTTGTCACGGACCGGGGTTTGAAGACTAGAGCTGTGACTAAAGCCAAGATTTAATTCAATTGGCTTGTGCTTCTCACCGGTAAGTCGGGCGGGTGGATAATGATACTCCATACTCTGTACATGAGGTAACTATCTGCTCCGTACGGAGTAGTCAGTTACATGCACTCTGTAGGTGAGAATCACACAACAGTCGCAGGAAGCATGTATCTGTGGTGCATATGGCATATCAGTGAAATTTTTGCCGAAATTCAAACTCGGTCGCGTGCGTAAAAATCCAAATGGGACGACTGTGGCTTTTCTAAACGTGGTATTTCTATATGAACCTCGAACACATCCCAGTCCAACCTTTGGGAGAGAGCAGACCTTAAAAGGCGAAATTTGGAATATAGTTTCAAGTTCTCTTCCAACAAGTTGCTCTTGCGAGCAGATGCACTTGCATTATATACTATCACATCTCAAGACTCTCAAGGCCATGTCAGACACACTGGCAGGCACCGTCTCGACATGCGCTACTAGGATCAGGAAATATAGGTTGCATTGGGGAGGAGTTATTATTACTACTAGTAGTACTAGTACCAGTAGAAATCGCCATCCATCAAGCTCAAAAGTTTTACTCCGACCTATCTGCATTCTATAAAAACCCCCGCTCTGCGCTACAAAACATAATTCATATGACTACCAGCCAAACTCACCAGCCAAACTCGGCGCAGCATCTATCGGATTAGATCTTCCACGGCAAGTAGATGAGGATGGGGGCCATGTTACATTGATGAGCACGGCCGCGTGGACAGCAGTTGGACGCCAGAGTCGAAATTGCGACCGACAGGTCTGACCCGAGTAAATAGTGTGCTTGTATGGAGTACCGAGTGCAAGGATTTGATTTTAATTATTGCCAATCGATTTGATCCATTCGGCAATTCCACCGGTGAAATTCCCGATGAACCCCCCCAACAAACTCCACTTGCTCCGATCTTCTCCGACTTCAAATGTCATTGGTTGGTCTAAAACATCAGGCCTCAGGCAGGTTCGTAACTACAGGAAGAAGGGACGAAGTTATTCCTCGGGTTGATTGTTTGAGTGGTGATTCCATTGTTCGGGCGATTGAGTAAAGCAGTACATGGCGATCTGATTTACCATGTCCCTCCAGTCCCCTGTGTTTCCCTCTCTTCCAGCCGACCTTTCCATGATCACCTCCCGTCACCGCGTTGTAAATGTTCACTATCAACGATTCCATGACCCAGCACTCAGATCTCGGTGTGTTCCAGTCATCCATCCGTCGATTCTTGACATGATTTCACCTGATCGCTTTGTCTGTCCAGCATGGCCGTCCAGAATCCTACCATCACCGGTTGCATTTTCCCTCGACGAAGGTGATTGCACCGATCGTCTCAAGCCAAGCGTCATATCATAATCTCGGGACTGCCTGCGTCTCTTCGATAAGATAAAATCCTCCATTTGTAAAGATCAAAGGCCGCTCGAGGTAGGCTCGGGGATTGAGGAAAGCGGACCAAAAGTTAGGCCTCACACGGTTGATTTCGTTGAACAACACGTTCAGTTGAAGGTGGAGTTTCGAAACGATGCCAAGGCGAGTGGTTTGATCGGTAAGGTTGGGAGTTGAGAGGAATGATCGACTGCGAGTAACTGCCACTTGGAGAGAAATGAAGAACTCCGGAGAAGCCCCTATGGGATCAGTAGACAGATGAGCTTCATTTTGAGCTTCCACCGGGTTTAAATCGAGGAAGCTCTTCAGCTTTAGAAGAAACAGAGGTACGGTAAGACAGATTCCGATGTTCGAGCTCAAAAACATGTTCACCGGCTCAAACACATCAGCATTCTCAGCATCGAAGCGCGGTAACCCAGGATCGCTCCAGTCACGAAAGGAGCCACTGAAAACCAGTACCCACGACTTGAGGTTGAGGAAAGCGTAACATTCCCGGTCCTGGTTGAGAAGGATCATAATTGGAGGTACAGTCTTGTGTGCACCCAGGTTGTCGTTCGGACATAGGCGAAGCGTTTCCATGGTATGCTCCAGCTGCTTTTCGACGGCTTCCCGAGTATTGATCTCAAGTATAACCCGTACTAAAGGGCTTCGATGGAGAATATAAGACCGTATCTCAGGTCCGAAATGGTGGGTGCGATGAATGAAGGGGTCGCTGCTCGACGACTTCCGTAACATTTGCTTCGCCTCTTCCTGGGCTGTTTCTGCCTTTTGAATAACCTTGCATGTGGATTTGTGTTCGGGAAAGTGTGCAACTTGATGTTCACGACCACAGTAAACCATCACTTTGCATCGGGAGCATCTCTGGAGCGAACCGTCCTTGCCACAGATACCACGGCCAGATCGTATCTTCATGCAGGGCTCCCGACTGGAGATTCAACATAGCTCAAATATCGAGAATCCGCGAGCTGTGATGATTGCTAGTGAAGTAGTGAAGGAGACTGGTAGAAAGTAAGCCGAGTACTGAACGCATGCTCTGACGCGGTCACTGGGATAAGAGGACCGAAGCAATGGCTTACCTGCAGACCGAAGCGAATGTCAAGCCTGGAGAATAGCCCTGGGGGCAATAGGAACAAGAGTGGAAATGAGAGGAGGGAGTGAGAGGAAGAATGGTGATAGTGAGCAGAGAAAGTTGGTGATGCACTGCAAAGAAAAACAAAAGCGGGTGCCTAGTCATACTCCGGTACTACCGAGACTCTGTCCATTACCTTTTTATGGATAGCATTGAAAAGTTGAATTAGATTGTACTAGTAAACAAGGAGATTTGTGAGTTCATACTCGACATGAATGGTCGCATCGCTGCAAATTCTCGTCTCTGGAAAAATGAGACAAGAAGTTTTCGCTCTGGCTGCATGGATTGAGATCTACAACCTGCTAGGTATGCGCAACAGGCTATCACCGGGAAAGGAACGAGATGCTGGCGAAACATCCCAACCGAAGGATGAAGAAGCAAGGGTAAAGACCGAATGATATTACGACAACACGCATCTGGATTGAGTTGAGATGCCTCGGTAGTCTCGTCCAGAATCGGGAGAAGTTGACCATAAACGTTCAGACTGATACCCCAGAAAAAGGTCATGAGGTGACTATTTGCAAGTTCGTCGCTCGAGATAGTCTCTGGTAGTGACTCGTCCGGGTCTAGCAAGATCGTGGGCTTGGAGAGTGTGGAGTCCCAAAAAGCTATCTTTGCGATCATTTCCAAAGATCTGCTACGAAGCAAAGCCCCGAGTTCTGATGCAGCGGCAGAATTTCCCAGCAATCTCAGATCATCGATTCCCTCGCAAAGACTGGGAAGCTCCACGGCAAAATCTATCAGCAGATCTTTGGGTGTCTTTGGGTGATGAATCCAAGGAATTGTCATCCAATCGGTGTTGCTGAGAGCACAGGCTTTTCGGATACGTATTGCACAGACGGCCTTTGTGATATTGGGATTAGTGACTGGGAGCATAATCGGAACTGGAATTGTAGTTATTTCATACGTGATTGAACCTTCCATCGACGAATAGCCTGTGGGCTCGGCCAGTAGCGAAGAATGATGGGTGTTTGGACAATGTAATTGCAAGATCCCCAGAATGATGAGCCTTCCAGCCGAGGTAGTGCGCCATGGTATTTCCAGTTTCCCCGCCGTACAAGGCCTATTGGCATTTCGTCAGTCAAATCTAGGTGGCAGATTCAGGAAGAATGATGTGGATACCTCGTAAAAACTCAATACACGGGTTGCGCCGATCAACTCAAGATCTCTGGTTCTGGGAGCTGTTAAAGCTGCCCCTGTTTTCTGGAGAGAAAGAGTATGCAATCTAAGTGCTTCTCTTTTCATCCATTCCGGGGCTGACTCTGTGCTTGCAATAGACCTTAATGCTAGAGCCCCGAGTCCAAATTTCAGCAAGTTACTTTGGGGAACAAGCTCTTGCAATGCACTAATGGATCCACCCAGGGCTCTAATTGTTTCATTAAAGAGTGGATATGAGTGGCCGTTTGGCAGGTAGTTGCTCCAGAATATGGCTTCTAGACCCGATTGACATGCACTTTTGGAAAGGTACAAAGCGTTACCCGGCCCAGGGGGGAGGGATCGGATATTATTTTCGGCCCTCTCGCATGTTAATGGTGATTTAGAAGACGGCACCTGAGAATGGGACTTGGGCACATGGTATTGGTGAATTTCCAGGCCGTCCTTATACCCCTCGCACTTGATGCATGCTTTTCTGCATTGGCCACAGGTGGGTTGCTGCAGGTCGCACTATTCATGTGGTTAGTCATTTATTCATCCATAGATCGTGGAATTCGGAATAACCTGGAACTTACGCCTTTCTTCCGTCTTCTGCATGTACGGCATGCTTTTGACCGACCGGGTACTCCTACCATCACGCTGACAGTCTGGGAATATTCAAAGCTGGGCGTCGTCAGGAGTGAGGATTCAATATCACGCTCTGCAAGGCATAAAACACCCCTATTTTCTTACTATTCAACGGGTGACTGGTAGCCACCAAAGCTGGAGCTCGCAAATTGAGTGTTTGGCAGGCTGACAACGTTTTAGCTGGGGTGTATTACTGGGCGTTTGTGAGCCTTATAGGCTAAGCCTAAAATGGTACATTCTGCGCGCCTTGCGTGCTGACTATCGATCGGATGCTGAGGAATTGGGGGCCAAATACACAGATGCCCAACCAGAAATCGGGAGACATTATACATGAAGCTCTACGGAGTACCATGAACAAGAATAACAAGCTTATTCTTTGCCGAGCCGCTTTTTTCCCATATTTTGACGCGTTTCGGCCCCTCGGCTGAAGTTCCAAGGTTTGATTTTTGCCGTTGTGGTGATTCTAACAAAAACCAGAGGTATAAAAGAGAGGAAGGCGCATGCTTTTCATATAAGCTTCAAAAATTGGCCAGCGTCCTCAAGTCTCAAAGGAACTCACTACTATACTCGAAAAGGGCCTCGAAGATGATCCCCAGCAAACTTCTATTCCTCTTCTCCTTCATTCTTGTGCCTGCCTTCGGTCTTCCATCATGCTGTGAACCCGAACATGACAGCACCAAGAACCAGCGCGTTCTCGATGACTATCTTGATATATGGAGCGGAAATCTGACTCTGGCAGAGACTGTTTTCCATCCCGATGTTGTCCTTCATTCCGACCGGTTTCCCTCATCGACTGGCAAGGGCAGTGATCTGATCAGTGTCACCAACAGAGATGAATTCGTCGCCTTTGTTCAGCGGTCACGAAAGGGATGGAAAAGATATACATTCACCCCCATAAGATCAACGGGCGATGGGGAGTCCGTTGCAGTTCGATGGGCAATGCATGGAGTGATCGGTAGCAACTTCACACTTTTTCCAACGTGAGTCCAAGTGCCTCGCAGTCTTCTCTCGCTTAAAGAATCGGTCTAACATAACTACAGTCCCTTGAAGGCAGGTGCCGCAGTGACCTACGATGGGACCGATTTTTTGGTCCTAGATACCTGTACCGGCCTGGTGCGGGAAGTCTACATAACCCAAAATCTGTTACAATATTTTCATGCGATGGGACTGACCGCTATCACCGTCTGAGCCATTTGCCTCTCTCGAAATGAGAATTTCTGTTGGAATAGGGAAATGCTACTCTTGGTCACGGTTTGGTTGATGAAAGGCGTTATTTAACGGGTTCAAGTCCTGTAGTTGGTGAAATCTAGAATTTCGTCTCACATCAGCCAACTTAGTATATAGAGAACAATAAGATGGAACCTTCTAAGGTTGGAAGAATTCGAGTTGGTTTGTTGAGATATTTTTGTTGTACAGGTGCATAGGTAGTGCTATCAGTATATTGTATGATCTGACTATCAATTTCCTGCATAGCTTAATGAGCTAACATTTGTATGTGGTTAACTAACAATCCTGCAGGCTGTCGAGGGACAGTATCCATGATCGCAAGCGAAACTGCAAAGCCCCAAGTACGCATCATCTTCCCCTGGTAGGGGCGTGCCATGCCATCCGGTATTTGGAGGCGCGGGAATTGAAGCTCCATACTGCGTGCAAGTACAAGGTCCAGGAGGGCAGTATCCATAACGGCAGCAGAAATTGCAAAGACCAACATAATTGCCTGGGCCAGTTCCACCAGTACACACATTACCACCACCGCCACCACCGCCTCCACCACCACCGGACGGAGTACATGGAAGAGTTTGAGTCACAGTTACAGTACGGACTTGTGTTGTGGTAGTAGTGGAAGTTATTGTGTTTCCGCCACCAACTGTAGGACATGTTGTTGTTGGGCAGCCTGTTGGCGGATTGGGAGGCGAAGTCGGAGGCAGACTGGTGGGAGGGGCCGTAGTCGGAGGCAGGCTGGTGGGAGGTGTCGTATTCGGTGGGGAACTCGGCGAAGTGGAGCCGATTATAGATGTTGTGGTGGGAGCTGTGGATGCTGGAGGCACAGTACCAAGTGATGGAGTAGCCTGGCAGGTTTGAACCTTAAGGCCTTGGCTGAAAGCTGCCAATCCGTCTGCCTGAAGAGGGTCATTAAACCCCAATGGCAGCGTTCCAACTAATTTGAGATTAGCAGAGTGTTTTCTTCTTGAATTTGGAAGGAAATTATCAAACCATATGCATTGAAGTTGTATAGCCCACACACGCAGCCATTGATAATTGGTTTCAAACTTGTCCCAGAAAGGATTGGGCTTCCATTTCGAAGAACAGCGAATGATAGAGCCCCAATCTTCATTGGGACTTGCTGAGCAAATGCCCCAGCTGGTGCATCATATTGGTATAGGGTTCCCCCGCTGTTGACCTGTACTGTTGCAGGGGACTGGAGAAGGGATACAACAAATATAGCGTCTTGCATAGACTGCCAACCGTCTGGTCTACCCATGAAATAGTTTCCACTACCATTGTTTGCTGGGACCATGCATGTATCGGTTGCATCACAATTTACATCGCGTGGAGCTGGTCGATACCAGTAAACCAGCTCATCCGATGTGATGTAGCTGGCAGCTGATTTTGCTCCGTCCTTGAAGGCTGCGATATATGGCTTAGAGATGTCTAGCCATCCGTCATGTGGCCTGTGAAGATCAGCAAAATACGTGCAGTAGGTCGGGGATTCCTTTATCTCATACATATCATTCACCCATTTTGATGCCCCGTCGTCAGTATGGATGGATTTCAAGGGGCCGATATAATGTGACTCGCCATAGTCATTCCATGTTACGATCTCAATGAAGCGTGGCCCTAGCTCTAAAATCTCATTCCACCGATTATACCACAGTAAATCCGATGGGAATACCCAATTTTTGCTATAGGATACCTCGGGTCCGAAGTGGGTCGAAAACCAAGGGGATACCGCTGTTTTATACCAGTCAAATTGTTACTAACGATAAGCCATGTGAGAGTCGGAAAAGGGGCGGAGGGAACCCACGTGCAATGTAAGCCTTTCCGGCAAGAGCTTTCACGTATACATTGTCCCCATCTGCAACAGAAACATTTTGACCTGCTGAAGGAGCCTTATTTTGGCCGTTATTTGGCCATGCCATCCAGTTGAGTAGTCCATCAACAGATGATGTATCGGTTCCCTCTGACGGGTGAAAGTTCGGTGCAAAAAATATTGGTTTTCCAACAGCGTCGCGTAGGGACCCTACATTCAACCCGTCTCCAGCAAATGACGAGACAAAAACCTTATTGTCAACCATTAGTTGTGCGGGTTTGTCGGCATATTGTGCAATTTTTTGCCCTATGGCAGAGGCCTGTCCGGTGTTCCACCAATTGAAATCAAATGATATGAATACTTTCATTGAATTTTGCGCGGCCGAATCATAAGCAAACTGCAACTGCTGATCCGTATACGGATCCACGCCGATATTCAATGCGAATGCATCTATACCCAGCGCACTAGCACGTTTCATATCATCGTCGTAATCAGAGGAGCTGTGCCGGTCACTGGTAATCCCAATCTGGATTTTAGGAAGTTAGGGTAAGACAATCCGAGAAAAGGAACCATACGCTCGATAGCAACTGTGAACGTACCATAAAATGCGCAAAGACGAGCCGGTTCGGGGCTTGCCTCTTGCTCTCGCGGATATCACCCGTAACGCCAGGCACCACACCCTGAGCTATGATACCCCATAAGAAGACTATAGCTAAAAGACTATTCGTTACGAGCATAGTTGTTTGAGTTTCGGCTCTAGAAAATTGCAAAGTTTACCGGCTTGTGTCTGAGACATTGGTTCAGACGAAGGTGGTCATTCGAGGAGTTAATAAAGTGATGAGATATAGGAAAAAATGATGGGAGAGAATGGCAGATGATCACTAGGATGTAACTAAATGGAAGATATCTCATCGAGTACGTGCATACTATATGACGATATTGGGCCTGAACACAGTCATCCAGAGCGTTATTGGATGCCCTTCAAAGCCTGGAGCGATCGATGGCAGAGTTCACGCGCTCGTCGAGAGGTTGCAAGCATCTGAATGACTATAATCCTGATTATTGAGAGGCGAAGCGCATGCAGCTATCGAAAAAAATCCTCTGTTGCCATGTGGTGCATCTCATGAATCTCATTATCATGCTCGCACTATTCCAGATACAGACAAGGGCACAAGACCTGTTCCCCATTATTTTTCGGGCTATGAGTGAGGCTTACATTCTATTCGAATAGCAATGATGAGCCGTTAATACTATTCTTCCGACGACAGCACGATTGGTTTGGTTGTGCAACGACAAACTTTGAAAGTCGCATACATCAGGCTCCGCAAACCCGGCCCTGTCACCCGGCTATGCTCTAACGTTCCGAATGTAACCCACGTGCAAATTAGAATATTCGATGATCATGATGGATTTAATGTAAGAAGTATATTTTTTGAGCGTGATCTTAGCCTTTCTCACCAGAAAGGGCAAAATATGAGACGCGGGCGGAGAAGGGGCAATCACAGAGTTTGCTTAAAGTTTGTCGGTGGGTTTCATTTCGTAGTAATTATAGTATCGGGAAAAAAAAAGAAATAAAAAATACAATTCAGTACAAGCGAAAACTGCATGAAGCCAAATGACAAAACCAGAATGTGGCGACTTAGAAAGTATAATACAAGTTCTAATGGAAATGATACATTTTCCAAAAGAGGGCACAATAGACCGAGCATATGAAAAAGAGCCAGGACGTGGGCGTGCGATAAATCCGACTTAATGGTGACCTGTACAATCGTCAGCTTCAACCATCGATCATGAATCTTCGAGTGAATCAATCCTTACGTCCGAGCGGCTTGGCTCTCTTCGAGATTGATTTAGCTTGGTCCTGTTTGATCTTGGCCATTCGGGCCCTTTTGTTTGTTGTCAGCATTCTTTTCCCCTCTGGAACTTTAAAAGAATTACGAGTTCTCACTCTTCGGCAGCTTCACGTTCAATGTTCTTTACATGATCCCTGGCCTCCTTGACAGCTAATTTAGATGTCATGAGCGCCTTATCTGCTTCGCGCTCCGCGGTTTCGGCACGGAGAACCCGTTCGCGGGCAGCTTGAATCGACGGGTCCTCGGGAGAACGCTGGAAGAGGCTATGGTGACGACGGCTATGGTGCGATGCGCCTGATTTCGAGGATCTTGAAGATGTTGAAGATCTAGATGAGTGGGCCGAATGTGAGGAGCGGCCCCCGAACAGTGAGTTGCTCCTGTGGGCCTGATGGGGCTCCTCGATGTCATGGCCCGAGGAGGATGAGCTCGCAATGGAGTCACGATGGAAGATCGGCATGACTGTTGAGTTTTAATGGAACCTTGGTGGGGACAGAAAATATATTTTGATGCTACTATCGGCGAGAGCTGTCCAATGGTGGGTGGTGATTCTCTGCGAATGGCGGTTGCTTGGTTGAAGTTTCGAGTACCAAGGTATTCAACTCGGTGTGGTCGCCAAGGGTTATTATATAGAGCAGGTTTGCCATGAGCTGTCATTTCTCCATGTATAATCTTACTACTGACGTCAGGAAATTCATGTCGATCGAAGCACCGCCAGACGGTCGTCAGGTCCTTGCATGCCCAATGGGTTTGAGTAGCTGACGTCAATGCGCATTCCAACTTGACATTGTGTAGACACTTTTAGCCAGACCATTATCCATTATAAAGGCGCCTTGAAAGCCGAGGGCTGATCAGAGAAGATTCAGAACCGAATCACCAGATATTGGTCGATTTGAGTATCCCATTTCAATTTAGCGAGTATCGCGGCATTCAAGTTGTTCATGTTGTCGCGTTGTGATGTCCTTCCGTTTCCCTTCCATTCCCCAGAGCGCCTCCGGTTATGTTGCGTCACCTGTGCAAATTCTCATTATAAAATAGATTACCTGCCCAATGAAGGGTCTACCCCGGATTTCCAAGGTTACAATCTTTCCTCGATCTAGAAATTTGTCTAGCCAGAACAAGATCTGAATTTGTCGATCTTTGCCCTCAAAATGTGTGGCGTCGAGAGCGGTCAACAACCTACGCACAGCGCGTCATAACTATTATATAGAGGTGAGTGTTTTGATGATAGCGGATGCCAACTGGCTGACAGCATCGGGCAGGACAAAGGACTGGCGACAGGAGGGGAAACCTCATGCCAGTGCCACATGGCCTCGCATGGGTTTCACACGAGGTTCAAGGCTTGGGGAAGACCCGAGCTGGATCGAGGTGATTGAAGTGCTCAGGAATATTTGACAAATTATGGTAACTATGAGATTGATTCACAAAAGGACGCTTGCGATCTGGACTTCTCATTAAGATTGTGTGGCGCTCGAGAAAGTCACAGATGATGGAGAGCCAGAAATAGCATGGAAATCGGTTCCAACGCGGCATCGATATTAATAGAATATTTCTCCAAATAAACACCACCTGGTACCTTCACTACAGAGTAACTAGTTGACTAGTCGTGTATTCATAGAAGAGTGGAGAATCAACTTGTGGGCCATCAAAGTTGAGGCTGAGGCTCGGAATCACGACGACGCCACGATCGTCCGGGAATTTGAGAAAAAAAAAAAGATCATCACTAGAATAAAAATCATTCGATTGGTTTCTACAGTAGATAGATATGAAGCACGGAGCAGACAAAAGAATCATTTCGGATTGTGTGAAGGGTAGGGGCTTTCCGGGTTGGGCGGGTATGACTTTTTGCCTCGAAGTGACACACCAAGCAGATCGCATTGCCTAGAAACCTAGCGGAATCTAGCAGCAGTGCCTATCAAAGTTAGTTGGGTGAACGGAAATGACTTTAGCAGAAAGGGATTATTGTGATCAGCCAGGCCAAAAATGGAGCGGCCAATGATAATGGGGAAGCGTCATCAGCTCCCTTCATGCATCCTTTTCATTATTTGCTTCAAGTTCAGCGCAGAAGGAGAAAGCCCAAGGGCTGAATCGGCGATTCCTTTTGATAACAGATACACATCAGACTTGAGAAATAGGCTCAGAGAAAATTTGACAGGGACCACGCGGTGCAGAGCAAACGCCTCAGCCCTGTGGGGAATCCGCCGCGCGGCGTGTGCGTGTGCCATCGAAATAAACCCACCTCCACCACAATGTCTGGCAGAAAATAGCCCTTATTCCGAGCTTCCATCCGGATTTTCAGCCGCTAAGCAGGTCATCAACGCAAGCACTGGAAGCAATGGAAGCGATCTAGCCAGGCATGAAGGGAGAAAATAGAATCGGTGGAACCATTTGCATAGACGAGGGTGGCGCGTCGTCCCCTCCCCCTTCATACCGTCAAATACTAGATAATGCCTGATAAACCCTTGATTCTTCTCCGTTCCCCCTCATAATATCTCTCAATAACAGGATCCTTGCATCAAACTTGATTAATTAAAATGAAGAAACCAATCCTCTTCCTTTTGGCTGCGCAAGCTGCTCCGGTCTTCTGCCAACCTTATAACCATCCACCATCCGATCTAGCACTATCACTCGAGACTATCAACAGTATATCTGCTGGCCAGGGCTGTGGGGATGTAACCCATGTGCTAGAGATTCGGGATTATGAGGACGAGGAGAAGGCGAGACTCTTCGCTCGTGCCACCGAAACCACCGACTCAACCACATCAACAACAGAGAGTACTACGACTTCAACAACGAGCACTTCAGAAACCACAACCTCATCTACTTCTTCTACTTCTTCGAGCACCTCGACCACAACCTCAGACTCGACAACCACATCTTCAACTACTTCCACCTCCACCAGTTCGACCTCCACTTCTACTTCCACGACATCCGCCACCACAACATCCACCAGCACCAGCTCAACAACAACGAGCACCGCAAGCACAACCACGAGCACTGCAACCAGTACTAGCACGATCAGCGCCGAAGTGAAGGAATGGAACCGGAGGGGAAATATTGCCGCGGTCGCCTTCTCGTGTTGTCTGATCTCCCTCTTCCTGGGAATCAGCATCATTCATTGTGCACGGGATCGAGCCAAATCAAAGCGAATCGCCGCAAGAGAGCTTTTGAAAGCCTCCGCGGTCTCCACAGGGCCACTAGGTCATACCAAGACCAACTCGACCGCCAATCTGCTACCGGATCGCTCGTCGGTGATGTTGAAAGAGAATCCTTTTTCCGACAGCCGTCCTCGCACCGCACAAGGCACTTCCCCAACACCCAACAACAACTCGCAGGCGGGTGTCGCGGGTGCTGAAGCCAGGGAAAACGTGGCTGTGCCAGCTGCCAATCACGAGCAGGAATCATTGGTCTGAGTATGCCAGCCAATAGACAAGATCACAGTCGATGAGGAGAGAAGAGACCGGAGTTTAGCATTGCATTGCTGTTATAAGAAACATACCACGATAGAGTCTTTCAAATTCATGTATCTTTTTTAGGGTTACCCTAAAAACCCTAAACCCTAAGAATTATATCCTTCCCTCTTCCTACCAGCCTATGAATCTATTCAGATAGATCATCTCCCCATCGACCAGCATCGGCACCGAAGCCGATTCACTCTGGCCCACTGGCTAGGATCTCATTCGTGGAATAGTTGGAGGTATTCCCCGAGAGAGGCATCCCGAACATTCAACTCAAGCCGTTCGAAGGATTTGTGATTCCCAAACTTTGGTACTCGAACAGTCGGAACAGAAATCCAGTGGCCTACGAAGCATCGGCCGGCCTTGGTGTTGACTTCTTCAGACTGGTACCCAGTGATTATCGACAGTCGACACAGTTTCTTCACGTCTTGATATAGAGCACGCATTTCCGGAGTGCCACCATCCAAATCTGGGTTGATATAGGAGGATGTGATTCAAGTTCAAGTGGTCATCAACAAGCGTGTGGAACTCGGACGTGGAAATGAAGCCTGAATCTTCAAGCTTGAGCTCGCACTACGGTGATGGGCGGAATGGCCGAATATGTTCGCACTGTAACAGGTTCGATGAGAATTGATGTTGATACAGACTTGGCCAAAGCTGATTTGGGCCGATTTGGATAGCCTCCTCTTGCACTCTATACCTGGGCACCAGGAGATATTAGAAGCTTTGGACGATCAGTAGGTCGGTGGTTATTGATATATATACTAGGTATCCAAGAATTAATATTGTGCCAAATTTCATCGTGTTTTCATATTATTAGTAAGATGCATGGACCCCAATGAATGTTCCGCAAGATGCTTTGCAAGATAGTGTGGAATACCTTAGGGTAATACGCATTTTAGAATGCGCCTGCGACGAATGCGACCGCAGCACCCAGGGCGAGCACGGGAGCACCAGTGATTTGCGACATGCCACCAGTACTGGAGCTGGTGGACGAAGTCATCGCGCCCGAGTTTGAGGCAGAGGTCTGCGACGCAGTGGTATCCGAAGCGGCGGTCGTGGAGGATTCCGTGGTCGACGCAGAGGTATCAGAGGCCGCATTGGTGGTCGCGCCGGCCGTGATGGTAACGGGGAGGGAAGTGATTTCGCTTCTCGCTAGGGTGGTGGTGTGTGTTCCGGGGAAGTTGGCATCGGAGCCGCTGTCAATTTCCGTGCAGACGGCGGCCGTCGTGCCTCCCACGGAGCAGATCATGTGCCCATAGCTATTTCAGGGAGAAGGAGAACTGATGATTAGTCGACTATTCCCATTGAAAGAAGTTGGGGGGGGGGCAATACAAATTTCCCTCACTGATGGAATATTCCACTTTCTTCGGTCCCGAGGTCAAAAACAGACCGGGCGACACGCCGCAGTCGCTGCTATCAGTCCCAGCGGGACAATTGATGCTGTAGGTGGTCGTGCCTGTGCTCTAATCCGCGCAGAAAGGAGGAATTCTTGGTCAGTGGAGGTGGTGTCGATCAGCGGGTCTCAAACCAACCTGGGCAATGATTGAACCGACAAACGCGTTGCCGTCGACGCCTGGGATAAACATCGAGACCACGGAGGATTCCGCAGTCGCGAGGGCTACCGTGGCCAGGATGAGAAGGGATCTGATTGCCATTGTGGGAGTTGGATCGGTTGAGTTGAGTTGATGTTAACAGGGGTCGACAAGAAGAGAAACCTGAATATACTAGTATCACCTAGTCACGGGTTGCGCGAGTGGCCGATTGGTTGGGGGAGGCTCCCGAGGAAGACAATTACATAGTGAGGCTGGATGTCGAATTAGAATTAGATGAAGGGGATCTCAAGGTTATTAAAAGTTTCAGCGCCTTCCCACACCTCGAGCTATAACTTGAAGTATAGCAGCTCTAAGGGAACAGCTCAGATGCACTGGCCCGCTTTGTGTACTAGTACAAGCGAGGCTGTACAACTTGGGACTCGGAGATTTATTTGGCCAACTGTTGTCAAAGTTTTTTGCAGGAGAACTCGAAATCTTCCATTGAGAATCAACAAGTTGTTAATACTAATTACTCCAATTAATCATATATATATGATGATACCATACTACTATGATAGTAGTACTAGTAGTATTGTTCTGTTGACAGCCGATTCTGCCAAGGCGGTGTGTGCGGACCCTGGCTGATCGCGGAGATCATTCAATCTCAGGTCCTTACTAGAATGTGCTTGGAGGCCGTTGAGTTACTAGTGTTGCTCAACCCTCTTCACTACCGGCTTGTCGCCTCTCACTCGTCTGGCTTTGCGACCTATCCAGCCTCCAGGGCTTGGCGAGATTGCGCGAGCTGAGTGACCTCAACCCTCGCCCCCACACCGGCCAGCTACTCCCCCCGCAGACACAACACAGCTGGAACTTGAACTGCCCGATGAAGATTCCACAATCCCAAAATGCCGCCAAATGGGAAGAAAGGGTTGGCGCCAGCTCGACCGCCGCGCAGAGATGTGCTGGCTTCACTACGCATGGCGTCAATGGAAGATATCTCTCGGGGTTCACTACCAGCCGGTGCGTCACACCAGCCCAGCCCAGCCCAGCCCTTCTTAGCTCGCGAGAACCATGGACTGACAATACCTAGAGATCATGTCGTCAATTATCGAATACCTTGATCCGTTAGAACTCATCCAAGCAGCGCGCTCCTGCAGACTCCTCCACGAAATGGCCTATGACGACACCCGATGGGTACAAAAGCTAAAGCGAATTGGATGTTGGGACGAGACGGATGCGCGGAAACATGCCGAATCGGTTTTTGGGACCGTGGCGGATTTGGAAACTGCCAAACAGAAAGAGATGCCGGAAGAAGTCAGGAGTGCGATTCCCACGATTGCACTAGAGAAGATTCCCCCCATCACCACCCCGAATGAGTTGTCAGACGGCTTCGACAAGATTGAATTGGGAAAGGCCGCACCGCAGACCGACATACTGGAGTTGGATGATGAGGATCCCGTTCTGTCGGTCATAAGAAATGCCAAATCGATTCGAGGAGAGGCTCGCCAGGAGTATGGCAAGATCCATGCCGCTTTGGCGCCCTTTTACAACGACATTGGAGCGAATGGTCCTTCGACTGAGACCTTGGTTTTCACAAAATACAAAGATCCACAGGCACAAGCTAAAATACTATCGCAACTGCTGGCATTTGCGAAATCCGATATGACCAACGGGTGGGAAGAACGAGGAGAACGCCTCGAGAGGACGATCTCCATGTTTGAAACCGCTGCATTGAATGAATTTCGCAATGGATATGAAAAGGAGGATATAGATGGGGTCATGCGGAAGTATGCTAACATTTTGTGGATTCTCAACGGTGGTCAGTCCGCCGTAGAGCTCTTCATACATCATAACCACTTGGTGACACGGAAGTCCGAGCTGGGTACCCTTGCAGACTGCATTGATGGATCGACCGGGGAAGTCAAACTACAACACACGCAAGCTTTCTTTACTCGGTTGAGCGTCGGATACAACGAGGAAATTTCCATCATGAACCGGGTATTCCCTCCTGAGCTAGATGTTGCTCGACGATTTATGGAGAAGGTTGGACAAGACGTTCTATACCCCTTCTTGACAGCGATCTTTGATGAACTGCACCGGACCAACATGGAGTCCTATTTGACGGCAATTTCCATTACCTTCATACAATGCATGAATTTATCCGAGTCCTTGCTGCCAATTCGCAACTCGGGCGAGAATTTCGACCACTACTTGGACACGGTGGTTGCCAGGATTTATGAACCACACATCGATCTTTATCTGGCAGAAGAGCTCGACTTCTTCCGAAAGCGATCCGAGGCCACTGTAACAGACTGGGATCGTCAACTATCTGAACAAGCAGCCTCGACTGAATCATTTTTGATGTCTAATATCAATCGTCAAGCCGATAAGCGGGATTTCCTGACTTCATTCAAGAAAGTGATCATGATGCCTGTCAATATTCTACCCAGTTTTTCAAAAACCACCGAAGAACCGAAATCCGATTCCGAAGAAAATAATACTATCACGGCGCCAAAGAGTCCAAATCGATTCTCCACAATTTCATCGCCCACGCCGATGCCAGTGGAAGAAGTTCCAACCACAGAGCTCGCAGCCAAGGCAGCCATTATGAAGTCAAAAATGGAGGGCATTCGATCTTTGTTCAGTATCGAGATTGCATTGGGTCTCGTCCACTCGGCTAAATCGAGCCTGGAGAGAGCCGCGCAGTTTGTACGACTGGGCGGGGAATTCGGCGCAGCTGCGAAGAGGCAATGTCAAGCAATCTTCGTGGCGCTGCTACGTATATTGGGTCATGGGCATGTGATCATCGGGTTTGACAAGGCTGTAGACCATTTGTCCAACTACAGGCCACGTGAACACGAGGAGCGTGATCAATCGGGAGTCGAGCCGCTAGTGACCTTTCTGGAGTTGGTCAACGTGGGTGATCTGATCCTGCAGATGGTGGATGTATTCTATGAGCAGGAACTGATCGGTACAAGTCTCACTGATCGCAATGACTTCTTGGATCCAGCGAACAAAGAGAAGAAGAGGTTTGAACAGATGTTGGACGAGCGGGTAGCAGCTGGGCTCAACAAGGGCATTGATGTCTTGATGGAGGAAGTGGACTACATTCTTGCTACACGACAAATGGCCACAGATTTTAACCCTGGTGTCTCTGCGGACCCTCACCGACAGACCATGGACATCAGTATTAGCCCAGCGGCCTCATCGATCGTGGACGTGGTTTCTTCACACACGCAGATGCTGATTGGAAGTACCGACAAGAGCACACTGGATGTCTTCAACCAGGAAGTCGGATTGCGCTTGTTCACGGCTTTGTGCAAGCATCTCAAGCGCCAACGAATCAGCGTCGAGGGTTCTTTGAAGCTCATTAGGTATGTTTCAAATGATCAGAATTGGTTTTCTGCGCATCGTCTTACTGATTCGTTTCTAGCGACATGAACCACTATTTCAAGTTCGTTCAGACCTTACGGAACAGCGAACTCCTCCTCTATTTCAAGGCATTCCGAGAGCTTGCCCAGATCTATCTCATTGATCCATCCGACGCGAAGGAACTGGCAACCGTCATCGCCGACGCCGACCGTTTCCACGGAATCTGGCGCGTGGAGGAAGTCTACGAGTTCGCGGAACGCCGAGCCGATTGGTACCAGGTTAAACGTGATGTAGAACGAGCTATGTATGGGATAGGGTGTAGTGTTATGTAACATACTTCAACTTGCACAAATGAATGTATAGACGCAGATATTTTATAATCGAACTAGAGGAATCCAAATGCCGACCTAGATACTGGGCCATATCACTTTGTCTTCATAAAATTGGTTGCCACTAGTACATGACATGAAGCAATGGACACTGGACAGCAGCCATGGAAGATATCTATCTAGGTACTATAAGGTATAGCTACTGTCAAGACAACTTGAATTGTTACTAGTACTGCCCATTTGGCTGTGGCTGACGTCAACGGCGGCTAGTGGAACGCGAGTGCTTCACCCTTGAAACGATCATCAACCCCCGATCCACCAAACGGTCAGAGAGGTTCAGATGAACAGTTCAAAGCGTTAAGTCTATTCGCCAGTCTTGTCGATATGCCCTTCTTCAGTAATAGGGCCAGGGTCGGTCGCAGAATCGATTGGTGGCGCCCATCCCACCCCATCTTCAAACAGCACATACACGGAGTACACTGGCATGTACCTCTGGATCTCCGGGTTCCATGGTTTCCACAATCGCAAGATCTTTGAAGGTACCTTGGATATCCATGGTATGCATTTCCAAGTCAGGCCCCGACCATGGCCCGATTCCGGATCTGTAACCTGACACGCGCTCATTTTGAAACTCGACAAAGACCCTTTATTCTATTCTGTCGCATCATTTACACCTTTTACTCACCAGAAGCCATGCAGCGATCAACCAGCTACAGATAACTTTCCATCTTTTTAACGAAGAAAAAAACTTTCCATCGTTCATCGTCGCGACGATGTCCACCTTTTCCCGCACGCTCACATCCTGTCTCTTTCTGGTAACCATCGTCAGCTTGATGCTGGCCGTCGGCGCCCAGGAGACAGTCTACATCACAACCAAGACTACTGTGGAAGCAGTGAAAACCGTCTATGCGACACCCACTGTCCCAACCCCAGCATCTTATACCTCAGTCGATAATTTCAAGGATACGGTGTTGAAGGTCACCAACGAGTATCGCCGTACACACGATGCTTCTCCTTTAGCTTGGAATAAAACATTAACGGGATATGCCCAAAAATGGGCAGAGAGTTGTATTTGGAAACATTCTGTATGTATATGTGAAACAGTCATCCGAGGAGAACAAATCACATCCTAACAGCCGCGATACAGGACGGACCGTACGGCGAGAATCTTGCTTTCGGATATCCGAACGCATCTGCGGCCGTGGAGGCATGGGGTAACGAGCGCGACATGTACAATTTCGATAAGCCGACCGGTTTCACAGAAGCTACGGGCCATTTTACGCAGCTTGTGTGGAGAACTACGACCGAGGTGGGATGTGCCGCTATCAACTGCGGCTTATCCCGCAATAAAGATGGAAAGCGAGACAATATCGAGGATGATAAAGACATTGAACGTGGCGAGAGCTATCTCATTGCTAGAGAGCCAGACGGCAGTACACGAGCTCAGGGGTGGTACGTCGTGTGCGAATATTCACCGGCAGGCAACGTAGTCGGGATGCACGACAAGTACTTCAAGCTGAATGTGAAGGAGGGTAGCTCATCGCAAACAAGTTCGGCAACGACCACTGCCTCCACGAGTCAGCCGACTGGAGGTGCGTCTATGAAGTTAGCGACAGAGTCACAACTTTGCTTGGCGATATTGTCGCTAGTTACAGTGGCTGTTGGTATGAACTTATATACATGACGCAAAGAGCAAAGGCAGCCTTGGCGAAAACAAGGTGGATGTTATTTCGAAGAAGATTTGATCACCAGACCCACTGATCGACCGTCGCTTTCGAAGATATCAATAAAGTCGGCGTGTGAGGCCCACCCATACCAACATCCCCTTCGCCACTCTCAAACGACACGCAGTTGATGGGCTGAGAGTATTGGTATTGGGATAATGGCGATGGAACCAGCTCACCGGTTTGCAACGAGAAAAGCTGGATTTTTCGGTCGTCCGAGGCTGAGATGAATCCACGTATTAGAACCTTACTATAAGGCCAGATCGGGCTGGGGGAGGGGTAAATACCACTAGCTAGAAGACCTAACTCCGGGCTCACATCGAAATCTGAGATGATGTCGGGGGAATATTCTGGGAAGGTTATGTAGGGGCGTGTGGAGGTGTGCGAACGTGAAGTCGGTTTTGGCTTGTGTTGAAGACCATTCGGTGCAAATCGGATATCGAACATTTGTAGCTGAGACGAAGTTAGAATTTACCCAAGATATTGGATCCAAAAATGAGAGTTTTATGTTGAAAAGTCTTACAGAGTTGTACCCTGAGGCCAAGATTCGATATGGATCGACCTTGCGGATTTTTGTAACCGAGTGCGGATACTGCAATCGTGCTGCGCTGCCTCCACTACGGAGGTCATGTAGAAAAATGCTGGAATTGCGCATTCCAGATGCGATAACATCTGGATTGAGCCACTCTACCGCGCTGACGCTGGCATGGGATGAGTTGCCGTGCTCGCGGAACCCTTGTTGGTTTCCATGCTTTCGGGAATGACCATCACTTGGAAACGGCTTTTGCGACACCGTCCAATGACTGCCAAAGCCTTCGAGTGTATGTAGGCCGTTTGAGGTCCCGACGGCGAAGAGGGCTTTATCTCCGATTGGGCAAGCGGCAGAGCACCAGAGTGAAGGAGTTGTTCTGATGCGGATGGGATGAGAAACTGAAGTTGAATCAGCTTTGGGCTTCGGAGATGATTTCATGGAGAGTATAGACTTACAGAAAGAGGGCCATTGATAATCTCCTTGGTCATCTGGCCCAGGGAGCATTCGCGGCGACAGAAAGGAGTCACCTTCCGGGCCGCTATCCATCGTGGCCCTGGAAGTCGTCAGTCAAGCCGAGAATGTACGGGAAATTCTTGCCGTACAAGAGATAGCCTGTGTGGCTTAATGAGATCGAGGATAGCTAAAGCCATTGTGAGCAGTTGACGCATTTTTATTGTAGACAAAGACAAACCCGGTATGCCTCCTTTAAGAGGACTCGCTCCATCGTGCGATTATATGTCCATTTTCTTTCCTCAAAGTCTGGAAAGCAAACCCTTTTTGTAGTTAGAAAAGGCATCGAATTATGAGGAGAAGAATGAGACTCACGATACCGAGGACTCGCCGCCGCGATGGCCACCTGTTTCACAGAGAGGGTTAAAAATTGGGAGCACTCAGTTCAACCTAGAAGTATTACTCACTTGCGATCAAGATCCCAGATCGCGGATTTCGCAGGACTTGTTTGATTGAATAATCTGGCCAAGGCTCAAATCGGTGCAACGTTTTCCGGTTAAATTGACTGACATAGATGCGAGCTTGCCTCTCCTGTTGAAGAACAGGCGGAAGGAGACGAGAGCCGATTTCTCTCTCATTACTGATTAGTGGGTGGTTTAGAAAGCGAGATTTGCGGACTTTCTCCTTCGCTATTCGCTGGTTCAGCTGAACGCGTTTGTGGTGTTTCTGGCGGGGGCGTTAGCACTGAGGCTGTCGCTCATGGCTGAATGGAGCTCACCACTTGGTCATTGCGCTTCCTCTTGACAGAGTCCTTGGAGTATTGTGCCCCTGGTGTAGCGACATGATTGGCCTGGATCTGGAAATACTTTTTCTTCTCGGCATCTGTCGACAACTGGTTAGTCGGAATAGAGATGGTTTCATCGACACCGCCACTGTAGGATGTACACAGTGAGCGAGGCGACTAAGAGCACTCACCGTAATAGAAACCCGGAATATCTCGGTTCATCTCTGTCCAGTGATCTATCTCCTTTGTCAGAGATATCTTGGAATAATCGCGGCAATGAACGACAGTGACGTTGGCCTGATTAGTCATATTCCTGCCTGAGGCGATAAACGCCCAAAATGGAAGTATACAATAGTAACAGGTCGCACCTTCCTTCCCTTTTATGTTTACCTGCAATCACCTGCGGTCACTGACCACCCTGCGGTAACTTGATCTTCCTTCATTACCCCATTCTCCCACTTTCCACACTCTTCCTCCTACACCCCCACCTACACCCTCACATTCGTCTCTTTAACATCGCTTCCATTTCATTTCCCCTTCAACTCAATCACTTTATTCGACTTTATATCCTTGTTTGGAATATGTTATAAAATGGCGCACCATTTCGAATCCACCAATGTCTCCCTCGCGAGCGATCCTCAGGATGTCATAACCCGGGAAAAACAGATCGCTGGTCGATCTAAAGACGCAGATGCAGAAAGTCTTGAACTTTTGATAAAAGAACTCGAAGAGCAGGATGGGGGAGAAAAGGAGCCGGATGTCCTGAGCTTATATAACGGAACCGAAACTTTCAAAGATGATGATACTACAGCTCCATGCCCATACGACACTGACCCTGACCGCGGCTTGACAGATGCCGAAGTCTTGGCGGCACGTCGCAAGCACGGCTGGAATCGCATGAAGGAACACAAGAAGCGTCACTTTTGGAAATTCCTGGGCTTATTTGTGGGTCCCGTTCAGTTTGTCATGGAGGTTGCAGCCATCCTAGCCGCCGGACTACAAGACTGGATCGACTTCGGTGTTATTTTGGGTCTCCTGTTATTGAACGCGTGTGTCGGATTCGTCCAGGAATACCATGCTGGGAACATTGTCGACAGCCTGAAAGAAACACTCGCTCTGAAAGCCACCGTCATCCGAAATGGACAAAAGTTCGAGATCAGGGCTGAGGAAGTCGTGCCAGGGGATGTGATCTTGGTTGACGATGTAATTTTACCCATTGCAAAAGCAGCATTGGATGTATTACTGACAGACTAATACTCAGGGTACAATTGTCGCCGCAGATGGCTTCATCGTTTCCACCACTTCCCATTTACAGATCGATCAATCCTCTATCACAGGGGAATCGCTTGCAGTGGACAAAACTACCGGAGAAAAGGTCTGGGCATCTTCAGCAGTCAAGCGTGGAGAGGCTGCTTTGGTTGTTACCAAGACAGGCGACAAGACCTTTGTGGGAAAGGCAGCCGGCTTGGTGAACCAGGCCAATGGCGTGGGACACTTCACTCTGGTTCTCAATGGAATCAGCATGGTGCTTTTGGTTCTCGTCTCTCTAACCTTGTTCATCGTCTGGATCTCGGCATATTATCGCTCGGATCCCATTATCGACATTTTGGAATTTACTCTAGCCATCACCATCGTTGGAGTGCCGGTTGGCCTCCCAGCAGTCGTCACGACCACCATGGCGGTCGGCGCATCCTACTTAGCAAATAAGTGTGCCATTGTTCAGAAGCTGTCGGCCATCGAGTCCTTGGCAGGTGTCGAGATTTTGTGCTCCGACAAGACTGGTACCCTCACCCGCAATCGTCTCAAGTTGGGTGATCCATTCACGAGCCCTGGAATCACTGGCGACGAGCTGATGGTGGCGGCTTGCCTGGCTGCCACCCGCAAAAAGACCGGCATCGATGCCATCGATCGCGTGTTCATCAAGAGTCTGAACCGGTACCCGCTGGCAAAGAAAATCCTACCAACATTCCACGTGCTGGAATTCCATCCATTTGACCCTGTCTCGAAGAAGGTCACTGCAGTTGTTGAATCCCGGGAGGGCGAAAGGATGATCTGTGTCAAAGGGGCCCCGATTCAGGTTCTGCAAACAGTCAAGGAGGACCATCCGATTCCTGAAAACGTGGAATCTGCTTACCTCGCCAAAGTTGCAGAATTTGCAGATCGCGGATTTCGAGCACTTGGGGTTGCTCGCAAACGTGGATCCGAACAATGGGAGATTCTCGGCATCATGCCTTGCTATGATCCCCCTCGTCATGACACTGCAAACACTGTTCGAGAGGCGAAGAGACTTGGGCTTCAGATCAAAATGCTGACAGGCGATGCCGTGGGAATCGCAAAAGAAACAGCGCGACAGCTTGGTCTTGGCTCCAATATTTACAATGCAGAACGTCTCGGAGTCACCGGCGCGGGCGAGATGTCCGGCTCGGAGGTCAATGATTTTGTTGAAAACGCCGATGGATTTGCGGAGGTCTACCCTCAACACAAATTCCGTGTTGTGCAGATTCTCCAAAGCAGAGGGTACCTAGTGGCCATGACTGGCGACGGCGTCAATGATGCTCCATCTCTGAAGCAGGCAGATACTGGCATTGCCGTCGAAGGCGCCTCGGATGCCGCTCGATCTGCCGCCGATATTGTATTTGTTGCTCCAGGTCTTTCCGCGATCATTGATGCACTGAAGACATCCCGTCAAATCTTCCACCGCATGTACGCATATGTGATCTATCGCATTGCGCTTTCTCAACATCTGATGTGGTTCTTCGGGTTGTGGATCGTGACCAGGAACGAAGTGCTGGATCTGCGCCTGGTGGTTTTGCTCGCCATATTCGCCGACATTGCCACATTGGCTATCGCGTATGATAACGCTCCTTATGCCCCTGAACCTGTCAAATGGAACCAACCGAAGCTGTGGGGCATTGCCGTCATTCTAGGTGGAGTTTTGGCTGCGGGATCCTGGACTGCTTTCGGCACCATGATCGTTCGTGGCGAGGATGGAGGTGTTGTTCAGAACTACGGAGCTCGTGATCCAATTCTGTTTCTCGAGATTGCGCTGACGCAGAACTGGCTGATTTTCATCACCCGGGTCAACGGAAATTTCTGGGATTGGGGTAGCAGACCATCATATCAATTAGTAGGTGCGGTGCTCGCAGTCGACATCACCGCCACAGTGATGGTTGTATTCGGCGCCTTTGTCAACAAAAACACCCACGTGATCGCTGTCATTCGTGTATACGTCTTCTCGCTCGGTGTGACTCTCATCTGCAGCCTGGTGTATACATCTCTACAAAAATCGGAAACGTTTGACAATCTCATGCACGGTCGCCTGCCCGGGAGTCGACACCGCGAGAGGTCGTGGGAGGATTTCATGGTATCATTGCAACGAGTTTCTTGGCAGCACGAGGAGAAGGAAAAGGCGCCATGAAGGTTGGGATTGAAGGGTAATTATGGCATTATCATTATTCTCTAGTCGACAACCACCACTTAAGTTTGACATGCTTAGTTCAATCAATAAGTTCAATTCAATGCTCTCAATCGGAAACGAGAACCTGAATTCACGTCACTCGGTTTGTATTTTAATTGATCTGCATCACGACTTCGATGATATCTGCAGTGTGGAGCTCTAGTGCTTCTATGCATACGAGACATTGTCTAGCTTATCCTTTGGAATAAGCAATAATATTGCTCTTCGGCTTCACTTTCACAGCTCACGGGACATATTTCTATAAGGATTATTTGGATCCTTCTCCTCCTCCTCTGCAGACTGGATAGTTTTTCGGACTTTGCAGGGATTCCCCACTGCCACGGAGAAGGGAGGAATGTCCTTGGTGACTACAGATCCAGCACCAATGGTGCAGCCTTCACCAATCGTCACACCAGGAAGGATGACCACACTCCCACCTATCCAGCAATCATCACCAATGACGATCGGGTGTCCGTACTCCACGAATTTCCGTCTGGACAACACGCTAGTCTCATGTGTTGCAGAGTATATGCCCACATCACTAGCGATCTGGACCCGATCGCCAATAATCACCAACGAGGTATCCAGGATCGTCATGCTATATTCCCGTCAGAACCTTGGAAGACGAAATCCCATGGCCGAATGTCACGGTAAAGCACTCACTTCCAATTGATAAAACAATCCCGGCCAATGACAACATTGCACCCATAATCCGGACGAAAAGGCGGCTCAACAAAAGTCCCCTCGCCCACGCGACCGACAAGTTTCCGCAGTAACTCGAATCGAACGGCTTGGATTTTCTCCGCTGGGACGGTCCGTGGATCGAAATTGTTGTAATCGTTGGTGAGAATGCGACATTGATGCCGCGCCTCCACAAGGCGGGGTAGAGTCGGGTTGTATCTTGGTCAGGTTAGCCGATATGTCTGCCTAATGATTCGGAATTCACGACAGGGGTATGTGAAACGAGGGAGAGTTTGGGGTGAATTATTTCTCTTTCTATAGATTGAAAAGCAGAGGAACGCACACCATGCCGGATATCATCTTCTCGTAGTCGTCGCACATGGGGGCACCAGACAAGTCCCGGGCGATGGAGATCATGTCTTCGCGTTTCTCAATCGAAGCCATTATCCAGAGCAGCGTTGGTTGAAATGGGTGAGAGTGGCAAAACGGTATGATATTTGAGGTATTGTAGCGACGAGAGGCGAGAAACGAGAGACGAGAGGGGTGATGTGTAATGTTGATGGAAATGAAGTCGGGCAAATTGCGGGCCAAGAAAATGGCGGTGCAGTCCGTGATTAGAGAACACACTCTTTTTTAAGACATAATCATTGAGTTGTATTGACAAGTTTTTTTTTTGTACAAAAGGTCAATTAGGAATAGGTTAAAAATGAAAATGAAAATGAAATTGTAGATCCAGTCCGAACCCGCATGTATGTATGACGCCGGCTGCTAATAAACACCGAGTGTAAAAGAACGAATGACCGAAAGAAAACCCAGTGAATGCATGATATATATGTCGCTTAAAGAACGAACGACTAGTTCTCTCGGTAAGAGGGACACTTGGGCTTCTCTTCGACGACAAGCGTGGAGGTTGAGTGAACAGCTGTCTCATCGGTACCGGCAGAACGAACCAGAGCAACACCGATAGTTTCTTCCTCTTTCGCTTGAGGGCACTCGATTGCTTCCTGCTCAAGTTTCTTTTGATTCTTGTACATTTTCCAGAACACTAAACTACCGTGAATCTGGGTTGCAGAAAAAGCAAGGTGGAGAATGGGAGTGGCCACCTTAAAGGCAATCTGCCAGCGGTCCCATAGACTGCCAAACAGCCACATGGCCACGACAGTCTCGCAGAATGTACCCGTGGCTGTCGAGAAGCAGGAGAAGATGAAGACTTTGCTGAGGAAGTGGTGACGATTGGGGTAGACGCGGTAGAGAATGATTGCGATATGGGGAAAGAATTCGGACACTATATCGAAAGCCCCTAATGTGAGAGAAGTGATAATTAGCGCTTTGGTCGACAAGATATTGCAATGAACAACAGGACATACCCCAGACTGTGCACAGAATAAACTCTATATCGGCATCTGGCTCCCGATCCAACCTCAAGCTGATCGCAATGGCGGATTGTCCGATTAGGATTGTACCGACATGGTGCATCACCGCGACGGGGGACAGTTTAGCACGGTAGATCAGTTCGAAGATGTACATGCCAATGAGACCCTGGGCCACAATGATCAACATATCCCCCATGGTGACAACGGATCCCGGTGCGAAAGGCGTAGCAAATGTTGCTTCAAGGAAAGTGACATTGATGAATGGGTGAACTGCCAGGATCAGGATGACCAGTTTGGTGGCACCGGCGATATGGTGATTGATGAAGCCACGACGATTGACTTCGTTGAGCTCCGTGTAGGTTGATCCATATATCCATTTGATCAGGAACCCTTCCAGAATGTACCAACGTATTAAGAAGAAGACGACCAAGGCGATCGAAATGATAAGACCGGAGAAGGGTGCCAGGACCGAGATAGGCTCCAAAGGCTTGTTCTTGATTGGCGAATGGTAACGAGGAATGAGAGACATGATTGCGAGTATTTTCAGTTCATGAAAATGTGAGAGATTAAAACGTATAAATGCGAATGACGAGTGCGAAAGTGAAGTAAATAAGAGAATGAAGTGAAGAAAGTAGTCGAGGGGAATATCACATAACGAGAGAGAAAGAGAGAGAGGGAGAGGTGCGAAGAAAGAGAGAAAAAGAGGTCCACAACGAAAGTGAAGACCACGATACAGTGCAGAGCCTCGTGGTTGAAGATTCAAGATCAGCTCTACAATATGAGAAAGAAGGAAGTCAAAGGGGAGGCGTTTCAGGGGAGAATAGTCCGTTTTCTTAAAGAAGTAAATGTATGTAACTGCCTAGTCGACTGGTAGAGACTCCACTCCACTCTTCTGGCTAGGCGCGCCCCGCTACGCTGTTTGAAGGGGAGAAGAAGAGAAGAAAAAAGGGAAAAAAGGGAAAAAAAGGGAAAGAAATATCAGGATGACCCAGAATCTCACGCCTTGCCCGTTAGTATCCCCAATTCAGCTAGATAGGGGCGGGTCAACTTCAGCCATGTTTTCTTTGGGTCCGCTGTGGTTTGAGGAGGGGGCTAAATAGCCCTGAGGAGTATGTAAAGAGGACCCAAGAGGACCCAAGAGGACCCAAAAAGATCAGGGGCCAAGCTTTTCATGCGGACAGGCCATCAAAGCTTAAAGAGTCATCAATCGAATATGGTTGGCCCCGCCGACAGGGGGACGTGGAGTCAGGGTCCGAACCTTGGAAGGCAGATCGCTGCCTAATTTTTATTTTTATTTTGAAAAAAGAAAGTTGGCCCCAAATTGAACACGAGAGACGGCAAGGCAGCAACATTGTGGATACAAGTATAAGTCCTGTCAACTTCAAGTTGTCAACTTCGGAACCCTAACACCCTATAAGGGATTTCCCCTGGTCAAAGAATTCCTTCCATGCATTCAATTGTTATTACTTTCATAGGCTACCAAGTATAACTACTAGTAACTGATAACTGGTAAGTCACTAAATGGTAACAGGTGTGAATCTTGTGGAACTCGGTTATTCTTCCCAAATCGCAAACCAACACGAACGAGGCTGCCTAGTCCCCCCCCCCCGGAACACGAGACAGAAATGGACACTTGTAATTCTAACCACACTAGTCCCCCGGTTAAACCAGTTAGCGAATGGCTCTAAAAAGCTTCTAGTGGTATAAATTAAATTTGATCTCTGTGTGAAGCTAGCCTCGCCTCCATCTAGTTGCTTTGCACGGAATAAACCCGTCCCCCAGCAATAATTACCGCACCCACGATGCTGCATACACCAGCAAATATCATTGCCGGGTCGTACGACCCATATCTATGAATCAAGGCCCCCGTAATCGGTGTCCCCGTAAGCCCCGAGATGCTCAATACCCCCAAACCCATGCCGAGGTAAGATCCAATCTCATTCGTCTTTGTGGCAGTCATTGCTATCGTAGCCGGGAACAACCCGATGACAATTCCGGAGGAAAATCCCAAAAGCACCGAGAATCCAACCATGCCTCCAAGAGAGTGTATTGACAGCCAGCAGAAATTCAGGATTCCGCAAATTATCGATGCCCCGGCTAATGTGTTGAACTGCCCGAGGCGATTCGCCACCACGCCTCCGACAAGTCGACCTATCAAGGAACCAGCATTTAAAATGGCGATCAGATAGTTAGACATGTTGACATCGATTGAGATCGACTGGGCGTATCCTGGGATGTAGAAAAACGGTATAAACATAGCCCAAACGACCAAGAATAGCCCCGTGATCTGCAGGGTGTACGCCGGCTGCTTCCACGCTTTCCAAAGAAGAAGCGGACCACCTGTTCTCTTGGTCACATTCGACGATACAGATGCGCAGGCTATTATACTGAGCACCATCATCAAGAATCCCAGGATGCGAACTGACCAACCAAATCCCAACTCACTGTTATTCAACAGGCGGTTGAGTGCAATTGGGAATATCACGCCAGCCAAGGATGACCCGCTGGACGCAATTCCCATCGCAAGCGGTCGCTTTTCAAAGAAGTATTGGTTCACGGCAGTGATTGTCGGAGTATAGGTAAGCCCGTTGCTTACGCCCCCAAGAACGCCTTGTGTGAGCATGAAGTGATAATACTCCGTGCCCAGGCTCGTAAGCATGACAGATACGATGAAGAGTATGGAACACGGGATAATAATGACCTAAAAATATTCATCAGCCATGATTGAAAAGCCTCCTAGGCAATTGATGTAGTTGGTTTCTTTTTTTTCCCGATTCGCATACCTTCGGGCCATATCGATCCATCAGAGGACCAGATACCAACCCCCCAGAAAACATGAAGAAAACTTGTAACGAGCCAATCCAAGCAATATTTGAATCGCTTTGATCCTGTAAGAAGGTGCTTTTGTAATATGACTCGTAAATCCTTGCGGGTTGTTAGCATGGACGTTATTCTCATTTTGAACGTCTGCGTACCCAAAAGCATTTATGTACCCAAAGGTATTGAACATGATGCACCAACATGCTAGAACTGCTAGCCATCCTTTTAAGCTACCTTCTAGAAGCTTTGGCTTTGCTGGGATGGCTTCGGCGTCACTATTTTTCGAGTTCTCCAGATCAGCCATGTCGATTCGATGGCTTGAATTTGAGGTGGTTTGAGAACAAGAGCAATAGGAATGGGATTCAAGGACGGACTATCGGCCAGTGGTGAACTATTAGATCAAACATAAGAATGACGGGAATAAATAAGTACTTGTTCAAAATTTAAGAGTAGTATGTCGTTGTGAATAGTTGCAAATCGGCAAACTGGGGTATTCCTAAAGTAGAAACCCCGATGTTCTCGGGCCGGAGTGCATTCTCCGAGAACTCGAGTCCGAAACCGAGATGATAACTCCAAGCTCGAAAGAGATAGCCCCGGTTTGAGTATTTAGTACTCTTGAATAATATACTATATCGGCTCAACGATCAATCAGGTTCCAAGATTCATGTTTTGTTGACCCTTGGAATAGAAAAGTCCATAAAAAGCTGCACCACTTCCAAGGTTATTTCCAATTTGAAGGTTACCTATTCCCGCCAGTAGTAACTAGTACTACTTGTAGTAGTGAGTATTATCCTACTATTGCCCAGGCGGCACCTCGAATTGATCTCAAAGTGCCTTTAACTCCGGAATTGCGCTCTTTTCCTCATGAAGTTGAGATGGGATGCTTTTAAGTTTTCTTCAGGTTGATATTAGTCTACCAGTTGGGAAATAATGTCGTCAAAGCAAAAGACTATTATGATCATATGTACAGTAGTATACACTTGCAAGTCTCCCCGCACTAGCAGATACCCCTTACATAGTATTATCTAGCGGGGCCCGAGCTGACAAGAGAAAGGCACTTTCAAGGAGATAACCTGCTCATCCACACTAGATGGGCAGTCGCATAGCATTATTTGGTTAGATATTAATGCTGGCTGTTAACCAATTCGCCTCTTGGTTGGCCTAGATACTATTTCTTAGTGGTTGGGGAATGCCTATTGGGGAGTGCTGGGGTCTGGAGGAAATAAGCTACTACTAGTACTACTAGTAGTAGACTTGCAAAGAAGTGGGCCGATGGATGTGGTTGAATGGATCATCGTTCTTATAACCACCAATGTACTTCCCCTTCATGTCCTTCAGGGGGTATATATTCCCTCCAATGACATTGTGGCACTTACGCGGAGAATGGTGTTGATGATGTCAAGATTGGATGGTGGATCCCCGCATCCGGATGTCATTAGTACCTACCACCTGGGCCACCATGCCCAATGGCACCACGTTCATTTCTAACTTGCCCGAGAGATAACAGGTACATTTGTACATGAGTAATCTACTTTGACTCTCGTTCGATAATGCAGGCCAGTCAGTTACGAGTCTGGATGACTCCGGCGTCCCCGGCTTCATATTTAATCTCTCCGATGTCCATTCTGACGCACATAAGCTTTCCAACTTGTCTCCAAAACGATTTCTAGCATCATTGCAGACCCCTTGCAATGTTCCTCCGGACAACTCTCCGACGCGCAGTGCTCCCCACACTTACTCGCAGACTTCCCATCGGCCTATCGCGCCAATGGCTCACCACCGAACAAAAGCAGATCGTGAAGTCGACCATTCCCGCACTTGAACAGCATGGGGTGGAAATCACAACCCTCTTTTACAAGCGCATGCTTGAAGCCCACCCTGAGTTGAAGAATATATTCAATACGGCCCATCAAGCGACCGGGGAGCAGCCCAATGCCCTGGCTCATGCGGTATGGGCCTATGCCGTGAACATTGACCACCCAGAGGCCCTCGCCGGTGCTGTTTCTCGCATTGGTCATAAACACGCGAGTCTAGGTGTCACGGCCGATCAATATCCAATTGTTGGCGAGCATCTCCTTGCTGCGATCAAGGAGGTTCTGGGCCCAGCTGTCACTGCCCCGGTAGTTGATGCATGGGGTGCGGCGTACCAAGAGCTCGCTGATATCTTCATCAATTTCGAAAGCAATCTCTATAAGCAAAGTGTGAAGACCCCAGGTGGATGGAAAGGATGGCGGAAATTCTTTATCTCTGAAAAGGTGTCAGAGAGCGACGAGATCATCTCTTTCCATCTCACTCCAGTCGACAAAGATGCCCTTCCAGCTTACAAACCTGGTCAATTCCTCAGCGTTCGATGCTTTGTTCCTGAGCTGGGGTCATATCAGCCTCGACAATATAGTCTATCAGACTCGCCAAACCAGGATCACTTTCGGATTTCAGTCAAGAAGGAATTCGCAAGTGGCTCGAAACCCGCCGGTCGGATCTCGAATGTACTACACGAATCACTTCCTGTTGGCGTCGAGCTAGACGTCAGCATGCCATTCGGTGACTTTTATCTCGATGTCAATGCCACTTCCCCAGCTGTATTGATCAGCGGTGGCGTGGGTCTGACTCCGATGATGTCGATGTTGAAGACTATCATCCAACAACAAGGTCAAGCGCGACAGGTCATCTTCATCCACGCCGCAAGAAACGGTCGCGTCCACGCCATGAAGCAGGATCTCGCCCTAATCACTGCTGATCATCCGTCTGTCAGTCGCATCGTCTTCTACGAGGAGACCACAGATCACGATAAGCAGGGCGTGGACTACGACCATGTTGGTCGAGTAGATCTGGCGAAGATCCGAGAAGAAGCCGTCATTCCGGATGCCGACTACTATATTTGTGGGCCACAGCCCTTCATGAAGGCGCAGAGCAAGAGTCTCGAGTCAATGGGTGTTTCCTCGGATCGAATCCATATGGAAGTTTTTGGATCCCCGTCAGATTAGTAGTAGTATTGTTCAAGTTGTCTGCGTTTTGTTATTGAGATGATGGATAGCAACGCAACGAGTATTTTCAGAATTCACCAAGGGAGCCACGGATCTCTCATCTCAAATAATAACAGTCGCATCCATCTCGTTTGTAATTATTGGGCCTCGATTGGATACAGCCAGTTCAACACTGCATTGTTTGTTTGGCGAGGCTGTGCCCAAGCAGAGGAAGGCTGTGTCTGAGTGATATAGAGATTCTTCCGCATGATCGCAGGCAGGGTCTGAACAGGAGACTCGGACAGCCTTGCGAGAGAGCCCTGGAGAATTTGAATCCTTCCAAGGTTTAGTGCTCCCAGGTGGGTCAGAGTCGGAAATATGGCATAGTAAGCACTGGTCATGTTCGAGGGGTCGTTGTATAAATCGACGTTTTCCCCCACGTGCTAGATGTTTGTGAATAAATTCTAAGCGTTAGCTGTAGGTTATTCCAGAAATAGATAATGTACTTCCTACCCTGGTGAGCATCGTGTGGCTTTGCAGTTGCTCAACGGCCCCCGACTCCTTTTGTGGGCGCAGCTGAGCCAATCCCAGTAAAGATCCTCGATAGCCCCCTATAAACCTTGGGAAGGGCGCGTCAATGGGGCCGAACCCCACAGGCAGAATGATTGTTCGGGCAGGCGGCCTTGTAAATCCATCTTGGCGATTGGGGCGGGCGATTGGGGCGATTGAAGTCCGAGTTTGTATGTAGTAAGGTCGTCCGTAGTAGTTCGTACATAAAAAAAAGTGGTCACGCGTCGAGGCGCAGCCGCAACTTCACAACTTCACACTTCATACCTCACCACTCGTACCACTCACCACTCTCTCCCCTCTCCCCTCTCCCCTCCACCCAACAGCACTTAGACTACACCATGTGTTCGTCTTCACAAGGCTCCATGAACACTATCCGCAAGGTGCAAGTGCTCGTCGCCTTTTGCGCCTGGCCACTGGCCCTAGCCGCTATCTTCAAGTCTCACAAATCCCCTGAGACCATCTTCCAGATTGTCCTAGTACGCATTGAGCCTCATGATACGCATGATCGTGCACTGTCAGCTAATCAAATCCTTCACCAGATCTCCCTCTCTGGCGTCGCGGCTCTCGGCATCCTGTACTTGCGCCGATTCTCTCGAAAACCACAGGCCGCTCACCTCCCCATAGAAATTCTCGTCGACACTGCGATGGGCACGCTTCTGATCGGAACCTACATCGGCGGCATGAATATTCTGGCGAAGCACGAGATCAGAGAATGGGGCTACACCTACAAACTGGCTGCCGGGATTCCGCAGATCTACTCCAACTTGGCCTGCCTGGTGCTTGGGTAAGCCAAATCCATCCCATGTGAAACAGCCATAGTTTACTGCGATACTGATTGGATTCCCCTTTCTTCTAGCATTCTTCACTTCCACAACATTGCCAAAGCTTCCTTCTTCCGCTACGTCCTCCCCAGCATCAAGAATCACATCGGCGCGACTCACTTCACGTGCCCGTCATGCACGCGCTCCGCCCAAGTCAACACGGTCGGAGATCTCAGCTGGAGAGACAGCCACGATCAACAACACACAACATTCACACAAGACCTCCACGGTGTATACTCGGACAGCGAACCAGAGTACCGACCATTACTCCGCGAAGACCGTCGGAGCGAAGAAGATAACAAGTACGAAAACGGTATTCTCAACATTCATGATCGCTCATCGCATGAAGTATAGACTGGAGTTTTTCTTGATAGCTTGGTCTGACGTACTACATGCTGCACCTTCAACTCACCCGACGGAGGCTAGCCCTTTGTTTGGACGACGCAATGACACGGCGCAATGGTTTCTTAACTTGGTTGCTTGTAACCTCTCCTGCATAGCGATAGGTCACACTTCAAATACATACCTTTTTTCCACTTCCTAGCCCTCAGTCGATGACATATCTGCTTCCTGCCCTAGCGCACACAAGACCGCAGGCGAAGCCCCTCGGATGGCTACCTAGGTAGGGGGGATTACAATCGCCGAGTACTCCAGGGCTACTGCAGAATGGTCCACGTTAAATTTAACTAGGGGGGTCACAATACCTGAAACTTGAATCACACCTGGATTGAATTTCGGAGAGAGAGCCTCCTCATTTCGAAGATATCCAAAAATTTACTATGACGCCCCTGGATGTGTTTGCTATAAACTTGGGACAAATCGAATAAGTCGAAAGCTTTGATATTGCGTCGTTCACATTTTCCCTTTTATCTGTTCGTACATAATTAATTCATCCAAATCGCTATTCAGATCAAGTGCGCTTCGTGTATTCTTCGACTGATCATTGGCCCTAGAACATCCAATCGGACAGGTTTGGTCAAGAATGTATCCATTCCAGATCCTATCGCATCGCGTTCCACATCGGCTTGGGCAACACCTGTTAGTGCAACTATCATCACCCGCTCTTGAGACTGCAGCGTTTGCTCGTGCTCGCGAATTCTTCGTGTAGCTTCAATTCCATCCATGACAGGCATTGAGATATCTGCAAAAGGATTAGATCATAATCTATTTCGGTTAATCGAGATCTTAAGGCCTTACCCATCAGAATAACACGGATTTTATGGGTGTTTTCTTTGAAGGAGTCCAGAGCTTCTTGGCCGTTTCTCGCAATCAGGTAGTCAAATTTCAACTTTTGCATGAACGCTACCAGAAGTCTGATGTTGATATCGTTATCATCGACAAGTAGAATACTCGTCGATGAACCATTTTCAGTTTCTTGAGAAGAGTACTCGTGGAGTGGTGGAAGATGACCTCGAATGTTACAATGGCTGCAGGTTAGGAGAGAAGAGCGTTCGAGGACTTCCGGTGTCAGAGGCCCAAGTTCAGTATGAGTCAATACTGGCTGGCTCATTGCATTTCCCATAGGTTTCTCTGCTGAATCAGCACACAATGCTTGAGAGAAAGATGTCTCGAAAGTATTCGGTTCCTGTTTGCGGTGTTGCTGTCGCTGGATGCATGTTTCCAGTGCTTTTGCCAACTTGCGCGGTCCGCATGGCTGGCTAATGAATTCAAGGATTCCAGTATACTTCCGTTCCTGGGAGGCCAGAAACATGGTATGTGCGGTACTCGGAGATGAGCAGATGATGATGACGGGTGAAGGGTATTGTTCCCTCGGAGTGGAGACAGAAGGCAAGATCTCGTGATTCCCTATATCTAAGGATTCATGAAGGGAAATCAAGATATCGCAATGAACGGGTTTTGTATGCAAGGAATCAATGAAAACGGCTTTCATTGAAAACCACTCTTGGCACAGTTTCATCAATGAGGGACCAAGAGCCATATCGCCTTCTGAAGAACCTGGAACCAGAATCCCAATAGTTTTTCCATGAACGAGGTCTTTGATATGCTCAGGGAAATTCTGTTTGTTTGGGGAGGCGGGGGAAATTGGAGGGCGTGGAGGGGGGGTACGGCGCATGGTCAAGCCCAACAGTGATCACAACATGAGTTCCAAGACCCTTCTGGGAGGTGATTCGAATTACACCGTTCAGCGAAGATACTATCCGGCGCACGATGTTCAGGCCCAGACCATTGCCTGCAGACATTGTGTCCTCCTGAGAAAAGGCCGAGAAAACTTTATTCCCGAGGAAATCTTTGTCCATGCCACAACCGCTGTCTTCAATGCCCAAAGTAATTGTCGAGCTATTGACCTGGCCATCATGGGAAATGGCCACTGGACCGGCTTTGAGGGAAACTGTGATGAGCCCCGTTTGGGTGAATTTCATGGCATTTCCAAAGATATTTGTCAAGATTACATGCCACGCTCCGGGTCGAGTCAGGAATCTGAGATTCTGGGTGGATTCAATGTCGAGGACAACCCGTACTCTTGTATAGATGTCCAGAGGGGCGTGAGCGGAGTTAGACGAGGCCGATTCTCTTTTTCTCATGGAGTGATAGCCTGCAAAGACGGTCTCAATGGCATCTTCAACAGCAGCGTCCAATTGAACAATAGAATTCTGGTCAATACTGTTGCGGCGCAAATCTTGTCCAGGTAGAGGCTTGGTGGGATCTTTCCCGCGAGGGTTTGGTCGAACATCGTTGATGCTGGCATACTCCAAGAGCTGATCAATTGAACCAAGAAGCGTAAATGCACATGACGAGATGGTATGCATAAGCCCCCGCTGCAAAGCATTCATAGGAGTGTCATTCAGGATATCTATGGTGCCAAAGATTCCGTGAAGTGGTGACCGAAGTTCATGGCTGATTCCTGCAAGGAGATTTGACTTGGCTCGTTCGGCAAGCAGCGCGCCAAGTCGGTGGACTTCTGCCATGACACTATTTCCGAATGCAAAGAGGAATGCCAATTCGTCGTCCGAAGTAAGAACACGATGGGCGGTTTTTGTCCAGGATAGACAGCCTGAATACCATCTCTCCTTATGCGAATCCCATAGGGGCGAGAAAATAATACTTCGGGCATTAGGTGCCAATTGCAATAGTGTCACTGCATCTTGACGCAGGATTGTCATGCGTGTTCTCTTGTATCGTAGGCCGCCAATACGCTGATCAAGCGGCGTCACTATATGATCGCTGGTATCGTCAGACGAGATCGACCCATCTTCGCCGTAGTTGAAGATTTTACCCTGCGGGTATCGGCGTAGGAGGTGACCGAGAAATTTCTCAGACAAGGAGATTTTCCGGTCTCCCATGGACTCATTGCTTATGCTGGATAGATCTGAAGTTGCAAACCCAAGTATTTTGCAAGGACTCACTGCACTAGGGCCTGCCTTTTCATCGTTTTCCATACTGGGAAGGCTTTCATTAGGGGAAGATATTCCAATGCTTCCACCTTCATCGCTTGAGGAAAAGCCTCCAACGCTACTGCTCCCCGAATCATCCGCTGACATATTTACCAGAGCATCCTGGGAAGCAAAATGGGCATCGAAGAACACAGTGGCCTCAACTTCGATACTCTCGCGAATGATATTGGCTGCACGTGAGAATGTGCCCTGTACTTGAGTCACATAATCGGCTTTCGGTGATCGATTCCCAGATCTTTTACGACCAGTCTTAGCCCGATGTCCACGCTCACGGCGCGGTCGCTCGTGAAAGTGATATTGTGATTTATGCTCTGGATCAAGTGATGACTGGCCTTGGTCCATCTGTGCTGTAACCTTTTGATTTCCAGAGATATTGAAATTCTTTCGTCGATGGGGCAAAAGTTGGGTGGAATTACCAGCCGATAGCCCATTAGCCACAGTATCCAAGGTTTGCATTTCCTGTTGTTCCCGGTTGACATGGCCTTCCAGGTGCTCCTCCTTTGGAAACGAAGTTATATCTTCATGCGCAGAAATCCACGTGTTTCGTAAACTGCCTTTCCCTTCAAGGAAGCTCCCTAGTCCAACCATCATGCGCTCACTCCGAGTATGTTGATATTTCGCCCTTGTCGCGACCAAGTAATCCATGACAGTATGTGAGATATCGGCCATGAAAGCTGTCAGTGTGGCGCTGAGTGGTTCATGCGGCTTGTCGTCCAGGACCGTATAGGCACCGATCACGAATCCCTTTGGGCTGACGATCGGACTGCATGCCAAGAATCGAAAATTTGGAAAGCCGACCACATCTTGATGCCCTGAAAGATCCTCGTCTTTCGCAAGATCCGGCACAACAAACGATTGGGTCGGATTTTCTGTAAATTGCGAGGAGTTGAGGACAGCTTTGCAAAGGCTGCGACCGTATGATACGGTGCAACTGCCGATCCATAGTGCATCATCATCGACGTGAACGGCGTCGTTCTGTAGGCTGAGAGTTCGAGTCGCTTCTGTCAGAACATGTTCCTCATTATGACCGAAAAGCGAAATCAAGGCGTGTTTGGCATCCAATCGAAGAGTTCCCAGTTGGGCAAATGCTGTCAGGACAGCGTCCATGGACGATCGTGCGACAATATCGGTTGTTTTTGTATCGTGACCAACGTGATTTAGGACACTTGATTGGAAATGAGTCGGTGGTAGGTATCTGTAGCAAACCCGTGCGCCGTCAGGGGATTGTTGCGCAGTTGTATCCTGGTGGTGGTAGTAGTACACCTCGCGGGAAACGACATACCTGAAGAACTCCCGCTGCCTCGAAGCACTGAACCCAGTCTGGTGCTGGTTCTCTTGTTGTGGATTAGGTCGAGACATCACGGTAATATCTATCCGGGATCCAGCCCAGAGTTGAACAGCATCAGAAAGCTTTCGCACAGGGGGCAACCACTGTGAGGTCGGCAATAGACTTGAATGGATCGAGGGAACCTTTAGGAGATCAGAAAAGGGAGAAGACGATAAGAAGATAACCAACGGGAGCGGGGCAGAAATGCAAAATTGTCGAGCGGGATATCGTTTCCTCGATCAATCAAAACGTGATGTTGTAACTTAATGTCAGCGCTAGTCGGGGAGCGATGTCCAATAATGAGGGGGATCGATGGATCGATCGGGATCCACTGGCAGTACTCTGTACGATGGGCCTCGGCCAATCAATTTTCGGTTATATCGTCAGCTATTGTCTAGATAAACCTTGGAAGTCATAGTATTTCCCTTTTGATTGTGAATCTCACGTGGGGTGTGGCCCTTGACCAGTAGCATGGGTTTCTGTGTATTGATCTTTCGAAGGGTACCTAGTAGTTAGAAGTGGCTATTTGAAGATTGTCTACACTGACAGGTGCGAAATTATAGACCCGATGAGAATAAGGAAACTTTGAAGCGCTAGACTTTCGACAATTATTATGTACAACTACACATATTTAGCTTCTCTTACAATCTATTTCGTGAAAACCTGCAATAGAACCATGATATCAATTCGCACTCATCAAAGTGCCAATTAGAATGGGAAAGGGCCGAGGAGGGCCCAACTGCAAGATACCTCAGTCTATCATACCATCACCCGAAATCCATGAGTAATCAATTTCGGTCATCAGATCTCCGGAACTTTCTTTACGAGCAGATGGGGTGTTGTTTATTCCAGTGTAGACAGTTCTGAATCCATCAAGTGAAAAGGGAGCACCTCCACTGGTCTCACTACCGCCGACGAGACTCGATAGATCAAACTCTGTACCTGGACATGTCTGTATGTATTCCGGTGTCAGTGCTGGAGCTGCAAGGATCTGCACAGCAGCAGTAGTAGAAGACCGAGCAGCTGGCGTCACAAGCTGCCCAGAACTATCTCGGGAATCCAATTTTCGGCTCGACAAGCTCTTATGGAACTGCTGAACAAGTATTTCAGCTTGACTAGCAAATCGTCGCAGTAATTGCGCGGCCTCCCTTGAGCTCACGAAGTATTTTCCCATCAGCTCGAATGAACTAATCGCAGTCTGTAGGCATTTCCGGGCTGTCGGGGACGGAGGACAGACAGGATTGGTCAGGATGAATCCTAGTATACAAAGGGCAGAATCCCATTGATATTGGATGGCTGGAGACCATCCTCGTAGTAGATCGGTATCAGTGAGGACCTGATGGATAATATTCGTCAGAGAGATGGCATGGTTGAGGCAATTGATGCTATGGCAATCGGAAAGCGGAGTTATGAATGATGAACCAGGCGGGAGGCGCAAAAATGAGCGGAAGTTTGAAATTTGAAGATGATGGTATAGAATTTCAAGCAGGAGTCGCTGGCGTTGCAGCCAGATTGGACTGAACGTGTCAAACTTCAGCGCGGTCCGCTCGGTTGAAAAGGACTCGCCGGACCCTTTTCGAGGTAACTTCAACGACTCGGGGACATCTTCTGTCCATTCGTAAACAGATCGCACTTCCCGCCCAAGAAGGTTCGCGAGCTCTTCAAGAGCGGCTGGGCTATCGTAAAACGACTTGACCGCATGTTTCGCCTGTATCTGAATGACTCGCTTCGAGAAATTAAACTGAATATGCTGTACCAAATCTACCAGATGTGCGCAGCTTGCATGGAAGCTCAACCACGTGATATCTTCATGGTTCGGACTCATCAGCATTGACCCTAAGAGGGATGTATCTTCCTGGCTATGGCCAGGGGATTCTGAATTTCTTTGCTTCGAATGGATAGTAGTAGTTGTTCGGCCGAGTGCCATTGATAATTGACCGTTCAACATGGCTATCACTGACCAGACGCGATCTCTCAACTGTGGGTCAGCTACCGATGTAGTGCTTGCAGGAAACTGTAATCCAATTGTTTGAGCGACTCTCAAGGCATTTCCCAGCATTGTATATGCAGCATTTAGGGACGATACATTGTAGAGATATACGACGCAATAAATGCAACTTTGTAGCGTCATCATCGAAGGGTTTTCGATCTCATCAAGCAGGAGACGTTGCGAACGGCGGTAAAAGGCATAGCTGTTTTGCGAAGCTACCTTTGCATGATCCACACCATCAGCACTCAAAGTACCATCATCGCTGATCAGAAATGTGCTTCCATATTGCATGCAAATAGCCATAATGCTGTCAACAAGTGGTGACCTGCTTCGCGCGGCAGGAAAACTGAAGTCATTCCAAAGGGAGTCAAAATAATCCCGGAACTCAGCCTCATCGATAATGGGGTATATGCAGTGAAATGACTGCCAGTGAAGATCGAGAAATTGCTCTTCTTGGGCACGGGTCAACTGCTCAATATCTCCACCGAGGCTTATAGCCGATGATTGTGGTTGGTTGAGCTGAGCTTCAGGAGTCAATAAATTTGGGGCGCAATTTAGGCTAAAGATATCCCCAGGGAATAAAATCTCAGAGTTAAGTTGTGCCGTCTTTTCTGTTAGATATAAGCCTAGGCGAGCGCCAAAATATGACGATGATAGTGGACCATAATGAATCAAATTCCCAGTACGGATATCAGGGATTTCGATGCCATTCCACGTCTGTGGAGGGTCAATCGGTACACCATTTGGTTGTGGGTTCTGAAGAGACACTTCCGGTGTCAAAGTTGAGGAGAGCACACGCGATTCAGGCGTCGAGGGGAACTTTTCAGGGCGCTGTTCCTGCGGCTCATGGGGACCTGATTGGCGCTGCAACCCATGAATCTCTAGACGTAAACGTTGAATCTCCCTAATTTCAATCATTAGCAGTAATTTCCACTCATTTAATTACCTGCTGGTCCGAGATACTTATTCGCTGCTAGTAACGAGTCAGACTCAACTCGCTTGCTGATACCAATTTGGCCCCCACTCAGATGTGACTCGTGGCATTTGATCCGATTAACCCGACAACGATCACAAGCCCGAGCAACTTGATCTCGTTTCCGTCGCGCCCTTTGGGGGCGTTTCTCACTGGGATCAGCAGTAAAGGTGGAAAACATTCTTCAGCGCGGATGATATTGTGAACAGAGGGAGGAGGAGGGGGGGAGTGAGTATAGAAAGGATGAGCAAAAGATAAAACCGGATTAGGAACGAGTTGCGAGGGAGAATGCGGTGGCTTGTTCACTAAGCCAATCATTATTATTCCAAACTGAATAGTCATCCATACAACAAAGCTTGATTTTTCAAGACTGATGGATCTCCGGCTCGACGGCCAACAAACTATTTACCGCATCAACAATACTCTCCTTCAACGGTCGGAATTCCAGTCCCAGAATCTCTCGCGCGCGCGAACTGTCAAACCCATACACACCATCTGCCGGGTAATCACCTGGTACCAAGGCCTCGCCAGTCGGTAAACGAGATCGGAATTCAGGAAATTCGTGGTCGATTATTTGCGCAATTTCTTTGTTAGAGAAGTGGCTGGACACAGTGAAGAAACGTTTGCCGCCAGCTTCAACCTTTTCGATAGCGAGGACGTGGGCCAGTGCGAGATCTCGAACATCGACATATAGATAATTCCCTGTTGGAGGGCAGCGATCCTTGGCAGCGCCGGTTATCAGGTCGCGAATGCGCTGGTTGGAGGTGTTGAGGGCGCTCAGCGATGCCAAATTATGCGCGATAGGTCCGAGAACTAGAGGTGGATTAATCACACTCAGGTCAAAATGAGGCTTTTCCTTCTCAACAAAATCCCAGGCTGCTCGTTCGGCGAATGTCTTGCTTGCTCGGTAGGCGTTTGCTGGGCTTTCGTTCGCTTGGTCCACTGTAATAGGACACCAATCGGCCTGTGTCTCTGATTAAAAACAATTCCAACTTTCCAATTCAATGTGAAATTTACCTCTGAGTAAACCTTCCCTTTGGCCGTTGCATAAACATTATTGATGGCGGCAAACGAGGATGTCACCACAACTCGCTTAACAGTTGGGGCATACTTCTGTACCGAATTCAATATCCCAGTGGTTCCAATGATAGCTGGATGAGATGTCTTAGTCGTCGGTACGAAGCTGGGGGCTTCTCAAATTGGAACTTACCTGGGTCTAGGAGTTCCTTGGCATCTTTGGCATGGAAATGGTACGGACTAGCAGTGTGGATGACGACCTCAAATGGGGGCTCTGAAACGACAGCCTCATCAAAAGCTAATCAACAGATGTCAGCTCGCCCATTTTTATCCTTCCTCAAAGTAAATTTTGCTCACCATTCTCTTGGGCCATGTCGGTCACAATAGCGCAATCGAGCCGATTCTTCAATAGTTCTGGGTGCGCAGCCAATATCGCCTGTGCCTTTTGTTGAGACCGAACAGTAGTAACAACCGAATGGCCACGGGCAAGAAGTGTCTCGAGTACATGAGTAGCGATGAAGCCGCTGCCACCTTGGAACAGTTAATTCCTTTTATTTCTTCTTTCGTCTGCTAAGATGAACTCACCAGTGAGAAGAACACGAGTCATTTTGGTTGGTAGTTGAAAGATTTTGGTTATCAGAGGATAGAATGATATTTTTTGAGTACTGAATGACTATAGCCCTGGGTATTAGAACGTTTAAATAAGAATTCTAGCTCGCACATCAAAGCTTATTGCCGTCCCGGACCTCCGAGAGATCTCCTTCTAGACAGGCCAGAAGTGCCGATCCGAGCCTCGTATGTCGGTTGAATCGGGGATACCCCTAATTCCGCGGACATTATCTCAAGCGAGCCCAAAGAAGAGATATGGGAGACTCATGGTGAAACTATTTTCAAAGAATGTCTCCTATAGGAGTTGTTCAATTCAGATACTTCTTCGGGAACTCCGAGAACTCCGATTACTCCTTTCAGATTAGCGCGATATCTGCTAGTAGTGAATGCAGGGGCAACAGACTCGGAGGATCAATTCGAGTGATGAGTTGGAATATGGACATGAAAATAATTGAGAGGCTCAATGCGAAGCTGACACTAAAATATTGCTGAACCAAAATATACCTATAATTTTCGAGGTCTCATGATATTACTGCCACCGGCAGTAGTTGGATAGGAAGGAACCTTGGAAGGCCTTTTGGCTACTACTAGTACTCAATCCAATTATCTTTGGAATCAAAGTAGGGTCTTCCTGGGAAACAGAGTGGGCTCAAAATTAATACTGGACACTTGAGTACTTTACGAAACCATCTAGCTTTATCTTTTGTGGATAGATGTGAAATGGATTATGGGTTATTGTAGGCTACATCACACTTTAACTAATAGACAGATGACACAGGATAGGATGATAGGGCTCAACAGCCATTCATTGAGGGCGTACAATGAAAGGGATAGGTCAAATCAAATTAGTGATGTAGGACGATGGCAAAGACACAAGAGAAAGGAAAAGAGGGGATGTACACGACGCTGGGTAGATAATTTCGAGGGACGAGATGTGAATACTTTCCCATCTCAGCCCATCGAAAATTGAGAACAGACATGGTCATCAAGGAAAGGCATCATGGGAAGGAAGATATGTGTGGATGATATGTGCAAGGTGAAGATGACAGGCTTAGGTCTTCGAAGTCAAATGGTCTGCCGCCTATGATCGAGTTAGTCTTCGTCCACCATTCAAGGGTGTCGGTGAACCTACCTTATCAAGATTATAATCGAACTTCTCCAGGGCTTCTAGAGACGCCTCTCGGGAAAATCCCATGCCTGTCAAGCGCTGCAGAATTTGATCGTCCTCTCCAGAGTCGTTGTTAAGGGCCCATCCAGGGCTCTTGGGATCCGACCCATTGGCAGCCTCCTCAGTGGCAGGCTTGGCATTTTCAAGGGGCGCAAAAAGAGCATCCCAGTCATGGTTACCGGCTTTAGCATCACCTCCATTTGAGGAGCCGGCAGCTTGAGCGTTATTGTCAAATGAGAAGAATTCCGAGGAGCCTCCCTGGCCAGCATCGGTACTTGAAGAAGCGCCATGCTTTTGTGCCGGGGAATCAAAGGAGAAGTCAAAGTCCGAGGCATTCCTAGTATCGTGACCAGCAGGCTCTTCATCGTCATCATCGTCCTCCGCTTCCTTTGCAGGGGCAAGGTTTAGGCCTGCAAAGGCGGCCTCGAAGTCGGGACCGCCCGTCTTTGCACCTCCAGTAAGAGGAGCAGCAGCAGCATCCGGTAAATCATGCTGCGGCTCGTTGCTAATAACCGGAGCTCCTGTTCCTGATTCGACGGAGTGAGGCGCGTCGGGAGGCAAAGTAGGATCAGCACGCTCAGGAAGAAGACCACTATACTCTGGAACGTGACTACTTTCATCGTTGGCAGTGCTAGTCTCATAATTTGGGGGGGCTTTGCTGCGCGTCAGGTGCAGGTGGTTGGGCGGCAGACTGAGTTGATCGCGGGGTAGGGAAAGCAGCGAGCTGAGCCGCATCGATAGAGTCAAGCGGCTTTTCCTCCTTGATGCCCTTTGATGAAACTGGAGTGAAATTATCATCGAACCCCAAAGGGCCTTCGTCATCGGAACTCTCATCTTCCTCTTCGGCATGGTGAAGCTCCTCTATAGGAGGGAATTCGGAATGGGCGGTTGCAGCTCCATTTGTATTTTCATCACCTGGTGTCTTCATGGAGGCAAAAGCTTCGTCAAAGTCGTTCCCTTTCTGCGATTCGGATCGCTTATGGGCCTTGCTACCAAAAAGCTCGTCGAAGGACAGGTCTTTCGACGTTTCTTCTTTCCCAGTGACATTGGGAGAAATTGCAGAGGCCTGCTGTCCGGCGGCCGAAGCACTTGTTACGGCAGCTACCATGGATGGCTCAGGAATTTCATCGAATGGAGATCGGGCCGGTGTTCCTTCGGCAGTGGAACCTGGGGCACGGCTATAATCACTGGACTCTGCGATAGATGGTGCCCCCAGGTCGCTGACGGTAAGTTGCGAAGGGGTGGCAAGGCCGGATTCATCGGGTCCGCCAAATCGGCTACCAGGTGGAGAAACCATAGTGGACGAAGTCACGGATTGGTTTTCATTAAAGGGCAGGAAGTTTGGGGTGATCTGTCGGGACTGGCTGGGTGGTGGGGGCTCGTTTCCTGGGAAAGCCCCAGGAAGACTGCCCGGGCCAGGAGACACGGACGGAGTCGGAACATTAGATACAACAGGAGACTTCGCCGTAGCCAGAGGCGACTCGGAACGGAATGAAGTAGGCGGGGGACCAGCAGCCGAGGGAGCGGCAGAAGTCTGGCCAAAGAGGCTGTCAAACATCCTGTGGTGATCATTCGAATTATCCGGAGAAGGACCGCGGTCGCTCTCACTTCCGGTCATGGTGCGACGGAAAAAAGGGTTGGTACCCTGGCTGGCAGTAGAGGCAGCAGGGCTAGTCACCTCAGTGTTGCTCGTAGGTGTCGGTTCCTCGGTGTATTGAGGGGTTTCTTTGGACAGGGTGTCGATTTCACTCTGCATCTTATCGTGTTCACCCTCGACGGTAGCCAGTTGCTTCTTGTTGATGGCAACAAGACCCTTCTGCTGTCTAGCATCGGAGCGTGCCTTTTCCAATGCGGGCTTGAGCTGAGCAACTTCGGCATTGGCCTGGCGGATCTTTTCTTTCAAGCTAGCATTCTCCTGCTGGTCTGCTGCCAGGGCGGTCGAGACCTGCGTATATTGGTTGTGCAGATCCTGGCGACCACCCTCAATCAAGGCATAGTCTTGCTGCAACTTTGTCGTCTCCGCCTTAGAGACACGTAGCCGCTCCTCCAGCGCCTTGAAGTTAGTCACTTCTTGCTCATACATCGCACGGGCTTGGGCAAGTCGAGTCTCAAAGTCCCGTTTTTGCTGGGAGGTCTGAGTGAGATTCTGCTCTGCCGAAGTACGCTTCTCCTGGACATTGTGCATCTCCTTGGCCAGTGAGCCAATTTGGTTAGACAAGTTGGCGAGTTCAGTAGTCTCCTGAGTAAGTTTATTCGATTCTTCGGGGTCATTGTCTCCCAGCAGATCATCGGATGGAGGCGGAGGGGAGCGAACTTGCCCCGGTGTTCCGATTGATGTACCAGTCTGCTGAGGCTGCAGGCTCTGGCCGAATGTTGATGTTGGGATAAAAGGCTTGAAGGTGGTCGACGCCGTCTGCGGGGAGGCTCGGGATGGCGAGCTAGGGGTTTGAAATGCCATATTGGAGCCGCCTGTAGATTGGGGTACCTGTGTCTGTGTGGTCGGGGGCGGGGGCGAATCAAGGCCAAAAAGGTCATCCGCGGCAGATCGTGGAACCGGGGCTGGTGGAGGAGGCGCTGCCATTGGGACCGGAGCAGGAGCTTGTCGGCGCATGCTGGGCGGGATCAAAGCAGGAGGAAGAACCTGGGGTATAGGCTCCTTTCCGCCCCGCTGCAATTTCACAAGGTACATGGCCACGGCGAACTCATCTCGGTTCAGCTGGCCATCGGCATCAATATCAGCAAGGTCCCAAATCTGTGCCAGAACCTCCTCAGAAAGTCGAGCCTTCATAAAAAAGGCAACAGCCTGGTCACCCGTGATAACACCTGCCCTAGCCGTATCAACGGTCTCAAAAATTTGATCAAAGTGACCTTTCTCCTGAGCTGTGATAAGCCAATCGCCAGTGGATTGTGCAGACAACGGGGTTCCGAATTGAGCTCGGGTGACAGGGCTCATGGGGCTCGTAGTTCGCTGAGGTCCTGTGAATTGTCGAGGTACTGCGGGCACCGGAGGTACCTCAGGGCGCGCTCCGAATGAACCGCGTTGAGGGCCTCGGCGGGCTGCAGCATCGTAAAGTCCAGGGGGCAATGTCTGAGGAATACCACGGAGAACACCAGACTTGAATGAAGTCAGAAGGTGCATCGCAATGATGAACTCCGTCGCATCCAGAGCTCCGCGCTGTTGGGTATCCGAAAGACCCCATATGCGACCCAGGGTCTCATTTGGCAATCTGGCGCGTTCAAAGATCTGCTTAGCAATCTCGCCGGGCAGCAGTCCATTAACAACACCCGATTTCTCGAAGAGGGAAAGGAACTTGTTCGCATCGTCAGGCTGAAGCGGAGGAACTCGGATGGGAGGCCCGCCCGCACTTGGGGGAGGGCTCTGCGCAGGCTCGGGTACAGGGGCATTGACATCGACTTGAATACCATCGAATCGAGGGAGTGGGCCGGCTAAAACGAAAGAGGTCTATGATCAATATTGGTCCCGTCGAGGCACAGTGAAATGTCGTCCCCTATGCAAACCGAGAGAAACCACTTACGCTGTAAAGCCAACTCATCTGATGGCGTACGCCCGGCTTGTGCATGTCCAATCAATCGTAGCACGATGCCAAATCCTGACGGGGTCAAGAGACCCCTGTTCTCTTTATCTGCAAGCTGCCATATCTAGAGGCGGGTTAGTTCTCTCGTCCCTCGTGCACTTCCAAGCTTGAATTCTCCATTTTTGTCCACGTACCTCACCCAGGGTTCCAGATGGCAAATGTGTCTTCTCAAAGAATGGGACAGCAATTTCACCAGTGATCACGCCGAGGTTGGTGGTGTCGGCAGCTTGGAACAGCTGGTAGAAGACGCGCTTCTCCTCGGGGGTAAGATTCAGGTTCGGATGTCGTTGGGCTGTAATTTTCACAATCAGTCACGTTTGCTCGCTTTCTCCTCCCGTTGTTTTCTCCTTGTTTTGACGATATTCACAGCAGCAGGGCGGGTGTCGGAACGGCGCATAGAGAGGGGAAGGGGGCCGGAGTTCGGCGGGTCCTCCTGAATTGCGCCGGAGCTTCTATGTCCATTGCCAAATATCCAAGATGGGAGAAAGAGTGGACAGCTTACCGGTATCGGCCATAGCGTTGTATTATGGAGGAGTTAGACTCCTCTCCTTCCAAATAGATTTCGGGATAGTTGGGGCCTGGAGGACGTTTGGAGACACGGGGTGGCCGTCAGCTTGAGCCGCAGACCACGAGCGTGGATTGGCGCCAACGGAGAGACGGAAGTGCAAATGAAAGCCGGAGAAGGTGTCTCTCACTCTAACACCAGAGAGAAACGATGTGGTGGTGGAATGGAGAGGAGTATGCAAGTGTGGCTGGGGGGGTGGAATTGGGGGGGATGTCGTAAGGAAGGCAGCCAGCCCCATCGCGCAAGGCGGTCAATTGACTTAGCGCCCATTCCATTCACCTTTGCGCAGTAGAATTCAGGGCAATTCTTGTAATGTTAATTATAGTAATAGGGGCAGTAGTAGCAAGGAAAATATTGAAGCTAATTCCGAAACTTGTACTAGTTTGGGGGCATTCAAGCTTTCATTATACACAATATACTACTAGAAGTATACAATATGCACCCTACTATACGAAGCCGCCGTGTATCAACTCACGATTTCACCAAAGTAACACACAGGAAAGCACTCTAAAATATGACAGTTTATATGCCCCTTGCTAGTTCTCACAGGAATTTATGTCAAGCAGTATAGGTAGAACTGCTGAAATTTTATGTACATCAAGTAACAAACCATGGCCCAGGTTGGATGGAACCTTAGGAATTCCAATATCACTTCCTCGAAACGAGTAGCATAGCAATTGTCGGGTTTTCTTTTTATGAAACAATTCGTCCAGAGGCAGACACGACACATTTCACAATGAATCGAGTCGAAAGCGAAATCATGAAAACTCCAGTCTGATTCCAAATCGAATGGCGTATCAAAAGTTAGTTCAGCCTTTCCGACAAAAAAAAACAGGTGACAATAACTTGTTTTGAAATTTTGAATTACGGGATATGTGGTCTCGGAAGTTATCTATTTTTTTCTAGAAAAAAAAAAAGAAAAACTGGGGAAAGGGGGAAAGAGGAAAGGGGAAAGGGGGTCGACTACTAGTAGTAAACTGAATACTATGAACATGTCCCCAATAGAGGCATGATCCCGTGACTGTTAATATACTATCATCCCATTGGGTAGTATTGTTCAAGTTATTACTAGAACTACTACTTCAAGTACGAAATTGAATAATTACTACGCGAAAGAATTACACCTGGGCACTCAGCGAGAAAGAAGTAGATAGAACGAGCGGGAAATTTATCGCTGCTTCGGGGATATTAAAGATATATCGAACAACAAAGCCAGAAAGACATGATCGGGGGCTGAAAAACTATGTTTCCCATCTATTTGCAAGCCCAGGTATTGTTTGTTACCTTACCATAGATAAGAGGAACGTCGATAAGAGAGAGCCTTAGCCTTGGTGACGCGCCCGCCAGAGTTCGAATTGGCTCAAAACAGCAACCCGCCAAAATTAAAACCAAGCCCGTACACGGACATAACACGATGACACGACCGGACACGCTCACGCAACATCCCGAATCTAGTACTCGGGCTCAAGCTCCTCCTCCTCCTCGAGGGAGTCGCTGGCAACCTCCTCGTAATCGCGCTCCAGAGCAGCGAGATCCTCACGAGCCTCGGAGAACTCACCCTCCTCCATACCCTCACCAACATACCAGTGGACGAAGGCACGCTTGGAGTACATGAGATCGAACTTGTGGTCGAGAGCGGACCAGGCCTCGGCGATGGCGGTGGTGTTGGACAGCATGCAGCTGTAAGAACATTATTATTAGTATCAAAATCATCGCTTTTCCATGGGAATAAACATACACAGCGCGGCTGAGGTTGGCAAGGTCGCCGTTGGGGACCTGCTGGGGGGGGGCTGGTAGCAGATACCGAGCTTGAAACCAGTTGGGCACCAGTCGACGAACTGGATAGTGCGCTTGGTCTTGAGGGTGGCAACAGCGCCGTGGGCGTCCTTGGGGACAACGTCACCACGGTACAGCAGGCAGGTAGCCATGTACTTTCCGTTGCGGGGGTCACACTTGACCATCTGGTTGTTGGGCTCGAAGCAGTTGGAGGTGATCTCGGTGACCGAGTGGGCCTCGTGGGAAGCCTTGTCGGCGGAGATGACGGGAGAGTAGGCGACCAGAGGGAAGTGAATACGGGGGTAGGGGACCAGGTTAGTCTGGAACTCGTTCAGGTCGACGTTCAGGGAGCCATCGAAACGGAGGGAAGCAGTGATGGAAGAAACGACCTGGGCGATCAGGCGGTTCAGGTTCTCGTAGCTGGGGCGCTCAATGCCGAGGTTACGGCGGCAGATATCGTAGATGGCCTCGTTGTCGACCATGAAGGAGCAGTCGGAGTGCTCCAGAGTGGTGTGAGTGGTCAGGATGGAGTTGTAGGGCTCAACAACGGAGGTGGCGTTCTGGGGGGGCAGGGTAAACACAGAACTCCAGCTTGGACTTCTTGCCGTAGTCGACGGACAGACGCTCCATCAGGAGAGCACCGAAACCGGAACCGGTACCACCACCGAAGGAGTGGAAGACCAGGAAACCCTGGAGACCGGCACAGGAGTCGGCAACACGGCGAACCTTGTCGAGAACCTGGTCGATCATCTCCTTGCCAACGGTGTAGTGACCACGGGCATAGTTGTTTGAAGCATCCTCCTTGCCAGTGATCATCTGCTCGGGGTGGAAAAGAGAACGGTAGGTACCGGTGCGGACCTCATCGACGACGTTGGGCTCGAGATCGGCATAGATGGTACGGGGAACGTAACGACCCTGGCCTGTCAAGGTGGGGGGTGAAGAATGTTAGGGAGATCTTGACCACGAGCAATTTTGCAGAAAAAGGTGGGGAAAGCAACAGAAGGTCTAGAAACGACCTAGAAGAGATTTACATACCAGTCTCGGAGAAGAAAGTGCTGAAACCGTGGTCGGGATCGGCCTTCTTGCGCTCATCGGTAAGATATCCATCGGGCTATTGAGGGTGTTAGTTGCGGGTGCTTGCTTCCCGGCAAGGGAAAAGGGGGGGAAGTGGTGCGGCTGCCCGAGTTGAGATTGGGCGCCACCAAAGTTGCAATTCCAACGTACCTGGATACCGTGCTCCAGACAGTAAAGCTGTAGGTGGAGTGTGGTTAGTATTGACAGCCGTTTGAAGTCGCAATTGAAGGTGGTGTGATAGTTACCTCCCAGCAGGAGTTGGCGATCTGGCAACCGGCCTGACCGACTGGATATCGGGGAAACAAGTCAGTACGATGGAAATTTGGCGATGAAGCCGATGCCGGGAGAAAGAGCAGCAGGGAATTCAGGACATACCGTTCAGGGAGATGATCTCTCTCATTGTGATGGGTGGTGATTTTTCGAGGTCGAAAAAAAAGGAGGGGAGAGGGACCCGACAACAAACACGGGTCTAAGGAGGGTTCAGGGGTTAGTGCGGTCGAATTGGCGAGATCGAAGGAGCACCACAAATGGAAGGGGGAGGGGTAATGGGAATGGTCGAGGGATAGAGAAAGTAGTGTAGGGGGGTCAGTAAACTCACCAAAAATGGGAGGAATGGAGTCGTCGAAGAAGCAGAAATGTTGTGGAGGAGGGCGTCTGTGCTGAGGGAGTTCGTTGTTGATTTGCTTTGGGTCGCGTCGCTCGGCGTTGATTGGTCGATGCCCACAACACCCGGCCACACCGCCTGTTGGGGTCACGTGCGAGTCATGTGATTGCAGCATCGTTAGTGTCTGGTGCATGGTGCATTATATGGCTCACCAATGCCCTCTGTATAATATTGAATTTTGTATATCTGTAGAATGACCAATAAAAGGTAATCTACCAGTATTATTACTAGTATACTAACAATAATAAGTTGGGCGATCACTGGCAGCTTAATGCATCCATCCCTCATACTAATTAGTACTGTAGTGATATTCCTCACCGCCAACCGAACTGCGTCACCACCGGCATCTATGCCCAGGTGGATATATTTCCATGCATCACCTGCACCATGATCTACCTCAAATTCAACTGACCACTTCCACTCCCTATACATGAATTATTTCAAGAGTCTCCTTCCAACATCCACATAGCCACTGGCACCGAAAGGCATTACACACCAACTTACTAAACCCCCCCCAATCCAAGAAATGCGCCTCCACGGCCTCGGCCTGCTCAGCCTGCTCCTCAGCATCGCCAGCATCGCCCACGCCAATGTCGAGAAGACCATCTTTCTCGGCCCACCAGCCTCGACAATTCCTTCCGAGGAGCCCGATTTAGACGACCTCGGCCTTGAACGACTCTCCCCAACCAACCCAGTCGTGCGTACCCAGATTAATGCCTCATTTCCAACCAACGATGCCCCAGATGGCACAGACTCGTGGTTCTTCCTCGAAGACCTCACCCCAGGCCAACGGTACGAGGTCCGAGTATGCTGGCTTGCAACGGTACGTTCGATATCCCCACCAATTAAACATACTATACATACCAAACACATGATTTGATATGTATACACTATACCTCCGAGTTACTAGTATACAGCAGCAGCAACTAATAAACAGAATTAGCAACCAACAACATTCACACTAACAACACACCTCCTATCCGAAACAATCGAGGAAAAGTCCCTCCTCTCATCCCTAAGTATATTCTCATCAGCCCGCCTAAGCACCCAAGACCCACGCCTACAAACAAACGCCATCCCCCGCACCGCAGGCCGGAACTTCCAAAGGAAAACCGACTTTCCGGACCCGGGACCAGTAACATCCTCGGTCCTGTTCCTGCGCGTGCGCGCAGCGGCGGATTACTTCACGACGGACGAGGCGCGGATGGCGCGTCCGGAGCCCGTGGCTGTGGATTTGATTCTTGATCCGTTTATTTGGAATGTTTTCCCGCGTTCGTTGGTACCGACGGCGGGGTGGGTTGTTGTTGTTGGCGTTGTTGCTTTTTTTGTGGCGAGGTGGGTTACTGGTGAGATTGGGCGAGTTATTGATGATGCGAGGCGAGAGGAGAGGGAGGCTGGAAATGGAGAAGAGGATGGGAAGAAAGAGAGGTAATTGGTAATTAGGGGTTGGCTTTGGTTGTTCCGTCTTATTTCTACGATTATCGTGTTTGCGGACTACTGCTACCTAGTAGTAGCCAGTGAACATTGTTATCCAAGGCTCAGGATTGTATATACATAGTACTCTACGTCTATTTAGGTAATATAGCATATGCCCATATGGATGGGCGTTCCTCTCGGAAACTCCGAGTTGTCTCAGTGCCCAGGTGGTAGTAACCTTCCAAGGTTGGAATCCTTTTCCGGCCTCGGAATGGAGTACCTACATAGGTAAGGGCTGGTACTGGTATTGTACTTGCCACTAGGATAGTCGATTTGACAATCTACTAATACGAGAAGAAAAAAATATTTTACCAACCGTTCGCCAAATAGATACATTATGTATAACCAAGATCACTAGCCAAGACAAGGGGTACATGCGGGGCCAGTACAGGAGGGGGAATAACAATAAATTGATGATGATGATGGAGCATTGCCCCAGGCAGCGACACCAAGAGCGAGAACGCCAAAAGCCAAATCCAAAAGCCAAAAAGGGGAGAATCCAAAAGCCAAAAGCAAGGCCCAATCTTGCATATCCCACGTATCGCTCTACTCTATCCGTCTTGACGTCTTGACTGCGACACGATGGGCTGAGTGAGTCCAGGCAGAGATAAAATGCGAAGCACCCCAGATCATATCAAAATCATATCATAAGCATGAGATTAAAAGAAAATTCGTCGATAAGCTATGCATAAACAGAGTTTCTGCAAATATTCACTTCGTAAATGGCCTAATCTTCGAAAAAGTTCAGGATAGCGCGGATACCCTTCGACCCTAGACCGTGGGCTGGGTACGCGATGTACAAAGGCTCTTCGGTAGCGCCCAGCTTGGCACGGAACTCGCTCTTACGCACGAGATGGAACTGTTTGGCCAGTGCCTCGTAAGTGTGTTCCAGCATCTTGATCTTGGTGCCGTGCATGTTGTGGCCCGGGATAAGTTGGGAAGTGGCGCCGGCACCAAAGGTGAGTCCCTTCACGCCGCCCTTGGCGGCAGTCTGAATGGCCTCGGTCACGATGTATTCGATCACACCGTTCGGCGAGTTGGGGAAGTCTAGACTGTACTTGACTTGCATACCGTGGTCCGGAGAGAGCATGGCCAGAGCAACGAACGCGCAGACGACGCCAGTCCTGTCGAGTGCGTAGAAGTACCAACGGTGCTCAGAGTCAATCCATGGGCGAATCTCCGAGAGATGCACCTGAGTACCCTTGCGGTTGGCCAGCCACTCATGGATACGCTCATCGATCTTCTTGCGAACATCTTCAGAAGGCAACTCGCCCTGGCTCAGAGACACGACCTTGATGTTCTCGGTCTCGGCACGGCGCAGCTTCTTGGCAATCTCGCCATCGGAAGCGGCCTTGTTGCGAGATGGATCGACGCGCTCCTCAGCAATGCAAGATAAGCTGCGCCATCCTAAACGCTCTCCAAGGATGGTTTCGACCTCGGGCGAGCAAAGGAGCCAGACGGGCTTGAGCTTGGTTTCGCGTCTCAGCCACTGCAAGAACTGAGTGATGGTGCGAGTGTACTGGGAAGGGTCGCAGGCCGGATTACCGGGGATGATCGCGTAGTTGTGAGAGCTGGCAACATAGGAAACGGCGGCACCAGTGGACATGTCACGCCAGATCTTGTACCGCTCGTCAAACCAAGAGGTGGAGGTGGCATCGCCATAGTTGGCAATCAGCTTTTCCAGCGGTTGGAGCTCGCTGTCATCCGAGGCAACGCGGCGTGAGGGCTCTGCGGTATACCATGGGGGCTCAAGGGTAGATGCCTCCGGATGGCGAAGCTGCTGCACGGGAGGCTTGGCTGGCAGACTCTTGGGATCACGGTGGAAGAGCGAGGTGAGACGAATGTTGCCCACTTGAAGGAGGAGCATCAGAAGACGCTCCAGACCAACACCGGCACCCGCGTGAGGTGGGGCGCCCCAGCGGAATGCCTCCATGTAGTCCTCCATGTCGTCGGGGTTGATGCCAACGCGGCGCATGTTCTCTTCCAGCATGTGTGGCTCGTGGATACGTTGACCACCAGACACGATCTCTTGGCCCCGAATAAACATGTCGAATGAGTTTGTGTACTTGTCATCTTCGGCATCTGGCATGGTGTAGAAGGGACGAGCGCCGCGAGGGAACTTGTCGAGAACATAGTAGTCAGTGTCGTATTTCTCCTTCACCAACTGACCAAGACGGATTTCATCTCTAGTCGCCAGGTCCTCATCCAGTGGCAAGGGCTTGCCATCCTCATCACGCCAGCCTGAGTCGTTGAGCATCTGAATGCCATCGGCGAAGCGGATAATGGGGGTCTTTTCCAACCATTTGACATCCTCCGAGGGGAACTGATACTTAACATGCTCAATCTCCTTGCGATACTTGGTGTAGATGCCACTCAGAATGTTCTTGATAACCGCATCAAGGGTCTCTAGCATTTCGTGGTAGTGCTCCTCGATGGCCATTTCAATATCCAGACCGGTGTACTCGGTCAAATGACGATGGGTATTGGAGTTTTCGGCACGGAAGACGGCGCCAATTTCGTATACACGGCCAAAATCAGCCGCAATGGCCATCTGTTTGGCCAGTTGAGGGGATTGGGCCAGGAATGCGGGACGGCCAAAGTAGTTCACTTGGAACACACTGGCTCCGGACTCGGTGGCGGCTCCCTGAAGCTTGGGGGTGTGGATTTCGATGAACTCACGCTCGTCGAGGGCGCTGCGAAACAGGTTGCAAGTCGCGGATTGAAGACGGAAGATGGATTGTGAGGTTGCAGTGCGTAGGTCCAGCAGACGGTTAGAAAGACGGGTGCGGTCCGGGATGTGGTTGCGACGGCCCTCAACCTTATCCTCCTCGTTGGTGCGGATCTCAGCCTCGTAGACGCTGAAAGGAACGGGTTCCTCGCGCTTCACGAGTAGGTGGATGGACTCGATGGAGAGTTCGACGTCGTGAATACTGCATCCCAGGACGGGGACATCTGGTTTCTGGATGGTACCACGGATGCGTACGAAAGATCCGACCCGCAAGTGCTCAGCCCACTGGATCATAACGATCGAGGAGATGCCGGCACGCTCGTGAAGTACGCCCTGGAATGTCTCCAGTTGCTGACGAAAGACAAGGAAGACCAGCTTGGCGCTCATCCGACGGATGACGTGCAAACGAGCGGTGAAATAGACCTGCTGTCCAACCATTTCCGGGGTAATATGATCAAGACGAAGGCGGTCCTCATACTTTCGGTCCTGCGACTGCATCAGGGGAAGTTCGCCATAGCGGGCTTTCATTTCAGCAGTCTCCTCCTCGGCAGCTTTGGCAAGCTCCTCCTCCTTGCGGCGGTGATCGGACTCGGAGAATTGCTCCTCGCTGAGCCGGCTGCGCTCGGAGCGACGTTGCTGACGCGCTAGGCGCTTTTGTTGGTTCTTGCTCAGGGCACCACTGGAGGAATCGTCGGAGAAATCATCGGAAGACGAGACATAGTCACGTTCTCGCAGGAAGTTGCCGAGAATGCTGCGACGAGGCGAGGTCGGGGACATGGAATCGCGAGAGGTGGAGGTACGTGGTTTGGGGGAGAGAGTGGACCGAATGCCCGAGCCGGACGAGTCATCATCACCCAGATGGCCACGAATGGCTTTGGAGAGAGCCCTCTTGATGGACATGGTGGGCACCTCCAAACTGGATGAATGGATAGGGATGTACGGGGGAGTCAAAAGAAGATGGTGGATGATATCAGGGGGGGAGGGAAAGTAGAGAAGAATAAGAAAGTAAAGAAAGTAAAGAAGGGGTCGAGGCGGGGTTTGCGGGAACTGCAAGCGGCGATCGTACGGCTTACTTGCTTATACCATGCAATGTATGGTCTGGTCTGGCCCGCGGGGTTTCCGAGGGGTTCCGTTAAGCAGTACCAGGGAATGGAGAGTAGGATAGTAGGCTATCAATGTCAATGCCAATACTCTGTATAGTGCCAATATATAATTTAAATTAAAAAACAATTCGGAGAGATCCTTAGGTCGTTCTGTCGGAGTCTGATACAAATAGGAGTTGAGGTCATGACATCATGTGGGCTGCCCGGATTTGCGCAGGAATGCTTGTTTACGACTGATACTTGGATTTGCAAATTTCAATGGCAGCACACTACGGCATAATGATGGTACCTAGTGAGTTCTGTACTATAATAGTACTAGTATTATATAGTATATAGTATTATAGTATATACTATGTACTATATACTATAAGTATATAGGTACTTACAAGATACTAGCAATCACTATTAATTCACAAGTACTCTGGACTGTTCGCAAGGAAGGTGCGACCCGTTTCAGGATCATTCTGCCTGATTCCTCAGGTGTCGACTTACGTAGCCACCCTATGCCGTACATCTCCATCTCCATCTCCATTATCCCATCCTATTCAGCACTCCCACTTGCTTTCTCTGTATCTAACATCTTCTTATTTCATTCCCTTCTTCCACTGCATCGCTACCCACCATCTCCTACCTGTGACTCCCAATCCCGTCCCTCATTCGCCACCGTCGGCACTTCACGTAACTCCACCTCCGCCTCCGATCTCCGAATCCCGACATCTGACCATCGCCTCCCTTTCGTATAACCAGACTACCCTGGGAGTGCTAGCTTTGCTAGGACCCAGATCACTACCTCAATGGGTTCTAGATGGTGGCTGCATGTCCAGGCCGTCGTCTGGCGGTTCCTGATGCGCATTGGGATGTTCCTACATGACCTCACACCTCCGCGTTGTCCGAGCCCATCCTTCACTCGTACCGTTCCGTCCGACAACGACGGCACTTCTGCCGTCATTCACTTCTACCTACCTCCCGATTATCACGCACAGAAACGCCTCGGTCATCGTTATCCCGTCCTCGTCAACTTCCACGGCGGTGGCTTCACCCTCGGCTGTGCCACCGACGATTCCCGATGGTCCTCCATGGTTGTCCGCGAAGTCAACGCCGTTGTCGCTAGTGTCAGCTATCGTCGGGCCCCCGAAAACCCCTTCCCTGCCGCCGTCGACGATGGTGTAGATGCCTTGTTATATCTGGCGGCCAACGCCGGCGACTTAGGTCTGGATATCAGCCGGGTGGCTCTGAGCGGCTTCTCGGCTGGCGGCAACCTAGCCGTCACCGTTCCACTGCGTCTGCATAGTCGACTATCTTCCGAGATCAAGGAGCGGTTTGGTCGAGCGGAGTCGACCCAGCGTCTGGTGGACCAGACCAACGAGCTGAACATCGTCGGCATCTTCGCTTGGTACCCCATTCTGGACTTTTTGGAATCCCGCGACCACCGTCGAGCCATGAGTCTTATGCCCGATAAGACTCTGCCGGCTTTCTTCACCACCCTATTCGATGAATCCTACCTCCCAAATCTTGACGACCGCTCGTCCGCCTTTGCTTCGCCGGTGCGTGCCACCGATCGCATGCTGGCCACTCTACCCCACGATGTGTTTTTGTATATCTGCGAGTGGGACATGCTCATGAAGGAAGGTCAAACCTTCGTGCGTCGTCTCGAGGGATTGGGTAAGCGTGTTCGGGCCATGATGATTGAAAAGGCCTGCCATGCTTGGGACAAATCGGCGAACCCTTTCCGCGACCAGGATAGTGTTGATGTGCTGTACCGTGAGTCCTGTGCGGAGATGAAGGCGATCTTCGACCGGTGATGTGTTTCCCTCGATCACTTCGGCCTTATTTTTCCTTTTCCTTTCCTGTATGTCGTTATTATAGAGCAAGCGTTGGCTGTCTTTGTATCACTTGGGGCTATTGGCGTTTGGTTTCAGCATTCACGGCGTTTGGGACTCATTTTGGATATTGTTACAATGAAATATAAGATTATTGATCTGCAACAGCGATGGATAGAACAGGTGTTCGTGAGGGCAGTGGGGGGGGGGATTCAGCCCCTCCAGCATGACATTCTATACGAGCTGCCCAACGTAATTCGTACAGCGTGACCTGCGCTTTAGCCAGTCCATTTCACACTGCATTACATGTTCGTGTACTGTACATAGATGAGTACACAGATCAGTACATAAGACCATGTATTTATTGTCGCATGTGAAAAGTGATATGAAATTTTTTTTTTCTTTCTTATTGGCTGGTCGTCAGCCCGAAGAAAATCATTGATCGTCGGCTTTCACCCGAAAATGGGGTTGACGCCGGTTTGCAAGCGGTGGATCTACAACCGTTTGATGTCATTATGGAGGGAATTCGTGCCTTGACTAGTCTACCAAATTACGATGCCAAGCGGCAAATCAAGGCACAGATTGAAGGAGCCTATCTACAGAATCAAATCCCACTGTTCGTCATTTCTATCTATGTATACATAGTATTACGTTCGTACCCAGACGGAGGATAGACCAATATGGGAATATTGGGAGACAATTACCCGGTGTACTATGTTGCTGAAGATAGTTTATAGATAATAAGATTTATGAGGCCCAGAGTCTGGGTTGATATCTAATCCACTGAGAGACCAAAGCGCATGTGGAAGCATACCATACATTTGGCTCTTGTGCTTCAACTACAATTGATCTCTCTCCGCCAGTAGCCATGCCCCACTCCAGTCGAATTTAAAGGAAACTAATCTTGCCAAAATCCCCAATCTATGCCCGGAGGGACTATCATCACAAAGAAAAAGTGACTTAGCTGTCGCCTCTGCAAATCCGATAAAGTTGATGTTGGTGATATGGCTCCTGATAAATCTCGGCAGCGTTCCTTGAACAACCTTACCCATATTACCCGGAGAGACGGTTGTACTCAGGCCAGGCAGACGAAAGACACTATTCAGTCAGAAGAGGTGCTTCATGCCATTGAAAGAGGGATTTTCTCAAGCCATTATGCAACGTGGGTAGTAGTTGGATCTCGGTAAGGGTAATGACGCGCTCGACCGAGCTGGGTTTGATAAGATTGACAACTGTCCCAACCTGAATGTATTGCAAAGAAGCGATGCCCCTTTGAGTGAAAGAACTGATCTTCAGATCGAAAACGAGAGAAGGCTTTTCATTTATAAGTTGGGTGTTTGCTGGGTGGACATAGGAAGCCGGGATCGGTAGAGTTTGGTGGGGTCGATGGAGTAGATCCGGACGGGGGTAGCCGAACGAGGCCCGCCCCGCCCCTAATGGTAGTTTCGTTTCTTTTCAGTTTCTTCTATTTAGAGAATACCCCCTAGGGCGTCTGATCTCAAGAAACAGAAATGTAATCGATTGTACTGGTCACCTTCTTTACCCTTCGTCGTGGCTCCCAGAAGAAACCATTACAAAAGCCGTCACCGAGGCATGGTGCCATCTGGTGATCACCCAAGGATGATCGGTAGAGATATTCTGTGCAAAATGAAGAGAAATTGAATTAGATGCATCTTATAAGGATCATGTTATTCCGCTTCCAAGGTTTATATGTGTGGAATCGAGGATAACCAATCAATCGCGATATAGGATCCAGTAGGTAGTGCTCTCATCGACGTAAACATAAGCACGATATTTCCCCAGCGGGCGATCGAATACACAACGAAGAGACTTATGAAGAGCAAGGCTTCCCAAACCCCGTATCCTTCGCTGTTAGATATAAGACGATCTTTATCGCCTGACTCACGGTAGAGTTTCCAATGAATCCAGAGGAAGTGAAGAGCCACTGGCAAAGGGAGAGACATTGAAATAAGCGAAAAGACTCGCCAGGATATCTGCTCGGCTTTGGTTGGGAAGACAAAGTTCCACCTACCATATCAATGTTGGAATTAGCTGTGCCCGGGAAAGGAAAGTCACGAGAGCCAAGAAGAAAAGAGTGAAGAATGGGAAAACTCACGCAGCAACATGTATTCCGCAAAACAGTAAAGCAATCAGCAGGGAACAAAGATCAAGGATCATGTTCTCCTTGACGGTCAATTTTTCATCCTCATCCTTGAGTCTGTTCTGTTCCGCCATGTAGTTCTGTTCCGGTGTGGCTGATTGCTTTGCCTCCGAGACAGTACGAGGTTTCAAGTTCTTGGACGGGGGCTTAGATGACGATTTAGATATTCTATTTTTTGAGGAATCACGCCTGGCCATATGCTTTCTTTTCACCCATTTGACAGGCAGACAAAGACTGATGGTAAAGATCAAGAGCCGAAAGGGGAAAGTGACCACTTTCGTGAAAACAGATCGAGAAGAATCTTCAGGAAAGGCTTCGGATAAATGAATCCAACCAGATTCATGCTCGTCCAAAATTTCTCTTACCCGACGAGGCATTGCGTCACTTTCACGACCATAGGGTAAATAGATCATGATGGGTGTTACCATATCTTTGGGTTTGTGCCACCAAACTGCATAGGTGATTCCAGCACAGACGGCGTAAGCCACGGTAGAAATCTCAAGCGGCGTTATCGGGAGATTGTATGCTGCCCGCGCAATAATATTGCAGGTGACCCAGAAGGTTTGCAGCATCGTGAACGCCTTTGCGAAAGAGTCAGCTTTAGCTCTGTCCTGAATGTCGCGCTCTCTCAAATGAGAGTGCTTGATGACCCCAGTCTCGATTAGGGGGGGCAACATTGCTCGGTAGAACTGGGTAGGTCCATTCATCGTCCGTGACCAGTATCGCACCGCGCATATCTATACAAAAACCCTGAATTACTGTCCAGGATTTCCGCGAGTCTGGTTTATCATAGGATGAAATTGCAGTGTGTAGAGGAAGGTTTCCTGAACTCGAGTCTTTGTTGCTATCCAATGCTTGGAAAGCGGAATTGCAACGCGTAACAATTGATATTGCCTGTCGGAGCTCCCCCCACAGCAACCATGGCCATTAATTCGGGAGCAAGTAGCGCGCAGGTCCACGTTGGGAGTTTTTTAGACATCGTGTCTCCATTGTGCTCGGATCGCTTTGGAACTTTTAGATGCAAAGCTGTCCATGTACATGCAAGAATCGTTGACACGCATGTCCAGAAAATATCCCAGCTCGAGCGAGAGTTGTCATCAAACTGCCAACCCTCTGTTTGATCGGCCTGCGCAAGTGATATTTGAGAAAAAGTAAAAAGCAGAGTGACCGGTGCTATCAATGCCATTTCTGATGCTCGAGAGCAGACACCCTAGAGATATTTTCCAAATAGAAGAAAAGAAACGAAACTAAGGGGCGGGGCGGGCCTCGTTCGGCTAGGGACGTGCACTAGAGCAAAAGGAGAGCGCCAAGAATCGACAGGCATTATCAAGATGATATGCACAGACCCATATACTAATTGACCTGTTTGAATGTTCATCATGCCACTGGTAGATGGCTGGTTGTATTTCAAATCTAAGGGAAACGGATCTTTCCGGGCATAGAGCAGTGTTTTTATTATTATTTCAAAATACTCATACAAACTTGAACATGTGGAATAAAATTGGGCAGTATGCGCAGTATAAAGTACGGTACACTAGGGTAGTACAGGATCTGTGTAGATCGACGGATCGTAGCCAAAGCCAACTGAAGTATGCCATCGCCGCTTGTCTTCGATCAGACCCCCCGAGCCCGAGTCCCGGTTGATATTGCGAACGCAAGTACATAAAGCGACTTTCCTTATAAATTATTCTCAAAGACCTGGCCAAAGCAGCTTTAAGCCAAATTGCACAGATCCGAAATTGTATATCGGTCAGAAATACCCGTTATCGACACTGTTTTCCACACGCAGGACAAACATGCTTTGTACTTGGTATGGAGACACCGCAGTTTTTGCAACTCATCGTACTTCCAGACATCGTCACAGTTTCTACTTCGGGTTAGTCTAAATCATACAGACTGAAGTTTTGATTTGTTTACACACGATGTCGTAAGGCTTTCAAACAGTTGCAGATAGTGGCACCGACAAGGTCAACCCTTTTCATTCCCCTGACTACAAGACTATCCCATCGCTTTTATACTAGTCAACAACGCTGCCGAATACCTGCTTCCTACCTTGTCGTGTGAGCAAGATTACTCACGCTATATATTCGTAGATGCCGCGAATACCGGAGAAAAGGAAGACAGCAAGTCGTATATAGCCCAGATAACCCATAGTAAGATTCCAGAAGAGATGCGCGACGATTAAAGATCTGGTCCGGAATCGATCGGAAATATGCATCTCGAGGCCTAATAACTTGTCCCCACGTTGATTGGATGGTCAGAAAATACCCTTGTCTAGCTACTGACTGCAATGTCAAACACCCCCCCATAACTCCTGTCATATAGATCAGACTGTGAGGGGGAGGCATAATAATAGCGAATCAACGAATGGAATCTTCAGGGCTCAAAAGCATTTATAATCTTTCATTTCTTTTTCTCTTGATAGTGGCCATCTACCCGCTAACACGCTAAAGTCAAAATATTCAAAATATTCTCCTGCGGGCATAACTGGGAAGAGAATCTTGTATTGGTCCATGTGAGGATGTCTGCTGACATGTAGGTCCGTTCCGATCCCCGGCGCCAGTCCTCTCCCTCGGATCTGAAATTCCCGCCCTCGCCACAAGAATGTACAACAGCGCCTCGTCCGCGCAGCGTCATTATTATCCGACCTTGGAAGTCATTCCATTCATGGCAGATTACCCGAAGTACTCGATTATACCATGCCTCGTGGTCCCTCGGAATGATAGTCTTGGATATTTCACAAGCCATTTCCACATCATTTGGAGTCAATAGAGCGTTAATTATTGACGAATATACGGTCAAAGATTACATTTTGCCGAAGATGGAGCCAGACTCGCAAAATGCTTAATACTAGTATTATACTCCAGGGCTTGAAGTATTCAGGTGAGCTGAATGTCCGAAGCTGGGATCTAAAACAAGGCTGTGAAGCGTCCGTGATCGCGAGAATAATTTCTGAGTATTGAAGTCAGGAATGGCCGCATGCTCTCCTTTTCTTCACGTGTGTAATTCCTACGACCGCTAACCCTCGGATCTATCAATTCTGAGTGGAACCTTGCGTTTATGGGCTGGTGCTTAGTGATTTTCATATTTGTAATGATATTGCTTAACCGAATAAGATATTTATCAATCACCGGCAATCATGCCCTGCGAGTTAGTCACAATTATTAGAAAACATCTCCAAGGCTGCTTTTTTCTGTAAGTATCAACGTTAAATTTACCGAGCTTGACCTAGACATAAAACCTTTGCTTCTTAGGTTGTTTTCCCCAAACCTGATCGGCCACCTGTGCAGGAACATGCTACATTACTAGCAGTGTGGCTTCTTGGAAAACAGTAAAAGTTTCTGGATATCCAAGACCACGGCCTGAGCTTACATGAACGAAAAAATTCGGAGTCAATCCATGGATGTATGTTTCATACATTAAACAACTCCTCAACCATTTGCTCGTGATTGTTGAGGCTCTGTCACTGATATTTCTCCGGATCTTCCTACCAAAGAATATATGAGACACTGATGACTATATTCCAATACGAATTAAGGTTCGAGAGCAAACGTTGATCCAAAAATAGGCGGAGGCGGGGGATAACTTACTGTCGTACAGCAATTCTGGTAATGACTGGTGAACATTAACCGCTGACAATTAGATGATCTGGAGCAGGGTAGTGGGTTAAAGTTTAGCGTAGCCAAAAGGGATACTATAACATTAGCACAAACGCCACATCTCGAGAGTATACCCTTTGTCATTGTAAAAGTTGCGTTGCAAATAACAAATTAGTATCAGCTTTTACTCACCAAATCCCAAAGAAGGATCTCGAAACCCATATCAACCTTAGAACGCCGCGTAACACCAAAGTCTCGAAGCCTGAAATCGCACGATTACACCTAGGCATACCAAACAGGTTCTCAACAACAGAGTACCTTTCACGATGGCAGATCCTATCCGTAGAATCCGAAGTGCCACTGCCACCCATGTCGGATCGACTTCAATAGGCTATAAACTTGTGACAAGGGCTGTAGGTGATATCTGTGAACCACCGCCGTAGTCCTTTTTACCTATCGAGCTTGGGTATGCTCCGCAATTTCCGGACCGACAAGCAGGGAGCATCCCAGTTATGTCTCTTGACATCCCCCGGGGAAAGGTACAAGAATTCGACCAAGATGAGAAAGAAAAGCATATAAAGACATCTCAGTCTTCCATCTTCACGATATTTTATTCTCACCGTTCCAGTCCAATCCAATTCATCACCAGCAAGCCCCAACAACAGTCAATAAGACGTTTCAGACCTCGTGAGTATACTCTCCTTTCAATACTCCAAACAATCCCTAACAAACCTTGGAACTAACCACCATCCTTGAAAGACCACCACCGGCCAAAATGAAGTACATCACCGCAATCAGCATCCTCATCACCCTCGCCAGCTCAACCCCAACCTGGCTCCCGAACGACACTCCCGTGAACAGCATGAAACTGCAAGACGTACTGGGCGTCTACGTCCCCTGCATGAAGACCTGTGGCATGACCAGCATGGGCTGCGAATCGCAAACCGGGGCCGTGGCCAGCACCTGCACCCACGATATGGCGGTCTGCATGCTGAATTGTCAGAAAATGGTTTATCCTCACCCAATTGATGTCATCACTGAGTGTACTCGTGTTTCTGTTGATGAGCTGAGCTCTGGTCTGGATATTGATATGGTCGAGTCGCACTTGAAGGATTGTGTTAAGAAGTAAATGCGACGGGACTCAGGGTAGGAAAGGGGCTGTGGTTGGAGGCGATGCTGCTTCCTTCTGATAATGGCCAAGTTGAAGGTGGGATGTGATCGAACCGTGACGCTCGTTAAGCTGGCCGCTTTTGCTGTTGCTTGTGATGGTTGAGTCTGTTTGGTAGGCCTTTCCTGGGGGTGACCCTGAGTAAATCCCGAACTGGTGGACTCTTCGTCGGCATCTTGTTTCATTGGGTGTTTTCTCTAGCAACTTTAATAGCGAGAATCTGTTGCTTAATCTCATAACCTTGAGAAGTCTTTTCGTGTTCTCGTTGGGGTCGATTTAGACGGTAACAGACATGCATCACGGCAGGGTTGTCTCAAAGGCCCCTGGACAAGAATGGGGAATTCTACTAATGCCCCAGACAGGCAGGTATTAGGCTTATTCGTAACACGGCATCATAAGTGAGAATTTCCCATTGTTGTAAGGTATGGCTATGCCAGCTAGAAATGATGATCTTCCACCAGGAGGAAATATTTCCATGCACGCTCAAAAGCAGCGATATCATCAGGCATCAACATTGAAATGGTATCGAACTTTTGGTCTCGAAAGAACAGAACAATAAAGAAATTTAGTAGCAAACCCAGGCGCCACGCTAAAACGAACAGATATTTGGGGAGTTTATATCAACCAGACACATCACATGAAAATGCAGATTTTGGTGAATCAGAGAAAGAAAAGAAAGGATTTAGATGATAGATGTGAGGTGCTCTCTCGCATGCTTACTCTTCGTCTGTTGCCGTGGCAATCTCTTCATCATCTTCGCCATCATCATCGGCCTCGCTGTCAGAGTTGTCATCCTCATGTAGCCCGGGGACACCGCGCCATTCCACATAGTCTCCTTCCACCCAGCGCCGACTGCGCGGGAGCTGGTACGGGTCAAAGGGGAAGTATGCGTCCATTTGGTAGCCTAGATGATCGCCGGCACGGACATCGCGTTCGACTGAACTGAAGTTGGCATTGGTAAGGCTGGCAATACTGCGGAAGGCAGATACGCGGAGTCGCTTGTTGGTTTCGAGGAGAGGGTAAACGTAGAGTAGTTGGAAGTGGTGAGAGATGCGGGCAAATTCCGTGACAATCCCGGGCGAACATATCTTGAGGGGGTTCAAACGCGAGTAGATCGACTTGTGAAGAATTTCCTTGATATTTGGCGGAAATGTCACCTGACTTGGCTCCAGTTCCTCGACCTGCTCAGGGCTGTCGCCATCGATTGCGGCGGTTGTCAGGTCGCGCCATCGGAAGCAGAAGATGTAGATAATGGCTTGAGCGGTGGAGTAGAATGGCCCGTAGCGGCGCAGATCCGGACCCCGGCAGCCGTTTTCGAAGGTGGCACGAAGCTTGTTTAGGTGGGTGAGCAAGACATCGAAGACATTTCGGACAACTTCGCCCGAGATGTGGGCCCCGCGAGCGACAAAGCTGGCCAGGTAAGCCGCCGCCGATTGCCGGGTAAGGCTGGGCTGGAGTTTGTTGAAGATGATTTGGACACAGGCCGAGGTGAATCGTTCAACCAGTATCGGTGAGCACTGTGAGAAGTGGAAGAGGAGGAATTGGGAGTGTCGAGAGCGGTAGGTTGGGAGAATGATGGTTTGGAAGTGGCTCAAAAGAAGATCTAAGGTGTTTTCCTTGTCACCCAAGCTGCCCGTCATGAAAGGTGTCGTGTAGTACTCGAAAAGAATATCGATCATGCCATCCACCTTCTGGATGTTTCCTTTAATTTCTGTAACACGATCGGTATCATCATCCGACTCATCACTGACAATCGAATCGTCATCGGCTTCATCGTCGACATCCTCCTCGGGCGATACACCTTGGAGAAGGCCCTCTCCGAGTTCCTCCTCAAAGTCTTCGAGGTCTACTTGGATTTGAACATCAACTTTAACAAGCTTTTCAGTGATAACAGCGAGGATATCTGACTGCAGTTCTGGGGTATATCCAATAATCCGGATGAGGTTCTGGGTGTAGCAAATGAAGGATTTGGCCGAGTCTGTCTCGAAAGGAAATTGTGATGATAGAAGAGGTGACAACGCTCCACTTCCAGCTGGGATAAGCTGCATAACATGGCGGAGCGCCTTGTGGACCCGGTTGAAGATCTCGGGAGTGGACACAGGGGAGTAGCCAGGAAGTCGGCCCGTCCCTCGAGGGATAGCGACCAGCTTGTTGACGAGCATTTTCAAGACAAGCGAAAGATATCCACCCTGTGCGGCGGCCAAATTACCCAAGAACCGAATGAAGAGTTTGACATAAGAGTCATCCCGACCGAGCCATTCGCTGTTCAGAACCGCAGTGACTAGGCTGCTGCAGTTGCGATCCAATGAAGAGATGTGAGAAAGAAGACCCATGAGGTGATTTCTTAGATCGGCATGCGTAGGGAGTTCGTAAAAGTAGGTTGGATCGCTCGCCTTCTTCGGGTCAGCCACGAAGATCTCCTTGATTTTGTCGTAGGCCTCATTCTCTCCCATCATGACATGGCGATGAATTGCCTTTCGGACCTCTTCTCGAACAACAGGGGAGCTCTTCAGCGGGGTCATGGTCGTCGTTGTTTGTGTCACGTCGATCGGGGGGAGCCTGACTTTCGGTCTTCTCGGCGAAGGTAACGCGGGGGGCGTTTCTTGATGTGGGCGTCCTCAGTACCGGCATCGGAGAAGGAGGATGAGGGGGAGAGGCTGAGGTCCGCTTCCTCCATTGTGCGTTTCATGCCTGTCCGTTTGGCGGATTTAAGGATAGAGATGGGGGACGAAGCCGCCAGCATTTTCGAGCAGTGGGTTGAAGGGGTGGCTGTAAGCGCCGAGGTGTGAGCAGTGGCAACCGAAGGCATGGCCAGGTGAGAACGTCGTGGATGGATAAAATAGAATCTAGAGGGACCGCAGAATGGTTGACATTGATCGGTCCGGACCTCCGGGTTGAATTGAGGGACAGTTCGAGTGGTCGATGGAGTTGAGGCTCGTTGAGGTACCCAAGCACACGACCGACCGCACGATCAGATTGCAGATTTGCACTACAGGATAAACGATTCAGACCACGGATGTCTGTCTGCACCCGTGAAGGACATTCGTTCGGCTTGGAATTAGGTTGAAATAGGATGCAGACAGAGATGTGGATGCTCAGACAAAAGTTGAAGATGAGCCCTTAGGAAGAAGCAGAGAATATTTTCTCTTTTCGCACGGTGGGGCGGTGGGTCTCGTGACTCGAGCGGTGAGCGATTATGTCATACTGTTGGATAGTACTTTAGTAGTAAGTATGGTTACAATTTTAGTGATATTTACAATGTAATTGGTCGTTATTTTGCAGTTTCACTTTTAAGTTCTTATTCGATGCATCATCTAGGGAAAAAAGACCCAAATCTAACTGACGAATTGATAGAGAAGTAGTAGATGCTGATAGAACGCGCCATATTGAAAACCACAGGTATTTCTCAGCTTCCCTCCCCTTCCCGAAAAAAAAAAATAAAAAAACGAAAGAAAAAAAGACAATTCAACAAGGCTTGCGTGGCGCATAAACCATACACGCAGCCAATGTAAGCGGCATAATGAGAGACCGAACGCGCGGGAACTGAAGAGAGGCTCCTCCCATGGTATAGTGCGAATCAGGGAAAACAAAACAAAACAATCGGAGAATCGTATCAATGAAGGAATAAGAGTTAGTCGTAGCGAATTGGGGAGAAGAGGGAGACCGGTCCCCCTTTCTGTAATTTCGCTTGTAGGTCGTCGTCGATCACCCCGGGTCAACCGGGAACGGAACAGTAGGATATTATCGATTTGAGTTCATAGCCAGGCACCTGTGCTCAGGGGGCCCAATTGATCGTCAAAGATGCTGCCGTAGAGATCCTCAATTTCGAATAGATAATCGTCGACAGTGAATTTCTGGAGGCCCTTGCGGCGCAAAGTGCGCTCCTCTTCGTCCATCAGAGGAGTTGCCCCGAATTCCTCAGCCACCTCATTCACTTGCTCCAGTTCCTTGCTAAAGGGGTGAGCCTCTGCCCGGAACATATCCTGGGAAGCACGCATGGTGGGGTTACTGCGGGGAGCAGCCAGGGGAGGAGGCGACAATCGATGCTGCGACCGCTTGCGAGCTAGCTCCTGGTGGGATCGCTTGGTGTGCGACAGAGCACGCTTGGGAATCAACGGAGCCTCGTTCGATGAAGATGATGTCGCAGAAGAGCGGGGGTGGCTTGTCACGGTCGCAGACCGCTTGGGAAAATAAGACGAATCCACGGGCTCGGACTCGTATGGCGAGACATCAGGCGAAGTGATGGATGAAGAGTAACTGTGGGGCGAAATGGAGAAATCAGAGTCGTCGCGCGACCGCAACGACGAGGCAGATGAAGAATTAGAATTCAGATCGGGTGCATTGTAGGCCAACATGTTGGTGGTAGATATGAGCTGCACCGGACCGGAGATGTTGCCGCGCTTTATGGAACCCGAGTTGAATCGGACATGGCCTTCGCCACGGTACGGCATGGGTGCAGACACCTCCGGGCGCTTGTTGCGCTTGGTGAATGCGCGAGTGATGGTCGACATGATGAATTCAGATAGATATTCGTCGGATTGTGTTGATGGATCGACGGTGGGCGTACACCGAACGCGATTTCGAAATTGAATCTGGCGAAATGTCTCGCTGCTTGTTCTTGAACACTAGCGATCTTTCCTTTTCGCGGCACTCGAATTTGAAGTATTTGAATGTCGCGTGGTAGAGCGAGAGCGGGATGCGGAGACGAGGAATGTGGTAGATCAATATCAAGAATGTCCGGTATCAGAAAGCGTTGATGTTGGATGATGGGATGATAGATTTCGATTGTTAACTTTCACAAAGGTGAGAATGAATGTCGAGACAATTTTGGCCCAAGTGGATTTCGCACAGCAAAATGGTGCAGGACAATTTCTTTATGTCCAGGGCGTATGGGGTAAAGAGAAAGAAAGAATGGGGCGTACAACCAGGACGCGCCCAAAGGGAGATATCTTTTTTTAATGGTAAAGGATGGGAAAGGCAGAAAAAAGGAGTCACTAGGACTCGATAGAAGTGAAGTGAGAGTCACTAAAGGAATGTAGGACTCTTTGAAAATGAAGGATAGTCCCAAGGGGAGGAGTTGTAAAGAGGAAGAAGGGAGAGAGAGAGTTGAGGTTGGAGAACACTAGGGAAACTAGGGCAGGGGGGGGAAAGATCCAGCCAGGCCCGTCCACACACAACTAACAGTCGGCGCTTAGAACGTTGGGTTCTCCTCCGTTATCCACCAGAGCCAAACCCAAACCTAGGGAATTCCCAAGGTTTACTTGCCCCGACGATGGGGCCGATCGAGTCTCTAACCACTCACAAGTTTCACCCAAACACTATGCGTGGCGAACGGTTCTTCCAGACCCTTTCGATCCCTGAATGGCGTGGTGGTTCGACCAGAGCCAGAATTACCCCTTGGCTGGCATCTGGCATGGGCATTGATCTATTTTCTACCAATTTGCCTTCGCTATCGCCTTTACGGAACACTGGGACCAAAAAAAGAGCACCGACCATAGAGTGTCATATGCTCACGCCCCATGCCCCCCCGTCCTCCGTCCCATGCCCGTCTCTATGCCCGTGCCTGTAGGGGCCTCCCCCTGGTCGAGGGTCGTCATGCAAATCCAAGGACGAATGCAATGGGGTATGATAGTTTCCCTTTTTTCCATCCCTCCGTGGGTCATCCGTCGGTGCCCAAGAGGACATGGGTTCGACGTGTACAGGTCTAGTCGCGACACATCGCATACACAACCCACCGCAAAAGTCGACAATGACAGACCAGATGTGACGCCATTATGCTTTACGATCAAAATTTGAGTGAAACGCCCGAAAGTCTTGGTGCTCTTATTCGGGGGAGGTCCGTCCTCCAATTGGCGTTTCACCACGGACCCCTACCACTCCGTGCTTCACTACGAAGAGTCTGTGCTCCGTGGCCAGTAAAGATCGACAGGCCCCAGGGACGGCTGGTAGGCTACTTATAAGCCAATCACTATTCTCACCGAGTAGAACCGAATCAGCCGGCGTGGTCATGGTGCGACCGGCCTGCAGGGACACAGCCAATCCCATCCCACTGGCATAGCGGACCTGACCGGGGAGTTTTCACCGTGACACGAACCTGTGAGCAGTTTCCCTCGTGGGGAAGGGGGGGTATTTTGGGTTGGTGGAGAGGTGTGGACCACACTTTTCATCTTAAAATCCGTTGGCCTCCACTGGGCTGAAAATCTGGATTGTGGGGCGAGAGATCGAATCGAAGTCTTTCTTTCATCCAGGACTGCTGGCTCCCGCAACTGACGTGGCTAAGGTGTTGATGCCCATGCCAATATCGATGCCCTACATGAACGGAATGGAGGGGTGTGGTATGCTTTTCTTTTCTTTTCTGTCTTTGCTGGCTTGCTTGCTGCGAGGGAGAAGTTTAAGGCACACCGACTCAAACTTCTGTCTTGCCCCTATCTAGATCACGTGGTTTGAGACCGGTGGTTGCAGGTAGATTGGTGCCCCATCGCGTCGAGACAGCTGCTGAAGACTGTAAATTAAAAGTATATACAGGGGTTGTTTTTTGACAGCTCTTCTGCTCTATCAGCATGGTTTGCCTCGGTTCTGCTTTCACTTCCGCCAGCCGATGCGCCTGGGGCATATTCTGAGATCCCATCGGCGGGAGAAGCCATACCCTCCGATCCGCCCACACCCTGATGTCGCGAATATACAGGTGAAGATACCATAGCTGGGGGATGGAGGTGGATCTCATATGGACTGTTCATGTTGATATCTTCTCTCGTCTCCCAGCCATATGCCGATGGGCCGGGTACTTCTATCGCCATCCCCGGACTATACGTCTCGTTATTCACTGCGTGGCCGGGAGAGACCGACATCTGAGACCCGGACCCAGGCAAATTGATACTCTGGGATTGTTCAATCGTGTAATGGTCGGACATGGAGATCATCCAATGTTCCATATCGGACCATCCTCGGAGTGGCAATTGAGACCATTCATCCATGCGTGCAGCCTTTTGTTTCTGCGTCGAGTCCGGCTTGGCCGATACCTGGGCTACAGTCGTGGGTTGCATGGAGCGGAGTGTCACAAGAGCCCCATACAAGGCCGATTCTGTTTCAGCGAGGCGCTGCTCTAGTTGGTTCAGGTAGCCAAGGGGTAGTCCTCTGAGCCGTGAAAATAAGGTATATTAGCCACATCTCGATGGTGAATTGGACCCTCTCCGGGCAAGCCTACCTTTTACCACTTTCAGGGTAGACACACTTCCCTGGCTCGCTACTACATTGAGAGCAGTGGGGTCTAAATAACAGTGATAGTCAGAATCATGATTCCATCATCAAGATCGATCAGATCTGGTCAGTCTTACAATTTCCGGTCACACTAATATCCGAGATCAGCGATGCCAGGACCCTCCGATTGCCAAAGAGACTACTTACCTTGCATTTGCGTTGCCTGCAAGCCTCGCACGATATTGGACTCAGATTATCATCTTCTAATTGTTCAGATATCAATACACACAACCACTTCTGAAGATGGATGAAAATGGAGACGGAGACTGGGACTAACCTGGCATGGTCGAATCTGAGCCCTGTGCTCGTCTTGATCGGGAGGACCTCATCGTATATGATTGATAGGATAAAGCCGAAAATTGACTAGATGAAAATAAATTATAAAATATGATATATTCGGCGCAAAGATCTGCCTTTTGTGACGCTATAGATATGATCTGATGGAGTCGGGGAAATGCGGTGTCGTCCGGAGGTGTTTTTGTCCGGCGCAAATCTGGTAGAGTCACGTGTTGAGTCTTCGGGAGCGAAGGGAAGCAACTGCTGATTGGCATCCTTGCGTTTGCATTTCATTTGCATCTGGAATGTAATCAGACGCACCGCTTACCCTCCTTCTTCTTGGCACCCATCGGATTGTAGGTTACTGGGATAATGTGATGTGCGACTGGGATAAGCATTGAACGGATCAGATATGTGACACAAGAGACAGCCATGACATCGCCCTCATCGGTCGGTACGCGCTTTGAGGATCATGATCCGGACTGGCAGTATGGCCCTCGCACCAAAAGACGCAAGCGTGCTTCGACAGCCGGCACATCGAGGCCGTCACCGCGTGAGATTGGCTTCATGAGAGAGTCCCAGAACGACGGCTCCGCCAGTTTTCTTGGAAGCTCCAGTGGTATTCACTTTATTCGCCATGTCTACAATGCATTTGCCCGTCGCTCGGCAGATCTCCAGCAGACTAGAGCTCGAGACAAGAGCTCAGTGCCTGGGGAAGATGATCGCTTGCAGCGAGGCACTCTAGACACGGATATTCTGTGGTCAACAGATGAGCTGAATTTTTCGCCAAATCCAACACACACTTTCGAAGATCTGGTCAATTGGACCCGGCACTACTTTGAGAATTGGCATCCAGTCTTCCCATGTCTCCACGCTCCAACAGTGCTCAAAGCCATGGAAAAACTCAGCCAGCACGGCCCATCTGCGATCAGCCGACTAGATATGATCATCATTCGCTCGATCATATCGATATCCCTCGAAGATAGCCGACAAATGGAAAATTCGGCATCGAAAATGGGACCAGTGCCTGCGTCATTGGTCTTCTCAACTGTACAACATGTGATGCAGGATATTCAAAGTATTTTTGCAGAGCCTACAACTCTTCCCTTGCTTCAGTCTGCATTCTTGGCTCAACTTGCACTCACCTCGTTACTACGACTGAATGCCGCCTCTCGAGTCGGTGGAGTCATCACTCGAACCGCCTTCCACCTCGGATTGCATCGCTGTCCTGGCCGATTCTCTGTTTTCAGCAGCGAAGAGGTGGGCATTCGAAGGCGGCTCTTCTGGTCCATCTACTGCCTTGAGCGATACCTTTCACAGGCACTAGGAATCCCACTGGGGATCCGCGACGATGATATCGATGTATGCTATCCGGGTGATGAACGACACGTTGCAACTGGTCCAGCATCCACGTCACCAGACGACAATCGGCTGCGTCTTCTGTCTCATCTTGCGAAATTTGCCAGAATCCGGGGACTAATTCTAGAATTGCGCAACAAGTCTATTCTCCATAGTCATGCCGGTACTGTCGAAGCATCACATGTCAACGGCGAGCTGTCCCAGTGGTGGAACGAAGTCTATGATGATGTGAATATCATCGAGGAAGAGCATACTGAGCCAGGACAGAATCCGAATTTGAGTCCTTACCATCGCTTATTGCTCATGGTTTTGAGACACGAGGCTATCATCTCGATGAATCGACCTCTTCTCGCCGCCGAGAAACCCAGTTCAGAATATAAAAACGCTTTGCAGACCTGCATTGCTTCTTCGCGGACACTACTAGCAGCTCTGAAGAAATATATGTCTTCTTCCTCCGATGCTCCCTTGACCTGGCCGTCCTTTACATGGACGACTTGGATGGCGTGTTTGGTATTGATGTATGCTTCGTGGGAGGGCGAGCTTGCTACGACCACGGCATTGAAATATGCCAGGATGGGCGTCAGTATCCTGGAAAATCTGGCCCTGCGCGGGAGTAGCTGGCCCGAGACTTGCATTGAAGCAATCAAAGGCATGGAGTCGGCCTTGACCAATACAAATCCGTCCGGACTGGATGCTACGGGTCTTGCCTCTCACCACACCCAGACTGGTCCCAACAATCAATTCCTGAAGACCCCAAATATACACTCTACAGACGACGGATATCGGTCCAACCCTCGGTCTTTGCAACGTGATCGAGGTCCTACAAGTAGGCAGCAAGGCGACCCTTCCACCGCGGGGAAGCAGCATTCAAGTTTGGATCCATCATTCGGTTCCTCTGCAGCCCAGGCCGTCGATACCGGTGACCCTTCGATTCTTTCTTCATATGATACACAAGGGCAAGCCAATCTCTCAGCGGACGATGTTTTTACGGCCGGGCAATCCTCTGCGGGACTGATTTTTGGCAATGCAGCCAATGCAGATGCCCCATTTTATCCTGGCATTACAGGACATGATTCTTTACCCTTCTCGGATCCATCGTCCCTGTTCATGAGTGATATATGGAATGTGGCTGATGGACCATGGATGATCCATGGCAATCTACTGTAGCGCTGCTAGCGCTGATATGTACATTATAAAATGATAAATGCGGGAATTGCCTACTTGAGACTAATATCACCTGGAAACCGAATGATCAATCTCAATGCGAAGGACAGTCTAATTTAGAAGAGCCGAGCCCTTCCTAATCTGAAGCTATTCCAGTTCCATAATCCATTCTAATCGAACATCCTAAGAATTCCCATTCCGCCTGCGCATGAAGACGTTGGCTGGTCTGCTTCGACCAGCAAACTCCTCATCAACAATATAATCAACATCTGGCCCTTGTGCCTCAAATCCCATTTGCGCATATACGAGTCTCCCCATACTAGACCCCTCAAGGATCAACTCCAAATCACCGCGTCGCTTTGCCTCATCCAGACCCCACTGCACTAGTCCTTTTGCAATGCCCTTGCGCTGATGAGCCGGATCAACAGCACATATATCCAATACCAGCACAGCCGGCTGAGTAGAAGAAGCCTTTTCCTTGATGACCTCATTGCGCTTACGCAGAAAGGAAGTCATGACCTGGGCGAGATAGCGCTGCTCGGTTTCATTTCCAGGATACAATTCCTCAAGATTCATAGCTTTAACCATATCCTCACTTGGAGGATCGCCATAGCCCTCAACACAGGAAGCCTGTGCCCAGATAGCGAGTCCAGCAACGGTGCGTTCTCCATCTGCTTGCGCACTAGGCACCGTTGCCTTCAGAAAGACGGTATTGGGATTGCCATTCTTGTCGGTGGTAATTCCTCGCCAGCGGGCGACCATCCGCGCAGCTCCGCTCGCTTTTCCTGTAGGCGTGTCCCATCCAGGATTCATTGCGGTCCAGACACCGTCTTGAGCCTGGCGGCCGAAGGCCTCGCCGAGGCAGTGGAATGCTTGTTCGATATCTTCCGGTCGATCCACAGGCTCGATGCGGACCCCGGCATCTTTTCTCTGCGGGGTGGACATGGGTGTTGGAGAGGGTGATCTGGTGAATGTGAGGGGTTTATGATGCCAATAGCGTCGATTTTAAGTATTATTCCAGTTTAACACTTGTGAACTTGGAATCTCAATTGCCAAGCCGCTAATCAACAACTGTCATTGAGTCATTGGGATCGTTTTAGGTCAACCCCACTGCTTCCCCGCTTGCTGTGCTCGGACTCCGCGGATTCGGCCCGGTTAAACTTCGGGATGGACGTTGAGACTTGAAAGGAATACTTTGAGGACTGAATGGATGAGAATGATATTAATCCTAATTATCGGCCGCTTTCATGACCGAAACAGTCTGCAGCAACCTACGTAGACGGGACTGGGGTTTGCTAAGAATACCGCGCAGTTCGTCAATGATCCCTTTGTACAAAATATGCGTTCAAGCCTATGCTGGCAAATTGGAAGATTGCTAGAGGCAAAGTACTAAGTATTGCTAGCAAAGTCTTTTCAAAACAAATACTCCTAGTAGCGAATGACTTGATTCTTGGTATGGTAGTAGAAATGATCGATGCGTATTGAAAATGCAAAGTTCGAAAACAAATCGACTCCGAAACGCATTTGATGTTGAGAAAAGTAAAACCCATCACGCTATTTGTCATTAATAAAAACAGAAAAATCAATGAACGGGGCCCTTATCACCTTTTCAGAAGCAGCAAGAAGAAAAGTATTCGCCTTCCAAGGTTCAAGTTCAAAACCACCAAGCTGGTCGACCCAAATTAGCATCTGTAATCCCGAGGAATATGCCTTGAAACCTTGGAAGATTCCAACGAAACTCCAACGGCTTGAGTATTGGGTTCTTCAGCCCGCCGTGAATCTCGGCTTGATACAGCAACAGAAATTGCGCCCTTAAGGACGTCTGCTCCCCAACAGTTGGCTGGTACCCTGCTGTCTTGTTTACCTACCGGAATTCCGGTCCAAAAGCGCACACATGTCTCCCCATCTTGTCCGGAAGGGGTCAGCTTCGTCATGATTTCTGACAGACGTTTGAAAACCAGTATTACGCCGTTGGGGCCGGCATATCTGGCCGCTGCTCTAACACTCGGATTTGCGTAGAAGCCCGGCCCGAACTTGTTATCGCTGCGTTGATGCAATCACCGGGTAGAATACTGCTACAAGGGATAGGAGAGCCTGTCGAGAAAGGCCACGAAACAAGAGATGGTCGCCAAATGCAGCTAGTAGCTTGGTCTCAATAGCCGTCGCAACTTTTTCGGGATTTTATATCCCACTTTATCCTTGCTCCAGAGATCATAGCTGATCTGGGGTCTCTACGACCAAAAGAAAAAAATCTGCTGCCTGAGATTGCTGTACAGAGGTACTGATGATTCCCTGGGGAGTTTGACTATTCCTCACCAGATCTTTGCTACTGGCAGGGCCTTCTGAGAGGGCCGGCATGTCATAGCTGGTGTCAATGCAGTCCATAAATCAACGCGGGGTCTTACCGTACAGTCTCTCAACAATCCACAGCTTAGGTGATCCATGTGAGAGGTACGTGACCTCGTTTTGGAGTGCATACCCGGGGTCGTCAACGAGTTCATTGAGGAACTCGACCCCTTGAAGCCAAAAGATAGTGGAGATCGGCCTAAAAATGCTGTCAGAACAAGCTGCTTCCGGGTAAAAGGGAGAGCCATCTGTCGAAGTCCACACCAGGTCATAGCCTGCGGCTTCATGGATCGTTTCGTCCATGGTCAGAGATGACATAGTCAGAGATCATGGGTAAGAAGGCTCAAATTTGATCCAGGCGGGGGGCGGATTCGGCGCTTTTTTGTGATCTGGTGTGATACTGGCCAGTCTATTGGATAATAGGTGAATATGATACGCAAAGCTAAGTGTGAAGAAACTAAGATGGCCTGGAGGATGGCAGCTGCGAGGAACCTACCTAGTTAGGTAAGCTCGCCTGTGCGCTAGGTCTAATCGGGAACATGATACACCATGTAATCCTAGGATAATACCAGTAGCACGCTCTTCGATCGTCACATTTGTACTTCACGACTTAAACTTGAACATAGTTTCTGATACCTAGGTAAGAGCAGAATATTTTTGTTCGGTGCATAGTAGGTGATAGGGGCTAGGGAGTGTCGAAATTAGTATACAATCAAAATTGAACATAGAACGTGGAGATATGTTGAACTCGTGGACGCGGGCGTTTGTAGAACATAAATACTAGTATAAAATAACTCCTATCAAAGTACAATACACTCAAGAAAGACTTAACATCTCAATGACTTTCCTCTGTTTATCCAAAACCACTCGGAGTTGTCCCCTATCGCTGCAAGACTCATCAAGTTGGAAGAACCCCCTTCGCAGTTGATCCAAATACAGCTCATAAGCAGACATATACCCTTTGACGAAATTCACAACTTCTTCATCCGTCATGCCACTATTCGTCCTCGCACGAAGTGCATGCTCTTGCTGTACCCGCCATTCATAAACATTTACCAGATCGTCGGTGTCCAGATGAACGAGAAAGTCGAAATGACGCGGTCCCATGAATAGGTCGCAGTATTGACGCAGATTGTCATTCACACGTAGTAAATGCTCAATTGAATGTTCCTTCAAAGTTTCAGTAGGGTATTTCACTGAATCTTCTCCATTCTGTGCCGTTTCGCTCCATCGCCGCTGAACATCCGCCTCATCAAGGGGTGAAAATCCGACGCACCATCCCTCGAAAACAACCACGTCGATTGTGGTACCAGCAGGGATTCGATGCCACTTCTCCTCAGGCGCTCTTCCGCCTTCTCCGTTGAATAGACTCTTATCGAATGATGGGATCAAAGTGTCGGTCTTCATGTCAGCCATATCGGCGAAAAATGCGACCGAGAGCTTGGTATCATGCGTGCCAGGCTGACCACGCGTCTGTAGGAGTTTGTTGGATGGATTTTCTGTCCGAATTCGCACAAGCTCATCATGGTCATGATATAGATCGTCGAGTGAGATATTGACGGTCTTGTAGCCATGTACTTCTGTGAGGGACTGTACCAGGGCGTCGGTCCAGGTAGACTTCCCACTGCCTTGGAGGCCAGTCAAGCCCAGGAAAAATGGATTCTTTCGCGAATCACTCTTTTGAGACTGGACATGTTGTTTTATGTGTGGTACGATATGCCTTAGAGCATTTTCAATGTTTTCTTGGGGAATTGTTGGAGGCATCGTCGCTTATGTGGGATAGAATGAATGTTTGAACTGGAAGTTGAAAGATAGACTAAGTTCAAGAAGCGTCCCGAGATAAAAAATAATAATAACCAGACAAATATCCCCAGTAACTTCCGTTCTGATTTACATCTTGCTCATCGAACCATGCTCTTCAAAGTTCTGGCTGAACCATCTCCAACGGACATGTCTTTCTCCGAGAAGCCCACCGGACATTGGAAACCCCGCCAGACTTCAGCAAGTAAATACCTCTAATCCGGACATGAAAACCTCCGTCGACTTGCCTCCAAACCTTCATTGGCCAGAAACACACTGCAATGTGGGGGGCAAGAGTATTGGATCTCCATACTGACCGAAAAGCAGGGCGATTCGCCGTCACTGGAAACGACCTTAAAAAGTCCCCGCATGCACGAGATCATTGCCCCTCTGACAATCATAATTCTCTTTAAAAAACCAGATCACCTCCTCCATTTTGAACCCAACAACTCTCAAATCAACCAACATGTCTCCCGCAGCTCTCGCAAAGACCTACAGCATCGCCTCCATCCCCGCTGATGGCATTGGCCCTGAGGTCATCGAAGCTGGTATCACTGCTCTGAACGCCTTGACCGATACTCTGAAGACCTTCAAGCTCGAGTTCAAGAACTATGACTGGAGCTCCGAGACCTACAAGAAGACCGGAAAGTACATTCCGGACGGAGGTCTTGAGGAGCTGAAGAAGCACGATGCTATCTTCTTCGGCGCTGTTGGCGCTCCTGGTATGTGACAATATACAGCAAAAGAAAATGCGCTCCACTGTTTCTAACATTTTATTCAGATGTTCCCGATCACATCTCTCTCTGGGGTCTTCGTCTTGCTATCTGCCAGCCTTTCCAACAATACGCCAACGTGCGCCCCACCCGTGTCTTCCGCGGCACTGAGTCTCCTCTGCGCAACTGCAACATCGGTGATCTGGACTGGGTTATCATCCGTGAGAACAGTGAGGGCGAGTATGCCGGCCAGGGTGGTCGCTCTCACACCGGCAAGCCTTGGGAGGTTGCCACTGAGGTTTCCATCTTCTCGCGCCACGGTGTTGAGCGTACTATCCGCTTTGCCTTCGAGACTGCCCAGAAGCGCCCTCGCAAGCTTCTGACTGTTGTCACCAAGAGCAACGCTCAGCGCAACGGAATGGTCCTCTGGGATGAGGTTGCCAAGGAGGTCGCTGCTGACTTCCCCGATGTCACTGTTGACAAGATGCTGGTCGATGCTATGACCACTCGCATGGTTCTGAACCCCAAGAGCCTGGACACTATTGTCGCCACTAACCTGGTAAGTTTTGATCCAAATGTTGGATCACTTCTGCGAAACTCAACTTACTGATAAATCACTAGCACGCCGACATCCTGTCCGATCTTGCCGCTGCTCTTGCTGGCTCCATTGGTATTGCACCCACCTCCAACCTGGACCCTACCCGCCAGTACCCCAGCATGTTCGAGCCCATTCACGGCTCTGCTTTTGACATTACCGGTATGGGTATCTCCAACCCTGTCGCCACTTTCTGGACCGCCGCGGAGATGCTTGCTTGGCTCGGCGAGGAGGAGGCCTCCAAGCAGCTGCTCGATTGTGTCGAGAACGTTTGCGAGCAGGGTGTTCTTACCCGCGATCTCGGTGGCAATGCCAACACCAAGGAGGTCACTGATGCTGTTGTTGCTGAGATCAAGAAGTTGGGCTCCAAGTAGAGATTTGGATGATTTAAAATGATGTGAAATTGTGTTATGATTAGTATATATGCATTGAATAGATTACGATTGGATAAAATACCGCTTGTTAGCATATCTAGGTACTACCTAGGTAATAGAGAACTCAGTGATCTACCTCACTAGTATTTACTAGTAGTACTAGCAGGTAGAAGTCAAGCCAGTGACCTAGTAAAATTGGGGTGGCTAACCCATCCGGCAGATCTTAGACCGATGGCATTTTCACGTAGCGTACTCATTTAACAATTATCTTCACGATTGACAAGTAAATGGCATCATACGACACTGAATGAGATAGCAAAACATATTTAAGGCATAACTGTCATATGAAATCAGGCGAGACTGCCCAGGTGTCCTTCGGATAATGGCATCATCTCACTGGCAGTGACGTTGGGATACCAACAGCCGGACATGCCATCCTCCGACGAAGTGGACCACCTCGCCCCCCCAGTATAGGGAGCTAGAGACCAGTCAGACTGTCTGCTTTCAACGAGACAATTGCACTTTCCAATAAAATCTTCTCTCCTCCCCACATTTGCGGGGATGTTTTCGTCCGTTGCCCCAGTTTTACGTAGACTTCCGGGGACCCCAGGCCAAGCTAAATTACCGACAGGATTCGAAGCTTGACATTCTAGGCATAGCATGATTTCTCCTGTCATCCTATAACTAGTAGCACTCCCTCGCCTCAGAATAAATTCCTTAGAGCTTTCTCTCCCTATTTTCTTCGTCCCTTTATCTTTACATTTCATCATCTTTTGTATATACACATATTGGAGCTGGGCTCTAAATCTATCATTATGTCAACGAAAGGCCTGACCGGAAAGAATTTGAGCATAGCGCAAATCGTTCTCATTGTCGCCCCTGCCTTTTTCATCTTTGGCTATAATCAGGCTGGAGTCGGCCCACTTGCAACACTCCAAAGCTGGGTTCATTTGTTCCCCGAATTGGACACCGTCAACACATCGGGAGCCTTGAAGTCAACCCATTCCACGAGCAAGGGTGCTGTCATCGCGGCATTTCAGATTGGCGCCCTTATTGGCGCACTTTCTTGCACTTTAATCTCTGAGAGGATTGGTCGTCGCAAAACTATCTTTATTGGAGCTATTTTGAGCGTCATCGGCCAACTGCTTCAAGTCTCGGCCTATACTGTGGTTCAGTTCTCCATTGGACGCATCATACTGGGTATGGGCGTTGGTCAATTCAGTGTTGCGGTCCCCGTATGGCAATCTGAATGCTCCTCCGCCAAGAACCGAGGACAACATGTTATCATGGATGGTATTTTCATGTGTCTGGGATATTCTCTCTGCAATTGGATCGATTTCGCTTTCACTCATCTCCCCGGGGGCAATACTGGCCAATGGCGAGGACCACTCGCTGTGTCTTTCTTCCCATCTCTCGTCATCCTAATCTCGGTCTTCTTTCTTCCGGAATCGCCCCGTTGGTTGGTTCGAGTTAACCGCATCGAAGAAGCAACTAGCAACCTCGCTGCTTACAAGGGCACAACTCCCGAAGACGCGATGGTTTTATCTGAGATCGCCGGTATCGAATTGTCTCTTGAAGCCACTGCGAAATCTAAAAGCGCAATTCGAGAAATGTTCTCCAAGGATGACGACGAGCGCCTTCTATATCGATTCGGACTCTGCATTGTCCTGCAGTTCTTCCAGCAGATGTGTGGCGGTAACCTTATTTCAGTTTATGCCTCGACCATCTTCAAGGAAAATCTAGGCATGAGCTCAAGTCTTTCTAGTATTCTCGCAGCATCTGCCTTGACCTGGAAATGTCTGTGCTGTTTCATCGCTTTCTTCGCGGTAGATCGACTTGGTCGACGTGCATTGTTCATGATCAGTGGAGCTGGTATGGCTGTCTGCATGGCTGCAATGGCGATCACCACCAGCTTTGGATCTGAGAACAAGTCGGCCTCAATTGCATCAGCTGTCTTTATTTTCATGTTCAACTGCTTCTATCCGATTGGTTTCCTCGGAGGCAATTTCCTATACTGCACGGAGGTCGCGCCTGTTCGCCTTCGCGTTGCCATGGCTTCCATCTCAACTGCCAACCACTGGCTCTGGAACTTTGTCGTTGTGATGATCACCCCCGTCGCCATTGACACTATTGGATATAAATACTATATCATGTATGCCATTCTATCGGCATGCATTCCCGTTCTGGTGTACTTCTTCTACCCAGAGACGATGAACCGAAACCTGGAGCTCCTGAACCATGTCTTCCGAGATGCAGAGTCCCCGTGGCAGATTGTGTCCATGGCACGACACCTTCCCCAGGGAGAGGTGACTACGGCAGAGTTTGTCGCAGCCAACAAGGAGAAGGATGATGGATGTTTCGAGGAAAGGAGGGAAAATGCTTGATTTGTTTCTCTTGTCATATAAATTGTCTGTGGATTAAGCTAGAACATTTAGACAAATTTCGAGTGGGCAACTTGCTCAATTGCAGAACTTGAACTTTTTGAGTTATTTTTAATCTGAAATTCCCGAATTCGCCCGCTTTGAGAGAAAAGGTAGATTCCGAAGTGGCTCTTGAGATGAAAAGCATACATAATAAGATAGAAATTTCTTCACCAATTCCCAAAAACTCCCGTAGCTCGCCCCATCACGGGCTATTTCCGTCTACTAACTATTGATTAGGCGAAAAGTATCCTTGTAAGTTCCAAGTTTGAATCAACGGTGACTAGATCTAAATAGGTTATAAGTGATATTCTTTTTCCCAAGGAATCTCCCCAAAACCTCACACTCGACTAGCGCAAACTCATCGCAGACGACCTTTCCAAAGGGAATTGACCTCACTGGGCACTGGTATATTGATACCCAACACTAAAATAAGAATTATCAATGGAGATTTAAATATCTCACCAAAAAAAAAAACATGAAGTTCGGCGAAACCGGACTCTTGGCAGGGCCTCGGCGACAGAACACCACATCGGAATGCCGATGCGGAGGAAAAAAGAAAAAAGATGCCGGGAGTAAATTTCACCCGCAAATCACAACCCTCAGAAAGGTCAACCCCGTCAACTCCATCGACCCCATCGACACCCCCCCCGGCCAGAACCCTCCAATCCTGCCATATTGCAAGCCGTGTCTATGGAGAACCTTTATGTAACGCGGCTCGAACGCTCGGGGCCAAAAGCCAATTGCATGGAGGTGTGCTTCAAGCCTACTTGAGACTAGCCACAGCCCACCAGAAACAGGAACAGAAACCACTCATGGTTCACTCCGTTTATCGGTACTTCTTACCCCGGAGTAGACCACCAGTCCCTAACGGAACCTACCTGTTGCGACACACGAGGCCTTTGCGTCACCGCGATAGGCCGGAGGTGGCCATCTCCGCTTTGATCGGGAGGTGAGAACGGGACTTTCGGCGACAACAGACGCCGTCATTGGTCATTCAATGGCCCCTTCTGCCCGGATATCCGATGGCTGGATCCGCCGATGGACTACTGACGGGGGCAGGCTTGATACTCTATGGGATCAGGATCATGAAGCTGGGCCCAATTCCTGGCCGGACTTGTTGCAAGCCGATATAGTAACCGTGTAGCCGCGGGTCATTTCGGATTCTTGTAAGAGATGGATCGAAATCACGGAAAAGATGTCTGCGCCGGCTGATACTTATAGATCATATTCCCATATGGAAACCCCTTTGGTTCTTGGAACTTTTACTATAGACTATTGCAAAGAATCTTGACTCTCATCATTTCTTATCATTACTTCTTTTTCCAAAGATTCCCCACATAGACCTTGTCGATATGGCGCCCTCGATCAACGACGTTCCTACTGGTCCTACAGTCCTTCCATCGGCCTGCAAGGTCGGTATCAATGGCTTCGGTCGTATCGGTTAGTACAATGGCTGCCCTGCCCCTGAAGGAAGTATCGATTTGTCTAATATGCTAATAATAATAATGATAATATAGGCCGGAATGTCCTCCGTGCAGCTCTAGTCCGCTCCGATATTGACGTCGTCGCTATCAACCACACCTGTGTCACCGTCGAAGATTTGATCTACCTCATTCGCTATGACTCTTCAATGGGTGATCTCGATGAGCGTACCGATATCCAGGCTCATTCGGACAGCCTCATCACCATCGATGGCAAGCGAATCGCCCTTACCTCCGAACGTGACTTGAAGCAACTCAACTGGGCTACACTGGGCGTCGATTATGTCCTCGAATGCACTGGCAAATTCACAAAGCGAGACCTCGCTATGGACCACATTAACTATGGTCAAGCAAAGCGTGTTCTCATCTCTGCCCCTAGCTCGGATTCTCCTACTTTCGTCTACGGCGTGAACTCGGACTCTTATACAGCCACCGAAGACTGCCGTGTCGTGTCGAACGCCAGCTGCACCACCAACTGCGTGACTCCCGTCCTGAAGGTTCTTGACGAGACTTTTGGAGTTACTCAGGGATTCCTCACTACTATTCATGCGGCCACCCGATCTCAGCAGGTTCTGGATGGGTACAGCAAGAAGAACCGTCGTCTGGGTAAGACAACAGCTCATTAATGGCCCTTGAAACTCTCCTCACATATTCATTCTTTAGGACGAGGTGTTTTCAATAACATCATTCCCACTACCACTGGCGCCGCCAAAGCCGTTGCCTCCGTCCTGCCCGCTCTCAAGGGCAAAGTCACCGGTGTATCCATCCGTGTTCCTACGTAAGTCTGCATCTACATGAGTCCTTTTTTTTCCCTTGAAACAACTAGCTAACCAATTCCCTTCAGTCCCAACGTATCCATGATCGACCTCACAATCAGCACCACAAAGCCCACCTCCCTCCAAGAAATTATCAGTGCATTCCGTCTCGCCTCAAAGACGACCATGGCCGGTGTCCTCCGCGTAACAGACGAAGAACTCGTCAGCCAAGACTACAACGGGTCACCATACAGTGCCATCATCGACGTGCCCGCCTGCTCTGAACTGAACCCGCAGTTCTTCAAGATTATGGCCTGGTACGATAACGAGTGGGGATACTCGAACCGTTTGTTGGATTTGACGACTCATGTCCATGCCCTGGAGGCATAGATTTCACAACTATGTGGTTAATTTGTTGATTTGTCGTTCCTTTTATCATGAGCGGTGTTTGGGTTATATTTCTATTAGATTTGGATTATACTTGCAACCTTTCAATATAACATTCAAGTTGCTATTCACAGTTCTTGTACTAAATTTACTACAAGCTACAGTTTACGATGGACCGAAGCTTCAGGTTTCTCAACGAGACAGCAACAATAATGAATGAAATGAGATCTATTTTTTTCGTACATCAAGTCATGACTCAACGGGTATCGGTATCGGTATCGGCATCGGTATGAGCACCGGCATGAGAATCGGCATATATACCAACGATTTAATCCTCATCCATAGACTCCCACCCATCAGGCCCACCAGCCTGAGGGTTCTGAGCACCCTCACCCGGACCCTCATCATCCGACTCCTCATCGTCATCATCATTAACGCCAAGAATACGCTCAGGCACATCGCCCTCCAGATCAGGCATGCGCGGAGCAAAGGTTCGGCGCACAGGGCCGTTCGTAGAAGCGTCCCAAATCTGCACAGTACCCTTGCTACCGGCCACAGCCAGACGGAAGGAAACCTCCGGGTCCGGAGCAAAAGCGGTCGAGAAGACCTTTCCAACGTCCAGCTTGCGCGTAACGACGAGAGAGGGCTTATCGTTCTCGACGTTCCACAGCTTCACTTCCTTATCGGTGGATCCGGTTACCAGGAAGCCGGGGATAGTGCGGTTGATGTCGAAGGAGGAGACAGAGGAGTCGTGCGCTTGCAGGGTCCATACGGGCTTGGACTCGGCCGGGCTAGCGGGGACGTTGCGAACATCGTAGCGGTATACCATACCGCCGTCGGTGGTGACGTAGAAGTAGTTGGGATCGTGCGGGTCCCAGCGGACGTTCTCAACGTCGGAGTCGACGCCCCATCGGGCCTTGGAGTCCGGCGCACGCATATCGGCTGCGACAATGGTGCGGTCGTAGGAACCGCTCAGGAGAATGGTGGATTCCCTAGGGTGCCAGTCCAGCGAGCAGACCTTGTCGGTGTGGTGAGAGTAGGACTTGGCGCAGGTGGTGGTGTTGAGATCCCAGAGCTTAACGGTGCGATCCGCAGAGGCAGAGGCCAGCAAGTTGCGGTGGCCGCGGTTGGCGGCAAGAGACAGAACAGAGTCAATGTGGTACTCGTCGTTGGCCTTGCTCTTCTTCTTCGACTTCTTAGGCGGGCCATCGCCCTTGTCTTGGCCACCCTGTCCCAGGATGGCATTGGGGTACATGCTGTCGACAACATCCAGGTCCCAGATCTCAATATCGGGCTCCATGGTTCCGACGGCGACGAAGTTGCCTGATGTACGCTCCTCGTTGGCCTTGCCGCCGACGGGGACGTCGAGCCACTCCAAGCAGAGGGGAATGCCGGGCAGCATAATATCGTGGTGAACATAAAGGTTATCGGCTCGGTCCTCGTAGACGTAGACCTCCAAGTGTGCAACCTCATCTTCGACCTTACCGGCCAGAAGCAAGTTATCATGCGGCATAATCTGCAGCTCCTCGCGCTCTTCGTTCTTGTCTTCATCGTCGGGGATCACAAGGTACGGATCCTCCTCGTTAGGCTGGTGGTAGGCCAGATTTTGGACATTGCCGAACATGGTGGCTCTCTCGCCATCGTCATCGATCTCGTCATCGTCGTAAGTGTCGAGATTGAACTCCTTGAGAACATCATCATCCCTGCCATCTGCAATTAGCGCATGTCGCTTTTATTTCCAATGGTTCAGAAGACTCACTCGGTACTCTTGGGCGCAGAACCAGAACCAGCACCAGAAGTGCTTTCCTTCTTCTCACCCGCATCTTCAGTGCTCTCCTCCTCCTTATCGTCCTCATCCATAGCCTCATCTTGGGCAGCGCTCAGCCCCTCCTTCGCTTCCTCAAGCTGCATGCGGGCCAGCTTGGAAATGCGGCTCATCTCCTCCTCATCAATCTCATACTTGGTAGGAAACTGGGCCGCGACACCTCGCCGCACCCAGGCCGTAGTTGTGATCATCGAAGACATTGTGAATGACGCAGCCAAAAGTTCAATGTTCTCCAACTTCTTTTTTTTCGAAGTTATCGGAGATATTTTTTTTATCGGTGTGAGTGGGGCTGGCAGAATGCCAAATACTTTCACCGCCCGGGGATTCTGCGGAACCGCGATGAATTCCAAGGTTACTGAGTGACCGGAACTGAACTGCAATTCACAATCACAATCTACTTTGATCCTTTGATTCAAGTCTTCTAGACTGACCCTCCGCCATCATGCATTCCCATCTTCACACCCCGTACAATATCAGTACGTTCCTCCTACAACCCACACTGCTACAGCGATACCTCATGCCATACATCAATGCTAACCTATTCTAAACGCAGACTGCGAGGAAGTCATGACAGCTCTCGACGAGTGTCACGCCCGCGGATTCCTTTACAAAGCCGTTGGTAACTGCAATGACATCAAGCGCGACGTGAACAAGTGCCTATCCGCCGAGCGATCCGACCGAGCCAAGCGCAATCGCGACGACGCTCGAAACAAGCGTGCACGTATCGAGGAGATCTGGGCTCGTGAGCGCGGACAAGATCAGGCCGCTGCCTCTACTGGTGCTGGTGCTGGTCCCAATGCTAGCGCAGGCGTGAATGCGAGTGCGAGTGCGAGCGCAGAGAAACCTGCGGCTTCGCAATAAGCACATCATTTTATGCGAAAGGGCATTTTGTTTGGAGTTTTGGAGTTAGGATGAATCTCTTCTCTTGAGGGCATATGGGATGAATGTACGATATTGGTCAATTGTATAAATACTTGCCAGTGGCAACCATGCCAGTTATCCCTACTACTAGTACAATCATGATGGATATCTCAAGTTGTATATGTCTTGTCCACCTGGGCACCTACGAGTACCTAGTACCTAGCTATCCTCTATCCAGGTACCATGTCTGCATGTCTACCGTCAAGTTCTATGTACTACTTGAATACGATTGACAGCGTCATTGACAAATATAAACTTGACTGTATCATGATATAATGTGTACAACTGAAGATACACCATTTAAACTTTTCGAAAGAATACCTGATCCGAACGCCATGCCGTGTAAAAGAGAGAGGGTGATATGCAAGAACAGCCACTTCGACAATGCCCGTGACACTGACACTGACACTTATTCGTCGACCTCCATAGCGCCGGACTCAGGTCCAGTCTCGGCCAATGGCGCAGCATCATCATTGTCGTTGGAAAAAGCAGCACCACTCTTATGATGCCGCCGTCTCCGCTTAGGCTTAGCTGCACCCGCATCATCTCCATCCTCCTTCTCAGGCACATCGTCATCCTCAACAACCTTCTTCTGAGACTTCTCCTTAGCAGGACCTGTCTCCTTCTTCTTAGACTTCTTCACACTAAGCGGGTTAGGCGCTTTAACCTTCGGACCGCGCTTCTTCTTCGTCTCTTCCTCCTCAGCCTTTTCCAGCGAAGGATCGTCCAGACCGTAGCGGAACTTGGCCTTCTCAGCCCCATCTCTAACAGTCTCGGAGCGCGTGCTCAACGGCTCCAGAACCATGACGGACCGCTTCACGTAGATGATAGGAACACCGGGAATCTGGCGCGCGCGAAGACGAAGCATCTGCGAGCGGCGAAGGGCTCGCTCTTCCTCGCGCTCTTCGTCGCGCTTGCGCTTGCGCTGCGCATCATTCTTATCGACCTTCTTGACGGGTGCGTCTGCCGTGGCGAGAATATAGTGCTCTTTGTTCTTCTTGACTTCGGCGTTAGGCGACAGTAGTGACAGCAGACAGTCGACCTCGTCGATGGGCGAGGACTCCGGGTTGTGCGAGCAGTGGCGCAGTGGGAGTTCTGTTGGCGGGGGAGATGGCGCGGACGGTATGGCTGATTGGTCTTGGGGTTTATGGGCTGTGCGGCCAGGATTGCGGCCAGGGAACATTTGGTCAGCACTGTAGGTTGTGTTAGCTTATTCTGCGTGTGATAATGGTAATTTGGTTTCTGTCTCTGCGGGCCGCAGTAGTCGATTGATTCGTGCCGGGCACTTACAAGGCTTGGGTTTTCCCTGAAGAGTCCGCTCGAGGGCAGGAAGAAGTTCCATCTTGAACTGATCAATGGCATGGACGAAGTTTGAGTCCACTAATTCAGCGCTGGTTAGTCCAAGTCCATCCATACTCGCTGCACGCAGCTTCGGAGGGAGTCATACCGAGCACTTGGTAAGGCTCACGGAAGCCAAAAGTCATCTCATACTGGTGCATAAGCTTGCGATACTTCTTCGAACGTTTGGCCCTCATCTTGAATGGTGGGTTATGAAAATTCGGTGTTGAGGTCGTCCGAGGATACTTTGCGGCGCGGACAAAACTTTTTCAATTTGCCGGGCGGCGGGGGAGGCGGTGGAAGTGGTGAAGCGGTGGAAGTATACAGCAGTCAGCTGCAGCCGGACTGAACACTAGGTATTGAGCCTGTTATCTACTTTTATGCAATTTACAACGTTTACAAGGTAAGCTTGAACTCGAATACTCGGATAGGAAATGGAGTCTGTATTATTTGTGCTTGACTACCTCAGCAGGACATTAAAAACAACCCGGCGTCAACCGAGATATCAGAATTGGATGCAACACCAGCAATCCAACATGCAAATTCCGAAAAGTAAATCATAAGTCGTCAACAGGTGCAGCCTGTAATAGTCGTGTACGGTCATGGTCGACCTTGAATGGCGTGGAAGCAGATAAGAATGGAAATCCATAAGGCGAGAGCAATGTGGTGATGATAACATCATATTCCCAAGTTGAAATGGGAGAACGGGCGGGCGATATGAAATCCGTATGGTTAACAGAGCCATGAAGACCTGTAGAAATGTGCGATATGCGTGCGCCATCGTTGAAGTACCCAACAGAGTACCCAACAGCGAAAGAGCGCATGACTTGGGTAGAACGAAAGCCAGGACAAATGCGATTTACGCTGTAAGAAGACTAGAGACTTGGGGCGATGTTCGCGGTCGCCGTTTAATGGATAATGTGGAGAGCTAGCTCTGCTCTGGGTGACAGGTTGTCAACAGCCACGATAGCTAGGTCACCATGCCGTGCCGAATCGCACCGGGTTCCTCTGGTTGGGCGTCGCACGTTGGGGGCAGTCCACAAGGGCTATCGGGTTGTCCAGGGTTCTGGGCGTGGCTCCACGTATCCCCGGAGCAACAATAATGTTCACGGGCTGAATCGCGCAGCTGGGCGTTACTTCAACCAACGCGTTTCTTGCAAGAGGCCAGGACAACCGAGATATCATCCATTTTACCTCCCTCAATAGCAAGTCCCTCATCAACGGCCTTCTCCATGAACGGACTTTCAGCAAACGGATCCTGGGCAATATTCAGCGCAGCATTCAGAAGCTCTCGCGCAGCGTAGACCATACGATCATCGCACAGGTCTGGTGACGGTGAAAGACTATCCGACTGCATCTGACCCTCATCCCACTTCTTCAGACTATCCAGAATGATTTTCAGGACCTCGTGTTCCCAGAGATTATCCATGACACCATCCGAAACAGCGAGAACAAGATCGTCTTCTTGTAGGGCAATCTTGGATAGAACTGCATTTTTGCGGGGTGTATCGACGCTATTTGTGCCTAGTTGCATGGGGCAGTCGAACCAGTGCCACTGCTCTGCTGTGCGGAAGATGATCTTTTGCTCGCTCGGTCGGATCACAATGATTTTGCAATCGCCGAGATTCGTCACGTAAAGCAAGGGTTTATGAGTGCCGTCCGGCTCGCGAGTGGAGTGTAAAAGGGCCGTGGCAGAAGTTGTTGTACCAAACCACTCGGTCGGGGAGGTGGTTGCTCGAGTGGTTTCTTCGTATGCAGATTGGAGATACTCGATCGGATCGAGACAGACTGCGTTGGCAGTGACTCGGCGCTCAATTTCGAGAGCCCAGAAATGTAAGAGAAGTCGAGACCATAGTCTGTAGAAGGGGGAAATCATTAGCATCTGCGGTCATTTGCATATGCATCTTGAGAGCGCAACTTACGCAGCATGGCCATGGGGCTTCATTGCCCAGGCGCCAACACCGTCGTCGACACCCAAAAAGTTCTCGGTAACGATAATCGCATCGTCGCCATTGTTCAGACCACGGACCAGCTCTCCTCGAACGGAGAGACGCTTGTCCTGACTGAGGGAGTGTGTTGTGAGGGGATCGGAGAAGGAAGTTGAAGGTGGAGAGAGAAACGGTGGGGGGAAAGGGCGAGACGGGCGCTTAGCGCAGAGAGCGTAACCCGTCTCGAATCGAAAGGGCGAACTAGCGAGGCTCAAATCCTGGCGGTCGGGAACTGGAGTAGTGATTCCATATGAAGGCCACACAGCAGCATGATAGGGATGAGTTGATCGTAAGTTCTGGCCTGGCGTGATAGTTGGTTTAAGAGCTGCAAACCATCGTTTCGCGGCTGTCCATGGGAGTGACGAGAGGACGCCTGTCGTGGTCACCATGCCTGACGAAGTAGAAATAGGAGTAGGAGCATCAGGATTGATGGATTGGGAAGAGAGATGGTTGAGTGAAGTAGAAAGAAAGAGTTCGAGTCAAGAAAATTGAGGGGGGGGGAGTAAAAGAAAGGGTATCGGTGAGGCCGTGGAGAAGCTCTCACTGGCTTGTCTCGCCGACTGTTCTCTGCTCTACGGAGTACCGTGTGTCATATGAGAAAAATGTACGGCCGACTCCGTTCTCTACGCCGCACATCTGAGCCTGCAGTAAGTACGGAGTACTGGTGTTCCCCAACATTTCCTTAAATTGCGAAGACTAGTAGTACTAGTACTAGGTCATAGCTTTCATAGTCTCAGATTTACTCCATACTTTCTACTAGAACATACACACAAGTCCGTCCCGAGAGGGTATTCTGGAATCTTGGCCTTATCAGAACCACAATTAACTAGATGAACTAGTGTACCCACTCTCTCAGATGACCCAATGATTTGCAACGGCTGGATAGGTTACTCTGTGCTCTGGGATCGACCAGAGATACCATATTGGTACGGAGTACTTGGTACTGCGCACCTCTACCTTTCCACCGTCACATCAGAACGACATTAGTTTATCATCCCCTCTCGTAATTCGTGAATCTCGTAAAATCATGTAGAGCTCTGAGAAGTCAGGAAATCTTCAATCCTCAACCTCAACCTCCAACCCAGAGAGCCTTCAAGTCCAAGAACCGCTCAACCCTGACGAGCGCTCCTTCAAAATCTCCAGTTCGAACCCTTCCATCACCTCGTCTAACTGACTCAGCAGTTGATCATGGCGGATGCTCAGTTTCAGGAACGCAAGTTTTTCAAACAAAGCCCGCGCAAGGGTGTTCGCCCGGGTTGCGAAGTCGAATTCGCCGGGACCTCTGCGGTTTTGGGCCAGCAGAATCCGCAGCTGTCGTTCATAGCAGGGGCAGGGGAGCTCGAGACAAACGGTACATTCACCAGCACAGCGACAGAGAGAGATGCAGATGCACTTGTGCTGCTTGGCCAATGTTAAGAGCGGTTTTCCTTCGTCGCGGCGATATTCTCCCAACATTCTACCTTCTAAACTGGCTAGAGAGGCCACTCGGTAGTCCTCGGTAAGCTCCTTCACCCACATATTGTACTGCGTCGTTTTCAAATCATTGAAAGGCAGTTGGTCGGCAGGCACGTCGCTCTGAAGTTCCACCTGGGGCTCAACAGTGAGGTAATTCTCCGAAATGGCGATCATCAACTCTGCCGGAATATCACTGAAGAAGGGAAGCAGGGTAGCCCATTTCTGGACGAATCTGCTGTTTCTATCGCTCACTATTTCCAGCACGTATCGGTGGTAGCCGATCGGGTCATCCAGATTGTATTCTTTGTCGGCATTCTGATCGGCAACATTGCGGAGGTGAATTTCCTGGTATGCACATAGGACAGATTCGTGGAGCCCCTCGCAGATGGCGGGTGAGTCGAGAACGTCTTTGATCGATACAAAGATGTGGTACAGGTGAGCCGGATTGGGGAGGTAGAATTTACGACGGTCTAGACATTGGCGAGGTTCCGTTTTGAAATTGGCGCAGAGTTCCATTGCTGCCATTTCCAGGACAATTCGCGCGTAGAGGGTGTAAAACAGATTCTCCACGATTTCGATAAGATCGGACAGTGAGTCGGTTCGAATATTAGCTTCCGCGCGTTCGATCCAATGCAAGAGTCCAAATTTGCTGTTCCCGAGCTGATCCGAATGGGTTTGTTAGTTCTGTTAATGGAAAGTGAAGCAGGCACACATGAAGAAGTTCGATCAGATATGATGAACGTTCTACTCACCTCTGCCCCGTACGCAAGAAACGCGACATGCAAGATCTTCGCCGAAGTGTAGATCTTGGCAAATATCTTGAGAGCTCCTTTCATGTGAGCTTCGATTTGTAGCATATTCAATCCCTCCATCCCCAGCACCTCCGAGGCCGTGCCTGAGGTAGCCAAGACGTCTGATGGGATAACCCAGCCAATACTGCCGACTTTGTAAGGGCGCGAGTGGCGACGGGGAGGGGCCATCTAACACATGTCAGGATGATATCCAACAGTCTTGTATGTCGAGAGTATATATGGCGGCCTAATAGGAATTTGGGATCGAGAGAGCAACATACTGGGGACTTCCCACTGGGAGAGGAACTGAACAGAGGCGCAATTGGCGAGAGAGGCCGCTGCATTGGCTTCCCGGGACTTCCATTCGGACTTTGGCTTTCGGCTTGACTGTAGATGGATGACGAATAACGCGAAAAGCCGTCCTCTTGGAATTTCATCCAAGTCGCCATCTTGTCATCGTTGCTTGTGATGGTTGAAGGGGCGGTTTGTGAGGTGTCTTCGCTCGAGGGCTCCGACAGGACCGGACTGCGTCTCAGACGCCGCTTAAGAGAAGTCCAACCCCGGATCATACGGGGTTGCTGCGTGGGAGGAGGAGGAGGAGGAGGAGGAGGAGAAGGAGGAGAATGAGAATTGGAAGAAGGAAGTGCGGGAGGGTCGAAGGGGACTAAAGGAAAGCGCAGCATTGTGAAGGAAGCCGCGATGGCGGCACGGTGTATGGATGATGCTGATGCTGATGCTTATGATGAAGGTGAAGGTGGTGAAGATGAGGGTGAAGGTACGTGCAAAAAGAATGGTACGATTTCTCGTGAGTAGGGGAAGGGTTGTTGTTGGTAATGGTGGTAATGGCCAGTATTCACTTCACATCTCACACTTCTCACTTCACCTGGACTGTAGGAACCAATAGTAGAGGTTTCCCATGCTTTACAGGAAAAAGACACAAACACAAGGAAATTGTTCTACAGGAAATCACATCAATATGCAGGGTCAAAGAAATTGCTGATTCGTTAACGCTCTTCAAGGTAATATCAACATGAAGCCATTGCGAGTCTAGCTCTGCACACGGAAAGTTCGGCCACTGGCGGTCTTGCGCTCGCGCTCTTCGTTCTCGGGTCGAGCACGGTTGAGAACTACCAAAGTTAGAGTCCTGTACATCTCTTTCTAGTTGGGTATATATGTCTTGTTTACCTTGGAGGAAGTCCGCTGTCCGCTTGCGCATTCGGGTGTGGATGTACGCCTATAAACAAAATATCAGCAAATGACACCGGCGAGTCAGGGGAGAGACTGGGAATTAAATTACCTTCGAGGCCTTGATATGATAGTGGAAGTAATCACGGAAGGTCTGGATGTGGGAGATGTTCTCATATCGGCGTTGAGGAGTTAAGTGCCGGGGGAAAAGAACTATTGGAGCCAAGTCAGTGATACTGTCCATCGCACACAGGCAGGTCATATTCCCGTGCCCAGGTGGAAATTTAAGTCCATACCGAAAGTGACGTAGCTAATCTCGCCCTCTCCAGTGTTATTCAACCCAGGAACACCTTCCAACTCAAGGGGCGGGTCACTGCGGAAAAGCACCTGGGGCGCATTTTGTAGCGTCACCACACGGCGTCGGGCGTCAACAAATTCCTAAAGGGGGTCAGTATATTCAAATCAAACTAGGGCATTCTGCGACGAACCTGCAGGAAGACCTTGCCGAAGATTCGGTCCGTCTCTTCGCGAAAAACAGTGCTAAAGATCACTGTCACGCGATCCCAGCTAGCCTTAATATAGATAGCCTCTTCCTCACGATAGTGAATCGCCATAACATCTCCACCCTCCTTCACACCTTGTGGGGCCGACTCTGATGTGTATTGCGACGCCTCTTCCGCAAGTTTGGTGAACTCATCGAACGCACGCTCAAAGGGAGCAGCCATGGCGTTGCGCTTCAACAGTGCGAGCTTCATAATCAACTCCTCTCGGGCCTCCTCCTCGGCGGGGAGATTCTCTAGGTCGACCTGCACTGAGAAATCATAGCCGGGCTCCGGGGTCACGATGTAGGGGCCGTATTCCCGCTCCAGCACTTCTTGGGCGCCATACTGAACGAGCTCCTTGAAACACTTGACATTGATGGAGATGAGGATCTTGGTCTTAGACTCGGGGGTCGAGAGGTGGAAGGTGACTCCGTCAAAGTCGGAGACCACTTGGTCAATCGATGCCGGGGGAGCACTGCGGCGAAATGGTAAGCTGGGGGCCTATGTGGCTGTGTATACAATGCAGCTATGGCGGGGGAGGGTGGATGGTAATGCACGATGGGAGGGGAATAATACCCAGAGAACCGTTCCGTTAGGAGGGATTGGATTAAAACGTTTTGATAGTCCAAGAGAAGCATGATTGGCACGCAATGGGGGGGGAGGGGAGAGTGACGATGTTGAAGTTGGTAGTCTGGCAGTCTGGCAGTTTGGGGGGGGGAAGATCGTCATGGGCGGTGGGGGAACTTGGCTGCTGCCGCCGCCCGTAATGATTTTTGTTCCTATCGATAGCAGCTCTCTCCAAAAATTTTCCCATCCATCCACGATGGTGAAATCTTACTTGTGAGTAGCTCTGACACTTCAGTTACACTGACCGGTCTATTGACTCTTTAAATTTAGCAAATTCGAGCACTCGAATACATTCGGGCTTGTCGCCTCGGCGACCTCGAATGCGATCTGGGCCAAGGATGAGCAGATTGGCGGCGCAGTTCGCCAAACCGGTGCCGGTCGAGCCATTGTTGGTGCCAGTGAGGAGGTTCTCTGCTGGGATGTCAAGAAGGGAGAATTGCTAGGCCGCTGGCGTGATTCTGCGTGCAGAGCGCAAGTGACGGTGGTTACACAGAGCAAGACCGATGAAGATATCTTCGCCGTTGGGTAAGTCCGATCCTACTTGTCGCTAAGGCCCTGCGTCTTCTTGGGCTAATCTGTTCTTTCTTGTTTTTCTACTCTAGCTACGACGATGGCAGTATCCGTATCTGGGATTCTCGAACCGGCTCGATCATCATTTCCTTCAACGGTCACAAATCCGCCATCACCAAGTTGGCTTTCGACAATGTTGGAGTACGCCTCGCCAGTGGCTCCAGAGATACCGATATCATTCTGTGGGATCTCATTTCTGAGACTGGTCTCTTCAAACTCCGCGGTCATACCGATCAGATCACCTCGCTCCACTTCCTCTTCCCATCTCCCGAACTACTCAGCGCTTCGGGCATGAGCGACCATGCAGGCTTCTTGTTGACCACTGGAAAGGACGCATTGATCAAGGTTTGGGATTTGGCATCGCAGCATTGTATTGAAACACACATTGCGCAGTCCAATGGCGAATGCTGGAGCTTGGGTCTTTCGCCCGATCAGGGCGGCTGCATCACTGCAGGAAACGACGGAGAGCTGAAGGTCTGGTCTATCGATGAGGCTGCGATGATTGAAATTTCAAAGGAAAACGTCAGTGCAGAAGGTCGCCGGATTCTTACAGACCAAGGCACCTTCTACCGCCACGGCAAGGATCGCACGATCGGCATTTCCTTCCACCCTCGCTTGGATTACGTTGGATTCCATGGCTCGGAAAAGGCTGTTGAGATTTGGCGTATTCGCTCACAAACAGAGGTCCAGAAGAGCATGGCACGGAAGCAGAAGCGCAGAAAGGAGAAGGAAGCCCAGCGTGAGGGCGAGGAGAAGGAAGCCGACGCCGAGAAAGAGAAGGCCAAGGATTCCGCCTCGCCTCCTATCACAGAGGTTTTCGTCTCTCATGTCATTGTTCGGACGGGTGGAAAGGTCCGCTCCTTCGATTGGATGACCAACAAGTCTAGCGGTTTGAATCTACTCGCTGCGACAACCAACAACCAGCTAGAAGCATACAATGTTGTCCCAGCCAACAAGAAAAACAAGGATGAAGAAGAATCAGCATACACTCGCAACTTGGCTGTTGATATCCCCGGCCACCGAACAGATATTAGATCTATCGCCTTGAGCTCTGATGACCGCATGCTTGCCTCCGCCTCAAACGGTAGCCTGAAGATCTGGAATGTTCGAACTGAGACCTGCCTGCGGACTCTGGAGTGTGGCTACGCACTCTGCTCCGCTTTCCTTCCTGGTGATAAGATTGTGGTTGTCGGTAACAAGAATGGCGAACTGGAGGTGTTTGACATTGCGTCTTCGACTCTGCTGGACACGATCAAGGCGCATGATGGCCCCGTCTGGTCTCTTCACGTTCACCCCGATGGCAAGTCCATGGTCAGTGGAAGTGCCGACAAGACGGCCAAGTTCTGGGAATTCAAGGTCGTTCAGGAGGAGATCCCCGGTACCAAGCGCACTACTCCCCGCCTCAAGCTGATGCACACGAGAACTCTGAAAGTCAGCGACGATATTCTCAGCCTTCGGTTCTCGCCAGATGCCCGACTTCTCGCGGTCTCTTTGCTGGACAACACCGTCAAGGTCTTCTTCGTCGACTCTCTGAAACTTTTCCTCAACCTCTACGGTCACAAGCTTCCAGTTCTCAGCATGGATATCTCCTACGATAGCAAGATGATCGTGACTTGTTCGGCTGACAAGACCGCCCGTCTGTGGGGACTGGACTTTGGTGACTGCCACAAGGCTCTTCTTGCCCACGAGGACAGTGTCATGTCAGTGGCATTCGTCCCGCACAACAAGGATGGAAATGGACACAACTTCTTCAGTGCCAGTAAGGACAAAATGATCAAGTACTGGGACGGTGATAAGTTCGAGAACATCCAGAAACTGTCCGGCCACCACGGAGAGATCTGGGCCTTGGCCATGAGCCGTTCCGGTGACTTTATTGTCAGTGCCAGTCACGACAAGAGCATTCGCATTTGGCAGCAAACCGACGAGCCACTCTTCCTGGAGGAAGAACGCGAGAAGGAGATGGAGGAGCAGTACGACAACACACTCACCGCATCTCTCGATCAAGACGAGGACGGAGAGGATGGCGAGAAGGCCGAAGCAGTTGACGCTAGCAAGCAGACCACAGGCACCCTCATGGCCGGAGAAAAGATCATGGAAGCTCTGGATCTGGGTATCGAGGATCTGGCGGTTGTGGAGGACTGGCGCCGAGTCAAGGCTGCCAACCCGAACGCCGCACCCCCTGATCGCAACCCACTCTACATCGCTCTGAACAACGTCTCGGCTGAGCAGCATGTTCTCAACACTGTGCAGAAGATTCCGGCCGCTGCTCTACAAGACGCCCTACTGGTCCTACCCTTCTCCAAACTTGAATCCCTCTTCACCTTCCTCAACATCTGGGCCGAGCGTGAGTGGAACGTCTCCCTGACCTGCCGTGTGCTCTTCTTCATGCTGAAGACACATCACCGTCAAATCGTGTCGAGTAAGATCATGCGCCCGATGCTCGACAGCATCCGCGCAGCACTGCGCCGCGTGCTGTCCCGCCAAAAGGACGAGATGGGATTCAACCTGTCTGCTCTGCAGTTCATCGGCAACCAGATCCGTGAGCACAATACGAAGGACTACATCGATGAGGAAAATTGGACACCGCAACAAGCACAGCAAGGGACGGGTAAGAAGCGGCAGTTCATGAGCGTCGCTTAGAGCGAAGGGATTGATTGGTACGAGCATTGTCAATCGGCGTTGTCGGGGTCCTTCATGACCTTATTTTGTTTTGGATTTATGTTTATCGTATAAAAGTTTTATATCCTTGGGAGTTTCGAACAAGGGATGTATTATACTTGATCTGTTCGAATATGATCGATTGATTCTAGATACCATGTCTATCATGACCCTAGGCCAGCGAGCTTTTAGCTACTAGCAGTTTCCGACGTACACCCGCCACTGGTAGATTATAGATAAAGCCTCACTCAGCGCGACATTTAAAGACCTAATTGGAATCGTATTAGCAAAACCAATTCACGCGACAAATACCATCCACAATGAAGACAGCAGGCCGGTTTTAACTCCTTTCAGCGGAACCATTATAAGCATCGACGACAGACAGTAACATTCTAGTACCGCTGCCATACCTCTTCCGGCTCTTCCTAAAAATTCGGTTCGTATGCAAAGTCTCATCATTCAGAGGTCCGGCTTGTGTCTTCTTCGTGTCTGGTTGGGAGATTAGAGAGAGCATGACACATACCGGTGATGTTTTATGGCCAGCTGGACAGATTTTCTAGCACATTTCTAGACTCTGTCTGAGCTGGCTCGTGGTTGACCACGGTTGGCAATTGCGGTCGGGGGAGGAGGAGTGTTGAGGAGAGACGAAGTTGGTGGAAAATAAAATGCAGCCGGTGGGCCTGCTTACTTAGTGTGGTCACGTGGATTATTATTATGGGGCTGCAAGGCATGTAAAGCCCAGTGTCTTTGCAGATAGCAATTGAAAAGTAGAACAGTGCCTTTTCACGGGAGTAAATAGATTCAATGGCTTGTCGGAGAAGTGTTCGATTACTGGATGTTCTAATTAAATGGGCAATTGAGACTCCGACTGCCACGGCTGTATATTGTAGTTTTCATGTACAAAATGATGGATACTAGTTCCTCAAAAGAACTTAATAAATTGTCATTTAATTTCAAGTGGTTTAATTTCATGGTCACATAAGAAGCTTTATTTTTCTCCAATAAAGAACAAAGGTACAAACCAAATCACCTTCGTCAAGAGGAAGGTTTCATTTTCCCACAAGCCGAGCACGTCCACCACTGGCTCTCCATAAAACTACCACATTTATCGCAAAGCCATCCTAAAGGCCGTTTCGTCGAATCGCGGTCCATCGAGGCTAGGGTGTCTCGAGCTCGGGTGCGGTTCTTGAATGCGAATGTATCGCGGGCGGGAGTCTCGTCGTCCTGTATCTGAAGCGAACGCTTTTTCGAATTGGGTTGCTCGGAACGCCTAGGTTCCAGGCTTGTGGCAGGCTGTTTCTCTTTCGGCACTGGTCTTTCTGAAGCACACACATCGCAGCAGAGAAAACTGGATGGGTTCTCCAGCGTACATGTTGGGCACGTCCAAGGGGCCTCGTATGAGCTATTGTCTGCTGTAAGGTCCAATACCTCTGGCGTATGCCACGATTTTGTCCCTGGGGCGCTCGATTCAGCTGCCTTTGAAGTACCAGCTTGTGCCATGTCCTGGTGAGATTCTGGAACGGGCGACCCGCCCGAGCGAGGCCCAGCTGGGTTCTCCTGGCTTGGGGGAATATACGACGATCCATACTTCTCGCGTTCCTCCTCCTGAATCAATTCAATGAATGCCTGGAGGATTGCCTCCTCATTTGCATCATCTTCTTCCGCTTTTGTTCTGAAACCGTTTCGGGATGCTTCCTCGGCAAGCTCGTTGCTTCTGTCCGTGCCCGAGGCACATCCGTTTGTCACCTCCACGCGACGCTGGGCGGCATCTGCTCTCAGCTTGCGGGTATCTGTTCCTCGAAGCACGGGGGCACCTCCAAGACGTTTTCCGGAGTTTTTAGTGAGAATCCTTCGCTGCTCAGCGGCTGCACGAGCTTGTCGACGAGCCTCATCAGGCGGCATCCGGGTACCGCCAAGGCGTTTGCCTTGAGAGAGAAATCCCTCGCCTGTGTATCCCTTGATGACAAGCTCTTCATGTTCATCCCGGAGTTGGTTCCACAGTGCATGAAACTCGCGGTGATGAGGGCCGTGGACAATATGGCACAGTCTGTTTTCGATCAGTTTAGTGACGCGTGGACAGGTGGAAGAACATACTCATGCAGCATAGTGTCGACGACCTGCTCAAATGGAAGAAATTGCTTCTGATCCGAGGGATACCGTAGTCTGAGACATATTTTCTGACCTGAGTTGACATTCAGCCCTAGAAGGTTTTTCTGTCCCGGGTAGAACTCGCAGAGGGCGCCCACTCGCCAAGAACGCTGGCGCATGATGGGCTTGACGACGGAGGCGACTTTGCGAAGGATGAAGAGGGCCTCTGATTCACGGGGGCGTTTCTTCTCATGGCGATATTCGCCGATTAGAGAGTCTAGTTCTCTCATGTTGTATCATAGCAGGTGTAATCGATCAGCCTAGCGTATCATGTTCCCTGGATGACGGGCTAGGCTGATTCAAGATTATACACGCTGACGCGAATCACACAACTCGAGGTTGGGAAGCAAAAGGTTCATGACAATAGCGTAATCTTGGAAGACTTTTGCATCGGCTGGTTATTCAAAGTGGTTTCGAGAGATCTTTAAAAGAGAGCAAACAGACTAAGGACTTGCCAGAACGAGGCCTTGCATCGCTATTACTAAGCATATTTCCGGCCAGTCAGATCTAGTAGTCCTACTTTGACATATCGACAGGGCAATTATCGAATATTATACCTGATTTTCTCAAGTCCTATAGCACCTTTAAGCCTGCTATGAAATTTTGAAAAAGAACAGACAGTAGATTTTTATCCTTTTGGCTAGGTAATCTCCAAGGCTGTCCCGTTACTACTAGCATGATTTATGACACTTGAGCAGACAATAGTACTCTAGATTCCCAGGTGCTACCAACCTTCCTTAGAATTTGAACGTAACTTGAATGTGAAACTTCAAGTTGAGTATAGTAATAGTGAAGTCGATTAGAATATCAAAATGAACCTAAGTAAATATAATACTGGCACTTTCAGAATCAGGCTCACCGAGCAACTCTGATCACGTGGTCTATTTGAGTGCTCACTGATTGCCTCCTGATTATTTCCAAGGTTCGTACTCAGAGTGTGGTCGGGTTTTGGCGAGGTCTAATTCGAGCTAACGATTTCGTGACTTCTCAATAATGCATGATATCATACATCTCCAATGTAGTAACACTTCAGAAGAAATACCGGGGAAGGAATGGGAACTTACCCATTGATAAAGCTCAGCATTTGCCACTACCTTGCGGCATGTTTTCTTTGACAACCCCAGGGCTCAGCAACCTAACTCCGCACGTAAACTATTGGGACTTTTGTTACCGGAAGCCACTTCTTCAATCCACTCCTGAATGTCGGGACGCCAAAGAATATTATCCATATACTGCACAGCAGTTCCATAATCCCTTTTAAGCTCACTCGCATCGAATAGATCTGCCCACCCTGGGTCCAGACTTCGTATCTCCTCCATGAAGACATCTCGCAGAATTGTTGTTTCATAGATAGTCATCCAAGTGCTCCCAGTAAGCAGTTCCTGGGGGAGGATTACCTCTATCGTAGTCTTCGATATTTGGTTGCATATAACGTGGTGTTATGTGTAAAAATCTGGGATAATGGCAAGTCTTCCATAATGGCATCGCTGAAACGCACTCCCAATCCAATATACCTGCTAGGTCTTCTTTGCATTGTGCTGCGAGAGGTCATCATGGAAGATCACACTGGGCTCAGCAACTTCGTTATCGACCTAGAAAACAAGATGGAAGATACTCTCTAGGTCCCTGATCATCTTGAGTATTTCCTCTACAGCTTCTATTTCTTCTTTGGTGTCGTTATCGAGATCTTCGCGTCCGGCATACTTATCTAGAAGTTGTTGGTAGTCGATTCTGGAAAGGGCAAGACAAGCATCTATCCAGTCTTTGGTTCATGAAAATGGCCCTCGGGGCACATTCTGGCGACCATGGGAGCCCCAGAGAAAACTGAGGGACACAATCTGACCCATCTGAGTCTCTTCGATTGTTAGTTCTTCACTAGTCTCACTGGGCACAGGCTGCTCAGCCAAGGCCGATTCATCATCTGTCGTTGCTGATGAGTAGATGTTGCCGATGCCCTTGAGTTGGTTCCTCCAAAGAGAAACAGAAAACTGCGAATTTTCTGTTCAACTTCGACTTGGCAGAAATGTCTACTTGTCTTCAATTATCTGCTGAAGGCTTCCCAGGGATTTCCGTCATGAGTATCCACTCAAATCCAATCTCAGTCTCCCGAGTGGCATCATAAGCGATGATCCTGAGCGTGGGGATCTCTGTTACCCTTTGGATCCATTTCACAGTAGCCACCTCACTTTGTGTTTTTCGAATGGGCTCGTCGGGGAGAGAAATGCGCATGATTAGGTTTTCATCGTTGAGCTTGACACTGTATATCTTATTGAAGGCGCCCCCGGATAGAGTGCCTGAATTGTTCGCTCTATGGCGTTGATGTCGGGCTCATAAGACCATCGAGGTTCTGGGCTAAAGACTCATCAGCCCAAATTAAGCCGTGGTAGAGATCTGAAGTCATTGTGAGGAGACCTGAAATATTGGAAAGCTGGCAGATGGGCTACAATAACCCTTACACGGGTATTGCCATGCGGAGTCCTTAATCAGCGGACCGAAGCGTACCTCAGCCTATCATGTGACCCAGCCAAAGCGGAGACTTGGTTTATCGCAATTCTTATCATCAACAAGTTTTCCTTTCTTTCAAGTTTACAGCATTTCACTTCAACAAAATGACGAGCGACGATCAGTTCTTCTTTGACTACGTGAGTTGGATTGCATGAACTAGAACCAGACTTGAATACCCTCCCCCTCATGCTAACCCTTCAACACAGCTCGCGTCCATACCCCATGACGTAAGGCGATACTCGACCCAGGTCGCCGACTCGATCGACCGACAAGTCGACCATGCAGCCACCACGATCCGAAATACCCTTTCCGAGCAGTCATGGATTCCCTCACATGTGCGCCCGTCCATGCGCAACGCTCAGAACCTGCGCCACCCCCGTGGGTTCACCGACCGGGTACAAAATTGGATGACTCGGAATCGCGCCTGGACGGCGGCTATTCTTGCATTTGTCGGCACCGGGTGTGTCCTCTTCTATGGGAGTAAGAAGTTGAATGGAAAGCGGAGGAAAGCAAGAAAGGCTGGCAATGGAGCCCGGAAAGAGATTGTTGGTATGTTGAGAAGGCCTTCGAGGGGAGCGACGAAATGCCTTTTGCTCCATCCAATATGCCGATATGCCGCATGTGCTAACCATACCGACCCATAGTCATCGCTGGATCGCCCCATGAGCCTATGGCCCGCGCTATTGCTGCGGATCTGGAACGCCGTGGATACATTGTCTACGTGACTGTATCATCGGCAGATGAAGAGCACATTGTTCGGTCTGAGAACCGGACTGATATCAAGGCGCTGTGGTTAGATCTGACTGCTGTAGGTTTCTTGCCAGATCAAGGGACATCGAACAAGGTCTAACGTGATATGAAATAGGGAACCTCCACACCATCCGAGCTGCATCCATCATTGCATGAATTGCGCTCACTCATCACACAACCTCAATCTCCTCTCCCGGGCATGCCGCCTCACACCTGCCAGCTGAGCGGCGTTATCATTGTACCGTCTCCCAACTTTGCCGCAGGCCCCGTCGCGACAATCCCACCTTCATCATGGGCCGATACCGTTAACACCCGTCTCCTCTCCCCAATCCTCACTGCGCAAGTCTTCCTACCACTCTTGACCCTCCGCAACAACAATAGCACAATAATATTCGCCTACCCATCCATCTCATCATCCCTTTCAGCACCCTTCGCCGGACCGGAAGTTGCCACAACCCGTGCCATCTCAGGGTTTGCCACATCTCTACGCCAGGAACTGCGCCTCCTCGAACACGGTAACGTCGACGTCGTGGAGCTACGACTCGGAAACATCGATCTCGGTCCTTCATACCGCAATGCCCAGAATCAAATCACCGGCACCGAGGTTTTGGCCTGGAGTGCGCAGCAACGAGCTCTTTACGGCCCGCAGTACCTCTCCAGCATCGAACAGCGCCCCGTCGCATCCGCCGGCCCTGGCACCGTGCGCGGATCGCCTGCACGAAACCTACACCACGCCCTGATGGATGCCCTGGAACCGGCGTCCCGAGATTGGATCGGCCGGCGTACACGCAAGAAGTCTATTATGTACGTAGGCCGCGGAGCACGGTCATACAGTGTGATTGGCGCGTGGATGCCCAGCGGTCTTGTGGGATTAATGATGGGGTACCGTAGTGGGCATCCTGCGCCCATGGGCAGTCCCAGCAGTGGCAGCGAGACTAGCTGGGAGCGTGCTTAGTGGTCGCGCTTCTAGCTGATCAGCCAGTGCTCGTTACCCGCATAAAAAACGCGGATGATATTGATCTCTGCTCATTCTGGAAACTTTACATTTGAATAACTTGTACATACATCATGATACTCCTCGCTCAGGCGCCAATGGATTAATTAATTGGATAGATTGGATAAGTGGAATAATTTTATATTACATTAGCATTATCGCACATGCATATCATGGACTCGGTTAGTCGTAATCTGATCAGTCAGTTGCAGTTGCGATTGCGAATGCAAATGCAAATGTCATCAGTCATTTGTCTTAGCGTAGTAAGTCAAGGTATGTAAATACTACCATGCACAACTCCTCACAGCCAGCTGCAGGACCGGGTCACGTCGAGTCAATAGCTCCGCATATAGTATCTAAACCTGCACATGCTTCATCTCGCACGGTTCAACCTTCCCAACCTGGTCCCCTGCCTCGAGACCATGGCAGCGATCCTGCCCATAAAGAGGATCACGAGTCGATCTCTTAATCCGCCCCTTAACTAACCATCCTCTCAACCAGATCAACCCCCACGTAACGAGGAAGATAACCAAGATAGCAGCAAGGATACCGAAGCAATACCCTGTCACAAGCGGCGAGCCATTGGCCTGAATATCGAGGAAACTGTACGCGTAAAAGCCCTCGGTGTGAACGGTGATATACGCGACGCAGAGATACAGCAGCAGGAAGAGGATGAGGAACGGGATGTAGATCCAGGGGTGTGGGGCTGTGGTCGGGAGGGTGATTTCGAGAATGGCGTACAGCGAATTGAGGCCGTGCTGGGAAATCTGTGAAACCATGTTGCGCATTAGGGCTGTTTTTAGCTCGAAGGATTGGAATGTGGGGGGAGTTGCTGGTGGTGTGTTGCAGTCAAGTGAGACGCTCAGACCATCCCGCCTTGCACATGGCAATCCCATGGCAGGGCTGCCACAAGGTTGCCACAAGGCTGCATGGATGGAAGAGATGAGAGAGAGAGAGAAAAGAAGGTGAAGAAGAAGAAAAAAAAACGTACATTCGACCAGCCCGTAAAGGTTTCCTTGTAGAATGGCGGCTTGAAGAGGATGATCCAAAAGACCAGTGTGACCAGTGGCGGATAAACAGTGATAGTTGTGTAAAGAATGCCATGCATAGCACGCAGAGTTCGTGGCCAGCGGTCGAAGAGTACTGAGCGCCCAGTACGAGCGTATAACGCAGTATGAATAGCGGCGAAGAGGGTATAGAAGCCCAATCCCCAGTAGGTTAACCAGGTGAAGAAGCTAAAGGACTGGCCGATAGCATCGCGGTCGCCATGGGTGCCATCCCAGCCCCAGATGAAGAAAATTGAGACAAAAATATAGGTCGAAATTAGGGCGCGCAAGCTGGCGAGGAGGGTAGGAGAGAGGAGCCAGCTTGTTTCATAGTAGTGGAGGTTGTCGCGAACTGGATCGACCCCAAAGAGGGTCGACGATGGAATGCGACGCATTGTGGGATATCAGTGAGATGGGATGAGAGATCTGCGATTTAAAACAGATCTGTGAAAATTCTTTGCTTTTGCGTGGGGCCAACACGATGCGATGGTGGGTTCTTAAAGCGGAATCCCGGTAACTCGACGGAAATGGATGGGCATGCGATTCAATTCAGCTCGACTTGACCAAGGTGACCAAGGTGACCAAGGGAGAGGATTTCAAGGCCAGGCAGAGAAGAAGTGAAATTTGACGGAATTTGACCTTTCGGGCCGCAGCTAGGCTGAATAAGATACATGTGAACAGGTCGGCTTACGTTGCCTTGACTGGCAGAAGGTGTATACTACTAACTAACCGAGTCGTAGTCCATTGGGTGTGTAAAAATAGGCTAACCGATCCGAGGTAGTAATTGGGGTTAGTGCGAGTGATGATGCATACACCTGGGCATCGTAGTGGTAGTGGTAGTGGGGCAGAGATGGCACACTGGGAATATAATCCAAAGTCGAAGATAGCTGTAAAGTAGATCCTATGAGGTCACGGTACTCTATATAGTTCACCATGCTAAGAGTACCAAGTACTATAAGATAGAGTATGAACGATAGAGTATGGACGAACCCCACTAGGAAAGGATCAAACCGCTCTGCAGCCAAAATAAGAAACAACTCCACTAACCCTCCAATGGAAGGATTTGATTGGTGGACCAATGGAAATGAAACAGTGTGGGGTGTACCGCAGTATTCGTACGTTCCTAAAGGTTACGGAGTCGCCTGTACACTACTCCGTACACGAAAGTATAGTATAGTATACTATGCGATTAGCTATTTATAGTATACTATAGTATAGTTATATACAATGTGAATATGTAATCTTACCAGTATATACTAGTATATACTGTATGTGATTATATCATCCTTGGCACTTGGCACCCCTGAAGTCACGGGATCTGTAGAGCATCCAGTGCCACCCGCGGACGACAATAAAATCCCCCCCAAGTGGATCTATTTACCATTGCGATCGTCAGGGCCTCGCCCGTTTCGCTCCTTTCTTCTCTGTTTTGCTATTGCGTCTGCCTCTGATGTCAACTTGACTTCTTCATCCTTCTCTGAAAGGGCTGTCTTTCCTTTGGCCTCCGTCGCCCCCCCCGCCCACCCACCACTACAGACCATCCATCCCATCTACTATACCCATCACCACCCCCTCAACCTTCGTATCGCCATCTTTGAACTCAAATGTTCCCCGCCCGAGACTTGAGACATTCGCCCCAACTCTGAACGACTAGAGTGTTTGGACCCCTGTGACGTTTCGCTTCACCTCACCACGCCTACACCATACCCACCACCTTGGCCCATTGATTTACCCCTGGAGACAAAGAAAAGCCAGTGGTTCAACATCTCCCTCTCCTTCTTTCTCCCACCATCCCCCCCTTCCCCACCATGGCGGCGTGGCCCCCTCGAAATCTAGAGGAATGTCGCTCCAACTCCCACGATACCCTTCGGAGCGGCATGCCCTCTCCGCGCATCGAGCACTATGACGGCGAGGTTCCCCCCGCCCTCTCCCCCCCTAGATGCATTCGCCGCCCAGGGCCGATTCCTGGCCCGCCAACTCGACGAATCCCGCCGAGGTGACCGTCGCATGAGCCGTTTGCCTCCTTCCAGTGTCGCCCGCTCCCTTTCCCATGGCCGACCGGGATACTTCCGAGCACGCTCGAGCGAGGGTGAGGGCCAAACTCTTACCCGAAGACCAACACAGAAGAACACCGTTCCAGAGGTCGAGGAACCTAAATACCGCCCAATTTCCGAACACCCCCGATTCAGTTCCGTCTCGCATGCGAGTAGCAATACCGAAGTCCAAGATGATCATTCTACCCCTCGAAGTACGATGCTACGGACCAGTAGCAGTGGATATGAATTACCACGGGCAGAGTCCCCCGAAGAGGACGCATCGCTCGCCGGTGATACTCCCCCCATAGGAGCTGCCTGCACCAATCCCTCGCGCGATAATTCGATCGACTCGGTGTCTTCGTCACGACTTCACATCCCTCGAACCTTGGCGCCGCCCCATTCCCCGAACTCGCGGCCTTCCAGTAGCACACGGGTCGGTCATCCGGAGAGAGAGAGTTCGGATGACGATTACAGCAGCTCCAATGCGGGCTCTACCTTTTCGAAGCCGCGAAAGCTGTCTTCTGGAAGTGCTGTTTCGCTGCCATATTCGCCCATGTCCACGTTCCCTGCTCGGGTACACCCTCGATCGCCCTCTTTGAGCTCCGAAACCTCAAATAGTTATCTGCCCCGGCCATCCTTCAACTTCTCCCGCCCTCTTAGTCGATCAAGCACCAGCCTCTCTGCTCCTGGTCCGTCGTCTACCTCAGAACCAACGTCAGCCCCTCAGAGCCACCAGCCAAGGCATATGCACCGATCGAGCAAGCCAGCGCCAATCCTTCTACCCTTGGCTACCGATGCGATGGGGACCCCAATGGAAGGCGAACCGTCGTCTGCTGTCTCCTCGTATACATACGCCAAGTATGATCTCCCACGAGGACGTGGGTTGTCTAGAGACTCGGTGGTATTTGCAGGCTTGCAAACACCGCATTTTGAGTGGAACGAGCCCTTGTTCGAAAATTCTCCGCCTCGCGATTCTGAAGAGATACCGCGCCACGCTCGCACTCCACCCCCTACTGCGCGTCGGCAGGTGGAAAACTCGCCCAAGCCTCGTTCAATGCATGAAGTGCCTGCTACGCCGATCCAACAAGCTCCGCCTGCTCTGGCCTCGCCACCAAGGCCTCCCCCGACACCGGCAGCAGTCGCGCCGCCAGTCACTCCGCCCCGACGGTCCACCGAGCAGGTCGCTAAATCGAAGACCAATGAAAAGGATGATACCATTTCATCTGCCGATTCGGCAAGCACTGCACGTCCACAGACCGCCAATACCCAAGGCAGCCCGGCCACTCTCACAGCCGACGACCATGTTTCAATGGGTATCGATCTGCATGAAAAGGGATCCTTGAACGAATCCACTTATCATATGCGGATAGCCGCAAAGCAAGATCATCCTACCGGTATGCTGCTCTATGCATTGGCTTGCCGTCATGGCTGGGGTATGCGATCCAACCAGCAAGAAGGAGTGCGTTGGTTACGCAAGGCTGTGGACTCGGTTGGATTGGAGATGTTGGAGAATCCCGACGCCCCTGGCGCGTCCAAGGCCAAGGAGCTACAGAAGGCCTATCGGGCCCAATTTGCTCTAAGTATCTATGAACTTGGCGTTAGCTATCTCAATGGCTGGGGTATCCACCAGGATAAAGGACTGGCTCTCCGTTGCTTTGAGATCGCCGGACAATGGGGTGACGTCGATGCCATGGCCGAGGCTGGATTTTGCTATGCAGAGGGTGTTGGCTGTAAGAAGGATATGAAGAAAGCAGCACGATTCTACCGCCAGGCCGAGGATAACGGCATGAGCATGGTTGGAAATAGTTGGTACGTACTCATCCGGACCTCAATACCCCTTCTCCCTCAACACCTCAACTAACCCTTATCAGGATCTACAAGGACAAATATATGGCCGAAGACAAATCTAGCGGCCGCTCCCGTGGGCGCACTGTGAGCAGCGACAAGAAGCCGCGCAGTAAATCACGGACCCGCAGCATCTTCCAGCGGAAGAAGTCTACGGCAGAGGCATAGACTGTCTCACTTGCACAAATGTTACTGATGTTCGCCCTTTGTATCATTCTTCTGGGCGTCCTTCTGGACTGTCCACCCCCTTCCACCTTCATCTTGCATCTCGAAGCAATGTGTTTTTGGAGCGTTTTGAGCCGATTCCTCACGAATTGCCTTGATGACCTCCTCCCATTTTTTCGGAGGGGTCTGTTTCATTTCTTCCACTCCTTCCTCGTTTTCAACCGCCTTTTCCATTCCATCATGTTCTATCCTTCATCACTTTTCATCACTTTTCCTTTCTTCCAGTCATTCTGCACCTTTACCCAAGCCGCCTGGGCAGCTATTTTCGAGCCACGTTGGCTGGACTCTGTCTTCCAGCCACCTGTCTCGCAGGCCTAATACTTCATTTCTTCGTGGATACCCTCTGCTTTATTATTTTCCAATTTCCCCACTTCCTGTGGCATATTCTTGATCTTCATTTCTTACATCCGTGTTCCATTTCCCCCCCTTCATCCTTTTTTCGTTTCTTGGCTATATTCTTTGCCGGGCTGATCTCCCATTTTCTGTGAGCATCTCTTTCACTTGTGACATTAACTCCTTTTTTTCTTCTTTCTTTTTTTTCTCCCCCTCGATCATTTCCTGGCAGACCCCTTGGTGAATCGCGCGACGATTCGCGATGAACTTGATGACACAATTCGGCTGCGGTGTGGATATTTGCATAGGGCATTGTGTAGCATGTGACGATCTATCTAATCGAACAACTACTTTATCATGCTTCAGCTTGATGATTCAGACCGGGAAGAACCCTGACGGCGCGCCCCTCAGAATCCTTGTAGTTCGTCCCGTCTAGCTCCGTATAATTTATAATTCGATACGACGAACCAAAATGATCCCCACTTCCTCATGAAAGCGGCGGAGGTTTGCCCTAACTGGCCCGAGGGTCATCTCTTTTGACGCCACGACGGGGATTCTTCCCACTGCGGTACTCAATGCTCACTTGACCCCAAGGATAGAGGCTACCAGACAATGCTAGCTTTTACCCAGATTGGTTGTTCGGCCTTGGCGAGCGCCTCCACTGCAGCTAGTCTCGGAGAGAACCAATGAGACAGCGGGGACCCCGGATAGTCGGTGCAACGGTAGATTCGCCTTTTCTGAGAATCCCTGGACTGGGCCTTGTTCCACAGAGGGCTTTCCCGTGGCGCAGTATTGCTGCACCTGCATATGATACAGTTGTGAGGAGTACGGGAGTACTGGCTATTTCACCTTATCACTCTCCCACCTCACCTCAACTCAATCAAACAACCTCGGCCTTAATTCTCCTCCATCATCTTATCCCGTCCTTCCCTTTTCCCTCGATAGAAATAGAGAAACTCAATCTGAAACGCCCTAGCGCTGTCAGGACCGCACGACGATCAGTCGATCAACAAGGGCGACTCAATCCAGGAACCGCCCCGCTCGGAATCCGGAGTCCCCAGAAGTCAGAAATAAAAAAGAAGAAAAAAGACAGAGCTATCACCAGACCTTTTCCAAGGGAGGGGCAAAGGCAAAACCCCCGGAAAAGCAAAGCCAAAGAACCTTGGCTTCTTTTGACCCCCCCGTTTGTATCCACTCCGCTTGGTCCCCTTCGTAGAATGGGGATTTCCTACTAACGACTCCGTACTAGTATGAAGTAACTTATACTCGCATGACATGTGAATGCTTGGAAGTTCATTCAACTTTGACTATTCCCATTGCGATCTCTCATATACCTAGCACCGGTCTACCTGACGCTTGCATCCTTAGCGAGAGACACGACCTAAAGTACGCTGGTAAGATACACTATTTTTATTTTTATTATTCTTTTTATTCTCGCCCTTTTAATTCTGACCTTCCAAGGTAAGTATAAAGTAGTCACTTCACCCTCAGACCCGGGGGATCACCGGGCTCTGAAAGTTCAAATTTCAGATTCACATCCTGAGGCAGCCTATTTGGGACTTTTTTCTTTTCCTTTTTTTTCCTTTACTTTTTGTGTCACTCGTTTTGTACTTTCATCTTCAAACTTCTCTTTTACTTTCCTGGATACCCCGAGGATTGAGCCTTCAATTCTTGTTTACCTTCGGTGAACACTAACCATCACCGCCGTCTACCAGGCTTCAACCCTCATCATGTCCGATGCGAAAGCCGAGGCCACCGGCGTGGAAACCGCCGGTCTTGCGCCACCAGCTAAACGTAGCTTCGGCTCTCGAGTCGGTGCTCATTTCAAGAAGTGGTGGTGGTTGCATCTGATCATCTTTGTGATTGTGGTGCTCGTCGTCGCACTGCCAGTGTAAGTGGTCTTCCCTTCCAAAGGAACTATAAAAGATATACCCACTGACACTCCAGGGCTCATATAGAATCTACGTGGGATACCCCAAGATCGCCCAGCACGATGTCAACGACTCCACCCTCGACATCACCGAGATGGTAATCAGCGACCCAACCCCGGAGTCCTTCCAATTGAACCAGACCCAAGTCATCGGATCCCACAGCTCCTACCACCCAGAGATCTACGCCTTCGATGCGGCCGTCTCACTTGCCGGTGCTGCGGCTGCTTTCGCTACTGTGCGCGTGCCGGGTGTCAAGTCCAAGGACGGCGCGGTGGTGGAGGTTGCCCAGAAAGTCGATTTGTCCGATGCCGATGCCTTCGGCGACTATGCCAAGGCCGTGATGCTAAACGAGGAGGTCTCGCTGAATATCTACGGCAAGCCTGGGTTGAAGGAAGGGTCGCTGCCGAAGACTACGGTGACATATGACAAGACAGTGACTATGAAGGGTAAGCCATTGCGCCATTTCTGCCGTGAAAGAAGAGATGGAGACCGGATTGGACCAAGTCAGCTAATCACATTCATGTCTATTAGGTCTGAACAAGCTCAAGGGCTTCGATGTGACCGACTTCCACATCCTCCTCAAGACCGTGAACGGCCGCAACATGAACGGAACTGTCTATATCCCCAATCCATCCGTCATGACAATAACCATGGTACGTCAGACATATTACCCAGCCTCGAAATATTCATCACAAAAGCCTCTTTCATTCAATAACATTCACTGATCAACCAACAGGGCAACCTCACACTAGACCTCTCTGTTGCCGGCAAACACATGGGCCAGTCCTACCTAGACAATCTAGTCCTCAAACCAGGAAACAACACCATCCCAATGACATCGACCGTCAACCAAAGCGCCATCATCAGCATGCTGACAGCGAAGAACAACCCGTACAAAGACGGCCTCGTCCCATTCGATATCACCGGCAACTCGAGCTACTACAATGGCAAGGAACTGCCTTATTTCACCAAGGCGCTCAGCGCGAATAATTTGACCGTGCATTTGAATGTTACCAGGGCTCTTGCGGAGATTGGGCTGACTAATTTGTAAACTTCGATGTGATGAGATCTTTGTTTTCTCTTATGTGTCTGTTTCATCTGCTTCGTTTTCTTTTCACTGTTCCAGTGGCTCTGAATTGTGTCCAGTCAACTTGAATGATATCATGTGTTCAAGTTTCTGGATGATGATGTGTGGTTGGCGGTTTGTAGATTATTCAAGATTGTTTATGACTACTGTACTAGTACCATTTAATGACTAGTTGATTCCAATCAAGATAAGTTTACCCACCTACTAGGATATCAAATTATTCTATCGTATGGGGCGCGGGGTAGAGCGCGGGCACTGGGTCACGGTGGATTGAGGTTATCTCATCACCTTGCCCAGGTGGGCATGATCTGACAGAGCCGCACCGCAGCTCCGACCCAGTAAGTTTCATTTAATATATACTTTTTTAACAGGGCAATCTACTACCCCCTCTCAACAGCTCTAGCACGTGCCATTTTCGCCAAAGAAACGAGTTTCATAATGAAGGCGTGTGTCAGGTGAAAAGGCGGGAAAAAGTCCCCATCTTCGTCCGTTTGCCGGGCCGGAGCGAATATCTCGGCGATCTCTTCGATGATCTGGATATCGCGCATGAATGTCTCTGCGGCGGGTAGCATGATGAGGAAGCGGAAGAGCGTGACGACGGCCGTGAGGACGAATTGTGCGTGAATCCTATATTTAGATTGGTTTTATGAGGTCTTTTGTACGATAATAGGATAGGTGCGTTGCGTGTGTACTCACCAAAATGTGTGATAATTGATGTAATGCCTCACACGACCGACATAAATCAACGTGGACCTCGCCGATTCGTAGCAAATTTCCTCACTGGAGGTTAGCGGTGACCGAGACCTTGATGAAAGGATTTGCTTGGCGGTACTATTTGCACCGTGAATCTTGCCTAGACAATAGTAGTACTCCAGGTGCACGCTCACACCTCGAATGCTGAGATCATGGAAGAGATAATCCGGCGCACTTTCCGTTGCGAATGAATCTGGTCGGAATTCCGCTGGATATTCCGATTTGATGTCACTCAGCTCCTGGTCCACTTCGCGGATATGTTGTAGTCGCTGCGTTTCGGTGTATGTCTTGCTCTGGACGGAGTAGAGAAGTCGATAGATCCTCGATTTGATCAAGACGAGGCGGAGATCGGTTGGGTAGAGCAGCTCTTTGGAGGATAGTGGCTTGAAGTAGAAGTGCTTCGCGGATGAGGTGAGCACGTATGCGGGAGGTAGGTCTAAGTCGCAGTCTGCTTCGTTGATGAGGGGAGGTTGGGACTTGCGACTGGCGAATTCGCGGTCCATGCCGTAGGCTAGCCAGAAGAGGGCTCGAAGGTGATTGCTTTGTTGGGGTTTGATGTTTGTTTCCGAGGCAGGTCGCATCCTGTGGGCGCCCAGATTGTAGAGTGCTTGAATCGCAATTCCAAGGAGCATTTCGGCGTACTGAGGCTGTCCGAGGGGGAGATGAAGATTGCCTATGACGTTTGAGAAGGGAATTTGTCAGTCGATGTGGGGGAATGAAGAATTCAGGATCTTACTATCATCATGATTGCCTCTACAGTTCTAGTATCAACTGGCTCTGTAATGATCCCCGGTACAAGCGAAAGAGCTGCATGCGCATAGGCGTCTGGATCTGCATCGCGAAACATAGGGTCATGTCGATGCATCTGCGTAATATTCGCCGTGAAAGCAGCAAGACAGGCACGGTAAGCTGCGCGGGTTGTACTGGGATGGTTGAGCACATCGGCCTTGACGAGGACCTGCAGAGCCTCGGCGTCTGCAAAGGGGAATAGAGAGTAAAGGCCGGCCTCTGTGTAGTATGTTACGCATTGCTGTACCAAGGGGGTTGAGGGCCATTTGATCGATGCTGATCGCCTGGTACCTTTGAGACCTTGTGCAATGAGAGGTTGTACCAGTTCATTTAAGAAGTCGTCTAGATCGAAAGTGCTGCCTGTTCGCTGAAAAATGTTGGAGTAGAATGCCGCTCTTGTTGTTGACAGTGGGTTACCGAGCCCACAGTATGCAATATGCCATCTAAACGACGCCAACGCCGTGTCGAGACAGTGGGTGTCGGTTACAAGACTGGTTGCAGGGGAGTCTTGCGGAGCTAGATTCTGAGGCGCTGGAGAAATAGCGCTGCTGAGTGAAGCCGTCGTCGACGATTCATAATTCCCGCCAGGGGTAGAATGAGTAGACTGTTGAGCTGCAACCAAAGCTTCCTCTAGTTGCTGGACACGGGCTTGACTGTCAGCCAATTCTCTGGAGCGACCAATTAGTAAAAATGTATAGTAAGAGTCACGCTAGTGGTCAGCCTTACTGCCGAAGCCCCTTTCGGTTCTGTACCGGCTGCGGAGTGAAAATACAAGGAAGGCCGGCCAATTGGCATGTCTCACACGCCGGGGTGGCTCTATCACAGCGGATCTAAAAGCAGCCGGATACGCAGTCAGCACCTTGTACAATAGTTCAATATGCAGGTGGGTCGATTGTGTAATATAGAAGGATGTACCTTTCGGAGTCGACATAAGTCACAGGCACTCCTCATGGTGAGTTATGCAACGGGTCCTGGATGGTCAAATCCAGGCATATCGTGAAGAATGTTGGCCCAGGATGGTTGAGGAGGCAGCGGGTGCCAATTACCTTTGGGTAGGCGGGTCTCCGTGGAGCCAAGACCGCCAAGCCTTACTAGTGGGGACGATGAGTCAGCGGAGACAACTGCCCCGAGAAAATAGACAGACTGTAAAGGAGTAGAGATGGTTATTAACCAAGTCCCCTGTGTCCATAACTAGTATTTTAGCTCCATCGCGATGTTGCCAAGGTTTGGGATCTGCAGGGAATCCCCTCCCCCCCGAGCTTCCACGCAAGCTGACCGGGCTGGAGACTTGGCAGAAGCCGAAGTATACGAGGGAAGACGCGAGCACTCTGAGAATTATCCAATACTACCTAGGTTAGTATATTCATGGATGACATGATGCGAAATAGTAAAAGAGGCCCGAAGATCGAAGGGAATTCGTGAAGGGATTCCCTTGAACCCATTGTCCTAAGACAGCAATCGGAAAATTCTAAATGACCTGGCTTGAAGTGTTTTGACTGCCTCCGAGAAACCCAATTTTCCTTGGGACAGATTCATCAACCCTTCACCCCGTGCGGAATGTTGGCCTGCAGATCACTCCACTCCACATGTATCTGGAACCCCAGAGGTGTGGCGCATGCCGACCTAAGCCCCAGTTTACAGAAACTCGAGGCCCAATCGTAAAGGGATATTTCGTCAGCCGTGTCAATTGCTGAGCCTATACGTCGTAAGCTTGCAGACTCGGACTATTCTAGACTTGTTTCTCTTAAAGAAGTGCGCATGATACTAGCTCTTCTCCTGCTGACGACAACCATGACGAATTTGGCAATTACTCCTGATATCACTGAGGTTCTAGATCATATCTTGGCATATTCGATGTATAAAGAATCCAATTTCTCTTCGAAATAATCTGAAAATCACAAACAGCTTTTCTTTCATCTATCTCATTGCCTATAATCCAGGACCAACCTTCTTCAATGCATTTCCAAAAGCTTGCAATCCTTGCCCTGAGTGGCCTGGCCGTGGCTCACCCTGGGTCCCATGAGCACGGCTCCTACTCGGTTGCCTCGAAGAGACATTTCCTTCACAACGCGCGCCGCAGTCTTGACCTCTGCGCTAATCACCTCGACAAGCGTGGTATCAATGAGCGTGCTAAGGCCCGCCGTGCTGCCGTTGTTGAGGCAAATAAGAAGCGTACCGTTCTTTCCCGTGATCTGGACAAGGTCGTCAACACTTCGCACCACTCAACTCTGGACGTGACCTCGAGCACCTCCGAGACCGAGCTCTTCGACGCGAACCCCACTTGCATCCTCGCCCCTGAAGGAGAAGTCGGCCCCTTCTGGGTCAGCGGAGAGCTGATTCGGAAGGACATTCGTGACGACGAGCCAGGAATTCAATTGATCCTTGACGCCCAATTTATCGACATCAACACCTGTGAGCCTATCGAGGACCTCTACTGGGATGTATGGAACTGTAACGCCACCGGCGTCTACTCCGGCGTCCAGAGCAGCATGAATGGAAACGGCAACGACGCATCCAATCTGAACAAGACGTTTGCCCGTGGAATCCAGAAGACTGACTCGGAGGGCGTGGCCCAATTCAATACCCTCTTCCCTGGTCACTACTCTGGCCGTGCCACCCACATCCATGTTATTGCCCACACCCAGGCTCATGTTCTGTCCAACAACACTCTCACTGGTGGACAAATCTCGCATATAGGCCAGCTTTTCTTCGACCAGGACCTCATCACCAAGGTGGAGGCTACCTCTCCTTACAACGAGAACACCGTCGCCATCACCAAGAATGCGAATGACCATGTCGTCCAAGTCGAGACTGCAGACTCCGACTCGGATCCTTTCTTCGAGTATGCTCTGCTTGGCGATACCGTTCAGGACGGAATCTTCGGCTGGATCACCCTGGGTGTCAACACCAGCGCTAGCCACGACTCGGATGCTTCGTATGCTGCCACTCTTACTGCTAACGGTGGTGTGTCTAACTCTGCATCCAACTCGGGTGCCATGGGTAGCATGTCCTAAGACTGAAGATCTGGAGGCAACAGGGTAATTTCAAATCCTTTGAGTCCTGTATATAGTTTTTGGCTTCAAGTTTCTGGTCCTCATTTCACGAGTGCTGGTACTAGTACTTTATGTGTACATCTGTATCAAGAAACCTACCAGAACGCATTACATTCTTGACCAATATTATCGCTATCACATCCGTATATACTCCAGGGCTCTTAGTAGCACAAGCGAAAAAGCAGCTAGTGAACGGGGTAATCTAGAACTACTAGTAGTAGCCACATTTCGCAATGTTGATTTTTGATTAGGGTGAGTTTTCGCATCGCTTTTATTCAAACGAATGAAATAAGGTCGGTATTAAAAGCTGCGATATATAATCTTGGAGCAAGTTCATTTTAATTTTGAGATCAATTCCGAATAAGCCTGTGTTGATAATTATTGTAGTTGTGATATTGTCATTTTGGATACTTCTATAGACCGCAATACGGTCTGAGTCAACACTAAACAGGTGCTGTGGTCCAATGGTTAAGATGACTCGTTGTGGCCGAGTTGGTCCCGGTTCGATTCCGGGCAGCGCCATACATCCCTTTTTTCAAGAGATATTTTTTCTTCCCTACTAGCCATTACCGGTGACTGGATTCTAGTGAATTCAGTTAATCTACTTTTTCCTCACGCTTGCTTGCTTAATATGGACTATATAACTTAGAGATTCTTTACATACATGCTAGATACTCTGATTGTCCTTGTTCTGGTTTTTGAGAAAATAAAAGTGGCTCATGCTCACAGCAGTCATATTTTGGGAAGATGCTCAGATACGAAGAAGTGTAAGAAACAAATACTAGGTAATACGTAGTAGAGTTTCGACAAGAGGACTAATAAAACCAATTGTAAAACGAGGCGCATCAAGTGTTTTCATTTTTGGTACATGCGAAGTTCAAATTCCACCTCAGGCTGGATCAATCTTCCGGTCAAATATGGAGCAAGTCATGAAAGCTATGAAGCTTGATCGACTTACGAAAGTGTGCTGCACTCAAATTGTTCTGCAAATCTTGATAATGTGTGTCGAAAATTGATTGATAGCCAACGCACGCCAGGCCCAAGTGACAGGGTTGATATAAAATACAACATTATTCCTGCGGCACCGAGGACGGTATACCCCTCACCTGGGCAGCCACCAATACATAGAGCTATCTGCTACTTTTGGAAAGAATATCAGCAGCATTGAAATTCCTGACTAGCAAACCTCTCAACGCCTTTCATGCTTCGGCCTTGCTGTGAGCAAAGCGTATTCCGAAGAAAGGCAACAGGACTTGCATCGGGTCTGGGCAGAACTAACCTTGGAAGAAAGGGCTACACTGGTCAATCCCCCGCTCAGAGCAATCGAAATCCGCCTGGATGGAAGATACATGTCTTTGCAGCCCGGCCAGTCTTAGTTTTTGAGCCTTGAATTAGCTCGAAGACTGATCATTTACCTGTCCTACTTGGGGATTTGCCACGGCCAGCACTGCACGGATATGAACCCATGACAGAGAGGCAATAACTAAATTAACCCTTGGTTGCATGCAGATGGGGGGGGGGGCATTCAGATTCTTTTGGTTTGCAGCTCTTGGCGATACAATAGTTGGCAGAGATATCTCAAAAAGACAGTGGGAGAAGTCAGATTCAATATTGGCTCAAAAAATAAGAAGATTAGTTGAGTCACATTTGTTTCAACCAAGTAAGTATTTGGATAATGTAGTTAAGTTAACTCTTGATAGAGCATGATTGAAACATGCAAAAAGAGAAATTTATTGGCGCTGCCCGGAATCGAACCGGGACCAACTCGGCCACAACGAGTCATCTTAACCATTGGACCACAGCACCTTATTAGGTGATCGTCAGGCCTATTTACTTCACTCAACCTGACCGCGCTTAGGTAGACATATTGGGAAGATAATCTTATTCCATCATCTGTGAGAAGGTAACACTAGTACTAGTGGCATTTGGCATTGGGTTTCTAAGAAGAAATACCAGCATATCCAGTTGGTCTGAGTCCATGGACATCTGGACCGGGAAATAGAATTGTACACGAAGTAGTAGTATGTGTGCCGAGAGCCAGACAGCCTCAGAGTTAAACATAGCTCAAGTCCCTTCATATATTATAGTGTGCCCGAGGGATATTATCATAGTATGGGACGACCACATAATTCGGATCATCCGTAAGTCCAACCATTGCAGTCGTAATCGGATGAACCGGCTTGTGGTCCACAAGTAAATTAATACAACTCGGCCCTGGCTGCGATTGGAGCCTCGAGATTGTGCTTTGGATATCTGCGATGCGGGTTAATTTCGCAGCCGCATTTTGTAATCCAGTAGCTACGACGTCATATTCAGTTCCAGAACTCAGAGAGCTGACAGGCCGTGCTGGATGTTCCGTCCCATATACCAAGTCTTGTCCATTGATACTCATTCCCCATTGGAAATTGTTAACCACGACAGTCATGATGTTGAGATTGAAACGCTTGTATGTGTCAAGCTCCATGAGATGGAAACCAGCAGATCCATCGCCCTGCACGTTGACTACCTTTCGATCTGGACAAGCGATCGCCAAGCCGAGTGAATATCCAAATCCATTCCCAAGGAAGCCGAGGTATCCTGTTGCCGTCATCACGAGGCTTGGTTTGGATCGCCATGCATTATCACCGACCCAAGCTGATGCCTCGCCACCATCCAGGACAATTATGCTGCCCGGCTCGATGGCTGAGATGACATTTTTCACGGCGTGGTATGGATGAAGACGACCAGAACTCGTTTCTTCGGGCTCTTTCTCAAAAGGTGAATCCGCAGAAGCCAAGTCGAGGATAGCTTGAACCCACGATTTGTCCACACTGCCGTGGAAGGTCTCTCCGATTTTCTTCGCAAATGCGGAAGTGAAAGCCCCAGCATCACTCACGATACCAATGTCAACTGGAAGAGTGCGACCAATGTCACTTCCATCGCAGTCAATGTGAATAAGTTTGCAATTATCCGCGGGAATGATAGCAGAGCTGCGACCTCCAAGGAACATTCCAGTCCGAGTACCAAGCAAAACGATGAGATCTGGACGTGCGAGTTGAACAAAGGGGAGTTTTGCTAGTGTCCCCGCAGTCCCATTAGCAAGCATTTTAGACTGAGGGCTATAGCTTGCGAACTTGGAGGTATTGAAAATTGGGACATTGCAAGCTTCTGCAAGTTTGACGAGATCCTTGCGTGCCTAGAAACCGATTAGACCTTAAACAGTAGGCCAATACTGGAAGAGGGTAATTACTTGAGGGTTCCTTGCACCGGTTCCTGTAATTATGACAGGTCGTTCGGCCTGTGCTAAAAGCTCGGCTGCGGCTTCAACTGCAGTTTCATGCGGAGCCGGAGGAAAAGAGCGAGGCGAGGCGATTGAACCCCAAGAAATCAATTTCGGGTGGACGGGCGAGAAAAGTATATCAATCGGAAAGTCAAGAAGAACAGGACCTAGATAGAGCCTTAGCGAGCTCAATATGCGATGACATTCTCATGCCTACCTGGTGCTCCAGATTGAGCGACTCGAAGAGCATGGGATACTAGGCGTGGGGTTTCTTCGGCTGCAACTACGCGATGAGCAAATTTGGTAAAGGGTCGAGCTGCAACAACCTGATCGATTGAGCCTTGAAGAGAATTGTTCTCGGTGTCGCGAATCGGAGGAGAGGAAGTGATACACAGAATTGGGCTCCGGTCACCATATGCTGTTGCTAAGCCCGGAAGTCCGTTTGAAAACCTATTAAATCATCAGACGAGATCTGAAGAGAGCTCAAAAAGTATGGTACGAACCCACTGTTAGCAGTCACAAAACAAACTGCTGGTTTCGTGCTTGCGCGAGAGTAACCTTCCGCTGCTTGAACAGCCACCGTCTCATGTCTAGTATCAACTAGCCGGATACCGATAGCTTCGCATCCCATTAGAAAGGCATCTAGGTGGCCACCATGAAGGCCAAATATAACCTCAACACCAAGGCTTTTGAGGGACTGCGCGAGTAGATCACCGCCAGTGAGCTCACGTCCGGGGGGCTGATGGAGTGCAAAGCCAGGCATCTTATATTCACAGCTAGAGATTTGAAAAATAGTTCTGTGAGACTTCTTGGACTACGAGAATCTGGCGAAGATTGAGGAATATTTATTCCTCTAGTCAAGTCGATCGGTTAACCTGAATCATGTTCCCGAATGTGGAGAATGAGGGGGCGAGCGATGCACAATGATCACATTGGTGCGGAGCTTACACACATAATCCTGACAAATAGTTTATTTTCCAACTATCCGGCCATCATTAATATGGTTTTCAACACTAAATGTGGTACAGATTCTCAAAATCTTGTTAAAAGAGTTTCAGCTAATGGTATTGGTCGCTGGTATGACTAGGGCCTGGAGCGCGTTATTCAACCCCTCTGAGTCATTTGTGGTAGAGCTGTGCTTCTCTGAGCTTGATCATTACCCGCTCTTCATTGTCCCCATTCTCCAGTATGGCCTTGGCACTAGCTAGAAGTCCTCCATCGGTTTTATTAACCTCTCTATAATGGCCCTCCCAGCTGTAGATAACCTCACCGTGTCGGTCAGGGTCTGCGAAAAGCAATACAACACTCTGAGCAACCACCTCCGGGCTTTGTACACCAGCATTCAATGACTTGAGTATATCCCCGGAACTATCCCGGTGGCTGTCCAGGAGGGTGCAATCGCATTCAAGCGCAAACCTTTCTCCTGGAGGTTAGAACCCATACCACGTATCATGCCTAGAACCCCGTGCTTAGCAATGGTATAATCACCAGCAGAGAAATTCTGGAACGACGAAGCAGAGGCTGCAAGAACAATGCTGCCACCAGCCCCCTCGGGGCGCTGGCTTGCGAGTTCGCTCATATAAGCCGACGCCAATCTAGCGGTATAAATTGGCCCTAGAAGATTGATATCAATCGTCCTGAGGTTTGGGGGCTCGAGCTGCCCGCTCTCATCAAGAGTCACGTCCAAAAAGCTGGGGTATAATTAAGCCTAGCTCCCTTAAACATCGAGTGCCATGATAAGACTTACTCGGTCGTTGGGCCCACGCCTGCGTTGGCAAAAACATGATCAATGCGACCAAACAACTTGTTTGCTTCATCAAACATGGATCGAAGGTTTTCCCAATCCGTCACATTCACATTCAAGAATTTGAACTTTTCCGCATTTTCAAGTTCGGGATCAGGGGCATTCAGATCACCAACAACAACAGTTGCGCCAAGATTAAGACACAGCTGAGCAGTAGATCTTCCAATGCCGGAGGAACCGCCTTAAAAGTGAGCACGTGTCAGTCTCAAGTGAATAGATTGCCTTACCAGTAATCAAAATGACGCTGTTTTTGATATTTGCAAAGATCTCATCATTTATCTCGAGATTGGCCATTATGAGTGGATTCGGGTGATAACTAAAATTTAGATTGCTCTTTTCAAGAATAGGACGAGGGGACCATTAATACCGAGGAAGTAAGTCCCATGCCGAGGCAGCATAGATTGGATATGTTACGGCCGTTATTGAAATTGCCGATCATCCGATGTGACTAAAGGACGACTTCTCCGCACCTTGGCTGATCTTGTGGGGCTGCGCAAGGATGCGTATCTACCCCTCGTTTTAGAAATAGACTGGAACCTTGAGCGTATGCTGGGAATTGTGCATTGATAATATGTGCCTAGTATGCAGGTCGTGTCTGAGTCAGCTATGTATTAGCCAAGAAGCTTATTAAGTGGTACATAAATAGATGCTCTTGAACACAGACATGATAGTTAGTATAGGATACTATCTCAAGTTGAAATGATAATTTAAGCCAAATTCACCTCAATCCGAGTCATTTTCGTAGACACTTTACAACTTGAATACTCATGTGGTTGTTCCAACCCTTTTTTGGAGGTTCAGTTGCGCTAATTTCTCACTGATTCAATTTTCAAACTGAAAGATATTCCAACATCTTTTTCCGTGCTCGTTCTACCTGGTCCTCCACATCCAAATCCCAAAGCCAACGCAAGCGTTCTTGGAATGCTGTTTTTAGCTTCTGCTCATCATCCTGTACACCAGGTAAGCACAGACAAAGAAGGTAGGCATTTTCTTTACTGCTCGTTACAACTCGTTGGCTACGGGGCCGTCTGATCTCGTCATACGCCTTGAATGCGGCCACAACTTGCTCCGTGGATTGGACTCGAGCATCGCCCAGTAATTCAGAAAGAACATGTGCGTCCTCGATGGCTTGACCGGCCCCAGCACCTTGATGCGGAGTGGAAGCATGTGCAGCGTCACCGAGAATTGCTATTCGCGAACGGCCGAAGGTTGAAATATGCGGATGTTCGAAGATAGCCCATTGCGAGGGATCAGGCATAAACTTGTGGAGTCGGAGTCAGTTTGTATAGTTGATAATAGATAAAATGAACTTGGTGATCACATACCTCAACGAGTGACTTCACGTATCGGCCCATGCCTTCGGCATCACGTTTCATCTCCTCACGCTTTGCAGGTCGAACCCAGGTATCGCAATCCCACTTCTCACTCAGAACGTAAAGCCCTACATTCACCTTCTGGGCACGCATAATAGGGTATGAAATCCCATACGCCCCTTCTCCAATATACATCGTTGACACCCTGGCACGCTGATCCCCAACCGCTTTTACCATATCCTCCATATCCAGCACGGCGCGATAACCATACATACCACTATACCTCGGCTGAGCATATTGCGATTCCTCCGGTAGCATAGACTCTTTCACCTTCGATTTAATCCCATCACAACCAACAACAACATCAGCCATCGCAACCGTCCCATCATCAAACCGCAGCCGAACACCATCACCCTCTTCAACAAGACTCTCCAACCGTTTCCCAAACTGCACAATCTCAGCCGGTATCAAACTAACAAGTGCATCCAGGAAGTTCGCCCGACGCAACGTAGTCTGACCAGAAGGAAGCGCCTTCAAATCCATCAAAAGACTCCCTTCTTTCAAGCCCCCCAGCCCAAACGACCTCAAACCAAGTCTCTCGAAACCTCTCATATCCAGGACTGTCCGCATGCGTGGTGACCAGCGAATCGTAAATTTCACGGATCTGCGGATCTATCAGCGGCATGGCGCGATGGGCTGCAGGTCCAATCGAGAGTCCTAGGCCGATCTCTGCGAATCCGCTCGCAGCTTCGTATATGCGGACGGGCACATTTCGTCGGAGTAACCCTGCTGCTAGGACTAGGCCACCTATTCCTCCGCCGATGATGGTGACGGTGAAGTCCTTTGAGGGGGGATCCATATCTAGTGCCAGCGGGTGGAATTGCCAGTGGTTTCTGGAGAGAGATCCAGGGGATTATCCGTTCGTTGTAGGGGTGAGTAAGCTGAAGTTAAAATTGAAATGCCTTGTTCAAGAGACGGGACACGGAGATTACTCTTGACCGTAAATAATCATTGGAGATGGATTGCGGGGTTCCTTATCACCGCGCCCGTTATGCGCGGGGAATCAATACGAGGACATAGCGGAGTGGATATTGTGTTGTGCTGTGCTGTGCCTTATAGAAAAGCTAGGACAAGGGAATATGCCAGGGAAACATGTTTTTTGCATGCTCAGGTGCCCAGGAATATCATCAAGTTTCGTATACTTTATGGAAGGCAGCCAGGTCACACTGGGCAGCCTTCTTTGCCCCCTTTTACAAATTTGAGTTCAATACCTGGCTCAAGATGGGCATCTTTCGAGTCTTCATCACACGGCCCAGGACCCACCCCCGTTCCAACAAGCTTTCTACTCGTATTTACACATTGCCTACTCCGTAGCCGGAGCAATACTAATAGTCTGGGTAATTAGTGTCGACGGGTCATATTGATGAATTGTTCATTGAGTGAATACATGTATCAAAAGTGTTATTGTAATGAATAGTCATTATGTTATCGAAGAAAATCGCGATCCTGCCGCGGTTACAGATGGAGATAAATCCATAGATGCTCTCCTCAAAGTCAGAGTGAGATGGTCTGGGTATTCTTTCCCTTTCAGATGAGAGATATTCTGTCCATTTCGGACATTCTCCTCTGAGTGGAACTCATAGTGGAAGATGTTGGAGGGGAGAGAGAAAATCCCAATTTCAGCATTGAAAGAAATCATGTCGAAGGCAGATGCAAAGCAGCTGCCACTCCAAGCGGGAGGGATATACTTGAAATGCAAGCACAAATTGGCACCACAAAGCGTGTATTAAAGACAGCAGTCCCGAAAGATAAGCGAGATCCGGCAATTTTAGAAAAGAAATTAAATCATGGACGGGGCCACTGGTCGTTTTCCAGGCTCCCACTTCGAAAACGGATCATCGGCATGTCCATGGGGATCCCAGTCCGAGGCATTATCGTAAGCAATGCTATGCTTTTCGTCTGGCCGGATAGGCGACGATGAATCCGAGTCATCGAGGGCGCGACGAAACCGAAGGAATTCCTGCGAATCGACGCTGTGAATTGGGTACATTGTGCCGAGTTCCATTGAGTGCAGTGCTGCGCGCTGGATGTGGCGCAGGTCATCGCGTAGGCCGGCAACTTGACTTTCTAGATTCCTTCGGGCTGTTTGTTCGCGACGAAGAAGTGTAACCAATGTGCTGTATTGCTCAATAGAAACACCGTTGAAATCAGAGAGGGATGTTGTGGATGGAGCGGGTCGCAGGATGCGGGAGTTCATTGTGTCGGGGCGAATAGTGCTAGTGCTTGATGGTCGTATCGTTGGGAGAGCTGCCAGGGGACTTGGGGACTCATCACGGTCGACTGATCTAGCCGTTCCAGAGGTCTTAGTGCGCATATTAGGTGTCAGGGAATCGGAAGATGGGGTTTGCTTCTGTCGAGATGATCGTTCTGTGTGCGGGTTCTCATTTGAACTGGCTGAGCTACTTTGCATGCGAGCTATAGCGAATTCCAAGTCGATCATCTTGACCTCGATAGTATTCAGGCGCTGCTCAACAGTCAAACCGGCGTCTTGTTGCATGCTATGAACCAGACTGCTCATGTTGGGCGGAAGGCTCATTTGATCCGCATGTTGATCGGATTCGATGAGGGATGGTGCGACCGATCCACGAGTGACACTAGTCACTGTTGTTCCGGTAGATGGTCTAGCAGAGGGGTCACTCGCTGAACTGTCTTCAAGAGGGGAAGTTCGAGCCTGCGGCGCGGGAGTTGGCAGTGAGGTTGTCCAAGTCGGCAAAGCTGCAGCTGACATTGGTCGCTCCACAACCATTTCCCGCAAAGCATCCGTACTTCTCGATCTTCGTCGTTCTTGAAGAATGCTGCGCCTTAATTGGGGGTCAGACATGTGTGGCCGGTCCTCGTGGGGGTCTGAAATAGCCGAAGCAACTGCATAACGGGACTCGTCGTCTGAAAAGATCACACTGGGCAGAGTCGCCCGCCGCCTCCGTCCAGCCACTCCAGCCACTCCACTTGAACTCAGGCAGTCATGACTCGAGGCGGAGGGAGAGAGGTGAATCTCTGCGAGATTGAGATTCTCCTCCGACAGTGGACTACTCCGCTTGGATTCTGAAGGTGTAGGGACGGCTAGGAAGGATTTCCCCTCAATCGGATTTGACTGACGCCCAGTAGAGGACGAAAAGTAGGACTCGACCGGGCTCTCCTCGACACCATCGGCCTGGCTTTGTCTTTTCCTGTTGAATATCTTTCGCATGACGGTTTTTAATGTACTCCCGGTACGACGATGTGCGAGTGGGGCGTGGTGGAAGTTGATCGGGGGCAAGGCGGTATCATATTGGTTCGTTTCCAACGAAAAAGAGGCAGGGTTCGAAGCTGAGCGTTCTTCGCGCGCGGATGTCGATCGTTGGCGAGGGCTACCGTGACTGCCGATCGACTCACTCCCGGCGCTGGCGATCGACCTCGTTTGATATCTCGACATGGTGAGTTAGAAGAATGGCGGTGAATATTGCTCGAGGACCACGATGATCATTAGAAGGGAAATATTGTCGCAGCACGTGGGTATCAGATCGTCGCAAAAAAGGGAAACCCGGTAAGATTCAAGTTGGCGAGCTCGGGAATGAATAGCGAAAAAAGGAAGGATATGGAAAGGCGAGCCTTAATAGAGCGAGTGTCGAGAAAGAAAAAGAGAAAATAAAATAGAATGAAGACTGGGTATAAAGCAGTGCCGCGCAGCGGTCAAACGATTCGGAACAAGGCTAGGGGATATCGAGCTGTTTAGTCGAATCGCGACTCGGAGACGATCGAGACGAACTGGAGGTATTTTAACGGGGATTAGCATGGGGATTACTCCGTAGTGCCAGGTGAGACTGAAGTACAAACGAAGACTTACGGAAAGTTGAAAGGGTATCTTGAGGATCATAGTTGGCAGTTCCACGGTTGCGGCGTTTGCCCTCGGGAATGAACAGTTTGGAACAGTTGAAACCACGGATGACTTGAGACGATTGGGAAATATGTAAACAATGGGGAGAAAATAAGAATAAAGAGGGAGTTGATAGTAACGAGTGTAGAAAAGTAGAAAGGTAGAAAAGTAGAAAGAAGAGGAAGCTCTCAAGGAAGAGAAGAGACAAGAATGAAGAGAGAGGAGAGAAGGTTACGAGAAAAAGCAAGAGCAAAAGCAAAAGCAAAAGCAAAGCAGCTCCGTCAGACCCAAAACCCCACAGTGTTGGATCAAGTTTAGTTGGGATTGTAAATCTGGTTGTAACCCCCGTAGAGTTCAGTCCAAGGCACACTACGCACACTAAACACACACACCAAGTGGACAAGCTTGTCCTTCCACGCCAACCCTAAATCCCCAGTGGCTGCTCCAAGGTCCAAGGGGGTCAAAAAAAGAAAAGGAAAAAAAGCAAAAAAGCAAAACCTGGAACTCGATAAGGGGACCAGACCCAGGGGGCTCCCCCGACCGAATCAGACGACGACCGAACGGTGGCCCTCATTTCAAACGAATGCCGTGCTGGACCCACGAGCCGAGACTAAGTGGACCTCCCAGATGAACGGCCGTTTTGAACTGCTTCCAGCTGCATCCAGAATTGCCCCCGAAAAAGCAGCGATCACCCCTGACTGGCCCCCCGGGGGCACTTTTGGGATAAGCTTCTTGGTGCTGCTCGTGGAAGAGGCGTTCTTTCTTCGCCCCCTCGTCATGGGAGAGCCATGAACGAGGTGGTTGCATGTTCGGTCTGAAACACCACATGGTACGCTGTTGATCGCAGGATCCCAGTTGCCGCACAGACATGGAACTGTTGGAGGTTCAAGGCTGCCAGTCGTACAAGACGGTGCCCAACAGCTCAGCTGAAGATGTGAGACGCCAAAGTGCCACGAAGACAATTAATCTCTCTCTCTCTCTCTCTCTTTCTCTTTCTCATGCTCAAATCGCAATTGCCATTGCCATTGACATGCCCAATTCAAGTGTCGTGTCATCAGGCTCCCCTTCCTCCTTCGCGGATCGGAGGTCATGGCCACTGGTTCTGGCCGGTCTGCCCCTCACGCTGCACCGCTTCCAGTAATCCATCTCCGACGACTCCGCGAGATCTTCCTTCAGGCGGGATCTTTGGATCTCCAGTGGAGGCTTGCTGCGTGTCTTGAAACGTTCTCATGTTCTCACCGCCTGCGTGTCTCGCTCGACACGGCTCGATGCACTATTTTCGGCTCGAGGGGGGTTTTCCGTTCAAAGAATCTACCGGACATCCGGGCTTCACTTGTCCGGTGGGCTTATGCTTATGGCTATGAATTTATAGTATGGACCTGGTATCCCCGATCAACCGCCTGTCACTCGTGGGCCAAGAAATCCAGTCGGGCACCGACGTTGTCACAGTATCTCTAATCGGGATCAATATTCCTCTTCTCTGCGCTGTGCCGTGCGGATGCCTCTGCTGATGACCGTCCCCCGGGCTATGGGATATTCTAGAGAAGATCGCTGGCATCCGGGTATCGCAAGTCGGCATTTTCCTCCAGATAATTCATCCAATGTTTGAGAAAGCTGCTACCCCTGCAAGACGGCAAGAATATAGATTAACCTCAATACTGATCACAAAATGCACAGACACTCCAACTCAAAACTTACCGGCTAATCGTATCAGAGTCCCCGCAGATGCAAAGATGCCGCTTGGGGCGTGTCATAGCCACTAACAATAGCCCCGCGTTAGTCTCTCGCCATGCACGGGACGCGGGTCGCATGAATCAGGTAGTGCAAGTGTAGGGTAGGACACGGAGTATAGACTAGGGAGGGACAAGCTTACCATTGAGACGTCGTTTCTCGCCGAGGAAACCCACTTCATGTTCCGCATTGCTGCGGACTAGACTCACGACGACGGCTTCCTTTTCACGACCCTGAAATCCATCCACACTGCCAAGCTCGAGGCCTGGGTACTTCTCCCGCAGCATCTGAGACAGTACCGATAGTTGCCCGTTGTATGGGGTGATCACGGCAATGTCTTCAGGTTTGATACCGGCTTTCACCAGATTATCCACATGCCGGGCGACTACCATAGCCTCCATCTCGTTACTTTTACTCTCACCAAGTAAAGCCTCCTTCTGACCGATCTCTTTGTCTTCGGCTTTCTCGGGGAAGTCTCCACCCTGGGTGTCCCAGAATACGAGGGGCTCCTGTGTATCATCCGTGCCTTGGGTTTCATATGGAAGATCTGCTAGTAATCGTGATTTGACCGCATCGCCAGCCATTAGCTTCGACTCGTAGAGCTCATCGGATGGGAATCGCATGATCCTCTCGTGCATACGGTATTGGGTGGTCAGCATCCGCTTGATCTCCGAGCCATGTAGTGATAAGAGCCGATCAAAAAGGGTTCGTTCGAGGGAGACACCCTTCAAGATCTCTTTAGTGGAGCCGTCATCTTTCTTATCTGCACCCTGCTTGGATTTCAAATTCGTTGACTTGACGGTAGGTGGTAATTGCAAATGATCGCCCGCGAGAATGACCTTCTCTGCCGATATCAGAGGGATCCAGCACTGGGCTTCCAGCGCCTGACTGGCCTCGTCAATGATCACCACGTCGAACTTTTGGTTCTTCAATTGGTGTCCACCGGCGCCGTGCAGAGTGGCAACGGCAACACTACTTTCCCGAACCAGATTATCCACACATTTAGACTCTCGTTCTCGGAATTCCTTGCGCAATTGTTTCAGATCGTCGTAGATCGCTCTTCTTTCCCGCCCCGTCCGTGTTTTGCGAATACTAGCTTGCTTCTCGTCAATCTCCTTTCGGACATCCTTGACGATACTGGCGGCATCCGACGTCTGCGTGAGGACCTCGAGGGAGTGTTCCAGGACAGAAGGAAGAAGGCGAGCGGGATGTCCGACTCGTACAACAGGTACTTTCTTCGGCGCGAGTCGCTCAACGATATTATCGACCGAAATATTAGACGGACCGCAGACCAATATCCTCTTATTGCGCTGTACCATCTGTATTATAAGCTCAATGATAGTATGAGTTTTTCCCGTGCCCGGCGGGCCATGGATAAGTGCAATGTCTTTCGAAGCCAAGGCAAATCGAATAGCATCTTTCTGCGAGTCGTTCAAGGTAGGATCACTGAATTCAACAGCGCCTATATCCTCATAGTCCGGTTCTAGAGGGGTTGTATGACCAAAAGCCACGCGCATGAAGTGCGAGTGATCCGATTCGGTCATCTTGGCCATCTTCTCCATCGTCTGCCTCATTCTGCATCGAGTTCAGTCAGTATACTCCCTCTTCTGGTACGAGTAGAGCATGAAAATACCGTCTATAAGTAACGTCATTGGCAAGTTTCATCCTGCGAGGCAATCAGTAACACAATCCAATCGCAAATAAAGCGTAGATCAGCACATACGCCCACAACTTCTTCCCCAAAGCTCCTCAATAGCTTCATCGTCCTCCTTCGATGTCCCACCCCCTTTCCCCTGCTGCCCAAAAGCAATCCAAATAGCTTTGTCATTGACACGCGTGACCACACCCTCCGGGCCACCCTTATCCTTTGCCCCACTATCTTTACCTTTATCTTTACCAATCTTCTTCGCATTCCCCGCAGAAACATCATTCACGCGAACCACATCCCCAACTCGAATCCCATGAGAACCCAGTCGAGGCTGTCCACCCGACGCGCGATTGTCATCCGACTTCCCCGACGAGACGGCCGGGTCTGGCGCGAATTCGCCGACGACGCGTCCGCCGAGACCGGTGCGGCATTGTGATAGCACGAGGCCTGTCAAGGCGTAGCCTGTAGCTTGTAATGTGCGGCGGGTAGCTGGGGACACGGACGCAGCTGTTGTTGCGAGTGATGAGGAGGAGACTTCGGCTTCGTGTTCGAGGAGGAGGAGCTGGAGCTGGGTTTCGACGAAGTGGGGGATCGAGATTGGGGTTGGAGGGACCATTGCGTTGGTCGGGGAAGTTCGAGGGGGATATAGCTATGTGACAGGTGGTAGATTCGGCATAGGAGATTCCCTATGTATCGGCAAATCTCTCGAGGCAGGGGTTGATTGCGCTGAGCTGTGAAGGGTAAGGTAGTGGTTCGGCGATAAAAGAAAAGCTATCAAATATCCGGCGGGGTGACTTCATTAGTGTTAGTCATCTTATAGATCTTGATCAACAAGACCAAACAACTTTAAAGGAAAATACCCAGAAGAATAGAATTCATATTGTAGCAAGTATGGTTCATTATATAGATTAAATATATCCAAAAGATCCAAAAAAAAATAAGAAAATAAGCAGCCGCAGGGCAGGTTCAACTCCTGGCAGTCCCCCTCCTATCATACAGCTTCAATCTTGACCTTGGGTTCCTCGCTACTCTCCTTCCTCTTCATTTTCACCTCCATCTTGACTGGCGACGCAAGACCCCTAACCTCACTCTTACAAAGCTTCGTCCCAGCAAGGTAGCACTCTCCACATCTCCTTTTAACAGGCAGGCAAACCGTCTGTCCAAGCCCAACGAGCAGCTTATTGATCTCATGCCACTTATCACGCGGGAGCCACGATTGAAGCGCCATACGGGTTTCCTCGGGATTCTTGGTCTTATTCCAGCCCCATAGATTGGTGATACGGTGGACATGCACATCGACACCGATTCCCTCATGCTTACCCCATGCCGCACTCATGCAGAGGTAAGCCATTTTCGGCCCAACACCCGGCAGGGACATGAGTCCTTCCGGCGTGGAAGGGATATCGCCCTCAAACTGATCTCGCAGGATTAATGCGGCAGATTTGATATATTTAGTCTTATTGTTGTGGAATCCGATTTTCTCTATCAATTCGTTGAGTCGTGTTGGTGATACGGCGAGGATATTGTCCAGGTTCAGCGTGCTGTCCTTTGTCGGTTCGGGCTTTGCCTCCGCATCCTCAAGCTTGATTGTAACTTCGTCCTCCAATTTGACTTCCGGTTTGATATTTGGATCCTGCTCGCCAAGTTCCGTGTGTAGTCGTTGCATCGCGACGGCCGTGACGGTATCTTTCGTCTGAGATGAGAGCATCAATGCGATGAGAGTCTGAAACCGTCGGTCCTTCGGCGAGGATGCCCGCCAGTACAATTCCGCACAGCCCATCGTATCGACCGGTGCAGTGGGATTATCCTCCCGCATCTTCTTCACGGTGTTATACATCGTCTCCCAATTTGACGGAGGCTCCACGACGACCGTCCCATCCGCGTCTCTCGTTTTTCGCGCAGGCATTCGCCGAGCTTTGGCAGGGATACTTTTCACATCGGGGTCATCCTTCACACTCGTATCCTTTTTCACAACGGGCTGGGGGGGCTGGGGCTGGGGCCTTCCGGGGAGGAGTGGTATTGCGTTTCTGGCGCTTTGTAAGGGGCTCGATGAGATCTTCGATATCGGTAGTGTTGGCGGAGGAAAGCGAGGACTCATCGTCACTTCTCGGAGGGGAGAGTCGTGCAATTGTCGGGATTGACTCGGTCTTGATGGTTGAGTCACCAGTGAAGGCGAAGTTGTGCAGCGCACTCGGATGAGACGAGGAGTTGCGCGTTGAGCGGCGCGCTGGGGGCGATAGTGCCTCCAGGACCTTGGCTGTTTCTCTAGAAGCTCGTGAGGTCCGCATGGCAGGAATTTGCACCAAGGTGGGAAACAAGAAACAAGAGTTGGAGCAAATTCACATGTGGAGGGAAGATCCATGGATGTGCATGGGGCAAAAGTTCCCCAGCCTCGGCGACGATCCCGCTGACCTCCCCAACCTCCACCACTTTCAACTTCCAACTTCGCCGAGGTCGCATTCTCTCCACATTTCTCCCTCCCTGCCTTGCACTAGGCACATTCCATCCACCATGGCAGCTCCGTCAGGTCAGACCACACAGAGACTCTTACGAGAGCTAAAGGACTACACGAAGTCGCCGAATGAGTCGTTATTGCACCTGGGCCCAATCGATGAGGAGGATCTCTTGCGGTGGGAAGCAGTTCTCAAGGGCGTGAACGGCTCTCCTTATGAAGGTATGTAGAACCAATCGCGCAAACACTACAGCCATAGCCCCCTCTTCTGCCCTAAGCTCATGCTAATGCTGATGCCATACAGGCGGACTCTGGCACCTCCGCATCGCGATTCCCCCAAACTACCCCCTCGCCCCGCCAACAATCCACTTCACAACTCGCATTTCGCACCCGAACATCTCCTTCACGACCGGCGAGATTTGCCTCACCCTCCTGACGACCGAGCACTGGAGTCCCGTGTACACCCTCTCGTCCACCCTCACCGCCATCCAACAACTGTTAACAGACCCGCAACCCGACTCGCCGCTCAATGTCGATGTGGCCGCCCTCTTGCGCGATGGTGATATCGCTGCATGGGAAAGCGTGGTGCGATATTGGACCGGTGAGGAGCGATGGAATGGGGCCGGGAACCTCGGTCGGTGATTGGTAGATGATTGAGATATTGGAGAGATGATCGGTCCTGATCTCGGTCGTGTTCCCTATAATGGCTGGAAATGAGAGGCCCCGAACATGAATGAACCTGGGTGATGGATATTTGGACGTGAATGTTTTATTGGTTCAACTAGTTGGCACTGGTCATGCCTGTGGCGCGTACATACATGCATACATACCCCGCCGCATATTTAAAGATATACCTCGACTAATTATACAGTACAGCTGCAATTACATGATGATTTTTATAAGAATGGGGCGAATATTTGTGAGAAGCATTGTAAGATAAAGGCCTGGCTGGCCGAGATAACTCCATTTATGTGACGCCGCGAACTAAAGTCTAATCACAAGAAATAATGCTCACATCTTAGATATGTTGCGTCCACCCTCCCGATGGAACGGAGTGAGATGGGATAATAATAGATAAGAATAAACGCAGGCCGCAGTGATAATAATGAGCGCCGGAGAGTAAGGAGAGGCATGAGTCGGTCGTAAGGATCGTGATATGACAATCGTCATTGAGGAAAATTGCTGATGCGAGCTGAACACAGGCTAAACGAGAAATAGGCTTGATAAATGCGATCGAAAGATGAGGTCCGCCATCACCGGATGGGATTGGGTATGAACACAAGGCTTACAGAGCCATGGCGACCACGATGGCACCGCCGACCATGGCAGCAACCTCGCGAGTGAGACCGGCGTTGGGCATAGTAGCAGCACCGGTTTGCAGACTGCCACGACCGGCTCCAGTGGTGGTTGCGTCCGAACCGGTTGGGTGGACCTTGATGATAGTGGTGGAGGTGAGAGTGCTCACTTCACCATTGGGCAAAGTAGTGGTGGACTTGAAGACCGAGGTAGACGAGCTTTCTTCGGCAGTGGTGGTATGAGTGCTCTGAGAGGAAGAAGAGGAAGAAGTGGTGCTGGTCGCTGTCGTCAGGGTAGTAGCGGGTGAGCTGGAGGAAGATGAAGACGACGACGAAGAGGAGGAAGAGCTGGTAGTAGTAGTCGTGCTGCTACTGCTGCTGCTGCTGCTGCTGCTGCTGCTGGTGGTGGTCGGAGCGGTGGAAGACGAAGAGGACGAAGAGGTAGTGGTCTGCTCCGTGGAGGTGGTGGTTTTGGAAGTAGTGGGGGTATCAGAGGAAGAGCTTGAGGTCGGGATGGTGTCCGAGGTGGTGGGTGTATCACTGCTGGACGTAGTGGGATCGGAGGAAGAAGCCGACGAGGTGGGCTCGGGAGTAGCAGTGGTATTGCTCTCACGCTTGGCAAGCCTCACCAGGCTGGCAATGGATTGATCCTCTTTTTGCAGGGCTTCGACGGCACTCAGGTCAGTCTCGAAGATGCCGTCGCGGAATTTGGTGGACAGAGCGTGGAGGGCGTCATGGAGGGCATTGCTGGAATGACCTTGGACACCGGCCAGGATACCCTGGTGGGACTCACGGGAGGTGTCATCGTGAGATTCAGTCGCAAAGACAAGCGAGAGAAGCATCAGCGAGACGAAGAGTAGCTGGAGGAGGTTGAGTCGCGGCATGGTGGTGGTGGTGAATGGTGGGTGGTGGGAGGTGGGAGGTGGGAGAAGAGGAAATTGAGGAGTGAGATGCAAAGGTAGTAGATGGATGCAGGACAGGGACAAAGAAAAGGAAGTTGAAAAAAAGAAAGAAGCAAAGGCGTTGAGGTGGAGTGGATCGATGGTCGCCTAGAATAACTCGTGGTCACCACTAGCTTTAGTCTCTAGTTCTTTTAGTTCTTTTAGTTCTTTCCTTCGGGTGGCGTGGTTCTCCTCTTCCTTGGCTTTGGATGATCGGCAATCGATCGTCTTGACACATTCCACGGATTCTTCAGCATATACTTATATGTTTCTATTATATGATACGATATTGCTTATTTTCTCTCTTCTTCCTCTTTCTGTTCTTATTTTTCATTTCACATCTCTGCCTCTCACTCCTCGTGTTGCACCAAATGCGGCGACACCTGTACCTCAGCCTCGTAATCCGCAGACTCCACTTTTAATTGGCTCGGTCTCACTAAAAATCTCAAAATAGCACGAGTCGTGGTGTCATCGTATTTCCCTGTCCTCCCCTCAGGCACAATGCATTTCAAGTTTGTGGGTGCTTGTGGGAAAGGGGTCTCACGTTGACCATGGCTCACTCTTCAAACAATAAACAAACACTCGCCAATCTGGAACCTCCCACATGAGAAACCTGAAACTGCAAATTCAAATTCAAATCAACTTGATAAGAGACGAGATAATCCACGTCACTCTGGCGCTATCGACTGGCTAGCACCCTGCTAACCCCAAACTCAAATTGGCGACCCCCCCCCGAAGCATCCGAATACAAACTTGAATCGATATCTTGAAAACAAACAAAATAGGAGTTGGTAACTACTAGTAAAGAAGCGAGTGCCAAGTACCAAGTAACGAGTGCTTGGAAATGAAATGCTTGATGGCTTGAACTAATTCGTTTATATGCATGCAATGTATGTGCATCGGGCATAGTCATTCACCCCTCCCCATGCCATGCCCGCCTTCGAGTCCCTGAAAAGCTTCAACAGAATTAAGTATAAGTGTAACATAGTCCCCCTGACGTGGGACTCATGACCTCACGAATTTTTCTCGGTCGATCCAACACGCCGAATTCCATGACTGTGTCAAGATTCACTTGCTTGCCCCACGGTGGATTCAAGATGGTCGTTGTGCCATTCAGCGCGTACCGCCGAGTCTTCTCATCCTCCGCTTGCCACTGCGCCCACACTCGATCAATCATGCTGTGATGCAACATAAACGCGGGATCGGCCGGTGATGCAAAGAGATCGTGCATTGTGGCACCGAGACTGAAATGTCCGCCGCCGTGGAGACCGAAGACCCCATCTGGTCGGGCTGGCCAATGGTCCATCGCTGTTTGGAACTCAATGATGTCGGTCGTTGCCATGAGGTTGTCAAGAAGAGTCTCATTGGTGTACCTTGATCTATTTCCTCTTTTAGCAATTGCTCTGATGACCTCAACAAAAAGCAGGTTTGGCATGGCTGCAACTTACGAAACGAAATGATTCAAACTTCTGTTCAGACAGCGCGGGTTATACTCGAATTTCGGCTCGGGAAGTTCAGTCAGTGAGACAATGTTCCGGTCGAAGGGTCCGAGGTTGACCTCCAAGTCTCCAAATGGTCCACAGTTCTTTGGCACACATCCTCCACCAGATCCTCTCGGTATTGTGACATTGCCACCGGATAAAGGCTGTTCGCCAGGGTTGTATTCACCGTCGCCAGAAAGAGATGAGCTGCTGCAGTCGAAGAGAGGGCTATTCTTAAGATCGTTCGCCCAAAGAGGCCAGTTCCAGTACGGCTGACGACCCTTATAACCACATTCATCCCGCAGTGCCTGTTCCCAAATTTGGATGAACCCGCGATGCCATGGGAGGAACAGACCACTGTAGTGTACTTTCAAGGTCATATTGATATGCGTGCTATCATGAGTCAGCGTTGAAAGACCAGCCCTCGGAGTATAGTGTGCACTCACGCGACGAAGTCATCGAATCGGCTGCGGACTCCAGGGTAGTCCTTGGTGGGGAGCCTTGGACCCTTTCGTGTTAGACACTTCACAGCATCGGTATAGTTGATTCGCTCAGCAACTGCCATCTCGCCCCTACATATTTCATAGAATCAGTTTAGCACAACAAGGGTATGAGAGAGGAGAGGTGTAACCTACCATTCCTTTCGAGCGACAGTCCCATTATGTTCACATGCCTGTTGTTTGTGCAGTCGAGGAGCAGAGGCAGCGGCAACAACATCCCCCACAAGCAAGAGCAAAAATGGAAACGAAAACGAAAACTTTGAAAACCACATCATCCTATACAGATATTTTGACCGACCGACCTAGAATTATTCTTAAAAAACCTCTCCCTCTGCGCTTCCTCTCAATCGTGGGCATAGCTTCTCCTTATGAGAAGTGAAATCCTGAAATAACACCCCACAACCAAAACCAATCAGGCCACACAATCCGCCAAAACCTGTCTTGATGCCAGCGCCAAAGTCCTCTGCAGTAGCTCTGCTTTAGTGAACCCGCGAAGCATGTTCACCCACAGGCACCAGGACAGGGGTTCGGAATTCCCTTTTCAGACTTGCAATTACCACATCGAGCCCAAGCGCATACGATGTATCTCAGAAGGGAGAACCCTTATCTTAAAATAACATATGATATCCCACCAATTCCTGTTTTGCCAGTCGGATAATATTGCTTTTTGGCTTGAATACCTTGCAAGGGGTTTGTGGGGACGCTGTGGGGTCCAACGGATGTGACAACTCAGCTCTGGACGATCCTAAGGGTCCATGTGGATATACGGAGAGGCACGGCCAGTCTATGCATGCGGCTTCGTTCATAGGGCCGCTTGGCATTGCAATCTAGACTGCGCCTGCAGCCCAAAAAGTTCCTTGATGCTCGGCGGAATAAGGGCTTGGTCTTTCTTTCTGTCTGGTATCTGGCTGCTCGCCTGAAGACGGATTCCAATCTTGCCCTTGACTCAGATTTGCGATCGGATTCGGAGATCTCATCGATAACCCTTGAAGGGGGGGGGAGGCTGAGGCCCTTGTTTAGTTCCTTGTGTTGAGGTGTTTTGGTCCGATTGTCAGCTGATACTAGTAATGCGATATAGTCAGGGCGAGGGGCTCGCGTGGCGTGTAAGATGAAGTATAAGAACATTGAATATACGTTAAGCAGATTGTTTTTCCTCTCTCTCTCTCTCGATCGCTCGTGTTCATGTTGGTCTTGCGAATGCACTTGCTTTTTACACCAAGCCTCATTGGACACATCTTCATGGGGCTGAATGATCTGGTCTTGTTATCCAAGTTCTGCCCAATGGAAGATTGACTCAAGGACCAGACCAAACTGGCTAGATCGGACTTGCAATGGTCAAGTCACCCGAGAACGTGGACCCCAAGTTGTGTACTTTGTACGGAGTAATTCAGACGAAGACTCTCCTACTATGTAGTGCGTAGATATCACTGTCCAGAGCAGACTCGAACATAGCCTGAGGTCGCATCGAGGTTCAGCCACGCCGATGAATGTCTGGATCAATTCCAAAAAGATAAACATTAAATACAAAACTGCAGTCATTCGGGTATATTTCCTATGCAGTAATTCTTGGGCGAGAAGACGCACGGCTATCGCATGATTGTCACCGACCATATCTCAAGGCAAAGCTCGAGCCTACCTCAAGCTGCATGTTAAAGTTGAGCAAAACCATCACTCCCACTTGCGCTCATACACACCCACCCATTCCCCCCACCCAACCACATTTCCCTCAATTGCCTGCGCAATCTCTTGAATCGTTGGCAAGTCACTCAATTTACTCGAATCAATCGGCGCACTCAGGGCAACCAGGGTAAAGAAATATCTGTGCTCGCCATGCCCAAGCAAGGGTCGAGGCGGGATGTAGATATTCCCACGCCGATTCTTACCATATCGGAACCCGCCCTTCAACGCATAATCGCCAGCATCTTCAAGTTCGAAATCCGCATTGGTGACCGCGGTAGTGGTGGCCGAGATGCCATAATAGATGCCGTGAATGATTGGACTTGGCAAGGGTGCATCGGGATCCTCGCTAACAAGCAGGAACTCCTTGGTATCGGGGGATGCGGCGGGCCAGCTGAGCGAGGGGAATTGACCGGCCCCTTCAGCCGACTGGTCCACGTGCAATTGCGATCCAGACGCTGTGTCAGACGCGAGGTCAATATTGGGCTTGGAGATTTGCGAAAATGCAGAGCCTTTTGTGAAGAGGCGTGCGTCGCGCCCTTTTGCGCTGGCGAATAGTCGGCTCAGCCCGTATTCAATGTATGCAGTCTGCATATCGTAAGTAAGTGTTGGAAGGCTGTGCTGAACTTTCGCGTTCCGGCGGTCGCAGCCCGTGGTCTTACCATGGTAAATTCTGGGATTTCTACAGAGAAGTTCAAATAGGGAAGGAAGAACAGAGAGGTAGGTGAGCGATGAAGTTTTCAGTTTATTTTCAAGCTGATGGTATTCTTTGCCCTTGCCGGAAGCGGGCCGGTTACGGGATAGATCCGTGCCTGAAGATGAAGGCCAAAAGAAAAAACATGATCGACTTGACTTGGGAATTACGAGTTTCTTTGCACCGCAATATTCAATATTGAATCCCTAGTTAGTACTGGTGGGGAACACAGAAATTTGGGAAGTGAATCCCTAGAGGTTGCCTGGCGCGTTGTCCAGACATCTAGTTACCTATACTCAGTACTGGTACTATTATACGGTGGAGTTTCTTCAATTCGTAACTTGTCTGCAATCGTCTGACCCTAACTATACTAGTATTTTGGAAGCGACATTAATGTAGGAGCGAAGTCAACTCAGGTGATTTTCTAACAATGAAAGCCATTCATGATATCCAATTCCCATCCTAGGATGGACATGACCTGTTTCGCACAGCGTTGTCTATAACCACAGAGAGGTCGCGTTGGGGGCATTCAAGTAAACGTTGATCTGCATGGCCTGCAACTCATCATTATAATACTGCAGCACTTCAAGTGTTTCACCCATTCCTGCAGCAGGAGCCACTAGTGGTCCTTGACCCTTTGCTTGCGCATAGGCATACCACACATCCTGCGCCTCCTGCGCACTAGGCATAGCATCTGGAATAAAAGCAGAGACGTTCTGATAAGGGTAAATGATACCCGGAATCATGCCGCTGGTAACAACAAAGCCCAACTCCTCGTCGACGACAAGGGCGACGCGTGCCTTCTTGTCGGTAGGGTGCGCGTCTGGCCAAGAACAACCGAGTGGGTCTGTTGTGCCATTTGCATATACCCCTGTATCGACAACCTTCCAACCGATCTCGCTGAATTGGCATGTATCGCTGACGGTGACTTTGAAGTCGCTCGATGTGGCGAAAAGGGCCTTACTGAGAGATGTCAAGTCTTTTCGACTCGCCTTGGTCCGGTTGGCTGGTGGCGACATCAGAACCGCGTAGTTAGACGGAAGTTCCTCAGCCGAGAAGGAGAAACCATGCTCGCCGCGGTATCGGTTGACAAAGATCTCTAGCTCGGTGATCTTGCGATTCACGACTTTCAGTCGGGTACGGAGGATGTTTGTAATGCCACCTTCGTCGATGTCCAAAGAGAAGTAGACTGTGCCTTGCTTGGAGTCGATTGCCAAAAGACTGGGCTTGTTCACTCTTGTAACAGTGCGCCATAGCGTCATCATTGTAAGAGCTGCCGAGTGGGAGTTTTCGGTTGCCTTATAAATTGAAGCCAATGGCAGACTGAACGGGTCATGCCTCACCACTGACACTAGGAATTGATCGACAATGTTGGACAGGCAAGCCCGATTGCATTCTTTTGCTGCGCCTCGCTCAGTCAGAGATGCCCTGACATCTCCATTTGGAAATGCACCACCAAATGTTGACAGTGCCGCCGTGATTCCAAGCGACAGGCGCAGAAGACCAAATGGACTCGGAAGCTGCATTTTGAGGACCGGTGAGAAGATAGAGTAAGTTAATTGTCAGAGGAGGCTTTAGAGCTGCTTGAATAGCTCCCATATTCTGTGAAAGAAGGCCACATATTTATAGGCAATTTGGTACTAATCTGCTTGATAATTTGAAGCTACCTTCAGAAATTCAATTGAGTTAGGGCTGCCCGGCCGGGTCCAGCTCTCCACTCCCCGGATTTCCCCATCTTCAAACTCGGCTCCACACTCTTATTGATCTCGGTATAATCAGTTAGGATCAACATCATATAAAGCGGGGACCACTTGAATCGCTGGAAATACGCCAGGCGTCGTAATCACGCCAAGGGGTAATCGACCTGACCAAATTCTCAATGCTCAAGCTCCAGACGTCGCCGCTGGCATGAAAACACTGTTGGAATGAGAACGCAGCTTGAAATTACTATAGTACAGTAACTGTCAAAAGACATGCTGAACTTACTTTAATCAGTGGTCTCTCGAAAGGATCGAGTATTTTAAAGTCCCAGCAATTCAATGCGGAAAGTTTCCCAATCAAAACACCATAAAAGGGGACAGTCTGCTCAATTGATTCCGAGAACGCCGAAATGTTCAGCAATATCGGGTATGTTAAGGCATCACTACCCCGATTATTACCCATCCATTTTGATGACAAACATAGCAAGTGCCTCCTTATCTAGCCTCGAAGGTTGAAAGTTTGCCTATTTCGTTCTAACGTATAGTGTTACTTGGAGTATGAGTACTCTTCGTTCAAGTTATGCGAGACAGTGTCCCTGCGACGGCGAATGGAATTAGTACCAACTTTAACTACTAAAACTACAAGTAAAATACAACACCAGTTGTAAATTTTGACCAAAATTAAGTCAAAATAGCTGATTCCCTACCCAACCGTCACGAATGTGATACCCTGGCGTGGCTTATTTCTTCGAGCTCGAGCCCGAGCCCGAGCCCGAGTTTGAGGAGGGAGTGTAGGTCGAGCCACCGCTTCCATTGTTATAATAGGTGCTACCGTTGGGGTTGGAGTAGTAGTATGAGCCATTCCTAGTCAGAAATAACATAAGTACACGTGCAAAAGAACGCCCGGACCAGTTGTGTTGATCTTACGAGTTCGAATAGTGATAGCTGTTCGAGTTGGAGGCACTAGAGCCGTAGTCTCGGGAGCAATAATGGTTGCCCTAATCCTGGTCAGTATGATTTTATTGAATGGCTCGGGGAAAGCATGCAACGGCCCCCCCTCGATTGACTCGGTGCCGACGGGCAGTTCCTGCAGAGCTCGAGGGATCATCATAGCTTACCTGGCTGTTGGTGCCGGAGCTGGTGACATCGTAGCCTTTGTTGGAAGACATGCTGGCGGGAAAATGATCAAGGTAGTTGTTGACGATGAAAAGATGAGAATGAAAATAAGATATGAGGGAGCGGGGTACTCAATTTACCTTTCCTTCCTTGGGTATGTGGGAAATTGTGACGACACTCCGCTCGTCCCGCCGACATCCCTGAATGTCAACACCGTCCTTGGTGTTCTATAGATACCACCACTAATAACTACCTATGGTAGTGGGGGCCTCACAGCTACTGCAGAGTAACACGAAGCGAAATGTGATATATCAAGCGGGGTTATACGATATGAAGCCAGTGTGTATACAATGCCCGCTTACCATGATCCATGGATGCCATGGCAGTAACCCAGATACCTTCTTCTTCATGACCTCCTTCTCCCCAGGTTCTCTCTATATGTGGCTCCTCACCCTCCATCTATCTACTATTACTAGTAGTAGTACTAGTAGTATTCTAGGGTTGTGAGTAGACAGCTAACAAGCATCCCCTACTACTTCACTAGGTACTATCACCACTCCCTCCATTCACCAACTCCTAGTAAAAGCCATATATCAGACCACCTGGGCCTGAGCTGGCCTTTTGCAAAACGTTTCTAGTACGAACTGAGCTGCTGCTACTTAGGTACCAAGGTGGCTATACAAATGAAGCTACTATAATACGGCCAACAGCACAATCATATTCCCAAGTCAAGGATTGGGTACCTAGCACCTAGGTACGCACTAAGTTAGGTAACATCCATTGGAATATTTTAGTATATTTGAGAATAAATCAAAGACTGCCCAGTCCTAGGCTGTCGTTGACTCCTATACCTAGGTATCTTATTGTGTTTGACGTCGAGTCACGGTCCAGCGCGTCCCATGTTCATTGGAAGAAAGCGCGTTTGTATGTTCGAGTGTAACACTATCCCATCCACCTACTGCCCTCACTTTCTCTTTTCCCTCCCTCCCTTCCCTTCCTTTCCTTCTCCCCTCGAACACACCAACCCACATCTACGCACGCCTACCTCCATCTCCACCAAAAACCTCAACTCTCTTATCTTTACCGCCTCTCACGGTTCGAAATGCCGGACAAATCCTACAAGATCACCAGCACTGGTGAAAACGACCAGGTATGCCACGTCAAGCCCCAAACCAATACCACAAAAGCCAAACTGACGATGAACAATAACAGGGTAACCACTACTGCCACCGTGATTTCGGTTCCAGTGCCCCTAACCAGAATAGCTACCACTATTCCAACCAGTATGCCTCACCCTCCACCCGACCTGACCTCGTTGAGAAAACTGACCAATGTCCAGGGACGGATCTTACTACTACTCGAACTCCGACGGGAGCAAGTACCACAATGACGGCCAGGGTGGTGCCAAGTACACCCCTCCCTCGGGCTCGGGCACCTCGTCCGGAAAGAAGTGATTCAAGTTGTTGAACACGTTGAAGACCAGGCATATCCTTGCCATTGCAAGTTGATCTAGCGGGAGGTCAAGACCTGGCAGATGAAATACTAGGGAAGGATCGGGTACAGATATGCCTAGGGATTGAGTGAAATGGATGGTGTCGATATCCACGTTGCGATTCAAGAACGGTGATGGATTTTGCTCTTCGTTGATTTAAGTTCGGCGCAAATGGGTTTCTAGTTAAAGACTTAGGAAAAGAAAAAAAAAGAAAATTCGACCTCCCGCAAAAAAGAATCTCTCCATATCAAACCCTCTGTTGTTGACGATGCATCCCTGGTGTTCAAAATCATCTCAATAAGCTTAGTTCTGTTCAAGGTTCCAAGGTACCAGATTTCGCAGTAATCCGCTGGATAGAAACGATTCAATTCCGAGATATTAATGTTCATAAGGAAAATATACAATTCCGAGACCTCCCTCAGAGACCCAAGACATCCAGGAGACCCTTCTCCGAAAGCTTCAACTTCTCAGCCGTCTTAATCCACACCTGCGACCTCAATTCCGGATCATTAACATGTCGCTTCGGCGTCGCGTCCCAGATGCGATTAATATATCTACCCCCTCCAAGCCCATTAGGCGCACCGATACCCTGAGTCTTCGGATCGGGTCCAAACTCGGGACTCGTAGCCGCGTATGTGACCGCCAAGCTGCCTTGTTGTGGGGTGATAGCGACATAGCTGAGAAGGAACTGGAGGCTTCGACCGTATATCTCTTTCACGGGTGTCCAGATGGACGAGGACACGAAGCCTGGGTTGACTCCGTTCACGGTGATGCCCTTGTAGCTGGGGTGTCTGAGTAGGCGTAGCTGTAGCTCTGTAAGCCACATTTGGTAGAAGAGCTTATTATCGCGGTATGGGTTTCCCTCCTGGGTGGCGCTGGATTCGAGGTCTGCGTTGTAGGTGCCGAGGTGGTGGTAGCATGATGTGGTGCACACTATGCGTCCTGGGTTCTGCTCTGCGAGAGATGGCAGAAGGCGGAGGGTTAGCAATACATGGGAGAGATAATTAATCTGGGTGGTTGGTCAGTACTGTGTCTCGGATGTTCCATGAGCAAAAAAGATGAGATACCTGATGAACTGGGTGGAATCCATCCTTGGTTTTGGCATTCAGAGGAGCAACTGCAATGCCGGCATTGTTGCAAAGGATGTCCAGAGGGTTTCCAGTGGCGATCCATCGTTGGGCAAATGCCTCGACGGTTTCAAGATCGGCCATATCCACGGGCCACCACTCGATCGTCGACGAGTGGCCGTGGGCCTGGGCGATCTCATTACATTCCTTCACCGCAGCTGTGGGATGTTGTTCCCACTCAGGAGGTTCACGACAGCCCAGGATAATATTGGCGCCCCATCTTGCGAAGGACTTTGCTGCTTCGAAGCCGATGCCGTTATTGGCGCCCGTGATGATGATCCATTTGCCGGTGAGATCGGCGCCGGGGACTTCCTTGTCTGTGAGGAATGTGGTATTTGTCCCCCTGAGGCCCTGCACCAGGTCGTTCAAAAGGTAAAACAAGGATGCCATTTGTAGAGGAGTCGCAGTGACAAAATGACACGGCGAGGTGAGGTTGTTTGGGAGGGACAAGCTACCGGTCGCACTGGGAACCAAGATGGGATTGGTGTAGGACGACTTGTCCACATGAGATTGTGCCACCTCGGCCCCGCCGATCCCGCAAATCAGGAGGCCCCAGTGGGAAAAAGCAATTATCGCTCCTTTTTATTTATGGAGTACTCCGTACTAGTAACTTGAGAGAACGTGGTTGACATAAATTTCCGGGGCTAGTACATACTGATAGTATGTGCAGAGTACAGGGTAAATAGACCTTTGATATCCTCCGTACTCCGTATAGTTACTTACTGCCCGGAGTATTAGAAACAACTCCATGTCCCCACTAGCCTCTATTCCGAGTGCCGCTTGCCCAACTTATTCGTCTGGTGGATCCAATCGAAAAGCCCGATCGATCCATAATTCAGATTGAACTTTGCATGATGAAGATCATGATCGAGAGCCTTGTTGTGAAAGAAATCATACCCGCTATGCACAGTTGCAGTATTGAAAAGCTCATAAGCAAGGAATGACCAGAATGTCAGCACCTATTCTGAGTTAGCTTGGCTTAAAGAGGAGTGCAATTCAACACTGTACATACATGGCTATGCAAGATCTGCGGGGGCAGAGAGATTGGTAACGCATTGGCGAAGATCTGTTCAATCGGATGGGCATATTGGGCTGCCAAGGCGATGGGAGCCGTAAATCGATGATGCTTTTTGTGAATCAATTTATAGAGATATGGAACATGCAGGAGACGATGGCTGTAATAAAATAGTGCTTCGCGCATAAGGAGACTGAGGATGAAATCCCGAGCGAATTCGAGGACAGGTGGCAGGGCTGCTTCGACTCGGTAAGATGGCTTTGATCCGAAATGAGAGGAGACATTAATGAGCGAAATATGCAAGACGCTGGAGAGAATTTGATTCTGGGTGACAACCCAGAAACAATGTAGGATGTCACGACGAGTCGGCTGCTTAGGCGCGGGCTGGATCTTGTGTTTTTGCGAAAATGCCGGCGCAAGTGTGTCCAAGGATAGATAGAATAGCGATGGGAGCCAGAACGAAACAACTTGGATAAGCAGCGTTCCGATGAATTCAATTCGCTGTGGGGAGTAAGTCGACACGATGTCTGACCAGAAAGCCGTAGCCTGTGAGATCAGGCTGTCATACATCGCGGCGATTATTTCAGCAGTCGAAATGGCTCAAATTTGTGTTTCGAGGGCCAAGATAGTGCTCCGTAGTTGACAGGTTCCTTCAAGGCCGCTTATGAACCTCGGCCACTGAATCACCCCGGAAAATTCTTTGCGGTGCCCCCGCAATCGATCGTCGGACATCGCCAATTATCGGTGGATCTCGGCTCAGTTGGCCCCATGTGACGGTCCCAGCCACTCCCGTGCAACATATTACCTCTGCGTTGAAGATGAGAGATTCTGCAAGTATGTCCTTGGAATGTCCAGTCGTTGGCAGTTCTCAATTCTCTCCTGGTACCTGGGCGAGTACGCTCGGTAACTGTCAAGGTTCCTAGTAATTTCAGGTTTGCTTTTCAATACTGACCTCAGGAATAGATACTACTCGAAGTCGTCTGAGGGACCAGTTGCTACATTTAAATGATTATAGACCAAAGTAAAAAGAGGCGGTCCTGAAAATGTAGTTTCTGCTCAATTGCCGGTAAAGTACATTGAGTAGAGTAAGAATGATAATAAGCAGAAGTCTTTCCTGCTTGACGCCAGGTTTATAATCTCACCACTTCGACCTCTCCGGTCATATCCATATACACCCACTTTGACCTGTGTAGACCGAACCTAACCTCGATCTCCAAACTGCCTAGGTCCTAACGCGCCTCCTTCCATTATGAATAGTATGTTTCGCCTTTGCCGGTCCAACACAAACACTTCGGGATCGTAAATTCAAGAACTTGAAGCAGTGTCCATTGGGATTCCTGGGGCATTTCTCAGAAATGTGTTGTTTGCAGAGTTGGTATAAACAAAGCCCCCTTGGCCATCGGAGCGATACGTGCAACCACTCGGGAAGTTAAAGGCGGCATGTCCATTGCCGTCGACAGTGTATGTGGCTGAATCGGTGAAAGTGAAGACAAACCCTCCTCCACTCGCATCGGCGTGAACTGTGGCTCCATCGGGGTAGGTGAAAAAGGAGCTTCCATCGTCGTCTTTCTGGAAAGAAAGTCGTCCGACGCCGGCAAAATGACGACAATCTGCAATGATCTGCCCTTCGATATCCGTAACATTCATGTTACGGCTGAAAGTTGCAACTTTCATGTTGTGGGTGAAGTTTTCATTAGTATAGGATACGGTTCCATCGGCACTAAGTTCAATCTTCCCTCCGTGACCGTTGGTGCAGTGTGTGCTGCCGTCGGGGAAAGTTGCGATGCTAGTCCCGTTTTCCTGTCCACAGAAAGTGCTTCCATTTGAATAGGTGTTGAAGAAAACCCCGTTTCTAATCATCATGGTCAGTATGCGATCAATAAATATTGACAAAACATGCAGCCTCTTCTCACATGTTTGTATAGTACTGGTTACTATGGGGTGCGGATCTCCGATATCGCTGCCTCTGATTTTGCTGACGTCTGGCCTGTCATTTTATCAACCCCACATCCAAAACCAATATTCGAAGACAGTACTGTTCAATGTGACATACCCTGTTACGCGTGACAATGCGATTGTCGGCTCCGGCTCCAGCGTCTGTGTCAGTATCTTGTTCCAGCTTGACAGGTGGCATGTTGGCAAAGGAGGATGGCCGAGAAGTTGTTCGCGATCATCGGTTAAATCCAAGAACAAGATAGTTGAGAAATGTGAAAGTTTTAAGAACAGACTCGGAAGTGAGAGAAGAAGAAAGTAAGAAAAAGGAAGTTGAAGCCCTGGAGGTCATTTGACTTGACTGGTGGGAACGACAGGAAGTGAAGGAACGACTGGGAGGGAAGGTGTGATGACTTCTAAGGTATACGTTGGGTACTACTGCTCTAGTACAATATTTCGAACACCAATCTCACTAGTGGAACTTGAATATTCGAGACCGTCTATATGATAAAACTAGGGAGCCAATAGCCTCATGAGACGCCAATTCCATTCGCTCTCTCACCAGGCTTCCGCTCGCGAAACCGCCGCCAAATCAGAAATCCGATCATCGTAAAAGCTGTCAAAGGTACCGCAAACGCAAAATAAATCCACCAGAGACGAGAGACAACAAAGGCAGGCTCGTCATTCCCAGTCGATGTATCCAAAGCGATGAAATTTGTCCCAAAAAGACTGCAAACAAAAGTAGCTGGGAGATAGAGCAGTGTCATTCCAGCGATGATCTTCATAGAAGCACTATCCTTGCGCGCATCGCGCGCTATTTTGGCGCTTTCCGTGGCAATCTTCAAATTTATTGTGCTGTCATGGCCGGTGATGAGATTGTATAAAAGTGTCACAAAATTACTGGTTCTTCGCTGCAGGTTCATGATTCTGCGGTGTCGATCATCACACAAGTCATGTAGCATAAGTAGGTCATCCCGAACTCTCCCATGCGTTGAGTGGTCAATATATGTCCCCTGTAGCTCCGCCAGTCTTCCAAGACGCTCATGGTCCCGGAGAAGATGTCCGATATTTGATGCGTCGCGTTGGTTATTGTGCTCTAGGGTTATCAGGTTCCGCGACATTTTATGCAGCAGTTGTATGTATCTCGAGAAGCGATTAGAGTCCGATACCTCGAAGATAGATCCCTGGTGCAGTTGCGTCTCGATCCAGAGAAGCCATTTGATTAGGTTGTTTAGTTCCGTGTTCCGGGATGAAAGGACATAGAACATGACCACCGAGTGAAGGGTTAGAGGGTGTAAAGAATCATTCTTCTGGGAGATACCCCGCTTCCTAATGGAAAGGCAATCTGAGGATGATCCCTTGAATCTCTCTCCAATGGCGTGGATCAAATCGCGTAGCTCGCCTTTGGATTTCGGCAAGATATACAAGGTGTGTCCGGTTAGAAAGTCATAGCGGAAATAGATAGGCTCGTACTGATGAAGAAGCTTCATGTCGGTTGGGCCTCGGGAGCTAACGCTCGGAGTACTATCCAAAGGGCTGGTATCGTTTGCTGTATACGACAAATTCTCGCTAATATTGTAGCAAATTTCAGTGGGCTTGTTAGTAGGTGAGGAATTGATACGTATCCCAATGCAAAACTCACCGAGGCATTGGTGACCATTAACTTCTATGCATCGACCGTGGTAGCTCGAGAGCAGTGGCGAAGATAACAAAGCGACGTCTTCTAATTTTACATCCCAAAATGTCTCGAACAACTTCTGGGTATCCCACTGGTCTCCCGGGAATGCTCCTTGTTCGGTCAATAGTCTTGGTCTTGTAAGTATCCTTTATCGCAGAAATAGTTCAAACAGCATACATACATTACACTGATTAGTCCAGATTTCTGAGCATCTAGCGGTGATTCAGACTGTAAACGATTCTCAAAATCATAGTTGTCTACCTTAAATTAGCTTTAATCGCGTCGCGTTTGAGACGTAGTACCTTGGTCTAGGACGTTGATCAACGGGTCGCAAGAAGTTGGCGCGATGTGTATTTCGGATTGCCCTTGGCATAAGAAGAGAGCATTCTCCAGCACAAACTTAGGGTAGTCGCTTGGCATTATGTGCCTAGGGGTCGTTCATGTTATTTTCAACGCCGAAATGTCAATTTCATGCAACAGAGATCACAGCAGCGAGGAAGAAAAACTTGACTTGATCTGAATTACATGTTGCAACCAAAAAAGAACAGGAATTCAAGGTCGTCTGGAAGATGGGGCACCGGGCGTTCCAAGTTTGTTGAGTCCGTTCTAGTTTAGCGTGCGTAAGATGGCGGTGCAGTTGCTGCATTAGCGTGCAATTTGGTAGCTGAAGAATGATTCTTTTCGCTATTGCGTTCCAGGCTGCGGTTGCCCCCATTCCTTCACCAGCCACTCCGCACTCCGTGTATTTCAGCCATTATTTGTGAGCTGAGGACCAGTGAAGCAATCTTATGCTTTATCTGGCTTTAAAAAATTAGCCACATTTCTTACTTTAAGTTCCTATCAACGGGTGCTGGCAGTCCGTCGCCCCGCACTGGCAGAGCTTGAAGCACAACGCTCCTATTATACTAATGCTTTTTAACGGGCGGAGATGATGATAAAAATAATGTTCCATTTCTTTCATATCAGCAGGCGAGCATAGTATTAAAGATACTACTAATACTGTGTTCGAATATTTACATCCGAAAGAAGTTTGAAACTTGAAGACCTCGGAACTTCAAATTGGAAGCAATCTTTTGAAAAATAGAATACCAACCTTGGAACTTGAACATCCAAATGTAATGATGGATATCAAAGGGCTGTATTTGGGTAGATTGGAGTCTACTAGTAGGCTTTGAAACCCTTTTATCTTAGGTATCTCCCCGTCAAAAGTAATATGGGACTGTCAAGCTATACAGAATTAATACTTGGCAGTTGAAGGATCATCTACCGCCCGCCCACTACCTAGATACCTTGGAAGCAATGAGCTTGACGCGTGTGAATTGACAGATCAAGGCATAGAGTACTAGGAGAAATCTGTTCATTCTAGGCCATGAGGTAGGCTACGGTCGGAAATATCTAGGTGCATGTATACAGTACTCCGGTGGAGACAGGTGATTGCTACATCAGTCATGCGGGAGACAGATCCAATTAGCGCCAGGGTAGATTAGTCGCCGACGGGTAAAACCTGGTCTTTAAATGGCCAATAATCTACGGTTGATGTTTGGGCTGAAGCATACAATTGACCTATTGCAAGGAGCAATGCAGAGGTATTGCACATGCTCGATTTGTGCTGCCTGGCGAGTCTATGCCGGCTATGAATAGATGTTTTGGTAGCAGCCGATCATTGGCCAATTGTGTTACCCGAGGGGTCCAACAGATTTGGTCGCGCACCATAGAAGCGAGTGAGACAGGCTTGCGACAGCCACGGTGGAGCAACGCCCGGTGGAGCAAGTTAGATGCGAGGCGGCCAGCCGAAGAGAGAGTGGGTGTGATGACGGCCAGGGTAGGAGAGAGCGGAGAGCGAAAAGATGAGACACCCTGAAAAAGAGGGTTTTTTTGCTTCTCATACAGGGTCTCGATGGTGCGTTGAGGCGCAGCAGCACCATCTGCTCCTAATTCCCTCGATCGTCGGTTTGATCCCCACCGCCTGAGACTTCGCGTCTCGCTGCCAAGCCAATACCCAGCGCACATCGCCAGGGGGTATCATTTAGACATAAACACTGTACTCCATACCGCGTTGATGAGAGATGTCGATGATCAGGGATAATGGGACGGGCGAGCGAGTTCCAATTGATTGATGCCTGAAGAAGGGGGGAGGAGAGCGAACGTAAATAGACAAGGGTCTCAGCCATCAACCCACCCGACAATGCAGACCATTCCGGATGCATGACACTGATAGAGATACTGGCGTTGGCACTGGCGTTGGCACGTTGGCACTGGCACAATGGTAGAGACGTGTCTCTCATTGTGGGCATGTGTGTAGAGGCGCAGACTGGCGGGATGGTCGGGATAGGGGGTGGCCAACAGCAGATTGGGGCCAGTTTCAGGGTCAGATCCACTTTTACCCTGGGCCCCTTACGGCGATCGACCAGTGATGGTCAATGAGAGTCGGGGGATAAAGTGGGTGAGAGGGTAAAAGTGGATATGTTGTGTACTCCGTACGCCGTAGGGTCATTGGCAGTTGGTTGGAGTGTCCGGGGCCAAGAAGGGTCGAAAGGGTCTCTCCCGTCATACAAAGTACTTTCCTCCCCCCCCTTGTTGAAACTTCCCTTCTCCCACATTCTTGTCGTCCTTCGTTTTTCTAACCACTCTTTAATTCTCCTTTTCTTCCTTCCGGAATTTCATCTCACCTTAATACACTCTTTAGAACCACAACTCAAAAATGAAGACCGGCTTTATCTCTCTGGCTACTGCCCTTACTCTGGGCGCCAGCCTCGTCCAGGCTGCTCCCTCTGTTGAGAAGCGTGACACTATTACCCCTATCACCGTCAAGGGTAACGCTTTCTTCAAGGGCAGTGACCGTTTCTACATGCGTGGTGTCGACTACCAGCCTGGTGGATCCTCCAAGCTGTATGTTTCCCACAATCCAGAAATATCAGTGCAAAACAAAAACAACAACATCGATCTCCAATCTAACATTATCAATCAATTAGGTCCGACCCCATCGCTGATGCTGATGGCTGCAAGCGTGATATCAAGAAGTTCAAGGACCTTGGCCTGAACACCATCCGTGTCTACTCCGTCGACAACTCCGCCGACCACGATGAGTGCATGACCGCTCTGGCTGATGCTGGCATCTACCTTGTTCTGGATGTCAACACCCCCAAGTACTCCCTGAACCGCAAGGAACCCGCTATCTCCTACAACGATGTTTACCTGCAGTACATCTTCGCTACCGTCGACAAGTTCGCCCGTTACAAGAACACCCTCGCCTTCTTCTCCGGTAACGAGGTCATCAACGACGGTCCTTCCTCCGAGGCTGCCCCTTACGTCAAGGCCGTTACTCGTGATCTCCGTTCCTACCTGAAGGCCCAGAACCTCCGCCAGGTCCCCGTTGGTTACTCCGCCGCCGATGTCAACACCAACCGTCTCGAGATGGCCGAGTACATGAACTGTGGTACCGATGACGAGCGCTCCGACTTCTTCGCTTTCAACGACTACTCCTGGTGTGACCCCTCATCCTTCACCACCTCCGAGTGGGACCAGAAGGTTAAGAACTTCACCGGCTACGGTCTCCCCCTGTTCCTGTCCGAGTACGGCTGCAACACCAACACCCGCAAGTTCGAGGAGGTTGCTACTCTCTACTCCACCAAGATGACCGGTGTCTACTCTGGTGGTCTCGTCTACGAGTACTCCGAGGAGAGCAGCAACTACGGTCTCGTCAAGATCTCCGGCGACAAGGTTACCACTCTCAAGGACTACGACGCTCTGAAGGCTGCTTTCGACAAGACCAACAACCCCTCCGGTGACGGCCAGTACAACGCCACCGGTGGCTCCAACCCCTGCCCCAAGAAGAACGCCCCCAACTGGGCCGTCTCCGGTGACGCTCTTCCCGCCATCCCCAAGCCCGCCGAGAAGTACCTGAAGAACGGTGCCGGTAAGGGTGAGGGATTCAGCGGCTCTGGCTCCCAGAACGCCGGTACCACCTCCACTGGCACTGCCACCTCTGGCTCCGGCGAGGGTGCTGCTGCCACTGGCACTGGCGGCGCTGCTGCCACCTCTTCCGGTGCTGCCTTCGCTGTCCGCCCTGCTACCTTCGGTTTCTCCGCCGCCCCCATCGCCGTCTCCCTGGTGACTGCCATGTCGACCCTTGTCGGCGCTGGTATGATTCTTCTGTAAACCTTGCTCGACAAATTTGTCTAATTTCTTTCTAAATGTTACGCCGTTTCTGTTTCTCGCGCGGCGAATTGCATCTTCTCTATTTTGCTAGGCTCCTGCTTTGTTTGGATTTTGTTGGATGGACCTCTGACGGGGTTTCAGTGTACAGTAGGCCATAATCCGGCTACTTCTATGGAATATGATTCTTATAAAACACATACATGGTTCCATATCCAGACACCGCTCTAGTATCTGATGAGACTTTAAATTTGAATACCTTTCTAAAGCTTAGGCTTTCCTTGTTGCAGAGTATGTGCATCCCAATCCACCTTTCGCTTCAAGCCGAACTCCCTCAAACCATGTGCTCCATCAGCATCGGGTCGCATCATCTCGTCGAAGAGCATTTTGATTCCCGCGGCTTGCTTCTCACCTCCACCATCCTTCCAAGCAAGCCTAATGAGTTCCTTCGACATGCGTGACGCATTGGGCGACGCAATCTTCAACGCGTCTAACAGCGCGTCCAACCTCAAGTTCAACTGTTCTACATTTCCCACAGTATCGGTTATGATCCCCCGAGTCTTCAACTCGGACGCTTTAACTGGTCTCGCAGATAACATCACCTCTTTCGCAAACGACAGCCCATACTCTCTGATGACATATTTGGAAATCGTCGCCGGACAAAGACCCAACTTCACCTCGCTCAGAGTCATAACCGTCGAGCTTGTGGCGATACGAATATCACAAACAAAAGCCAGACCGACTCCTCCACCAAACGTCGGCCCATTTATAGCCGCAATCGTCACCTTCGGCGAAGTATCGATGGCCTCGAATAGCCCGGTTAATCTTGCATACTGCGCATCGCTAGCCGATCCACCTCGGGCAACAGGCGTACTATCCTTGCCCAGATCCATACCCGTACAAAAGAACTTGCCATTCGCCGTGACGACAATCCGAGATATGCCCGCATCGTAATTAGCGCCTGTCACAGCCTTGGTGATATCGGATATCATCGTGGTTGTCAAAGCATTGCCATTCTTCGGCCTGTTGAGAGTGATCTTGAGATTAACGCCGGAGCGATGAAGTAATAGCCCGTCCGTTTCTGAGATCAAAGTCCACTGGAGGGGCTTCCCAGGCTGCGAATTCGAAAAGGCAGTAATCTTGGTGCTGCTCTTGATCATTAAAGCCGTGCCTACTCGGCTTGAATTGGTCCTCGATAGTTGTTTTGAAATCCAAGTTCCCACCTCCGTCAACCGGGCTAAATCAACACCCGTAGAGATGCCAGCATTATCGAACATGTACACCAGATCTTCCGTCGCGACATTGCCCTTAGCACCAGGCGCAAACGGACACCCGCCCAGGCCAGAGACACTGCTGTCGAAGACAGTAAGACCACATGTGTATGCCTCCCAGACATTGGCGACGGCTTGTCCATAAGTGTCATGGAAGTGTCCAGCCAGTCTAGCGAGAGGAATGTTGTTATCCTTTAGGTAGGCGAGTAAATTGCGCACATTGGACGGGGATCCCACGCCGAGCGTATCGCCCAGACTTATCTCGTAGCAGCCTGCTTGAAGTAATTGCTGTACGCAATGCAGAACTGCGGAATGTGGCGTCGGGCCATCGAATGGATCTGCGAAGATGCAGGAGACGTAGCTGGGAGAATTAGAACTTGAACGGGCTAATTCACTGGGAAGAGCATGGCTCATGATTCTTTCAAGTGACTTACCCACGCACTGCAATCTGGGATTCACCAGCTCCGTTTGTAGCCGAGGCTAACGCAGCGACTCTCTTCGCTCTTTCAATTCCTTCCTGCACGGTACAGTTGATGTTGGCTTTGCTGAACCCCTCGGTCGCACTGACAAACACGGCGACTTCTCGGACGCCATGCTCAATGGCGATCTTGAAACCTTTCTCATTGGGAACGAGAACAGGTAATCGGAGTCGTGAATTTTGTAGTAAATTCTTCACCTTCGTATCCCGAAGTATCTCTCGACAGTCTTTCAATTGAGGAACAGCGCGGGGCGAGACAACAGATGTCAACTCAATGGTCGACAGACCCGTCTCTCGAAGGCGTCGGATCAGTTCCAACTTTGTTGGAGTTGGGACTGAATCATGTATGTTCTGTAGTCCGTCGCGTGGTCCTACTTCTACAATTCTGACCGAGGATGATTGTTGGTCCATTTCGACTGAAGTGTTTGAGATATCCGACTTCAAAGGAGCTTGTTCGCTTATTTCGAAATCATTCTTTGGAATAAGTTTGCTTTGTTTCATCGGATCGCATTTCGGTCGTGACCTCATCTGTTGTTCTCAGATGTAACGGTCCGGCGGACCGGAATGACCGGACCGACGAGCTTTGCGGGGAGTATCCGGCGCTACTAGTGATTTCTGGGGAAGTGCGGGACAACAAAGATCTTCGTTGAAGTTTGGAACCCCTAAAGTCCGAAAATGAGATCGTGGTAAAAGTGAGGTACTGGTAAGGCTTACGAAGTGAAAAAGGAGATCACCTGAGATCTACCAAGATTGACTAGGGCGGATGACCCAATCGGGAATGTTACGGTACAAGAATTATTATGTCAGGGAAAATGCTCGTAGACTCAATCATAACGAATAAAATTCCTAAAGTCTTGCTTTAACGGAGCCATTGTGAACCACATTATTTCCGATATCACAAAGGACGTGCTTTTTGATCTTGCCACTGCCGGTTTTTGGGAAGTCGGTGTCAATACCAGCATCACCAAGCCAGAAGCAGTATGAAGGGGCTTTGTGCCGGCCAAGAAGCTGCCCGACCCATTTCGCGAGTTCCTCATTCTTTGGACGGAAAGTCCCCTCGACTTCCTTCAAGAAACATCCCACCACTTCACCGTATCTTTTGTCCTTGATAGCCACAGCGCTGGCCTCGTTGACGGCAGGGTGCTGCATGAGTCTTTCCTCAATCTCTCGGGGAAAGATGTTTTCACCACCGCGAATGATGATATCCTTGATTCGACCAGTGATATGGGCATACCCCTCGTCATCGAGAATGGCTTCATCACCGGTATGCATCCACCGAATGCCCTTCTCATCTTCTTTCATAGATTCCTTGGTCTTTTCCTCATTCTTCCAGTATCCTTTTTGCAAAGCGAACCCACTCGTGCAAAGCTCACCCCGTTCTCCTCTGCGAAGCAACCTACCACTGGAATCAATGACCTTTGCAGAAGTATGCGGGATCACTCTGCCGACGGTCGTGGTCGCTTTCGATTCAGGATCGCTGAGCGACGTGATGAAGGTAACGGGACTAGTCTCCGTCATGCCATATGCGATGAGCATTTTCTCAACTCCCATTTTCGCACGGAGTTGATTCATTAGGTCCTGTGAGACTGCTGAGCCACTAGCAAGGCCGGTCCGAAGACGTCGTGGTCGCTGGCCTGTTTTTTCCATGGCTTCTAGCTCGGAAATAAACATCGTCGGGACGCCTAGGAGCACCGTGACGTCCTCTTCGACAAGTGCGTCCACGACCTTTCTCACATCGAAGAAGTCGGACGGAAATACGATGGTACTACCATGCGTGTATGAATCGAGGAAGCCTAGCACAAGGCCGAAGCAGTGAAATAGAGGCGGTGGACAGCAGAGGACATCTTCATGGGTTAATGCCATTGCATCGCCCACGAACCGAGCATTGTTGATAAGATTTCTTGTATGAGATGAGCATATAGAACCACTTTTCTGGGCCGGGGAGGAGACTCACATGTGGGTTAGCATGGCTGCTTTGGGAGAGCCAGTGGTTCCTGCGAGGTCTAGTTAGAATGGAAGGAAGAGCTACGGCGGTAAAAGTATTCATACCGGAAGTAAATTGCAAATTAAGAACATCACCAGGCCGAACCAAGGATTCTGCACGCTTGAGGACAGAGTCATTCATGAAAACAGAATGCCCATTCGAGGTGAAAGTATTGTATGTTTGCATCTCTACCCCGGCATCGCCGCCCTGGCTACCCTCAAGACAAACAACGCAGCGCAGATCGGGGAGCATGGGGTTCTTTCGACTTGACCCGCGGAGGACATCGATGTGTCCCGAAAGATTTCGAGAGCCAATCTCAGACGAAACAAAAACGAGCTTGCATGCTTCGGTCCAATCAGTAGATTGGACAATTTGAGATGTCATAATCACTTACAGCTTTTCTGAACAGCATTTCTAAGCTCGTCAGCGGTGTATGTATTGTTCAATACAACGACTGGGCATCCAATACGACCACCTGCCAGGAACACCTCGATATATTGATAGCAATTTCCTGCCATGACACCGATACAGTCACCATTTCGGAGGCCCATCTCAAGCATTGCTTTGCCGAGTATTTTGGACTGATCGGCCAACTGGCGATATGACAGTCGTACATTCTGCCACGAAAAAACCGCAGCTGTGTGATTCTCATAACGATCTGCTTGCTCATCAATCAGTGAGCCCAAGGTCTTGGACCATAGAGGCGGCTCGTTGATGCCGTGGACCAAGGCAGGGGCGGGAGTCATGATGGGCAATCAGTGATGGAATGGATTGAAGGAAAAGATTTGAAGGATAGTGGAGAGAAGACTTATTTCCGGTTCTCTATTCAAAGTGCAAACAACATGCTCTCATTAATCTTTTTGGTTCGTTTGTACTTGGTCCGTTCCGCGACCTTCAAGGCCGATTCCGGGCTCCGGACCGAACCCCGTCCAATTCCAAGTCCGCCCCCATAGTTCTTTTGTACTTGCCTTCAGCAAAGTTATGACATACCCAGAGGATTAAAACAATCCATCCTTTGAGTACTAATATCCATTCATCCAAAGGATTCCTTCCCACCATGGCGACTGGATCATCATACCCCAGCATCAGCGCCAACCTCGACCTTCGCGGAGAGCAATATCAGTCGAATAAGGCAGGCTGGATACCCATTCTTGACAAGTTCGAGGATGCTCTCAAACAAGTCTCTTTCGAAGGAAATGATGCTTCTCTTCTTCGCCATCAGCAGCGTGGCCAACTCTTACGTACGTCGTGACTCGTGTGCTGCATGCCATGTCTACTGCTGACCAGAAAGCCCGCGATCGAATTTCTCTCCTGCTAGACCAAGACTCACCTTTCCTGGAGGTTTGCGCCTTTGCTGGATACGGGAACAGTGAAGCTACCCCCGGAGGAAATATCATCGCAGGTATTGGAAATGTGTGCGGCAAGCCATGTTTCCTTCTATCACATGTGCCGACCTCCCAAGGAGGAGCATGGAACACCATGACTGGTATTGTCATCTCCCACGATCTACCAATTGACAAAGCTGACCAATACGCAGTCCTGAAGGTGAATCGCTGTTTGGAGATCGCGACTGAAAATGATCTTCCCCTCATCTCGCTCGTGCAATCTGCTGGCGTTTTCCTGCCGCAGCAACGCACCGTTTTCCACAATGGTGGCAAGCTCTTCTATGACCTTGCGAAGAGATCAGCCGCTGGAAAGCCGTCATGTGCAATCGTCTTCGGATCCTCGACTGCAGGAGGCGCTTATCACCCCGCATTGTCTGACTACACCATTTTCGTTGAAAATCAAGGCCAGGCCTTTCTCGGTGGACCGCCTTTGGTCAAGATGGCCACTGGAGAGGTTATCGAAGCCGAGGAGCTGGGAGGTGCCAAAGTTCACGCTACAATGACAGGACTGGCGGACCAAATTGCGACTGACGAGTACGTTTATCTTCGAGGGCAAATTTTGGTATTTTGGTTTTCCCCAGGTACTGACGTTGGATACCCAGGTTTGATGCTATCCAGAAGTCTCGGGAATGGGTTGCCTCGCTGCAGATGCGCGCTAAACCAACACCCGGGCTGATCGAACCGGCCGCACCGCGTTATCCAGCCGAAGACTTACTCTCCCTGGTCAACACGGACATTCGGAAGCCCTTTGACATGAGTGAAGTCTTGCTCCGTCTTGTCGATGACTCGCGTCTTTCCACATTCAAGCCCAAGTACGGACCAAATATCATCACGGCGTGGGCACACATAATGGGTACGTAAACCCCCTGATTCTAGAGCTTAAGCTCGAAGATATACTCATCCCAATTGAAGGACATCCCGTCGGTATTGTGGCAAACCAAATCTCGGTCATAAACCCCAACGAGGCTGTCAAGGCCGCAGCCTTTATAAGAATCTGCAACCAACAAAACACTCCAATCGTCTTCCTTCACAATGTTACCGGGTTCATGGTCGGAGCCAAAGCCGAGCACGCCGGAATCATCAAAATGGGTGCCCAGCTGGTATCCGCCGTCAGCTGCTCCAAGGTCCCGCATATCTCCATAATCCTAGGAGCTTCCTACGGAGCAGGCAATTATGCGATGTGCGGGAGGTCATACAAGCCGAGATTCCTGTTCACCTGGCCCACCGGGAAGTGTAGCGTGATGGGAGCTGATCAATTGGCCGGTGTCATGGAAACCGTGCAATCGAAGAGTGCCCAAGCGAAGGGAAAGACGATTTCACCAGAAAAGCTACAGAAACAGATTCAGACGTTCAGGGACACGGCACAGAGAGATGCCGAGTCCTATTCTACGAGCTCGTCGCTCATCGATGATGGTATTATCGACCCTCGGGACACTCGGGACGTGCTGGGTATGTGCTTGGAAGTGGTTTCTATTCAAGGGGTTCAAGGTGCGGAGTCGCATATGGGACTTGCGAGAATTTGAATAGCTTCAAAGGTGTAAACAGATACGGTTCAAAGATCTTTGGATTTCTAGTTCGGATAATGAAATGAAGCGAAATATTCCTTTTTTTTTTTATAAACCCCCTCCCCCCCTTCCCCCTCCAGAAAATGCCAACAGGTCTCGTAGAGTAGAGGATCAAGAAATCAACGAACCACCATACTCTGAAAATTGCAGGATATCCAACTTGAACTATTCCGGTGATTGGAGATTTGACTCCCCGAGGCCGCTTCGGAATCTCCAGCCGAGTCCGTTCGGACCGGCGTCTGCATACCTCAAACAGTCGACCAATTAAACAGCGTAAATCCACGGTCCGATGGGTCTCCCATAGCTGGCGGACCGGACTGAACCAGTAGAGGCAGGCCCACATTTCTATAGTAAGTAGTGTCCTGCAGCAACTATTATGCGCATTGTAGTCCAGCCTCGTACACATCTCCATCAACTTTGCGAGGGAGCTGCAGCACCCACCCAAAACACGACACGATGCCTGAAATCACTAACGGCAAAAGTTTGACAGATGGCGACGCATTCCCCCTTCGCAAGCCACTGTTCGTCGCACAAACTCCACTGCGAGATGATGGTCGTCCCGTGCTCCGCAAAGTCCTGATTGCGAACCGAGGCGAAATCGCCTGCCGAATCATCAAGACATGTCGCAAACTGAATATCGGCAGCATAGCTGTCTATGCTGATGAGTAAGGACATCTTGCATCCGCTTTCCACGAATACTGAAGGCTAACTTCTACATCAAGGGATGCATTGTCACGTCATGTTATAGAAGCCGACGAGGCTATCAACATTGGGAGCATCGACAAAAGAAAGGTAAACCCTTTCTTGGACATCGAACTTCTGGTACAGACGGCACTATCAGCGGGTGCTCAGGCCATTCACCCTGGTTATGGATATCTCAGCGAGAATGCCGACTTCGCGAATCGCGTCCGTGGTGCCAATCTGATCTTCATTGGACCATCCGCCAGTGCTATGTCCTCACTAGGCGACAAAAGGGCCTCGAAAGTCTTCCTGAGTGAACACGCCCCCGATGTTCCCCTGATCCCTGGATTTTCAGGCTCAAGCCAGGATGCAGATGCTCTCAAAAAAGCAGCGGAGGAGATCGGGTTCCCAATCATGGTCAAAGCTTCTGCTGGAGGAGGAGGCAAGGGGATGCGCATTGTCAGGGAGGCTGGTCAATTGAAAGATGAACTTGCGCGAGCACAATCCGAAGCCAGTCGCTCCTTCGGCTCAAGCGACTGCATCCTGGAAAAGTACATCGAGAACAGCAAGCATGTGGAGATACAGATTATGGGCGACTCGCACGGCAAGGTCGTTTCATTCTTCGACCGGGACTGCTCAGTGCAACGCCGGCACCAAAAGGTTATTGAAGAAACGCCATGCCCATTCTTGGACGATAAGACGCGACAGGAGATGAGTGATACCGCGGTTCGAATTGGCTCGTTGATCGGATATGAGAATGCGGGCACCGTTGAATTCATTTTCGACGTGTCGACAGGCAGATTCTATTTCCTGGAGGTCAACGCCCGACTGCAAGTGGAGCATCCTATCACCGAGGAGGTGACTGGCTTTGATCTGGTATCTTTGCAACTCTTCGTCGCTGCTGGTGGAAATCTCAGCACCATTCCAGCTCTAGATAACGTCACCCAACACGGCGCGTCTATCGAGTGCCGGCTGACGGCTGAAAGCCCGCAAAACAATTTCCTTCCAGAGCATGGCAAGGTGCATTTGTGGCTTCCTGCTCCTGGTGTTCTGTCTCCAGGCAGGGATGTCCGCTACGAGACAGCCATCCAGAGTGGATCAGTGGTTTCCATTTATTTTGATTCCATGATTGCCAAGCTGGTCGTTTGGGCACCCACGAGATCTCTCGCAATCGAGAAAATGCAACAGGTTCTTGCCCATACCGCTTGTGTTGGAGTGAGAACGAACCAGCTCTTCTTACAAGCCTGTCTATCGAACAAGGAGTTCCATGATCCTGCTTACACAACCTCTTTCATCCCGAACAACCTCGAGCAGCTTCTTCAACCATCCTTCCTGCCAAAGGCCACTGACATAGAGCCCGTTCTCTCTATCATGTCGAGCTTAGCTGTTCGGTATCTACCTGACCATGTACCAAAGTCTTTGCAGACAAAACCATTCCATTACGTGCGGAGACAGTTTCGAAATCAGAGGCTCGATCCTGTCAACGTACACTGTGACGTGATTACCGCAGTGGATTGGCCTTATCACAACAAGAGCAAAGAGCCCATTCCAAGTTCGCTGTGTATCTGGAAGGCTCCAAGCCCGGAGTCACCAACCGCAATGGCCGAAGCTTTTGTTTTGTCCATACCGGACGAAAAGAATTTCGAGAATGATTCGCAGTCTGCCGCCACTGAAATTTCTATGAAGTACAACCAGATCAGCCAAGAGATCCGCAGTGGGAAATATGTCAGCTCAGCTCCATACAAAGCTCGCATCGAAGCGTGGCAGCCAGCAGAAGGTAGCGCAGCTATCATAGAATCCTGGTTGTCCTCCAGAATTACTGTTTCCATCAGTGGTGTGAAGACATCTGCCTATATTTGCCTTCCGTCAGTTCGCCCGCACTCGTTTACCGGACAAGTGGATCAAAGCCAGCAGATCTTCTTCCATATCCCGGCTATTGGGACCTACGTTGAGATGAAGCGTGATACGCTACTCTCATTTGCAGGCAGTATTCGATCTATTGCCAAGTCTAAGGATGACCCTGCGCAGAAGACCGTGACGGCACCAATGCCTTGCAAGGTCCTTTCGATTCTGAAGAGTAATGGAGATTCCGTCAAGGCAGGAGACTCGGTCATGATCATCGAAAGTATGAAAATGGAAATCACCATATCGGCGGCGTCTACGGGTAATTTCGAGACGAAGTGGAAGGAGGGAGATGCCGTTGAAGATGGAAAGGTTCTTTGCACTGTTGTCTAGAATGCCGTCATAATAAATGAATTTATGTGAACTTAACTTGCTTGTGTTAGAAGTAGAAAACAGTTAATGAATTTCTCAGCTGATAATCGGCGATTTCGAAGGCAAAAACGTGCATCGTCAGTACAACCTTGGCTGATTGACAACCTCAGGTTGGCTTTGATTCAAGCTGCCGAGCACCAACCGTTTGATTTTAAGCTAACTCCACCGCGGGCTGCTCAATTAGATCCGATGTTACCTTTTGTAACTCTTGCGTCATATTCAAGCTGATTGTTTCAGTCGAGATCTCCGATTAAATACGCAAGATACCAATATTGATTGACAAGTTTCAAGCAGGCCGATCCATTCCAATATCTTAAAGCAGCCTAAAATGTACAATCTTTATTTCTTCAAACAACTAGCTTTAGCTTCATTTCCAAACTAAAGCTTGCTCTCCTTCTTCATGTGTTTAATCTCTTGGTTAACAGCCAGCTCCGAAAGGATCTCCTCGCTACCCCCGCCAACAACCATAACCCTGACATCACGGCTGACTTGCTCAATGCGAGCTCCGCGGCCATTTTTAGAGTAGCCAAGGCCTCCCATTACCTGCTGGGACTCTCTATTCACCATTTCCAGGGTCCGCCCGGCAAGTACCTTGAGATTTGCGAACAAGCCCCCCCATTCCAGCATCAGTTCCATTCTCCTTTGTGTCTTGATGTATGTAGACCAGTTGTTCCATCCATGCGTAGGCAGAGTCTAGGCTCCGGGCCATAGCTGAAAACTTCGCGCGGATGACCTGGTTCTCGATCAACTTCTTTCCAAAGGTCTCTCGGGTGATCGCATGTCGGTATGCGTCCTCTGCACAAACGCGAGCCATGCGAAGCGAGGTGCAAGCAAGCCAGAGCCGCTCATGATTGAAGTCTGACTTGGACTTAGCGCCAAATAAAGAGAGGAATGTCTGGTTAATGCACGTACTGTTCATAATCACAGGAAATCCTTTGTTTTCCTCTCCGAGTAGGTTTGCCACAGGGACCTCAACTTGATCGAGTTCGATGTATGTTGAACCTGAAAAATCAATGATCAGCGATTCGATTCAATCTGACATGTTGTCGACATCAGTAGTACACACCACTTGCATGGACCCCGGAATTATGGATTCTTTTACATGTAACTCCGGGAACCTTGAGGGGGATTATGAGTGCCGAGATATCTTGTGGACGCTCGCCTGTCCGGACAGCAGCCGTGCAATAGTCCGCCCACATGCCGTTGGTAATCCACTTCTTCGCGCCATTCACAATATAGACATCTCCTTTCCGTTCGGCGGTAGTAGTGATACCGGCAACATCGGAGCCCGCTGAGATTTCAAGATTCAATTAGATTCAAAAATCGTGCAGATAGCGCGACAAGACGTACCATCCGGCTCGGTAACCCCCAAGCAGAATCTGATGTTTCCCTTGAGCATGTCTGGGAGAAATCGGCCCTTTTGCTCTTCAGAGCCAAACTGAATGACAGGAGGACCCCCGATAGAATTGCCACATCCTAATCCCCAAACTATACCGAGATAGCCACAACGAGCTAGTTCATCAATGACAATCAAATCATGAAAACCATCCCATTCTCGAGGGTTGATATCACCCGGGAGCCGTTGGCCCTGGAGATATTCTGCTGCCAATGGGAATGACGCAACTGCGGTGTATCCTAACTCTGCATGTTTGTTTTGAACCTAAACAATATTTTCGTGAGTATTTTATTCGAAGGAAATATCATAGGGATATTTCATATCATCCACGAACCTCGGGAGGGATGGAACCTGCTTTCTCCCAATCTTCCTACAATGAAATAAAATTTAGCATCAAATCGAAGAAGAATTAGCAGAGATTGGAGATTTCCATGCATACGCAAAACGGAGTTATGTTGTTGTCAACATACTCGCGAACTTCTCGTTGTAGTCGACGATGCGAGTCTTTGTAGTAGGGGCTACTTTGGCGATTAAGCCAAAGCGGATCGGCGAAGGGGGTATTCGAAACAGACATTGCGTTATCCTCGGTAGTTTATCTGATTTGAGTTGGTCTGAGTGAGAATTTTATTATCTAAACTATTTGGTTTCCAAGGTTCCTCACTTGTAATTATCAAGATGGCCGGACCGAACCCCGGCCTCAGCGGACCGACCTACGATTTGCGCGTGTGGGGCGGACCGGCTGGGAAGTCTAAGTCAAGCCAATGCGATATCATTCTTGTTCTCATGCATTTTCGAAATTGTTATATGATCAAGTTCTCTCCGTCTTGCCGTAATTCCCAGTCTGCGATATAGTACAGGGTACTTCGAACAGCTAGTAACTAAGCGGTATTCCGACTGATGATATTTTACTAGTGCAGTTATGGAAACTTAGGCGGGGCTCTTGGTTACGCCCGAGCCTAGTGAGTTCGTAGACAGTTTCCCCATCTCACAACCATCTCACAACCATCCCACCCCTTTTCAACATCACCAAACTTGAAAATCAACTACCCAAAATGGCGCCTTTCAAAGCCCTTCTCTTGACAGCATCGCTCTCTGTTGCTGCGCACGCCGCGCGTAGCGAGGATACCGAATGTCCAACCGGCTGGCTTCCCAACACCTTCAAGGTGACAAGATGCTGCTCCGGAAACATGGTCATCGACAATACAACCGCATATTGCTGCGTCTATGACATGAGAGGCTACAAAGAGGCTCTCACCAACACAGCACTGCTATACGAAACCGCCACGACCACTACCACGGGCGATCATTACAGCGAATGGGCCACGCTGGAAGACAGTTGCATCGCAAGTGTCCCCTACACCCTGCCGGCCAGTGAATATTCGGCTCAGGTCTCTTCAGCAGCGAAGAAAGCTGAAGCTACTCCCACCAGTACCTCCGCGACTACCACCAACTCTGCGGCGACCTCCGAGACGACCTCCGAGGCGACCTCTGGCTCGGGTTCACAGGTCTCGACGTCGACTTCGAACGCGGCCATGCCTCTTCCTACTGCTGGAGATATTGCATTAGGAGGCGCGGCACTCGCTGCAGCTCTCTTCGTGCTTTAATTCCAGGTGATCATTGGATATGTCTGGGCCTGAATTTGGTTTCTTTTCGGACGTTACCTAGATTTGAAGCTTGCTGTACCATAGAGAGAAGTCTGTGTTGCCTACATTCCATTGGGCATATGTTTTGTAAACACAAGATAACGCGTCCTATAAATATACGGGGTATCTCGATTTATTCTGAACTTCTGACTCGGGGATTTCCAGGAGAACCCTGAAAACTTTGCCAAGTAACTACTACCAAGAAATAAGAAGAGTCTACGGCTCCAAAAGCCGGCTTGGCTTTGGGTTGGTCTACCGAGAGCCAACCAATTGGCCCCAGGCCAAGAATTAGCACCAAGCTAGTACGGATCCTTTCCTGGTCCTTTAAGGATTCCTAACCACTAGTAACAATTTGCCTTCCGCTTATCCGGAATCGTAGGGGCAACTATCTGATTGATCTGGACTGCCGGTCTAAATTTTAGTTGTCTCGTCCTTGGAAGGGAAATTGGTATTATTTTATTCGTTTTGGGTTCAATATATCTATTTCTCTCATTCCGGTGCTAATAACTATTTCACATGGATGGTTTGGATTTGGAGAAAGTCTTGATAGCTTCAACTGCGATCGTTGGAGTTTATGTCTAGACGCTTTAACTTCTAGCTCGTTTCATTCCCAGCCGCATGTTATTAGTTTTAATGGCCATAATAAGAACAGTTTCCATCCTGCAATAATGTGAGAAACGGTTTAAAATATGGATCGAAAACCACTTCGAGAGAAGACATACCTTTCTTTGAATAGCATCATCAATCCCTGAACCAAAAAGCCCTTAGTAATTTGCGGGAGAAGACCCTTGTAGAGTCTTAAGAAACCTTCATTTTGGAGGATGAATATGAGGACTTCTGTGAACCCCTTAAAAGGCTTACCCCCTCGACATGTCACTGATTTTGATTGCAGCATAGTCTTGGCTACGATCAGTGGATGGGTCACAATCGTTGCTATTATCTTCGATAGAGCGCCAAGCACTGGGACATGTTAAAGGGTCGAAGGAAAAGGTTTAAAGGCCATTCATAGCTTACCAAATGCATCGAAAGAGCCAAGCTCTTTTCTCACATTGACCAAGATATTCCGGAGCCATTGATAAACACCGTATGTGATCATAGGGTTGATGACCAAAATCAAGTTCACCTTCAGCCCAGTCCATAGGCCAGCCCATCCATCATCACTTTCCAGGATCGCTTTCGTGGATTTCCAGATCGACTCTTTACCGGTGAACTTTGTGCCCATCTGCTGTCGAGTTGAAATAACCGAGATAGGAGTCGTGCAGAGCTGGGCCATGGCACCACCTGCAGCCCCGAGACCCAGCTCTTTCACAATACTGTTTGCATCCGCGCAACCATGAGCCTTAAGCATCGCCCCATAGAGAATCCTTGCAGTTGCTGACCAATAGAAATATGCAAAATTCATAGATGCAGTGCCAAGGAGAGAACTGCCAAGTCCACTATACAATCCTGGGAAGCCATCTTCCCGAATTATCTTAAACACTGCGTCCATAGCATTGTTGTATTGAGGGCCATTTTCAAGTTCTGATCCACAGTCATTCTTTCCGTCTCTGTTTCTGTCGCGTTTTTGAACTTGAATCTGCAGTCGTGTCTTAACACTGCATGGGTTAGACAGCTGGCTTAGAATAGTAAGAGGTTGAATTTGAGCTATACATATCGAGTGGATAGACCAGAACATTTGCGAGAATGGCGGCACCGGTCCCCGAAAGTACGCCTTTCCAGGGTGAAAGATTGTTCATTGTCGACATGTTGATTGCGTAGCCTATCTATGCAGGAACTATTCACTGATTTCAGAGAATACTCAACTATTTACATAATAATAAAAGAGTGCCTTTGACTCTGGTTCCGCTGGGCCCGGCATTGAGAATCTCGGTCCGACGGTCCGACGACCGGAAGGATGTCATTCAGACCAATGCATTGGTCCCAGGACTACAATTTAATAGATGCTCGACCTCATTAAGTCGCATTGTAGGGGAGAATCCATCAAACATACCCGTGTTATCGGGGGCCGATCGAGGTGGTGCGCTCATGTTGAAGCTCGACTGAAGTGCCCAAGAATCTGGCGAGGGAATATTTGAAGCGTTGGATCTTTGTATCAGGGGTCTTTTGTATGGATCTGAGCCCAGGATCCCGTAATCTATCATGGACCACAGTATGTCTTCGTGATATGCGTCAAGATCCTCTGTCAGGCGTGCTGGATCAAGAAGACCGGAAAATTGATCGGCAATGCTGTGAAAATCACTGAGGCGAACGGCCTGGGAAGTATATTAGATTTTTCCAATATGTGAGCTTGGGGATACATACCATGTTTGCAGAATGGGACCAGAACTTGCCCAGCGAGTTCAAAAAATCGAGGCTCTGCTGAAAATAGTAAAGAATATCAGACTGCCGCCGGGCGACACTCTGGTGTTCGAAATGAGATGCAAGGGAATTGATTGACCCCGCAACTGCAATACAGTATGCATAAAAGGAGGATTCTATTCGGCATCCAGTTTCAGTAGCTTCGCGTAGGAGATCGAGCAATTGTCTGGCATGGCCTGCCCCATCTTGGAGTGCCTGAGCTGAGAAACTACTAGGGGCCTTGGCAAATGGCTTTAGGCGCAGGCGAACAAGAAATGGGTGATTCAAGAGGCAATGGCAAAGGTGAAAAAGGGTATGGGCAAATATCAGCTGCCCTTTCTCGTCTGGGTGCGTCTCATGCAAAACATCCGAAATTTTCCGATCGTTGATCTTAGAGTATGACTCTAGGAGTAGCAAGGCAGATTTGATCGCTGAAAATTCCGATTTGGTATCCCACGGAGGGATTTGATCTGACTTTTTGTCGCGATGCACGTATCGTGTACAACGTCCAAATATTGATGCCATTAATGTCACCAAAGCGAAGGAACTGGGATTCTCAATGACCTCCGCATTCCAATTGAGTAGTTCACTCAAGGTGTTTGTTTGTTTCCAGGTACCGTTTTGAAAGGTGGTTTCATCGCAGGGTAGCTGCACGTAACAGTCGTCATCATGTATGACAATTGGACGTCCTTGACCACATGATATCAGCTTGTCTATAAGATAGGCTGACCAGAAGGTCCGGCGTCGCTCCTCTTGCTCTGCATAAGATAAATAACTGGTCGGTTCCATCATTAAGTGCAGGTCTTGTGAGATTCGCGCAGCGAGCCCAATTTTCAGCCACCCAGAGCTCACACGACCAGCTAAATTAAACAAAGCGTTGTGTCAGTAGAATTCATCACCACCAGGCTTCATTATACTGACCAGTATAGTCTACCACTGCAAGCAAGTTCACTGTTTGTACGACATGTAAATTCAGATTTTCTTCTACCGCCATATGTTCTGTTAGAACCGAAAGCCACGACTCTCTCGCATATTCAGATGAAGCCTGGGGTTTTCCTGCGTAGTAATCATGATCGGAGAATCGAACGGCGGAGGAAAGAATTGCCAAAACTAAACACCGGGGAGAGAGTTATTGGCCAGTCTTTCTCGAAATGATATTTCTTTGAAAAACGAATATGGTTTGTTGTGACAACGGCTAAAGTATGTATTTACAACCGAGTGCAGCACCGGTGGTGGAGGATATGATCTAGCAGGCATCAATGCTGATGGTTAGCCGAGGTGAAAATTCCATTGCTAACTTTGTTTGGATCACATGTGGACGTACGAATAATTGGTCGCGTTTGAGAAGTTCGTGAGCAAGTCCGGGGATCTTATTGATGGTGAAAGATCGCTCCCTGGCTGTGATGGGTTTAAGAAAGTATCGCTAGAGCTAGAAGTCCAAGTTGTCAGCATATCACCACCTCTTTGTGCGAAGGAGAAACGAACTCGTTCCGCCGTGTTGAGTGCTCGCTGAGCTCCGCAAGTCGGGATTCAATGGTACTTATTCGGTTTAAAAGCTCTGTCTATCACTTGAATTAGCGCAGGCTGGATGCAGAAGCTCTCGGGGACACACATTGTTAGAATCTTGATAATTGTTCGTTGTCGGTAGTGGCTGTACTGGTTGGTTTGGCTCTGCCACTATGGTCGCCGAGTAGGGTTCGTAGAGGCATGCGACTCGGTTTCGACGGCAATGGAAGCATATGGGACGCTCTCCAGAGCATTTCGTTTTCTTGCGTCTAAAAATTTTCAGGTTACACAGTGTCAGTCTGGACGTGGCGAATGCTGCGGGAAAGCCCCTGAGAGGAAGGATCTTCTTTACCTGCAATTCGCACACGCTTGTCTTATGCGCTTGATACCCTGTGCGGACTCGAAAGACATTTCCATAGCGGAAATAATTCCCCGCGATCGCGATGGGATTGAAAGCGATGGGGATTGCACAAGTTGGTGAGGAGAAGAAAATGCGGGGAAAGGTGTGACACGCGGAAATCAGCGGCCCCGCGTTGGCTGGTTTCTTCCCCGGAAATTGAATCTAGATATCCTTTGCTCCGGGGCAATTTTTGAGAGCCAAGACAATAATGATTACTAGTAAGCTTTCACTATGAATGACATACTTGTCAGTTATCCCACGGCATTTATGGTTACCACTCAAGGCAATTGGACCCAATTTGATAGGTAATGTGAGAAACCATTAACTTCGACAAATCTGGGATTGGTTACGCGAAGTTTCATTTGCCCCTCTGTTTATCTTAATTTCCATCAATCGTCAAAAACTATAAGCCAATCAGCTGGGTTACAAATGCTGAAGGGTCACAAATTGCTGGTCCAGTCCAAATCTCACCTTTATACCCCGATTCGGTAATTTTGGCAATGACCCACTTCAACCAATATTTAGCTTGGTGGCAACCCAGATTCATCTGTTCTTCAGAATACAAGGCGGCACTAGCTGGACTTTTTATCTCCTATCTCTCGTTTTAATAGCCTTTTTTGTCCTTTCCTGGCCATGTGGATGCACGATCTAGAAAACGGACCTTCAAGTTTGCTTTGAATGCCACTAGTAGTCAGACAGTGGGGCCTGAGCCTGGTATATATACTACTAAGATAGTGGTTCTGCGAGGTTCACACGAACATAGTACTGGTTATTGCCTAGTAGTTGACACTTCAACCTTGAAAACTCAACCTGCAAAATTTGTGAACTTTGGGCCACTGGGAACTCAGAACGTTTGATCTTTCCACAATGACCTCCCGCGATGGCTTTCAATGGACTCCTCAAAATGGTCTGAAACAAGGTGTTCCATCTCTTGGGGTCATATCCCCATCAGCAAAAATCACCTCGGACACACCATGGGATGTCATTGTCGTCGGAGGTGGATATTCTGGTCTCACGGCCACTCGAGACCTGTGCGTGGCAGGTATGAAAACCCATGCTCGTCTGTGGAATAGAGCAATGACTAATTCCATGCAGGATTGAAAGTCCTCCTTTTTGAAGCCCGCGATCGCATTGGTGGCAGGTCTTGGTCGTCTAATATCGAAGGCTACCCCTTCGAGATGGGAGGTACTTGGGTCCATTGGCACCAGGCGAATGTCTGGCGTGAGATTTCTAGGTACCAGATGGGAGATGAGTTGGAGCCTTCTTTTGATTTCTCCCGCGGAGTAAACTACTTCGAACTGCGTACCGATCAATATGCTACAACCATGAGTCACGAGGAAGAGGATACACTACTCGCCACGGCGTTGGAGAAGTTTGTGAACGTCGACGGCGACATGGGCCGCATCGTTATCCCCTTTCCTTATTCCGCATTCCATAACCCTGATGCACGCAAATACGACGAAATGTCTGTTCTAGATCGCCTGAACATCATTTCTCAATCCCTCACACCGAACGAACGAACCGCACTTGAAAGCTTTATTCTGCTCTGCAGCTGTGGCACCCTTGAGACAACCAGCTTCTTCGAGTTTTTACACTGGTGGGCTTTGTGTGGCTACAGCTACCGCGGTTGCATGGACTGCCTCATCTCATTCAAGTTCAAGGGAGGCCAATCCTCATTTGCCATCAAGTTCTTCAATGAGGCGCTGTCGTCGGGAAATCTATCTTATGCATTTAACAGCCCTGTTAAGTCGATTCGGGATGAGGACAAGGAAGTCACTGTGACGACTCGAGATGGCCGCAGCTTCACGGCATCGCGCTTGGTTTCCACAATTCCGCTCAACGTGCTTAGTGATATTACTTTCAACCCTCCTCTTGACCCTATCCGTACGACAGCAACCCAGACCGGCCATGTCAACCAGTGTGTCAAGGTACATGCTGAGATATCGAACAAGGATATGCGCTCTTGGACTGGAATTTCCTATCCATTCAACAAACTCACATACGCGATCGGAGATGGGACCACGCCAGCTGGAAATACACACATTGTATGCTTCGGAGGAAACCACAACCACATCCAGCCCGAGGAGGATATAAATGCAACCAAAGCGGCCGTGGAAAGCATGGCTCCTGGCAACATGGACATCCAGCGTCTGGTAAGTTTCCTGGCCTTCCAATGTCCGAGAGAATGGCTAATAGATTGAAGGTATTCCATAATTGGTCTAAGGATGAATTCGCCAAGGGAGCATGGTTCTTCTCCTCTCCAGGATTCATCTCCAGCTCGCTTGATGCACTTCGCAAACGACATGGAAACATACTTTTTGCCAACTCGGACTGGGCGATTGGGTGGCGCAGCTTTATTGATGGGGCTATTGAAGAGGGTACCCGGGCAGCTCTTACGGTGAAGGAAGATCTTCGATCTATTAGTACTCCACTCCGGTCTCACCTATAGAATCTAACACAATTTAAAAGGCTACGTTAGTCTAGAAAACGAATTGAAACATCTTCATTTTTGTAACTTTGTAAAGCACCCTAGTATAATTTCGGCTTCACACCTGAACTCCATAATCTTGGCGATACATACTAGTAGCGACTGGAAAAGTTGTTCAATTCCATTTCAAACCTTGCGGAGACCTAGCAGGCCATTCGAATTTGGAGGACGACCGGTGTGTTAGTAATTGAATCAGTAGATTAATGCAGAGTCTCGAGTTTATCGGATAGGAACCATCGAATCCTTAGATCGAGAATCATTCAAGATAGCCATCCGATAAGCAAACTCCTCGGAAGATAACAGGTTTAAAGGTCTGCAAATTGAGCAAGGGGCCGATCTGCTTCTACGTATTTCTGTTCTCATTGGTATGCTTGGAATGTGCGGGGTTAATTAACAAAACGCCTTCCAGCGAGATTCACGCCCGCAAGACCATTCCCCGGAGTGAGACGTATTGCATGGAAGATGATTGGTGATTATCAGGCCCGGAAAGGGCCACCTTTGGGGTAAAAACGCAATTGCCACTCGAATTATACTTCCCGGGGCGACCATTTTCTCCCCCCTATTGCTGCTTTGGGTAATAATGTTTCCCCGCACAATTCACCTTATCATCGTCACCGTATAATGATAAGATAGTATGCTCCTTTGGTGCTCGTAATACAAAGCATATCCTGACATGAGGACCGTTCTGTCACTATTTGAGTAGGACACTCTCCCGTTGGTCTTCTTCCTACGTCTTAACTATTCTTCCTTTTAATCAAGCATCATTGGGATCAAGACAAGATGGAATCCGATGAAATGAAATTAGAGAAAGGTAAGTTAGCTCATTGACGAGTTGCAATATATTCCACATCATAATTGACTAATATTCCCTCTCTGTAGCTTCTATCGAGGCCGAAAGACGTGAGTCCACCCCCATGTCTCCAACTTTCCATCAGACATCCAACCGCATGTCCGCCTATTTTATGGTTAAAACACCTAACAATTTACAGAGCCTGGCCAGATGGAAAGTTTAGTTGGCCAAGTTCAGCTGAAAGGTCTTGATCTCCAGGCCGAAGGGGGTCGGAAAATGAGTTATCTGCAGACCATATCGGCTAGCTGGGTAATCTGTGATAGCTGGGCGGGTCTGGCTGGGACCGTTGCTCTTGCTATCTCCCAAGGAGGTCCGGTAACATTGATATATGGACCTATTCTTATGTTCCTTTTGGTTGGGGCATGTACATTAACCCTCGCTGAACTCGCCAGTGTCTACCCCACCGCGGGAGGGCAATATCACTGGACTTCTATACTGGCACCGAAACGGGTCAACCAATCTCTGGTAAAGTCGTCAAGTCCGCGCTTGTTGAGAAATTTTTATTGACTCGATAAAATCAGAGTTATTGCTGTGGGATGATCAATATGTTTTCTTGGATCGCCATCTGCACAGGAATTGCTATCATTCCGGCCCAGTGCATCGTGGGAATCATTGTTTTCTATAACCCAAACTTTACTCCACAGCCATGGCACTCATTTCTGATCTACCAAGCTATTAATGGCTGTGTCTTACTTTACAACATTACCCTTTTGAAACGATCTCTCTGGATCCATGATGTATCCTGTAAGTTTTCCCAGGATCTCCAAGGAGCTCTGCTTACATTGATAGTTTTCGTTACCCTTGCTAGCTTTTTGGTCATTACAATTACCTGCGTTGCAAAATCTTCCCCACATTACGAGCCATCTGTTAATGTCTGGGGAACATTCCTTAATGGCAGTGGCTGGAGCTCCGGCGGGGTTGCCTTTCTCACTGGTCTCGTCACACCTAACTACATGTATGCTGGCATTGACGGAGCGCTTCATCTCGCCGAAGAATGCATAGACGCTGCTATCGTCGTTCCCCGGGCATTAATGAGTACTCTGATAATTGGGTTTGTCACCTCGTTTGCATTCATGATCGCAATGCTATACTGCACCAGTGATCTCGATGCAGTGGTTGCCTCCAACACTGGGTATGTTGATATTTTCTTCAAATTGATGATTTTACTCGACTAATATAGTTATTACCGTATAGTGTGCCAATTTACGAAATGTGGCGTCAAGCGACCCATTCAAATACAGCCGCAACAGTCTTCATCGTTCTTCTCTGCTGTGCAGCAACATTTGCCCTCATAGGCGCGCAGCAAACTGCTTCTAGATTGACATGGTCTCTTGCTCGAGATCGAGCGATCATGGGAAGCCATTGGCTCAGCCAAATTCACAGCCAGTGCCAAGTCCCAGTATGGGGACTTATCTTCAACTTCGCCGTCATGTTCATCATTGGATGTGTTTATCTAGGTTCCTCATCCGCCTTCAATGCCTTTATCGGAACGGGTCTTGTTCTTCAGCATATTTCATATGCCTTCCCTGCTGCTCTACTTCTGTATAGAAAACGATCAGAGACTTGGCTTCCTAGGGACCGATCATTTCGTTTACCCGGATTCAGTGGGTTTGCTGTGAATATTGTCACAATATGTTTTGCTATATTGGTACTGGTATTCTATGATTTCCCAACCTTGCTGCCTGTATCAGGAAGCAGTATGAATTACACAGCTGCTGTTCTGGGAGTGATGGCGTTGTGTGGGATTCTCAACTGGGTGCTGTACGCTCGGAAGAAATATCATGGACCGCGACTACTACAGTCGAGTGAGCGGTAAACATCAAGTTGAATGTAACTATGCTTCTGCTAGCAGGAATCTATATTTTTTAAAAAAAGATGATGTGAAAAGTTGACCATTTGGAGGCTAGAATGTAGTCTCGCCGCCCTCGGACCGGTGGCCCCGGCCGGATAGGACACCCCGCTCTTACGGTGGAGACGGCCTCACTGCAAGTTTCTTCCTTGACTGTTTCACCAGACTCAAGATCACCATCTACGAGGTACCTAGATATTACCGAGGCACATGTAGAGATAAACTTGCCTTTAAGTGACGCCGATGACAGCTTCTGGCAGCAAGAGCAAGAGCAAGAGTGAGTCTGAATGGCCAAGAGACCATTCTTGACATGAAGAGATGCTGACTACATTCCGTGATTGCCTATGTAGGATGCAGAGAATGCACTAAGCGCAGAATCATCTGTGACAACTCGGAGCCCAGCTGTAATAAATGTCTCAAAAAGGGAATTCATTGCTCGGGCTCAGGGCGAATTCGATTTTCAGGAGTCGCTCTGCGCGGCAAGCTTAGAGATGGCTTTGGGCCTCAACCTGAAGCTCCGAGCGCGACTCCTTCCAAAATTCGATGGAAGAGCGACCAGCCCAAGCGCGTCAGACGCACAAGGCAGTTGAGTGATATTTCCGAAAATGAGACGCAAACGCCTCAGCAGCTTAGAGATGATGAGGCTCTAAGCCAAGCGGCAACGGAGATGACCGATTCAGGTACTAGTACCTCTCTCGACTTGGTCTCACGCTCACCAGAATCGATCCCATACTGGATACCTTCAATGGACCCTCAGGTCCGCATGTCCATGTCACATTGTGAGATTTATTTATTCGTCTCCCGAAAACACCCATCTAATCACTTTTACTCTTTAGTTGCAGAACATGTCGCGCCTGTCATGGTGGTACTAGACCATGTTGGAAATGGCTACCGAGACATCATTTTACCTTTAGCTTGCAGTCATGATTTGCTTCGCCGCGCAGTGGGAGTTGTTGCTGCTCAGCATTTCGCTCTTTCTCACCCAAGCTTCCAAGGTGCCGTAGACCAAGGCCGCGCAGATATTATCTCTCAGCTCCGCCAGGATGCATTTCAGGCTTCACCCGATCATGTTTTCAATCAAGGGACCTGGGCAACTATTATTGTGCTATTGGTCGGAGAAACAATTACGGGTAGCTCCGAATATGGCCACCTTCTACAAACTCTTCTGTGCCTTTTCCAGCATATTGGGCATCTAAATTCTTCTACAACCCGTTTTTTGACGCAGCAAACGCATATGTATGTCGACTGAAATCGTTTTCCAAAGGTTTACTAACGTTATCATCAAGGTTTGAGTTCTTGGGCCAGCCTCTATTAGGAGAAACCCAGGGAATTAACGCACTTCGCCTACCACTTGAAAATTATCTAGATTGGATCTGCTATGACCTTCCCTCGGATTCAGAAGACAGCAACCTGCTTTTTAGATTACGAATGGCCTTCATCAAGGCATCGCATATCTACCTCGGTCGCACGTCCTCCGATGAAGATCAATGGCAGCTCATCGAAAACCTGAAAGAGCTTGTTAGTCAAATTGATCCTGAACGAGTTGGCGCTCACGCCCTAGTATGGGTATGCTTTATTGGTGCTGCGGATTCTACCGATCCTGAACACCGGAAATTCTTCATAAATCGGTTGAAGCAAGTTTTCACGAAAACGAGGTTCAACAACATTCTTTCTGCTATAAACGCGCTGCCGGGAATTTGGCGCCAGAAAGGATCGTGGACGCGAAATCTGACCCTGACAGCACCAACATTAATCATGTGATCTCCTTCAAGTTTCTCTTCCTTTTTTTGTTTCCTCTACTCCGAGTATGCTAGCTTTGAAAATAATGAACCCATGAAAATGCCATACATTCAAGTTTTGAGAGATTCGGCTATTGAATTGAACTCGCCTCTTTGTTATATCCGAGCCAATTCCAAATGCGTTCTATTTCCGATCCAATCAGAGTACTTCAACCCACAACTACCGAGGCCACCACCCGTCGCCACAAACTAGCCAACTCTATTCCTCGCCCCGCAAAACGTAGCCCCGGGCTCCTTCACCGGACCCTGATGACTTCCGAGTCTCAACTCTGGGGAAATATCATGATGTCGGACGAGAATACCTCTCAAGAAGCTGATACACCTCAAGAGCCACTGGCATCACCCAGGCCGTTGAAATACAGATGTACAATATGCGACAAGCAGTATAAAAGACGCGAACATCTAAGTCGTCATATATCCAGTTCCCATACGTCAGAACGACCCTTCCAATGCAAATCATGCCGTGGCTCTTTTCAGAGAGGAGATGTACTCAAACGCCATTTACGAACGTGTGGGGGTGAGCCATCAAAAGCAGGAGCAAGACGACGCGCTTGCGACCGGTGTGTTCGCCAGAAAAAGGCGTGCAGTGCGGATCAACCTTGTCAAGCCTGTTCTAAAAAGGGCGTCCTTTGCTTTTACTCCACTCCGAATTCCGACGAGATGGCCCTTCTGGCTGAGGAGGGTGCTTCAGCCGTAGTCTCGAACGAACATCGCCACAATGCTACCCCATCTACTAGCTCCGATATGCCTTTCGGTATGTCTGGCCATGGACTAGGAACATTCAATTCAACTCCACTTGATAGCTTATTTCGACAAAGCACATTGGACTCTTCTAGTCTGTCCTGGCCTGACTATGCACAACTCACATCTGATGCTCAGTTCATCGACAATACCACGTTCGGTTATTCATTGCCTTTTCTGGACCGCTTCACAAGTAATACGGGTCTTATATCGAGCTTTGATTGTGGAACACAAGAGCAAAGAGAACAGGTCGCCTCGGCCTTAGAACTTGAGAAGTTCGATATTCTGCAACACACATCCACCATCTTGCCACAACCGCATTTGAAATTCAACCCAATCTCACCTCTTCTCTTTAATGGCATCAGCGACGCCAACAATTCTGATTCCATTCCAAATGACTGGTTAAGTGAACCGCTGTCGCTTAAGACCCACGAAATTATCATACTGGTTGAAGAAGTCGTCACTGTAAAGCCCCGAAATAGCCCTGTGACTCTGGAATGGTCCCCGTGTCTTAAAAGTGCATGTTTGCAATTTTTCTCTCCTGCGAATCTTCGAAAATACCTGGGCTTTTACTGGGCTATCTGGCACCCTAATGTCAACTTTGTGCACAGGCCTACCTTTGACATAGTGTCGGCAAAGCCAGCCCTTTTGGCGGCAATGGCACTCATGGGTGCCTGTGTTTCTCCAGATATGCCAGATAATGAAGACGCGCGAATGTGGTTGAATTGTGTCGAGGAGATTGTTTTCATCGATGATGATTTCAACAGTGATTTGGGCTATCCGGTCTCGGGAGGTAATATCTCTATCCATCGACCCAAGTTGCAGGCTCTTCAAGCTGCCTACATAGTCTGCCTCTATCAGAATTGGGAGGGTACCGACAGCAGCAAAAGCCGTATCCGCCGATTCCGTTTTGCCAATCTGGTGTCGACTGCAAGAGACATCGGAATCACAACTGCCACACATATAAACTATGCAACCCTTGTCAGGGCAGATTTCCAATGGAAAGAGTTCGCAGCAAGAGAGGAGCTGATTCGACTATTTACATGGATCTTTTTACTCGACACTGCTTTTGTCATCTTCAATAATCTACCACCTCGGATGGTCTTCAAGGAGATGAACATCAATATGGCAACCCCGGAAGCCTGTTTCCAAGCAGAGACTGCAGATCTATGCCATCAAAAGATCCAATCCCATATACCCGCCGGAAGCGCATACTGGGGACTTTCATTCCGGCATGCATTTGAAGCACTCTCTCAACCTGAATTATCACCGATCATGCGGAATTCTATTGCATCCTTAGGTCCACTGAATCTCTTCGCAATGGCCTCTGGTAAGTGATATCTAGGTATTGCATTTGGTATTCAACAACCTCACTGACAAATCACAGCGATTCACTCTCAGATTTTCCAATACCGCAACTCAGTGAACATGTGCCAAAGCCTTACCTCAATTCGTCATACCTTGGCGAACTGGCACACCACGTGGCAGTTATTTGATTCCGCCAGCTCCTCAAGCACTTCGCCTCATATTCTGGTTGACGAAGGTGATATCCAACCCGAGAGCATGTGGAAAAGAAACGGATTCTACCGCTACTGCGCAGAATACTGGCTCTTGGCGAACCTGATGGCAGATCGACTCGCCTTGGCCGAATTATTGCCACGGAATAGTATATCCCTTCTGAATGACTCGGTCTTGGACCCAATATTGAGTAAATATGACCAAACTAGCATGCGACAAGTGAATGATCTTATCACGGGATTTCAAACTTTCCAGATATGAATGTTAAATCGAAAATTAATTGGAATGAAGTATGCATCCACCTTTTTCTCGAATACTTGCGTACATTCAAGCTCGACCATTAAAACACTCGGAATACCTAATCCCTCTAAGTTTGAAGCTTCGACTTTAAATATAGATTATCCCCAGCCTTGCTGATTGAAATTCATTGCAGCTATTTCTATTCGTCACGTTTCCCGCTGCAATCCATGGATCTCGCTCAGTACATTCCCACCCCCACCTCCGCGTCCGACCTCTCCTCCCACAGCACTCGATACCATCCCACATGTTCCCACATGTTTCCCGACTACCCCAGGATTTGGATTTGAGGGTACATGTGTGCTTTCACAACTAAAACTTATAAAAGCAGTGTAGAAAACGTTTCAGAAAAATTATCTTAAATCAAATCCTGCTCGGGTTCACACCTCATCATGCTGCCTATAACTCTTATACTAGGGGCCTTGATTGCTCTGTTCATTCTATACCGTATCCTATCGATTGGTCGGCGACCCAAGAACTATCCACCTGGGCCTCCAACGCTGCCAATACTGGGAAACATTCATCAAGTATGTCAATCGGTCTTGTGTGAACGATATTTCTAATTCAAAACTCATACAGATGCCCTCGAGGGACGCACATCTACAATTTGAAAAATGGGCCCGAGAGTATGGGCCTGTTTACAGTCTCATGCTCGGAACTAAGTGTCTTGTCGTCCTTTCAAGCGATGAGGCCGTTAAGGATCTTCTCGATAAAAGAAGCAGCATCTATTCAGATCGCCAGGAGATGTACATTGGGCAAACACTTTGCAGCGGAAACCTCAGGTTACTAATGATGGTAATTCACTCTATGACCTGCATACTTTAATGACTTTGCTGACTATCCCCTAAGGGCTATGGCCCCAAATGGCGCAGTGTATGAGTTTGAAATCTTTGGTTGTTCAGGAGTGTCCACTAACATGCTTTTAGTTCCGCAAAATGGTCCATTCTTTGTTGAACGTAACAACTTCCAAAAAATATCTCCCATATCAGATATTGGAAAATCGCCAGATGCTTTTTCAATTCCTGAAAGAGCCACATGACTTTTTGAATCATATTCGAAGGTAATTTGCTCTCGCTGCATCAAGACAAGATATGTAAGAACCGACCATAGAAGACACGATACTGATATCAGGTCCTTTCCTCAGATACTCCAATGCACTAACAACCACTATGGTATTTGGATGGCGGACTCCAACCTATGAAGATCCAAAAATGATGCAACTTTTCGATGGCTTTTCCGAATTTGCAGAAATCAACCAAACCGGCACAGCAGCTATCATCGACTTTTTCCCATTTCTGCGAAAATTGCCGGAGTTCCTTCTTCCGGCACAACGAAAGGCCAAAGAATTGCACCGCAATGAAAAGGCACTTTATCTCAGCCACTGGTTGAAGGCAAAATCTGACATCAAAAAAGATATCATTAAGCCTTGCTTCAGCGAGGGTATGTATAAAGTGCAGCAAAAGGAAGAATTCAGCGATGATCAGGCTTCCTACATATCGGGAACTCTCTTGGAGGCAGGATCCGACACAACGTCAAGCACGCTGTACGCTTTTGTTCAAGCCATGCTACTGTACCCTGATGTCCAACGCAAAGCACAGGAAGAGATTGATCGTGTTGTTGGACCAGATCGACTGCCCGGGATGGACGACCTTGCAGATCTGCAGTATATTCGCGGTTGCATGAAGGAAAGTTTAAGATGGATGCCGACAACTATTTTGGGCGCAGTGCCTCACGCAGTCATTCAAGATGATGAATATAAGGGTTACTTGATACCAAAGGGTGCAGGTGTACTGAACAATGTTTGGGCTATTGGTATGGACCCAAAACGACATCCAAATCCCCGAGTCTTCAACCCCGATCGGTACAAGGATGATGTTCAAAGCTTCGGCGATGCCGCAGCCAGCCCTGACCCTGCTAAGCGAGATGCATTTACCTTCGGGGCAGGACGTCGCATTTGTCCGGGGATTCATGTTGCCGAAAGGAGTCTCTTTCTTGGAATGGCAGGCATACTTTGGGCTTTTACAATTAAGCCAGCCAAGGACCCCCATGGTAACGAAATTATTCCAAATGCTGATCGTCTTACCCAAGGGTTTGTTTGTATGCCAGAACCGTTTCCTGCAAGTATCACGCCAAGGTCAAATGAACGAGAAGCCATGGTGATTAAGGAATGGAGGCTTCAAGAGAATCTTCTTGACACTGAAAAACAATGGCTCAACTCGCCAGTGGAAAAAAGTGTCTGATGATACTCATCTAGATGACTACTAACTAGCTAGCTAGTTAGTTATTAGTGGAATACTAGTAGTCTAGTTCATCTGCAATAGCCTCAGCTCAGCTTCAGATAAGAATTCCGTGGATGGACTCGTCATATCTCGGTTGATAGTTGGCGTTTGCATTGTGCGCTTTTGTATGGAGTATCCCGCCAGTGCCAATTAGACGTGTAGACTTGGAGTGTTGTATGTTACTGTCCGAAGATCACTCTCCCTCACTTCCTCTTCACCTCACCCACGTTTGTCTCACACAATACTCGTTCTTCCTCTTCCTCTTTTTTCTCTTTCATCCTCTCTTATCCAGTTAGCTCCCTCTGCGTCACCAAGGCACTTCCTTTCACTTTCCCATATCGGACAAATTAGTCCACCCCTTTCCAAGATGTTTGAATGCGCAACTTGTGGCCAGAAGTTCTACGACAGCGATGAATGTGGTGACCACATGGACACCTATGACCATTGGGCCAAATGCAAGACCTGCGAAATGGAGTTTAGCGCTCAGAGACTTGCCGACACCCACATGAAGATCTTCAATCACTGGCCTACATACGAATGCGAAACATGTCCAATGGAGTTCGACACAAACGCCGCTCAAGACAAGCATATGCGGGAATTGGATCATTTCGATCGGTATTGTCCGGATTGTGATCGATACTTCATGAACAATAACAACCTGCGCATGGTATGTTCTACCTGCTTGGACTCTATCATCCCCTCGCGGATAACTAACGTTTGTTCTCTCTAGCATCTAAATTCCAAGATGCACCGTGGCACATTAGTCCACTGTCCCTGCTGCAATACTGCGTTCGGCACTGCAAGTGGCGCATGTACTCACCTCGAGTCGGGCGCCTGCCCCGGAGCTCCGGGCGTCAACCGCGAGTCCTTGTACAAGTTCGTCCGGGAGAAGGATCGCGACGGCTTCCTCACGAACAACCTTATCGGCTGGAAGGAAGATCAAGAGTGTACCAAGTGGGAAGTCAATCCAAATACTCACAACGGTAGTTACTGGGAGTGCTACTTCTGCCACCGACAGTTCAACACCGCGTCTTCACTGAGTTCACATCTCAATTCCCCTGTTCATAAGCAGAAGATTTACCACTGTCCCAACAAGCGGGGAAACTGTAACAAGCAGTTCATTACTTTGGCTGGGCTTTTCGCTCATCTTGAAAGTGAATCGTGTGGATTGACGCGGTTCGAGAATGTCCAGAAGGAGTACCAAAACGTTCTCACTGGGCGGGGTCTCCTTACCTCTTAGGTTCGATATGGATCCGGCGTTGACCTTATGGTTATGTATGATGAACTGTGAGAGATGACGTTTCGTGAGTTTTCTGTGTCACGATGTCACGAGTGGGAGTTCAATTCAATGCGTGTGGAAGATTTCGGGTTTACTTTCGTACCAGTGTCAAGATCGAGTGGTCGGTCACCTTCAATGTCCCGGGAATTGATCATATTGTTACTTAGGTACTCAATGACAATACTCTACGAATGTGATCCTAATCAGGCTAAGGTAATATGGACAGAACAGTGTCTATTCTCTGCTAAATGTATGTGCACGAATTTAAACATCAACTAGCAATTCTATGATACAATTCCAATGAAACATCCCAAACGCCAAACAAAGCCATGTAGCAAAACAGCCATGCTCTAATCCAAAGCAAGAACGAAATGTGGTATCATGTAGTATGTGCTGGGTGTGGGCGTGAGCTAACTCCCCCAAAAGTCAAAATCAAACTGATCCTCCTCATTCACATGCCCTTTACCACGGACCAATTTTCCAAACTGATTATACACAGGCGCATCCGGATCCCCATTCTCCTTCGACCAAGGCCCAAGATCGTCGTCGAAAAGATCCCGTTCCTGTCCCTCGCAGACTTCGGCAAGTCGAACCCAATTCGCATCGTCGGTCCAGAGCCCGCCTCGTCCACCGCGTACATCCCACAAGTCCTGTCCGCCCAGAAGCGCGGACTGTGCGGCTTCAAACCCTTGCGAAGCACGTACGTGTTTTCGGAGTAGGGCCCGGCCCCAGGGGAAGAACCACATTTTCTCCCACCATGCGTTGCGCAGTTTCGAGTCACCGTTCACATGTGCCAGGACCGGGACGGTGGCGGAGTGCGGGTTTGTCATGAGTGGGAGTGTATGCCACGTATGATCATGCATGGTGGGCAATTTGTCGAGAGTAGAGTTCCACTCCGGGATGGTAGTTTGTTGCTTTGCGAGGCGGCTTTGATTGAATGGGTTCGGGAGAGCTGCAACGTCCGGTGGGAGGAGCATGCGCGTCTCTCGGGGGACGCCGAATTGGGCCTGGAGCATGGATGACTTGGTGATGTTGCCGAATTTGTGCCATTCGATGTCGCCTCGGGACATGTGTTGGTTGAAGAATAAGTCAGACTTGTAATCGACTCCGATCCCATACTCGTAGCGATGGCCCGTTTCCAGTCGGACAGTTATGCCTGTAAGATTAGATGCATCGGAGATGCCAATCAGATTGTAGAGCCACTCCTTGGCGCCATTGGTCGTGCGGCGACGCTCTAGTTCCCGCACCACTTCTTGCCGGCCATACATCTGAGTCAGGGCCTGGTAGTCGCCATTTTTCTTGTGGCGCTGCTCGACCACGCGCAGGAGCTCGTCGTAGATCAGTTTCAAATCGGCGGCTTGGCCGATGACTGCGCCGGGGTTTAAATAGCGCGGTCGGTTTTTGTGCCCATCGGGGTAGATGTCCGTCTTCCAACCATAAACATCCGGAGGTAATGAGGATTCCGGCACAGATATGCAGCCGGGGTCCTCCTCCAAATCAGCATAGCAGATCTTACTGGCACCAAATAAGACCCGCTGGGAATACTTCTGTACCAGATCCGAGGAGGCACCTGTTTTCGACACTGGAACCACAGCAAACCCATATTTCTTCCGCAACTTTTGATTGTTCGAGCGGATGATCTCTTGGAAACGCTTCACGAGAACCTGCGGGGGTAACTGGAAGAAGGTATCCAGAGCATCCACAACGAGCACAAAGTCTCGATCATGAACCGACTTGCTATCGCGGAGGTAGTTGCGCACGCGCGTAATGCGATCCACCATGCGCTCGAACTCGGTCGCACCGTGCTTTTCGTGGCCGTATCCGATTATTACTGGGGCCGGGTATCCCAGAATCATTGACGAGGTGATTGTTCGACATGTGCCACGGGAGCCTTTGGTGGCGGGCACCAGCAGGTGCAGGGACGGGTTGGTCTTTTCGAGGTCATGGGGGAGGGTGCTGTTGATTGTGATGCCTGATCTAGGAGGAAGAGCGACCTGCGCATCTTCCGGGAGTCCGGGAATGGGTGACGGGATGGAAATTTGGTCCAGAAATTGGGATCGGATTGCTAGACATAGCGTTGCGTTAGCGTTGGCGTTGACATTGGCATTTCGTGGGGATTCGCCGCAATGACGAATGTTGACCGAGAAACGATGGCAGATGCGGTCGTCTTTTGCGGCTAGTATCAGGGATGGGTATTGGGAGAGAGAAGAATTGAGTTACCCTTGACGACGATGAAAGGAGCCATAGGCAGACGAGAAACGCGAGGGCGGAGAGGGCGATGGTTTTGACTCTTTGCGTCCGCGGGCGATAGTGATAGAGCTGCCTCAGCAAGATCGAAGCCGACGACTGAGGCTCCCCGAGCCGAGGCGGGTTAAGCGAGGCCATTCTCAGCGTTCCAGGGCTCAAGATCGAATTGGGGGCAAGGAGAACATGTCGTAGAGCGTCAAGGCGGGTTGTTTCAGGATGTTGAAGAAGGGAAGTACGCAATTTGAGGGGAGATGATGACAACAGGTGCTGATCGGCACGCCCGTTTGCGGTGCACGAGGAAACCCACCGGGAGTATGTCTAGGTATCTATGGGACTATGCGAGTATTTATCACATGAACCTTGGAGGCTGATCTGTAGAATCAAATATAGGTCGATTGAATATTTCTCTTTCTTGTGAATTAATCTACTCCAGATAGATTTCCTCGCGCAATCGTTGAAGATTGCGAAACAACCCTCCACCAGGTCCCCCACTGTCGCTGTCACGTCTCTGTTCATTTCGCGACTTGGGTCCACGCTGGTTTTGATCGGCAACCGTCTGTTGATGGTCCAATATACGCCGACGCTCCTCCACGATCCTCTCCAGTGTGTCCACGAACCGATGTCGCGCTTTCTCCTCTGCCGACCCCTTCCATACTGTCGCCAATGCTCGTAGAGTCTCAATGCGATTGGTGGCAGCATTCAGCCCAGTCCGTCCACCTCCATCGCTCTCCAGTAGCTGAGTGATCTGGTTGCGCAGCTTCTTCATGGTTTCCTGGCCCTTCTCTTCTTGGTCATGACCACCGGCGGTCAAATCGGGTCCGGAAACAGATATAAAGGATGAGGAAAAGGAGATTTCGGAGGGTGGTAGGGGCCATTCCATCGCATCGCCGAACGTTTGGACAACATCTTCGAGTCTTGATCGGACCTGGTTGAGGGTGCGGAGGTTGGTGATGTATTCGGGGTCCGTTGTTGTCGTTGGCGCGGGGCTCTTTTGCGCGTCCACAGCCTGCTCATCTTCTGCAATCTCTGGATTGACTGTTCCTCCTGCTGTTACCTCTCCTTCAAGCTCCATCTTCCGACCAGCGGAAGACTCCGTCGAGGACACCGGGACGAATTTGGAGATGTCATCGCGCAGGACATCGGTCAGAGTTTCTGACAAGCCAATTGTCTCTCCCCGTAGTACTTCTACCTCGTAGGCTAATCGACCGCCACTTCTGAGGATCTCATCGCTGAGTTGTGAGAGGGTACTGGAGAGGCGCACGTTTTGAGCACTGATCTGTGAGAGCAAGGTCTGGACTTGTGCGGACAGCTCGGCCAGAGGTACGGAGCCGGGGACTCGAGAAGCATTGGGTTGTAAGGATGCGACCGTTAAAGGTGAAAGTGATTCATTAAGGAACTCGGCGGGGTCGAAGTTCGGGTCGGCGAAGTTGGGTGTCGTATCGGCTTGGGGATTGGGGGGTGGTGGTTGTTTGGTGGTCGTTCTTGTGGTTAAGGAAGCCATGGTGCCCGTGGATGGAAAGGCTATGGGGTATGCAGTGATATGTCTCCTCTCAATCCAACCGGAACGATATGTTGAACGTAAGAATTCAAAGACTCGGAGCTTCTTTGAATCAAGGTGGCTAGCTAACCATGCACGTTGGCCGCGGCTGCTTAGTTCCTCAAGGCGGTGACGGTGTGATGGTAAATAAATGGGGATAAAGCGGGGACACAGAGTACGGATGTATACCATATATTATTTAAGTAATTTTCTGCCGATGAATCTGAATAAAGATATAGTAATATATGATAATTAAATAGCAATGTAGTTGAGGGATATTTCTGGATAACTTTCAAAGTAATGGTAGAGTAAATAAACTAAACTCTGAGACAGAGAGATTCTCTAGCCCGCAATGTGGGCACTACTGCGAAGTCTGCATTAGAAAGTCCAGGAGAACGGATGTCTTCTTTGTAGTAGGGAAGTATATTGTGTCTGTATCTGATGTATAAATTGAAGATGGTTCAAGTTCTTACTAGAAGATGATCGGTAGATGGAGGAATGACCTGGCTATCTAGATATGGCAGTGGTGTAGGCTGACTCAGCTATGTGGGTGAGGCAGGCACTCCCAACTGTTCTTTAAACTTGTAGTAGCAGTTAGTTACCTCGCAGGTAGTGCTAGTACAACTTGGAAATGCATAATAAGTAGGCCGATGGGGGTTTTTGGATAGAAGTACGATCTTGCATTCAAGCTTATTCAAGTTGATTTCATCCCGATTTACTGTTAATGTTGTTTGCGCATCGGATAGGAGTATTAATTGACTCGGATTAAACTATGCGATCATTATAGCCATGCGGTAAATCAAGAACTAAGGGGTAATCATAAAGGAAAAAGAAGGTGGGTATCGTCATGGGCCCAAACAAGTCCAGCCATAGTACAAAGTATTGGAATCCCGAGGAATGCGACCAGACCACGGACAGGCCTTTCTCGCAAAATCCAGGGGCAAGCAAGGAATATAATCACAAACTGAAGGCAAGAGTCATATCTTCATGCGAAGCAACATAATTTCAGAGCAGATCCGAGGACCAGGCTGCATTTTCCAGCTGGTGTGTCCTTTAGATATCCTCAACAATACGAGCGTTCATCGCGCGTTGGAATCCATCGTCAGGAATGCCGGTTTGTTGCTGGACTCCATGGCTGCTGGGTCCTTCGCCAGCGTTGTCGGCGGCCGCCAATTGCGCATTGACAGTTTGATTGACAGCAGGCAGGAAGATAACCTTGCTGTTGGCGGTCTTGGCCATTGCTTGCATAGCTTCCAAGTAGCGGATCTGCATGGCGGGAGCCGAAGACAGAATATCGGCAGCCTGGCGCATCAACTTGGCAGACTCGACCTCGGCACGAGCCGCAATAACCTTGCTCTCACCGATACGCTTAGACTGGGCGGCCATGGAAAGTGAATCTTGCAGATCATTGCTGAAGATGATGTCCTTGATGAGCATGGACTCGACCTGAACACCCCAGCCAGCAGCGACCTCCTCAATAATCTCAGATGTGGACTGCGCAATCTCCTCGCGGCGCTCAATCACATCCTGGAGAACACGGGCTCCGATCACATGGCGCAGAGTAGTCTGGGTGCGCTCCACAAGCGCCTGCTTCACGTTGGAGATACCGAAAGCGGCCTTGTGCGGGGAGGTAACTTGGTAGTAGATGACGGAGGTCAGGTTGAGGGTAACATTGTCCTTGGTCATGCAGACCTGGCGTGGAACTTCGACGATTTGAATCTTGACGTCGACAGTTGTGAGGTGTTCACTGAGCGGGTTGACCTTAACCAGACCGGGATCCACGGAGCGCTCGAAGCTAGAGATATTGCATTAGTGGGCTGTTGTGCACTCGCGGGGGGCAGTTAGGGTGGTACAAACCGGCCAAATCGTGATACAAGACCAACCTGACCCTGGTCGACAGGCTTGAAGGGATTGGGGCAGCAGATACAGCAGGGAATAGCACCACAGAAACCAATACATTCACCAAGGCTGTGGACTAGAAGGAGAATAAGAGGTCAGCTTTTAGGTGATAGGATGCGATGGCTCAGGAGAAGAAGGGCAACATACTCAACTTCGAATACCATCCATGAGCCTCGGGGTTATCCTCGTCATGATCAATTTTGGAGGCGTATTTAGGCTGCAGATCTTGGAGACGGGCGGGCTGGACCTTGACCAGACCACGTTCATCATGGCGCGATGACTCGGGGTGCTGGATAGGAGCCTTGCCGGTACTCGCACCGTTTGTAGACATATTGGTATCAAGGGTAGTGTGATTTCAAGAGAGAAGAGATGTGAAGGTGAGAAAAGGATGGCAAGTTTCAAAGATGTGGAGGAAAGAAAGCCGAAGTGAGGGGGGGAAGGTGCCGGAGTTTAAATACTACCACGACGGGAGTAAAGTAGTAAGTAGGAGCTCTCCATTTGCATCCCATCCCATCTCATGCCACGATCAGCTTCTCCGCAGTGGGGCGAACCCTTGGCTCGGGTTTGGCCTTGTCCATTCAACTTGCAAGGCCATCAAAGACCATCAAAGGCCTCTTTCTAAGCCCCGATGGCTGAGCTTCGGGCGCAAAGAGCACTGGGTTGAATGCTCCACTAGTATCAACCACTCACACCTCCCGAGTGCCGAATATCCGGCTGGGGCGTACATGATCGCTTGACTCCCAAGGTTTGGTAGGGCTGTTTCCTAGGCCTTGGCAATACGAGAACGAGATTCTACACAGATTTGGGTTCAAGTTGGGTTCAAGTTGAGTTGTGGTTGTCCTGTGGATGGAATCGGACACACCGAAGTATGTTTCGATGAGACTGATACATACAACTACACGGGTAGTATGTCCGAATGTAATCCTTCCATTCCCATTCCTCGACTCTTCTCGCATGTTTATTATGTATGTATCATGATCGGAGTGTTGGTATGCACCTTGGCACAGGGAGGCCCCATCTGGGCAATCCGGGCAATTTCTCGGCCCTCGTCATTCCACACGTGAGGCCCACAGTTTTCCAGATGTTTTCTAGCCCGGCCCCAAAGAACTGTGGGACTTGGACTCAGGGGGTGAAGTGGAAGTGGGCTCCTGCGAGGCTGATTCTCTCCGGCCCGTTGGAGGGTTGGAGGGGGGGGAGGCTGAGCTATGAACAAAGCTTCGGATATTGCTGCGCGGAAGGTTAATCACAGATCGGGTCAAGCGGATACATCGAGGAAGTCTTTCTGGTTGGATCAGAATATCCTAATTATGCCGCATAGGTTGAACTGACGTAAAGACTGGGTGAACGGGTTAGTCACTGGCCTTCGGCCTCCAACCTCGTGATCGTCTGATCGCCGGTTGCCAGGGGGGCAGTGCCGGAAGTCTTGGTTGATCCACCGTGCATTTTCCTCATGGGTACGATATAGACATGCCAGATGGGGCGGGTTAGTTGGTTAATTATTCATTGATTGATCGCAGGGCTATGTTGAGGGAAAGTTGAATCGGGAGCGGCTTGGGACAACAATACGCTCGAGACTGCTAGTGACTACCGTTGCCACCTCCAAGTTCAAGTTCCCATTGCCATTGAGATGATCAACGTAATACGCTGGGCGAAGTAAATAGCTTCGAACGTTCGTGGTATAGTACGCGGAGTGGTCCTCTGCATAAATCTCCTAACTAATGGTTACTAGTAGCCATTATGGTATGTACGCTGCGACCGACCTGGGAAGGCGAGGAGTACCACTTAGTACATAGTTAGCGAGCTAGTAACTTCTTTCGCCCGTTCTTTCATCTTTCATCCTTCGGATATGCAGGGTCGGTGCTTTGACAGATGGAGATTGACACTTCAGGGCTGTGATTGGGCAGGGTAGGCTGGGAGCTCAGTCCAGGTGGCCCGGGTTTCTACTCCCCCCATCTTCTCTCCTTTTATTCCATAATTTCTACTCTTTCATTCTTTTGTCATATTTTCAATGCATGAATTGGCATTTCCAGATGATTAAAAACGGGCGGGGTGTTCAAGATCTAACTGTTACTTGGAAGTTATAGTCAGTTAAACTCAGTACACCCATGGACTGCTTTCCACTGACCGTAAAAAATACTATAGTATGGGCTAGATAGAAGACCTCTGTCAGTAAATGCAAACTGAAGAGCATCTGGGCAAATACGTAATATTTTATGAAGAATGAGCTCAGCCTATGATTTGCTACATTCAAGTTGTACAGAACTAGAGGTATACTTCTATCGGCCGAGCCATCATGGTACCAAAACGGCCTCGATCACAGCGTTTACTACTACTAGTACTAGTATTAACAATTTACCGGGTGCTCCCTTAGTATCTAAGCAGTCAACTTACTAGTAGCATTACGAAATAGTCCGGTACCAGCACCCCTCCACCGCGCAAGATATCCCCAAGATAGTAAAGTTGCTGACGCCATCAGACTCCAATTTCACGTCTTGCCGAGGAGCTGCACGCCATCCTATCCCACTACCTGCGGGGTTGACACAAAGAAAATGTGCCAAAGAAAGATTAAATAGATAAATAAATAGCAACGCGCCTCTTTGTCAAAGACTCAATTGCCTTTCTGAAGTATCTCAATTTCTCCCAACTCAGTCTCGCGATATCAGACGAGTAAAGTACCGCCATCATGGGTTCCACCGAGAAGAAACAACTCATCCTCAATGCATTCGCCATGCACTCCCCCGCACACCTGAATCCAGGTCTATTCCGCTACCCAACCGATAAGGGCTCCGAGTACAAGAGCATCAAGTACTGGATTTCGCTCGCCAAAAAGCTCGAAGATGCCAAATTCCACGCTATTTTCTTCGCCGACGTTCTGGGCGGCTACGATGTCTACAAGGGACCTGCCAATCTGGACCCGACCATTCCAGCCGGCGCGCAGTTCCCGATCAACGACCCCCTGTACAGCATTCCGGCCATGGCAGCTGCAACGGAGAGTATTAGCTTCGGTGTCACCGCTTCAACCACCTACGATGCACCCTACGCTCTCGCCCGTCGCTTCTCAACAGTCGACCACCTCACCAATGGTCGGATTGGCTGGAACATCGTAACATCATACCTCGACTCCGCTGCACGGAATTTCGGTCTGAACACCCAGGTTGAGCATGATGAACGCTACCGCATTGCAGACGAATACCTCGATGTCACCTATAAACTTTGGGAGGCCTCGTGGAGAGACGATGCAGTGACATGGAGACAAGAGGCCTCGAAGAACGGTCCACCAGTGGGAGAGCTGGGAAATTATGCCAATCCCAAAGCCGTGCGCCAGATCAATCATAAGGGGAAGTACTTCCAAGTGCCCGGTCCTCACCTGTGTGAGCCCAGTCCGCAGCGAACACCATTCCTCCTTCAGGCAGGAACATCAACTGCCGGCAAGGCATTCGCAGCAAAGCACGCCGAAGCTGTTTTCCTCCACGCACAGAAACCGGAGTTGGTGCGTCCTTCGGTTGACAGCATTCGTCAACAGGCAGCTGATTTAGGCCGTAACCCACAAGATATCAAGGTGATTGCCGGGGCACTGGTCGTTGTGGGTGAGACTGATGAGGAGGCCCAAGCCAAGTTCGATGAGCTAAAATCATATGGTGATCGCGAAGGTGCTCTGGCTCTATTTGGAGGCTGGACTGGTTACGACTTGTCGACCTATACTGATGACCAGGACTTCCGGTTCGTGGAGCAGCCCGCTGTCCGAAGTATGGTTAATCACTGGGCAAGCACCGTGCCCGGAACCGAGGGTCAGAAGTGGGACAAGCAAACCATTGCGGATTATCTGACTCTTGGAGGAAACGGTGTCAAAATTATTGGTAGCGCGAAAACGGTCGCCGATGAGCTGGAGCGATGGGTCTCCGTTGGCGATGTGGATGGTTTCAACCTCAGCTATGCCAGTCTTCCTGATACATTTGATGACGTTATTCGCCTTCTGCTACCTGAGCTACAGCGCCGCGGTCTTTTCTGGTCGGACTATGCTGTGAAGGGAGGAACTTTCCGGGAGAATGTATATGGGAAGCAGGGCCAGTCTCGACTCCCAGAGTCTCACCCCGGAGCCAAGTACTTTTGGCGACAGGGTGAGGAGGTGCCTCCTTACAGCCTGGAGGAGACGCAATAAGTTAGCCTCCCGTTTTCATGAAAGGAAAAATTATCTCAATACCTAAATTATTTACAAGGCTACAGCCAGTTTAAAAAATAGATACCTCCTGACAATGCTCCGCAAAATATCACTAGAAACAAGTTCAAGTTGTTGACATTCTTGACTTCTGAACTTGATGCATTTGAACTCGTAAAATCTATTTACTTACACATCCCACCAACCTTCTAGGTGGGTCTTTAAATCAATCTCCTCGGGGATTTTCAAATGCGGTGTCAAGTTGGCACTAGGATCCAACTCCCTCGAAGTCCAACCATTTCCGAAATAAGCAAACCGATTCCCACTCTGGTTAACGTATGTGTACTCCCAATCCTCCCAACGAGGATCCCGACGGATGTAGTTCGCATGAGAAGCACTTCCAGGGAACAATCCATGAATGCGACCACCAGGTTGACCACCATTATACCAAGAGCTGCAGTTCTCCGACCAAACAGTGCGCGGATAAAACTGGTCGCAGTACTCGACAAAGTCATCAGTCGCCTGTTTCGACGGAACAATGGATTTGATTCCCTGGCTACGAATCTTCCGTATCACCTTCGCGACATAAGTGATCTGGTTCTCCATACTGTTCGGCACAGTTCCACTGTGTCCTGAGGCGTACGGCCCGCCAATCCAGAGCAGATTGGGGAATCCTGGAGTTGCAAATCCAAGATAAGAGTATGGAAACCCGAACTGACCATCGTGCTTCCATGCATATTTCAGATCAATTCCATTGGCAATTATGGAAAACGGGGGCGCATGATCGACATTCGCACCTGTCGCGCAGATGGTAATATCAGCAGGTCTCTCGACTCCATCCTCAGTGACTATTCCAGTCTCCGTGAAACGTTGAATCCGCGGGCGGATATAACTGACGTTTTCTTTTGTGAGGGCTTCCAGGTATCCTGGTCCGGGAGTAGGACGACGACAATTTGGCGGGAAATCTGGAAGAATTTGCTCGCCTAGCTCTGGTTTCTGGGAGACTCGTTGCAACATGATTTCCGTCCATTTCTCTCGAAGTTCTCGATTTTCGGGAGTATCTTTGAAGATGGCACCAAATCGTTGGAAAAATCCCTTCTCGACACCGGTACGGTACTCCAGATAAACTTGGGGGTCTTTGAATGTTTCCCGTAGAGATTCTGGGATGATGTTTGGCTCCAATCGACGGACCCCTGCGTTTCCACTACTGAATGAGTCGGCAATCCATGTGGGATTGCGTGCGTAGTGGTCGACATGATTTGCGAGCGGCTGGATTGACGGAAGAACTTGCAATCCAGAAGCACCATTTCCAATCAAGGCGATTCGTTTATCTTTTAAGTCGACAGAATGATCCCAATTGGAGGCGTGGAACAAAACTCCTCTATAGTCTTTGATACCCTCATAATCAGGAAGCTTCCAGGCATTGAAGTGGCCTATCGCGTTGATGAGGATGTCTAACTTTTCTTCATATACCTGCATGGAATAACATGGTCAGCTTAAGTTCCTCTTTTCTCCTCTATACGTGAATGGAGTCTACTACTACCTTTTCTGAGCCATCAGTATGTGCAATGGTGACCTTCCATTTCCCTTCCTCTTCCAGCCATTCTGCCCTTTGTACTTGTTGCTGGGCTCGAATATACTGGTACACATTATACTTGCGTGCAACTCCCTGCCAGTAATCTCTGATTTCGGCACCTTGGGCAAACTCTTCTGACCACTCCGTATTTGGCGCGAAGCCGGATTGGTAGGCGTGGGCGGGTATATCGCATCGGACACCGGGATAGGTGTTCTCAAACCTATGATAGAATAATTAATGACTGTTATTATATAGCGAGAAAAGGTATAACAATCACCATGTGCCTCCCTGGTTATGAAGTTAGTCGGTGTATTATAAGATTTAATAAACTCAGAATCACATACCACATCGGCATTTTTGTCGTAGATACGCAGATCAAGTCCTGGCAGCTTTTCCGGCAAAAGCACGCCAGCAGTGATTCCAGTAAGGCCTGCTCCGACAATCCCCACCTTCACGGGTCGCAATTTATCGATGGGATGCTCCTCTAATTTGAACTCGGCTGTCGCTGAATGTTCTGAGTCGAGATCATCTTTAATCGTAACCGTCGGGTTTAGCCCATTCAGGCCCGATGGTCCTTTAATCGATTCAATCTTCGAATCGATCTTTGGGTTCGATGGCAAGGTGGAAATCCCAGGGCTCTCCAATAAAGCCATGGCTTAATAATATTTGGCAGACGGCCTACTTGGTCTGAGAGTATCAACAGGCTTGCCTTAATGTTTTCTTTGGGGTTACCATATTTAATGTATGAAAGAAAGCCCCTCTCAACCCCCTGCACGCCATTTAGAACATTTCACACGTCACTGGTCACAACTTTTCGTTCATTCACTGGTAAAATGATCAATACGTATGCTGAGTCGAATCGTGGGCGCTGTATCATACTGACTTGGCTGATTTGATGCGGCTAACACCATCGGCTTCCACGATGGCGTCAAGAATTGGGGTACCCTTTGTCAACACCATCCACCCCACTCTAAACGCCATTGAAGACCCTCTTAAATCATTCCGCAACTAGATAAACATGCGCCCGGTATTTGATTGGTGATATTCTGCAATTTTATATATTCCGTACGATGCGGGGTTTCTCGGCCGACTCTTCGTACCTATTGACGAGCAACAACCACTCAATTGGGAATTTCCAGAGACATTTACTTATTATTCGGCGCGGAAACTATTCGGCCTCATTAACGGGAAGTTATTCATTTCAATCCATTCAACTTATCATTGCCGACCTCGGGAGCCGAGTCGAGAGGCCGTACTCCTCATATTAACAAACGCTTGGTCTAAATATCTCCAAATGACCCTATAGTACTAAATTCTCGACAAGTCTTGAACTATTTTATCTGAACTTGCGCATCATTTTATAGGACTAGGTTCTAGTCTGTGAAAATATCGACATTTGCTTCGTCTCAAGATGGTTCTCTCCAGTCGCATATGCTACCTGTGACCTGTGATCTGTGACATATGTACTAGCTAGTCCCATAGGACCTTTTAATCAAATTCCAAAACCTTCCGGAGAATACATATCTAAATTTCACTTACAACTTCTTGCTTCTTCATGAGCTTCGAGTTAAGCTGCCGGGTTGTCGAAGTATGACAGTGATGACGCACCGGCGATATCTCGGCTTTTCATGACTCACTCGGGATCCCTTACGTGTCCGCCTAACGTTGAACTATTTCTCCTGTCAGATCAGCTTGACAAGTTTCGATGTTAGTATTCTTCCCTTTTGCTTAATAATATCCCGTGTGCAAAATTCATCTTCTACGCCACCCTCGCCATGTCATTTACCCCGCCAATGGTATCGACTGCCCCGCGCACCTGGAAAAGAGATAACAGCAAATTCTTCATCTCGACTGATCAATCTTTGCTCTCGATAAAAGCAGTCAATGAAGCCTATGGGAGGGAATTTCTCTATTGGGCCAAACCTTTCGAAGAAGATGTCCTCCGCCAAATGCTTTACGGCTGCATGAGTTTTGGGGTCTACCAGTCACAGAAAGAACATGAGCCTCCATCTGCTGAGAATACAGAGCAGATCGGATTGGCGCGCATGATTACCGATGGTGTGACATTTGGATACCTGACAGATGTCTATGTCTTACCTGAATACCAAGGGCACGGGCTTGGAAGGTGGCTTCTCGAGTGTGTATCGGAGGTTTTTTCGAAAGAGAATATGCCGCACCTTCGTCGCAACATGTTGCTCACTAGCGATGACGAGATGCAAAATTTCTATGCCGATATCTTTGATACGATGAAGGTGGTGGGGCGCGAAGAGCGAAAAGACATTGGGAGGGATTTGGTATTTATGTGTGCTCGACCGGGGGTCAAGCCAGATCCCTCTACAGCCTTGGAATAAAGAAGCATTTATTCATATAACTTTGACTTGTGTGGCTCCTTGTGGCCTTGTAGAAATTGAGAAGATTTAGTTATGCATGAATGTCGCACGCTACTAGTAGTATGATTTACCACGGCAGTTGCAAGGGGGTTGATAGGTCTTTTCCAAGAATATCCTCGGCGGTCCCGATATCTCTGTTCAACATTATTATTAGCAGCTTTTTTGACATCCAAGGTGAACAGAGTGAAAACTTACGCTGGTCCCCTGGGAGCCCAGAATTCACCCGTCTTGCTTATATCAAGGGCATCAATAAAGGAGGCGAGTGACTGAGCCGCTTCGTCGGGTGTCACAGCTGGTGAGAGGAGTCTTAGCTTGGCATTCAACTCTTTCGAAGATGTCAAAGGCCGACATGCGGGCTACTTACCTCCACCGGCATCCCAATACTTGTCGAATCCAACACCCTTAGTCATTTCCGTCCGCATGAAGCCCGGGTGCACCAAGCCAACTGTTATACCTTTTGCCTTCAGATCCAGACTCAAAAGCTTCCCAACCATATTCAACGCGGCCTTGCTTGCATGATGGCCGAAATTTCCACCACCTTCTTTTTCATGTCGAAGAGTGATGCTGCCCGCCTCGCTGCTGACAAGAATTACCTTGCTCCCTTCTCCAAGTAGTCCTGCTTTCACGAGATGATGGACCATGAAAACTGGGCCAATGGCAGAGGTCGTATACATCTGCACCTGCTTGTCCCAATCGGGATTATCGAAAGTCTCTAGGCCGAAATACCCCGCCGAGATGATGGCAGTAGAGATCTTGGTCGAGGCCGGCAGTTGCGAAACAAGCTTCTGACCTACATCTGGCTTGGATGCATCAATTTCCGTCAACCAAGTGATTGCCGGATCCTGTGAGGCCGGGGCAGAGGATCTCGTGGTGCCAAATACATGGTGGGATGGCTTGCGGGAATATAGAGCCCCGAGGGATGCTCCGAGGCCGCGCGTTGCGCCGACAATGAGAATATTGTTGTTCATGGTAGATGGATTTGGCAAGGATCAAAATTGGGGATTGAGTTGAGTTCTGATATGATTTTATTAGTACCTACTAGGTATGGATCTTGAATCGGAAGAAAAGGGGATTTGAACTTGAGCTGAAAGAGTGCTCAAGTTATTCAAGTTCGTGCGGGTTGATATAAATGACGTAATTTGTGCAACATATTGAGATCGCGCGAGCTTGAAGTGCTAGTAACTTGAAATAGACTACTTAACCACATTTAACATATGTGACATTGATATAGCGACTCCGAGTAGTAGTTCTAGCTATCCCTGGAGTACTAATACTAGTAGTCCATTAAACGGATACTACCTAGGTAGGTACATTGCGGATATTTCATGGGGCATTTAATCTCGATGTACGACTAGTGGATGACTCGATAATAACCATAGCTAACTCTCTACTGCTAACACTAACTAGTACTAGTGGTAGTTGACTATGGTCCTACGGTTTACAATCATATACTTACTACTAGACGATCTGTTCCGGCGTACTAGTCCTCCAAGACTCCTCGCACTGCCCCAATATCAATCCATTTATCCTATAAATAAATCCAGATGTGTTGGTTCACCAGTAGTAGAGCGCTCTGGACTCGGCTGAGCGAGAGCTCTGCAGACTCCACCAACTTCACCACGCCAAGTGCCTTTGTCCGGCCCAGTCGGCCCCAGCTTCTTGACAGGGGAATAGTACGTCCCTCCGATACAAATATGAATTAAGTATCTCCAAATCTAAGACTGTGTTGCTTCTCTTCCCCATATCGAGGGCTGTGCCTGGTAGCTTAGTCATAATCCCCAAGGGCGGCAAAGTTGACTTTACTTCGCGTTTGTGGCTTGGTTGTCTTTAACAATCGCGACTCCCTCCAGGTGTCTTCGCCGGACCTGATGTGGTTCCGAGCCCCAGCATGACTGGTTTTTCTAAACTTCTGCCCGTGCAAAAGTTTCGAGCTGCGATCAACCGCAGAAAGGCGGCCGCCAAGGTCCAATCTCGCGACCTGCCGGGGTCCTCCTCGTCTATAGGGTGAGTTTTTCTCGACCTTTGCCTGTGCGCATTTTCATGAATAGCTCGAGAGTTTCTTTTTTAACTTTACCTCTCCCTAACTCTCAGCTTGACCCATGCCGATCCTCCAATCCCCTCCCCGTGGGGCCTCCCAGTCGAGATCCAAATCCAAATCTTTGGGTACTGCGGGACTGCCGATTATCTCCCGCTGAGACTCGTCTGCAGGCCCTTCAATGAGCTCCTCACAAGACATGAACACGAAATCGTACGGCAGTACCTCCGCCAGCGCCGCCATGGCACTCTCCCCTCGCCAATCGACCACGAGCGAACATATACCCGCAATCCGGAAGACGATGTGCTCTTGCTGTCCGACCTTTTCCCTCCGTCAAAGAGCGCCAGAGGAGGGCATCTTTATACATTTCGATACCTGAACGGCCTGCGACAAAGACAGAAGCAGTCTTCAAGGCTATGTTATTACCTCGCAGACCGCATCATGGACCGGTTCGTCCATAGCGAGCCCATTTTCTTGAGAACCTCTTTCCCCTCGAAGAAAACGGAACGGAGTGCCTTGATGAAGCGAGGGAAAGCTAGCATGTGGTTTCATTTAGCGCCAATCATGTAAGTCGGAGCACAGGGCATAATCATAGGCATAGGCTCTGGAGCAATCGAACTAATCAAGTCCCTGCCAGGTACTACATCTTGTACTACCTCGAGTCGTACATGTCTGCTCGACGGGAGAACACCAACATGCTTCTCCGTGAATACGAAGCCGGCCGCCTCACAGTACCCATCACCCTTCGCACGCGCCAACAGATGTACCACGACATTCAAACGCGGATCCTCCAGAAACCCCCCTTCACCAACACAACGGCCCTGCTTGCGACCCACCACTGCATGCATCTGCTAGTTTCTTACATCCGGTACACAATGGGGTCAGAAACCGAGATAGATGATTCGTGGATCAGCTCGCTGCTCACGGTAGCGCCGTTCGGGCGCATCGTCGAATTCTTTTCCGCCGAGATTGGAGACGGGGGCAATCAGCGCATGCAACGGAAGGACTTCATGTATAATTTCCACCACGATATGACAGCGCATAGGAAAGATCATATGAACTCTGTTATCTTTGGTCGGTCTTCGGACCAAAATATTCACACCTCGGTCAGAGAGCTCTGGTTCGATGCGGCCCGGACAGAGCTGGCTTCCAGACAGGCGGTTCCTCACGAGATTGAAGTTGCTTGGTGTTGGAATTCTATTCCAATATTGTTTGGCTGCGCTGATTGTCAGCCACGAGAGGGGTGGAAAGCATGATACTTTGATTTCAAGCGTTCCGGCGTTGAGGGCATATATACCTAGAACTTGAATTTCCTACGTTTTTGACTATATAAAAGTAAGAAGCAAATGGCACACGAAATTGCTTAATTTTGAACTCATCACTTAATCTTAGCAACTGGATCTTGTGAAGATTCTACTTGCTGCGTCGATCAACATGTCAATGTTACCATTCTGGGAAGTTTGTTTGGTTTGCACGTGAGCGCGTCGCGGCAATCAATCACCTTCACCTTGAACTTAAACCCACTTCACAGCAACAACTTGAACCATGTGAACAACGCCAATATCCAATCCCAATTGGAACAACTCCCCGTCATGGCGCAAGCGTCCCCAGCCCAGCTATTCAATACATCCTGGACACTGCACCGTCTTTCCCCCCTCCACCACGGAAAAGACTGCGAGACCATCCTAAACAACCCAACCGCATTGAAAGTATATGCGACGCGACTACGCGACCAGCTGACAGGCGACGTTCTCGCCGGTCTACACGCCAGCGCAACCACAGCAGAAAACGATGTGTTGTCCAAAGCAGGCGCGCTCAAAAACTGCCAATGGCTTTCAATCTCCACAGAGCCCCAGCCCAACGAACAGGCCGCCTTTCCAGGCATTTTGATCACGCTGGAATATGAGAATATCACATATAAAGCCGCTTTACTTGCAGAGCCAGAGGCAGAAACCCGTACTGATGGCCATCGCGAGGGCACCACTTCGCTCCCATTGCTTTTGACGAAATTCCCAAGCGCTCTGCGACAGACCTTTCTCTCATTCCTATCGGCTAATTTTGACACCTACTGCTCAACCCTTCATCTGCCGTCGAGCTTTCTGTGCTCGGGGATGGAATCTTTTATACAGAGTCTGCGGAGCACAGGGTCACGAGCTACCGCGAATGATAACACCGTTGAAGAAGTCGTCAAAGACCTTCAAATCACCCTTGCATTTTCACAATCGATTGCGCCAGCGCTACGCTCTCTAAACGTGAATATCTCTCGAACCTCCCTGAAGCAATTCCTGAGTGTGGATAGCGGGAAATCAAAGGGCCGCACTCTCAAACAGAAGCTCAGCAGCCCTTTCATTCCAAATCTGACCTCTTATCTGGAAACGCATCTCGCCATGAAATTAGACCTGGATGGCTCGGCTACCCAAGGAGCTGAACGACATGTCCGGTTATCGAAAGTTGCGTGTGCTGCTTTCGCGCTGGGGGTTGATGGGCGGATGAAATTGACTGTCGCCGATCAGGTCGATGACGATGACGGGATCACACCTACTCAACGGGCATGTGAGATTCTCCTCCAGGCGACGATTCGCAAGGCCGTTATTGGAAATCAAGCAGCAACATGAATATCGCATCAGAGATGGATTGATATACTACGAGCGGCAGAATTGAGAAGCCATGGGGACCGATGGTATACAGCGTTACCCCAACTCTAAGGATGTATGCCGATCACGGTGGCAGATAGGATACACTATCAATTCCGAAAGGTATCCTAAGGTCAAGAAATTGACTCCAAATTCATGCTGATCCCCATCTTCAACTTGGCAGGCCACGCCCAAGTCCCACAAGGCCTGGTGGTGGCAAATGGACAATCCTTGTTTGGTCTCCAACAAGCTAATTGCATCGAGATATGAGGGCAGGCAACCCCATGCCATTGTCAGATTATGAAAATCAGGCCTCCTCTACGCTATAATACACCTAGAAATTAACACATGCACGATGGACTCCTAGAAGTCTTGAAATAAACACATTCACGCTATCAAATGACAATGAATTTTGCTTGTCGCTCAGTAAAAGATATGGCTCAAATAGCAACAGTTAATCAAATTATGCATAGATGTTTTATGTGCAGAGAGGCGGCAAATTGTGAGATAAATCTTGCTTGGTCAAGATTGACACTTAGATGTAGCCATTCCCAATGGCTCTAGATGATGTCCGTTCGGTCTTCGGTCTCGGCCATCTGAAGGGCCTCATCGACATGGGGCACAAAATGCGTCAAACCGCCGCATTGTTCAACAATGCCACTTCGTTCGAACATTCGGAACACACCATCGTTGGGTACCCGGCTGAAGAAGACTCGAACACCCTTATCCGTGTACGATTGGACGATCTCACACAGTACCTGAGTTCCAGACCCATCGATGCTTGTCACGCCGTGCACATCGAAAATGATGTTTTTGTTATGTTCTGGCGCACGCATGCGTGGCAGAGAAGGATGCGCCCGGCTGGAACCATACAACTCCAGTCGGCGGAGACGATTCTTGAGATCGCCTGTGTTGGCGAAAGTGAGAGGTTCGGGAATTTTGACAATGAGAGCTCCCTCGACGAGCTCCACGTTGTCGGGATGCAGTTCAGCATTTTCAAAACGGTGGGCGGGCCCGGGAATCTTGCCCAGAATTTGGATCCGAGGCTTGGTAGCGTGCCGAATGAGGATGACGACAGAAAGGCCAATTCCGAAGGCCATGCCTAATTCGAGAGAATAGAAGATTGTTGTGGTGAAAATGAGGAGCATCAGGGTCAGCTCTGTCCACCCTCGAAGACGGAAGAAGAAAATTAGATCATGGGGGCATTCTTCTACAAGGGAAAAAGCCACCACTGAGATCATGGAGCAGAGAACTGCTTTCTGTTTTTTGTAGATTAGTACATGGTTTTAAATAGATGCCACTGCGGGGATGATGGAAACTTGACGAACCGGAAGATAGTAGAGATAGGGTAGAAGCACAAGAATAGCCGTCAGGGTGATGATGCTGATGAAGATGCTGCTCATCGGGGAGCGTGCTCCGGTTTGAACATTGACCTTGCTTCGACCATATCCACCAAAGGCAGGGAGAGCCATGAAACAGCCACCGATAAAGTTCGCAACCCCAAGGGCCACCATTTCTCTGTTGGCGCTCATGTGCATGCCTTGGATTCCATCGGGTTGGCTATCACCCAAGCCCTTGGCGGCAACCGATGACTCGAAAAATCCTAGCAGGGTGATGATGAACGTTTTGCTCATTGCTGTGCGAATGTGATCCATGTGCTCAAAGCGGAATGGCCAGTTAAATTCGAACAAGCTGCCAGAGCTTTCGGTGTGCCCAAGAAGTTCCAGTCCCTTCGATTCCCAGTCCAAACTCCAGGCAAGAATCGCCGACAACACAACGACTATGAATCTATCCGGGAAGTAAATCACTTTCGGGAACCGTGGCATCATCCACTTTTTCAAAGTTCTGCAGAAATAAGTTAGCATCGAAGCAAAGACATTTGGGGTACGCATTTGACCAACCGGAATATCATGATGACAGAGAAGCTGACAAGGGAAACTATGGCCGTAAGCGCATGGCAGTCTTTGCCATGGCGCACGATGAATGAAAGCTTCCCAACTGAAGTGCCATGGCTGACTCCCGCGTCTTTTGCAATTTCTGCAAGGCCCAATTCAGGAATCAGCTGGTCTACGAAGATCACAAAACCAATAGCCGTAATGAACCCGCGAAGAAAAGGCCGACTAAGGACATTGTCTAGGAACCCTAGTCGGGTCAATCCTGCCAATAGAATCATGGCACCACTCATTGCTGTCGTAATTCCAATCACGATAGCTTTTTCGGCGCCATTATCGTCGGAGTCCTTGTTAAGAACACAGGCCTTCACAATGGCTCCAGTGAGAAGCGAGCCGGCCGCTTCGGGGCCGATGACCAAGAGAGGGCAACTTCCAAGGATTGCATAAACAAAAGGGTGAATGACGAACGAATATAGTCCGTTGACGGGAGGTGCATGGGCAAGATTGGACGCCAGGGACAAGGCCATCGGGATATAGATGGAGGAGATGGTAATAGCGGCTATGAGGTCTCCACGAAGGAATTCCCATCGGTATTGTCTAATCCAGTTGAAGAAAGGGATATAGTAGGAAATGTACCTAAAGGAGGACCGGTTAGTTGAGTTGTCCTATTTGGTTGGATGTGTGCTAAGACAAGAGCTTGGGAAATCCCATGGCAGATTGCATACAATTTTTGATGCTCGTTCATAGACAGTGCGGTGGACGACTTCATCTGCGAGGTATAATCCGACTCTGGGCGGGACGCCAACGGGTCATCTCCACCTGAGGCAGCGCCAGAATTTCCGATACCACCATATCCGAACTGACCGCCGGCAGTCTCCAGGTAGGATTGTTGTTCGGATGCCTGTGGTCGGGGGGAGAAAGTGCCATGGCTGCATCGTCGTTCGCCACACACCGGGTCCGAGCTATCGTAGGATTCCAGAAGGCGAGCTCTGTCGTGCGAATCGCCGGTAATCCCGAGTCCTTGGGTGCTGTGTATTCCCTGGCCAGCAGGCTCAAACCCTGCCGGAGAGCGGCTATTGGGGCGGAAGACGTCGACAATCCGTTCCTGCAGAGTGCGGCGAGCATCGGACTCCTGCCGGAGGAGCGGACTCGATTCGGTCGACATACTCTCAAGGTGAAACAATTGAAGATCGACCTTGATTTAAGGGCAAACAGCACCTGTGCTCTTTCAGCTGCATCAAAGGCGGATAGGAATCTGCGAAGGTTGCTGAGGGGAAGGAGAATCGGAGGAATCCAACTAGCAAGCTAGTTTTATCATGTAGAAAGGGCGGTAGAGGGTCGGCGGGGACGTGATGGAGCTAGGTGTAGCTACCAATGGTGGGCTTGCTATTTGTCCCGCAGATAAATTAGTTGGAAAGTTGATCAGAATTGAAAAGAATTCAAAAGTCGAAAAGTTGAAAAGTTGGAGAAGGTAGTCTTGGCTTGACTAATGGAAAATCTAAACTCATCTGGTTCGGATCTTGGAGAGGCGCATTGTATCGGTCACTCGCAGCAGAAGAAGCCAAAAGCACCTTCCGCCGCTGCGAATTGATTGGTTCGTGCAACACCCTCGCGCCTTCCCTAAATGGGATGAGGATCCACTCGAGCGGTGAGTCACGTGCTGTCACTTATCAAAGACTCACGTGACAATGCGTCCAATGTGGGTTTTGGTCCGCCGCTGCACAAAGCGAATTGAGAGGAGACTGTGCTTCCGCTTCACGATCAAGAACTCCCCCCCCAAGATCCTCCTCATCCCCCTTCGATTTGCTCGGTTCCTCTTCTTTAGGTTCCCAGCTCTTCATCTTCTTTGGACTGCCGACTCATCAGTCCACGTTATCTCCCAATCTTCCCCGCTGAAAAAAAAGCGCGCAACCCCGCCAAAATGTCGTTAACAAACTGCCGGTTCTACGAGGACAAGTATCCTGAGGTGGATAGCTATGTCATGGTCAATGTCAAGCAGGTAGGATTGGCTTTCATTATATTGAGTGGTTTACCCGGTTCATTTGGAACTAACATTTATGGGTTGTTTTAGATTGCCGAGATGGGCGCATACGTGAAGCTTCTCGAATACGACAACATCGACGGAATGATTTTGCTTTCCGAACTTTCTCGCAGACGTATTCGCAGTATCCAAAAGCTCATCCGTATTGGACGTAACGAGGTTGTCATTGTCCTCCGTGTCGACAAGGAGAAGGGTAAGAAGGATCACACCCCAGGTGGTACAAAAGGAGTCCTCCCCAGCTGACTCATAGCTGTCGACAGGATATATCGATCTTTCCAAGCGCCGTGTCTCCCCTGAGGACGTGATTAAGTGTGAGGAGCGATACAACAAGAGCAAGGCCGTGCACTCCATCATGCGCCACGTCGCCGAGGCGACCCAGACCCCTCTTGAGACTCTCTACCAGCAAATCGCGTGGCCCTTGAACCGCAAATACGGCCACTCCCACGATGCCTTCAAGCTCTCCATCACGTATGTTGCTTATACCCCCGCTCCCAAAATGACAAAGATTCTCGGGCCAGCCAATATCTGACGAAAATCCACCAGTAACCCCGATGTCTGGAATGACACCGAGTTCCACAGCGAGGCCGTGAAGAACGAGCTCCAACTTTACATTAGCAAGAAGCTCACTCCCCACCCCACCAAGGTCCGTGCCGATGTCGAGGTCACTTGCTTCGGCTACGATGGAATCGACGCCGTCAAGACCGCCCTGCGCACCGCCGAGGCCGACAACACCCCTGAGAACCAGATCAAGGTCAGACTTGTGGCTCCTCCCCTCTACGTCCTGACCAGCCAATGTCTGGATAAGACCATCGGTATCCAGATGCTGGAGACCGCGATTGAGAAAATCGCTGCGAACATCAAGGCTGCCGGCGGTAACTGCACCGTCAAGATGGCCCCCAAGGCTGTCACCGAGCACGACGATGCGGTTCTTGCTGAGCTCATGGAGAAGCGCGAGCGGGAGAACCAGGAGGTCAGTGGTGACGAGGACTCCGAGAGCGGTGATGACGAGTAATGGACCAACCACAATGCGAACCACGGAGCGCCCAGCGTACATCGATCTTGACGAGATACGCAAAACACAAGCGAAGCGGGGGATTGGGCAAGAACGGATAGAGAAAACTATGCACATTTACGCGATCAATGAGATAAGACTTGATTGGCTCTATGTGCTTCCTGGGTACGATTGCAGTCAGAAGTTGCCTTTCTACCAAGGGCAGTCGCCTTCTCCTCGGGCCCGGGGGTGATGAACTATCTACGTCCGACCCCGGTGCTGTCCTGAGTGCCAGAGGGTCAAGCCCTCGTACTCGTCCGAGCTTCTTTAGATGGAGTGTGTTCTGCTGCACGAGAGGCAAGTTCTGATGTACATAAAATTGTGATGCAACCGAGACGTTCAATGCCAGTGATGTTTCAAGAGCCATTGTTAATTCCTTCTATTCCCGGAACCAACTCCGCCCCTCCCATGTAATCATCCAAGGCCTAAATGTTTCCACGTAGACCCCACGAATCCGAATTCAAACCTAGAAGTCGGAGCTACGGGGCTTTGTGGCTGTGGCTGGCGGGGAAGACGCGCTTGGATCTTATCCGCCGATCGTTCGCTTCCAAGGTTCACCGCGCTTTACCTTTTGACCCCTTCAACTCCAGTCCGCACTCCTCGGGCATAGGACTCTTCAAGAACAATTACTAGTAAAACAACATGGGCCATTGGAGGGATCTTTTCAGGACCGATCGCGGCAGGGCTCATCACCGCTTGCAAGTCGAGCGGCGCCGGCGTACGTCATGGTTGAATGCAAGCTGTGTAACCACCTACTAATCCCCTTGTTATCAGTCCTCCCTGCGTATATCGCCGATCATACACCGTCGTCCGAAGCGTCTAAGGAGATCGCAAAGGTTGCTTTGAAACTAAAGTACCAAATTGAACAGGTGGTCTCCTGTGAGGTGGAGGAAGGTCTCCTAACCGACCCAAACAGTCACATCATCACGGACGATGTGGTGAAGACCTCCAAAAATGCAGGCGGCGAGGAGTACGCCGCCAGTGTTGTGTACTGCTTGCTTGTGTGCTTGCGATGGTTTCAAATCCAGGCCTCCAATGAGCTTTGGGATGCCGATCTTCACGAGGTTCGGGCTGTCGCTTGCGAGGTCATCGCTAAACGCATGTATGTGCACCCCCTATCCCCTTACAGGACATTTCTCTGTCCAATATAATTGCTAAAAGTCGACCTAAAGTATTGAATCGGAATCAAACCAGGACTACCTATTGAAGGATATCCTACTCAAACGCTACTCGATCTTCACTGAAGGGGTGGAGACCGGACCCGCCAACGTTATTGAACGCTCAGTGGATCTTCACGCGCTCAGGATCATTAGCTCCGCTGGCTACCAAAAATGCATTCACTATCTCTGGTGTGGCTGGATCTGCCAGGAAGAAGGCAACCCGACAAACTTTGTCGAGTACCAAGGGAAATCCAACACTAGCTACTGGTCCCACTTTCATCCCGATCGCATGAGGACCCCTCTATATCAGAATGTTTGTCAGATAATGTTCTCGCTGCTCTATCTCGCGCTGTATACGGCTGTCATTAATACAGTGAACCCAACTGGTGATCTCGATGTGGTCGAGGGTATTCTTTATGGGATGACATTGGCGTTCATCTGCGACGAAGTCGTCAAATTCTGGAAGGTCGGATGGAATTACCTCGAATTTTGGAACGCCTTCAACTCGACTCTTTACACACTTCTTGCGGTATCCTTCATCCTGCGTGTTGTCGCATTAGCACATTCGCCTTCTGAACACGATGAGCAAAGGCAACTTTTTAACAGACTGAGTTACAACTTCTTAGCCTTCTCCGGGCCCATGTTTTGGATGCGGATGATGCTCTATCTGGACACATTCCGTTTCTTTGGGGCAATGTTTGTGGTTCTGCGGGTCATGATGAAAGAGAGTCTGATCTTTTTCGCTCTCCTTTTCGTCGTGCTGGCCGGTTTCTTCCAGGCTTTCATTGGAATGGCTCAAGTGGACTCCGATATTCCTGTCTCCTTCACCAGACCCATCATTCAAGGCATGGCGAATAGTATCATGCAGAGTCCCGAGTTTGATACCTTCCAGGACTTTGCATTCCCATTCGGCATTATCCTTTACTATATCTTCAACTTCATCATCATGATCGGTATGTACATCGCTTCCTCTCTCGTGGAATGAAATGATGGCCTAATTGCAGACAGTGCTCTTGAACATTCTCATTGCCCTCTATAACAGTGCATATGAAGATATTTCTAGCAACGCTACAGATGAGTACATGGCTATCTTCGCGCAAAAAACCATGCAATTCGTTCGTGCTCCAGATGAGAACGTCTTCATTCCGCGTAAGTTCTTCCTTCCGCCAGAATGTTCGCCAGCCACTAATTTGGCCTATGACCAGCCTTCAACTTGATCGAAATTCTATGCCTTGTTCTACCCTTCGAATGGTGGATGTCGAAAGAGGGCTATGCCAAGCTGAACGATGTCGTGATGGGCATAATCTATTCACCCCTACTCGTTCTGACTGCTTGGGTAGAAGCCCACCAAGCAAACCAGATCCGTTGGAACCGTCGCCATGGCGAAGAGGACGAAGATAATCGACAGGAGTGGGAGTTTGTTGCCGAGGATGTCGACTTTGATCTTGACGATTTCTGGAAGGAGGAAGTGAAGCAATCCACGTCTGACATCAAAGCGAACAGCACCACCGTTGAGATCAGAGAGCTTAAGGAGCAGGTCGCCGCACTAACAGAGCTGGTGAAGAGCCTTAGCCAAGGCAAGGACGGAGCTGCGTAAGGTGATCAGTAGCATAGCTATTCAATCCCTCGAATGCTTCAATCTTCATGTATAGAAGCAGTGAGCTCACCTAGCAGTCTATATCATTTTGAGAAAATAGGTAGAGAGACCGGTGGTGCAATTTCACGTCTCTTTCAATCAAAACAGAGCAAAGTTGATCGAAGGAAAAGAGAAGCCCCGAACTCTTCAGTACTCCCCGGGCATTGGTTTTCTGGAGATGCCGCCCACCTCCGTCACTCTTTAGGTAGGCCACGGGAAGCCCTCCAGGCCAAAAAGCGACCCTGGCGACGAAGCAAAAAGATATCTCAGGTGATTTTTGTAGGAATAGCCGAACGGGGGGGGTCGAACCCCCAACCTTGAGATTAAGAGTCTCACGCTCTACCGATTGAGCTAGCCCGGCAGGGCTGTTGAAGAGGCGAGCACTTTTTGGCTATATGATCCACAAGCAGGGTTTTCATGCTCAGGCGGGTCATATTGGCCAATCACCGTCGCCAGCCCAGTAGAATATTAACTTCAGGAATTGAACCAAGGCTCTCAGGACCTTAGTTCATGTTGAGCTTTTTCAATATTTATTCAATGCTTTCAAGTTCGAAGAGGCATCTCACTTTTCCAGTTTGACGTTCTGTGTTTGTCGACGTTGGTGTTGGGGATATACCACCATGACAAAATCAACTAGCCCTGGAGTTATTTGAGAGAAATGGTGCATTTCAACTTGAAGGAATTGGCGGAACATTTTTGTGAACGACCAGGATTATGACATCCATGAAAGTAGAAATAAAAAATAGTAAATTCCATTACTACTACTAGTACTAGTAATAGGTTGCTTCCAATGTTCATCATCAAGCCGGAGTGTTGCCTACCTAGGTAGTGGAGTAGGTATTTGACGAGATATACATGAAACGAGCCCTGGAGTGGGTTGAGAAACTTCAAATTCAAGTTATTTTTCAGTATCAGCCCTGATATCTACCGTGATCTAGGTACCTTGTTGTTAGGTACCAGTGGGGATCAGAATATATACTTAGGTATTCAAGTTCTAAACACATTAAGGTTGATTGGACCACCATCTACTAACAGGAAGCTACATGAATCTGACTACCTAGTCAAAAAGTGATGTTCAATACCTAGGTAGTACTACTCGTAGTAGGTACCACCTGGGCACTGGCAACCGTGGACTTGGAAATATACTACTACCCTAGAACGGACCTCGGAGATACTTGTACTCCCGAATTCCTGTGCCACCATCTTGGCGTCAACCTTGGAACTTAACACCAGTAATTAAGTACGATCAGAGCTGCCCGCTCAGTATAAAAATAGGATCTGAGAGAACAGAGGTGTAATGACTGAATGGCATGAATTCATCGAACGTTTATCTAGTGTTTATGTATTTATGTACATATCGGAGAATTAATGCCTTAAGGTTCCGGCGCGAAATAGCGCGCAGGGTCCACCCTTAGTAAGCGCCTAGCGCGTCGGGGGCGAACCCTCTGGAACCATTTTTATATCCAAGGTGGCTTCTTCTATCAGGCATTCCCCGTTGGAAGGTTCTCTTGCGAGCGGTCTCTTTATGCGTTTCTAATTTGTCTACTCTCCGACCCAGAACGCGGTCTTTGATTGTCACCATGTGAGATTCCCATCGTTTATCCCCTCCGATTCGCTGAATCGATGACCCCCCCTCCCCCAGTGAACGCCTCCAACTAAACAATCTTCCCAGGGCGAAACTCGCCGATGACCCCCAGATTGAACATGCGTCCCTGCATAATCCCCTCCCTCTGCAATTGCATACCTACGTCTGGCCTTTCTTGATTATCTGGCCCGCCTTCTTCGCTTTTTATCTCTCCCCTGAGCGCTATGACACCTACATCCAGGGCCAGGAATGGACCTTCGTCTTTGCGGGGTCTATCATCACCGTCCAGTCGCTGCTTTGGCTGATGACAAAATGGAATATCAACATCGGCACTCTGTTTACCACCACTAGGGCCAACTCCATTGATTCCGCCCGCCTGATCAAAGTCATCCCCGTCACTAACGCCGGTTCCGCCGAGGTTTGCACTCTGATTCACGATAACTCCGGTGGCAAGAAGACCCTGTCGTTCCTTTTCCAGAAGCGCCGATTTCTGTACTACCCCGAAACTCGTTCCTTCGCTCCGCTGTCCTATGTCCTCGACTCCGAGCCAAAGCCCGCTCTCCAGTACTTCCAGCACAGCAAGGGTCTTACAACCAAGGCCGAGGTTGATCGCGTGCACTACCACTACGGTGACAACACTTTCGATATTCCCGTTCCCGGATTCGTCGAGCTCTTCCAGGAGCATGCGGTCGCCCCATTCTTCGTGTTCCAGATATTCTGTGTGGGACTTTGGATGCTGGATGAATATTGGTACTACTCTCTGTTCACTCTGTTCATGCTCGTCGCTTTTGAAAGCACCGTCGTGTGGCAGCGCCAACGTACTCTTACTGAATTCCGTGGAATGAGCATCAAGCCTTACGACGTCTGGGTGTATCGGGAGAACAAGTGGAGTGAAATCACTAGTGATCAGCTTCTTCCTGGCGATTTGATGTCGGTAAACCGCACCAAGGAGGATGGTGGCGTTGCTTGTGATATTCTTCTGATTGAGGGAAGTGTCATTGTCAACGAGGCCATGCTTTCTGGTGAAAGTACCCCGCTCCTGAAGGACTCGGTTCAGCTCCGACCCGGTGAGGACCTGATTGATCCGGAGGGCATGGACAAGAACTCGTTTGTGCATGGTGGAACCAAGGTCCTCCAAGTCACCCACCCCAACACTAACGGAGAGGAGACCATGAAGAACATTGCCAATGGCGTTACAATGCCCCCCGATAACGGCGCCTTGGGCGTGGTTGTCAAGACTGGCTTCGAGACCAGCCAGGGTAGCCTTGTCCGTACCATGATTTACTCCACTGAGCGTGTTTCCGCCAACAATGTTGAAGCTTTGCTCTTCATTCTGTTCCTCCTGATCTTCGCAATTGCCGCTTCTTGGTATGTCTGGCAAGAGGGTGTCGCTAAGGATCGCAAGCGATCCAAGCTCCTCCTGGACTGTGTGCTTATCGTTACGAGCGTTGTTCCCCCGGAGCTTCCCATGGAGCTAAGCTTGGCTGTCAACACCAGTCTTGCTGCCCTGAGCAAGTTTGCGATTTTCTGCACCGAGCCTTTCCGTATTCCCTTCGCTGGACGTGTCGATATCGCTTGCTTCGATAAGACCGGTACTTTGACTGGAGAAGATCTTGTCGTTGACGGTATCGCTGGAATTACTCTTGGTCAGGTCTCTGCCAAGGTCGAGGCCGATGGTGCCCACACAGAGCTATTCCAGCCTACCGCCGTTGGTTCTGATACCACTCTTGTTCTTGCTAGTGCCCACGCCTTGGTTAAATTGGACGAAGGCGAGGTTGTCGGTGACCCCATGGAGAAGGCCACTCTTTCTTGGCTCGGATGGACCTTGGGTAGAAATGACACCCTCACATCCAAGGGCTCCGCCCCCGTTGTGGCATCTCGCCCGGTCGAGTCCGTCCAAGTAAAGAGAAGATTCCAGTTTTCTTCTGCCCTGAAGCGCCAAAGTACCATTGCTACCGTCACCACCACCGACAAGAAGACTTCGAAGAAGGCCAAGGCCACCTTTGTTGGTGTTAAGGGTGCCCCCGAGACCATTAGAAGAATGCTGATCAACCCACCTCCTAACTACGAGGAAACTTTCAAGCACTTCACTCGCAATGGTGCCCGTGTTCTTGCTCTCGCCTACAAATACCTCTCTACCGAAGCTGAGATCTCTCAGAATCGCGTCAACAACTATACTCGTGAAGAAATCGAATCCGAACTGATTTTCGCTGGTTTCCTGGTCCTCCAATGTCCTCTCAAGGATGATGCCATCAAGTCCGTTCGCATGTTGAATGAGAGCAGCCACCGTGTCGTTATGATTACTGGTGACAACCCATTGACTGCTGTTCACGTCGCCCGCAAAGTTGAGATTGTCGACCGAGAGGTCCTTATCCTCGATGCCCCTGAAAATGATACCTCTGGAACCCGACTGGTTTGGCGTACAATTGACGACAAGCTGAATACCGATGTTGATCCCACCAAGCCCCTGGATCCCGAGATTATCAGGACTAAGGATATCTGTATTACCGGTTATGCTCTGGCTAAATTCAAGGGCCAGAAGGCCCTGCCCGATCTTCTCCGTCACACCTGGGTCTACGCCCGTGTGTCTCCCAAGCAAAAGGAGGATATTTTGCTCGGTCTTAAGGATGCTGGCTACACCACTCTGATGTGTGGTGATGGTACTAACGATGTCGGTGCTCTCAAGCAGGCCCACGTTGGTGTTGCCCTTCTCAATGGATCCCAAGAAGACCTCACCAAGATCGCCGAACACTACCGAACAACCAAAATGAAGGAGCTTTATGAGAAGCAGGTTGGCATGATGCAGCGCTTCAACCAGCCCGCTCCTCCTGTCCCGGCCCAGATTGCTCACATCTACCCACCTGGCCCTAGCAACCCGCACTACCAGAAGGCTATTGAGAGAGAAGCTCAGCGCAAGGGTACCGCAGCGATTGCTGCTGGTGGCAAGGGTGAAGAGATCCCGACCATCACCTCGCCTGGTGCTCAAGCCTTGCAATCGAATTTGACTCCTCAGCAGCAGAGACAGCAGCAGGCCCAGCAGGCTGCTGCCGGCCTTGCTGACAAGCTCACTTCGTCGATGTTGGAACAGGAGTTGGATGACAGCGAGCCCCCGACCATTAAGCTGGGAGATGCTTCCGTTGCCGCCCCCTTCACCAGTAAATTGGCCAATGTCATTGCTATCCCGAACATTCTCCGCCAAGGTCGTTGCACTCTGGTTGCCACGATTCAAATGTACAAGATTCTTGCGTTGAACTGCTTGATTAGCGCCTACAGTCTGAGTGTCATCTATCTCGACGGAATCAAGTTCGGCGATGGCCAGGTTACCATCAGTGGTATGCTGATGAGTGTTTGCTTCCTGTCAATCTCCCGCGCCAAGGTTCGTTGCTCTTGATATCTTGTTATGGTCGCCAATGCTAACCTAATTTTAGTCTGTCGAAGGTCTTTCTAAGGAGCGCCCGCAGCCAAACATCTTCAATGTTTACATCATTGGATCCGTTCTTGGCCAATTTGCTATTCACATTGTGACTCTGATCTACCTGTCGCGTTATGTCTATAAGATCGAACCGTACGTGTATACACCCGCGATGCCACCATGGAGGGATGCTGACAATTTTTTTTACAGGAGAGACGACAACGTCGATCTCGAGGGTGAATTTGAGCCTTCTCTTCTCAACAGCGCCATCTACCTCCTCCAACTGATCCAGCAAATCTCCACTTTCTCGATTAACTACCAGGGCCGTCCCTTCCGCGAGTCTATCCGGGAGAACAAGGCCATGTACTGGGGCCTTGTTGCCGCATCGGGTGTCGCATTCTCCTGCGCGACCGAGTTCGTACCTGAGATCAACGAGAAGTTGCGCCTGGTGCCATTCAGCAACGAGTTCAAGATTACCCTGACCGTGCTGATGATCTTCGACTACGGTGGCTGCTGGATCATTGAGAATGTGCTCAAGCAGTTGTTCAGTGACTTCCGCCCCAAGGATATTGCCGTCCGCCGTCCTGATCAGCTGCAGCGCGAGGCTGAGCGCAAGGCCCAGGAAGAGGCCGAAGCGGCACAGCAGAAAGAGCAACAGAGGACGATCTAGATGATGTCTAGAAGACTAGAAGAGAAGGATGTCATGTACTGTATACATAGAGAGATGATGCTGGACTGATAGAAGTACATCGATTCTAATACATGTTTTTGATGATTTTGAAATTGCTCTCGTCAATTATTGTAGAGAAAATGGATCATAGCAAGCTTTCCTCCCTAGTAGGTGTGAGCTTGCCAAGCAGGGAAATTGTAGTGTAATGTCGGTTCAAGTTGATTCCAAGTCAGTCTTAGGAGGAATTCGTGGATTCTCGAGGTCAACCATTGGTCGCGAATGTGTATACCAGAGTTCATCAGCCAAGGTGGCTGCGTTGACTGCCCCCACTTAATACCTAGGTATGATCTCATCGCCTCCGAGGCGGCATCGAAGTCCGCAATTCGTTCTTTCTATCTTCGTGACCTAGAACAACTCTCGCAATTGTTGAAATATATCGCGATCGTGACAAAATGGCATCCAAACTGACTCTCCAGTCTACCCGCCGAATGCTATCGGGTCATGAGATCCCCGCTATTGGCTATGGGGTAAGTTCCCTCTCATTCAACCTTTGAACATTGGGCCGGGTTCTCCAAGAGTGCCAGTGGGTGATGGAGTGTGTCCGGGTCTCGTTGCAAGTCCTCAGGCGTCATTCCGGATATCCAGAGCTGCAGCTAAAATGGCCCTCTCTTTTCATTATAGGTTTACATGATGTGGGTATCAACATCCCCGCACTTGGACTCATCTGACAGCCTTGGTTGAATAGCAATCCATCTTCCACCGAGAAGGCCACCGCAGAGGCCCTTAAAGTGGGATTCCGCCATGTAAGTAGCTTGATTTTATGGTGGATCTGCTCTCGATTCGAGCTAAGATGCATATCACCAGATCGACTCAGCGATCATGTATCGCAACGAGAAAGGCTGCGGCCGCGCGATCCAGAACTCGGGACTCGACCGATCTGAGATCTTTCTGACGACGAAGATTCCTCCGGGATCAATGGGTTACGAACAGACCAAACGAGCTGTCAGCTCTAGTCTACGAGAAGTAGGACAGGATTATTTCGATCTGTAAGATCGCCTTGGACCAGGAGGTGAAGCCGGTCCCGTTGATATTACTGCTGATTAATACGAATAACCACAGGATTCTCATTCATGCACCATACGGCGGAAAGACCGCACGACTGGGCGCATGGGAAGCTCTCGTCGAAGCCCAGAAAGCCGGCAAGGTGAGATCGATCGGAGTTTCTAACTATGGAATCCACCACCTTGAAGAGCTGGAGGCGTATATTCAGAACGGAGGCGGGGGCGAAATATCCGTCGGCCAGTATGAGCTGCATCCCTGGTTGGACCATTCAGATATCATTGAATGGTTGCAGAAACGCAAGATCATCGTTGAGGCATATTCGCCTCTCGCTCACGGAGAGCGACTTGATGAGCCTGTACTGCAGACAATCGGGAAGAAGTATAACAAGTCGCCGGCCCAGGTGATGATTAGATGGAGTTTGCAGATGGTGAGTGGAAACTCCATGACAAAAATAAAATAAGGAGAATAGAGGCTAATCTGTTGAATATACAGGGCTTACTGCCGTTGCCCAAGTCGGTCACGCCCCATCGTATCCGGGAGAACACAGAGGTGTTTGACTTTGAACTATCAGCGGAAGATATGGATTTGCTGGACACGGGGGAGTATTGTCCGACAGACTGGGATCCGACAGTCGATGAGGATTAGCCAAAAATCTGCTGTGCTATCTCCTCTGCAAATTCCCGATATACTTGGCACTCGGTACACCTGAGCCTGATATGTGGATTGTCCCCCTCAGCATGTGCATCCTAGTCGGTCCACCCTTGAACCCCAAGACATTGTATATCGTCTAATACAATCGAGTAAAATTATCACTTCCGAATGTTCACCTTGTAGTACTAGTACAATATAAGGAGAGGATAGCTGCATATGGAGGATGTATTAACTCCAGTCACATGGGCCAAGAGTTAAGCTTGTGATACTGAAAGCCTCAAGTTGTGTATCCTCTATCGGATGTATGGCTAACGTATACATCGCGCTGGCAGGTGTTCAGGCGACATACGGCAATGGAGACTTGCCCATTCTGGTTCGGGGTACGAATGTCTAGTGGAACTTGAAGACATAGTAGTGGTCTTAGGCGGAGGATACTTGGATGGTTAATAGATTGACTGTCGGTTATTTAGAAATTCCAGTGGTTGATCAAGTAGAGGATTAATAGCCCCATAGATGGTAGAAGGTAGAAAGTAGTAGATTTGCTGGATTGTTAACGTTGACTACTGTGATTACATTGATTTGTCATTCAAATCGCGGAGAGGCGGGGGTATCCTAGGGTAGACATTCCCAGCGGGGCTTCCTCTTCCTCTATCAGTCCTCTCCCTCTTCTCCTCTCCCTCTATAGAGGCCTTGGAATTACCTCCTGATCACACCCCGACATCCCTCTCATCACCAGATCATCGCCACCATGAAGTTGATTCTCTCCACCTCGTAAGTGGCCGACCCAACGAATGCGACCAGAAAGCGGCGGGGGAGACGGAAAAAAAAAGAGACTAACATGACTCAATAGCAATCTCATGCAGGGCGGTCGGCCATCCGTGATTCGCCAGCCTCTCACTCAAAAATCCAATATCGAGCTGATCAATTCCCTCCGATCCAACTTCCTCGCCTCGCAGCAGTTCCAAGCCAACGGGACAGAGTCGCGCGTCAATGGACATACCAACGGAGATGCGAATGCGAATGCAAATGCGAATGGCTCTAGCAGCGACCCCAAGCACCACCAAGACCATCGCTCATGGACCGGGAACGTCGCAGGAGATCTATATATCCCCGCGATCGACTTTTCACAGCCCGGACTGTCGGAGGAGCGGGATCAATACGATATTACCGTGAAGTTGTTCTATCTACCGGGGATCCCCGCGTCGAGACGATGCGCACACACTAGGGAGGCGATTGATTTGGTATTGAAGGAGCTACACGTGAAGTCTATCGATTTGCTGATCGTCTCGTTCCCGGGGATTCTCTTCGACGCAGACGACGACAGTGAGGACGAGGATAACGAAGCGAGTACCGGCGAGCCCGCCGACGACTTCGACAGTATGGTGCAAACATGGCGGGTCTTGGAATCGCTGCATGAGCAGGGTATGATTTCCCAGCTGGGCGTGGCCGAGTTTGGCAGCGAGCGCCTGGCTCGATTCCTGCCTCACACCCAGGTCAAGCCCTCCGTCGACCAGATCAATCTCAAGGACTGTTGTGTTGTGCCCAAGTCGTTGATTCTATACGCGAAGGAGGAGAAGATTCAACTCCTCACCCACAACGATTGCAATGATATCCTCCCCGTTGGCACGACGAGAGAACTCCTCGGCCCTGGCGAGAGGGGTGCGGGAATCCTGGCCTCCACGCCAGAGGGAAATGATGGCATCCAGGGAGACGTTGAGCCGCAGTGGGTGGTCAAGTATACAGCCGTGGTGAAGGATCGGGGAGTAGTTGAGAACAAGGGGTACTTCGCACTGGCGGACGTGGGCACATGCGTCAAGAACCGGTCGTGAGGAACGGAACTGTGGTCGTTAAACATTCATATTCATGATTCAGCGTGGCGTTTTTGAGGATCCAGATGAGATCAAATCTATCCATATGGGAGAAAGCATTCGGTCATGGTCATTGGGGAGGGGGGAGAGAGAGGAACAGGGTTCTGTGCATAGAAAAGACGAATCTCTTTATCCAAGCATGCTCCGCTTGCGACCTCTCATCCGCACATCCTCCAGCCTCTTGAGCGTAGAAATAGCGCCACGGTGACTCTCGCGGTATCCGTGCACCAATTCCTCCATAAAAGGTTCCGATCGCGGGTGCGTACTGCCTATCGCCCGTTCCAACACGTATAAATCCACAGCTCGGTCCTCATCCTGCACGCTCTGCGACGCGAGTCCGAAATCAATCAGGACGACCTCGCCTTGTGTCGAGACACCCGTCGGACTGGCCTTGGCCTCAGTATCCTCCGCCGGTAAGCGAAGCATAAGGTTGCTTGTTGTCAAGTCGCCGTGAACGACGCCAGCCTTGTGCAGCCCACCAAGGGCCTTGCCGATGCGCCGTAAAAGGGCCTTGACGCGAGCATTTTCCTGCTCCAACTGCGCGGCATCAAGGGATGAGGCATTCTTCTTCATCCATGCTTCCCATTGTTCCAGCACGACGCGCACAACAGGCCCATCAATCCACTCCATCATCAACCATGCTCCTCCCCACCCTGCTTCATCGCCGCCCTGTCCTTCCCAGTCGAGCGCGAGAACGGCGGGGACACTGACGCCTTCGCGAACCAATTTGGCAAGACAGCGTGCCTCTTGAATTATCCGTTGCCGAGTGAGCCGACGGTCGAGAATTGGGTGTCGATAGGGCTTGGAAGGGCGGACTTTGAGTGCGGCGGGGATGGAGGGGTCGAGCGAGAAGGTCTTGTAGAGATGGCCTTCGGCGCCTTGTGTGAGGAGCTCGGGCGCAGGATTGGTGCTGTTGAAAGGAGCCGGAAGGGCCGGGGGTTTATATTCGGCCATGGAGAAAACTAGTAGATTTTTGCGGAATGGTGGAGGTTGAAGTTGAAAGAGAAGCTAAGGTGAGCTCGACGGGAAAAGTTCCCAAGTTCAAGTTTGGTGGGGCTTGTTTGATTGGTTGGCCTGGGACTATAAAATCACTACCTACGATATTATAGCCATCATCTCTTTTCAATCCCAGAAATGAGCTGGATGAATGATGCCTTTTATGAAAAGAGAGCCTTGGAAGTTGAAAATTGATGTTTCATTCTTTCTTTCTTTTCTTTTCCACTTGACAGTTGGTTCTACGCTAGCCCCCTCCGTATTAACACAACAACCCCGCCGAGGGGGCCATACTAGTAAAAAGTACTAGTATTTTACATGGAGCCTGAGTTGTTGTACGTAATCCAAGAACTAGTAAATTAGTGTTAATTTATAAATCCAGCACTGGAAGTTTGTATTTCAGACCCATCCCTAACTGTGAAACCCAGCCATGTACAACATTCCTTCCAATATGGGCTCGTATGTAGAAGATCGTGTTGCCATTGTTGTTGGAGCTACCGTTAGTGAGCACCTAAACTTGAAAGCATGGGAGTCTCTTGAACCTTTACTGATAATTAAAATTCAGTCCGGAATGGGAATCGATATTGCCACGGATCTCTTCACACGCGGATGGAAGGTCGCTTGTGTAGGCCGGCGTCGTGAAGCAGGGGAAGCTCTTCTTAAGACTCTCCCAGGGAACAACGCTCGATTCTTTCCCGCCGACGTATCAAACTATGATCAGTATGCGGGCGTGTTTCGCGAAATTCACAAATTATGGGGTCGCATTGATGCACTATGTGCTAATTCTGGCATCGTCGATACGTCTTCTATCTACATATACGATTGGAAGAATAAGAGTGTTGATGAGGTTCCTCCGGCCCCGGAATTGGATGTTGTCGATATAAACTACAAGGGAGTCGTTCACGGTACACAGTTGGCGACGCATTTCATGAGGTATAATCCTCAACCTGGGGGACGCATTGTGATCACTGGAAGTATTGGAGGTGTTTTCCCTCATGAGTCTTATCCAGTTTACTGCGGCACCAAGGCCGCAGTAAACCAATTTGTGCGTGGCACGGCCACACTATTGAAGCAGAAAGAGAACATCATGATCAATGTTGTGATGCCAGGAATGGTGGAAACTCCTATCGTCCCCCCAGAGATGATTGCCGCTGTGACTCCTGAATGGTGAGAACCCTCCCAGGGCCTACCCTGAGGCCTTTCGACCAGATGCTGACCCACTAATTTTCGCTTAGTTTGACCCCAGTGAAGACAATCTTGAAGGCGTACCAGGTTTTCCTCGAAGATACCACAGGGATGACTGGCCAAACACTTGAGTGTTCAGCTGATAAGCTGATCTACTACAACATGCCCGAGTATGGCAACGGGCGCATCACGAAACGGGCCGTCACAGTCTGGGAGCCGTTGTTTCGAATGATGCATGGTGAAGATTCGCAGTTACCGGATGCAATTCCATGAAGCCGAGTTTGATCGGAACAAATCACACGAGAAAAAACTTGCAAATGCCATACTGTACTATCATGGTCTCGGCACACATCAAATTGATCTCGTTTGGAATGTGGGAAAATCCAGTCAAAATTACTAGTACCTCCTGGGAAACCGACTTGTTGGTTTGCTTTTAGATTACGACCTATTACCACCCACCTGGTATTTTGCGTTTCTACTAAATCCTTCGGCCCACGATCGACGGTCCGAAACATCGACAGCTGTCGAATCCAGAAATATTGACCCATCAGCTCGTATGCGGTGGGCCGCGGGACGGGCTGGCGTGGCGTGGCCCGCAGCCGTGGAGCTTAGCCCAGACTTTGGAGTCAAAATCTCAGCCGGTTGTACTTGTTAGGGCGTCTTAGTGCTGTCAGTATTGTTTTGGGACTGAATACGGAGCATCTTGACTTCACTTGGTATTCGAGCCAATGTCAATGGAGCCCGATTTCAATTTTCAATCACTCCCTCCAACCATTTCACGACAGCCTACGCTCTTTATGACACAGTCACTAGCCCTGCGGGGAGAAAAAACAGTTCCATGTGTTGAGATATTTCGAGTAATACATAGTATTGTCAGATAATTAATTTTGTAGACCGTGAATCATGTCTACGCCCTCGATATCAAGCCACTCGACGGAGGGTTGTAAGTTGAAGAGCTCAAACATTAATCCGTCGTCCCATATAGAAGCCGACCTAGTCGCGGGGTCGCCAAGTTCATGACAAACCGACTGACTTTCTGGCAATGAGGGAAGTCCATCCGGGGGCATTTCATCTTGTCCAGGTGTAGGCAGGGAGGCAGTTTGATCAGCAATGTCTACGCCAGTCTCAAAGTCACCGCCATTTGAAAGCATCTGGATATGCGTTGCTCGGTTGCAAGAAGACCGGCCCTCCTGAGATCTGCGAGGATCTCCACTGGAAGGAATGTCGTGTAGTTCAGCACAAAGACCGATCAGCTCAGATAGGAGTCTGTGAAGATTCATGCCGATAATGTACTGCTCTTTGAGCCTTGATATTGTGACAGTGACTTCTTTCAATAATCTGAGATCATCCATATTTGAAGTAGCGACAACGTTGCAGAAAATAACGAAGAATGGCGTGAGTGGGTATAGTAATACCGTCCTATTTATTGTTAGTTAGAGCACTTCGAATATTTATGAAGAAGAAAAAAAAACGATATACCAGAATAAATAGTCGGGCGTGATGCTGGACTTTGAGCATATGTGCTTCTGACATGCTTGCATCGAATGGAGGGCCTTTCGTGCGTATCGTAAACACTCTTCCCGCCTAGTCTTGTCTTGCAAAGAAGATGAGTCTAGACGAAGAACCGTAGTAGCGATTGAGAAGAATGTGAAATCAACTGTATCCCATTCGATCATAATTGAGGGTTCGCGGTGTGGCGGATACCGCGACTAGAGGAATCTCAGTATATTCCATCAAAGGTGTAAATGGAAAGTTGATTACCTGCTGTATTTCATCGCCAATAGACTTCAGCTCAGTTTGAATATTCTCTAACATGAATTCTTTGTTTGCAAGTATTTGATGACGCGGATCCTTGAGCACCAGCGACAAGGCGACATCTTGGACGCGGGCGAGCTTCACCAAGATCTTGACATGCATTGAGATTGGTAGCTGAGGATCCGTGGGAACGAGATCTGCTGGATTGAATGGCAGCTGTGGTAGGGACGGAGGGCGAAGTAGAAGCATGCTCAGTGTCTTGTCCATATAATAGCAATAGTAGATGCAGCGACGGATTTCGTTTTCTTCATCACTGTCAGAGTCAAAGCTCGTCATTTTGTGATAACTAAGAGCGACAATAGAGCGAGATGCAAGAGAGACCAAAAACCATGATCTTGTCGTGTCGCCATGAAGTTGGACAACCGCCGCCTGATCAAGAGTCAATAGAAATGCTTAGAAAAAAGACAAGACGAACAGGCACTGCTTACCCCTGCAAGAAGAGCTTGCAACATTGCAAGATTTGGCGAGCGAGTGAAATCAATCCTTCTGAGGCATTCCAAAGTCGCAGCGCTATATACCTTGCGAGATTTGTCCAAGTACTCAGACATTTGGTCAGACGGGCATACCCGTAGCCATCGACTGATGAAAGTAGTCGCCTTCGAGAATAAGCATAATTTGTATTGGAGCGCCATCTCGCCATAAACAGTGTTGCTCATGATTGCCAAAGACATTCGCTCCATAGTCTGAGATGATAGATGATCTGCCCAGACGAGGCCTTGTGCTTCCATTTTACTTGATCCTGTATAAATTAGCGTGTAACTGGTTGTAGGGAAACAGAAGTGGTGGACCTACCATGAATTGTCATATAATGCAACTCAGGTGGGATGTTATCCACGATAGACGCGTCTCTGTGTTCATTCTCATCGTGCTGTGCATGGTATCCCTGGTGCGATGCCGTTGCGAATACTTTAACAATCGTAAGGGCGTGTTCCAATGCTCGCATCCGACTTGCAGGCAGATTTGAATGCGATTCAAGCTCTTGTTGAATCAAGGTGGTAGAGTTATCTACCAGATCATGCTTATCAACAGGCCCTTCATGTGGCCTTAACGTTGAATCAAAAATGCTTGATGGTGTAGAGGCACCGGTTCCGATCTCAGGCCCCTGTGCTCTCCCTTGCTGTCGTTTATTGGCTTTGACACCGCTATGCGAGGGCCTATTGGATTGAAAATTTAGTCAAGCATCTGTAGAGTTTCAATTCCTCGCGACTTACGATGGTGGCACTCCTCGACGCGGTCGACGGCCTCTCAATCGGTCTCGAGTGCATGAAACTCCAATCGAAGCACAGCTTCGACATTCCGCCTGTCTATCGCATTTTGTCTGTGGTGTATGAAGGTATGAGAAAGAGAAGTTCACCTAGAAGCAAAAGGTATTGAAATACCTTTCTTGCATGGCACAAATCACACTGGTGGAATGTTAGAAAAAGAGTGGTTGGTATGGATAGTATCGAATTAATTGAACATACTGCTTGAAGTCCCCCGGTGACAAACAAAGCCCCGGTCCGAAATGCTGGAGATTGGGGCATAATAAATTTTCTCGGGTTCAGCCTAGGGAAGTCTCCCTACAGTTCGTTATGACCACGAGGAAGATCCCGTAGACCCGCACTGCTGGCGATGACGTATCGAGCCTAGAACGATGCTAAATTTAGGAGACGGAAATCACTTGGTGGTTTCCAGAACTAACATCCATGCATCTGGAATCCGAATGCACGAACATTTGCAGGCCGCACTGACGTGAAAAGACGGTGTGAACTATTCAATCACACCTCAAATTGAGATCGTGATGAGGCGGAAATTTCGGAAGTTACTTGAAAAGGGAAACTTCCGAACCAATCAAGATCCTTCAATTTGCCCAAACTCAAGTATTTGGTTATGTAACAGGACGCTGATTGGCTCACTCGGAGAATTCGAAGCTGCCTACTGTCCTGCTTCTTGAGAGTAAAGAGAGGAGGAAAAATAAAAGATTTGGATAAGTTACTGTATTAATTGGAGGCTAAAATTATTTCAAGACTCTCTGAATAATCAGTGATCATATCCAATGTGATTTAAAAAATCAACTACAGAAGATGTAGTCCTTAATGATGTGTGTACATGTGATTGTTGATCGATGAGATGGTACCCTGGCCGAAAGTCCGACTCTGCAAGTCCGAAGCCGATGAGTTTTCGCCATGGCTCTATCCACTTTCAATTCCCATCGAAAACATTGATTTGCCAGATTGAATAAGTCCCCGCAGATGGACCCTCCTCTCGTCTCCTAAATCTCCGGAGTACACTTTTTGAATATGCAATTTTTTTCCGATGCAGCTTGGCGGCGAACTGATTCGTGTTTTAATATGAAAGTGTTACCCCCAATCCATGCATTTGATACATGTTGAATTTTCTTTGTGATTCTTGTTTGGGATTTCCCCAGCTCCTAGAGGGCGTTTCTATTTCTCACAATGGCTCTTCCGCAAAGCTCTCCACCACCGAGCCCAGTATCTACAAGGGCCAGTTCTCCGGAAAGTACTGAAAAATGGCATTGGGCTACAACGATTGAGAAGTCCCATCAAGATGATCTCGATTCCGGTTATAATTCTCGAAAGCTTGGCGTCACTTGGAACAACCTGACCGTCAAAGGTGTCAGTGCCGATGCCACTGTCAACGAAAACACAATTTCCCAGTTCAACATCCTGACGCGCGTGATTCGTCGTCCAAATCAGACGTCGACGCAAACAATTCTCGAAAAAAGCCATGGCTGTGTCAAGCCTGGCGAAATGCTCCTCGTTCTCGGCCGTCCAGGCTCGGGCTGCACGACATTGCTCAAAATGCTGTCCAATAAACGCGAAGGCTACTCCTCAATCGATGGTGATGTCTGGTTTGGGAGTATGAGTCATGAAGAGGCGGAGGATTATCGAGGCCAGATCATCATGAACTCAGAAGAAGAGACTTTCTATCCGACTCTGAGTGTGGGAGATACAATTAATTGCGCCACACGATCAAAAGTACCTTCTCATCTACCCAAAAGCATTCCTTCGAAGAAGGATTATTACACCGAGACCACTGATTTCCTTCTGAATTCCCTTGGTATTCAGCATACCACAGATACCAAGGTTGGGAATGAGTACGTTCGTGGAGTGTCAGGCGGAGAGAGGAAGCGAGTCTCCATCCTCGAATGTCTCGCATCAAGGGCATCTGTTTACTGTTGGGATAATAGCACCCGCGGTCTTGATGCAATCAATGCACTTGAATGGGCAAAGGGAATCCGTTCTATGACTGATGTGTATGGATTATCTACGATTGTGACACTCTACCAAGCGGGGAATGGGATTTTCGACCTGTTTGACAAAGTTCTCGTGCTAGATGAAGGTCAACAGATCTTTTACGGTCCGAAAGATCAGGCTCGAGAATTCATGGAAGACCTCGGATTCTGTCGGGACGATGGAGGAAATATCGCAGACTTTTTGACTGGAGTGACTGTCCCTACTGAACGTCGAATTCGTCCTGGATATGAAGCGAATTTCCCCCGCAATGCTACTTCTATTCTTTCGCACTACCAACAGTCTCCCATTTTCAAGACTATGCAAAGTGAGTATTGCTATCCGACCACAGATGAGGCCCATCGGAATTTGAAAGATTTTCAAACAAATGCTATGCTGGAAAGAAATCACCAAAAGAGTCAATTCACTGTGAGCCTTTTTGATCAAATCTGCATTTGTGTGGTCCGCCAGTATCAAATTCTAGGCGGAGACATGACTACCTTCTTCATTAAACAAGGCGCGAATCTCATTCAGGCACTAGTAGCTGGGTCTCTTTACTACATGGCGCCGAATGACTCTTCGGGAATCTTCCTCAAAGGTGGCGCGTTGTTTTGGTCTGTTTTATACAACAACATGACCATGATGTCCGAAGTAGTGGATTCATTTACAGGAAGACCGATCATTCTCAAGCACAAATCATTTGCATATATCCATCCATCTGCAGTTTGTATTGCCCAGGTGGCTACAGATGTCCCAATGGCGATCCTCCAGGTCACTGTGTGGTCACTCATTGTCTACTTCATGGTTGGACTTTCTATGGGTGCTTCAGAGTTCTTCACTTATTGGCTTGTTCTTTTCGTGACAAATATGTGCGCTTGCTCACTGTTTCGTGCCATCGGAGCGGTTTTTGGCTCTTTCAACATCGCCTGCCAGATTTCTGGCTACGCTATTTCCATCATGGCCATGTATTCAGGATACCAAATACATCACACCCAAATGCATCCATGGTTTGGCTGGTTGTACTGGCTGAACCCGCTTTCGTATGCCTTTGAAGCATTGATGGGGAACGAGTTTCACCTGAAGCATATGCCGTGTGTGGGTCCTAATTTGGTTCCTCATGGAGACGGATACCCCACAGATGGCCAGTTCGCTTCTTGTGCTGGAGTTGGCGGTGCAAGACAGGGCGCAACATCGTTGACTGGTGACGAGTATTTGAGCTCCTTGTCCTACAGTCATGCACATTTATGGCGAAATTTCGGCATTATTTGTGCGTGGTGGGTATTTTATCTGTGTGTCAACGTTATGGGAATGAATAGATGGCGTGATGCCTCTGACAAGGGGTCTCAGCTTCTCATACCCCGTGAAAGACTTGCTTTCCATCAGGCCAAGGCTCCCCTTGATGAAGAATCTCAACACTCAAAAGATTCTGAGAAGCTGCAAGTCTTGAACCCGAATCAGCCACCCAAAGCTTCTGTTTCCCTTGAGCAACAATTGGTCCCCAACACATCTGTTTTCACTTGGAAAAACTTGAGTTATACCGTCAAAACACCATCCGGCCCTCGAGTGCTACTTGACAATATTCAGGGCTGGGTGAAGCCCGGAACTCTCACTGCACTCATGGGCTCTTCGGGTGCAGGAAAAACGACCTTACTGGATGTTTTGGCCCAGAGAAAAACCGAAGGGAAAATAGAAGGTTCAGTATTGGTTGACGGCCAGTCTCTCCCGATCTCCTTCCAACGTTCGACGGGTTATGTGGAGCAACTCGATGTTCACGAGCCTTTTGCAACGGTTAGAGAAGCTCTAGAGTTCTCTGCCCTTTTGCGTCAAAGTCGTGATGTCCCTCAGGATCAAAAATTGGAATACGTTGATGTCATCATCGACTTGCTCGAGCTACATGACATTGCCGATGCTTTGATAGGAGCACCGGGCTCAGGCTACGGACTTAATGTCGAGCAAAGAAAGCGAGTCACTATTGGGGTAGAACTCGTTGCGAAGCCGAAGATTCTCATATTCCTTGATGAGCCCACTTCGGGGTTAGATGGCCAATCGGCCTTCAATACTGTGCGCTTCTTGAGAAAGCTCGCAAACTCTGGTCAAGCAGTACTGGCGACTATTCATCAGCCATCGGCACAGCTATTCACGCAATTCGATCGACTTTTGCTCTTACAACAGGGTGGAAAGACGGCCTATTTTGGAGACATTGGAACTTCCTGCTGCGCAGTTAATGGCTACTTCAACCATTATGGAGCTTACTGTCCCCCGGGGACCAATCCAGCAGAGCATATTATTGATGTTATCTCTGGTCAAGGTTCCACTCAAGACTGGCACAAAGTTTGGCTCAATAGCGAAGAGAATAAGGCTGTTATGACTGAGCTTGAAGATCTCATATCCACCACAAAGCCCAAAACCTCGAGCACGGAGGATGCCTTCGAGTATGCGATGCCTCTCTCTTTCCAGACAAAAATTGTTCTTCGTCGGATGAATCTGGCAATTTTCCGCAATACTGGTTACATCAACAACAAGCTTCTCCTCCATATTGGTCTAGGCCTTTTCAATGGGTTCACCTATTGGCAAATCGGAAATGCCGTTGGTGACCTCCAGCTCAAGCTTTTCACCATTTTTGTTTGGATGTTCGTCGCCCAGGGCGTCATCAATCAGCTTCAGCCGGTCTTCATTGAGCGACGGAATATTTATGACACTCGAGAGAAAAAGTCGCGGATTTACTCTTGGAAAGCGTTTGTCACAGCCCTCATCGTGTCTGAGATGCCATATCTGGTTGTCTGCGGAGTGCTTTATTTTGTCTGTTGGTACTTCACAGTCGGCTTCCCTACCGATCCCAGCAAAGCCGGCGCAAGCTTCTTTGTGGTTCTCATATACGAGTTCTTCTACACTGGACTGGGTCAATTTATAGCAGCATACTCACCTAATGCAGTGGCTGCTGCTCTTGCAAATCCCCTGTGGATTGGAATCATTGTTTCATTCAATGGAATATTGGTACCTTACGACCAGCTTGTCGTGTTTTGGAAATACTGGATGTATTGGCTGAACCCATTGACCTACATGGTCGGAAGCATGCTCACTTTCACCATTTTCGATGCAGATGTGACCTGCACTGATGCAGAGTTTGCAATCTTGGATCCTCCCCCCAACATGACCTGTTTCGACTATCTGGAAAATTACCTCGACAAGTCTGGCGCAAACCTATTCAATCCCACGGACTCTGCAGATTGTCGTGTCTGCCAGTACACCAAGGGAAGTGATTACCTCCGTACTATTAATCTAAACGATTGGTATTACGGGTGGAGAGATGCTGCTATATTCGTCATCTTTATTCTTAGTTCGTATGGTCTGGTGTTCCTTTTCATGAAACTGAAGACCAAATCTTCCAAGAAGGCCCAATAAACGGGGAGATTTGCATTGTTCTCTTTTTGTCCTTCCATTCGTCACCTCCCGACTGAACATTCCTTTCTCATTTTCCATTCTGGTGTTCTTTGGCTTTCAGCAATTCTTTGCAGGGCTCCGAGGACTTTCCGCTCCTCCTAGTCGACCTACATTTGTTATAATCCATGCATGATAGACATCAATTGCATCGCATACAGCTCCGTCAAAAATCATTTGTGATAAACTTCCAAGGCTTGGTTGCTCACCCGGAAAGGTCGCCATTCAAATAGAGCATCATGACAACCAAATAAATAGTGAGAAATTCAGAGATGAAATCGAAGGTGTCAAACTGTAGACCGTCACATTTCTTTTGATTACTGCTCAAGCCTGTCATCTCCTGCGTCGGTCGTCCTTTGAGAATTGAAAATTCAATTTGAACCTATGTACTGTAGCAACGCCATTTGTCTCGGAGGGGAGGATATAGGAATTTCCAAAGTATAGTTGCAGAAAGCTACCGGTAGACTTTTGGAAGTACGTACAGAGGTCGTAACGAAGCCCATCCGGGTTGAATTTTTCCATGATTCTATCGAGGAGCAGATATCATTTAAAGCAAAGACCCACCGAAAAAAACAGATCATTTGAGATCTTTCTCTTTCAAACCCATTGATAATCAATAACTGCTAATGACGAAACAGATCACTTATCTTTCTCTTTATCCCAGAAGGGGAAGAAAAGAAAATAGAGTAATCTATCACCTATAGGTCATTGCCATTGTTCGCAGCAGCCCCAGCATTATAGTATTCCTGGATCTCATTGATGCTATTTTTCGTCCAGTCATGATTTTCTCCAACTTGGGTTTCCAACCCATCCAGTCTCATTTCGTGACTCGATACTTGGCGCCCAATTATGGTTGATGTTATTCTGTTGGACCTCTGCTGGGTTGTCGCTCTTGTGTCACAATTGTCGAATCCCTCTTTGACGCGTTTTCCCAGCTTCTCCACACGTGTGTTGGTATCTTTCAGCATGCTCTTGGATTTCTCGACTTTTTCGTCATGTTGTCTCATCCATGTTTGCACGGCGTCCATAAACTCGCGGTTTCCCTTGGCTGGATCGATGGATCGGCGATGATCACTACCGGCGCTGGTTCTTGACCTCTTCGATGTATTTTCCTTGACGGACGTGTTTTTGAAATCTGAATATCAAAACCGAGAATCAGATTTGGGCGTTATGGTGGATCGGTCTGGCAACACTCACCTCGTGGTTCACTCATGGTTTCGGTGGGAGGGAGATCGCAGTGGCGATCGGGTTGAGTCTTAGAAATATCAGAGCAGCTGCATCTGATGACTCGGGATGGTTCAAGTTGAAAGGAATGGAAGTTGAAGTATGAAGTGTGGTGATATTGTCAGAGGAAAGACTGTGGAGGTTGAAGGCAGGCCACTCATTTTATATGGCGGCAGGCAGGAGTGCCACTGCTAGTGAGTGGCTTTTAGGAACACTACAGTACTGTTATTAACTTAAGTATAATATCAATTCGAGTCTTCTTACCCCCAGGGTATGCCAGTGGTAATCCAATTAATAGTAATTAATAGTAATTGAGTAAATACTAGTCAACTGTATACTGTAGATGCTGCCTTGCCTAATCGGGACAGGTTCTCCAGTCCTCCCGCTCTCTCATCTCATCTCATCTCCGCTCTTCTCCTTCTCCACCCGTTCGTTCTCATCTCCTCCGCACCACTCCTTGGAATCTCTCATCCATTCGTTTGACAAATCCCCCGAGAGTCGTGCCCTGAACTGCGTCGCATCCTCCTCCTCCCCCGCTATCGACACCGCCTTGCTCCTTACTTCCTCGGCATCTCCTTTCGCTCACAGCTCCGACTAGGCTGCAGTGGACCGTGCGGAGAGGGGCGCGCTGTTCACTCGGCACCTACTTCTCACTCTTCGCTTCTCCGCTGCTCCGCTGGCGGTTGTGTGTGCAGTTCTTCGCCTGTTCTGTCCTTATCACCCCGTGTCTTGGGTATCTGCTGCCCGCTCCCGCTTCCCCGGATTTCACGAAGAGAGCTCAACACCTCACGAGCCCAGCGCCGGTGATCCCGAAAATACCACAGTCGCACAGGATACTTGAGTAGGAGGTGGAACAGTAGAAAGCGGGTTAAATCCCAGTGCCATCGCTCTCCTCAGCTCTAGCAAGCTCCTGCGAAACCCTCTCGTCGTCCCTTCGTGTCGCCATGGCTTGGTACTCTATTCTCCCACCCCAGCTCATTCAGTTCGAAAGCTGGGCAGTTCGCATCTTTGTATGTTCCTCGTCCCATTCCTCCCATGCTCTAGTAATAACAGATTCCCGCTTCCACAGTTCCTCCTCGGCCTAATCACCATCGTGCCCTGGTGCGCGATGATCATTTTCGACGCCGGCCTATACCTCTACCGAATGATTCTGTGGGAGCTTCCTTGGATCGGCGGACGTGCTCGTGGACATCAACGGCCACGTGCACCGAGCTTGAGTGAGCGGGCAGAGGGACAAAGACGCGCGTTGGGATTTAAAGGCGTCGAAAGCGATTCAGGGGATTCGAGCGAAGACGATCGAGGAGTGGAGTACAATGGACTCGGCGGGAGGAATAATCGAGTTGAGAAGAAGAATGTGGCGCCGGCTACAGATGAAAAGGCGCATTCCACCGCGGATGGAGATGTAAAGCGGAGGACCTCCACGCGAACATAGCTTGCCAGCCGAGGCTACGCTGGAAACAAAGGTGTTGATCGACTTATCTGACTTGTGGTTTTAACGGTGTTCATGGTGTTCTGGTTATGATTATGGTCTTGTGTTTGACTGCCGGATAATGATACCCCTCGCCGGCAGTCTGTATGGAATATGCTTACGGAGACGGCTGCATATTATAACTTGAAATTGTGGGGTTCTAACCCTGATTTCTAAGCCGATATAGTACTGTGAATATATCTTATACTTATTCATACTCCTGGTGATATCAGGTAGTCACTACTCTGATCGGATGGTTCCGTCAAAGTGGAGATAGAGAGCGACCAAAGCTTTGGAGATTTCCCTTTCAACGTGTGCCCCTCTTGGAGTCGGTGCGGAGTAACCTTGATCTGAAGAGGAGTCATATGGCTCCAAAGTTTTTTTTTCTCATTTAATCATCCTGTCGTCTGCATGACTGTCGGTTCAGGTCTCAAAGCTTTGAGAACCGGATCTTTACTATCTTGTTGATTGGAAGAAGTACGAGTACGTTAAAACGCCACGTGAACTTCGTTATAATCTATAGGAAATGACTGGAATATTCTTGGAGAGGCTACATATCCTCTGTAATGTTGATTCACTCTTAACCAAGTATCTGCTTGGGGCTTTATTCATGGGCGCATGCTTCTGGGCGTGGAGATGGGATCGAGTGCGTGATCTATGGGCATCGAGACGGAGTGAGGAACTTGATGTGATAAAAAGACAGCCAGCCATCACACCTTTGAAAGACTTCCACTGGGCATCAACAGAGCCACTGCAGCTGCGTCCCTTTCGAGGCAAGGTGAAATATAACCTGACTATGGGTGGGATTATCTTTACTGCGTATCAATATGACCGACTTCACGCTAATCTATATTACAGCTATTGAGAATCTAGATCCATCCGAGCTTATTCAGATGGACAAAACATACCATGACCGCATCTCAAAGCGCAAGGCTATATTGAATCAGCACCATGATGTTGTCGTGGCTGTCAACCAACCCCCGTTAAAAGACCCACGTATTCGCGCCGCAGTCAGCGAGCTCTATACTTTCATAATGGGAACCTATCTTCCAACTCGATATCCTACAATGTTCCAACTTGATAGCGATTCCAAGAATGAAACGACGTTTGAGAATCTTGTCACTGGTGCGAGATGGCCAACCAATCTTACAGAGCACATGCCTACGATCCGAGCACTCGAAATCATCGCCCAGACAGTTGATGAAGAGTTCTTGATCCTTCTACCAGATACTTCAGGGCCCGGAGAGTCCTCTCCATATGTCCTTCAAGCTTACGCAACGTGCTTCCCATCTGGCTTTAACACGCGTGAGAAGCTCGGTCTTCGGCTAGCAGATATTCATGGCCCAGTACCTGGATACGCAGAAAAGATCGAGCGCAGCATGGACAAATTCTTCAGCAAGATCGAAGTGGGAAGGTTTGTCAAGAGGGTTAACTGGGGTGTTACAACCGAGACAGATCTCTTTGCTGCATTTGGATCTGTACATGCCTCCCCGACTGCTGATCCACAAAAAGAGCATGTCATTCAGCCTGGCATGTTGAATATTGATCAAGTAAGTCGGATCTTGATTCTCGGATTTTCAGAACAGTGCTTATGTATTGTATAGACAGTCTTGCGTTGTGAGAGACAGACCCTGCACAGGCTGCCGCAGACTAAAGCTCTTGTTTTTGCTTTTCATACTTATACCTATCCGGTGCAGCAGATCAAAAATGAAGGCATGGGGGAAGAGCTGGCGACCGCAATCGAAGGGCTGAAGAGAGGGAATGTCCCCAAAATTTATTCATACAAGAGAGGTGATATTTGGGGCCAAGCTGTGACCGAGTTCCTCAAAGCTTAACAACTTGAAAGATACTCAGGTGCTCGGCTTTTCCAGCACTAAACTCATTTAGCAGGAGCCATCCATGAAGACATTGAACTTATTGAAAAATGTGTATTTCGTTAAAGACTTCAAGTCGTGACGTATCTAAATTACTTTTGCTCATCAGATGATGCTTGATTTACTGAAGACGGTCCATGACCTTAATCAGATCGGCGGCAACACCCATGGCAGTGACATCACCACCAGCACCGGCACCCTGGACAATCAGGGGGTTGGAGCCGTACCGCTTGGTGGAGAAGCTGATGATGTTATCGCTACCCTTCAGACCAGCGATAGCGCTGTCCTTGTCAAAGTACTGCAGTCCAACCTTGACGGCCTTGCTGGCAACATCAATGCTACCGACATAACGAACAACCTTACCCTCCTTCTCGGCGGAGTCCTTGATGTTGGCCATTTGGGCATCGAATTCAGGAAGACGGGTCATGAACTCGGTGATTCCATCGGCGGAAGAAGGCAGCGAGGCCAATGCCTCGGGAATAAGAGACTCAATAGGGAAAGAGTCAGGGCGGGAAACCTCCAGACCAGCCAGACGGGCCAGAATGGTAAGCTTGCGGGCAACATCCATGCCGTTCAGATCGTCACGGGGGTCAGGCTCGGTGTAGCCAAGCTCCTTGGCCTGGGCGACGACATCGCTCCATTGGGCGTTAGAAGAGCCGGATGCGGGGGCGAAGGTGTTGAACAGGAAGGACAGAGTGCCTGAGAAGACACCCTCGATACGGGTGACCTCGTCACCAGTCGCGACAAGGTCTTTCAGGGTGGAGAGGACGGGGAGACCGGCACCGACGGTGCTCTCGTGGTAGACATGAGCGTTACCCTCAGCGGCGGAGGAGAAGATATCCTTCCACAGAGACAGGTCATCGGAGAAGCCCTTTTTGTTGGGGGTGACGACCGAGATACCCTTCTTCAAGAATGTGGGGTAGGACTTGGCCAAGTTGATGTCGGAGGTGTTGTCAACCAGGATGGCACGGCCAGGAGCAGAGGCGAGGTAGGTAGCGATCTCCTCCGCGGGAAGGGCGCCAGTCTTGGTCACGGAGGGTGTGGCAGCAGCGGTGGCCCAGTCGACCGCGGGGATGGCCGAGTATGCCGGTGTCGGAGCCAGGACGGTCTGGGAGGAACGAGCAAGGAGGACAAGCTTAGGAGGATTGGGGAAACGGGCGAGCTGGGAGAGGAAAGCAGTTCCAACACCACCGACACCTGATTGACAATCAGTATCTCGTTTGCTACTTTCACAATCAATCAAGATAAAGTGGATTCATACCAACAACGCCGAGATAGATAGGGCTGGGAGACATGATGGGGTCAATTGAGTAGAATCGAAGGGGCAAAGTCGATTGGTGGTAGTCAATGATAGAAAAGAATTCAGTTAAAATAGATTCTGGTATCAATTCAAGCTGGAAACTTCCAAACGTAAAGAGACAAATGTACTGCGATGTCGCGGGGCTCCGCGGGGCAGCTGACTCATGTCACATGACTCTATTTTTTTTTGTGGAAGGCAACTCCCCGAGCTTTATCGCCTTATCGTCACGGTACCTTGAAGACAACCTATCCACCTTCCACCTAAGGTACCTTGAACTAGGGTAGACTTCCTAGTCCACTTACAATTCCCTGCGAACATCATGGGCGCAGAGCAGGACAGCCTATATGGGCAACCAAAGAAAAAGAGCAAGAATGAGCTCTCCTCTGTCTCCGGCCTCTCCTTTGCCGGTCAAATGTCATCCCTAATAGCGAATGCGAACACCTCTGGATCGACGTCTAACGACCGAACACGCCGCTCACGACAACCCAAGTCCGATCTATTCGGCAAACAAAATAAAGGCGCCGAGAAGCGCGCAGCGGCGGATCTTGAAGAGACGGATCACCATGTCGCGAAGCAAGTCCACATGTCCAGCAAGGACATCGGTAGCGTCGACGACGCCACGCTCAATCGATCTAAGCAAAAGATGGAGAAAAAAGTGCGCATGTACAATGATATGAAAAAGGGCATGTATCTTGCCGGGGACAGCAGTGACGAGGACACACCAGGACCCAGTTCCCATTCCGAAGAGTACCTGGGACGCCTTCGACGCCGAGAAAAGGAAGGGCTTATCGATTTTGACCGCAAGTGGGCAAATGAAGAAAAGAAGAAAGCCGAAGGAGCCGGACGCTCGGGCAGTGAAAGCGAAGATGACGATAATGCCTCCATTATATCCTACGAAGATGAGTTTGGCCGCTCCCGTCGCGGGACAAGATCTGAAGCCGCCCTGGCCTACCGCGCGAAGGAGGAGGAAGCCCGAGGCGAGACCGCTCAGGAAAGATGGCGTCCTAGTCGACCGGAAAATCTCATATACGGCGAAGCTGTGCAGGCAGAAGCATTCAACCCAGAGGCGAACATCGCGGCGCAAATGGCTCAACTCGCAGCTCGACGGGACCGATCCGCTACACCCCCGGACCAGGTGCACTACGATGCCGATGCCGAGGTGCGCAATCGAGGAACCGGCTTCTACGCCTTCTCGCGCGACGAGGAAACCCGCAAAAAGCAAATGGAGGAGTTGAAGGGCGCACGAGTAGAGACCCTTCGAGAGCGCGAGAGGATCAAGGAGCGAGCGGCTATTCACCAAGCCAAAATAGCCGAACGTAAATCCGAGATTGCACAACTGCGGGCCAAGCGGTTGACGGCAAAGTTCATGAATGAACTGGAGGGTGGAGCTGCCACTGGTCCTTTCCAGCCACCCGTTGTGAAGTAAGCGTTAATTTTCCCTTTTTTTTATTATGCAATTTAGATACCCCCGGGTGATGTTGATTCCACCCTTCCCTCATTTTATCAGCGATCAATGCAAATATTTTTGGAGATACGTTGAACTGCTCGACGCTTATTATAGACATGAATAAGACGCAAAAGCCAAATGCGCACCCAGAAGATTGGCCAAAAATGTCATCAAAATCTCAAAGACCAAGCACAATGCCTAATAGTATTCCAACGTTCTTCCTTCCAGCCAGAATAGAAAGTTTGAAAAACACCTCGCAGACGTACTATCAATGTGAAAGACTTCGCTAATTAAAACTGCAATAATATCACTTTTCTAGTCTTGTCATCAAGGTCATCCAGCATAGTAATTCGTCAATCATCATGTCCACTGAACCATGCCAGCGAAGTATCATGTCAAATGATAAAATTGGTCGAGCCCCGAGAGGGCAGAGAGGGGGATATCGCCGATGGGATTGGGCGCATAATCCTGAAGCTCACAAGCATACTAAACATAGCGAACTCCGCGGGTCTTCTTTTCGGCCAGGTCCTCGATGCTATCCAGGAATGTTTCGGCATCTAAAATCGGAGGTCACTGGATTAGTATATTTCACAATCAAGGGCTTCTTTCGCGGCTTACCTTGAGGCGTTATGAATCTCAGCACATGCTGGCCGGTTTCCAGCTGAGGCAGCGTATATTCTTCGGCAGGTAGCAGAACCAATGGTCTTAGGTCACGGACTAGGATGGTTCTCGGGTCAATGGAACGGAGCCAGCCACGTCGACCAATGTTCGAGGTAACGAAAGCAGTCCAAACAGGAGCCCTAATTTATCAGATGATCAGAAAAGAGCTTCACAGGGTATCAGATTAATGGTGACATACTTGTCCGTCTCTCCCCCGAGAACAGACGATTGAAATCGAACAGCCTTTGTCTTCTTGTCCCGGTAAACGCGCAATGCACGTCTCTGGCTGTCATCCAGTATTTGACTGCTATTTGTCAGCATGGAAACATAACGCTGGGATCTGTGCTAAGCTCACCCTCCGTATACCTCTTCTTCCCCTTCTAGTTCATAATCGCGGATGTCTGGAAGGGCTTTGGTTGTATCTTGGGAACGAAGCGCCAGGAATACACAAAAGAATTCCACCATCGCTGGCCAAAATTAGTAAGGTCACCCGAGTAGACTTTCATACTCAGTAGCAGTGTACATACATTCGATTGTGTCGAAGCCCAAAGAAGCCCACGCATGGAGCTCTTTTCCAGAGTTGCGTCTGCGGCAGAGTTGTAGTGACGAGCCTGAGCGGATTATTTCCAGCATGTTGAGTGGCAAGCAATAGTACTCATTGCCATGGTCTTCTCGTGCCCGGATGATAATACGTGTGCGGTTGTCGGTCTCTCTCAAGTAATAATAGACGGTTATGTCGGATCCGTCGTCAAAGTCCCTGGATTTAGCTGTCAGTATTTAGATAACTAGTACTACTAGGCTATCCTACAGTCGCAACAGTCGATCAAAGCCATCTTCGGCAAGCTGCTCCTTGATTCCTGGTGTGGGTTTTCCGAAGCATCCGATCCTATAAGGTGGGCCGGCGGGCCGGAGGTCAGCAAGTATAATTGAAAGACCAAGGCAAGTGATCACTCACTCTTCATCATGAAACGATAGTTCTGTTTTCGAGTTGAACGCATCGAAAGCATCTTTAATCCAGTGATTCTGTATGACATCGGAACGAACCGATTGGCTGGTGTTGGTGGTTGCAGATGCTGATCCGGTGAGCGGCGAGCTCGGGGCCTCTGGGGCTAGTGGTGGAATAGGAATCTCGAATCTACCAAACCCTGGCGATAGAGGAGACTGAGGAGACTGGGGAGAGCGGTGTGCAGGGCGAGTACGCTCGAACGAGCCACGTCGTGGACGTCGATCACTGACAGGGCTGCTGGGTGCGGTACTGTGGCCACTACCACTGCCAGTAGATGGGGCATTGGCATTGCGACCAAAGGACATACGTCCAAACCGATCAGTCACCCGTTGGCGTTCCTGTGTCGCGACCAACATCTTGAGATTCTCGCGATGGGCATCTAGGAGGGGGAAATCTTGGGTTTTGCTAGAGAGATTTAAGGTAACAAAACATTAGTCGATGTGTACCTGGAGAGTGTTGATGGTTTTAGGGAAGATGCTGCCTACTTTTGCATGACATCGCCGAGTTCCCCAAGGAAGGCCCTATACCTCGCCAGTCGCATTCGGAGAGAAGTTTTAGACTCTTCCCAGCAGAACAGTTCCATAGTACGCCATGCCTCTCTGTACTTATCAGGCGGGGCCGCACGACCATTTAAACGGCCCAACGCGCCGAAGATATCCTCGACGGTATACTTGAGACTCGACTGGAGCAAGGCGACATCGCGCACGACGATGCGCCAATTGCGAGTGCGAGCGGGATCCTTGGATGAGACCATCTAGTCTACGGAGCGAGGAACTGATGGTGTACAAGTCGGCGATGAGATCAGTAATCTCGGCCTCGTGTTCGGGCAGAGGGGCACGAAAGAGGGTGAAGCCGGCCGCCACATCTTCGGCCTCGGTGGCAGATGCGCGCAGATCCATGAGTCCATCCGGGTAATTGAAAGAGGGAGGAATACGAGCGATGGGAAGTAAACCACTTTTACCCTCACGTGCAATGCGGCTCTGTCACCCTTGCGTCGTGCGTTCTTGACGTGGTCGCGCGCGAATGGCGGGGCGTGGTGGGGGAGACGGCCCGCGCTGAAATGGCGGAAATTTGATGAAGTGGTATGGTTGAGAGGGAAAGGTCGAAAACCGTTAGGTTGAAATATCCAGCAATGACTGAAGATCGTCAAGTCGACGATATTTACTTGGAGAAGAGAGATAGGAATCCATAGTCGTGGTCATGGGTCTCTGGTTCCATGGTTCCCCTCGTTCGCGTCCCATGGTGCGGGTTCCCCACATCTTCTCATCAGCCTAGGGTTAGACTTATTAGTATCATTCAGTACTAGTAGTTAGACAGTAGTCAATAGTAGTAAATGGGAAGGTCACAAAAATGCATACGTCAGGTCAGAAACAGCTGGAATCGTCGAGTCGGTATGGTGGGGTTGCACTGCAGAAAGTGATGAGCTGGTCAAAATATCCATGCTGTCATACTAGAAAAGTCAGTTGAAGTATGTGAAGTTTCTCAGGGCGACCGGGGAGAGAAACAAATTTGATCATTTTTCCAAGGGAGCAGCTACATTATAAACCGCCCCATTTTCTCAACAGAGCCTCGACTAGTTACTAATTAGTTAGTAGTTAGTACTAGTAACTAAGACAATAGTCCTGCTGCCTAACCGTCTCGTATAGTTCCAACGCCCGAGAGTTGAGGCTGTGCAAGTATTGGTATTTACCACCTGGGCAGGAGCCCCTTGCAAAGTTGCTATCCGTTTGGAACATTTAATTTTCCTTTGGTGAATCTTTCTAGATCGAGTGCTGTTGTAATTACTGACTGAGAATGAGACAGCTCAGATCAAGATGAAACATGTGTAGGGTAGAATATTTCCTGGAGCCGGGGCTTTCAAAGAAATAGATATAGCAGTGTGGACCGATTGGACCAAGACTGGTATATCCTGTCTCGGAAAAAAATATCATTCGTGTTATTATTATGATCATTATTGTGGTTGATACAATCGCGAATCAGCCGGTGTCGACTCCCTGCATCACGAATGGGGTACGCTAATCGCCAGCGATTTAAGAGTCCCGCAATATTAAGTAGTAAATATTATACTTTAGCCCATATCAAGCAGAACTTAACCCAGAAACATCCTCCTTTTCCTGCAGTTGCTGCTCTGACTCGAACTTACGATTGACATTCAAGCTGCGCGTGAGCAGACTAGTAGCCAGCGCAACAAAAGCCAGACCAGCCATCGTGACCTATACCACTTTCAAGCTATCTGCATATGCGGCAACAATCATAATCCGCCGCGGCGAGCTAGGCTGCATGGCCTTGACCAACTCGACCAAAGAACTCGCTTCCGATGCTAGTTGTGGGTAGGCTCTAAGATTGACAGCGAATTGGGACTGGAATATAGCACCGCCGACGGCAACTCCAATGCTCTGCCCGAAAGACCGTGAGAAGATATACATCGTTGCTGCATGTGCGGAGTCTTGCTCTTCAGCTGCAGCCTGGGTCACATACGCTTGACTATTATAAAGCATTCCGAGTCCCAATCCGGGTACAAGATTCAGGAATGCACATGCTGAAATCGAGCTGTCTGGCCTAGCAGATAGAGGACGCCCATTCCCAGGGTACTCAGAAACCATCCGCTCCAAATGGCCCATCGAAAGCGATCCCATCTGGAGACCAGTATGCCCACAAAGATTGAGGCGGGAGCTACAGTAAATGTTTCTAGGAAGACACTCACGCCGGGGAATATAGCACTATATCCTTTAACACATTTGTAGTATAAAGGAAGATAGTAGAGAAGACACCAAAGGACGATCTCGTGAATACAGGTTCCCATGTAGGTAACCAATGCGGTCCTCTCTTTGAAAATAGCGAGGCGAACTATCGGGTCATGCGGCACCTTGCCATCATACATCACAAATCCAGCCATGCCGACCACACCCAATATGAGTGGTAATATTGTATGCCAGGAAGACCATGGATACATGACGTTGCCCCAGGAAAGGGTAAGTAACAAACTGGTTGCAGAAGCCGTAAGCAAAAAAGCACCAATCCAATCAACCTTGACCAACTTTGAGATCAGGGATCCAGGGACTGATTTCTGGTTCAAGAAGGCGATGATTAGCACGAAGCCAATTCCACAAATTGGAAGGTTGATCCAAAATATCCATCTCCAAGATGAAGCTTCAGCCAAAGCACCGCCCATGATGGGACCTGTGACAGATCCAAGCGCCGGGACAGCCCCTCCATATCCAAAGTAATTTCCACACTGGCGAAGTGGGACAAGGTCGGTAATAACCACCTTTGTTAAACTAAGGATTCAGCCCCCACCGGCGCCTTGGATGCTACGCCCAATGAGTAGCGTGGTCATATCATGGGCAACGGCAGCAACGATAGATCCAACGGTGAAGAGGATTAATGCTAAGATGATCAGGTGTTTGCGTCCAAACTTTTGAGACAGTGATCCGTATCAGGTGGAAGACCATACTCGTAAGCAGGAATGATGTGCCGGCCCAGAAAGCTTGAATAGCAGTACCGCCGAGCTCGCGAGATACGATCTGGATATTCTTTCAGAAGGGCCTTTCATCAATAGAAACTGAATTCGACAGTATAATGGCTGACTGAGAGTGCTGTCGATAGAGAGGTAGCGTCTAATGCAGAGGCTAGGATCACGACCAGGAGACTACCGAAAGCTGCCCAGAACCGACGAGTTGGACAGAATTCAGGCATATTAACAGCGGCAGCCGTTATCGTCGTAGTCGATGGCTCGGACGCGCCCATGATGGATCATGTAGACTGGATTGCCTGAGTAGCCCGACAGCTTCAAGGAACTTGAACTTTTCTCGAAACTTGAATCGCCCGATCGAATAGAAAAGCAGCCACAAGATCTTACCTGGAGTCATCACATATTCATTTCTGCCAGATAAATAGTCTACTGTAAAGCGCTCTACTTTGTTGTGCAGTACGGTTCAGATTTCAACTATTCTGAAAGTGGTTTGTCCGGAAGTATATGCATGTGATTTTGTACAAGTATTGTAGTATGATTATTCCACGAGTCCCGCTCGATGCAAAGGATTAAAGTTCGTGATTTCGTGTCCGACAAATGGCCTCGGCGCCCCAGAAAAAAAGAAATTCGCCAAAATGAATGAAAAACAGTATTTGCACAGAACTCTCTTCTTCTTTTTTGAAAAATTGTCTGAGATATCACCTAGCGAGTTCCACGGTAGGGCTCATACGACGTGTGAGAGTGGTAATCATCCTCTTGCTCAACAGGCCCATAGCCACCTCCGCGCCAGCGATCAAGCGGATTGGATGATTCCGTGCGCGCGGGAGTTTGAGCATGACTGAGGAGCCTCGACTCACTCTCGTTTGCTTGCTCGTAGAAGCCACCGCTGCTACCACCACCGGGAACGCGGAAGGCGGGGTGGACGAGTACGCCACCCTCTTGAGCTTGCGCGTCGTAGCCGTCTGGGGCTCTCAACGCGGACATTGAAGGCAGGGATGGGGTCGGGGAAGAAGCACGAGAAGAACTGGGCGACCATTCGCCACCCAAGTGGCTGCGCGGTGTGTGGGAACGTTCCGTCATCAGGTCTTCCGGCCGGCCGTATATACCTCCGCCAAACTCTTCATAGAAATCAGGACGGTCTTTGAAGTATGAGAAATCCAGTTGATTTTCAGGAACCACTTCAAATGGAGATGCCTCGGCGGACTTTCCAGGTTGATTGGCCATCATTGGATTCATTGCGATATCTGAGTACTCGCCAGACATGTCATTGTGCTCTAAGCGGCCTTGATAGATCTGCTTCAGAGTCTCGGCAGCTCTGGCATGAACCATCGGAGTCATCAAAGGTTTGTAGAGAGCCGGGTGGCCGAATTTGGTGTTCAGTCGATCGCCAGCCTTCTTGCTGGATTTAGTAGCACCCAGGGCCTCGGCATCATTCAGGTTTGCGCGGTTATAGAAATGACAGTCATCGTCGAAGGTCTTCATGCAGTAGAACTTGAATCCCAGCATCAAAAATGGGAGCGGAAGAACGCAGAAGACCAGAGTCCAGGTGGCTCTAGCCTTGATCACCAGGGCAACAATGAAATTCGAAAGAATGGCCGCAAAAACCAAGCGGTTGAATAATATGCGCCAGTATGCCGCCGCGGATTCGTTCTTGGTCACGAAAATATACATGAGAAGGTACTTCTTAAGCATAGCATCAACGCCAAAGTATAGCGCGGTTACCGGTAGGACGATCGGCTGTAAAGTGGCGAACGTGAAGGCAACGGTCGTGTAGAAGAGGAAATAGTTGTAGTAGCTAGCGTAATCGAATGCTGGCGGGGCGGTCCACTCAATTGCTTGTCGTGGGGTTGGTGAGAGGAAGGTTTTCGCAAACCACACCCAGACTAACGTGATCATCTGGACGAGATCGATGGTCGCGCCCAAGTTGCGTTGGAGGAGATACGTTACCCAGAATGGCGAAACGTTGCACAAAGATGACACCAGTTTGATATACAGCTGGCTATCCACAATAGCCTGCCAAGCATCCTCCTTGTTGTTGCTTTTGTCGACCACGCTCGAAACAAACGTCCATATAGCCGAGAAGAGGGAGAAGACAACCAGGTTATTGAAGACAAAAAATGCGTACAACTGGCCCAACACGTGTCTCTCTCTCGATGTCTTAGTTTTGCTGCCACCCTTGATAGACAGCCGTCGGAAGATGATAGGCAGGACAAGATAGACGAGCGACGTGAGAGCAGGCGATGCAATACCTTGTATAGCAGCCCAGAGACTAGGGTGGCTCTCCAGTTCTGTCTGGAATCTTGGCCAGACAAGGCCTAGATTTGTCAAGCTGGCCAAGAAGATCGCGATGAGTGCGTTGGGCGCAATCCAGACAATGGTCAGGATAGTTACCCATATAAAATTGGTGAAACGTTTCCATTTTCGCATTTTCTTGGTGAGAGGTAGATTCTCCCAGATGAGATCGCTGGGACGTGGCGCCAGAGCGATGGTGGTGCCCTTCGGGTGCTTTTTGCGAGAAGTCCAAGCAACAGCATGAGCATGCTCGATTTTTTCCCAGCTAGCAAAACCGTAAGGCATAGCATTACGTTTGTCAATTGAAGCTCGTCCGTGCTTGATCTCTTCCTCCAATACTCTGATACGAACCGTCAAATAGTCTATGGCATCCACCCTGCCATTAGGGTGTTTACTGCGTTGACTTCGAGGCGGGCGCATGGTTGGCCGCTTCGCCGGCAATTGATCGGGGCGCTTGAGGTACTTGGCGAGCACAGACTCCAGCTCTCGTACATTTTCTTCATGCTCCTTGATGATTGTTGGTAAATCCCTCACAGTACGACCAATTGACGCGCGAGGGAGAGCAGCCGTTGGGTTGACCTCATCAGTAATCCTCAGGATCCCTTCGTCGGAACGGTCAGGCGCAGGAATTCCTGTGATCATCAGGGTTCGTGCATGGAGACTTCGCTGATAGTCGGAACTCTGAAAATATTGACGTCGCATTGCCCGCACAGCTCGGTAATTCCTCCAAAGAAAGTAAGCGATAATGATATCGAAGATCCACGCGCAGATGACCTGACTCCACATGGCCGTTGGGTTAAGCACATTTAGAGGTGTCATGTCGATGAAGGTTGACGCAGAGCTAGTATCTGAGCTGGAAAGTGAGGCCTGGGTGAGGTTGACGGGAATCATGACCGCACAGCCGATGATACTCATGCAAATCAATATGTTTCGACACATCTTTGTGAAGCGCAGAAAGAGCGCAGCATCCAGGCCAACGGTTTCGATGAGTTGGGGCTCTCGAGTGCGAATAACCGGTGTGATCCATGAAAAGATACCCTTGCCCACTGGGGGCGGTGCGTGCTTCGAGTCGGCATGTTTGACCTTTGGCGCATAGACTAGCGAGTGACGAGGGCGGAAGAGGGAGAATAGGAGCGCGAGTAGCAGGGACACTCCGATCGAGGTGCCAAGGGACGCCCAAACAGCGGTTAAGGCGAACTAGTTTTCAAACTGTCAGTCAAAGCTTTTTTTTTCTCGAAAAAGAGGCATCTTTCCGCCCGCGTAGGCAACTTACGGAGTTGCGAAATGGGTTAGAAAGGAGTGTGAGGAACTCATCAGTTCCAGACGATCCGTCTCGGAGCTGCAAGCCCTTGCGCGCATCCATCGCGTCCAGGGAGAAAACAGAGGAAAGCACAATATCACAAGAGAAACGAAGGGCAGGTCTGCATGGAGCAGAAGTTGAATGAAAGGGTCAAATGACCAGGTTGGGGAAGGTGAGGGGAACAAGGGAAAAAAAAGCGGCGAAAGAACGAGTGTTCGGGCGCCTGAAAATGAAGGCGATCGGCGAGAGTGAGACAAGCAAGTCCAGGAATGAAAGAAAAGTGGGTTCGTGGAGGGTCTGGACTGGATCAAAGCGATAATTTTAGAATGGCGGCGTCGCCGATCGGCGAGCGTTACAACAATGATGCGTCTGCAGAAAAGGTTTTCGCGTAAAAGTGGCCCTTGTGAGAAGAGAAGACTTAAGACCTCCACAATGACATCCACTCTGCCACTGCCGTACATACGTATAGAATGCCAGGCTCCCTAGTGCGATGTTGTGGTGGTGTGCCTGGTGGCGATGTGACACGCATGGCTTCCCTTTGCCCCAGTATTTAGCGTGTCATTGGTGGTCCACTGTAGGAAAACCGACGGCAGGCCCAATCACGGCATGAGGGGAAAGTCTAGAACATTTGAAACATTCTGGGGCGACAGCGGGTCAAGTCTCAGGGCCAAGTGTGGTTCCTGTGACACAATGGTAGAGCCGAGCAGAACAGAGCAGATTTCAGAGCTGCTGTGAGTCCCGTGACTTCAAGTGCCTCTGAGTGCAGATCACCTGAGCAGGTCACCTGAGCATGACCGTGACTGCAATATAGTACACTCCTTTTGACCATCTCCATTTAACCTTTTCCTCTTCCAATTGATCTTCAAGTTAAAGAGTCATCTTCTCGTCTAATTCTAATTCCATGTGCTCGTCCATTTCGTCAATCTGCCATACTGCTTCGTCCGGGTTGAGGTCGTTGATTGAATCGCGATTTTGTTTACGATCTTCTCTTCTCGGTTGGCCCAAATTGGGTGCTTTGATTTTTTTTGGGTAGTCGGCAGTCCTGTTTGATGGTGCGAACGAGGGGGGGGGGGTGTTCTCAATAAGCTCAGAGCGATCGCGCGCAGCTTAGATAGCTTCGGATGTATAGCCCTGGCCCGAACTAAGAAGCTCAAGTTGATCATCAACGCCATTTTGGTTTCACAATGGATTATTTAGGGTAACCACTTCAGCCAACCTTCGGAAAAGGAAGGAAGTGCGCAGGTGAACATGAAATAATTGGGCGAAGTTTCCTTCCAAACCTGACCCCCAAACTATAGATATTGACGATCTTCTCCTAATGCGGTATGCAGAACGGCCAAGAAATCAAGCTTTGTTGATCATTGCCTTTGCCCCCTCCTGACACTGAACAAATTTGCTGATCTTTTCTCGGAAGGGTTAAAACTCTGGCGGCTGTTTTCTGGAGTCTGTATCAAATACGATTTGAAATGAAGATGCTGGAGGTCGAATAAATAGCTATAAAAATCCTGTCTCGCCTGGCCAAATAGTGCTTTCTCATTCACCAAAACCTTGGAACTTGAACCGCCCCCAATCAAGCATTACAGACTTCTACAAATCAGAGTCCGGTCTTATTTCACTGAATTTTTTATCTTCCAAGGTTACTCTGTTTCTACTTCAAAAGCTCCGTCAATCATGTCGCAATATGGAGCCAACGACTACCAGGAGCAACAGCCCCAGAACAGCTTTGCCCCTCATCCAAACCAGACTCAAAACCACTATTCGACGGGGCAATCTTCATATGGTCCCCCACCCTACACCGACTCGGAACAAGGTTATACTCAGGGCGACCAATACACACGACCCCAGCACTACTGTACCAACTCTGGCTACGACCAAAGATACTATGAAGCAGCTGCAAATATACCGCAAAGCCACGCCGCTCCACAGTCTAACTTTGCGCCAGAAGGAGCTAATGCTTCATATTATAATGGAGAGCCAATCTCAGACCCGAAAGATCCTAACGGTGAAAAAGGCCTTGGGTCAACTGTTGTTGGTGGTGCAGCTGGTGGATACATGGGCCACAAGATGGGTGGCGGCTGGAGCACCGCTGCAGGGGCCGCTGCAGGGGCTATCGGCATGAATGTCTTGTCTCACAAGATGTAAGTTTCGCTTTTACAGCTTGATGCTCAGTGAACTCAACATATACTAATGTCCCTATCATTTAGGAAACCCCAGCCTGTCCCCGCTCAGCAAGTTGTTGCCGTACCTCAACAGGTCCAGTATGTCGCTACCCCAGGAATCGGAGACATGGGTCTGCTCGAACGTCGCCAGGCCTTTCTATCGGATCGTCTTGGACGCCGCGGGGGACGCCGTTTGGGACGTCAAGGTGGACTCCTTGGGCTGTAACTAATCCGAGCTATGTTGTGCCGCGGTTGGAATTATTTCAAACTTACCCCTATGGATCTGCCAAGATTTGGTAGTTCCTTTTTTATCTTTCTTTTCTTTTTGATTGGGTATTGAAGGCGTTTTAATTTTTCCCTAGAAAGCGTGATACATACCTTGATCTCTGCATGTCCTCCTTTTCACTTCCATGTCACCTTCCCACTGGCAGGTGGAAACTTGAATGACGTAGTTATTTATATTTAGTCACTGCCATCTACAAAATACCCGTAGTATTCATGTATACCTAGGTATTCCTTGCCAAACTTCGCTTATTCCATAGGGACACGGTTTCGAAATAACTGCATGTCGATTAGGTCGCCATTCTCTCGGCTGAAACCGCGGCCTTCCCGAGAATACCTAGGTGTAAAGAGGGGGCGTGCGTCTGAATTTGAAGACGTGATCGTAGGTTTGCAGAACTAGAATAAAATGTAAAGCACTCCATAGTCGCTCAGGATGTCGTCAACCCCTGGAAGGCGTTAAGCGAGATACATTTTGCCGAGATGCGCGACAACAAATGGCAGGTCCCACAAAAGATCCCTCCCCGGTCTCTTCCACCTTTTGGTATTTCAGATAATTAAACGGACAAATCATGTTGATAGGAATGGGTCTCGTACTGAGCGGGGTCAAGATCGTGGCGACGGAGAGATCCACTTCCCCAACTCCCATCCAGTTTCACAAACATCATATTCCCAAAGCTCTTCCAGGCTGGTCACCAAATCAGAAATTTTTGCAAATAAAAATTAGCTCCATTTATGAGGTAGCTCCAGTTGATGTCCATACTTGAAATTGTTCAACTTAGCTAGTTTGTCGGCATAAAAGATCAAAGTTGTGATTGCCTCATTCGTGCCCAGAGGCACGACATGTGGCTGTTTAGAGAAACTGCCGATAAATATTGCGTGACCACAGTTCTCGTATCTCAAATTCTCCGCATGCTAGGAATATAAAACAATTGAGGAGTAACATCATGTTCTACGTATTGCTGTGATCAATTCTCTCAAGATTTTTAGTCCGTCGTGACGATTTTGAATTCTCGAATCATGTCTATCCAGCCTGATGATAATAAGGGCCCAGAAATCTCCGCAGATGAGAAAAACCTGAATATAGTATCTGGGGCCGTTTCTACAGATGACTCGGACAAGGAATTCCAGCAAACCCGTCAAATTGATGGCAAAAGTACATTCAATTCCGGTGCGGGACATCATCTCTACCGACCAATTGACAGCTACGAGGGAATTCATAGATGGGATCCGGATTTTGAATGGACTGAAAATGAAGAGAAGCGAATTGTTAGAAAGGTACGTTGATCTTTATTCACTTCATTGCCCTCTTCTTACCTTCGCGCATAGATCGATGCTCGTGTTTGCACCTTTGCCTGCGTGACTTTTTTTGCCCTACAGCTTGATCGGGGAAATATTGGCCAGGCACTAGCAAGTACACTTTTGCAAGACCTGCATATGACTACGAATGACTATAATTTGGGACAGACCGTTTTTTTGGTGTGCTTCCTGCTGGCGGAGATGCCGTCTCAGTTGATATCCAAAAGATTGGGTCCCGATCGTTGGATTCCTCTTCAGATGGTGATGTGGAGCCTGGTTGCGGCCTGCCAGGCCTTCATAAAAGGAAAATCCTCTTATCTGGCCTGTAGGGCTTTATTAGGACTATTAGAAGGTGGTTTGTGAGTACTCCTACTACTCTCGCGTGGGAGAAGTTGAATCTAACACGGATTACCCATCGCAGTATCCCTGACACGATTCTCTTTCTATCTTTCTTCTATAAATCGAGCGAGCTGCCGAAGCGATTGGCTTGCTTTTGGGTCTCATATACAGTTACGACTATTATTGGAGCATTCCTTGCCTTTGGCTTTTTGCATATAAAGGACTCTAATGGTGGCGGATCTTGGAAATACGTGTTTGCTTTCGAGGGACTCATAACTGGTCTCATCGGAATCATTGCCTACTTTTGGATGCCTGCGTCGCCAGTCCAAACCAAAGGAGGGCTACGTGGAAAAGATGGATGGTTTAGCGAACACGAAGAAAAGATCATGGTGAACCGCGTGATTCGCGATGATCCCAGCAAAGGAAGCATGCACAACAGAGAAGGACTAAGTCTTCGGCTATTTTGGGAGTCTCTCAAGGATTTCCATATGTGGCCTATCTATTTGCTTGGCTTGATATGGATGATTCCTACCACGCCAGCGACAAATTACCTCACATTGCAACTACGTTCACAGGGATTCACCACATTCCAGACAAATTTGTTGACGATTCCATCCGCTGTCATTGGGATCATTACTTTGATATCTATAACGTGGGTCGCAGAACGTACAAACCAGCGATTACTATGGGGAGCAGGAGTAGAGGTGTGGAACCTTGTCTTGCTGATAGCCCTTGAACTCCTGCCCCAGAGAACTCTACCCTGGCCTCGTTGGGCTATACTTACACTTCTTGTGGCGAGTCCGAGCATTCATCCTGTCGTGGTCGCCTTAACCTCCCGCAACGCAGGATCTGTACGGACTCGCACCATCGCGTCTGCACTATACAACATGACTGTACAGATAAGCAATATTGCAGGTTCTAATGTGAGTATTGTTGCTGATCTACTCTTTTTTTTTCAACATGTCGACAGAGGAAGGCTCATACTATGAATAGGTCTATCAAGCAAAGGATGCTCCGTACTATAGGCATGGGAATAAAGTTCTGATCGCACTATCCGTCGTCAGTATGGCTCTCTTCGTGGCAGCAAAGTTCTATTACGACTGGTGGAATAGGTAAAATCCCGCATGGTCCAATATTAGTACTCATATCAAATCCGCTCACATCCTATGCGCAGGCACAATGCTACCAAGTGGAACGCCATGACCCATGAGCAACGAGAGGCATATCTGAATGAAAACAAAACCATGACCAACAAGAGGTACGTGAATAGGAACAGGTCCCAGAGCTTTCAGATTACTCACCTTTCACCCAGGCTTGACTTTAAATTTGCCCGATAAGGAGCTATTTCCCAGCTTGAAAGGGGAATAAAGTACTAGCGGAGTGCACGTCGAGTCTAGATGACCAGTTCATAAATTCGCCATAGTGCAGAGTTGTATATTTTCAAGCCAAGATACAATATGAAAACTTGAAAAAATGAAGCATCAGGTGTCTGCAAAGGGTAATCACGTTTTGAAATAGGCAACACCGCGCGTTGGGTCTCTCCGACACAAAGCCACTGACACAATAAATCTTGAGCCAATTGGGGGGGATTTCGGATGGCGAAAGCCGAGAGAGAGAATGCGCGGGCGGAGAAAAAAAAAGCCCAACATAATAAAACATACCGATAACAGTAAGAATACAAAATTGACGATGACCTGAAATGCAAATACTCTCAAGAAAAACAGTAAGTGGAAGAGGAATGGTAAAAGTGCGCCCGAATCCACATGCAAAAAAAGCAAAGTGGTAAGAAAAGATCAAAAAAAGAATCGCATCACGCAAGGGCCGAGATACTGAATAAAAGAGACATTAGAGGCAAAAAGATTGTGTAGGCGAGGTACCTTATAACTATTTCCCAGGCAGGACTCCTGGGTCTCTTGGCAGCCTGCAAGCCCTCAAGATGAGCCGCGACGAGACAATATTGCGAATTCTCGAACCCGAATCTGCGAGCAGCGCCATTATAGGCCTCGGGAGATGGCTTGTAAGCACCAAAATGCTCGGCACCGTTAATATGCTTGAAAGGCAAGGAATTATGTCTCTGTAGATCTTCAAGTAGTTTCACATTGCCGTTTGATAATGTTGACGTCAGAAATACAGTATTTAGCAAGGCAAGGCTCGGTACACTTTCAGAGTATGAGTCAAGTAGATGCTAAGCCAGTGTTGAATTTTGCAGATCGTCCTGAATATATCCCGGACAAGGCGTTTTATGAGAATCTTCTCTAAATATATGTGGTTGTGCTCGTACACTGCAGCAAGAAAAAGGGCTGAGATGTGTCGTAATTGTCTCCAAAGTTCGTCTATGCAATATGCCACTCTTCAACAATCTCCCGCCAGCTCGAAGTAGACATTTTAGAAATATGTGTCCGCATACCTAGGTACCCTCGCTCAGATTCCGTGATGTGGATTCCCAAGAAGTCGAAGCGAACATCGAAGAACTGGAGAAAGCAATCCAGTAATGTGAAACATGGAGGTGAGGACGATGGGTGTATGGGAGAGATGATGGGCCACAGCTACAAGAGGTTGCCGTCCGAAGAAGCAAAATATATCTGGAACTGAATTGAAAAAGGAACCAGGGTGTATCGATAACGATATGGCCGTTTTAGCGGGGAGGAGACTGCGGAGATGGAAGTGGCCGCATGGCGCTGCGGGCTGGCAGTAGCAGATTACATTCATTGTGGGGTTTCGTTGCCATTTTGTGGGATTATTACTTGTTTTTACTATGGTAACACGCCATATATCTCTTGTTACTGCGGGCGTGGCGTTAAGGTGGTTCTAGTTCCCGATGGAGGGAACGCCTGCATAGCTATTACGTTCGAAAGTGTGGCTGAATTAGGTTATAGAATCTTGAATTAATGTGAATTGAATTGAATTGAATTGGGGGGTACCTTAGATAAATGTCAATTCAAGTTTTCTTTCAGATCACATCACGCTCAAAAATCTTCTGCAATATTTCGCCAATGAGGTGGATCTCTGAATCTTCTGTAGCACCGCAGAAGTCTCTTAGGAACATTCGTGGGGCGTATGGTACTAGTTTCGGCGGGTTTTGTTCTGCATGCGGTGCCTCTTACTTCGAGAAAGCCCTGTGCATTAACCCGAGACAGTCGATCCGTATTTCACACGACAAAAAATTAAACCTGAAATTATATACTTGAAACCTTAATTCTTGGGGGTTCTAACCTTTCAATTGTGATTGATATAGGAAACTCCAAGGTACTAGAGTTGTCGCTTTGGGAGGAATTACTTATCATGATCTTGCTTCCACCTTTAGACTGGAGGCGCTGGCACAGGAGGCTTGATCCAATAACTATTTGGCTACATAATATTCCGTTTTATGGGATGTAATTCTGTATGGCATGTCATGGTAATGTTGTCAGTTTGGAAGTACGCCAAGGTCCACAGGTTGACGAAGATATTTTACCACTATTCGCTAGCAAGTCGCTACCACCTGGGCATCACACGTCTCACACCGTTTCTTTGAATACTTATTGCTTCCTTGTCCAGGTATTTAAATTTTTACTACATAATTGCACCTCCTCTTCCAAGGTTGTTCCATGTCATAAAAAGAAAAGCCTTCATATTTAGGTACTATTTCGATTGATTGGATTACGGGAAATAGATAGCCGCTGGGCTGGCTCGGTACATATCTATCCAGTTATAGTATCGCATTCCCTAGATAGCTGGTATCCAGCTGAGGGAATTATCTTCCGTTGCAACATATGGTGTTTCAAAGGGGCGCTCGGCCTGCGGGGTGATGCGTGCCAAATGCCGGCGTTCACCAGTCGCCCAATCGATGATTGCAGAGTGAGCAGTGACACGATTCTTTCAAATAGTTAGCATTTGAACTCTTCACACATATTCCAGATAACCACTTACATCCCACACCACCACAGTCTTAGGGGCCCATCGAACACGAGCCTGGAAATCAATACCACGGCCAATATGAGCCAATAAAAAGTCAAGCAATGCGTCGCTTTCTTCCTTCTTCAGCCCAACGATGCTACGAGTGACTGCATACATAGTTAGAAACCTAATTTCTAAAAGAATTGTTGATCAACTCACAGCCAGCATTCACAAACAACGCCTTCTCTCCGGTGACGGGATGGGTTCGAACAAGAGGATGCTCATTCTTCACAGGCTCCCGTCTTACCACCCCGCCACGCTGCAGGCTGAAGTCAGCCTGCTCCACCCCGGAATGCACAGCTCTAAGGCCGTGGAGCCTCTCCTTCACGGCGGGCGAAAGTCTGTTATAGGCCTCAACTTGGTTCACAAACGCTGTATCGCCCCCAACCTCGGGCGTGTCGAGAATATACAAGAAAGTAGTGCCGGGTGGCTGTGCCTCGTAGGTGACATCTGAGTGCCATGAAACACTACTATTCTTCGCAGCTAGGTAGTTATCAAATTCCCAAGCGTTGTTGTTGCGATGAACAAGGTGGACTTCAGGAAATCCCTCCGGTGAGCCACTCGTGGGGTGGATATGATGACGGCCAAAATAGCCGCCGAAGTCGAGAGCTTCCTGGATCGGCAAGTCTGCAAGATCTTGGTCGCGGAAGGCGACTACCTTACGCTGTGCAACTAACAAAGCCAGCTGGTCCTTTCCTTCCTGTGACAGCTTGCTGAGCTGGACCCCTGTGACTTCGGACCCTATCGTAGGCGTGAGCTTTTGTATCTTCGATCCTTCAGTTAAAAGGTCCTTCAGAGAAGTATCGGCATCTTTTCCATGATCGACGTGGGCGAATGGCTCCAATGCGGGGTACTTTTCGCCATAGTCCCAAGTAGGGAGGTACTTTGGATACTAGTTAAAGTTTTTCCTCGGATTAGCAAGATATGGGTAGACCCAGTGGTTGCGACAGGACATACACTCGCGGTAGTTTTACCCCCTTCTTCGTCGATGACTCTTCGGATCTTAGGTTTGGTGTCAGACTTTTCCAAATCGGCCTTCACAGGAACAACGATTTCCGCAGATGGAGCCTCGGCAATGGATGGTGCCATAATGGAATTTGAGTGTGAGATAAGCACTCGTTATTGAAGGTCAATTTCAAGTCCAAGTTGATTTTCTCTGGTAGCTACGGCGGTAGGTTTGCTTAAATATTATCTATTCCAATACTAGTATATTTGACGCCATTGTCTTATGCAATCACGCATTGAGTATCAATACAGCACTGATGGTATACTAGTACGAAGTCGAAAGTATGCCATATCACAGGCTCGGACATATTCTGAGTTTCTTAGTCGTCAAAACTTAAAGCTATACTACTAGAAGTACATACTAGCATCCGCCACAAAGGCAGCTCCTGGACCTCGGAAATGGTCCTTGAAAAGAAAAAAAATGCCTTCTATACAAAGAGAATTATCCAATCTAAAAGGAATACCATCATATTTTGCTTCGCCATTTTAATAGCGTGCCTGGCGGTATCTGCAACATTTTAAGGAACATGAATGAGACCTGACGCCATACATCAAGCGGGGTAACATAATACTCCGGGGTGAAGATGGAACGTGATACCTATTTTGCGTGCTCCAGGCTCGGATCGCGTTATCTGGATGTTAGTTTGCCGCTGCTCTTTTTACACCTTCGTATCTTCGTGATAATGCGAATATGGCGTGATATGATGCCAGCCTCGGCCCCGCGACAATGAAAACTATCAAAGCATATTCAATTCGACCATTCTGCTTATTAAAACTATTTGAAACGAACCGACTATAAACTCTTAATTACACGCGCCAGGCGCCAATGGATCCACCTAGCAAAGTGTATAGGTTCATAATTTCATGGATTGGGATATCTATTGGCCGGCTTTGGCAGCATTTTTCTTCAAGTCGCTCAATTCCGCTCTTTCCTTGACGAGTTCCGAGATCGCTGTACCAGTCTCGGTTCCCATCTTCGCGAAGCCTTGAGCGACACCCTCGCGATCACCAGGGCGCATCTCTTGGCTCATCTTGAACTTGCCCTCGATTTTGGTGATTTGGATCTCAATTCCCACGATGTTGCGCTTGAGAAGGTCTGTGTAGGATTCTGGGGCTTCAGAAACCGTCCATGGCTGCGGCTTATCGCCACCAGTATAGCCCATGATTGTTGTCTCGGTATGCTGAGACAAGTCATGAACCTGCTGGGCGAGGAAGGCCCCGGCCTGGGGGTCTTCGAATCGTAATATAGTGACAGTTTGCCGTACACCTGAACGGCAGAATAGTTCCAAGTGGGAACAACCTTTCCAGTGGTAGGTTTTGTCTCAGTATAATACTTCGGGGTGACATAATGATCGTGTTTTCCGTTGAAAAGTACCAAGACGTCATTGTCGAGCTCCAGAACATTTGGTGGCTTCTCATCGACGGCTTCGATCATAGCCTTCACCTGGGGGTTTTGCTTGGCGATATGGGCGCGGATGCGGGGCTCTGTACCACCATATTCTTCAGGCAGATCGAGAACACAGGGAACATGGGTGCATTGCAAAAAGTCCACCTGGGCTGAGTTTTGGCCAGTGATAAGGAGTCCGAGGGGGGTTCTCTTTAATAAATTGGAGGAGAACCTCCTTGTCGGTCTCGGCATGAACGCTTGGAAGAAACATTTTCAATTGAAGCTGTGTGAAAATGGACAGGGTTACACGGTGTTGGGAACAAACGAGTGAATGAAGCAGCTTAAGTATTCCTAATCTCAGATTCGTGGGATCTGTTTCTTATTCTGCGGGCGAATCTTCAATGCACCTTACCCTTTCGGGAAAGTCCTCCCGGGTCAGCATCTTCCAACAGGCGCATTTCAACGTAATAAGACGCCCTATATTCTTGGCTGATGCAAAAAACGTGGATCAGGAGATGTACGGCACCTTCTGAGACTATGCAGTCTGTAAAAATATGCTTGTGTCTAGAACTGGCTGCTTATTGATGAGAACGTCAATCTCCCCAGTTTCTGGTATACACTAGCTTGATATGGTTAGTGTCGTCTACTTGGGCCTAATAGAGTATAATGTGGGCCGGAACTTCAAGCGTGTTTTGTGAAGACCAGTCATCTTCACGATAGATAACTTCTGTTGTGCGCCCGAAGACGCCCGGCGGGCACCCGCGGCTTTTCGTCTCTTGAATAGGTATGGCACGATCGATCCTTCGGAGCTGAATTTCAACCATCGCATCTAAACAACTGGAAAGAGATAAACAGCCTTCCTCTCCGGGATGGGACTCAGTGCTTAAAGCACTCCTTTCCTTTGTTTCCGTATTTTCCGTGAATTTTCTGTTTCTATAAGCAAAATAAACCACTGTCGGCCTCTCTCAGGTGTTTTTTGGGGGTTTCCCGACGTACTGTTTGGACTCCTGAGAGTCTTGATAGAAATGCTTATTCAGTCCCTGGAGAGGAACTAATTCAGATAAAGGCCTTCACGTCAAATTGTCTAGCAATCTTGTTCAGAATGGCTCTTACTTGTAATAGGCAATGGCCCGATTAAATAGTTGTTTTCCACTTGTTAAAAGTGGCATTCGTCAATTGGTAGTTAAGAGGTTACTAGATCATGCCTATGCCCCTAACAACTCTCTTTTCTGTTGAACAAGAATCAAATAGATTTGGTAGCTCCCTGAAGCGGCGCTAGATCATACCTTATTGCATGGATAATAAGCATGCTTCAGGTAGAGAATTCATGCTAGCTTGATGGCAGTCTGTGGATTCGATGAGACGCTAAGGTCAAATAATTTGAGCACCGACAACATCTCTCGGTACTCATTGAATAGAATAGCCTTCTCAATGGCGCAGGCACAAGGTACACCTACGGAATTGCACCCGATAGCTTCATTGTAAATGCGACCCTGATACACATGCGGGGAAACGTTGGCCTCAACATCCAACCCCGCATTTCATCGGCAAATTAGATCTTAAGCGAAGATGTAACAGTTGATCTTTTCCTTTTACCGGTCAATCTTCGGTCATTACGGAGTCAAGACTGGAAATCATCAAGGTGCGATAGGGGAAATTAGAGGTGCTTGCTACGGCTTGAGGCAGCTTCATACCCATGATCCTAACGTGCACATGCATAGTCTTCGACTGCCGAAGAAAACCAAGTGATCGCCCATCATACACTTTACAGAACAGCTACAGCTCAATTTCCCGTCGGGTAAAGGTAGCCCTGGAAACTATAACCTATTATTCCGGCTATATGTACGCTATCTCCAAGCCACAGCTTTCATATCGATGCTTGGCGATCGTAACGTTACACACGAAGTAGAAAAAAGACGGAAGAGGAAGTTTATTTTTTAATGTTACCCCTAGCAGATGTCTCGTTGATAGCATGATTAAGGTGCTATCCCACCTACCGTGATCAGACTCGCCTGCATAATGTAACCCGGCTAGTCATAATGCTAGCAAGGGGTATAAACACGACCCAGTTGTACCCGCGTGAATGGGTATAAAACTTGAACAAGGCCCCTGATTAACATTCAATCTTGGAGTATCTTCACGCCATCATGTTCTACCCCAATTGCAACACATGCCTTCGGGCCTTCCTTGTCGCATTCTTCGCTCTCGGACAGGTCAATGCCGCACCTACAAACCAACTCCCTTCTGTATCACCCCCTCCCCAAGATATAACATTACACGGCAAGGGGATCTCGCTCCACAACGACGTCACCATCGTGACTGGAAATGTCACGGATAAAGCGACAATTGATGCCGTCAAGGCAGTTGTGTCTTCTGCCGGCGGCAAAGCGACTGTTTCGTCCCATTCCACCAACCATGGCACCCAGATCGTCATTGGCACCGAGTCAGACAATAGTCTTGCTGCCGTGATTGCAAAGAGGCTCACCGGGGACTCTGCAAAAGGTCTTGACGCCGATGGCTACGTTATCGCGTCTGGTCAATACAAAAACCAACCTAGCATTGTTCTCAATGGCGTTGACAAACGCGGAACATTCTACGCGTCACAGACCCTCCGCCAACTGATTGACGGCCATGATATCCCCGCCGTGCAAGTGCGAGACTGGCCGCTCATGTCCATTCGTGGCTCGATTGAAGGCTTCTACGGTGTTCCCTGGTCCCACGAGGCTCGTCTCGATCAATTGGTCTTCTACGGCAAGCACAAAATCAACACCTACATCTACACCCCTAAGGATGATCCACTGCTGCGCGCAAAGTGGCGCACCCTCTATGAGGGCGACGACCTTGATCAATTGAAGGAACTTATCGAAACGGCCAATGACAACCACGTCGACTTTACCTTTGCCCTTTCGCCTGGTAAAGATCTCTGTTACTCCTCTGACTCGGACTACAATGCAACCATTGCCAAATTTGACCAGGCGCGCCAGCTTGGTGTTAGCAGCTTTTACATTGCCTTCGATGACATCCCTACCGATGGCTTCCACTGTGATTCCGACCAGCAAAAATGGAACAAAACAGGGAACTCGGGTGACGAATTTCTCTGGCTGGCCGACTCGCAGGCATACTACCTGAACCGTATCCAGAAGGACTACATCACGACACATGGCCTGAAGGATCTCGAAACAGTTCCAACCAACTACGCCGGCAGCGCACCGAACCCTTACAAGGAAGAATTTGGCACCCAACTAAACAAGAACATCAGCATCCAGTGGACAGGCGAAGGAGTCTTCAGCGACCAAATCAACGACACAAGCGTCCAACAAGCCGACAAAACCTACGTCACAGATAAAATGTTCCTATGGGACAACTTCCCCGTAAACGACGGAAATCGAAACCGCCTGTTCCTCAACCCATTAACCGGCCGTGCCGCAAATCTATACAAATACCTCCTAGGCTTCACCTCGAACCCAATGGAGCAACCATACGCCTCCATGCCCGCCCTCGCCAACTACGGAGACTACACCTGGAACGGACCCAAATACGACGCAACAAAATCAATGTCAACAATCCTCCGCGAACTCGCCGGCCCAGATGCAAGCGTCAACGAAGCCGTTATCGCATTCGCAGACATCAATCAGAACTGGCCATACCGCACCCCGGAGGTCCACGCCCCAGAGCTAAGCAGCGACATCGCCGCGTTCTGGAAATCATACAACAGCAAAGCGAAGAGTGGTGAATCGGCGCTGAAGAAACGTCTCGCTCTCCTCGCTACCCTGCCCGATATCCTTCCAAAGATGGATATGAAGGGCTTCGCCTCGGACGTGGCGCCGTGGTCGACTGTTGCAATGCAGTGGGCCAAGGCCTCGCAGCACTTGATCACCATGCTAGATGCCGTGAAAAGCGGAGACAAAAAGAAGGCGGATAGTGAGTTCAAGGCTGCGCAAGAATGGGTCAAGAAGACCAAGACCAAGACTGTTGATGATCGGAACGATGATGGCGAGGACCTTCCCAACTCCATCACTCCCATCACCGGTGATGGGGCCTTTGATACTTTCTTGGCCAATGCTACGACCGTTTATAAGGGTCAATAGGTTGAAGTGTTCTATGAGCTCAGGGATGATGACAATGTATGAGACATTTGAATGCGACGAGATATGAACTTGAGTTTCAGCTGCGAATAACACTTACCCCTTGTATTCACCGGTATTCACTAGTCCTTGTCGGTTTATCAAGGTTTCTCGCCATCCACAGTTTCAACTAGGCCTTCGCTACTGGCACTAGTACTAGTAGTCTGCAGCTGTGCGCGATTTTCCAAGTAGGACATGTTTATCATATACAATGGAAACTTGAATGGACCTAGGACACGAATGGAGGCGATATCGATGTCCACGAGTACACGTAGCAGAGTACGTTCCTAGTAAGTACCTACTAGTAAGCGACTATTTTACACTACTTGCAATCGTCTTTCCACAGCAGCAAATATTGAGCAGCAGACTGCCAAGATATAGATATTTCCAATAATTCGTTACAAGGTGGAATAAATCGCTACATACAACTCAACCGGAACGCCCACACTTCATCCCCGGCGCCCAATTCTCCTCGGCATGTAATATATAAGAAAAAGGAAGAAAAGGAAAATTATTTCACTGGTCGGACGAAAGCCGACAAACGTATCAATTTTTCATCAAGCCGTTAAGAGACAGGTCAGATAAGTAAATAGGGATAAAGGGTATTTATTTTAGTTAGCGTTGCATTGATTCGGAGTGCATTGCTTTCCCTAGAGCTGGCCGGAAGTGTTGAAGTCCTCAAGGGCCTCCTGGGTGCGCTTGGACATGGTCTTCTCACCCTCACGGACCCAGACACGGGGGTCGAAGTACTTCTTGTTGGGCTTGTCGGCGCCGTCGGGGTTACCGACCTGGGTGAGGAGGTAGTCCTTCTTGTTGAGGACGTAGTCACGGACACCGGAGAGGTAGGCCCACTGCATGTCAGTGTCGACGTTGACCTTGACGACACCGTAGCTGATGGCCTCCTTGAACTCCTCCTTGGAGGAGCCGGAGCCACCGTGGAAGACGAAGAAGACAGGCTTGTCCTTCTGGGACTTGGTCTGCTCCTTGACGTAGGCCTGGTGCTTGGAGAGCAGCTCGGGGTGCAGCTTGACGTTGCCGGGCTTGTAGACACCGTGGACGTTACCGAAGCCAGCGGCGATGGAGAAGTAGGGGCTGACGGCGGACAGGGCGTTGTGGATGGCCAGGATGTCCTCGGGCTGGGTGTAGAGGGAGTTGTTGTCGACATCCTCGTTGTTGACACCGTCCTCCTCACCACCGGTGATACCGATCTCCTGTAAAATTGGTTAGATTGCTGGGGTCCCGGAAATGTGAGGGAAAGTAGAAGTAAAACTTACCATCTCGAGCCACTGCTTCATGGGGGCAGCACGCTTGAGGTAGGCGGCGGTGGTGTTGATGTTGTAGTCAACCTCCTCCTCGGACAGATCAATCATGTGGGAGGAGAAAAGGGGCTCGCCGTGGAGCTTGAAGTAGCGCTCGTCCTCATCGAGCATGCCATCGAGCCAGGGCAGGAGCTTCTTGGCGCAGTGGTCAGTGTGAAGGATGACGGGGATGCCGTAGGCGGGGGCAATGCTGCGGATGTAGTGGGCAGCGGCGATAGCGCCGGCAATGGAGGCGGCCTGGCCCTCGTTGCTGACACCCTAGTGGGAGTTAGCTTAAGAGCTCTTGGAGTTACAGCTGGAGTTGGAGTTGGAGCCGGAGCCGGGTGTTATGGATGTACATACCTTGCCGGCGAAGAAGGCGGCACCACCCTGAGAAGTCTGCAGGATGACGGGGCACTTCTGGTCGCGAGCGGCCTCAAGGGCAGCGACGACGGTGGAGGAGGAGGTGACGTTCTGGTCATTGAGTTAGTGGGGTTGCAATTGGAAACCTTGGAATATGGTGTACACAGTGGTGTGTACAGCAAGGAGGGGTGATAATGGGGGGGTACTCACGATGGCGGGGATAGCAAACTCCTTCTCCTGAGCGTACTCGAAGAGACGCTTGACGTCGTCACCGACGATGACACCGGACTTGCGGTTAAGTTGTTCAAGGACACCCATTGTGAAGATTGGAGAAATGTACAGGTAAAGATGGTAAGAAGCTAAGGAGGAAGAAACTGGAAGTGGAAGAGGGTCAGTCTTAAGAAGGAATGGTAATCAAGTCACGCTTTACCGGGCGACAAAAGCGGGCAGGTTGGAGAGGAGGGGCAACTTGAACGTCATCGAAGTACTCACCGGTGTGTGTGGACTATGTGTTAACTGTGGATCTGGACCCGTGGAACTTAGATCAGAATGATTTCAGTTTCAAGTTCGAGAAGCTGTAGGTCATTTCTATTATATATGCTAGTCTAGGTACTCCTCCGACTCTCTCCGTGATGATCCCGACCGTCGGCTGGTTGCTCAATGGAGGGGTAACATGGTGGGGATAGTACGACCGCGATGGACAAACTAGCTATGGTTATGGTTATGATTTTGATGATGGTTAAAATGGAATATTCCAGTATGGCCACCGTGATCATGGCATGGCCATGATCTACTAACTCAGCACCTGACAAGGTAGTATACCTGGTGACTATACCTGGTATAACAGGTATACCAGTATACCAGCCGGTCAGGTATGGATCCAGGCCTTCTGTCCTCCGCCATGCCGAAAAAGACTTCTTCCCCTCCGTAAATTGTTCGTCCGGGAACCGAGGGATTCCCCGTGAACATTAAAACTCCGGCCGATTTCAAGCTCCACTTGTGACTCTGTGTCTAGCTACTACAGGACTATACCATAATACTATATGCTACATGCGATGATACTATATTTGTTATATTCTGACCCAAAGCATTGGAGAAGAACCCCTCCAATTCGGAGCTCGTTGGAGCGGTGACATCAGCGGGGCAACTGGTTGGGCACTCAACCACCCCCTCCTAGTGCTACTCCGTACTAGTAAACGGAGTGCCTGGTTACCATAACTACACTAGTCACTACTACTAACCTTGAAATAAATACTAACCAGTTATGACTTGAACACCGTCATCAAGCTTAGACTTTGCTAGTCTCTTCTCTGACCAAGCACTCTATATTTCGTGGCCTTCTTCTTCTTACCTCCTTCTAGCTCGTACTCCAGGGCCGACGAACGCCTACTTAGCATGGTTATCCTGGAATAGGTGTAGCCCCGGACAATACAAAAGATTAAGGCTCAAGACGGAGATAATTCCTAAAGGACCAATGTCTAGCATATAGGGGAAAAAAAGGTAGGTGCCGTATGTCTATAGCGTAGTAATGGTAGGGATACGGCTAGGGTGGAGAACTGTTCACAATCATGAGGTGACCAGACACAGATCAATCACTGGGTTTAACCCTATGCTAACATCTAAATCACTGCTATTGAGCCTAGGTGCCCTCACAAAAGCGGCGGAGACATTATTCTATCTATAAAGGTGCATATCTGCTTGTGTTTTGCTATGTACTAGGCTCAACTCGATCATCTACATAACATCCAGAGGGGGAACAAAGGCCCAAGAAGGGAGAAAATGAGTATGAAACAACAATGGGAATAAAATGTGCTAGATGGTAGTTGAGGAGAAGATGCGATGCGATGCGATGCGCTACGACACGATACAACCCGAGGCCAGGATCTTCTCATGTCCGCGCATCCGCGGGGCTTGAGTCCGGTTTCTCGATCTCGTAAAACAACAGGTAGACCTCCCTCTGCATGCCCAGCACGTCCGAGGTCTTGCACTCTTTGATCTTCTCATCCGAGATCCGCCACCATCGGTCATTCGGCTTGCGACGGCGTCGAAGCCGCGAACTGACTCCCGACGGGGGTTCGGCTGATGACCGGGGAATATTGCGCGAGGAGCGCGTGGCTGATGAGATGCTGAATCGTCCCTGATCCGTTGAGGGACTATTGCTATCGGAATCCGCCGCGGGCTGTGGTGTCGACGAGCGTGACGAGCGGGAGAATGTGCTCTGGAAAGAACGTCGCGAGCTCGACGTAGTAGGACGTGGCAGCGGCGGCGGCGTGAGCGTGGAAGGCGACGTACCTGAGAGGGAGGTGGAGGAAGTCGCCGTGGATAGTCCACTGCTAGCACCGATATCAGGATCGGGGCTGCTGCGTGGCATCAATCGTGGACTCGGTGCCTGTGACGGGTTCTGGCTAGCGACTCGACTTGCCGCATACGAGCTAAAGACCTCCGGGGTGGAGAATGGCGCATAGAGATGATTGCGACGGAACGACTCGTAGTGACCACTGTGGTGGCTGCCCTTGTGGCAAACAATCGCAAGCAGCTTAAACCACGTCTGATTCAATATTCCTCCCAGAGGCAGTCGCTCGGGGAATGACACCTTTGCAGCGTTCTTCGTTGAACTGCTGCGATCAAAGATAGACCGTGACAGATGGACTGCGATGATTTTGGGGAAAGACGTGATACGCATGTGTCGAGCAATTCGCCGCTTAGGCGCAAGCTCTGATGGTGGAAGCTCAATGCCCTCGAGCTCGCGCTCAGGGTCATTCTCCAGAGCATCCCGAATCCGCTCAATTTCGTTCTCCAACCGCTCCCGATCGCTCTTTGAGCTAGTCTGGGTTTTCTCGGATGTCTTCATATCGACGGCATGTTGGAGGCGACAGTGGTCGCATCGGAAATCTTCAATGTATTCGGTCTTCAACAGACCGTCAAAGCAGGAGTTCAGTGTGGTCGAGCTTTTTTGGGGCACCTGGAGTGTAAGATTTACAAACGCAGTCTGATTGGGTTTGTACTGGTAGTGGCAAAACTGGCATTCGATCTGCGATTCCAGTTTTCCCTCCAGCGGAAATCCAGCCTCACTGTCAATCTCTCTCAATTTGTTATCAATGATGGCAGGAAGCCCATTGGCAGACCCATCATCAATCCGCACTTCGACCGCCGGGCTGTCTGGACTGTGCGGGCTCTCGGCCTCAGACTCTGCACCCACCGCGCCTGAACCAGCAGGTGCTCCAATGGGATCGAGTGCGCGCCGCCGAGCCCGAACACCGGCATGGTATTCGTCACAGAGCCGCTCCAGCACAATCTGGAGGAACTCCTGCGCGTCTTGTTGGTTGCGGCTAATACGTGTTCGGTACGCGAATTCAAGGGCCTCGATGAAGCCTCGCGCGGAGATAGTCTTCTTGTAGATAGGACGCTCATTCAACCGGTCCAGCATTTCCTTCAAGGCCTTTGTGATAATCCCCTGCTGCAAATCCCGCAACTTGTCCGGCCGCTGACCGCGTGGAAGTTCGTCTTCGTTCGGCACCGCGTGGTACATCTCCGGACCATCCAGCTCGCGCCGGTGCAACTCGCGGATCAAATAGACGCGCAGGTCACCCAGACCGGCCAGGGCCTGTAGCACCGAGTTGATAAAACAGTCATTGGCGACATTGGAGAGACCAACGATGCTTTTCTTGCGATTGCTGTCATTGGACTCATCTCCATCGATTGTGTAGTTGGGACCGAAGACGTAGAATAGAGCGACGGCCGCAAGTGAAGCCCCAGCCGCATATGCGGCGACCGTAGTGGGCCTTTCTTGCATCGGGTATGCGGCAGAGGGGAGAGGAGAGGAGGGAGAAGGTCTCGGTCTCGGGGGGATTTCGTGGCGTAAATGTCGAGGTAGGTTAGACTTCTCAATTCATCTATCTCTCCATGGTCAAATTGATGCTGGCAAATGGGAAGGAAGAACGGCGGCAAGGATCCAGTAAAGGAGTGGGCACAGCGGACAGTTCGGTGTAATGAGTGAGATGGTGAGAAAAGTGTTAGAGCAGATATGGGGAAGAGGGGAGAGAATGAGAAACCGGAAGTGGACCGGAGTGTTCATGCGGAGAAAATGGGGGCCCCTTCCAGTGGCAGTGTGCAAGGGATTCTCATCTCACTTTCTCATCTCGGCACTGCTTCAAGGCGAACCTCCGAGCCAATTCGAGTTCGAGTTCTCCGGATAATTGGGCGGGGTAGAATAGGGTCTGCTTGAACCTGCCGAATAATTCTACCTAATTATCCAGTGCATTGGGGCGCTCCGCTTGGCTGCATCGAATCTTCTCCCCCGCGACGGATCTTTCGGATGTCCGCAATTGATGAAACCCCGCATTTTACTTGGTGTTAGAGAAATGGGAAATGGTGATGAACTTGGTAGAAGGCTCCTTTTTGTTGAGGGGGCTCCCATTCATTACTGAGCGCCTGGGCAGTCTCATTTGAAATACTCCGGGGCTATATACCTAGGAGGTATTCAAGCCCTGGAGTTCTGCATGTCAAGTTGCCGCGGGATGGGAATACTACTACTACTACTACTATCTACCTAGGTACTGGGTCAGAGTCAGGAAATGTGTTTTTCGGTCAAGTGTATCTCGAGTACGTAGTCGAGTCATTTAGTCCCGAAAGAGTTGTATGGGCATGCAAAGACTTTTATGTAGTATTTCCACCAGCCTCATATCCAAACCAAACCAAATCAAAATCTATCAGCGCACAATCAATTCATATATCTTCATAGCTAGAACGCGCATCTATGCACGCAGCGACTCGGGCAGAGTAGCAACCTTCTCGTCGAAGAGTTGCTCGGCCTGCTTCCACACCCGGGCGGTAGTGCGGTCCTTCAGCTGGAGGAGACTGGGCAGCAGAGCCTCGCTGAACATCTCGGAGCTCTCGCGGGGAAGAAGGGAGGGAAGGTGGTCAATGCTGATCACGCTGAGACGGGGGCCCTGGGTACCAGCGGGCAGAGTGACTGGGACAGTGGGCTTGTCGAATGTGGTGGTGATATCGTAGATGGGGATAGGGTTGTGGGGGTTTGTTCTAGAAAGGGTTAGTGATGGTTAAATAGCGTAATTAATACAAGTGGCCACTTACGTGTCGGCGCTGACATCGCAAACAACGGAAAGGTTGCGGCTTGGGGGAGAAAGAGTCTCGGTGTTGACGAAAGGAGGGATGGGGTCGGAGAGGTAAATGCAGTTCACAAAGATATCGGCATCGATGATCTCCTGGAAAGGACCGCCCTTCTTGGTCTCGGCCATATCCCATTGAACAATGTTCTCATCGGGGATACCGACATCCTTAGCGAGCTGAACAGCACCCTTACCACAGCGGCCGAGCTATAGGAACATTAGTACACAGGAAGAGGATGACTTCAAGAAAATTAGAGCATCACTTACAGCTCCAATAACAAGGATCTTGGGGGCACGGCCAGCGACCTTCTTGCCAGCCTCGAGGGTCTCCTTAACAGACTCGATCAAGAGATCCTGGTTGGCGTAGGGGACCTCACCGGACAGGGGAGTACCCTCGGGGTGGGCCAATTGCCAGGCCCAGTTCTTGACAGCAAGTGCAGAGCCGGCATAACCAGCGGAGAAGCCGAAAGCAGCAACGCGACGGCCAACGTCGTCGGTGAGGAACTCAAGGTCAAGCAGCAGACCCTTGCCACGAGACCAACGGCTCAGGACCTGGTCCCAACCACCTTGCTGCTTGTAGCAGTGAGCAAATGTGACGTGAACATGCTTCAGAGGGAAATCATCCTCAGGGAGCTCTTTTAGGCCCAGAATGACGGCATCATTGGGGGCGTCCGTAACCCACGAGCCCTCGGCAACAAGTGGAGCTCCGATCTATACCCAATGGCTTTCGTTAGGATTGTTATAATTGTACAAGAAGGGATTGAACGCAGGAGGGCGAACCTTGGAGAATTCCTCATCTAGAAAAAGTAATTAGTCGGTTGACTCATATCAATGTGTGGGGAAATTGGAAACGGAATCCAATTCAAGTGCACCTACCGTCAAAGATACGCTGGGTGGAACGCTCGACAGTCACGTCGTAGCCGGCATCGATCAATGCCTTGCAGGTGGTTGGGGTCACTATCCATTCCAATTTATTAGCAAGAAACCCCTCTAGGAGCTGATACATCGCCCCGAGAATGATTTGGTGGGGGAGGGGCACTGACGAGCAGACCGAGCCTCAGCGGGCTTAGTCTCGGCGCGCAGCCAAATCTTTTGTCCAGGCATTATGGATAAATGAGGTTGGAGAATGGAGTGTTTAGTAAAGAATGTTCAACGAAAAGAAAAGTCACCGCCGAATTGCACTTTGATTGCTATGACAGCAATGGCGGGGTGGTTGTTCCGGTCCGAAAATGACTCAGCCCGATCATCGGCGACGCCTCCCGCATCAAGCAGTCGGGGTGTATCCAATAGGAGCAGGAGTAGTACAAGCATACATATCAGGGTTTACAAGAGACGAATATTATTAAGAATACTTTTGATTGCTGATCAGAACACTGCCTAGAAAGTTTCCATCACAGGAATCGTCTTCGTGGTCGAACACAGACGAGCACAGACAGTCAGAGGTGCGCTTGGAAGCGGGTCCCTAGAACAAGTACAACTAAAGCGTGAAGTCAGAGCACTTCGGAGGCGAAAGTACTAAGTGGGCTTGGTACGGCTGCGAGTGCGGCTACCGATCCCATCACCCGGGATGATTTTCTTCACGGCATCCTTCACCTTCTCCTTCTTGGGGCGCGCGGGCTTCTTCTGTTCGCCGTTGGCCTCTCCCACAGAACCTGAAGGTGCAGAGCCATTGGAATTGTTGGAAGGCTCCGGGTCGACTTTCTGCTTCTTGGCTTGTGGCTCGTCCGACTTCTCAGAGAGCGATTTATCTCTTTCATCCGAAGCTGGAGCCGGAGCCGGATGATTGATAGGCTCAGTTGAAGAAGTAGCTTCAGGAATAGGTGCAGGGGCTGGAGCTGCTGGAGCCGGGATTTCAGAGACTGGAGCAGGAGCAGGGGCTGGGACCGGTGGGGGAGCAGGGGCCGAATTAGCGATGACAGTAGAATCAAAAGCACGTTTTTCGCCGGTCACTGGCTCTGGTTTGGCAGCTTCGGTCTCTCCATGTCGACTCTCTACTGGGGCAGTGGGTTCCGAAGATGCGATGGAGCCGCTGAGCGGGTGCTCTGTAGACGATTCCGCAGTTGGCTTGACTTGCTGCGGAGATCTGAGAGCCTGTGAATTTTCGGCGCCGGCTGCCGCCTTCGATTTTTCGAAGAAAGAGCTTTCACTTTCCTTCTCGCCTGTATTCAATACACTGTGAAGCGGTTGCGACTGTTCGCTGACCACTGGGGTGGCAGCTGGAACTCTTAGTCAGCACATACGGAAAGCGGGACAATTATCACCACGATGGAGGGCACGGTCAGATTCTGTCTGGGGGATGAAATGTATAGAGCATGTTTGGTGCGACCAATTTGCCCATGGAATCGCCACCGCCGATGTGAAAAACGTACCGGAAGCTGGGGGAGCGTTGTACGCAGAGAAGATGCCCTCAGTAGCCATGGTGGATCGATGATGTCAGATAATGGCACGTGCGACGAGGGATGGAGGCTTTCACGGAATAGACGGAGTCGCAAGAGTGGGAAAAGTGTTGTTAAGAAGAGAATGATGGTTTACGAAGAGAAACAGGAGCTGGAATAGAGTCGATTGATCTTTGGGGGAAAGAGGTGAGGTTGCGCGGTGACGTTTACTAAGAGCAGCTGGGGGGCGCTAACCCCATTCATACCATGCAGTACAGGGCTGATTCGCCGCCCACGACCCCGGCGGTTGTCGCACAACTTGGTCCCCCATTCCACCACAAATTCCAACGTCATTGCCCTCTGCTAAATCCGTCGTTGATCGTATTCTGGGAGATTTTCTGGTGTCTTCCTTTCCAATGTGAGGGTCGCCAATGCCATGACCAAATTGGTTTATGAATGTACCGTAGTGGGATGGCGCAGCCACTGTGGAGTAGTCTGTGCGGAGTATCTGGGATCATCGCCATCGCACTGCAGCGCTCCGACAGCCAGCCACAAGACGGAGATCGTCGCTCGGAGAAAAAGTGTTCTCCATTGTACATGGCTATCTGGCGTTTCTGATGGGTAAAAGACACTGGGGCTTATTCGAATTCTGCATGTCGATTGGGGCAATGCTTGAAAGCTGGGTGGGGAATCCCCGGGTAATGGGGACGAGAGGCAATGCGTCTCAAAGCAGGGACCAGTTCAATACCAGCTAGCCCCTGAGAGATGAGCCTCCGGTGCCCTGGCGCCAGGAACGGCACGGGATGACGGGGGAGATGGGAATATTAGTTCGATGAGTTTACAACCCGTCCATTAGGTCAAATTCAAATCCAAGCGAGAGAGCAGATAATCCTCTTCTGCAGAGGTGCGGGTGCGAGTGCGCGTCGCTTCAATCGAAGCGGTGGCCGTTTCCTCTGGGAGGACGACTTGGATTTTTTGCGCTAGGCTGGTGGCCTCTCGAATCTTCTTCCGGTCAATTAAAATGCGAAGAGTGTCACAGCCAATGCGCAGGAAAGCATCACGTCTAGCTTCGGACCAGGTCTGAAACCTAGCTGGCGAAAGACCATCTACAAAGCGAATAAAGGGTTGTGGGTTTGGCTTTCCGGGGTGGCATAGTGCGACGGAGGCGAACAGCAAGGACCGGGAAGACGACAAAGTTGAAATGACCTCAGAGAACTCTTCGTATAGACTCTGTGAAACCTGCTCGATTGATGGCTTTTGATCCATGGCCGTACGGCTCAAATGAGCTCCAGCGGCGAGAAGCATTGCTTTACCAGAAGGTACACCATCCGCGAGATGGGTGGAAAAGTGCATTTGGCAGACCCGAAGATAGTATCGTAGAGCCGAGGTAAATCCGGCACCGTATCGAACCTCAGCCTCTATGAAGCTGACGAGAAGGTGGCCAACGGTTTGTCGGGACTGTTCTTCTGTCATTCGGCCGTTGTATCCGCCGAGGTCCTGGGCGAGCGCCATTTTCAACCATTCCAAGATGGTGGACTGTAAGCCCTCTGCAACCATAAATTTAGTTAAAGCAGCAGTCGAGCCTCGTGACTGAAGGAGCATCTGTCTAGAAGCTCCGTCCGAGGACCAGAACCAATGCTCTACTCTCGAGCCGGCTCGAGATGACTTCAAATCGGTAGTTGACCTAGCCAGGAGAAGTTGTGACTTGAGGCAGTCAAGCATGACTGTTGCTGTGGCTGAGCCAGAGGCTACCATTTCGTCGAGAACCAACATAGGCTCCGTAGCCAGGCGTCGTTGTTCCTCTAGCCTTCGAACTGCATGGCGGTCGTGAGGAGGTGACCCCTTGGGAGGTACGATGCGAAACAAAGGGTTATCCAGGATGGTGTGTAAGTGCTGATCAGTCGCATGCGCGGAGGAGTCGGTATTCAAGGGTTGTCGATCGGCGTCATGATTGGGATTGTTTGTTACGGGATAGGCGTGATCCAACTGACGGCGAAATGAGGAGGTGAGGGCACTGAGTAACTGCTGAGATTCGCGCGGGCTTCTGGGCAAGGGCTGATGAATCTTTGGCCAGGACTTGAATTGAAAGATAGATGTTCCCTTCATGGTGAGTGTGTCGGTGAGGGTTCAAGTTCCAATCGTATGACTCTCCCTCCCTTCGTGCGTCGAGTATATGTAGGAGGATCAGCCCCGGGCCGCGCGAGGGGGTGGGCGGTCAGAGGGAGGAAGCCGGGATGGTGCCCAAAGTGGATGACGAGCACACACAAGGGAAGTTTGAGTCAGATATAGACAATCTGTGAGCGGATGAAATGTAGAAAGTGATAGTAGAAGTATATTAGAGTCAAACCTGGTACCATTCACTCAAGTCAAAGTAGTCAAAATAGTCAACGATCAAAGGATATCAAATATAGAAGAGAGTACATAAAAGACCAATGGGCGCCAGGCGCCACTCGCTAAAAAGCCAGGCGGGTGCCAAGACCAGCTGCGACTGCGAGCAACACATCCGCGAACTCTGAGCTTTTGCCTTCGCCTGCTCCATTCACAATCTCATCCCTCCTTCCTTCGCCGACCTCCCCTCCGACGCTACTCCTCTCCACCCCAATCTTATATCTCCTCCATCTGGATTCTTTTCGGCCTTTGTGCCCTGTGGTCTTGGTGCTGTTCCTCTCTTGCGAGGGTGCATCCGACTCATTCTACCATTCAGATCCTTTCTCCCTACCACACACCCTTGCGACACTCCATCGTGACCTTTCTCTCAATTCCGATTCTTTCATCTCACATATACTTTTAACATCATGTCCGAAGTTCAAAGCCGATCGTCTGCGCGCGGCAGAGTATCCTCCCGCGGTGGCCGTGGTGGCTTCAGCTCCAGAGGTGGTCGTGGTGGAAACAGCAGATCTGCGAATGCCGACAACTCAGATGCTCCCTCATTCGAGGAGGGCGAGATTGGGCAAATGAGAAAGAAGTACTCCGACACTCTACCTACTCTCAAGGAGTTGTTCCCAGACTGGAAGGACGAGGACCTCATTTTCGCTCTCGAAGACTCGAATGGCGAACTCGAGGATGCAATTGTGCGCATTACCGAAGGTTGGATCCCCTCATCATCCCATTACCTATGGGCCTATTCATCCCATACCCGGCCGGATTTTATTGACATATCTTGTTTCTTTTGTTAGGCAACGTGTCTCAGTGGGGTGAGGTCAAGAAGGCCACAGACCGAACTCGATCCAAGCCTAAGGACGCCCAGCCCACTCAGACCGAGCCTACTTCAGCTTCCGCTCGAGGCGGACGTGGTCGCGGTGGATTCGAAAGCCGTGGACGTGCCCGTGGAGATCGGGGTCGTGGCGGTCGTGGTGGTCGCGCAGGTGCCCAGACTGCAAATGGAACTCGCACAACTACCACCGCTACAGAGCCCGCAGCAACTGTCCCGTCGACGGAGCCCGTGGCTCCAAAGGTGGGAGAAGAGGAACAACCTACAGCTGGTGAGACCACACAGTCGGCCGAGGCGAAACCCAGTGTGATCTCTGAGGGCGGCCCCAAGAAGGGGGGGTTGGGCAAGCCTCTTTGCCAAACCCACACCCGCGCCAGCTGTGCCTCAGAAGAAGGCCCCGACAGCAGTTCCTGTGCCTGCGCCCGCCGCCGAAAAGCCCGCCGAGCCCCTCGCCGAGCAAAAGGCTCCCGAATCCGCTCCCGTCCCTGTCCCCGTCCCTGCCGCCACCCAGAAGACCCCCGTTGCGAAGCCTGCGGCACCCGCTATCCCTGCCATCCCCATTGCCGCCCCGAAGGTGCCCACCGACGACTTGACCGAAACAAACCTCGAACAAATCCCCGATGTATCTGCCCCTGCCCCTACCGCGACTGCTGCCAGCACAGTTGGCAGCGCTCTCGACCCGTCTTTGGCTGCAAACGTTACGCCCTCTCGCGCTCCTCAATCTGGTCTTCCCGGTAGTACATTGAAGCATGGTCGTACTCCTGGCTTCCAGCGCCGTGTTATGGAGCAGCAACAGGCTGTGGTTATGCCCGGTAACCATGCTGTGGACCGTGCCGCTGTTCAGTTCGGCAGCATGGGCCTGAATGGTGATGCCGTGGATATTGACGAGAACCGCGAGGAGGCCGAGACCCGTGCTCAACCTCCTCAACACTCGCCTGTCGCTCCTCGGGCTTCTTTGCCTCCTTCAAACCAGGGAGCTGGTGAGACAACTGGCGCCGCTCGCCCCGCACCTGGCCTTCCTCCTGTTCCTCAAGCCTCTGCCGCCGAGTCTTTCGGCGACTTCTCGCGCTTCCCGGATCCCTTCAGCCAGCCCCAGCAACAGATCCAAGAGCCTTTTGCTAACCAGGCTCCTGCTCAACCTGCTGCCACCACTGGCGCCGATTACTCTTCCTTTTACGCCTCCGACCAGCGGTTCCCTTACTACAACAACTATGGCAACTATGGTCAAACTCAGGATGCCGGTGCCCGGGCGGGTGCTGGTGCTGGTGCTGGATTCGGTGTCTCTGCTGCGGAGGCTCAGCCTCAAGTTCCCACTACTCAACCCCCCCGGCCGCTACGGCCCCGTTGATGCGACCAACAGTGGCCACAACACCCCTAACCCGACTCTGCCTGCCACCACCCAGACTCCTCAGCAGATGCCAGGCCAGGCCGCACATGGCTATGGCTACAACTACCCCTACTACCAAAACAACCCTCATTACGCTTCGTACATGAACCAGATGAACCAGCAGCACCAGTACGGCCGCAACCGCCCAATGTATGATGACGCCCGCCGCTACGAGGAGCAGCAGCAGCAGCAGCAACAACAGCAGCAGCAACAGCAGCACTACGGTATGCCGCACAACAACCAGTATGGTTACGGCAGCCAGCAGTATGGCCCCTATGGTGGCAAGGGTGGCATGTATGGACAGCCCCACGCCTTCTCCTACGACCATTCCTCCCCTGCAAACGCTGGTTCCTTCAACCAGGGCATGCCTGCTCGTGACTCTGTCTATGGCCGCACCGGCTCGGCCCAACCCTCCGACACCCAGCAATCTGCCACCGGCTCCAACGCTTTCGGCTCCGGGATGTCTGATGTCTTCGCGCAGCCCCAGGCCGGATTTGGCCGCACCGCTCCTGTCGCCCAGCAGCCCCCTGTGAGCACTGAGGAGACCAAGGGCTTCGATGCCTCCAAGACTGGTGGGCCCAGCCCGTCTCTTGCCCAGGCAAACCGCCCCGGATCCGCTACCAACAGCGCCCCTGGTCAGCCCCAGGCTCAGACCGGTCTTCCCCCGCTGCAGGGACAGCAGGGACAGCAGGCGTTCGGCAACTACCCTAACCTGAACCCCCAGTATGGTGGACTTGGTGGCCTTGGTGGTCACCAGGGTGCGGCTTCCCAGACTCACCAAGCTTCCGGCTACGGCAACTATGGCGCAGGTTTCAGTAACTACTACGGAAACAGCAACCGCGGTGGCTGGGGTGGTAACTATGGCCACTAATTTAGGGAGTTGTTCTATTTCCTTCAACTCCCTGGCCACACGAACACATATGGCGTTGCATTTGCGGGTGATTTGAAACCGGGGTTTTTACGTTTGTCTTCCACATCACAAGGGAAGAGGGGAAGCATGGAAACCAATCCATGCCTTGTTCACCTGGACAAAAAACCCAAACTTTCTCTTCATCTTTCCTTTACCTCAACATTTGTGTAATCTCTACTCTCTGGGACCTTGGTTGGCTTTTCCTGGTATGGAGAAATGTGTCTTCGTTTGGTTCTCCTGTTTCCACTCTGTTTACGTTTTTCCTTTTCTTCTTTCTTGCTTTTTTTTTTCCTTTTCCTCTTTTTTTACCTTTTGCTACTACCGCTACCCGCCGATGCGGTCTGTATTAAATCCACCCATTCTCCCAAGGTTTCCTTTTTTTTCCTTGCCCTATTTTCCTCCGCCCTGGCTCACGGTGTCAATTCGGGTTCCGGTGTGGGTGTCCATTTTGTGACGATGGGGTTTGGTTTTCAAGTTCCCTGTTTCATTGCCTGTCCTCCACCGTGTCCAATGTTGATCATTGATGCTTGTTGGGTCTGGTAGAGGGGTAGATCGTGATGGACTGCTCATGTTACTGGGCCTATCAAAAAGTGACGAGTTATGTACGCACCTATACAAATCAAACATTCCAGGCCCACTTATACTCTCATAATTTAAACGGTGTAACATTATATTACTAGAAAAGTGTGAACCTTATCTGGGAAGCTGAATTTCCAGTCGATCATTTCCGTTTCAACTTGAAGTTGGACGAGCAGGGGTCTGCAGAGGGTACCTAAGTAGCGCGTGCTTGTTTACTGCAAGTGAGTCAGTTCCAGGCTATTAAGCGCACCTGCCAATGGGCATACTACAAACATTTCAAGGTTGCATCAACGAATAGTATCTTATATGGCATGAAATTTTAGAAATTCGAAATTCGATAAAGTTTCGTTGAAAGATGTTGAGTATATAACAAAAACGCAAAGCCACTGGCATGAAGGATGAAATTAGATGGGCGGTAGTTGAAGCCGCTTTCTCAAGTATAAGCGGCATCGCCTCGATCCGAAACTAGTATATACAATCGAAATGCAGCGTGACATGGTCCCTGGCCGTGTAGGAAAACAGGGTACAACAAAAGGTCGACTCTCTATGTTATGTTTGCAGACAAATGCGGCTGGAGATGAGAATATAATCCAGCGAGGCAGGCCGGTATTCCATACCTCGGAATCAAGTAAAACAGGATTCTTCTCATCATTCACCAATGGAGGAGAGGAGAAAAAGCACAGACGGTTTACTCGGTGATACCGAGTCCCTCGCCACCGATCTTGTGATAAGGGGCCTTGGCATCGGCGGCCTTGGCGGCATCAAAGCGCCAGATACCACCGGTCTTATCACCCTCAAGGTTGCCAGAGATGCCAAGCTCAGCCGCAAGCTTCTGGAAGAGAGGATCGTCGTCCTGCTCTTCAATACGGTTGAAGAAGCGGCGCTCCCATTCACGGCCTTCGGACTGCTCAGCGCGGCGCAGCTCACGCTGGGCATTCTCGATACGGGACTTGTGGGCGGAGACAGCATCCATATTACCGCCCTGGATGTTCTCGGCGACCTCCTTCCAGGCACGTCGGCTCTCGTACAGGTCCTGCTCTTCGACAGGGGCCAGCTCGAGCGGGGTGGTTTTGTTGTCGTTCACGACCCACTTATCAATAACCTCCTTGGTGCGGGCATCCTTGATGGTGAAGGTATTCGACCATTGTCCATCAATGGTGTAGAGAGGCTTCTTCTCACCCTCGCTCGCCTTGTGCAAGGACGCGGTGAAGGTGTTCTTCTTGCCGCTCAGCCAGCCCTTGCCGGAGAAGTCGATCTTTGCGACATAGCCGCTGCTGCTGACAATCTTGGCGGTCTTCTCCAGCTCCACGAAGGGAGTACCGTAGATGAGTGATTCGATGTGCAGGTTGGGCAGGGTGATCACATGTTTCTCCTTCTCGTTGGATCCCGGCGGGGTGAGGGTGTACTGAGCGTGTCCGAGTTGCTTTACTTGAATGGTGCTCGAGAAAGAGGCCTTCTGGGCGTTGTATCCTTGAAGCTAATGATGCGAATACCGTTAGTATCTGGCCAGCGCGACCGTGGTGGGGCAGGTGTCTTTGGGTTGTATGTTCTTACCTCGATCCCATGCTTGTTGTTGGTGATCGCATAGGCGGTAGCAGGAGGATGGTGGCTGGACAATATTAGCACTTGAAAATTCATCTCATGCTTTTGACGTGTGCTGGGACAGAACGCTAGCACCTACCTGACTTGCTCACTGAACAGCTGCGTCTCCCCCAGGTCCGAGTCGCCGTTCCACTTGCCGAGGAAGAGTTCACCTAGGAAGGGATTCAGAGGCTTCTTCTCACTTCCTAGCTTCTCGCTACGACTGCAGTATTGCTGGTGAAGGGTAGTGAGGAACCACTTGAGGACGAGGAGGGCTCGCTTCTCGGGGTCGGCCTCCTTGGCGGGAGCAACAAAGACGGCGGGGTGTTCGGCCCAGTAGGCGGAGTACTCGGTCAGGGAGGTGGATGACAGAATAAAGGGTGGAGCTGTGAGGGATGAGAGATCACCGTTGAACGAGGCAATCGACTGTGTTTCATTGTCAATAAGTTGCGATTTATAGAGGATTGCGCGTCGTCTCGTGGAGGGGTCACTTTACCTTGAGGAAACTGGACCATGATCCCTTGCTACCAGCGGGGACTTGGCTCTGGGGCTCTTTACTAGAAGACATGATATATGGAGATAAATGAGGAATATTCCAAAAGAGGAGCCAGAAGAAAAAAAAGAAGAAAAAAAGAATAGTTCCAAAAGGACAAAATCGCGGGAGGGAGGAAAGTTCACAAGTTCCCGTCCAGGTTGGAGTTGAACTGACCGCCGTGGCATAACGTCATTCTCGGATGGCTTAAGGTCACAGCCACTTCCCTCATCTCTCTTCTCTTTACCTTTCACCTTTCACTCTTCACCCCATACTCAAAGTACAAGTACTATCGAGTATTTGTACTATTCGATATCATGGACCAACACACCCTAGGACTGCCAGTCCTAGTTATTATCTAGCCCACCACCCCTGCTGGTTCAGAACAACAATTTTCTTTTTTTCTCGGAGATTTACTTCCAATAAACAACATTTATAATAATGATTTCAAAATTATGGTCAATATCACAAAAAATTCAGCCGAGCCAAGTCCAAATCGAATGAAGTTAGTCGATACATAGATTAGACGGATTCTTTTCCGCCCGACCCTAAAATACTCTGGTGGCAATGGCTTCCCCACGGCTTTCTGACCGAACACCTTGAATCATTGGTCTGCCCTGCCGGATTATGGAGAGGAACTGGGTACCATCCTGGGCAATGGACCCTGGTAAGATAACATTCGGCTTCGCTGTGTGGACGCCTTCCCCTGCTGCGTCGCTGAGAGATGCGACCCCCGCGCCGATCCTCGGCCAACTATCCAGAGCGCCGAACGGCTCTTTGACTTTTTTTTTTTCTTTCTTTTCTGCTTTTCTTCTCTCGATCTTTTGTGACTCACTTCTATAGTCATATGTACCCAACAAAAACTCCTCATTCCAATTAATTCATTGTTTTGACTTGCATTTCAATTACTTCTACCGTTTTGGGAACTATACATTTCCCAGAGTATGTTTGCGGAAAGCCTCCGTTGAAAAGAAAATACCCACACCTCAGATACAGCCCTGGAGCCTATGTGCTCTCTGTTTTTCAACCAAAGCCCGAAAGACCCAATGCTAACAATTCGACTTGACCTTTGCCTTTCGAATTGATTGCTGTCCCGAATCATGGGCACCTCCGATGCCATGTCTCCAACCCATTCGATAGCTTCGAGCGTCGAAGACGCCATGCCTCGCATGGAACCCATCCAAACAAAAGAATCCAAAGCACAAAACCAAACTGAAAATACAAATGACTTGCATCTCGTGCAAAGCCACATGTCCCATCATGACATGCCCGTGACAGCCGAATTTCGTGAGGTCGATGCAGAACAATACCTGCGTTTTTCACCATCACGCAAGATCATCATCGTCGCCGTCCTCTCCTTCTGCTCTTTTCTGGCTCCAATTTCTTCCACGTCTATTCTCTCGGGTATCCCCGAGGTAGCAGAGACCTTTAATACGACTGGTAGTATTATCAATGCCAGTAATGCCTTGTACTTGGCCTTCATGGGCATTGCCGCTCCATTCTGGGGCCCATTCAGTCAAGTGTGGGGACGACGACCAGTCAGTCAATCAATCAATCAAGTGATAATTTACACCTCATTTCATTTCATACTGATCCCGAGTCTTTAGATCTTCTTGGTCAGCGCATTTCTCTTCTTTGCCTTTAGCATTGGCACTGCATTAGCGCCCAATCTGCCCGCCTACTACATTTTCCGCGTTCTCACAGCCTTCCAAGGCACTTCATTCCTGGTCGTGGGCAGTTCCGCCATCGGTGATGTGTATGAACCTCGTGCACGAGCAACAGCACTGGGCTGGTTTCTTTCCGGTACTCTGATCGGCCCAGCCCTTGGCCCTTTCATCGGCGTACGTTTCTAAGACCCAACCCTCATCAAATGTGGCCCCAAATATAATGCGTCAGTCTAACCAATATCTCCATCGTATAGGGTGTTATTGTCACCTTCTGTTCCTGGAGAGTCGTTTTCTGGCTGCAGACTGCCCTAGGAGGCTGCGGGACCATACTTGTCTTCTTCTTCTTCCCAGAGACATACCCGCATCTCAACAAGACCGAAGTGACCGACAAACCTGCAGCAGAGAAAGCAAAGTACCTCTGGCACCGTGTCAACCCCCTTCGAGTCGGCATTCTCCTCTTCACGTACCCCAATCTCTTCTTCGCCGGAATTGCCGCCGGCGCCCTGGTCTGGAATCAGTACTCCCTCCTAACGCCAATCCGATATGTGCTCAATCCGCGCTTCAATCTAACAAGCCCAATTCAATCGGCTTTATTCTACATCGCCCCAGGCTGCGGGTATCTAGTCGGTACATTCATGGGTGGTCGCTGGGCCGACCACACTGTGAAGAAATGGATCGCGAAGCGTGGAAGACGTGTACCAGAGGATCGACTGAAATCATGCCTAGTCTTCCTCGGAATCATCATTCCTGCCTGCATTCTGGTCTACGGCTGGACCGTCGAGAAGGCTGCCGGTGGAATCCCCGTGCCTGTCTTGGCTATGTTCCTTCAGGGAGTGGCTCAGTTATTCTGCTTCCCCAGTTTAAACACGTTTTGTCTAGACGTCATGCAATCCAGCGGCCGCAGTGCTGAGGTCGTTGCGGGAAACTACATGTTCCGGTACGTCTTCGCTGCACTGGGATCCGGCCTTGTGCTTCCAGCTGTAGAGGCAATAGGTGTTGGGTGGTTTAGCACCATCAGTGCGTTATTCTTGGTTTTCGCTGGATGCTGTGTTTGGGCTACTACTGTCTACGGCGATGAGTGGCGTACTAGAATCGATGCGAAGAATCAGAATAAGGCTGCTCAGAAGGCCGAGAAGGCATCATCCCCGCAGGAGAAGGAGACAAACTCGAAAATGGAGGTATAAGGTGACAAAAGAGCGAGCTACCTTCCTTGAGGTTCTTATTTTCTACATGTGCATTTCCACCAAATATTTAATGGTGTTAAAAATAGACTGAACGATAGATCGAATGAATCTAATGAATTGATGATACTTCAAGTTCCTCTTAGATATCTCTCATCGTATGGTATCATGGACACCTGTAGTTTGCTCGGCAGATTCACCGTTTTCCGCAGTCGGGCCATCATTTTCCACGGGGATCTTGCCTTTGACAATGGCATCGGCACTCAATCCCGTCTCAGCAACAACTCGGTTGACTTTTGTTCTTTCGGTGAAACGTCTAGCATCCTCTCGTCCCTTCTCGATATCTACGAAGCCAATAGCGATCATCGCTCCGGTGCAGATAGCAAACAAGAAGGGAAACCCCATCCAGTTGTTGCGAGTGTCATTAATTATGGCCTGAATGACGTTCGGTCCGATGATGGAAGACTAAATTTGTGTTAAGATTGGAGAATATGAATGAGAGAAAATGGAATGCTTACAGCTCGGTTCGTAATTCCGAAGAGGGCGAAGAACATATTGTCAAAGCCTCGAGGCATCAGCTCACTTATCATTGTTTGTGCATACTATTATAATATGAATGGTTAGCATGGTTATGAAATACGTAGGAAGGATGACTTACCGCGTAGTATGGAGCTTGAAAGAGCCCGAAGATGATATTGTAGAAATAGAATTCCCACTGGTGATATTTCAGCATGAAGAGTTTTTCTTGTCATGGCGTGAAACGAAACATACCGTATTATGATACCCAATTCTAGTGGTCCAAAGTCCCAACATGCCCCAGAAGGGTATGAGGACACTGAAGAAGTTGGTGACCAGGAACATGGTTTTGGTCTTGAACTTGAAGTAACGCTGGATATACCAAAATCCGAACGTCGATGTGATCGAGCACGCCGCTTGCGTGATGCCAAGGTATGTAATTTGCAAGAAGGAAAATGAGACGTAGTCATTTTGGATGATTGAAACGAGAGTGCCTTGGATCGTTAGCGGGTAATGCTGCATACCGGAGAATAAACCAACCTGTGGTGTTCAGCCCATCTGCCAGCAGAAAATAAGCTAGGAAATACAAGAAGGTCTGTGGAAGAGACCTGACTTCTTTAATCGCGAGCCAGATCTGCTTGAAGCCAATGGTAGCATAGCTTGAGCCCTTGGGGATTTTGGGACCAGGCCTCTTCTGCTGGAAAATGAACCACCAAATACCCAGGACCACCCAGTCTGTAGAACTGTTAGAAACATAACCGAACCAGCTAACTATAGAAGCTCTTACAAGAATTGGTCAAACACAGAGCCAGGTTGTTTGCATATTGGTTGTCCTGCATAGGAAGCAGTACACTCAGATTGAGTGCGAGGGTCAACAAATAGCCAATATTGCTGTGTGCTGTGGAGATATTACTGCAGTTCGACTCAGCATGCGTTTTTTAGTGATGAGTTGTGGTACTGACCTAATATGATTCCGCTCCAGCGACTCAATCTGGTCGTACTCCTCCTGGCTAATCTTGCCCTCTCGGAGATCTTCCTCTCGTGCCTTGCGTACGTGCGGCGTATAGCGTGCCAATCGAGGGAACACTGCCGCATAAAATACCAGTGTTGCCCCATATGCTACATAAGCAACGATATACATCCCCATAGCGGATGGCCATTGGTTTGGGTCTCGGATAGCCAGCATACCATACTGCAATGCCCAACAAACGACGGTCAGTCCCAATAGCAACCAGCGACCAAACGAGCCGTAGTCAGCGGCGCTGCCAAGCCAAACAAAAATCACTGTCATGAAAGCAAAACAGAGTCCGTTTGCGATGAGGACAACAGAGGCGATGGATCGGGTACCGCCGGCCCAGGGTACCACACAAGCGGAGGAATCGGTACATGGTTTTGGCGGATCAGTGTCGGGCTGGTGGCCTGCTTTATTGAGAGCCCATTGGAAGCTAATCCTGGTTAGATACACAAGTTTCTGACATCAGACAGGTTGTACTGACAGGGCTTGGCTGTAGGATCCCGGACCGACGCCATTATCGCCTATAGATTAGGATTAGTTGTCAGATCGGACTTCAGAGATCTATATGATAGACTGGGGCTCCCAATACCATTGTAATAAAGATAATATGCCCATAGCTCTTTGCGGGTTGTGGTGGGTTGCTCATATGCATCCTCATCCACACCGAACAGCCGCTCATACTCCTCGAGGGTGTTACGAGCTGGTGGTGTTGTTGTTGTGGCTGTCACTTCAGCAGCATTAGGCTCTGCTCCATGCTCCTCTCCATTCATTTGGTCGATCTTTGAACTCGCCATAACTCCCAAGCAAGTCGATTCGGAAGTTGAGAGTAGCCTCGGAATAAAGAAGAAGGAGGAATTGGTTCCAGTCGCGGCCTTTGGGTTGTTTTACCCCGCATTCCAGGGAGTCGCATTCTTAGGGCATGGCCTTGACGATCAATTTAGATCTCTTATCAGGTCTTTCGGATGGTCGTATCCAAGCTGACCACTGACTAGTTTATTTTAGGTATTTGAGGGTACTTGAGGGTACTGAGAGGTTGCATCGAAGACAAGTGGGGACGCCAATGGGGGCTGCCACTTCTTCTCCCCGCGCATCCACTTTTGGACGGTCTTTCTCTCTTGACACCCCCAGTCTGTTACCGTCCAAAACAATGACATCGAATGACCTGCAGAGGCAAGTTGGCCAGGTATGTATTTCAAATATCAAATATCAACATGAGGCGAAAAGATGATTCTGACAAGCTATAGCTATTTGCGGTCGGTTTCCACGGTCACACACCCAGCCCAGAGATCAAGACATTGATCCACGATTACCACATTGGCGGCATCGTTCTTTTCTCGCGCAATTTTCAAAATGCGGAACAGTTACAGGTCAATTCGAAAGAAACATTCTTCCATTTAGTGGATGAACTAACGGTTGAACATTCTAGGCGTTGACATTGGCTCTACAAAATGAAGCTCGCTTGGCAGGACATAAACGCCCTCTTCTTATCGGGATCGATCAAGAAAATGGCCTGGTTACCCGAATTTCCCCTCCTATCGCCTCTCAAGTCCCAGGACCAATGGCTCTCGGTGCAACCCATGACCCGAGATTCGCCTATCAGGCGGGTAAATCCACTGGCGAGATTCTGAACTTCTTTGGTATCAACATGAACTACGGTCCAGTGTGCGATATCAATTCAGAACCATTAAACCCTGTTATTGGTGTGCGCAGCCCTGGTGACAATCCAGAATTCGTCGGTCGGTTTGCGTCAGCGACTGCACGTGGCCTGAGAGAGGAACGGATTATTCCAAGTGTCAAGCATTTTCCCGGCCATGGCGATACCGCAACCGACTCTCATTACGGACTTCCAATCATCGCAAAGGGGAGAGATGACCTGGAGCGGTTAGAACTCATTCCCTTTCGCCGGGCTGTGGCCGAAGGAGTGGAAACGGTGATGACTGCACATATCTCCCTACCTCAGATCGATGACAAACTGCCCGCGACGTTATCGCCAAAGGTCTTGGGGATATTGCGTAGGGATATGGCCTATGATGGAATGATCATCACAGACTGTCTTGAGATGGAGGGGATTCGAGCCAGCTACGGCACAGAGCAAGGATCCGTGATGGCAGTGCAGGCTGGGAGTGACAGCCTGATGATCTGTCATACATTCGACGTCCAAGTGGGTTCTGTTAAGAAAGTTTGCGAAGCGATTCAATCTGGCGCAATTGAGGCCTCTCGTTTCGAGTCAGCTTGTCGTCGGGTTGCATCAGTGAAGGACAATTTTCTTAGCTGGGATACTGCTTTGCGCAAAAATGATGCTGCACAGCTCGACATCATAAACAAGAAGGTGGCCGCTTTATCACAAGAAGCATACGAACATTCTACAACTCTGGTTCGCGACAATGCTAGCGTACTTCCACTTTCTCGGTCTTCCAAGATAGTGGTTCTCTTCCCGGGCGATGGAACTCCCGCCGGAGGCGCGGTAGATGGCGAAGGTATGGGGAGACAGGGGTCATACGAGGTCACCCCGTATCTTGAGGCCATTCAGCTTCATAACCCGTCTGCCACTGAGTTGAAGTATGGAGAGGCGGGTCTATCAGTCGAAGAGTTGGATATGGTCAAGAACGCCGATACCGTAGTCTTTGTTTCTCTCAACGCGCGAGAGTCACCATATCAAGAAAAGTTGGGCCTCGAGCTTCCACAATTGAGTCGCTCGTTGGTAGCAATTGCTGCATGCAACCCTTATGACTTCCTTGACGCTCCTGAAATTCAAACATATCTCACCACTTACGAACCCACGATCGAAGCCTTTTCAGTGGCGGCCGCAATCATTTTTGGAAAAAAAGCCTCGAAGGGATCGTTGCCAGTGGGTCCAACGGTTTCAGCCAAGTCTAACGCGACTTTTGAATTGTATGATGCGGAAAGGGACATCGAAGGGATGGTAGATACTTGGGATGCAGCCGTTCCAACCTATCATTTACCCCGGGAGAGCTTGCGCGCACTATTTGTTCGTCCAAATGCCCGCCACTTTGTGGCTCGTATCGACTCAAAGGCTGTTGGGTTCTGTCTCGCCTACTTCAATGCCGATGGGCCCCCAAAGACGGTTCATGTCGCCGTGTTGGCTGTTTCTCCTGCCTATCAGAACCAAGGAATTGGTACAGTGCTTTTAACTGAAGTTCGGTCCTTTTTCAGGAGCCAATTTGGTCTCGAGAATTTAAAGTTGGGCAGCTCATTTCCTCGCTTCTGGCCCGGTGTGCCCCGCGATCTTGGTGAAGATATTCAAAACTTCTTCACTCACCGCGGCTGGCGACTCAGCCCTCCTGAGAGCAGATCGGTCGATCTATATCAGGCCATTAAGAATTTTCAGGCTCCCGAGAAGTACATGACTCGTGCTAGAGAAAGCGGCTTTACCTTTGCTCCACTGAAATCTGAGGACTACGATGCATGCCTGGTTGGCCAACGGAAGAACTTCTCTGATAAAGCGGTATGACCCCCAAAGACCTTTTATTGAAATATCACGATACTAACTCCCTTTTTAGGGCTGGGTAGAAGCCTTCGTGGCGCTGCACCCCAGCAAATACCCGGACAGTGTGATGGTTGCATATGACTCCCAGGGTCAGCAAGTAGGCTGGACCTTGATGCTAGGATCCCCTGAGGTGATCAATCACGTATGGGCATTTCCCCAGATGTGCGGTCCGAATACAGGCCTGATTGGCTGCGTGGGCGTTGATGAAGCACATCGTAAATCAGGAATCGGGCTGGCGATGGTGTGCCATGCTGTGGAGAACATGAAGCAACGGGGCGTCGAAGGGGTTTTTGTTGATTGGGTTGCTCTACAGGGATATTATGAGAAAGCTGGGTTTGAAACTTGGCGGAGCTATCGACCTGGTCAGATTTGAGGGATGGACATAAGTCCCTGCTGCTTCTGATATACCTCTGGGTTGATTTTCTTCACTGACACCCTTTGGTTCAAGTTATTTTTACACATTTATTGAAGTTGCGTTCTACTATGAGCGGTCAATTAGAATTACTAGTAGTGGTTAGATTATACATCCATCCATTCTTCAATTATCCTAGTTTTTGAATTTCAAATGACGAAGCAAAAAAGAAGCTACTGAAAATCGGCTTTAAAGAAGAATATTGGACAGCACGGAATATCTCTTGATTTTAGTATCAGAACTTGCTATTTAGCGCGACTTGGCAAATAGCTAGATATCGAAGAGCTTCATTGGAATCTGGAAATTCTCAAGGAAACCTAGTACGATACCACATGGTGAAACTTGTATCCGTGTTACTTTATTGTGGGGGTTTAAGACAAAATAATCAAAAAGGCATAGAAACATTCGTTAAAAAGGCAAAATGAATAATTTCATTATCCCTTCGAATGGCGCCACATAAGTGTGGGCAGTTCAATATCAGGGCATCCCTTAATCACGCAAGCCGGGCATGGGCCTGCAAGTCTTGGAAACCCCGGCCGGAGGAATTGGATCAGGTCGTCCAGTGACCTGATTCGAGGAACAACACCCTTCTTCTTTGGCTCTTCGCACCAAGAGCTTACACCCTTGGCTTTTGCTTCGTCGCATTGTTCCGAATCCACGAGCAGCTCGTGACCACAGCTGTGTGGGCCGGTATACGAGACAAACTTGTAAATGCACATTTTTTGAAGAGTTTGGCTTGCGATTTGAATCATCTAGTAGTCTTAGATTGGGCTCTTTTTGTCTGTAGTCAGTTATCGAGTCAGAATGTAGGAAGGGATGGACGTCTTTTATATTCAATAATTTGTCGAATCAAAGCCCTTTGTCTCGTTCTCAACAAGGGAATTCTCTTAATTCTTGCCCTCGGTATGCTCTTTGTTTATATCCATGGTATCTCGAGTCATGAATGGGGCTTCTTGATAAAAGAAAAAGGAGTTAATTTGTTTGTATAGTATTATTGTTCATATTTTGTCGCCAGATACAAGGTGCATAAAAGATGCATAGCACGGAACCATTCCGCACTCTAGTGCTTATCAGAATTGGTCATGGCATCGATTCTCGCACGCGCATTCTTGTTGTACTCCTGTTTCTGTTCTTCAGTTCGGCCAGTTTGGGGCACATCCACACCCTTCGTGACAGCCTCACGCTTGCCAATCTCATCAGCCCACTTGTTCAAAGCAGGGAATTCGGATAGATCAATTTCCAATGATCCCGGCGCACTGCGAACCCAGGAGTAGTTTGCAATATCTGCAATGGTGTACTTGTCACCCGCGAGGTAGGGGCTTTCTTTCAGGCGGGACTCAAGGACCTCATAGAGACGCTTTGTCTCGTCAATGTACCGCTTGATGCCGTAGTCTGATCGCACGCCAGCGTAGACGCGGAAGTGGTTTGCTTGACCTTTTGAGCAGGTTAGCAGCTGTAATCAAATGATTTGGTCGGGGTCATTGGGCATGCATACCCTGCATCGGTCCAACGCCGCCCATTTGGAACATCAGCCAAGACACCTGCTCGATGTACTCGGATGAGCCGGGAGCGTAACTGATCTTCCGGTGAGTGTCGTACTTGTCGACCAGATACAGCATGACGGATCCGCTTTCAAACACGCGCTGGGATCCATCCTGGATCGCAGGGATACGGCCATTGGGGTTGATTTTTAAGAACCACCTATTCTGAGATCAGCATCGCGATGTATGTCTGTCGGTCGCAATAGCTTACTCTTCCTTCTGGACATTTGTGCTGATGTCAATTGGAACAGTCTTGTACGAAAGTCCAAGTTCCTCGAGGGTGATTGAGGCCTTGATGCCATTTGGCGTGGGCCAGGAGTAGAGTGTGATGTTGGACATGGTGGAATATGGCGCGATGGTAGATGAAAACTGGGAGAGTCGCGAAGCAGCTTTGAATGTGCTGGGAGTGAAGGTCCGAGAGGAGCATCACTGATATATGTAGGAGTTCATACACGCGCGACTGCTGGGGTTTGAAATCCCCCGCTTCCTCGGGTCAGCGCTGGTTCCGAGTCCATTTGTCAGCTCATACGCCGTTGCGATGACAAATGATGTCAGACTCATGACGCCGAGTTTCTCCTTGAATTCTGCAAATATCTGATTTTGATTATCAATGTTCAGTCTCTGTCAGTTTTTGTTCATATGGCTCCGAATTAGCTTTCGCGGGTGATTGTTTAATTAGATAGTTGATGTTGGAATGATCGCCGTTGTCGGCTCCCGCGACACTGTTAGGCCAGCGGTGACTACTACGAATATATTAGTATGCTAGTTAAGAGTCGAACTCAACCCTACTACCTAGTACTAGCCCTGGAGCGATCGGATTTTGGACACAAAATGGTTGTGAAATTGAAGGCACTTGGCTCAATAATAAGCAGATGGCTAGTACCGCGAGCCGGCCACTGAGGGAGCTTCTATAGATTTGGAGATTCCTGAGAGGTTTGAAAATTCTGAATTAACAACATAATTCATACCATGATTTACTACTCAATACGATCAAAATTTATAGGCGTTTAATTTATAGGCGTTTTGCTTGGCCAGCTTACAGCTGGGCTTAATTACTAAGAGGTCGACGAATCAATATCTAGGTACTTTTCCAATTGTTTCTGTCGAGCGTGTGGAATCGAGCGTGTGGAATTCCTTTTATTTCCAAAATAGCAATCAATGCAGAATAAATCATACTCTCCATGCACGAGCGCCCTAAATATACAAATGTCGGGCAATGGGGTGGAAATGCAGCCTCGCCGGTGTAGGAACAGTCGTTTGATTGTAACACTCCGCATTGAGACCAAGCTCACCAATCTGGATCCTCCGGTCATTTGATCTAAGCTTTGCTAGCTAAATAGTAGATTATTTGGCTCAAATATTCTAGTTCACTCGCCTAATGGAGAAAGTCTGTCTTTGGTGACTGAGTGATCTCCACATAGCGCGCCCCTTTAGCGTTACTCCGTACACCCTCCAAATTCTGGAGGGCAAGAGGGTCCTTCGCTCGAGTCTCGCCGAGAAGTTGCCATGTCGGTGGCCGAATCCGGGTTCGCCTGAATCTAGCATGCACCGTGTGATAACGCCTTGGCATCTTGATTCTAAGTCTAAGAGAGGATGGAACCTGCATCCATTCGAGGCTGGGGTTTTATTAAGTATCATCATTACTCTGCCCATCTAGTACTAGTAAGAGACAATCTCAATGGATGGGAAATGGGTTCCATCAATGGCGTAGATATCTACGGGGTACGGAGTTAGACATCTCTCCCTGCTCCATAAATATCTCGGTGCGGAGCCGAACGGCATCGGCATCGAGTTGTAAGCTCGGGCTGTTTGTCGCTCAATATTTCCCCGCCAGCCCACGGACATTGTGAATGCAAGGGAAGCGCAACCCGAGCGAAAGTTTGGACCAAAGTGAAAATAAAAAAAAGAGTGGGCCTAAAGTCCACCCCCTTGGCTGCTAGCGTCGGGCAATCCAGCACCAACGGGAGAGCTTAAAAGTGTGCCTGGTCATAGGCAGTTGGGGCCGAACCCCACGTCCCCCGCGGATTTTTATCTTCGCTCCACCAACTGTTATTTGAAGAGATCGGATGATGTTCTCAACTTGATACATACCCAAGTGTCATGATGGGATAGGAAATGGTGTCAAATTCGATCGAAAATCTCTCGATCCGCGGTGAAGCCTCGCTCACCTGTACTTACCGGTCGATCTCCGCCACATCTGACCAGCTTCCCGCAAAGTCAAGCCTTCGCCCGGCAAGGGTTGGCCGCGTTAATCCCGATCCGGCGTGGTCAATGAACATCTTCCAGAATTAAATTGGCCATCTGTGAAATACTTTTGTGCAAATATGGTGCCTAGGACTCCTGGACTTGCCAATCAAAGTCTGTACCGGCCTGTGGCCGAATCAATATAACTCAAATATCTGTCTTATCTCGCCAAAGGTGACACCCGTGGCGTTTAGTATGTTACGTTCTCCTAGTTTACCCAGGTGAATTTGAGTTTATTCGAATTCGAGAATCAAAGGTCTGGGAGCAACATTCCCAGTGCGGCGACAGAAAGACGTGCGGTTTGCGACCTCCTTCCGCAACCAGGGCCACATGGACAATTGCTGGGGAAGATGGCCACGCGATCTATGGGCCGATCGCAGTGGGGTAAGAACACCTCGGGGAATCTACCTTGATGATTCGATCATCTGCTTCTCTGTACTTTGACACATCAGAGCATCGGGCGACCCGACTCCGAGGAGAGGACCGGGGTGCCGCTCGAAGATCCTGCCACAGGAAGAGTCAACCACTTCATGCGGTGGTTCTACATTTGAGACGCATCTCTTCTATGTTTAGCCTCCTATATTTGCTCAGAGATTGATGCAAGTCTATGCCATGGCGTTCTCCGGGCAGTCTGCACAACCTGGTAAGACAGACCATGGACCTTGATGCACTAGCCAATGATCAAATCCTGGACCTCGTCTTTCCTAGCGTAACATTTGGACCCCGCAGCTGTAGTGACAATTTTATTTCTTTTTGGGGAAACTGGGGCCTCCCCCATGGGCAAGTTGACCCCACGCTTCAACCCCAAGGATGGGGCACACCGTTTCAGGAAGTAGATCTGGCCCGGGCTAGTCGGTCTGGTCCAAGTGTGAATCCTGTTCACTTTGCCTCTTGGCCTGGATCAAGTGGATTTCGAGGTTTCTTGCATGACATCCAATCAAGCCCTGATGCCCTTTCCAAATGGGCTAGCTGTGAAAAGAAGGCTTCCTGTTGTACGCGCGATGTAAAAAGCATAAATCCCGGTGGCCGCCCCAGAATGTTTCCCTCTATCCCATTGCCCGTTCTATCATACTCTTTCTCTTTCGGACTTGAAGCACTGTTATAATTGCCTCTGCTTCGTCTTCCTGCCGCCCTCCTTCATCGTCCACACTTTAGTTCTATTGGCCTAGTTGACTCGGCTATCCCCACGATGGAGAAGGATACGGTGACACAAGTCGACTCGCCAGACCGGTAGGCTAGCTTTCAATATCATGAATGCCCAGAGCTAATTCAAATCAGATCTAGTGATGGTCATAGCAGCGAAGAAAAAGGCCATCATGTCGAGGAGGTGAATTTGCAAAGTAATGTTTCGGCCAAGTAAGTTCTTGGGTTGCTTAAATCCTATACATCATCTAATTGACAGCTTTCTAATCTAAAACAGAATCAAAAACCCCCTCGCCGACATGAGCAAGTCTCAAGTCCTCCATGATGTCGAAGAATTTGCCAATGAGTACCAGGTCACAGATATCCTACCTGAGCTGAAGAAAGGTGCCTTGGTTGCGCGTGATCCAGAGGCGTTCGAATCAGTCCCCGATCTTTCTGAGACTGAAGTGACGGCTTTACGCGACGAGGTGCTTCATAAATGGCGCCAGCCAAAGGCCCTCTACTTCACTATCATTCTCTGTTCCATCGGTGCTGCGGTACAGTATGCTTTTCCCTTTGCAAGACAAATTGTATTCTATGCTGACCACCAACAGAGGCTGGGACCAGACTGGTTCAAACGGCGCTAATCTGTCTTTCCCCGACGCTTTTGGTATACCTGAAGATGGAAATGTGCGAAATCAATGGCTAGTTGGAATTGTCAATGCCGCTCCATATATTGCCAGTGCCTGTCTAGGTTGCTGGCTATCCGACCCCTGCAATCGTATTCTTGGCCGCCGTGGTACAATCTTTATTTCCGCTATCTTCTGCGTGATCACCCCCATCGGCTCTGCCTTTGCTCAAAACTGGCAACAGCTCTTCATTATTCGTCTACTTCTTGGTATTGGTATGGGTCTCAAGGCATCTACCATTCCCATTTTCTGCGCTGAGAACACGCCCGCTGTGATCCGGGGTGGATTGGTTATGTGCTGGCAACTTTGGACTGCCTTCGGTATCTTTCTCGGCTTTAGTGCCAATCTCGCAGTGAAGGATACCGGTGCGCTTTCTTGGCGTTTGCAGCTGGGATCGGCTTTTATCCCTGCAGTGCCTCTCGCCATTGGCGTATTCTTTTGTCCAGAATCCCCTCGTTGGTATATCCGAAGAGGAGAGATGGCCAAGGCTTATAAGTCTCTCTGTCGTCTTCGAAACACTCCTTTGCAAGCTGCTCGTGATCTTTATTATATTCATGCGCAGATTCAAATCGAGCAGAGTATCATCGGTGAGAGTAACTATGTCACTCGATTTGTCGAGTTGTTCACGATTCCTCGGGTTCGACGGGCTACGCTGGCTTCATTCACAGTCATGATTGCGCAACAGATGTGTGGCAGTGAGTTCCTCCTTTATTACCCGCCGATACTAGGCACTCTCATTAACTTCAATCTCTCGCAGTCAACATCATTGCTTTCTACAGCTCGACCGTGTTTCAAGTGAGTAGGAATCTTACAACCAAGTTTCACAGAGATAATTTTATTAACAATTTTGACAGAGCGCTGGTGCTAGCGATACAGATGCACTTTTTGCCTCGTGGGGGTTCGGTCTCGTCAATTTTCTCTTCGCCTTCCCGGCAATTTGGACGATTGATACCTATGGACGCCGTGCCCTTCTTCTTTTCACCTTTCCTCAGATGGCCTGGACTTTGCTCGCTGCTGCGTTCTGCTTTTATGTTCCAGGTAATGGAGGGGCTCACCTTGGTAGCATTGCTCTCTTCATTTTCTTGTTTGCCGCCTTCTACTCTCCTGGTGAAGGCCCTGTGCCGTTTACTTACTCCGCCGAGGTATTTCCGCTATCGCATCGTGGTATGTTTCCCCCTGCTTCCTTATCGACATCTCTCGCTAATGTTACCGTAGAGGTCGGAATGTCTTGGGCGGTCGCTACCTGTTTAGGCTGGGCCGCAGTATTATCTATTACATTCCCCCGTATGCTATGGGCTATGACTCCCACTGGAGCCTTTTGCTTTTATGCGTAAGTCTGGTGCTTCGAGTGTGATGTGATAATTTGCAAATCGCTGACTATTTGGGTTAGTGGTTTGAATGTGACTGCACTAGTGATGATCTTCCTTTTCGTTCCTGAGACAAAGCAGCGGACTCTTGAGGAGCTCGACTACATTTTTGCGGTTCCCACTCGAGTTCACATGAGATATCAGGTGTGCAAGGCTTTGCCTTATTGGTTTAAACGTTATATCTTTCGTAAGGATGTCAAGCTGGAGCCTCTTTATCAATTTGATCACCTGGCAACGAGTCAAGAAAAAGCGACGGAGACTCAGAAGAGTGTATCTATTTCTGAAAAGATGAGTTCTTAGATAGAACTTGAGGCTTCATCTGATACTATTTGGGGGGGGTTAAGAACATTCCAAGATTGTGGTGGCATTTTGGGATAATTTGGCTGGTGCGGGTATACAGCCGCTCTAGATGCTTTACTTTGGGAAAACATGAATTATGAATCATCCAAAAAAAAATCCACCCTGGGGAAGCAATTTATTTCCCCTTCACGTATATATTCAAAATCACTGCTAGGGGCATACTTCACTTCAGCGGACCCTGGGGGATCGTATCTGATCCATGGTCGGCAGCCCCGAGTCAGGTGATGTGGATACGGTGGGGGATGACGAGGTCAACAGCTCGATCTCCAGAAGACTTCGACTCGAGGAAACCTAAGCTGTCTATAGTCAGGTGTATTGAAGCAAGTTGAAGTCAGTTGCAAATTCTCGAGTCATAGGGCTCCTCAGGTCACGCTCTCTCGTGCGCGCGTATAAGGTGTATCACGTGGGGTTCGACATTGTTTTGGTGGTCCACTCCGCCCCTCTCTCTGCCCAAGCGCAACCTGCTTCTATTCTTCATAGATGTGCTGGTCTACCCGGCTCTGTGAATGCGGATGCTGCTTTAACTGTGAGATTCTTCTCGACTTGATTGTTCGTTTGCCCCGCTACCTAGCCACCCTGCCCCCCCCCACACACAAAATTTCGGTCAACACCAGCCTCCGCTATACCAGCAGCAGTGGGGTCCAGACCCAGTTGACTGCTGGTTGCTCCCAAACTAGATCGAATTATCTTGACCGCCTCTCGCGCTATAGCTAACTCTCCCTTCTCGCGGGACTCAGAAAAAAAAAAGTGAAGAACCACACGCTACTCCCCGCCCGAGTCGGATCCCACGGCCTTCCTTTTTCAGCTTCACTCCCGGTGACCACTCTCGCGAGCGTGGGGTGTACCCAGCCTCCTTTATATCCACCGCCGCTGTACCATCTATCATATCTCACAACAACAACAAACACCCTCCGGACTGCACCTGAAGCGCCGTCATGCCCTGCTTCAAAGGCCTTGCTGTGAGCATCCACACCCCTGATGGTCCGATCTCAGAGTACTCGATTCAGCGGCAGTCACGAGCTTCGCGGATAGCTTGTTTCATCCCTGTTCCCCCGCCCAAAGTCCCCGACTCCTCCTCAAAAGGCAAACCCGAACAATCGACTTTCGCCATTTCAATCACCCTTCTCAACCCCAGCCAAGATGTACCTTACTCCACTCCGAAACCCACGGCCGATTGCCCCTCCCCGAAGCCGAAGGTCGTCGGAGGATTGCCGAACCAGACCAGTGAACGCGGCCAGTACTCCGGAGCTGTCGCGCCATACCAGGCCTTGACAAATTCTCCGAACGAAACCGTGGCCGCCTATATCTATTTCGACGGAAGACAAAAGGAGGAGGTAGCTACATTATTGCGGAGAGGAGAGGAAACCTGGGTGAATTCGCGATGGGTCAACTCCGACGACGGCGGCATTGCCGAGCGCGAATTCCTTTTCCGCGAAGTTGGCCTCGAACGCTGGTTGAACGGCTTGGATCTGGAAGGCAAGGATGCCGCGGCCAAGATTGAGCGCCGGCGCCAGAAGATGGAAAAGCGCCGTGCAAAGCGCCAGGCCGAAAATAGTGGTATGGATATGGAGGTCAACAACTCGAAGCCCAAGAATATAATGCGCTACGGGAATGACGAGAAAGATCCGCTGGAAAATGTTTCGGACGATGACTTATCTTCTGATTCGGACGATGACGACCCAATCCCTGAAACCGCTGGTCAAATTAAGGTGGCTCTTTTCCGAGTTTTGGCCTCTGGTGAGATCAAACGTGGAGAGTACTCCCCGCAGTTCGATGCGCACGACGACGACGAGGGTGAACAGGGGGGGTAATAGTGGTGGTGGAGGAGGAGGTGATGCGGATGTAGATCATACTACAAGCTTTGCAAAGCCCAAGTCTCTGGACCCAAAGACCATCAGTACACAGACAGTCACTGGGATTGATCCTACAGACAAGCCCTACGCAACCTTTACTTTCATGTATCGCGGCGAACGTGAGTTTTTTCCTTGTGCCTATTTCTCCAACATTACGAATACTGACATATGCATCCAGGTCAATTGCAAAAGATGGGCATCAAAAAGGATCAAAAGCCGCAAGAGACCCCGAATGCGAAACGGAAATCCCTCCAGGCGGATTTGTCTAATCTCGGAGCTCTCAAGCCTGGTGGCACTGTCGGGTTCCTCAACTTCCGCGATCAGGACACTGGGCGAAAGGGCAGCAAGGGCGGCGATGAAATGGATAGCGACGATGACGACACTGATAATCCCATTTTGAGTAAAGCCGATGATGAAGAAGGCAAGGACGATGACCGGTTCCTGTCTCCTGATGATATCAAACGCCAAGGTGAACTAGAGGAGGGCGTCCGCAAGATTCGGGTACGTTCATTTCCGCCTAAAGCTATTCTCCACGATCCCTTCTAACTTGTCTAAAGCTCAAACGCCAGCATTCAGCTGAGCCCTTCAGTGGTAGCGGCGCCGAATCTTCCGATACTCCGGCTTCTGGGACCACTCCTCCTGCTCCGGAGCGATCTACCACTCCCCCAAAGTCGACTACGAACACCGCGGCCTCTGAACAGCCTATCCCTACAATCACTGGACCGGATGGTTTTGTTGGCAGCCCGCTGAAGAAGCAAAGAGCTAGTGTCTCTACTGCCGATGAAAATGCCCTCCGACGTCGGATTGCCGAATCCTCCGGACGGATCAGTGAAGTCCTTGGAGGGGCTGGGACTGTCACCGACAACGATCCCAAGCCTGGCCAGGCGGGATCATTCGGAGACAAGCTGAATTCTACTGCACCCGACTCATCTAGAGATGATGATGATGAAGAGCTATGAGTAACATATGGAAGATGAAATGGGTCACTTCAAAGGGCATCCCTAGGAATTTTTGTTGATAGATACTCACATTTATTTGAACAAGGTAGCGGGAGCATCGTTGATATGCAACTTGACCGGTCCCGCCTTCCTTGTGCGACGCTTGGGAGGCGCACTTTTGTTTCATCTTTTTTTCCCTGTCCTTTTGTTGATTATCAACCTTGACGCCGTTATGCCCATGATCTACACTACAAGAAGCAATCCGAACAGGAAATACATTAGTTGTGCCGCTCGGAAGCGGCTTGTTCATCAAAAGTCCAAGATGATAATATTGTAGAATAGTCTTCATGGCCTTTCGATCACACTATAATTGTATACTTGGGCCACTACATCTAAGACGAGGTCTGGTTGGGGTGTGCCTCATACCGAAGCAAGGTGTCCTAAAAGGTCTACTACTGACGGAGTGCCATAGCTTCCGCTCCCTACAATATGCTAGTGTACATCAGGTCTGGATAATGCTTTCCCGGCGTATTCGCCTATTTTCATTGATCACAGATTCGGTCAGCTTGTGCAACAGAAACAGTCGGGAGTATTCAGGTTCTCTGGGTCAACGCGGCAATTTTCTCCACCAGGTCAGCGATTCTGCCCCCGCCGCTTCTGGCCACCGTTCATGTCCTCATTGATTGATACTTGGAATCCAGCCATTTCGCACATCCACCTCCAGTTCAACATACACCATGCCGCTCTCCCGTTCTTCGGATCCTCTAGTCTGGATCGACTGCGAGGTGAGCTCCATCTCCATGTGTGGCTCGAATATGGGCAACGCGTCTCGTCTCACAAGTCAATGATACTGATTACATTCTCCAGATGACCGGCCTGAGACGCCGATACCGACGTGATTCTCCAAATCTGCTGCTTCATCACCGACTCCCAGCTGCAGGTTCTAGAGCCAAATGGCTTTGAGGTGGTGGTGCACCATCCAGACTCCACTCTCGACACGATGAATCCCTGGTGCATCGACACTCACGGCCGCACGGGCCTCACCGCTGCAGTGCGTACATCAACGACCAGTCCCAACGCCGCCGCCGACTCGTTGTTGGCCTACATCCAGCGTCATGTCCCCACTCCCCGTACCGCATTGCTCGCTGGCAACAGTGTCCATGCTGACAAGGCCTTCCTCGTTCGAGAGCCGTATTCGAAGATCATGGAGCATTTGCACTATCGTATCCTTGATGTGAGCACTATTAAGGAGGCTGCCCGGCGTTGGGGCAGTGAGGAATTACTGAGACAGGTTCCACCTAAGCGTGAAGTGCATCTGGCCCGCGACGATATTCTTGAGAGCATTGCCGAGATGAAATTTTACCAACAGAAATTATTTGCATGAGAGGGGAGAAAGATTGATACCATCCGTCAATTTGAATATTTAAATGCTACCATACTTCATTGCGGTACTCTGTATTCCGTACTCCGTGCATACATAGGTATAGTTAACAAGTACCTCCAACTTCCTCCGGAGCTCTGCTCCGCGCCCGTGGGCAGGAAGAAAATAAAAGTAAAAATAGAAATAGAAATTCAAACTATGTCTCGCACAGGACTCAATGTAGCTATGTAATTTAGAGAGGGACCAGAGGGATCAAAGCTACCAAAGCTCTATAAGGACAGCTGTTTGACTGGTGGGATGATCAACACATGACAAGCCCCTCCCCCTCCAACTTTCAAGTTTACCCTTTTTTTACCCCCCTCGCTCTTCTCTCTCCTCTCTCCCATCTTTCCCCTCCACCTCCTTTTAAATAATTGTCACCATGTCAGTTCAGACAGCCTCCATCAAGCCTTTTACGGACCAGAAGCCGGGCACGTAAGTGTTTGCTTTGCTTCCCTCAATTGTTTATCTCTTCCAAGTTCACCCCCCGCTGATAACATCTTCCGCAGCTCTGGTCTTCGCAAGAAGGTCAAGGTCTTCCAGCAACCCCACTACTCCGAGTCCTTTATCGCCAGCATTCTCCTGTCCATTCCCGAGGGCGTTAAGGACTCCTTCCTGGTCATTGGTGGTGATGGTCGTTTTTACAACCCTGAGGTGATCTCCAAGATCGCCCAGATCGGTGCCGCCTACGGTGTCAAGAAGCTGCTGGTCGGCCAGAATGGTATCATGAGTACTCCTGCGGCCAGCAACTTGATCCGTGTGCGAAAGGCAACTGGTGGTATTCTCTTGACCGCCAGTCACAACCCCGGTGGTGAGTAGCCCCACCACCTTCAGCCATGGCGGCTTTTTTTATTAAAACATCCACTCCCTAGGCCCCGATAACGACTTTGGTATCAAGTACAACTTGGCCAATGGCGCTCCCGCTCCCGAGTCCGTGACCGACAAGATCTTCGAAACCTCCAAGTCCCTGACTTCCTACAACTATGTTGACGTCGGTGATGTTGACACCTCCAGCATTGGCACCAAGACCTACGGCCCTCTCGAGGTGGAGGTTGTCCACTCGACCGCCGACTACGTGACCATGATGAAGGAGATCTTCGATTTCGACCTGATCAAGGACTTCCTCAGCTCCCACAAGGACTTCAAGGTGCTTTTCGATGGTATGCACGGTGTCACCGGTCCCTACGGCACCGACATCTTCGTCAAGGAGCTCGGATTGCCCGCCAGCAGCACCATGAACTGCGAGCCCAAGCCGGACTTTGGCGGCGGTCACCCCGACCCCAACCTTGTTTACGCCCACGAGCTTGTCGAGGCCGTCAACAAGAACGGTGTGCACTTCGGCGCTGCCAGTGATGGCGACGGTGACCGTAACATGATCTACGGCGCCAACACCTTCGTCTCCCCCGGTGACAGCTTGGCTATCATTGCCCACCACGCCAAGCTCATCCCCTGGTTCCAGAAGCAGGGTGTCTACGGTCTGGCCCGTTCCATGCCTACCTCCGGCGCTGTCGACCGCGTGGCTGAGGCCCAGGGCCTGCAGAGCTATGAGGTGCCTACCGGCTGGAAGTTCTTCTGCAACCTGTTCGACAACAAGAAGATCTCCATCTGCGGTGAGGAGAGCTTCGGTACCGGTAGCAACCACATTCGTGAGAAGGACGGTGTCTGGGCCGTCGTGGCCTGGTTGAACGTCATCGCTGGTGTTGCCAAGCAGACCCCCAACGAGACCCCCAGCATTGCCTCCATCCAGAACGACTTCTGGAAGACCTACGGCCGTACTTTCTTTACCCGCTACGACTACGAGAACGTCGACAGCGAGGGTGCTAACAAGGTCGTCGGCATTCTTGCCGACCTCGTCGCCAACCGCGATACCTTCATCGGCTCCAGCATTGAGGGACGCAAGGTCGTTGACGCTGGTAATTTCTCCTACACCGACCTTGACGGCAGTGTCTCCAAGAACCAGGGTCTTTACACCAAGTTCGACGACGGCAGCCGCATCGTTGTTCGTCTGTCCGGCACTGGCAGCAGCGGTGCCACCATCCGCCTGTATGTTGAGCGCTACGAGAGCGACAGCTCCAAGTTCGGCCTGAACGCCCAGGAATACCTGAAGGATAACATCTCTCTTGCTCTGAACTTGCTCAAGTTCAAGGAGTTTGTTGGCCGTGACGAGCCTGATGTTAAGACCTAAGACCTCTATTCTTCCGATTTTTGCTTCTCTGTGACCCGCTGGAAGGGTATCACGATATCTCTCAACGAGAAGATACGACGGACGAAAACGAAAGCCACGTATGAAATACCTAGATACGATGAGGGATATTCTATTCTATTAGTAGTAATATTATGTTCATTCCCAGCGCATATGGCAACTCCACGTTTCAATTTTCAATTGTAGCCAATTCCTTTCCAAAAATGGCAATAAATATCAATCATAACTTCATCGCATCATTACCTAGGTAGCAGGATATACTAGGTAGCCTGTCCCTAATTATAGAGACTTCCTTCCATCATGCTGTCCAAGCTTTAGCGGATGCTGCCAATTTCACCTGCCACCAATTCTCCCACTTGATAACCGTCTCTTCTCGCCGCGCTTCCTCGGCCGCGAATACAACAGCATGGCTCATAACCGCCTCTTCCAATGTACACCCAACAAACCGGGCCTGTGCCGTCTTCACATCCAGACCATCATTCACCACCGCCTCAATTGCATTCACAAATTGCCTCGCAAGACCATAATCTCCACCTCCATGCGACTCTTCCTGATCCGGCGGCGGCTTAGGCACATCGATAGTCGTCGTCTTCGCAGTCGCGAAATCGTAGATCGAAATCTTACTACTATCGTAATCGATCTCGCCAGAGGTTCCATAGACACGTCCCCGACGTTGGCATTGCTGTTCCGTAGGAGCAATCATATGGAATGTTGCCGTCTTCGCAAGACGTCCAGGTGCCTTCCCCTCATCGTCCCACGAAAGCGTAACAACCTGATCATCACATACGTCATTATCAGCTTCGTAGACGCAGCGTCCATACCAAGGCCGAGCGGCAATCGTTGAATCGGCATCAGCAGTGACGTCGTAATTTTCTTCCAATCGAGAGAGCAAATGCGTCTCCGCAGCTTTGGGTCCACGCTCCTTGAACACATCCTCAATGTCGGGACTAACAATATTAACCGGCCAGCCCATATGGCCCCTCGCCATATGGCGATCATTATAAATCTTCCGCGCGCTATACATGCAATCCGACTCAGCGGGGCAAGAAAGACAATTCGTCGCATCCTTCGCGGCGGGCGGTTTCCGCGCCTTGCGGAATTGCGTCAAGGACCCGAACGATGAGATCGAGCGAGGAAAGTGTGGCTCGTAGCCCGAGGCATGCGCCGTTTCCAGCGAAGGCGGCGAGCAAAGAAGCCACAGGATGAAGTCGATGTCGTGGCATGATTTTGTGAGTAGAGAGCCGTCACCGAGAGAAGTGGCTCGTCGCCAATTACCGCGGACGTAGCTGTGTGAGAAATGCCACCATCCCACTGGCTCGCAGTGTTCGAGCGAGACAATGTCGCCAATCACCCGGTCTGTGAGTAGTAGTTTTCGCAGGAGAGTGTTGTGCGGACTGTATCTCAATACGTGGCCGATGGAAAAGATGGTGGATGGGGATCGGGGCTTCTGCGTTTCGCCTTCGGGTGGCTGGAGCGTTCGGTAGACGGTCAAACAATCTTGCAGTGAAAGAGCAAGCGGTTTTTCACAAAGAATATGCAGATTTAGAGGGGCGATAGCCCGAACAATATCAACATGCGTTTCGTCCAGAGTGCAGATGAAGACTCCGTCCACGCCCAGAGGGCCTATTGTACCCGAAGCAATGGATGCACCGCTGTCATTCCCATTGCTAGATTTGCTAGCTTGTTCTCGTCGGGAAATTTCCCATTTTACCCATTCACGCCAATCGGCGAATTCTTGGCCCTCGCTTGAGCTGCCCTGCACACCCCAGATATAGTTTCGTCCGAACTCGCGCCGCTTAAATGGGTGGGGCTCGGCGACGGCGTGGATTGTACCTGGCGTTGCTTTGGTTACAGCGCCGGCGTAGGCATTTCCTCGAGAGCCAGCTCCAATAACGAGAAATCGGGTTGGTCTTCGTGTTTGCCCGTTCGCCGATTGGCTAGGAATATCGGGAGGTGGAAGCTGGGGCTCTTTCATGATGTGATGTTGGCAGGGTAGCGTTTTACTTGTATTTGTGAACCTTGGCCAATTTGTTTCCCTCGGGTGCTGCTTTATCCACCGAGACTGGTCTGGGTCTCTTTTTATAGAGCTTTAGGAGGCTGAAGAGCTGCGCGAGGTTACAGTCTTTCGTAGCGGGGGGGGGAGGTTGCATTGCGGGGAGCTGGCGGTATCAGCAACATCGCCTGCCGCCTGATTGGCCGCACGGGCAAGTATACACTTGCATTTATTCTACCTGTCCAGCCACGATCAAGTGAGAGGCATACGCTACACAGGCCAATGCAGAGCACATAGTGGCTTGCATGCAAGTTCGTATCAAATAATTTGTGTGCATTAACTTCTGATTGACCGAGAAAGCAGCTGCAAGCCGACGACCCACCAGCACTGCAGACACGAAATGAAGATAACACGAGCGGAGTTCGCTTCCACATACCCAGGCAATATTTCAAGTCCAAGGGTTCAAATGGAGGAGCAGAAACGAAGGGCTATTTGGACTCAGAAAGTGATACCCGAGAGTACAACTTCGATGATGATGTTCCTCCAGGGCCTTTCGGAGCAGTGGTATACACAAGTAAGCAAGATTCATCGCAGTCAACCTCCATCTACTCTGAGCCTCTGAGCATGAGCGAAAATAACAGTACCTAGGTATTATTTGTGAAAATGTAAAGCAAAAGGTGTGACTCAACGGGCCAGAATTGATCTTAATTCATCAAACGTATGTAGTTAACAGGAACACACCATTTGTACTATTTGAGACTATTTAAGATTACCAAAATGACTTCCCCTACACTCAGTTTTTCTCATCCTCACTGCTCTTCCCGTCAATCTCCTCCACGGTGGTAGTAGGCTTGCAATCACGATCAAAGATCTTCGCCACCTCCTCAAGAGAACGACCCTTTGTCTCTGGGAAGAAGAAATACACCATGGTCAAAAAGAAAACCAGACATCCCACATACACAATATAGTACTTCCACCGCAGTGCCATAAATGCCACCGGGTTAACATACTGGTTGAAAAAGCAGGCCGCGGCGTCCGTCATCAACGTCACTGCCATGCCTTTGGCGCGAAGCTGGAATGGAAGAATCTCGGCCGGGTACGCGATGAAAAGAGGCGAGTAGGCGAGATCAAATCCACTGAAGAACAGGAATAGCATCGGTACCATAGCCAGTCCTGCAGCATTGATGTTCATCTCCATAAACATTCCGGAAACAATGGTGGTTCCGGACAAGAAGAGCAACATTATAGCCGTGCCAAGCAGCCACATGAAGCGTCTGCCGTACTTCTCGGAGGCCACCGCTCCTGCAGAAGAGAGGATCAAGTTCCATACCTGCAAGCCTGTGTTGACAGCAGCTTGGTCCGAGGCTCGCGAGATTCCAACAGAGTTCAAAATAGGAGCCAGGTAGTAAGAGATAATACCTGTTCATGGTTAGCAAAGATACTTTTCGTGAATATGTGAGATACTCGTACCATTTCCAGCCCACTCTTGCATGAGTCCGACCAGCACACAAATTCCCAGGCGATGGAATTCTCCTTTACTAGCAAAGAAGGAGCTCCAGTGACTAGGAGTTGCGTTCTCTGCATGTATAGTGTTGCAAATCTGCTCGTATTCGTGCAGAACCAGTTCATCGTCCATGCTACCATTTGCGTGATACTTTGCCAATATCACAAAAGCTTCATCCTTTCTGCTCTTTGATATCAGCCAGCGCGGGCTCTCTGGTACAATGAAGAGACCGATAAGTTGAGTAAGCGGGTACATTGCCTGCAGAAAGCAAGGAATCCGCCAGGACCAGCTGCCCGACATTGACAACGTCGCAAATGTGATTCCCGCCGATGCAATCGATCCCATACACCAACACGCATTGTATAGAGCTGTAGCCGTTTGTCTTTGCCTCGGATGTGCGATCTCTGTTGCCAACAAGGGAGCAGCTGTTTGTGCAGTGCCCACACCTACGCCGGCCAAAACCCGCATGCCGAAGAATAGCCAGTGGCTTTTGACACCGACTTGAACCACAGACGCGATTATCACCAGACAAGATCCAATCCCAACGCACACCTTCCGGCCATATCTATCAGCGATATATGATGCCGGTATAAATGACATAAACGCGCCCAACGAGGTAGCAGCAATGATCAAACCAATGATACTCGGCGAGAGGCCATGAATGATCGCACTCTTAACTATGAAATGTGGGACAGGTCTTTAGCACGATTCTTCTGGTCCGATTGACTTCCTCTAGATTTCCCAACTTGAAGCTTACATTCGGGTAGCACCAATAAACCATTGATCAAACTTCCATTATATCCCGTTCCAGCAGACGACGCGAACATAAATGCGATCCCGGTGTTCAACTTTCGCAATCCACGATCCTTCAACCAATTCTGATGCACATTGTTCGGAAGAACCTTCAACGCCTCAATAGGCGACTCTGGCTCCTTTATCGGCTCCATGATGGCGTTTTCTTTTGGCGATTTCCCCGCGCGATTCGACAGCCGGCGCGCGCAGCTCGAGATATTTCGATACAATTTTTCCTGATGCAGCAAAGCAGGCTTCGCATTAAGCTTTATAACTCCGACTGATGTCGACCGATTATCTACCGAACAAGGGATTTCTACTAGGTATCCACATTCTTTCCCAATCTTTGTCCCCCAGTGCAGAGACCAGCGTGGCGGGGATAAACCGGTGATTTTCAATAGCTTCGGGAATGAAGGGAGGAATGGATGGTCCGGTTTTTCCTAGGAGTTTCACACTGATACGAGTGACACAATAAGCTTAATCGCATTGTATTGTATGATAAACTGCTGGTCGAGCTGTCCCACATCCAGATAGTGTCCAGCGATCAGCAGATCGTAACCAAACCCCGTTTCCCAGGGGAGGACAGGGAAGATAGCCCTAGTTTGCCAGACCACCCAGAAAGGCAGTTTACTGCTCCGTGCTGTCATCACCAACCAGTGAGGCATACCGATTACCCAGCCCACAGAACCCCTCGCACTGTTCCCCAACCTCTTGCTTCTTCTTCAGAATCTCCTCCAGGCCCCAGGCGATCCGCTCCGCACCAAGTCTCGCGCCTTCGAGATTCGGAGCTCCGGGCCCTAATCGGAGCGCTGCCATTCTTCCCGTCATGAACAAAGGTACGTCTTCTCGCCACATGAGATCATCCGTCAAACAGGGCAGTCCCTCTTTAACTTCAATCGGGTATTGGGCATTCATATCGCCCAGGAGGGACATTTGCCGGATATCGGCGCCCGCCCCTGTTGCAAAATAGATGTAGTCGATCGGGGGTAAGTCTGGGATCGGTGGGTCGGTAACCAAGCTCCAGGTCTGCGTCTCTGCATTAAACTTATGCGAGCTAATTACCGTACGCGGATGGATCGACGCGCGGTGATGCGCGGCATGCTGCTTCACGATCCGGGTGTAGCGGGGTGTGATACTACCACCATTTCGGGCCACCTTGATCATTTCTAGTCGCTCTACACAGATGAGGTCAGATGATTATTATCCCTTGGTGGAAGAAGGAGTTGAGTCGTTATCTTCTTACCTTCATCAGTGTCAGCAGACCAGAACGCTGCTTTTTCCCAATTCTTATATTTCCCCATCCAGGGTAGGCTGATGTCGAAATGTTTGACTAGTTGGAATTTAGTATGTTAGCATGTGAATATCACAGATACTAGTAGTACCATTGAATGTTGGATGCAAGATTCGAGAATTCTCTGCAGGCATACTAATACTCACCCTTCATATCAGAACGCATCAAAAACCACACCTTGGTCACTCCCTTCCGAATAGCCATATCGACGATCTGCGCTGAAGAAAGTCCACCTCCCACAACCACCACATTGGTCTGCTGCCGGCGCTGAATCTTATTCTTCACATTCGCACTCGGGAAAGTCTTGATTTCCATACTGTGACAGCATGCCGAGGCACCTTCTTCCTCCGTTGAGGGCTTCCAAGGGAGTATTTTAGATATACCCGCTCCGCCGGCTCCTATCGCAAGCACCACGGCCCTGCTGTAGAACTTTTGACCAGTTGAGGAAGTAAGAGTAAAGATCTTCGAATTTGAAACCGGTACATCTCCACGCTCGGGGAGGAAATCGTATGTGATTCCGGTGATCTCCTGCTTTAAGATATGGCCCGGTCCATCGAGGCTGTATCTGTCGATGATGGAGTTACAGTAATCTGTGAAGAGATCCGTAGACGGAGAGTAGTAGTCTTTGCGGTCTCTTTCGTCGATCTCGCCGCCGATGGATCTGTCAAAAATATCTAGGTAAGCTATCCGATCAGATACTCGAAAAAGGTTGCTGTTTGTAAATCTCACTGCTGCTTTCCGCCTTGTCTTCTTTTCTTCTTCTTATGCTTGCTCATCTCCTTCCCGACACAGCCTGAAATTTCCCACAAATCACTCTCCCGACCGACCTTTTGTGTATAAGCCAGCATACCATCCCGATCACCAGGATCTGGATGAAAAAACATCGGACTGCGTAGCTGCTTTATTTCCAACGTTCGGAAAGCGTTGTTCCATCGCTGCATCCATTTATCGCCCGTGCCGTCGAGAACAAGAGTGGAATATGTCGAATCGGAAGAGGTTGTAGACGAGGAAAGCGAAGGAACAGACGATACCGAGTCAACTGATCCTCGGCGTCCATCCATATTCTGTTGTTCTTCTTTAATATCACAGGGACATTTTTTAGCTGCATTCCATTTCTCTGCCCGCACCCCATTCAACTTGGCGTTTCCTGCTTGAACGAGCTTCATCCGTCCCGTATGCTTCTTAATCCAATGATATCGCTGGTGTTCTTCATCTGTGAACATTGCCGAGGGAGTTTCCTCTTGTAAGCGGGCAGCGACGCCCAATCCGCAAGGCCCAGCGCCGATGATAATGACATCGCGGATCTCGTTGTCGAAAGATGAGGCGTGCATCTTTTGGGCGTGACCCTGAGGTATGAGGCGAGTAATGAGTTATACGTATCAATCAAATATTGATTAGAAGAAAATAAAAATCGTCACTTGAAATGAATTTAGACTTGGGAGTGAATTTCTTAAATAACACGCCCTCTGCCTGTTCTAACTCTCTTCTGCAATGTCCTCATGATGCGCGGCCACCGAGGTACTCTTCCCCAAGGTCCCTGGGATTTGATACAAACAGCAATACTCCATACACCATTGAAAGAAGTCTTCTCCACAGTGTTACGCGCTGATCATATCAAATTGTGGGGTGAATGGGGACCTTAGGAGTTATTCGACCTGATCTGACATTCACTTCTAAGAAAACAGAGAAGCTTAAAAGTAGAAAATAGATAAATGTGAGAATCTAGCAATCAGAAATGTTCCAGAAAAGAAACGGTGTTTCAAAAAGCAAATTACATTACTAAAGGAAAACTCAAAGGGGGAATAGCAACGCAGCAGAAACCGCCAAAACAGCCCCCCCACCTCATGATAAGACGTAACAGATGAAGACTCAAGCCAAGAAACAAAAAAAAGGCGAAAAAAAAAGATTAGAGAAAAAACCGAAAGTGCCAAACCAAAGGATAATAACAAGAAGTTAAGGAAAATCATAACACTCATGATGCTCATCATCAACTCCAAAATCCAAACGCCTATCTCAACCAACTCCATACACCCATACCCATACCTATTTATGCCATTTCTTCTTACCATCGGCATTCCTCGGTCGAGAAACACCACCACCCTCTCGACGATGCCAAGCATCCTGAGGCCAGACCCATCCACGCACGCGTTTAGCATCGCGACGCTCACCGATTTGAGGCTCGGGAATCCATTTATCTTTTGCTTCGGGCAAGATAATCTGCCGTGTCAGAGCTCCCGGTCCACCGACGTTGAGGTGGGCAGATGGTTGGTCGGGGAGCGGTTGGGATTTTGACAGCATGAGCAGGAAGTATAATGCCAAGCTCGCCGTCATGGGCGTTGAGGAGTATCCATCATCGAACTCCGGCTCGGGAGATTGCTGGCGGGAGTTAATCGATGATACATGAGAGGAGGATGAGAATGATCGTGCGCTGATGGGTGTTGCTAGGGATGGTGCTTCGCGTGCGTGTTGCTGCTGTGTAGCTGCGGTTTTGAGTGGGATTGAAGCGGCTATTTCGAGGAAGCCGAAGTATGGAATGTCGCCGCCCATGTCGCAGCCTGCGCGGACGCAGACGAGTTCTATTTCGGTGATTATGAAGCCGTATCGACAGGAGTGCTCGCGCATGCACCTCTGTAAATGGGCTAGACCGTTCAAGTACTCGACACGACGGTGGGGTGCCTCGTTGCGCATTCCCGTGTTCCAACGGTCGAAGCTTTTGACAATACCAACAAGTCGTCCGCGGGGGAGACCGGCGCCTGTGTGATCTGTATCATTGGCATAGTTTGCCAGAAAATGAGGATGGCCGTGGTTCTTGTGGCCAGTATGTCTCATATCTGGCGCTGCGTACAATTGGAGGTGGTCTGGGCCCTGGGAGACTTTTAGGGCAGCATTAACGCGTGGCGCATATAAGTCGCGAATAAGGCTAACAAGACCAGGTTCAGACTCAGGCGCCAGGCGCGACGGGGCTACTGCAACCGGGGGAGCAAGATTTGCCGGGATTTCCGTCTTTAAAAGCTGGGTGAGTCCGTGAATTGAATCGAATGTAGCCATTGAAAATGATGTCCAGCTGCGGAGATTGCGAATATCCCACCAGAAATAATCATGCATACCACGAGTTGGGACAACGCTCACATTGCGAACAAGATTGATTGCTTGAGTAGGAGAAGTCAGGTATGACATGAGGCTTGTTGAGGGCGAAATCAATTCCTGCTGAGGACTAGGTAGGGGTTTCGGAGATTGCTGGGCTGAAGAAGTCTGCTTATAGTCGTACTGCGGTGTTGGAACCGTCAATGGATGAAGTGGGCGCACAGGGCTCCGCTGAGGTTTTTCAGGCTTTGGTGTACCCTGACAATATGCTGAATACACAACAATATTCGGTGTTACAGGAGTCACCGGCGTGCATGGAGTGCATGGGGTCGTCTGAGACTGCATCTGCGGTACAAACGTGGGAAGTTGGCGATAAGTGGGATAGCCATAACGGCTCAGCGTAGCTTCATCGATGCTGGAGGTAGAGACAGATCGAGCATGCCCTCCACTAGCTCTTCGCTTATTTGAAGAAGTAATTGTCACTGGAGACGATAAGGCGGAAGAGCTCCCATGGCCAGTAGTAATGATTGGGGAGATAGGAGAAGCTAAGGGAGCTTGGTTATTGGAACCTGCCCAGTTTCGTTGAGCTGGCGGCCTGCTTGGATACGGGACAAATCCGGGGGGGGTTTCGTGTATTTGATAAGACTCGACGGTGGCGCAGAGGTCCACCTGCAGAGACAGGCTCGATCACCACGTCTTGAGGCCGAATCTTCGGCAAAAGTGCCGGGCCGTGATGATGACGAGTTGGTGATGTAGTAGGACTTGTGCTGCCAGTAATAGTAGACCAAGGTGAAGATTCGCTTGAATAAATGGATGAATTGGAAGCATTGCGGCTATGAGCTGAGCCGATGCATTCCTCAAGCGGGTGCTCCGGGGGTGTTGTCGGTTGATAGCGAGCGTACTCTAGCGACATGGTTGGAGGACGACGACACTGCTTGTTTGACATCTCGACAGACATGTTGCGGGGATAGGTCGTAATAACGAATGTAAGTCAATGCCGATGACCAATGTAAAGACCGAGTAGGTCGTTCAAGATTGAAGACCGTCCACTTGAAGAAACAGAGACACGATGCAGAAGGAGAACGTTTGGATATTAAATGTTAAACGATCAGCAGGCTCAAACAAGCCAAGCATGGGAGCATATCTTAAGACCAGGGCCCACTGACGAACCCAAGGCGATCAGAATAACCTGAAACATGGAGAAGCAGTCCATAGGGACGCCAACGGAGGCTCCTTTTCTTTTTTTGGGATCCTAGTCTCCGATCTAGAGGAACGTCCACGCGATGAAACGCGAAACTGCCGACTATTGTGCCTGAAGTCGCGCGACAGGGGACATTGAAACCCCCATCAGGGAGTCCGTCTGGGCATAGTGCAGTTTCAGCGGACAGTCGCGCGTCAAAGTGTTGCTATATTTTGCAACAGCTTCGATGTCATTCTTCAGATTCCTTCTTAGGACTAGCTTCCTGCAAGACGAGCGAACGCTTCTAAATTCAGCAACAATTAGGTCACATTTCCCAGGTAATTAGCGGCCTCGCCGGTTGGAGGCGCATGCCCTTTGGGAAAGCAGCGTGCTTCAGGAATCGCCATGGTGGGAGATGGGCGGTTAGCTGGCAGCAGGATAAAAATAGCCCGGCGAGTACTGGGGTGCATTGGAAGCAGGGGGAAAGGTAGTGGGGAAAGATGGAGAGGTTCATGGGGGGGGGGAAAGGAAGTATGAAGTGTGAGGTGTGAAGTGTGATGTTCCTCGGCGCTTACAGAGATGTGCCTCGACAACTTACGCGCCGGGCGATCGGCGTCACACATAGCGCCCAGTTCCTAATACTTGGAAAATGTCCCATAATTAGCAGTCAATTTACGTTTCAGAAAAGCAAGCAAGCGATTCGAGACAAAGAGGAAGAAAAAAGGACGGAAAATTAAGAAGAATTTGTGCATACACACATGTCATATCATTACTTAGTACTGTAGTAGCCAGCCTATTTCGTCACATCCATCCCAGTACAAGGGAGGAATTAAAAACATAGCACAGAAGAAATGTGAAAGAAAAAAAGAAACGAAAAATAACGCAAGGGTGGTTTCTTTTCCCTTTCCTTGCGTGCTCTATCAGGGCCGCAAAATCATCACAGAACGCTGGGGGGGGAATCTTTTTCTGGAACCGTCTAAAAAAAGGTCATGATGTCCAACGGTAAAAGAAATGGCGAAATAAAAAGAATTTTGAACACCATTTATGCCTTCACCTCGTACTTGCGACGGAACATGTCGTCAACCTCGGTGAGGTAGTAAGTACCAGACTGCAGAGTCTCGGTCTTGCCGGAAGGCTTGAAGTTCTTCTGCAGGTGAGCGTGCTCGCGCAGCTTGCACATGTCATCGTAAGCCTGGGGGGTCCAGGACAGTGCGGCTGTCCAGGCGGTTCTTCAGGTCCAGGTTCTTGACGATGTGAGAAACGTCACCAACGATGTGGGCACTGAACAGGGAGCTAGCCAGGCCGGAGCCGTAGCTGAAGAGACCGATGCGCTTGGGCTCGTTGGGGGAGAACTCAACGTGGCTGAGCAAGCTAGCAAGGCCGGCGTAAACGGTAGCAGTGTACATGTTACCGCAGAGAGTGGCAACCTGGAGACCGGGCTGCACACGCTCGGCGAAGCGCTTCTTGGTCAGAGCCATGAAGGTCTTCTCGACAGCCTTGTCGGTCAGAGAGGCAGTGTAGTCAATGTCACGGAGCTCAGGGGGCGACCTCGGCGAAGGCGGGGTCCGCAGGGTTGGCCAGGAAGTCGTTGTAGTGCATACGGGCGAAAGACTTCTGAACCAGCTTGCAGGTAGGGGCGTGGTACAGGATGTAGTCGAAGCGGTCGATGCCGGTCTTGGACTCGGTAGCACCGTTGGTACCGTTTTGAATAGCCTTCAGGGTCTGCTCGCGGGTGCCGTAGGCCTTGTAGCAGGCATCAACGGCCTCGGTGTAGCAACGGAGAGAGAAGTGGCCGTCAACAACGGGGTACTCGCTGGTGAGGTCGGGCTTGTAGAAGTCATAGGCGTGGGTGATGTATGAGGCACGCAGACCGGGCTCGAAAACAATAGGGGCGTCAGGGCCGATCAGCATGGCGACACAGCCAGCACCACCGGTAGGGCGGGCAGCACCAGCGGCGTACAGGGCAATATCACCGCAGACGACAATGGCATCACGGCCATCCCAGGCGGAGGACTCGAGCCAGTTGATGCTGTTGAAGACGGCGTTGGTACCACCGTAGCAGGCGTTGACGGTGTCAATACCCTCGATGTTGGTGTTGCCGTAGGGGGCGAACAGCTGCATCAGGACGGACTTGACGGACTTGGACTTGTCCAGGAGGGTCTCAGTGCCGACCTCGAGGCGACCAATGGACTTGGGGTCCACGTTGTACTTCTTCATCATGTTGTTGAGGGTGGTCAGGGACATGGAGTAGATGTCTGCGCGGGGAAGCGAGGGTTAGCCTGATGAATTCCTTGTGGTTGGATCGTAACAATTGCTAGCAGAGAGAGCAAACTCACCCTCACGGTCATCGCAGAAGCTCATCTTGGTCTGGCCGAGACCAATAGTGTACTTTCCGGCACTGACACCATCGTGCTTCTCGAGGTCAACCTGGTCGACGCACTGTAAAAGGATGCATGGTTAGTTTTTGGACAAAGAAGCAAAGAACAGGGAAATCTCAATTGCAAGCAATTGAAAACCGAGAGAGAGGAACGAACCTGAGTGGGGAAGTAGACCTCAATGGCCTTGATACCGATGTTTTGGGGACGAGCAGCCATGGTGGGGGAGGGGTAGAAAGAATGGGACGACGAAGGAGAAGAGATAAGACAAAGTAGCACCACGAAATGCAGAGGAAAGAGGAGGATTGAAAGAGGATGAGAAGAAGGAGAAGAGAGCAGAAGAGTGTCTGTTTAAAGAAAGAAAAGGCGGGCGAGAGAAAAAGGAGGTTGTTGTGTACTCGGATCTACACTGTACGATCAGTCACCGTACACTTTTTTTTGGCAGTACTTAAATTTTATGGTAGTGGGGGAAACTTCCTTTCAGCCGGAAATCGGAGGATAGACACATTCAAGGCTGTTTCAATAATAGCAGTATGTTGAGTACTCCGTAGAGTATATACTACTATACTTCTACCTTAGTATAATATCACTCACTTCTACTATACTATGGTTACTAACTATATTTAACAATTACCTAGGTACCTACGAGTTATACTATACATGCTATACTCCCTCACCGCTCACTTCTCACCGCCCCGACTACAGTGTACAATGTACACTCTGTACCATTCCACTTAGTCCACTGAGTCCACTTATCCCACTATCCCACTATCCCACTCTTCCACTCTTCTCTCCTTTACCACACAATGCAGACTACCATCTTATCTCGGCTCAGGTCCGTATCCACTATGATCTTGCAATTCCCTGAAACGCCTCATCACGAGTGGATCACCTGACATCCGCGTTCTCCGGCATCACGCCAATGCCACCGTCGAAGTCATATAGCATCGGTGGCGGTCCGGAGTAGACATGACTGGTTTATCGTATTCCAAGTTTTGCTGTAGACGTCTGTATAAATGTCTTTATGTGCCTGTGCCTGTCCTGTACCTGTGAGTGGACCAAAGACTCCTTTGGTCCCCATAATTGGGCAGCGCCGGGAAGTGATCGGCCTGGAGGAAGGCTACCCTGGATCTTATGTTTGCACTTGGACTGTCCGATTATGTATGGAGTACTCCGTACTCAGTAAACTTCATTTCCTTCCTCTCTTTCGGGGGTGATATTTCAAAGTAGAAGGGGGATGACAAAAGAGGTTGTTGAGGAAGTTTTGGCATTGACATTGGCATTGGCAGGCAGTGACATTGATTGGTCTTGGCTGGCAACCTCCTTCTCCTTCTCCTTCGCCTCCGCCTCCGCTCTCTTACGCATCTCCATCCCCATCTCCCTTTAATCTATCTACTCCATACATTCACTCCCCTCTGGGATCATGTCACTCACTTCCTCCATCTAAATCATATCATGATCGACCAGTTCCCATCCGTGTCCTTCGCTTGTCACGGCTCCACCTGGGAGTCTACAATCCGCCATGGGCGACGATAAGTTCGACTACCAAGCTCTCCCTATCCCCACCTACGAAGAAGCTACACAACCATCCTCCTCGCGATCCAATCTCGATGAAGGTAGCGAAACCGAACGACAGGGTCTGCTCGATCGCAGTACTTCTCATTACCAACCACCCACTGTCGAATCCGTCCGGAACAGCCTCGATGATCTCGCCTCCTCCGTCTCGGGCTCGGCTCGGGGATCGCTGGACGAACTGCGGAGGGAACTGGATCAAATGGAAGTCGACGACTCCGCCCACGCTTCCTCAAGTTCTCGTACCCAGTTCCGACAGCGGTTCTCGAAACGCCTCTCCAGTCTGACGCGAACCCTCTCCGCAATTCAACGACCCCTGCAACGATACCTCCCGAGCCTCCCGCGATTCACCCGCCCAACCATCGATCTGAGCAATGCACGAGAACGATTCCGTGACCAAGGCTGTATCATGGTCCTTCGGATGTTTGCTCTGCTCCTTGTCGTTTCCCTGGTATACGTCTTCTTCATCGGTGACATCTTCAATCTCAATAGCCGGATGGTGATGGGTCAGTCGTACAGCGCCTCCTCTGTCGAGAACTTTATTCAAGGTCATATCAACGAAACAAATATCATCGAGAATCTGAAGCGGGTCACGGGCTTTGCTCACATCGCGGGTACCAAGGGTAGTTACGTCCTCTCGGAGTGGATCGAGCAGGAGATGCATAGCGCGGGGTTCGATGAGATCCAGCGGGAGGAATTCCAAGTTTATCTCAACTACCCTCGTGAAGATGGTCGCAAGCTGGCCATCATCGATCCACCTCAACTGGTCTGGGAAGCGACTCTTGAGGAAAACGACTCGGCAGCCCCGGTATTCCACGGCCATGCCAAGTCAGGAAACGTCACCGGCCCCTTAGTATACGCCAACTTTGGCTCCCGCGAAGACTTCCAATTACTCGCCGACCGGGGCATCTCCTTAAACGGCTCTATCGCTCTCGTTCGTTACTACGGCACTCAACCCGATCGTGCACTGAAGATTAAATCTGCCGAGCTTGCCGGTGCGGCAGGATGCATCATATACTCCGATCCGTCCCAGGATGGTTTTGTCAACGGTCCAGCCTACCCAAAGGGTCGCTATATGCCCACAGATGGCGTTCAAAGAGGCGGGGTCAGCTTGATGTCTCAGGTTGTCGGTGACGTGCTTACTCCCGGTTACGCGTCCACCCCAGAAGAGAAGGACAGGATGTCTCCGGAAGATAGTCCTGCCTTGGTACAAATCCCAAGTCTTCCCATCTCCTGGCGCGATGCACAAAGACTTCTTCAAGCTCTAGAAGGCCATGGCTCTAAGGTCCCGGAGAAATGGGTTGGCGGGGTCCCTAAGATTCAAGGCTGGTGGACAGGAGACCAAGATTCCCCGACTGTTCACCTAATGAATCTGCAGGATGAAGAAACGAGACAGCCGATTTACAACATCCATGGCAAAATCCTTGGACTGGAGGAGCAAGATAAGAAGATCATCATCGGAAACCACCGAGACTCGTGGTGCTTGGGTAGCGTTGACCCAGGTAGTGGCACCGCCGTCTTCATGGAGCTCATTCGCGTCTTTGGTGAGCTGCTCGTCTATGGATGGCGGCCATTGCGGACCATCGAATTCGTCAGCTGGGATGGTGAGGAGTATAATCTCATCGGTTCCACTGAGCACGTGGAGAAAGAAGTGGAAGACCTCCGTGCCAACGCCTACGCCTATCTCAATGTCGATGTGGGCGTGTCAGGCCCCAACTTTCGAGTCGCAGGGTCGCCGGTCTTCGAGCACACGGTGATGTCGATCTTAAATCGCATCTCTGATCCATTTGCCAACAAGACGTTGAAGGATATCTGGGACGAAAAGAATCAAAAGATCGATCCTCTTGGCGCCGGTAGTGACTATGTCGCTTTCCAGGATATTGCTGGCACTTCGAGCATTGACTTTGGATTCGAGGGGGAACCCTACCCGTACCACAGCTGCTATGAATCATTTGATTGGATGTCAAATTTTGGTGACCCTGGCTTCGAGTACCACAAGCTTCTCGCCCAGTTCTGGGGTCTTCTCTTGCTGGACCTTTCGGAGAACCCTATGCTCCCCTTCGACATGGAAGCATATGGCCGATATGTCACCGGTTGGGTGAAAGATTTGGACGAATTCGCCAAATCTAAGAAAGCGGACGTCAACACGAAAAGAATGCATGAGGCTGCAGCAACTCTAGAGGCCAATGCCGCCCAGTTCCAGGAATGGACTCGGGTATGGCATGATAGTGTGTGGGGCTCTGGTGGCTATGAGAGCAATGTCATGGCCATTCAACGAGTGAACCACAATATGCAGATGGCTAGCTTCGATACCCATCTATTGGATCTAGCCGATGGCGGTGGTGTGAGTTTTGGATCAATATCTTCCATTCTGAAGCTTAAGCTAATAATCATGTTAATGCAGATTCCCAACCGCACCCAGTTTCGCCATGTTGTCTTTGGGCCCGAACTCTGGGCTGGGTATGATGCCTCAATCTTCCCCGCCATTCGGGACAGTATCAACACAGGCAATTGGTCTCTCGCCCAGTATTGGATCGATCGAGTTGCTGACACAGTTGATCTTGCTAGCGGCAAGCTCTTGTCCTAGTTGTAATTTACATTTTCCCTTGCTAGAGCGACCTTCTTCCCTCTCCTTCCCTCTTGTGCATACCCCCTTACGCTTCGTCATACTCCTTGGCTTTTTATTTTTCCATCATCCTCCGTCCATGTCCAACTCGAGCATTGTACAGCCTAGCTCGACTGGACCCCTCACATCTACAGTTCCTCCATCCTTGCATATTAGGAAAGCCTCCACCTTTTTCTTTGGCGTGTCATATACCAATGGGCCTTCTTTGTATTATTTTGAAAGCGGCAACCTTAGATTTCTACTTGATCTGAATAATAAGTCCGCTCATCGAGAAGAGTGTAGCTGCTGAACGGAATAATGCCGCCTCGGCTGAGAATGGACCTTCCCCCTCATTAGCCAAAGTTCATTTAGAATAATCAGGAATTAGCTAGGCACTGGCCCGGGGTCACCAGGGCCCACCAAGGCCCAAAAGTTCCCAACCAACGATATAATATTACAATTCGGCTCAATATTCGGCAACAATAAAGTTTCGAAGGGACGTGCAGTGCTGTCGGACATTCCAAGAAATACCGAGGTCGACCCCGATCCCCACCAAACCAACTTTATATTCCAAGGTTGCCTCAAACCACGTACGGTTCCAAATCCTGACTGCCCACTCATATGCGATTTCTCCGCATTTCCCCAGGCTAGGGTATCCGCAGATCTTCGTTCGCGGTGGATCCCTCGCCCCCTAATTTTCAAGATCTCTACTCCGCCATGATGCCCACTATTTGGACCTACGGTCGTACGGAAGCTGTTCTAGCTCCAATAGCTTGAGTTGATGGTTAAAATTTGGGGTTGCGGTTCTTATTGGTTATCTTGCTCTGGGGTATGGGGATTTACCTGGTGAGGATGGGACCAAATTGCGTATTTGCGCGTTCGCGGACCAGAGGATGTTGTCAGTGGTTTCACAGGGATGTGTATAAAGGTTGAGAAGGTTGGACTTTCAATTGAAGAGCAGGTCAACTTTGATTTCTCTCGACTCGACTAAATATTAACCTCGTCCTGTTTCTCTTTCTTCTCTACTTCTCTTCTTTTCCATTCAAATTCAATCCATTTATACAACCCTTCACCATGGCATCCAACAATGCCAAATACAACACAAGCAAGCCCCTGAATAACCTCTCCGCCCCCCCAGTCAAATACAGACGATGTAGACATCGGTCGATACGGCCCATTATCCCATATCAACACCGCCGAAAGTTGCCTTCCAGCCTTTGGCGGCGAATTTCAACCAGGTCTATACAAGAATCCCAAGAACCGCAAAGTCGCGAATCCCGCCCCGTTGGGACTCTGCGGCTTTGCCTTGACGACCTTTGTTCTGGGTTGTGTACAGATGGATGTGCGTGGTGTGAACAAGCCTAACATGATTGTTGGCCCTGCCTTGGCTTATGGTGGACTGGTTCAACTTCTAGCTGGGATGTGGTAAGTTATGCCAATTGATGTGGTATGATTTTGAAAAAGGACGCTTTCTGACATTCGCTCTCTTCTTCTAAAGGGAAATGGCTATTGGGAATACATTTGGTGCAACGGTGCTCTCCTCGTATGGCGGATTCTGGATCTCTCTTGCGATTACTTTCATCCCGGGCGGATTCAATATTGAAGGGGCTCTTATTGAAGCCGACAATGGTTCGCCGATTATGTTTTATAATGCATTTGCGATATATCTCATGGTTTGTCTCTCCGAATCCTATAAACCACCTATGGATGGTTTCCAATTGTCGTGGCGTGGCAGAGCAAAATCAACTAACTTTCATCAGGGCTGGTTCATCTTCACCTTCCTAATTATGCTATGCACAGTCAAATCGACCGTGGCATTCTTCTCTCTTTTCTTCTTTGTCGATCTTGCTATCCTTCTCATTGCTCTGGGATATTTCCTGCCGACCGCGGAAGGACTACCCAACCCAAAGCTTCTTGAAGCTGGAGGGTTGTTTGCCCTTCTCGGAGCTTTCCTGGCTTGGTATAATGCCTTTGCTGGAATCGCAGATAACAGCAATAGCTTCTTCCTTGTCCCTGTTGTCCACTTCCCGTGGTCGGAAAAGAAGCGGAATGAGAGACGGGCTAGTAAGCAGGACAGCAGCAATGCTTAATGGTCTTTTAAATCCTCAATCTCAGCGGCAGGGTGCTAAATCTACTACAAGTATTTAACGACTCGGACGTGACATGGAACACCTGTTAATATGTAATGAGCTATGATAGCTGAAATGACATTTGGTGTGATTATTCATATAAATATAAAATTGGGTATCATGTTCACTGGCAGGCTCCCATCTATACAGCTATACATTAGGCAATGGCGGATCAATCGCCAATAGAGACGGGTGATCTGCCAAGCTCTGCCAAAATCCAGCTTCGTAGTCCCACAGATCTTGGCTCAAAAGAGCAGCCCAATCCTCATTCCCATCATCATGGCCAGCTTCAGGAGGCGGTGGCGGTGCCGAGTCGGAATGAAAAGAGTCCAAAAATCGCTGAATGGTTTGTGTCGCACGAGATAGCAATGCGTAGTTTGGATCTCCGGATCTCACTATTGTGCCGATCTGGACCTCGGCCACAAAGACACTCAGATCCCGGAGAATCTTGGTTCGCGAAATGCTTTGTGTAGCGTGGGACTGTTGTTTCAGTAATGCAAGAAGGATAATCCCTGCTGCTGGAAGTCCGTAGTACGCGACCTAGTTCAGGGTTCAATTAGTAGATTGCCAAGGCGATATGCAATTCACGACTGGGGAAAGACATACCTTCCATATCAATCCGGTTCCGGAGTTTGTCAGCTGGTCACGAAGGAGAATGGCCTCTACCACGAGAGCCAGCATCTGTCCTGCAGTCTCGATGATGGGAATATCCGGTTCCGTCATGGTATTGAGGAGCAAGAGGCGGAGTAAGAAGAGAACGTGGAGATGATTGAGGCGGACATGCGCGAGAAAGTCTCGCTCAAAGGGACTCCCGACGCACTGTTTGAGGCTACTCTCAAGTCGGAAGTGATTGGGTAGGGCCTTCCACTGTTCTTCGGCTTTGCGCTGGATTTCACTTTCAGGGAGCTTAATTAGTTCTTGACTGATATTTTTATTCCCTGTCTTTGATTTAAGAGACTTACCCAGCTTTTGCAACGCAGGAGGCGTCACTTTTATCCTGGAGCAGTTCCCATACCTCTTCTTTTAGTGAAGCACAAAGAGCCGACCAGCGTGTATCGGCTCGATATCCCACTGTGGTATCAGGATCCCAATCATGAGTGCTGCCATTTAATCGCGCATTCAAATCACAAGATGGAATCTGAAAGTGGCAAAAGCGCTTGTTCATCCTTGGTGGCCGACCTAGGAAGATGCCAATGTTCTTATCTGCAGAGTAAATTCGAGCAAATGCCGCTTTGCGTAAATCTACAAGAAAAGCCGGTATGCCCGGTTTGGCTTGAGTATTCTCATGGTAGCCGAGCGCGAAAGTTGAGGAGATGACGTCGCCAAGTTTACGCCATGAATGATAGCCTTGTTTGGTTAATTGATAGTTCGAGTCCAACACGGTGTGTAAAAGAAAAACTGACTTTGATCACCGTCGACATATGAGTGTACGATGAAGTTCTCATATTGCACAATTAACTGCAGATCATTGAGGCAGTCTAGCGAGAGCGAAATTTCGAGAGCGAAATCGCACAGCTTCGTAGCCAACCGCCGAAGAGTATACTGTTGTTCTTCTGTTGTATAAAGAGCCGGGAAAAAAGGGACATCAATTGTCGCGCGACTAACCGCGGCGAAGAAGATCCCGAGGGTCTCCCATCGAGCATAGTGATCTAAGAATTGGCTCGAAAAGCCGGCGAGATCAGTGGAAGCATCGAAGTGCAATGGCCGTGCCGAATTTTGCAACAGTCGCCTTGCGTAGACTAGATGCCAGCTCTCGTCGTGTGATTCAAACAACTGGCTGACACTTTCAGCGCACTGGGCGACAAAGGGCTCGGCGAGTGCAAGGTTTGTGCCTTTTGCCAGCCAGAACTCCACCAATTCTTTCATGGACAATAATGAATAGAGGGTCAGTAGATGCTTTAAGACATCTGCCCCCTGTAACAATAAATGATTATCGCCAATCCATGGTTCGGTTGCAATATCAGGGCCCACAGCATGAGACCCAGCGCTGTGGTCGTCGGGAGTGATGTGCTTGAAAATTGCAGCATGGCTAGATAAGCCCAAATACCCAGGATTGGGGTATGGATTACGCCTAGGGCTGAAAGATGGCGATGGATCGGGAGATTTCAAGCTAATTGAAAGTCAATAAGAATTTCAATAAGATAGCAGTTCCACAAATACTCCTCACATTGGCTTTTCAATTCTCCGGCGCTTGAACGGTGCAGTGCGGTAGATGCACACACCTTGCGTGGTCTGGCAGCGCGAGCAGACTGGTTGTTGGTGGTCGCAAGCCAACTTGGACTTGCGACAGGCCTCGCAGGCCGCCAATCGTGACGCCATGACCTCAGGGCGAGGGAGTCGAATCAGTGGCAGTGGCCCCCCCTGGCACTGACAGTTCATCGGTGTTCGGCTACCGACGGCTCGGCGACAAAATAGTTGGAGAAGAGGGGGGAAGCCAGTGATTACTGGCTGTGGCCCATTGGGGAAAGGCGGGAAGGCGGGGCAGCCGCGGTATAAAATCAGGCGGACTAGATGCCGCTCTAAACCTCCCCTTCTACAACTACTTCTTATATTTCTATACCACATTTCATCATATCCATGGCTTCCGATACTGTCAAACTGGGGGATTACCTCTTCACCCGTCTACTTCAGCTCGGTGTTACCGACATCTTTGGTGTCCCAGGTGACTACAATTTGCGTCTGTTGGACTATGTTGTCCCCGCTGGCCTGCACTGGGTGGGAAATTGTAATGAGCTCAATGCTGCATATGCAGCCGATGGCTATGGACGTATCAAGGGTCTATCAGCCCTCGTCACGACCTTTGGTGTTGGCGAATTATCTGCCGCCAACGGTATTGCAGGTGCTTATGGAGAGAGATCGCCCGTCGTTCATATTGTTGGCACGCCACCCCGTCCACTTCAAAGTACACGGGCGTTGATGCATCATACTTTCTCTGATGGAGAATATGGTCGCTTCTCTGCCATGGCTACTCATATCACTGCAGCTCAGACCAAACTGATTGATACAACGACAGCCCCAGACAAGATCGACTGGATCCTCCAACAGGCGCTGATTCACCAGCGTCCTGTATACATTGAGATTCCGGATGATATGCCAGATCTTCTTGTTTCGTCTTCCAATCTCAAGTCTTCTAAAATCAGTGTTCCATCTGTTCTGAGCCCTCCACACGAATCTAAAGTTATCAGTCGGATCTTAGAGCGTCTCTACAGTGCACAACGCCCATTCATCCTCGTGGATGGCGAGAGCCGCTCACTCGGAATCCTGGACCAGCTTGATACACTTGTTCAAAAGACCAATTGGCCCACATGGACCACTGTCTTCGGAAAGGGTCTCATCAACGAATCACACCCGAACGTATATGGCCTGTACGCCGCAGCATTCGGCGACAAGCCAGCTCAAGAGTACTTTGAAGCCGCCGATCTAATCCTGACCTTCGGCCCACACTACAGCGATACAAACAGCTACTTCTGGACAACTGTTCCAAAGGAGGCAGTCGCCATTTCATTCAAAGACGACACCATCCAAATCGAAAGCGACACCTACCGAGACATGTCCGCCAGCAGCGTCCTAGCCCAGATCCTGCACGCATTAGACACCACCCGCACAATCAAAGCCACCGGCCCCCCAAAGGTCGAAATCACCACAACCGACATCCAAGCCAGCGACATCATCGCCCAAAACAACTTCTACCGCCTCGTGAACCCCATCTTCCGCGAAAACGACATCGTCCTCGCCGAGACCGGCACAGCCTCCTACGGCGGCCGCCACTGCAAATTACCCCCCAACTCCCGATTCTTTACCGCCGTCACCTGGCTGTCGATCGGATACATGCTCCCAGCTACACTCGGCGCGGCTCTCGCAAAGCGAAGCCTAAACCAAGCAACCGGTGCCTCGAACCAGACAATTCTCATCACTGGCGAGGGAAGTCTGCAGATGACCGCGCAGGAAATCAGCGTCATGATCAAAGAGAAGTTGAATATTCTCATCTTCATAATTAATAATGAGGGATATACCATTGAGCGAGTGATTCATGGTCGGAAGCAGGCGTATAATGATGTACCTTTCTGGCGACACACGCAGGCACTGAACTACTTCGGTGCAGATGAGGATCAGATTGCGAATAGTGTCTTCACTGCGCGGACCTGCGGTGAGCTACAGGAGCTGCTGAAGAACGAGCGTGTGCATAGTGGAACTGGACTTCGGTTGGTTGAAGTTGCAATGGACAGGGAAGATGTGCAGGGTCCGTTGCTTTATCTATTGAACAAGCAAATTGCCGAGGAAAAAGAGGCCGCGGCAACGAGCTAGACCCCTTGAGCACGATCGGGATACCAACTTGATGACGATGGGTAATCTATTTCTCTAGCTACGATCTACAACTAATAGAAATTGAAACTGGTAGATTTCGAAGTGAATTTTTTTTAGAATTGATTTTAGAATTGATCGGTGTCTCACTATGATTACCACGGCCAAAAGTGTGCAGTTCGCTCCAAGAACAAAATGAAAAAGAAAAGGTGAAGAAAAAGGAGAGTGACAACAAGAACAAGGAAAACCTTGGAATCCAGCCCCGGTAAATAATGGTTTTAAAAAAAGGCCCTGAATACGCCATGCCCTATGCCCCATACCCGCGATGCACACGGTGCGGTTTGATGTAGAAAATAATCAAAAAAAAGAGAGAAGAAGAAAGTCAAGATTAATACACATGACTTCTCTTGCCGATTAAAGGAAGTCAGAGGCGTCTATATTCGAGCCGTTGGAGTGATCAAATGAGCCATGAGTGGGGGCTCTGTCGAGTTGAGGAGTGTGATGTGAAATGAATAAAAGCCCTTATTTCCGGAAGCTGTCTACTCCTAGGCTTGGCGTTTCGACCATGCGGTCAGAAGGAACGCCTTCATCGCGTCGTCGCGCGAAGAAGCTGTCGCATTCGGAGACAATGTGTGCCCACTCGGCCAACGCACGACCAG